AATTCCATTTGCTCTCCTGGAAATTCTTTACGCTCTCTATTAATCCCCAGAGAAATTTGGTAACTTAAATCAAACTAACAATAAATAACAAACAGACTCACTCTGTACCAGCGCAAATCCGGCAGCTCTTCCTCTTCATCCTCTTCCTCCTCGGGCCACAAAAACGCCGGAGGATTCTCTCTTTTATCCTACCATCGCCGACAGCACTATGCTGCTGACCACGGCTCATCTTCTTTGGCGTACTTTGTTGGATCAATGGCTGGCTACACAAATTTGATTGCCGGCGTAGTTTTGGGTATCGGTGCCGGATTGGCGTTATATTAGCTTGTTACATTTTGTTACTATCGGACATAGCGGGCATAGACATTTTTTAATCATCCCTATATTTTCCCCTTCTAATTTTTTTATATGAGTCGAGGGTATTAATTCATCTTTCCTTTTTCTACGCCTTTACCTCTTTTTCACCCTTTTTGATATGTCGGTGTTTTATCTCACTATAGACTACATGCACTTTACGAATTAAATCGAAAAGGATAGATTCAGGGAACAAACATTGCAATTCATCGTCGCCGGTGTTTTTCTTATCTTTCCACAATCTCCCTTTTTTCTCCAGTATTCTTATATTTTGCATCCTCATTTTACTACGTGCCCATCACTTCGATTCACTGAACAAACGATTCACAGAATATAAAAAAAGGAGGTTCTGACTGATATGACATTTGTACCGAATGTAGTTGGTAAAAAGCTCTTCTACCACATGAAGCACGAAGCTCGAGAATAGCAACAACAACAAGAACAACAACAACAACAACAACAACCACCGTCGAGAGACAGCAATGAATAAGCAACATGTAGGTAGATACCAAAGAGATAGGCAGCGAGTACAAGTACATGTACCTGATACGCTGCAGAGTCAACCTCTGACACACAAGAAAAGTAAGAGGGGAAAAGGTAAACTCCCGAGACACCGAATACCAGAAAATGCATAACGAAACACCCCAAGGATAAACCGGGAGGACTCCCAGTGGACAAGTAAACAACCCGAATAAACAACCCTAAGACACATTCTGAATGAAAAAACTGCACTTGAAAGACTGAAGGCGAACCAGCGACGCTCGGGACATGCGCCAAGCATAATGCATTTGAAGGGGGCGAAAAAAAAAAAAAAAGACTTGAAGAAAAGGGGAAAGACAAAAACGAAAAATCTGGTGGGATATGCTTGATCCTGTAGCCCCTGCGAAAACGGGGACAATAGAAACCGAAGGGCAATAGAAACCGAAAATCAAACAGCTGGGAGCTGCATGTGGATATCAAGACGCCGAAGGGTCGAAAAGGTGAAAGGACAAAAGATTTTGTAACTTTTGATTGGGTCAGAGAGATGGTAGAGCGGCTGGGAGAGGAATGTAGATAAGAAAGGTGGAAGGTGTTTGGGGGGGAGGGGGGGGATGGCGACAATCAAGATGCACCCATGGACGAGAAAGCGGACTCGCCAAAGGCGTCTTCTTGCTGCATTGTGCCGTTGAGCATTGGGCAGAGCCTGGAGAAAATTGGTAGAGGACGTTAGCTTGCTGTTATTTGTGATGTTGGGATGCATAACTGCATAGTTGAATGCAGTCAAAGCTGATGAACAATCATGTGAAGTAAAGGCGTATATGAAAACGTGGTCTAGGACATGGGAGAGAAAGCAGTAGGACAGATGTAGTTGACGAAATAGTCGGAAGAGGAAAAAAAAAAGTCAAAGCTGGAATCTCACGCACTTCTTGTTGGTCTTGATATGGCCGACTTGACCACAATTGGCGCACTTGCGCTGAGTGCCGACAGACTTGGTCTGGACATTAGACGGCGAGCTTGGCGAGCCAGGGGATTTGCCATTGGCACCGGTCAGCAGACCCTTTTGCTTGTCGCGAGCAAGACGACGGTCCTTGTTTCGCTCGAGACGGGCCAGTTCTCCTTCGAGACTGCAAAAGATTGTTAGATTGAGAATTACTGCGTTGAAGATTTGACGCTACTCACAGCTTGCGGTTCCGGCGATCTTGCTCGGCATCTCCAGTCGGGCGAAGATCAGTGAGCCTAGAAAAGAAAATGTTAGCAAAAATTCAGAGGTGAGCTTGCAGACACAGGACATATCATACTTGAGAGTCTCTGCCTCGATTTCGTGACGGCGACGGAGGTATTGGCGGATGACTCGTGGGTCACGGATAACATCCTGAACCCGCTCAACGCGACCGTATGGATCTCTCATTTCTCGAGTGATGCGAAGAACCTTTCCACTCTGACTGGCGGTGCTGAATCGACTAAATTGACTAGTAGTCTCATCATCTCGGCGAGCAAATGCGGAGGGGGTTGGCGCTTCTGACCGAGGCGTTGGCCCACCGATGAACAAATCTTCAGCTTCATCATGGTGTTCATCGTCAATATCCATGTCGGAATGTTCAACGTTGGATGATAGACTCGTCTTCTGCGCCTCCCAAATCCTGGCAATGGATTCTTCATAGGCTCTTTGCTGTCTCGCCACATTGTAGCTATGGCCACCGAGCTCTTTGAGCTTCTTGGCATCCAGCTTATCCTCGACACTCTCACCCACAGCTTTGAAGCCACCTTTCATAGAAGTGCGGATGAAACTGAATGCTTCGCCACGACCAGATGGGTCTCCATCGCCATGAAGCTGAAGCATGGCTTTGCCTTGACATGCGTTGATAAAGTTTCGCGTGGTTTGCCACGGTGCCAGTTGCTGTTCAAGACTCTGCCCTTCCTTGCTGTCATCGTCATCTTCGTCGTCATCTTTACTGTATCCGGCATCTTGTAGATGGCGTTGACCAACTTGCATCGCCTCTAGAAGACAGACATCTTCCGGCTTGACCATGGATCGCAATGACGCTTCGTCTGGAATCGGCTCGCCTGAGCGCATCTCCCATTCCTTATGCTCTTTTGAGAATTGCATGAATTCCTTCATCTTCTGCCGATTCTGAATATCAGTCGTGTCTGGGAAATGTTTGGTCACCTCAGAGACGCTGATGCGGGGAGGATTCTTCCTCCGAATCTGACGAAAAGAGATCATCTTGAGACGATTTTTTGACGCGGTCGTGACCTTTCTGGAGTGCGGGCCAGGCACGTCGACCGACGGGAATTGCTGCCCCACTACGCACAAATTCTCAATGTTGCGCATATAAAAGCTTGACCCGTCAACGCCGGTGGTGTTGCGAACGACCAGAAAGTCAGTAGATCTTGGTTCGTGCCTAAAAATCGGGGCTCTAAACATGCCGTTGTAGATGGTCGGCATCGTGGTTCCGGGTTCAACGTTTCCGAAAATGGAGAACGGACTCTTGTCCTGGGGCATGAGAACCGCAGTTTCTCCAATATCGAGCTTAGGTCTTGAAGTGTCTTCATTGTTTTTGCGTCGATAGTAATTGATCAGACGACTACCCATGCCAAAGTTGGACATCATCGTTGGGCATTCCTCTGAATATTCGAGCAATAAGACGCTGGAGTTGTCCGCGAGCGAGAGATCCTTCGTCGAGGTGAACATTGACATGGCGTCTTTGCCTTTGAAATGTTTCCGTTTCAGACTCCGAGGCTTGCTGAACATGATAGGAACGTTTGGATGGAATTGCATTGAGGGCCGGTGGTAAGACCTGGCTTCGCGCGTCTGGAGCTTGACCTTGTAGTAAGGATATTGCAACCTAACCGCAGGCATACTGTGCTCGACAGTCAGGTTTCCGATTGTGCTTCGAATCTTGCTCTGATGATTCTCCTTCAGCAGATCATAAGCCTCGTCATTGGAGATATTGTAACGCCGGGTCAGGTCTTTCGTGAAGCTACCGCTAACTCCACGTCGGACATCACCGCCTAGACGACGTCTCTTAGCCTGATGCGCTGGCTGCACATCAATCAAGAGATGCGGGTCATTGAGATCAAGAGTAACTCTCTTGGCAAGTTTCGCCGTAACAGCTTCGGGATCCTCAAGGGAAGGTAGAGCGATTTGAGGTATAGCGAAGAGATCCTTAATCTCACGAGATAGCTTTCGCCTCTGCAGAAAGGCCTGGTTAGCGCTAGGCTCAAATTATCAAAGAAGAAAAGATCAATAATACCTTGGCAGCAGCGGGATCGATTTCTTCGTCGCTGTAGTCCTCAACAAACTGCCCGAATGACCGACGCCTCGACCCTTTTCCACTATCCCTGTCAATCAGGCTATCTTGAGACTCCCCATCTAGAGCACTCGTGTCCCAATCTTGACAGAGGATGCATAGATCTTGCCAGCTCACGCCTCCAACTTCCTCGCTGTCCGACAGCGTCTCCAATAAATCATCTTTGTCCTCGTCTTCGCCCTCTGGATGTAGATCTGGAATGAGCACCAGCCCTCTTTGCTCGGCATCAGCTTCTCGAAGATGTTTGCTTGGGTGAGCTAGTCCCGCTTGTCGAAAGCTACGCTCTTGGTCTTGGGCTATATCAAGGCTAAGCTTGGTCGGCTGGACGACCTTTGGGGGCTTCAGAGGAGTCTTTCCCAGATAATGCGCTTTCTTCGGAGGGATGAGATCCATGAAACGAGGGACAGCATTTCGCTCAAACTTTGGCCACATGGATGTCAAAAGCTCTTCCTCGTTTTCTGGCGGTGCTGGCGGCAAGTTGCTGTCAGACATGGACATGGCCAAAAGAGCCTTTTGTTCTCTCAACCGCTCGTCTTCGGCCTCATCCTCATCCTGAACTGCTGTTCCAAAATTCACATCTCGAAACGAAGGCGGCTCTTCCTGTCGCGGAGGTACTTTCTGGCTTTCCGGGGCGGACGTTTCTCGAACGGTTGCCGATGACTGGGGGCCTTTTTCTTCTTCGTCAAACTCAAAAGACATGGAAATGTCTCTTTCCAGAGCCTCCGCCTGCTCCTTTTCGGCTGCTTCTTGATCCTGCTGGCCGATCTCGGAAGAAGGCGCTTCGCCAAATAAATCATCGTATAAGTCCGGTTCACCATCTGCCTCTTCCTTTACTTCTGGCAACTGCCCCTCCTGCATAATATCATCCAAGCCTCCGGGTTCCTCGTCATCTCGGTCTGCTGGTTTGATCGCGCCATCACCCTCGTCGAGGTCGGCCAAATCATCGTCATCGATATCCTCATAGTCTACTGCATCATCTGCCTTCTCTCCAGGATCAAGGTCGCGGTTAAAGAAGTCCAACGCGCCAGTGCCTTCGTCGTTAAGCAGCTTCTGAATCTCGAGTTCATCTTGCTCGGCTTGAGCATCACCGGGAGGAGGAACGGCGTGGGGCATCTTGGTCGAGTTCGATTTGCCCTCCGAAAAATGATTCGAGTGAGGATCTTGAGAAGTCGGTCGATGTACAATCGAGCTTGCCATGTCAAAACTTGAAATTCAAGTGCTGCGCGGGGTGAGCCTCATCACGCGACGGACGTTGAATCAACTCAGGCCTGCTTCAAGTCCATCCGCTGAGGGTCATCTTGCGTTCACACTAATCTGAAAAGCTTGACAGACAGGTAGCCGTAATTTTAAGGGCAAGACGTAAGCGACGAAGGCGAATTCTCCCCAGAAGTGGTGAATAATAGCTGCCTGAGCCAATGACTTGAGGATGATTGAATGTCCCAAAACGAATCAACCCGAGGATGTTTGATTACATAATCAGAGTCGCGGAACGGTGCCAAGCCCGTCACTCTCGCCGTTGGATCCGCCCGTTTCAGTCTAGTCTCACTTCCCCAGTTCTTCCGCCTATAAATGACCTGCAGCAGGGGTTCACCCTAATACAGCATTGCGTCAATATCATTTGCTCAGTCAAAGGAAACAAAATTATTAATTGAGATGTACTATGAGATTCTTTGCAGAATCCTCATAATATACTTCTAAGTGACTGTGCCAATAGCACGCATTGGAAAAAAAAATTGTATTATAGCCAAACATATTGCCAAGACTCGTCTGGCCACTATTGAGACTGACATAGAAAACTACCACGATTCCTATTGACGCCATTCTCTATGCTTTGGTTTCTATTACTTCCATATGAACCTTCATTTTCTTGACTTTTGTGATCAATTCCAAACTTAAAATCTCCGTAATAAACGCACAACGCCTTCAATCCAAAGTTAGCACCTCCATCGTCATTGGACTTCTTTCCTAGACGTACCTTGCTTGCCCCATTCATGCAATAATGGATAATAGGTGTCTTCTTGCCATTTGGCGCGTACCTCGCCAATTGTCTCACGTCCGAAGTTCTGGGAAGATAAAGCACGATATCCATCGTGACCTTGGACATTGGTACCACAAGATCGTTCAACGAGTAGGGTTGCATGGTGGAGAGACAGAAAATAGCATCCGAACTATATCCCGGGCCTAAGAAAAATAAAATTCAGCACACATTCCATGACCATTTTTCATATTCAAAATGCAACGTACCTCCCCATGGCGGACTTGCAAATATAACGCTGTCCTTGCCCACGGTAGCCAATCTCTTCTTCATGATATCAAAACAATCTCCTTCGATCCACCATATCTTATTTGAGACCCCATAAACTTCAGCATTGTGCTTTGCGCACTGCAGCACATATGGGTCCTTTTCAATGGCAAAGATTCGGTCCCAGCGTCCAGACTTGGCGAAGGCGATCGCGTTTCCTCCAGCGCCAGCGAAACAATCAATTATAGTCTTTTTATCCTTGGATGCCGACTGCGTAATGTGATTGGCAATTTTGCTGTGCGGAAGCATTAGATGTTGTAATACATTGGAGCGATTAGATTTGCGAACGTACTCTGCCACAGGCTCAGGCGTGACGCCGAACCAGGCGTCATCGGTCATCCAAATCCCTTCGTCATATTTTGAGAAGATGTTATATCGCTGCTGCCAATATCTGCGCGCGTCAACAATTCTGAACCATGGAAAAGCGAGCAGTCAATAGAGCAACAAACTTTTGGATCTCCCAAGGTACTTCATCTAGGGAAGTGTAATGGTGGCAGCCCGACGGAGGCTCGTCATAATTCATGATGATCCTGCAGATGTCTCATGGATAGATAAATGCGTAGACTAAGCTCGAGACCTGCTCGTGGCTCGTCTTAGCATGATGCCATATTATTCAGACGAGCAGGGCGTACGAGCAATCGAGACTTGAGGGTTTGCGACATCAAGAGTCCGTGCGAGGAACGTCAAGCTTGGGCCACCTCGAGATCTGCCGCCGACCCTCCGACTGCCATCTGGCTCCTTCCAAGCGTGGTTTGGAGCTTCCCCGGTACAATTGATTTTACACCTCTCTTACCCGTACATTCTCCCAATTTTTTCTTAACTCAGGTAGCTTTCAGACCAAGCCCAGGAGACCAATTTATAACAATGTTCGGTGCTCTCAACCGCTTCATCTCGCGGCTCGACTCCGATGCCCCAGCACAAAACACCAGCACACGCCGGGCATACGGTTTCCAAGTCCTGCGCAACAAGAAGCTTGAGCTCGAGATAGAGCCTTGGTTCGACTTCATTGTTGGGATCAATGGACGACAGATTGTAATCTAACCTCCAGCTCATTTACGTCCGCTGGCGCAAGTATGTACTAACAAATACAAAAATAACAGGATGATTCTAGTCCGCACCTCTTCGCAACTGAAGTCCGCAATTGTGCCGGCAACAGCGTCACCCTTGGCATATGGAGCGCAAAGGTACTCAGGCCCAAATACCCACTACCCAGATATATATTCCGTCTTTATCCAACTTGTTCAAGCTGACAACAGCCAGGGCCAACGTATCCGCGAAATTCACATTCCCATTTCACCCGAGGAACCATCTCTCGGACTGACACTACAATGGAACAGCCTCTCCACCACCGAAGACATTTGGCATATCCTCGATGTGATTCCCAACTCCCCCGCTGATCACGCAGGATTGCTTCCATACGGGGATTACATTATTGGTACTCCCGAGGGCATAGTCAAGGGCGAAGCCGGTCTCGGTGAACTTGTTGAAGATGTAAGCCAGACGCCCCCGTTTCCTCTTACGAGCCCCTTTCCAGACCCTCCTTGTCCCTCCGCTCTAATTACTTTCTCCGAACCCAACTAACGCAAGCCAATCTATCACAGCACCTCTCCCGTCCTCTCCGTCTGCATGTCTACAACCACGAGTACAACGTGACACGCCTGGTAACCATTACCCCTTCGCGACACTGGGGCGGTGAAGGCGCATTGGGCTGTGTCCTTGGCTACGGCGCTCTGCACCGACTTCCCGCTCCATTGACCGAACCTCCCCACGGGCCAGGGGAGACGTTATTCGAAACTGCGCAATTTGATACCGCCAAGAGTAACGATTATACATCGTTTAATCCATCCTCTACAATTGGCGGAGCGCAGCTCCCCTCCCAGCTACAGCCTGGTGGAACTTCGCATCTCCCCGGCTCTGGCGCGACTGTGTCACAAAACGAGTTTATAACCCCCGCCGATATGTCCTTTGGACCAGGGCCGAGTATTGTTTCCCAGAGCGAAGCTTCACCAACCACAACCACAACATCAACGCCTCCACCACCTCGCGCGGGAGCAGCACCGCCAGCTGGAACGGCTCCATCAACTACTGGCCGAAAAGCACGCGCCCATCACCACCATCATCATTATAACGTCCAATCGCCAAGTTCGGCCATGGACGATTATTTCCGCGAAGGAGAAGCAAAAAGCAAAGAACTTGACTATGTCCCGTCCCCGAGACCAGGAAGTACTGGCCCTTCGGCTGTTCCGCCGCCGCCAAAAGCTGGCACTAAGATTCCTCCACCTCCAAAGGGAGCACCAAAAGCGGAGGATGCGACCGATGAGAAGGCGGATGGGGAGGGACAGTAATCTGTAGTGACAAATAAGCATCTGAAGAAAGTAGCATGGATTTTGACAGCGTCGTCGAGGCTAGTCCGCAAGTCTCACACAAGGTAGCATGATTTACAGTAGTCATTATTCTTATTTCCCAACACAGTAATACTAGATGATGAGTGTGGAAGGGAAAGTAGGTTGAAAGTTGATATTTATATATACACATGTATTTCAGGTCGTATCTGGCAGACAGATGAATCAATCAATCCAATCGAGCGCTGAGAGCACCGTATAGATGTGTGAGAAATTGAACCAAAGAAACCGAAAGAGAGCAAACAACAAAAAAAGGTTGCATGAGATATTTTACAACTCATCATGGTCATAACCGCCCTCGCTATCAGCCGAGACCGCAGTCTTGACTGCCTCAGTAGCCTCGCTAACCTTGCTCTTGACAGACTCCTTGACGCCCTCGGACGCCTCCGAGGCAGTCTCAGTAGCCTTCTCCTTCTTCTCGGTGGCGGATTCAGAAGATTCCTCGGTAGCCGCAGGCGCCTGGCGAGCCATGGTCTCAGCGTCGGGCATCACAGTGTCCTCCTCGGCGGCCGGGCTGTATGCGTCGACCTTGTTGTTGCCATTCTCCTTGATGAAGTTCGCCATGTCCTCAACAGTGCGAGAGCCGCTGTATGAAACGGGGCTGTCCTTGGCGCCGGCGGGGAAGAGCTTGATGGTCGGGAAGCCGACAATCTCGTCGGGCACATCGTTGTTGGTAGCGTCGACCTTGGCGACGACGACCTTCTTAGAGTATTCGGCGTTGTTGAAGTACAGGGCTGCAAGCTCTTCGTACTTAGGGGCGAGACTGCAAATGATCCAAATTAGTACTGTGGCACTTGGGGGAAAAGGGTAATGAGAAGGGGGATAAAGGTGAAACGTACGCCTTGCAGTGACCGCACCAGGGAGCGTAAAACTCGAGCAAAACGTCCTTGTCATTGTCGAAGACAATCTCCTCATAGTTGTGGGCGACAACGGTCACGACCGGTCCCTCCTGCTTCTCCGGAATAGGCTCCGACTTGATGCTTGGCTCGACCTTGCCGTCAACAAAGTCCTGAACAAACTTGCCAATGGCCTTCTGGCTGAGCTTCTCCGAGGGGTCGAAGGGGAATTTTTGGTTCTTAACGGTCTCCTGAATGGCGAACGAGGGGAACTTGTCAACGGGCAGGTTAAGGTTGCCAGCGTGGAGACCAAAGGCCTTGGCATCAATGGTTGCGAAGTTGACGGCGCCCTTGTGCTTGATAGCAACAGGCTTCAGCTCCTCAGCGAGCTGAGTACGTTCCTCGGGAGTCTCAGCGAAGATGTAAGCCAAGGGAATGCCGGCCTATATTCGATCAAACAATAAGCATAAGACGTTCATTGCACAATGGGAGGAATAATTCCAGTGAAGATCCTTACAGTCATGTAGCCGGCATAGGTCTCGGGACCGATCTCACCGATCAAAGGAATGGAGGCGGTGTTGGCAAATTGCTCAATGGCGGCCTTTTCGAATTTGCCGTCAAAGACACTCTTGCCCTCATCGAACTGCTTGTAAAGGACTATGCCAGGCTGCTTAACGCCCTCGGCCTTGGCCAAGCTGGCGTCGTTGGTAGCGCCGAAAAGGAAAGCATCACGGTGAGCCTCGGCGACCGCAGAGAAAGACTCGTTAGCGGCCTTGTCCTCGGCATCAAAGTACGCGACCAGCACGACCTTATCCGCAACCTTGAACTCCTCGATATTCTCCTTGGTGACAGTCGTTACGGTTGGGAGGGACTGCTTGATCATGTAAGAGACGATCCTAGGGTTTCTCGTTAGCCGGACATGTCTCCTTGCATGAGGAAGCACTGGGGGCCTACGCCTGAGCTTTCCGCTGTCCGCTGTAAGGCGAAATGTTATCCGGACCGCGGAAGACCTTGACGGTGGGGAAACCCTCGATGCCATATTCCTGGCATAGCTCCGTCTCCTTGGTGCAGTCAACCTTGGCCAAGGGGATGTCCTTCTCCTTGAGCTGGGTCGCGGCTTCCTCGTACTCGGGGGCAAGTGCCTTGCAGTGTCCACTAGCTTCCTGTTAGCACATTTATCCAAAGTCCATCTTCTTTTGCATCATCTGCCGAATTTTCTACATACCACCACGGCTATTACAACCGGGAAAAAAAATCATAGATTAGCAAACGCACGATGGAATAGTCACTGAACAGGACACTGTCATACCGCAAAGACTAGATGACTATGGTCAGTATGTATCTTTGGACGGAGCAAAACTCGGAATACTCACATTCAGCAAGAACGAGATTGTGCTCCTTGATGAAGCTGGGGAAAGTGTCCTTGGTCAAGTCATGGACGTCGGAGGCGACGGCGAGAGCAGCCGCTCCTAGCAGGCCAAGAGCAGCGTTACGGAAACCTCTCATGATGGGAAAATTTCGTTGTTCACAGTAATCCCTTGACAATTACTCGAACTGATTGTTGAAGTAAATGGAAATTTGGTCTCGATGAAATACTTAAGTTGTAACTTAAGCACAAAGTGGGTCAAATGAACAGATAGCGTGCCAGGGGAGCTCTGAGGCAATGTGTCCTCAGCCGTTGGTGTTGGTCCTCAATCGGAGCTCAACTTAGTAACAAACTGCATGTAGACTGCCGGTAACGTTAAGTAAGCCGAGCGGCTAGCGCTTTTGTCCGTCTGTAATCGGGTAAAGCCACTGTCAAGCGGGGTGGGGATAATTAGGTAAAGCTCACTGTGTCTATACCCTTCCAGTTATCGCTCCCCGCACAGTTTCTCGGATGAAAACAACATCATAAGTCCGTAGTTATTAAGAGTTTTGCTATCTTTCTCATACCTTTAGATCGGTCATATAGTCAAGAGCTGGATTTTACGGTGCACTTTACAGATATTTCACGTCCGAAACGCAACCAACTCAAGTAATTTTCACGTCCAGTGGATTCTCTTTTTGGGCATCTAATCTAAACACCGATGGAGGTGGAACGACAGACATGCTGATTACAACCATCCACATTGTCCAACACAGAACGGCTGTAAACTTGCAAAGCATGATATAATTAGAAATATTTTCGGCAATGCGGCGCTGAATAACGAGAGACAGCAGAAATAATTTATATAGACATGATAGTTCGTTTGCATATAATCATCCAACATCCCAAAGGTAAATACACACCACTTGGCGAGCTATGTCCCACCCTGTGTCTCTTCCGCTTCTTCGTCAATCATGACAATGTGGTCACCCGCAACGCCACCATCCGATGCCCTAGACCTGTCAAGATAACCACGTCCCTCAAGTTCTCGAGCTATTGCAGCACCTTCTTTGCGACCACGCTCAACGTCAACGAGCCACATAGCTGGTGCCGGGAGGGCGATGAGGACAGCCAAGAACCAGAAGGCCTTTATTCGTCACCAATAATCAGTCAACAAGTTAATGAGCGATTCAAGCGAGTACGTACCGGCCGAATTTCTCCAGTGGCATCAGTAATAGCTCCTACGATGGTAGGTCCCAGGACACTAGACCCCTTGTCGGTAATAGCATAGAGTGCATAAAAGGAAGCCTCAAACCCTGGAGGGATAAGTTCACCAAAAAGGCTTCGACAATAGGAGGATAATCCTCCCAAAACCAAACCGTAAACAGCCCCCAAAGGATACATCTCCCATGGTTGTTGCAGGCCGAAAACTCCATAACGGCGAATGGCAGGAATAAACCCGAGCAGACCGTATAGGGGTATGAGCTCAAAGAGGCAGATACAGGCGAGAACCGTTTGACTCGGGCTCCAGTTCAGCCATCGTGACAACTTACTCCATGTGAACGCTCCGAGTACTCCAAAGACAGTGACGATTACGTTAATCAAGCCAAGGGCAGCGGCTTTCATGCCCAGCTGGGTCTTAGCAAAAAGCACAGCTGTTCCACTGACTGTTGCGACTGTACGCGCGTGAGACCGCATTTCTTTTAAAAAGGAAGACGGGGGGGAAAGTTAATGAAAAACTTACTTCCATCAGAGAGCAGGAACCAGGCTGCTAAGAAAAGTAAAATGTCCTTCAGCTGCCGAGCATGCATTACTGATCGGCCCAGTGACTTCCACGCATACACAAAATAGCCAAGCCACGTGCGCGCCTTTCCACCAGGAGCTGCAGGTAAAGGAGGACCCGGGCGTGGCCGAAGCCACATGGCTGCCGGGATAGAGAAGATGAGCCACCAAGCCCCAACGACAAAGAGAACGAGGCGGAGAGCGAACGTTGTCGATTCTAAAAGGATTAAAATGACTATTGAAAGAACTTGCACAAGCACGGCGGCGGTGTACCCGATTCCGATGCCATATGCGGAAATGGTCGTGGATAGTCGCAGCTCAGCACTTGTTGCTGCAGCAAAGTCAATTTCTTCTTGGCCCGAATCGCTGGTTTCCGGCAAAAGAGCAGCGCGAGAATCAATTGTTTCGTCATCTTCACCAGGGGCCTCATCAAGCGATGACGTGTTACGCGTATGTTCATACGAGTCAGGGGCCGACTCAATGATTGAGCCTTCTGAGGGAGTATACCGCAGAGAAGAGTGATGACGGACAAGAAGGGGAAGAAAGGAATTCAGCAGCACAAAAGAAGCGCCAAAGCATGTATTGGCAATGATGGCCAGTAGAGCACCAAGTAGAAAGACACCAGGAACAATCGGAAGAAATAGCATGGTCGCAACAGCGCCAGTGAAAGCGAATGAAAGGAGGAGCGTCTTCCGATAGGTGCCATGATCCGCCGCCCCTACATTTAGCCTTAGCTTTGGAGCTCAACCTCCAAATGGAAAATATGCTCACCAGACATGGAAATGATTAATAAAGCCTGGAGCGCAACACTTATGGAGAAGGTATACATGGCGAAACTCGCCGTGTTAATTTCAGTACCCAAAATCGAAACAACACATTGCATAGAATCTCCAGAGGAGGCCCCAGAGGCTGGAAAATCCGGGCTTGTACAAGGCTTGGTACTATCTGAAAGGAGATGCCCACGCTCGCGCGCGAGCTGTTCAAGGGTAATGGGAATAAATGAGCCTGGAAAGGTCATTTTAGTTGAAGTCGCATATTGGTCGAGCATCAATTGCTTCTGTAGCCACGCCAGGTAGCTCGCAAAATACGTCTCCACATACCTACACCACAGACAACGAAGACCTATGAGTGCTCGTTAGTAGGACGTTGAATCGCCGCTTGAGGACATTGCTTGAGATGCTGACCTCAGCAGCCCATCCATAGCTAAACCATCCTGCCAGTTCTTTGGTGCTAGTTGTACGAGTATCTTCTCCCTCATACTCGGGCTCATCACGGGCCCATGCTTGTCCCTCGTCTGGGCCCATACTGGGGTCGCTATACGAGCGCTCGTCGTCGCCTTCGACTGAGGGAGAGGGGGAGACTAATGAAGCCTTGGTGTTGGACCTGATGAAGGGTGGCGGCCTCGGTTGGTGGTCATATCGAGGAACCCAGAAGAGGTGAGCTCGAAGTTTTACACATGCTAGGCACAGAGAGATGGAAAATGGTGATTCTGAGGGTATTATTGAAGGGATATGGGTGTATTGGTGAACAAGTCAACACATAACTTACCATGTCGAGCTACCGCCACTCCCAGCCACACCTTGGGGCTTGCTGCACGGGGGACGGGATATGCGTTGATTGGTCAGTAGGCGGACAAAACTATGACATAAGCAGGAGCTGGTGTTTTAGCCATGACGGTACGATATAACCTCAATAGAAAAGACGATTTTGAAATGGTGGAAAAGGCAGGGGGAGAAGTCACTTGATTCAATATTACTGAATCCCAATGGATAGGACCAGGGCGACTTGCGTTGTGCGATAGGGTCCTTAATATCAGGCTCACCGTCCTCGCTCGACCGCAAATGCCCAAAAGCGGAGAACGAGACCCTTGACCGACCGGGTCATCGCCGGAGGGATTGAACCCAAATCGAGTCATATCGCATGTCCAACCATCATGGCTCCCTGGTACAGACACAAGCACATGCGATACCCATGCAATGTCCCGATAGCCAGCTTCCCGCCGGTCTAATATACCCAGTTTCTGCTAGCCATATTCATTGGTGTTTTTTAGATGCAGGCGTTCCCTATGCAGGGGTAGTCATACTTTGAGCAGCACAGTAGAGTAAATGCACGAGATTGATTGAACATCCTTGAAATTCAATTGAGAATGTTTCAAACGAGCCACATGGTCAGTATTCTGCCTCCATAAGCGTCAGGATATACAGAGTAGGTCAGAAGTATCCCAGTTTTATTAACAATGATGACTGCTAGTTTAACTCTTTTCATACTGCTGGTCGGTCCTACCCTGGTGGCTGGGCTGATTATCGCTGGGTTTTAGATATGGACACAAGCGAATACATGGCTTGGGTGTGTAGATACCAAGATATCTGAAACCCTCCCCTACGTACAGTATGCGCAGGCTTATCTTCTCGGATCTGTCCGACTGCCACAACTAACGAACGTCAACATCGAAGTTTTATACAGATTTTTACGGGGAAGAAAACGTTTGTAGTGTTGAATACGTAGTTAACTAGATAGGAACAATCCAAAATTCAAAGGGTATCAATGGTATATTTGATTGAGCCACTTTTGTCTCTGCTCAAAACAGAGCAGAATGTTCAGTTTCCCCCATAGAGAATGCATATGTTATGTACACTGAAAAACATGTGTACAGACGAAAAGTACCAGTACTTTACTCAGCCAAGGGAGGTCTGAAAATAACGCTAATCAATACCCGCACGCTAGCTGGCCACCGGATCATCCTCTCCGCGCATCTCGTTTCTGGTGCTGCGTCTCTACTATGGCACTAAAAGTTACTGCTGCTGCTGCTGCTACTGCCATCCGGCAAGTCTGAGAAGTCACCAACGACTTACCTTCGTATCCTATCCTGCGCTTTCTCTGTTACCCCAACGTCACCTCAATACTACGATACCCTCTCTTCCGCCCACCTTTTGGCTCCTCTTCAAGGCCTGAAGCGGACGGATTCACCTTCTCATTCCGCTGGCGCTCGCGCCTTTCATATCTGCGCCAACCGAAACTCTTCACGCCCTTGATTCGCGGTGGACACTCTTACCCTCCCCACCAACCTTTTCGCGCGAAGGAGGTGGCCCACTCTCGCTCATTCTCTTGCAGAAACAACGAGAAGGAATTGCGTTGGTGCTGCCGTTTGCTGCACCTGTCAAAGCTTGGCGATTGAGGCTCCATCCACGACTTGTTTGCGATCCTATCTTCTGTGTGCCTCCAACACAGCGAAGGGAGTTGAATGGATGTGATATAAAGGACAGAAGCCTACCAGATTTGTACAAGACAACACGCCATTCAATAATTTAGCAAGGCAGTCGAAACCATACAGTATTCGAAAGCTTGGAAAGCTATTGGGACAAAATTTGGCGTCGCGGAGCGGGAGAAAGCCTGGACTGATTTAGCATTGAGATCTCCGAGTGATGCCAGGTAGGGTTGACGAACACACAGTCAATGGCTCTGGCATCAATACAAATTTGGTTCGATCAAATCATGGGCAAAGGCCGGATATAGGTGTGGCGGAAAACAAAGGCAAAGCGCCCATTGGAGACAGACGAAGGATGGCCGACGGTCTAAAAGGAGCGCCAAATGGCGCAATTCCCAATGGAGACGTTCCGGAGACGACAGGCTTACAGGAAGCACCAGCAGAGATTGAGCACATTACTATGGGCTACCAGCCGCTCTCCAGGCTGGTCTCCCGGCTTGCGCAGGAGACTTTTAATAATCTCGGCGAGGTCGTCAATGCTATGTCGGAGCTGACGGTGTCCAAGCCGGCGGGCCAAATGAGCTCGGCCTACGGAAATCATGTCAATGGAAACGCGAATGTGTCAGCGGCCAATGTGGAGAAGAAGATGCTGTTGATGAGGTTTGCGCAGGCCCGTCGTGATCAGTTCATCAAGACACTTGTCTTGTCGCAGTGGAGCCGGCAGGCCGGCGACGTGAGCAAAGCGATCGACCTCAAAGTCTGGCTGGACCGGCAGAGGGCACTTTATGAGGAAGCGGGAGCATGGATGGGAGAGCTGAAGCGCAATCTGGAGCCGGCAAAGATGCCCAATCCGGATCTTAGAACAGCCCTGGAGGTACTATCAACGGGCAAAGCATCATGGATGCCCGATCTGGGGTACCTACCTCCGGATCCGTTGACGCCGGAGGAAATGCTTAAGACATTACGCAAAATCAACACTTTGTTATCAATACGGTTAAACCTTGAGGAGACGCTCCCACCCCATTTCAAGACGTTCACAGTTGCGGATGGACGAGCCACATTTACCGTGCCTTCAGAATTTGAGGTGGATGTCTCTATTGCCGAGGAGGATTCTTCTTCGCAGTTCTACTTTATTGACTTTCGTTTCCTCTTCAAGCCCTCTCCAACCGAGCTGCCAGACGGCAGAATTCGAGCACAGCTCGAAGGCAAGGCCAATGACGTACTCAAAAATGAGGGCCTTGCCGGACTTTACTTGTTTTTGCACGAATTTGTGTTGACGCACAAGATTGGCGTACTACGACGACAAGCGCTTGAAATGAGCCGAGGCAACTGGACGGAATCAGTACGACTGGAGATTGTTCGAAGAACACTTGTTTTACAGTACTGGACCAATAGACCGGGGGGGAAGAGCTGGATCGAGATTGGTATCAAGAGTGGCCGACTAAAAGAGGGCAAGCTTTTGCCAGGCGAAGAGAGCACATCGTATCTTGATATTCGATGGATGCGAGAGAACAGGGAGGTGAAGGAGATTCCAATCACCTTTGACTCTGCCAATCTTTCTATGGAAGCCATCTTGAACAAGGCTATCGCGCTTCATACCACCTATATTTTATCCTCTATGCACAGTAGGCTAAGCACGTTAGCCCTTTTCGCACAGAAGAGTCTTGCATTGAGCCTATCAACATCTGATACAGAGCCTATGAGCTGCTCGTTGCAGGTGCAACTAACAGCGACCGAGACTGCGACCATTCTGGTGGAACCCACGACGGGTCGATTCGCGCTTAATCCGCCTTCGCTGCTTTTTGGCCGTGCAGAATACGAGCTCAACAGGATTGTAAACCCTGCAGCGGATGCTTTTATGCCCATTGCGAATCTTCGATGTCTCGCGGTAGAACAAGAAGTTGAGACCCGTGCCCGATGTGTGGGATGGAAGATTCTCAAGACGATGAACCTGAAGCAGGAAGAGATGAAACGCATCTTTCCTCGCGATACGCTACGAATATCTTTCTTCAGGAGAGATGGCTGGTTGGAAAACTTTATCTTGGCGGTCAGTATCAGTATGGCGGGAGAGATATGGTGGATAGCCGAGATGTATGCTTATCCCAATGCTTCTCTGTGTTGCTCACAACACCTTACGTGCGTGTTGCTAACTTTTTCATTAGTTATCAAAACGATAGCGGTTACTCCGTTAACAATGCAATTCGAATCCCCATACGATCTGAAACGCCTAATGTGCCTCCCACATCATACAGCTTCCTCTGCCGACTCGAAGGCGTCGCGGCATCCATGATCTCTCATTATGTGAATACGCGAGATTTGGCCCGACGCGGTGTTGCTCATTCTCTGCGACCTCCATCCAATTCTAGCTCTTCCACGTCGTCCTCTGAAAACAGTAGCCTCGCCGGCCAAATACCCACTCTCTTTGTTCAACTGTCTAGCCTGCTTTGCTCTCCCGAATCCTCCCTCAGACCGACCGTACAAACAACATGGGCCAAAGATGTTCTGCGAATATCCTACAGCGGCACTTCGATCGAAGACGGCAAACTCTATTCCACGATCGAAGCGCGCCTCAAGGAGCCTTTACCTGGAGTCGACATCATCAACGATCGTCTCGATGAAGACGTTGTCTTCCATCCCAAAACAGGAGCATTTGCCTTTCAATTAAAGACGCCAGTCGGCACTTCCATTATTGACCCCATTATCACCCGACTCAAGCGTATTGGTCGCTTGACTCGCTTCGTCGACGTGGTCCGCCGCATCAAGCTCAAATGCGAAACCATCAGTCTCTCCCGCATCGTATTCGTGTACAACACTACTCCTCTTCTTCTCAAAGCGGACATTGGCCTCGGCACAGACGGAACTATGTCATTGAACCTCGACAAGGGCAATCCTCATCTTCTCATCAAGGATTTCCTGCTTGCCTTTCTCAACAACGATAATGGCTTAGAACATGTCACGTTACTCTTGAGACTCACTGCGCCGTTGGTCCTTGCCTTGGACAAAATCTCCCGTAATGTCAATGCAATCGTCCTTCCGAGATCTATCGACCATTATCACGTCCGATATTCAAATCCGCCTTGCACAATTTCCATCCGCCTCCGCCAACGCAGAGACGAGAACAAGTGGTTCATATCAGACGCATCGGACCAGAACACGCTTGAATCTCGTAAGCCAGAGTTCAAAGAAGCTCTCAAGGATCTCTTCATGTCGGACGGGCCAGATTGGAAAGGCCTCCGTACAGGCATCGCCACTGGTATGATGGCAGTAGGCGACGTGCTTGACCAGTTGGACAATCTTGTGAGACGATTCCAACAGAACAGTCCTCCTACTGCATCAGATGCAGCAGGTATTAACCAAACCGCTACTGCTGGGAAGGACAAACCCGGCCCGAATGCAAAAGGCTCAAATCCACAGCCCAACAATAAGAAGGACAATGTCGTCGTGCTGGATTAAGAACTCCGTCTCACATTTCTTCCGGCCTTTCGCTCCTCTTTCAATTTCTCTTGTTCTGTCCATATTGTCTACAACTTGATCCGCCTTTTCCTTTTATCCGAAAGGTGTAGGGATGCTTTTTTTTTTTTCAAGTATCAGAGTCTTTGATTCTGGATACAGTCCTTGAATACAGAACCGGAGATTCCCTGACCTAGCTAGACCCAGTCTGTACATCCTAGCTTTTTTATTTTAAAGTATTGGATCGGAGCAGTGAGCGAAGGGGCAACTTTTATTTTTCTATTCCTTGGAGTAGCTGAGCTTGTAGAGAAATTCTTTCTTGAGTAGGGTAGTGTAATGAAGATATCCATCTTTTTTTGTTGATAAGTGTATTGATGAGATTTACTTTGATCGGTCTAATTGAGTTTGCTGAGATGTACCATAAGTGACAAAGGGGCTTTGTTTTCGTGAACTGATCGTTTTTATGTGCCGAGAGACCAAGAGATGAGGCATGAATATACCTTAGGTACTTTGTTCAATAGGTTTCATGCAAGCTAGAACATGTGATGAAGCAATTGCTGTTCTTTTGATAAAAATATGTAGATGTTGTCTTATAATCTACCCTCCGACCAGAATCTCAAAACGAATCAACGCTGTAGTCTACAAAAATTGATTCCATGGTTTATAACTTTATTTGCCCTGCTTGACCCAATTCTCAATCGTTTCCCGCACACCAGCAACCTTCTCGTCGACCTTGCTGACAGCAATGTCGCTGTGAACCTTGGTCATGTACCAGCCCTGCTCAGCGGCGCCACGGATACGGAGATGGTTATCGCGAATGACGGGGAACCTCTCCTCATACCGCCACGCCAGGTCGCTCACATTGCGCATGGTCACGGGAAGCACGAGCCAGCCGGCGCCGATACCGACTGCCAGAGGGACAGTGGCGCGCAGCAGGATGCCCCTGTTTCGCGAAATAATCGATCCAGCCATGGACGCTACCAGCACGTACATGGCGCCGGGCATCAGACGCTCGCCCGTCTCCTTGGCGGGGGCCAACGACGCCACGGTCGAAGTAAAGTCCGATTCGAGGTTCAGGAGAGAAGACATGAAGCCATTGAACTTATCCTCGGCGGCGGATACCTGGTCGTGCAGAAACAATCGCCCTTTGCCGATCTGTGCGGCTAATCGGTCCGTAGGCGTTGGCAGGTTCGAAGACTCGTCTCGCGAGGATGACACAAGAGAGTTCACGAGAGAAGATGCGACCGAGGATATGGACTCGCTGGTGGATGGAGATGATGATGGGAGAGAAGAGAGGTCATTGTCGTAGATGGGCTTCTTGCTAGACTGTTCCGTGATTTCCATTGCGTCAGAGGCAGAGTTGCGGCTTTGATGATTATGTGGGTTGAGAGTGTTGAAGGGCGTTGGTAGGATCAATGTCGTCCAATTGAAAAAAAAAAATATGAAAGGCTTACCTCGCTCTCGGGAGCCTCAGCATAGGCAGTCCTCGTGGGGAAGAGGAGGAACCCGGCTGCAAAGAGACCGGCAGTTGCGGGCGCCAGGGCGCGCTTTTTCAACGGAGAATGAGAGTTAGTAGAGAAACTTTACGGGAGTAATTGTCAAGATGGAATTGGATTGACGAACCTGCCGGAGAACTGGTCGAAAGGCCATGGCGCGGCAACGTGGTGGAGGCAGCCAATTGACGATCCGAAAAACGTCGGGTTGTCGTCGGATCAACGAAGGCTGGAAAGGTGAAGTTGAAGCTATCCGCGATCGGCATAAAGTCTTGTGCACGGGTTATGCATGAGGATTCTAATTATACACACCCATCTCGGCAACGACGTAAGCGGCAGCGCGAGCGATTAACCAAATCTTATCAGATTGAAGAAGATATTATTGCCGATGCCGGGTGCCAGTAACACAATGACGACGACAAGAATCACGACAAGCACGACGAATCGAACATCTATTGTCGTTGTCCTTCACTGGCGGTGATCAGCAGACGGGGCATTAAGGAAAGATGCTCAAACCTGTTACTCGCCAGGCATGGACCTGCTCAAGATGTCTTATTCGGCAACACCAGCAGGGCCGAACCTTGGCCACTGCTGCGACAGCTACTGAAACCTTTTTCAGGGACAATACAACGTCGACACCTCTAGTCTATCATGGCACGCCAGGAGCTGCACGCGATGATGAAGCATTACGACAGATTTTCGACTCGCCCCAGTTCTGGCGCGAATTCTCATCCAAGACCCGTTCAGGCAGCTCGGCAGTCCGCCCTGCAGGACTATTTCAGAACCGTCACCTCAAGAGCCCTGCAGGATTTCAGCAATTTGCCGCAATTACTGTGCGACGCTGCCAGAAGATTGTCACCAAGGTCATCTCCGCGTCGACTGTAGATGAATACAAGGCGGTCGTGCGGGACTTGGACCGCCTCAGCGACTTTCTCTGCCGGGTCATTGACCTGTCCGACTTTGTTCGCAATACACACCCAGACCGGCAGATCCAGGCCGCCGCATCCCAAGCCCATGCGCTCATGTTTGAATACATGAACGTCCTGAACACCACAACAGAGCTGAATGATCAGCTCAAGCGCGCGACAGAAATGCCAGAAGTGTGGGAATCATGGAACGAAGAGGAGAAGCTGGTGGCCAACATTCTATTAAAAGATTTTGCACAGTCTGCAATTGACCTTCCGGCTGAGCACCGCCAGCAGTTTGTCAATCTGTCCAACGAGATTGCGCAACTGGGCCATACCTTTGTGGACACCATGGAGCCGCAGCAACCGTTTCTCTCATTTCCCAGTAGTCGCCTAAAGGGCATGGATCCGGTGCTGGTTCGGCAACTTACAAGATGGGGGACTAGCACTTTGCCCAGCATTGGGCGACCGGCGACCATGGCATTACGGTCAGTGGTGGACGAGAATACGCGTCATGACATTTTCATGGCGAGCCGGACGGCGTCAGGCGAGACGCTGGGACTACTTGAAGAGATGCTCAAGAAGCGCGCAGAACTGGCGAAACTCTCTGGATTTACAAGCTACGCAGAAATGACACTAGGCGACAAAATGGCCAAATCACCAGGTAATTCTCACCCTTTACTTTGTTACTCATTTCTACCCCAGAAGTCTAACTATACTGACATGACTTTTTTCCCAGCCGCGGTGAATAATTTTCTGCAAGCGCTGGCAGCGGACAACCTCCCGCGCGTGCAAAAAGAGCTCTCCGACCTACTCAAACTCAAGCAATCCGACCCATTTGCCGGCCGGACCCCCGACTCACTAAACCCATGGGATCGAGACTTTTACAGCCAGCGCCTGATTGCGCAGTCTCGCGCCAAGCGGCGCAACCCCGACTTTCTCTCCTCCTACTTTTCCCTTGGAACCGTCATGCAGGGAATATCTCGGCTCTTCAACCGGCTCTACGGCGTGCGGCTGGTCCCGCACGAGACGCTTCCCGGAGAAATCTGGAACTCGGACGTGCGGCGACTCGACGTGCTCGATGAAACCGACGGCCACATTGCCGTCGTCTACTGCGACCTGTTTGAGCGCGCAGGCAAGAACCCGCATCCTGCGCATTTCACGCTCCGCTGTTCGCGCCGCATCTCCGATGACGAAACCCACGAAGCGCGACAGCTCTGGAACAACACGCTTGACGCTGACGCCGCCTCCGTCGACGGCATGGCCAGCGCTCGCAACGCCCAAGGCGAACTCTACCAACTTCCCACCATTGCACTCATCTGCGACTTTGCGCGCCACCCATCCTCCTCATCCTCATACTCATCCTCTGGACGACGCGACCCCTCGACAAGCTACAAAGAGCGGCCCCCCGCCCTGCTTACCTTCCGCGAAGTCCAAACGCTTTTCCACGAAATGGGCCACGCCGTGCACTCCATGCTCGGCCGCACCGCGCTCCAGAACGTCTCGGGCACACGCTGCGCCACGGATTTCGCCGAACTCCCCTCTGTCCTCATGGAGCATTTCGCCTCTGATCCAGACGTCCTCGCCCTCTTTGCGCGCCACTGGGAAACCGACTCGCCGTTGCCGTATCACATGGTCAAAGACAAGATCGATCTCGACCACCGACTCGCCGGATCCGAGACCGAGGCGCAGATTATCCTCGCCATGCTCGATCAGGCTTTTCACGGCACCGGTGTAAGCCCTACTGGAAGTGCAAGTGGAAGTGGAAAACAGCTCGACAGCAGCGCAATCTATCACTCCGTGCTCGCCGCGAACGCTACCTTGCCTGACCCGCCCGGCACAAGCTGGCATGGCTTCTACGGCCACTTGTTCAACTACGGCGCCACGTATTATGCGTATCTGTTTGATAGGGCCATTGCAGGCAAGATTTGGAAAGATGTTTTTGGTGGGAGTGATATTGTGGGTGGTAGTACGGGTGCCAACTCCAGTGACAAACGCATGTCCCCCATTAGTCGGACCTCTGGCGAACTCTTCAAGTCCCAGGTCCTCCGCTGGGGCGGCGGCCGCGACGGATGGCAGTGCATCGCTAGTGCCCTTGCCGGTGCCGGTGCCAGTGGTCGTCCAGGTGGAGATGCAATCACGCAAGTAGTAGGAGGAGGTGGTGGTGGTGGTGGTGGTGGTGGTGGTGGAGGAGGAAGAGGAGAAGGACTCGCTCTGGCGCCAGAAAAACTGGCAGAAGGCGGCACTCACGCCATGGCCGAAGTCGGGCGGTGGGGTGTCAGAGATTAGTCTTTGTCCTTTGTCCTTCTCTTTTTATTTTATTCATTTTTTATTTATTTATTTTTTGATTCTCTCCTTGGTCCCATACATCCCATTTCCCCCCCCTTTTCTCTCCTTACTCCTTTCCCTTCTTTCTTTCTCTCCCTCGTCCCATAGGTCCCCATTTTCCCCCCCTCGTGTACCTTTTCCTTGCGCTCCTCTCATCATCCATCTACATTTCTACATTTCTACGTATTTATATATTTATTTATGTATATCTCCCCCGTCGCATGTATATATATACCTTATATACATACATAACTCGATACATTTACATGACGAGATACTTTGAGTGCAGAGTGCATATCAGATCACCCCCGCTGCCCCGATATATATAATTTGCCCCAGTCTGGAACCTGTGAACCTGTGAACCTGTTTCTCGCCTGCAACCTTGTTTCTTACCTCCTGGTAGGCTACTAGGGACCGTAGGACTGGTATAGTTTACCACTCACGAGTCTCGAGACATTTTACACTGTTTACCCATGACCAGCGAACAGCGAACAGCGAACAGCGAGCCTCAAGGACCGAGGACGGAGGACGGAGGACCGATGGCTGAGGATCGACGATCGAGGACCCAGATGAAACCACAGAGTTCATAGTCCAAAGCCTGTAGCCTGTAGCCTGTAGCTCGCAGCTCGCAGCTCGCAGCTCGTAGCCTGTAGGTACGGTGTACCTTATATAACTTTAATAATTTGATAAGATGTATCAAGTTGTAACATGATTATAGACAGGGTAGGGTATATAAGATATATAGGACAAGGCATGCTACATATAATAATCAAGATATATAAGTAAATTGTAAGTTGTAACAAGATGAAAAGTAACAAGTTCTTAAGTTTTAACAAAGTTAATAAACTTGCTACTTAATCCATGTAATATACTACCATGTATAATGTATAAGGTATAAGGTATAAGGTATAAGGTATAAGGCATAAGGTATAAGGTATAAGGTATAAAGTATATAATTCTATAGTCTATATATTTAACTTTTAAGTATATAGTATTATAGTATACTATGTCAAGACTCAAGACTCAAGACTCAAGACAAGATATAAGTACTATATATAATGTACATATATATATAATTCTATAGTCTATACATTTAAAACCATATACATATATATATATATATAATATATATAAAGTATATAGATAAAAGAAGACTAAAACTATAAAAGAAAATAGTAATAATAAAAGAACAATGTAATTATAAAAGAACAATGTAATTATAAAAGAAAACCACGGGGCCTGGCCGCCTGGGCCATGGTCAATGTTATGGCCTACGACGATGAACATGGTATGAGAGTGTAAAGAAGCTTGATTCTTACGTAGCTCCTGACGACGACCTTATATATGGTCGTCGTCGCTTAACATACTAAAGCGCAGAAGTGGAAGGAGCAACATAAAGCGAGCGAGACCGTAACAATTGGCCGCAACGAATAAAAGCCATCGGCCCCGATGGCGCATACATAAGGAAACGAACTGACAGAGTAACAGGCTGGAAAAAGATAGCAGCTAGCAAGCGGGTCAAAGCGAACCGACAGCGCAACGAGATTGGAAAAAGTTAGCGACAGAACGTGGACCATTACCATAGTCATTGATCGATCGATTCAACCGAGGACGATTCTTCATCCGTAGAGACGTTGAAGTCGTCGTCTTCTACCTCGGTATCCTCAATCTCCTCGTCGGGACGTTGTTCGTACGTCAGCCCCTCTGAAAGATAGTTCTCAAAAGTGGCGTTCACAGGTCTGTCGTCATAATCCCCACGCTTGGCACGGGCATGGATGACTGTGATCTTGTCGACCACAGCTACCGCTGCCGAGCGCAGTTGGAGGTCGGAGATTTCCCCCTTCGCAAAAGCAGCCAGTTTCTCCTGGAGGTCGTCGGTTACGTCCACCATTGCGTCCGCGAAATTCACCGTACGTTGGATAGTTTGCTGTCTGGACAATCCCTGGACGTTTGCCCGTAGGGGGTCCCTATACAGCTTTTTGGAACGAACGCTCGCCTGTGCAATTTTGAAACTATAGTCGTCGCTAGTGTCGTAGTAATCCTGAGCATCAGCCCAGAAGGTATCCTTCCGAGTAAGTGCCACGGCGACGAGGTCTCTAGGACAAGTAATGCCGAGATTTTGATCGAACGTAACGTCATCGTAGGAAACATTTCTTATTTCATTTGGGACGATGAGGTGGCCATAGCGGGTGACTGGGAGGGCTTTGATGTCCATTCGTTTATGGTATGGATTGATCTCAACCACCACCACGCGCCGGGGCTTCGTGTTGGTCACGCCAACAGGGATTCCATAGTTCTCGACGACGAATTTTGAGTCCTTTTCGTCGTCCGAGACGTTGAGGTTCATCTCAGGAACCTTAACCTTCGTCGGTGTAACCTGGACTTGTTCGCCCGTTGGTTCAGTTCGAGATTCAACCTGAAGACCATTCTCACGCCGCCACTCGTTGAGCGCGTCTTTGTCCCGTTGAGATGGTTCGCGACCTTTCTTGGTTGCGTCGTTAATACGACGTCGTACGTTATGGATATCCATGCGCGGCATTCTGGCAGTAACGGCGTAGCGACAAGGTGGTAGATGAAGTAAGACGTGAAGAGTCGAGAAGCCGACTGAAGTTGAAAAAGAGATAGGAAGCAACGCGTCTCGAGAACAATAATATAAACAGACTATAAGCGAGTGCCAGTGAATCGGCCACGGTGCGCCGAACAAGTGAATATTTATAAACTCCAAAAGCCCCAGGGTATCGTCGAAACAGCAAAAGCAATCCCGTGGGTATAGTAATAAAACTCCGTCAACATTAACACGATAATATATGGCATAGGCCTTTAATTGCTATGCGATTCCGTTACGCTCCCTAAATTCGCGAAGTAGATCAGGGGCGTTCTCGAGGTTTTCTTCAGGAATCCATTGGTCGTATTCTGGACCGTATCCGACCCATCGAACGAAGTACTGACGTTGTCCTCGAGACATCCGTGAGCGTAGTATCTGACTGACCTCATACTCAGGTTCGCCCTGACCATCGTGGGCCGTCTCCACTGGCCCCGGTTCAGGCATCTCTCTTCCGAAGTCGTCGCTCCCTGGTGCAGGGCATGGCCGTAGGTGGATAGAGGCTATTACCGGGTGGATGCGGATAGTCGAGGGTAGCTCAAGACGGTAGGCCACACCCTTTCCCACCTTTTCGAGAATCCGGAACGGCCCAACCTGCTGGGGTCCCAATTTAGCTTTCTTAACTGACGGGAGTTGGTAATGCTTCAACCGCAACAGTGCCCATCCCGATGAGAAATCGGGTTCTGGGTCACGGTGCCGACGATTGTGCTGACGCGCCATAGCTTTCTTTCCGAGAGCTATCGCGTCGGCAGCGGCGCGTCGTGCTATTTCCCTCATATCCTCCCGGGGAACAGTAGCCGGGGATGCTCCCATCTGCTCGCCAGGGATGTCATAGGCTTGCCTGACCTTCATACCATATAGCAGGTCGTTAGGGGATAACCCATCCAAAGCCGTGCAGTCAGAGTTGTTTATCTGCCCTGCTACGATGGGTAAGGTGTTCGGCCAATTCGATTGCGTAGCATCGACGTGGTAGCGGATCGTAATTTCAATTTCCTGATTCGACCGCTCGTCTTGCCCGTTCGCGCTACCATGATATGCAGTGGTCGTTATGAACCTCGTGCCTGCTCTCGTGAATAGGGCGTTGAAAAACCCATGTATAAAACGTCGATCGCGGTCTGTCATGACCACGCGCGGAATGCCCCATCTCGTAACTACCTGGTCCCAGAAGAGGACTGCCCACGTTCCAGAAGAGTAGTCTTTTCGTCCTGGTATCAACGTTACAGCTTTAGAGAACTTATCGGTAGCCGTAAGGATTGTATCGACTTTGTTGGGCGCGTGGAGGCTATCGGCTTCCGGTAGGTCGGTAATGAAGTCAATCGATAACGTGTGAAACGGTTCTGCCGGGGAGTCTATAGGGCGTAGGGCGGCGTAACTACGCTGACGGCTAGTACGATTTCGTAAGCAGTCCGGGCAATGGTTAACATAATGCTCGACTGTCTTGCGCATTCTGGGCCAGAAGTACTTGTCTGCCAACCGCGCATACGTTCGTCCGTGCCCGTGGTGGGACTGTCGGTCATGGGTCAGCTCGAGGTAGTGTTGCTGTAGGCTTGGTGGGACCACGAGTCTTAGGCGATGGTTGATGGGATCCTCAAAAAATAGTAGATCATCCTTTATGACATATTGGCTTAATGACGTTCGAATCGAATCGTCGGTAGGGTCATTTCGGCCCTGCGAGAGAACAAACTCGCGGACGGTTTTTAGATGCCGGTCGGAGGCTACCCCTTCCCGATGTCGCTGCTTCAGATCATCCTCTACCGTAATAGCGGGGTACGCGTGGTCCGTTGTGAAATCCTTGATTTGCGACAAGGGGCCACCTTTCGAGGCAGTCTCGTTTGCCGGGTCAGGGACGAGCGTTACCTCCCTGGGGTCCCATCTGGACAGGGCGTCGGGTACTGGAATATCACGACCTTTTCGATATACCACCGTCAGGTGGTCCCAGAATGTGTATTCTCATCGTCCTCCAAAACAGACTCCATGGCGATTTGGATGGATGGCTCTAGAGAGAAGCCATCATGTACCCTTTCGACCAAGTCGTTTTCATCATCGTACCCTGCGATCCTCAATAGACGTAACTTCTTGGTAAGGTAATCTGAGGGTTCTCGTCCTGACGACCACGTAAACTTCTCGCGGTCAGCCTCAATGCGAGCAATTCCCCTGCGGGGCATGAATTTGGCGCGGATACGTCGGCACCATTCGACGGCTGATCGGTCCATCACTTCTCTGTCTTCTTTAGATAGACCGTACAACCAGTCACGTGCACGATCATTGGTAAGACATTTTTTAAGTGAGACCAATACCCGTTCCTCGCCGAACGCTCTCACTGCGTCCTGAATGTTGTCGATGAAGGTTTGCGCCGCGTAGGCGTCGGTAGCGGAATTAGGTGCGAATTCACCAATAGATTCAACCTTTAGCTCACGTATCTCACGCGGCGGCCGGCGTTCCATATTATCCATTTGGCGCTGCATGATTTGCATCATCATAGCCATTAGGTGGCTATTGTCCACTGGACCGCCAAAACCCGGTACACCCCCAGTGCTAGGAGGAACGACGGGGGGAACGTTCGGCATCGAGGGCGGTGGAACGTTCGACGCTGCCCCATATCCGGGATGCGGATCCATAGGGTCCTCGGGTACCTGATAGTCAGGCATCGTCACGTCAAGAGGTGACGTTGTTTGCGAAGGTGCCGTTACGAGCAATGGTGCTGTTACCTGTAGCACTCGTAAGGGCGAATCTAGTTGTTGCCGCTCGGTCGACAGAAGCTCCTCGTCAGAAGACGACGACGAGACCTTCTGTACAGGGTCACCCTCGTCACTTTCAGGTAGTTCCGAAAGCAGGGACGTCAATTCTCTGGAGGACAATACCAGAGATTGGTCCGTCGGTGCAGTAGTTAAATCCGTAGACGTAGGAACCAACGAGGTGTTAGAGAGAACCAGTTCCGTAGAGGTACAGGCCAACGACGTGTCGTCCGTTGGATCTGACTCAGGTGTCGGCACACGCTGTAGTCTCCCCTCTATCCTCAATCTCGTCGGACGGTTTGAAATCGAACTGCTCCTGGACTTCCCCCTACGCGAGGATGAAGCCGTTGTGACGCTGCCGGCCAAGCCGACTAGTTGTTCAATGAAGAAATGAAAGTAACGCAGACGAGTATGAGTGATGAGAAGGACAATGGTTCGAACGAAACGATAAGCAACAGATACAGGGCGATGCTATGAAAGGTAATAGTAGGAGTAAGAAGACCAGGGACCTACGACGACGGGTCGCCGTTGGCTGGTATTGCGTGGCTCTCGCTTTGTAGAACAGCGAGAGAAGGCGGCTACAGGAAAACCACGTAGTCTGGAGGATCCAAATGGATCGAAGAAAGTGTCGCTACCAATTGTTATGGCCTACGACGATGAACATGGTATGAGAGTGTAAAGAAGCTTGATTCTTACGTAGCTCCTGACGACGACCTTATATATGGTCGTCGTCGCTTAACATACTAAAGCGCAGAAGTGGAAGGAGCAACATAAAGCGAGCGAGACCGTAACAGTCAAGGACTCAACCATTACAGGTGTATAAGGCTATAAAATAATAAAAATAAAAGAAAGTATTAGAAAAAAGTATAACCTAAAAGCATAAAGAGAAAGCATAAAAAAAAACATAGAATGAAGGTATGAAACAAAAACATATAAAAACAAAAATATGAAAACAAAATATAAAAAAAACATTAAGGAAAAAAAAAAAAAACAAACTATAGTCATTAAAAATACTGTATACAGTATACCATCGCTGCCATTATCGTCATCGTCGTCATCATTGTCGTTGTCATAAAGAGCACAGTAAGCACTACCGTCTACGCTCTACAGCATCGCAGTATCACATACCACAGAGAACTACAGTACTACAGTACTACACCTCCCCAACACTACATTTGAAAATGAATTCTGTAAGTACAATGGGTGCATGCAATCCAACATGAATTTGATGCTGTTCCATAACAAATGATAGTATTCATACTTTTATGTTATACGTTATATGTTATGATGTCTCTCACCCTCTGGGATCCCTCCATACTTGTACGATTGTATGAAATATGCTAATCAGCTAGACTAGAGACGACAAGACTGCTGTCATGCCACGTATCATGCTGCTGTATACTGCAAATGTATACTGATTGTGATGATAAAAATTGGGTAAGAAGGGTAGAAAACGCCAGCCATGATTATTACCAGATTCCTATAAGATTAAATTTACGCTTGATGCTGGGCCATGCGGCGGGACATGCTGTCATCATGTTAGCTCTTGACCTTGTAAAGACAACGATGGTTTGGAAAAAGAAGAAGGATAATAATAATAATAAAAGTGTGACAGAAAGAAGGCCAGTGATGGACTTACAAATCAAAGAAAGCAAATTGGCTTGGGCTGCTGCCGAATTGGTACACGAAGCGGCTGGCGAGGTAGCTACCAAAGATGGCACGGAGATAGTTTTCAGGCACCTAAATGTGCGTTAGCATTCTTCATTTAAAAAACGGAAAGAAAGAAAGAAAGAAAGAAAGAAAGAAAAAAAAGATCGTTACATACCCGCTCAATAATAGTGTCCAGTCCAACCTTCTCAAGGAGCAAATTGGGCAAAGCGTCCCGCAGGACTGACCGGCGCAGGTCTTGCTTGTCCCACAGATCCGTCTTCTGCAGCTCCTCGTCGAGCTTGGTAATTGCCCAACTGAGGTTATCACTGAGGATACTCCGCGGCTGCTTCGTCTCCTTGTGTTCGCGCCAAATGGCCTCAAACTCGAGCATGGCGTTCCGCTTAATCGTCTCCTGCACCTCCGTGACGTATTCCTTGTAGAAGCTCGGCGCAGTGCCGTCTTCCCGAATACACATATTTTCAACGAAGCCAGCCTCGTCAAACGACAATGAAGCGAGAACCTCGAGCGACGACGATGTCACACCACCCTTGTTCGCCGACGCATCCTTGATGAGAATGCATCCGGCCTTTTCTAGGCGCAGCTTGGCATCCTGGGTGATGAACAGATTGGCACCCTCGACAATGTAAGGAATCGTCGTCTTGCCATGCGCAATGAGCTTGCCAACAGTGCTGAGATCAATAGACTCCGGCCGTCCACCGCAAGGAACGAACACGTCGTAACGCATGTCGGTGCGCAAGTGGAAAGTGTTACGGAACGTCATGCCATTGTGCACCTGCTCGCCATTAGGCAGTTTGATGTTGGTCTGTTCAACCAACACGCGGTAGCCTTCACCAGACAGTCTCGAAACGTCAAAGTGCGAAATCATCTTTCGCTCCTTGGCGAGGCGAAGCAGCTCTTCCGGGTCCAGACCCTGAGGATCTACGAGTACACCCGAACCATCGACTATACCAGATTGTCAGAAAACCAATGCCATTTGAAAAATAGACAAACAAATCAACAGGAGATAACGCACCGATAGCAGTGTACTTTTCATTGCCCAAGAGAATCTCATTGGAACCAAGGTCGCCATCAGGGCCACCAGTTTGCAGCTTCCTCACCGTGGACGGATCAATTTCAAGCTTTCGATAGATGCCCTTGACGTATTCCCGAACAGACAGAGTCGTCATTCCATAGGTGTCGTGCGGGATACCACCAAGCTTGGGGCTCTGATGTACAAAGTCAATAAAATTACAAAATCCACAAACACGAAGAAAAAAAGTATCCGTACCTTTCCAGTGAAGAAGGACTTCCACCAAGGTGCACCTCGGCTTCGGGCGTGCTCAGTCGCCCAGTCAACCAAGTCGGCGGTATTCTCGTCCGGACCCATGAAGAGAATCTCTTGCTGACCGTGAAGATCGACAATCGGGTCCTTGATACCAGGACTAGTGGGTGGCAACAGCAGGTCCATAATACTGTCAATGTACTTTTCGAATGATACACGGACCTTGTCCTGATGGTGCACATCCAGGAGAATGACACCCTTGGAGCCGCCCTCGGGAATGTCCTTGTTCTTGCGCTGCTGGGTGTTTGCCAAATTATAGTTTTCGTCAAACAAGGATCGAGCGTTGATCGAGTACGCCTCTCGGTTTCGCGACTTGACAATTCGGATGCCACCGCGGGCAATGTCACGGAAACGCTATCATGGTCAGAAGGGAAAAAACTGAGCGAATTTCGAAACTTACCAAGTGGAAACCACGAAACTCCGAGGAAATGACCAAAAACATGCCGTAGAGCGGCTGAGGGTATTCGGCCTTGGGAAGGAAAGCAGGATTCAAACGGAAGCTCAAAGCAACTTTTGTGGGGGTATAAAAGTTTGTTTTCCTTAAAAAAAAAAAAAAAAAAGCGGGGTCAGCACGGGGGGACACTCACAGCTGCAGACAAGAATATCAACTTACAAAACACTAGCGTTAAAGACACGGAACGCCGTCATCACCATTTCATCGTGCTCGTTAGCCACCGATTTGGAGATCAGGTCCTTGAGCTCCGAATCGTTCAAGACCTTGTCTACCTGCAAACGCAGGTAGCTCAGCGTCGGGAGAAAGTCATCCCTCTCCCCGCGCGTTTGCACATAGTGGGTGTTGGCAAACGCAAGGTACAGAGGCCGCACCAGGTTGGAGTAGCGGCTGATAATTTCAAGAATGTACTCGGCAGTAAAAGTCTCCGTGCGCAGACGACGCTTGATCTTGGCAAGGACTTCAGCGTGGACACTGTTGCCGGTATCAAGCATCGAGGACAAGGAGGTATATTCGGAGCCTAGAATCCGTTAGCAAATGGTATCTGACTGCAATGGAGACACGAGCACATACCAAGACGGTTCAGGAAATGTTGAACAAAGACCCAAACGCAGTGTGCGTAGATGGTCTCCTGCAAGCTCAATTGGCCACTGGCGAAGTGGGCCTGGAATTTGTTCTGCGGAATACAGTACAGCAAAGAAACCTCTTTCATAATCTGGTGGATTGAAGCTTCAATGGGAGGAAACTTGGAAGATGCAGCGGTCACGGGCAGAGGGCGGAGATAGAGGGACATGACAGTCACGCCGTTGGAGAATTGCTCTGGGCCGCAATATTAGTCTTGTCCGATAATCTTCTCACGGAATGCCATTTACATACCAACATATTTTCTCGACGACGTCACTCCATAGTAATGGTACTGGTCTCATTAGCATTTGCTTGGGAAAAGCAAGCCCTAATCTTGCCGGGACGGGAACAATAATAATAAGACGTACCAAGTCACTGAGTGCACTAAAAATACCGTGTGCACTGCTCTGGCGATAGGCCACAACCAGGCGCTTGTCCCGACGACCTTCAATGTCAAACATTTCAATCACTGGGCCGGACCGAGTGACGGCATTTTTGATAATCTCCTCATAGATGGCCTTGGTGTTGGCGGTCGCCTTCTTCAAGAAGGTTTTGTCGCCAATGAGCTCAATGTTGGTTTCTTGCGGTCCCGGATTCGGGTTGACGAACTCGCATTGGTAGACAAAGTAGCAGCGCAACTGGTTCTCCTGCTCGCCCGGCAGCACACCGGCTGAACGAAAGGTCTCGACACGGTAGCTGTTGCCGCCCAACGACGGATCAAGATATTTCTCATCGATGCGCTGTTCGTAGCGGGGTCCATCCATGATGCTGACACCGGGCTTGCTTGTGTCAATGTAGACGGCATGGTCGGTGGCCTCCTTGTCCAGACGAATCTCGAGGCGCTTGTCATCACGAGCATAGGCGGCAATCTTGGCGGCGTAGAGGGACAGAATATGGTTGACAATGTTGTCTACGGTCTCGGTCTCAAAGTACATGTCATCGATGCCAAGTTCTTGGTAGAACCAATTGGTCTCCGACTCCACGAAATCAGGAGGGATGAAGCCCTTTTCCTCGAGCTGGTCCATGACTGGTTGACCGAAAAGGAACCATTCGTTAGTAAGGTGTTCTCTCAATCGAGGCTCAAGTACAAAAAAATATCGTAGTGTCGCACTCACCCTCCTCCATCTGCTTCGCCTTGCCCTCAAATTTGGGAGCCACATATCCGCTGCCCTGCTCGTGCAGAATCCGAGTATGGTTGGTGCCGGGTACGCTCAGATGCGTGGGCTGGGGAGAGGGTTGGCGGCCCGGAGTACGGACGATTTGCTCGACCAGCTTATTGGGGGCCTGGAGCTCTGGGTTGGAAGACATGATGATGGTTGGTTCATTCAGAGGGACGTTCCGTTGTTTCTCCTTGAGAGGTGGTGTGTTTTCTATGTATATATTCTAACACGAAAAGTGCCAAGGCTGCTTGAGTTGAATTGCTCTGGTCAGCGTCGAGTCGGTGAGCAAAGGAAAATTCAGCTCCTAGAACAAAAGAAGGCTCACAATTGTCGATAAGCGCGGCAGGGGCTGGTTGTTTAATTGGGCAATGTGTGCGTGTAGGCTATCAGTACTCTGTATGTGTGCGGGTCTGGGGGGACCGATGCCAAGTGTGGAATGATGCAATGCAGCCTTATCTATTCCCCTGGCACAATCAGCAACTTTGTGCTCAAACCAAACGATCAAATGGTTCAATGAATATATATCATACCTGGTTCAAAAGAGACTTGTTTCCCCCAGAGAAGAGGCTTAAGGCTTCCTTTTATGTTTTCAAAGCTCCCAGTTGGGCACAGAGGGTAAGTTCGAATCGATCAGCGTAATGAGGTGCTTGGCCGGGGGTTGTGCATGGGCCCCAAGGAATGGCTTTGCTGTATGAGTTACCTCTTGATGGGGGACTTTTGTGATAAACTCGGTTGTGCCACCAGGCACCACACTATCACCCATTAGTGAGACCATGGAAGATTCTGATTGGGTACAACGTGACTTTTGGCGGGGAGCAAAGTGGCCGAACCAAAAATCTGTCACGAACCGGCGCAGAACTGTTCGACCACCACGATAACTATCGTGGCTCTCTATTCGTACAGTTGACGAGCATTCAGGAACGATCCACCTGGTGCGAGGTGCTTGATTGAACCAATGTACTTATCGTCATAAACGCGGCATTTTACATGATGTTGATACGTTTTGTGTCCTCGACGTGTTGAAATCGCGGACCAGAAAAGGGCCAAGGAGGAGAGAGGAGGGGTAGATTCTGGAAAGATGCAGGGATGCTACTTACACCTTCTGCTGTAATTGGTCTTCTGCTGTCACCGCCCACGTTTTCCCGCGGGCGTCGCTGAAGAATGTCGCGAATCAGGCACTCTAATCACCCTCCGTTTGTCGCAAATTAATCACAATCAGAATCTTTCCTCCTCTACTCCTTGTACTGCACGGGTCAATATATGTATATAAATAGATGAATAATAGATGAATCCCAGAATGAAAGAGTCCAGGAAATTGAGAGATGCGTTTTCGAAGAGTCAACCTGTCGTGGAATGGACCGGCTTCAAATAGTAAAAACTTCTGGGTTGCATCTAATGAGGAAGGGTGTCAAATGATGTTGTGCCTCTGATCATGACCGTTCCTGATCCAAATACGAAGTCACAATTATCTTCATAATCACAATGAAGACGAAGGAAAAGATGCTGATCTGGCCAGATCGGACAAAGTCAAAAGGTTACAGAACTGGTGTTTGGCGGCTATTGACGGGGGCCGCAGCCCAGGACAGCCATCAGTGGCCGTGCAGCACTGCGGAGTAGAACATTCTTCGTCGCTCGGTAGAATCCCTCTGGCGCCGTTCGACCACTTGTAGCCGGACGAGCGACGAGGCCCGAAGGCGGTCAACCAACCTGCCTACTGCCCGACCGAGGGAGCTGCACTCTGTCGGTCAGGGGACCCGATCACTGCTATCTGTGTTGGAGCCCCTCGCGAGAACTGGGCGGACACTAGAACCCATCCAGAGAGGGACACGGGAAGTCGAGCACTACACGCGACGAATCACTACGAGTATCAAAACTCCTAACCTCCAATTCTACCCGTCTGCCCCACTTGGCCTTGTCACGGCTTCGTAAAGTCTCGTTCCTGGTTTGTGACCGGGATAAGGCAGTGGCCATTTCCCCTCCAACAATAGATGTCCGGTCCGAAAGACCGATAACACCCCAACGTCGACCAGAAGAGAAGCCTGCTCAAGTAGTAGACAAGAGAAAGTTTTCTCCTTGGCATTCGAGCACTGTACAGTGGAATATTTCAAGATGATGATCAAGCAAATTGTCCAGGATATAAATCTAGAGCGTCCTGGAGCAAGTCTCCTCTTCATCAGCGTTGTGTATCAGCTTTGCAGCAAACCCGTTTAGGGTGAGTAAAGGATAGTATTAAGATCCAGGAGCGCAGCGTAATGAAAAGTTCAGCATATCAGCCATAACTGTCCCAAGATGGAGAGATGAAAATAGCATGCATAATGTAAACGTCGACTTTTGTGGCCTTTCTGTACTGCATGGCGGCATCGTTGGACAGACTGTTCAATATGTTAATGCGAGTAGAGGCAAGTGACCCCAAGTAAAAAAGCCTCCCTAAGACACAACCAGTCAGAGAGATTTCAGAAAAGCGCGGGGTGGTTATGCGCTTATAATAATCTCTCTGACGATAATGCTAACTATCTGTTATCCAGCAAAAGGCGGTTCTAAAGTTGTCGCGCGAGTAGCCAAGCACTCTTACCATTATAGAAAGGCGTTCCCAAGAAGAATACTAGAAAGAAATCTTCAAGGTATAGTCGGTGGTAAGATTCAATGAAGAGATGTGAAGCAAGTCCATATAAGATCTCCATCTGAAAAGGTAAATATACCAAAAACAGGAGGCGTCTTCATGTTTTATTTCTACCAGCGCATAGACACCATTGGTAGGCAGCGTTCATATTCAGTCTTGAAAATTTTGCAAACCGCGGGAGATAGCATCGTATTTATCCAACAAAAGTCGGAGAGCAAAAACATTAATGTTTGATGCTTTGAGGTGATTCAGCTTCGGCATGGCGTCGGCGGACTTTGGCATCGGCGAATAAAAAATAATGAAATGTCACGTGACCAACTGAAAATTTGCGAAATACTTCTTGATAATTTTTATGCCCTCGAGTTCGGTCTGCATTCTTTGCAGAAACTTTTGAAAGGCCAAGCACAGTGTATTGCAGTACGGAGGACGTACGCGTCGCGTGAGTTGTTCCTGGATCGCAAATTTCCAGCTTAGTCATCCAGGGCATGACGAAGCGTGTTTACCCAGACCCAAGGGAACAAACTCTCTCTTGGACCCTTGGATGTACGGGCCCTCCCATTGACGAATTGAACGCGAAAGCAAGTAGACGTAACTCGATTGAATAATAATCAGCGCAATTGCGAGCCCGAGAATCTCCGAAATCAAGTTTCTTGAATTTGAATTGAGACGTTTTTCTCTGCCTTGGCGTATCGAGGGTGTGTCCAGCACAGCGGTGTACAGGAAATGAACTGGCCTACTTCCTTTCTTTCAATAATGACTGCAATAATAACATCATCGTCATCATCTCCGTGTCGCCCAGCTGTCAAGCATGTCTGGCATGGCTGCAGGTACCGGACAGCGATTTGCAGCGCCACCAGCAGTAGTGAAATGGGACACGTCACATTGTGGCGGAGGAAGTTGCATGAAACCCCTGAAGCGTGAGGCGTACAAGTGACAGAATCATCCACTGTGCAGTTTTTTTCATTGCCTCACTGAAAGTGGCTATAAGACTGTGTTGGACGGTGCTGTGCTGCGTTGTCGTATTTGTCTGCGCGATGAAGTGATGGGCTGATGGAAAAGGGGCAGCGTCTTTAATTTTCCTTGTCCTTGGTTTGGTGTCTCAGCAGCAGCAAGCAAGTTCAGCCTTGCTTGTCTTGGAACAATTGTCGCTATTCTTGGGTATCGAATCTCGCTCATCGAGACTTGAATCAAAGTGACGCAGTACTGATCAAAAATGCAGTTGAAGAATGCGGTCATTCTACAATCAAGTTTCAGGTTGGGGCATATGTGGGGAAGCGATTTTCTATATGCAGCCGCGTGGTAAGACGGAATATTATTGTGATCGACTCTCATGCCCGCTCAGCCTATGAATTGCAGTGTCTGTGATGGGATGGGCAGCGTATACACACTCTCTCGTAGCATGGCGCTGGGAGCGAAATAGCAATTCTTTATTCGATTGGATTCACCTGGCATTGAAACTGTCAAGTGTTGTTGTCTTTGGCTGGAGGAGCATGCAACAGTAGCGAATCACATCAGTTAGATCCCGTACTTCGTCTTCAAATATAGAAGCGATTGAGCTTCGGCATCCGAACCAGATCAACCATGGCAAGCCCTGCTGCTTATTTGTAGAGCCGTAGTAAGATTAGTCGGCCTATGGTTAGGAAAGCATATCCGGTGTAGGGGGGTGGGAAAGGTGGTCGAGCTGAAGGCATGGAGGCAGTGATCGCTGCGGGGATGCGAGAAATATCCTATCGCCATGCAGGCCAACAGAAATGATGACTGTGGAAGAGGAAATGAGATGGAAGAAACGGGGAACCCTGGGGTTGGCAGCAGCGAAAAGGTAACACGACATACGAGGTCATTTCAGTAGGGACCAGAGAGAAACCCATGTTGGTTGGAGAGCCAAGGTGAGCGGGCATGCTGACCATGTTGATTGATTGTCGCTCCAAAACAGAGGACCAAAATGATCTTACCGATACCGAGACCACCAGTCTCTTTCGCTTGGGGGGCAAGGGTAAAGACTCTCTCCGCAGTTGGATGCTGACCCAGTGTAGTGGTCAATCAATGAATGGATTATCAAAATTGTGCCGAAAGCGAAAAGCACGAGGTTGTATGACTGTCTTGGCGAGGCTCTTGCTCTCTCACACACACACCCCAAGTAAGTCAGAGGAATGTGGCATTGGTAAATCTTTTGTTTGCGCTTTAATTTGTACAGTACAGTAAAGTCGTTGAGCGCGGTCAAGCCAGGCGTAGAAGAAAAGGCAACATCAAGTAAAAAAACATTTGTCTGGGTGTTGATCAACGGCACAGGCCCTTTGAGTGGATACCTAGATGCAGTGATGAAAACCGGTGGACCACGCATAGCGTCGTTGAGGAGACGGGACCGGAAGGGCGGCAAGGCCAGACAAAGGCGTGTGGGTAGTGGGTAAGAGGAAAAGGCTTCCGCGTCGCCACCGTTCCCGCCCGTGCTCGGGTTCTTCCCGCAATTGCACCTCTTACGAACGGCTGTGCTCCCCTCTTTTTGGTCTTCTGGATGCATCTTAGTGTAGATAGTAGGGCATACCTGGGTAGGTGGGCGTGTGCTCGACTGTACATTCCTGGGTGAGGTGGGGACAAGGGGACCCACGATGCAAAAAGCGACGACGATGGGGGTGAGGGGCCTCCTTTGGGGCAACGGAGGGAAGAGAGCGTTCCCACACAAATCTGGGGCAACAAACGGGGGTGGTGGAAAACGGGTGCAGAAGCGAGCAATTCATCCGATAGCGTGGGGTTTCGTATCGGATGCATCTCTCACGACTTTGGTACCTCTGTACGGAGTACAAAGCGTACAATTGCTTTTTGGCTGCTTTTTTTTCTGGATTGGAAAACGAGACGAAAACACAAGATGAACATTCCTCAACAATAATTTGAATGTGATGAAGCGTTTGTAACTGATGTTTTTCTTTGGTCTTGGAACGACGACGACGACGACACGGAGTCATTGCGGAAGAATGGCATAGAACCAGAGTTGCTCTCTGGTTGTTTTCCGTGTGTCTGCGCGTCTGTACTGAGCATTTTAGCTTGATGCACACGCACAACGAAGCAGAAATTGACCGAGGAAGAGCATGTCGTGATTAAGGTATCATATATCAGCAACGGAATAAAGGAAGCGAAAAGGGTTCCCGGCGTCTAGACCAGAAGAGGGACGCGTGTGCAATACAGAGTTAGAGTCAGAGAAAGAGGATGGCAGATGCCGATCACACAGTTTTACTACGTAGTAGGCTTGTAGGTATATCGATGCAGAAACAAGGAAGCAAGTACAAGGAGACAAAGGGCATGATCGAATTCAGTATATTTGACGATGGTAGCTACACTCATTCGAGCCATTCCATCCATGGTAGCGACCGCAGAAAAAAGAAAAGAGAAAAAGAGAAAAAAGAGGCAAAAAGGACCGATGCGTAATGGTTGGCGGCATGTCTCCAAACTTTGTTGATAAATACCGTCCGACAAACCATGGTACGGTTCCGTCTTTCCCTTTTGCCTCTTGCCGTCCCGTACCAATCTGATCTCTTCATGCGACTATCGTTGCTCGTCGTCGTCCTCATCGTCGTCTTTTTCTTTGGGATGGTGGTAGGGATACGCTGCCTCTATCCGCCTCCCGCATCGTCTACTGCCTTACTCCGGAGAAGCTCTGCCGTTTGATCCTCTTGACACTTTACCCGACACAGCTTTAGTGTACGCGTCGCCCCTTGACGGATCTTCATATGATTCGACCCTTTTCTATCTACAGTATAACGCTTGATGTTTTCCCTTGGTTGCTCAATCTTTTTTTTTTATTTTTTTTTCTGATTCTTTTCCCTCTTCTTCGTAATTTTCTTTTCTGTGTTGTCAGTCTCATCCAAAATATTCAGCCTCTCTGCTTCTTATCTGGTACTCGTAGGATGAATGATGAATCTTTTAGATTAAAGACGATGAGACGTTCACGACGCGTAACTGGGGACGACGACAGCCTTGTCGCTCTCTCACACTCTGTCTGTTCGCCTCTAGGAATGTTGACCAAGAAAGTTTAAGGGTTTTCCTTTTTTATCACTTGTACGTGTAAGAAGATGTCTGTGCTCCATGTTAGTATCTCATCCGGCGACGAATTATCCTGCCCCCGAACGCATCCCATTCCTCCTCGTTCTGCTCTCCCTCTCCTCGTCCCATGGTTCGTCGCTCGGTCTCTTTTCATCTCATCCGTGTTTCCCCCCCCATCTTACCATCTTACACCCCTTGTCTTCCCGACCCTCCGATTCGACTTTCCCTCCCTCTCCCTCTTTTCCCCCGTGGTCGGTCCTTTTTGGCGGTGTGAAGTCGCTCGTTTCTTGTCCACCTTTCTCTTGTCTGTCCCCAGGTTTCACCTGCAATGCACAGCATCGTTGAAGCACGACCACCAGTAGTCTGGTTCTGGATTTCAGAGGGATTCCTGGGGCACGACGATCTTGCGCATCCATCCCCCCCCTCCTCCCTCCCCATCCTTTTTTCTTCCCTCCGCCCCATGTGGACCTCTTACAATCGGGCCTATGATGTGGCTTTCGTAAACAGGGTCTGTCCTTCCGTTCCCACCACCTAGACATACGTTTTACTCTTTGCGCTTCTCTCTCTCTTGACTCTCTCTTTCTCTCTCCTGACGCGCGATCCGGCTGGGATGCTTGACAACTTAAGTTGAGCACGTTGCCACTTTCCATCGACCCCCCGTTCGTCCCAGAGAACAAAGAAGAGTTCCTTAGGACAGCAAAACAAGTTGATTCCTTTTTATCTTTATTTTTGACCTTGCTGCCTCTGTGCCCGACCAACTCATTCCTCCAAGAATTCTTTTACTTGGCCATCTATTTAGCCACCTACCTACCTACCTACCTATCTACCTAGGTATCTACCGGTGATTCATCGGTCCTGTTGCAACGGTACACCTTGTGCAAGGTTCTCATTGCTCTCTGCTTATCTCGGAGCTGCCGAACTTGCTCCTCATTTCCACTCACTGGAGCCACGCGGTCAGGCGACTTGCACAAGCTCTCTACTGTATGATCCTCCCCTTGTTCATGTCCCCCCATTACCGTTTCTTGACAGTTTGGACATTCTGGGGAAGACAGCAAAACACCAACTTGGATCTTGTTTTTTTGCTACCCTCGAGGATATTCACATCAAGAAGCTGAGGAGAATACTGGAACGGGATTGGCTGACCTGGAACGCCTCAAGCTATAGCTTCCTACTCTTGCTGCGTGCTTGACATTTTCCCTCCACCTCTTCTCGCTCACCGCCAGCCCACCGCAGCCGCCAAAAGCCACGCTGACAAGGAAGCCTTGGCCTTTCTTGTCTGTCTGTCTGTCTGCCACACGTATTTGGGCACACAGACTTTATTCACATTCGTTTTCACTCGTTTGACTTGTTGCATCTTAACCTTTACTCTCTTTTTTTTTTTTTTTCTTCCAATCCCCACGTCCAACTTGGCCTGGGCCGCACCAGATTGGTCTTTCTCCCCCGCAAAACCTGAGACCCCAAAAAACGCCTCCGACACCTCTCTCTCTCTCTCTCCCTCTCGGGCCTCCACAGTTTCGCACCTTCAACCTCCACCTCCAAAACCTGCGAACTAGACCTGCATCGAAAAACCTCCACACCTCTTTTTCGTCCCATCTCGACTTTTCTGTTGAGCGATCCTTGTGCGACCGTACCCCCTCAAGTCTCTCCGTCGAATATATAACGAGCAGTCCCGATCTGCTCTTCTCTTGTCGACGGCTTGTTCGGACATTCTTTTATTTTCCACGTCTTTCATTCTGTCCCTCTTTTATCTACTCTCTCAAGAGTAAACGATATTGTGTCATTGAACGACATTAAACCATATCAATATGAATTCCCCGCTGCCTTCTCCCCGCCAGCGTCTCTCCATCGGCACCTCCAACACGCTCGGCCAGGACATTTCCTCCATTATGAGCGAGCCTTCGCGCATGAAGCTCCACTACTCTGTGGACGTCACCGGCACTCGGCAGCACCCGCCGCCACCGCCGCCCTCGCCCGTTGATACCACTGCGTCGCGCTGGGCTCCTCCTCCGCCACCGGCAGTCCGACATAACTCTTTCGAGGGGCGATATTAGGCGTCGCAAGTCGGAGACTCGCAACGATTGTGCCTACTTTGCTTTTTGTGCCATTTGTACTGTTCTTTCAAAACAAAAAATATGGGTTCAACCGGCGTTGGTTTTGTTTTCTTGTGCTCCAAAATATGCTCACTTGGCGTCGGTAAGCTTCTCCAATGTTCATCCACACTCCCTCGTCATTCACATTTCCCTGTCATTTACACAGTCATACTTTTACTTGTACGAACATGTCTGGCTAACATTTCATCAAAGTCTAGCGTCAAGCGTTATCGTTACTTTGCTTTGATCAGGAAACAGGAGACATTTTTTCTCAGAAAATGGGGAGCTGGTTTTACTGGTACTGGTGCTGGTGCTGGCACGGTGTTTGTAATGGCTTCTGGTATTTGGTATTTGGTATTCAGTCTTGCTCTATGGTCCTGGGTTTCGGTGTATAGAATCGGATATCATTTTTCTTGTCAGATGTTGTGATACTCGGATTAATCGGGTTATTCACACGTCATGACATGTTATGCTCTTATGGACAGGGATTAGCGGGTTAGGTTAGGATTAGGCTCAGGAGCTTAGGAACTGGTGGCTTTATTTACGGAACAGGACGACACTCATGGTGTGCTTATACTTTTTTTAATTAAGAAATTTAGTTTATTTTACTTCAATCTTACCTTTTTACCTTTATACCATTTTATTCATTTTATTTTATTTATTTCATTTCGACTTTTCTTGGTATGCAATTTCTTTTTCTTTCTTTTTCTTTTTTTCTTTTGGCATTTTTTCGCGAAAACCTTCTACCTGAATCTATATCTTTGAATTTTGTCTCTTGAATCTAAATCTAATTCTCGATGGAAATTGAATCATGGTCCATGGATATGAGCCCGCAGCCCGCAGCCCGAAGCCCGAAGATGCGAATCTAACGAGTTACATGTACTAAACAACGTTACAAACTACTTTACTTACCCATGTTATTGATTCACTGATTGTATAGTGTATACGTAGTGTATACGGTATACGTTATACCATCTTTGATTCTTTGTTTTTCTGTCAAAGTTTTAGTCTTTGACTGTCTGACCGTTTGACCGTTTGCTACAGCCTACAGCCTACAGCCTACAGCCTACATTAATTCAAAAACTTTTTGAGAATCTTGAAAGTTGAATCTGAGCAGCGAGCTTGTTTCATTGAATCATTGACATCATTGACATTATTGTTAATTTGTTATTATGTCGTTACGTGGTAACATGATCATATCTTGTTCTAAAACGTCTAGCTAGTATAGCAATTCTATGCCCTCTGCCCTCTGCTCCCTGGGCACTGCACCCCTAGGTTCCCCCTCCTCGCGCCGGAACGCCCCGAAAAAAAGAGAGTTTCGGCCAGATGATGGCATCATCTTTTCCCTTGGGTAGGAATCCAGGCCTATGATAGTAATGTATTTATGAGGATGAGGCTACATGTAGCTGGGTAATAGCTGGGTAATAGCTGGGGACGTGTCGTCGTTAGTGCTAGAGTTGAGACCAGGCCGAACGCAAAAGAAACATCATCTCGAGATGTGCATTCTAACCAGCAATCAAGTAACTCGACTCGGCGGACAGGAGCGCAGTAGCGGGTTGCGTAGTGGTGCGTCAGGGAATAGTTTTGATAAAACACACAATACACAATACATAACGCACAACGCACAACGCACAACGCACAACACACCAAACGTGCATACCGTATACCGTATGGCGGCGTAGGAGGTCCGAGGTGGTGTATCGAGATTCGAGAATATCAATATCAACATGGGATAATATGCCCATGGCGAGTAGGCATCCTGGGATGTGCTGCATACTAAACGCGAGTCTGCGACACAAGCTGGATTCAGGGAGAAATAATGAATACAGATGTGTAAAGGCGACATTGCGACAAAGCTGGACATACGGACTAGAGCCAATATGAGTACAGATATGTGACGAGAGGAAGTATCCACAGCATGGACGTGTAGGTGCAGCGAGTCGCAAGATTCTTCTGTCGGTCGTTACTGGTCCCTGTCTCTGCCGGAGAAGAATTAATTTGAGTAGGGATACCCTGTGCCGGGGCACCAGAAGACGATGTAGTAGTGCTGTTGGGACATGCGTCGGGACAATGGCCCAGATTGCAAGTAAAGTCGCAGAGATCGAGAAGGGTGCCACCAAAATTATTGCCGGTGCTGCTGCCAGGACACACGTGGTGTTGAGGAGGTTCTTGAGGGTACGCAGGCTGAGGACCCAAGGCAGTGCAGGTGCATGTGCCAACGGGACAGCATCCAAAGCTACAGGCGAAGCTACAGAGGCCCGCATCGTCGTCGAGCCCGAACCCATCGACGCAGACCTGCTGCGATATTGGCAGGGAAGGCTGGACTGGATCATCCATAGTCTTGCCTGAACTATCAGCGCTGACAAACGCATTCCAATTCTCAATGTCGTCGGTGCAGGCGGTGTTGAGAGTGGCACCGCGGACTTCAACCACTATTTCACTGTTTCTCCAGACCCTCACCACGACGTCTCCGAGGTTGTCATTGAATGGGACGCTGCCGTGATATATCCCGACTCCGTCGGCGGGCACGTGTTCCCAGCTGCCACTCTGGACTACGCCTCCAATGGTGACCGTCACGGTCGCGTCTGACGCGAGAAGCGCAGAGTAAAAGATTCGGTCCTGGACAATCTCCGAGGGCGCATACTTGCTCTGTAGCTCGCTTGCCGCATTTCCGGTAGTGTTGCCCGTGGTGCATGAAGAAGCGGGCTGCAGGCGATGCCAGGTGACTAGCCCTTCTTCTGTTATGGAGGCGATGCCGTTCTTATAGGTGTCGATGAGATAAGGGAGGAAGAGCCGCCAGCCATCGTGAGGCATACTGTCGGCATAGTTGTAGGGCGATTTGCCCAGGGCAAAAGTCGTGTACTCGGATGAATGGGTCGGCCCGATGTAGTGTGATTCTCCAAAGTCATTCCAGGAGATGATTTCCACAAAGTCTGGTTGGAAGAACTGCACTTGTTGCCACCGATCATGCCACAAATCGTCGCCACGCCAGAGCCAGTTCTTGTGGTAGCTTGGCATGTTTGTAAAGAACCAGGGCGAGACTGGCATCATGTATGCTTTCTTCTCGAGAAAATAGAGGTATGACGCATCCACCTGCGTATTCATATTGTTTGGACCCTCTGGCCAGGCACCCCAGCTGAAAAGGCCATCAACTGGGCCGGCTTCCACGGCAGCCTTGGCACCGAGAGATGACCACGATGGGACAAAGTAGCAATTAGTTTCCTTCTTGATCTCGATCCAATCCTCAGCGCAGTGAGGGCCTTCAAATGTCGACACAAAAGGCTGCGAACCGACTTTGTAGTATGCCGCGTCCGTCCCGTATTCATTTAGGAGATCAATGACATCTTCCTTGTCCCAGTCGCCATTGCCCGCGTAGTCGAATGAGAAGAATAATTTGAATGCGGCGCCGAGATTATTAGCTGCGCTAAAAGCGTGAGACAGGGAGGTAGTGTTGGCAAAAGTGCCATTGCCGATGTTGAGAGCAAACGCATCAATGTGAGCATCTCGAGCGAGCCGTATATCGGTTTCCCAGTCAGACAAGGAGAAATTTGCTGCATTTCCCACCTATTTTATGACTCTCGTTAGAAGAAAAATCTTTATCAGCACAAAAGTATAAATCACAAGGACATACCATAAAATGTGCAAATACTGCCTTGGCTTGCACCTGGTAGGCGCTTAGCACTAAAGCTAGAATTAAAACCAGCATTATTCCGCCTATAACAATGGATTATACAGTGCCCAGAAGACGCTCCTTTTCAGTCGCAGACCCCCCGTTTGGGTCTGGAATATGATATGAATTTGGTACATGATTTTTCAAACGGAGAAAGGGACGCCATTGTTATAGAAACATAGATCCCCTTCAAGGACCCATAGGCAACTGAGCTGGAATGTATCCACTGATCTCTTCAAAATTACTTCCCAACGATATGGGACTCGGAATTAAATCGGAAACTGAAGCTAGCAGGGCTTGGAGATTGAGCCCCATGGGAGGACCAAGGGTGTCAAGCGCACCGGAGAATAGACGAAGCCTGAACGAGCCATGATGGTCTCGAGGTACAAAGTATCTGCACCAAAATCTTTTCAGAAGGATATTGGATCTCCTGACCTCCTCTTTGTGACTATTCCACGAGGTGAAACGAGAAGCTGGTGAGTGGACCAAACGATTAGGTTAGAAGATGGGTCTCGAATGACGATGGAGCCTGGGAGCTGTTGCCAAGAAATAAGCTCGTCGGGCTAATGCAAGGGGAGCTTGTCTAGTGTCAAGCGCTAAGCGCGGGCGGTGTGGAGCCGCTGGCAATGAACAAGCTCCACCGCCTTCGGGATATTGTCGTCGCTATTCGTTCCCTCGCACGGTCCGACCTCGATCCTGTCCGCTAAATGTCCCGATTCGCTTGGCAACCCCCACTGCAAAGAAGGGTTCTGCCTGTAGAACCATGCATCTGTGCTCATACCATCAAAGGAAATTACCCATGCCCTTTGCGGCACAGCATATCCGCCTAGAGCCTTGGCCAATTCGGCAATGTAATGGAATCGGACAAAAGTTTCCAATGTGAGTAATAATGTGGATACCCGTTTGATTGGAGAGCTGCGAATGTTATGTGATTCTTCTCTGAACGAGGGTCTGTCCACTCTAATTCCCCACTCGGAAGTCGCCTTCGCTCTCATAGACTAGAATTGCAATAGACTGGCGATTTTGACGACCTGTCAGGATTCGGGCCTTTCTTGAAGCAGTATCTGTCCCTGCGCCTTTCGACCACCTCCAAGTTCCACTTGGTCCGGAATTATTCCCCTGCCAGCACCTTAGCATTTGCAATGACAGCAGACACGACTCCGAAAAGCATTCTAATTGGCCTACCTAGCCACAACCGCAGGCGAGTTTACCCGTCTAGGCGCCCAAGAGCGCAACTATCCCTATTGTTTACACTGTCGACACATAGGAAATAAGGGGCCATCACGGAACTCATCCAAGATTGCGAGAAAAATATTGCACGCAGTCCTCCTGGAAAATCCCTCGAACACATGTCTCGCGAATTTCCCAAAAAGCAGGGAATTCATCCAAGGCGACTAAAGGGCGAGAGACCAACTTAGCGATGTGGGCAAATATGAGAGAAATAAAACTCTGGCACAAAAGAGGTTTTATGACGCAACAGCTGTAAGTCGGGAGCCAATACGCATCCGTTCTCTGTTCTCATCGAGCAAATAGAGTACACTATCCGAGGTATTGCATTCAGGGGCAGCTGCCTGTCGCCTAAACGAAAAGGCCTCTAGGAGTCGTCTGATTTCATTTCTAGAGTGGTCGCTAAGCGCTGTGTACTATAGCCTGGCGAGAAGGTTTCTGCAATTGGCGGCTTCGGCGGAAGCTTAGCACGTCAGTTAGCCCCTGACTAGCCGGCCACTAACTTGACCTCTTTTCTAACTTCCTATTCGAGCCCCTCTTCTCCGTCACCACAGCTGGGAATCAAACCCCTCTTTGAATTTGTATGCAGTAGTAAAGTGACTCATAATACCATGCTCTATGTGAAAGAATTTGCTCTATCATCAAGTAGATTGGGCTCTTTTTTGAGCAGCAAGGAAGAAGCACCAACTGTCGGGGATGAATATTGATAATTTCGTTTCGCTTCTCCATCGATAGTAGGGGTATCAAATTATCCATATGTCCGGACAGCCAGGTTGTATAAAAATTCTGGAGCAAATATCAACTAAGACTACAACAGTCCCTCGCTTGTATTCAAGCTCGATTATCTAGTTTAGTTAGCTATATGAAAAGGGAGAATAAGATGCGTTAAGAGACCACAGCATCTTTGAAATGCAAGTCCAAGAGTGACAATCTGACTTGGAATTATTGTATCTGCGTTCCACGAGCAATGCAATGAAAACATACACTCATCCTGAACCGATTTCCCACACGGCATACAACATCCCGAGAAAGGGAATAAGACGACAAAATCCCATCCATTTCCATTAACTATCCACATAACATGTAACCCTTCTATTCCTCACCTCTTCCCCCTTTATTCTTTTCTCCACCTCCTTAGACCTGCAATACACTTCTCCCAATCCGCCTCCTTTGCTGCTCCGCCCGCATCACGGTAAACCTTCCGTCTCATTCCCAAACCGCACCTCCATTTGGCATCACGGCCGCGCTCAAAAGGCTTGCTCTCCTTCATTGCTTGATCCACAGCAGTCTGCTTGACTATCTCATTGAGCCGAGCGTCAAAGAGGAGTTCGTTGATGCTGACCCAGTTGACGTAGCGGAGTTCAGCGAGTGTGTAGTTTGTCGAGGAAAAGTGGATCGGGCTTTGTCCTTGAGGAAGGCCCTGAAGTTGTTGCGAAGCAGCAGTAGTTTTGGGCTCATCAACTTTTGCATCTTCTTCACCTTGTGCAGTTGATCCGTTTTCAGCATCCGCGGAATCGCAGTAGGAGTCGGATTCTGAAGCTGCAGAAGAAGAAGCGCCGTATTGTAGAGATTGAATATCGGTAGTAAATTTGTCATAGATTTCCCTCATTTTGGAATCCTCGAATTTGGCATTAGCAGGAGCATTTGGTGTAGGAAGTACAGATTCAGGTGCGAAGACGGCGCATTCGTTCTCGTCCAGGCTCATGGGAATAAATGGGCTATTAGAAGCGTCGAGAAGCTTGCCAGACAAGACGATTTCGTGAATCTCGGATAATTGAGTGTCGATTGCGGAGATTCTTTCCTGGATAGTCATTGTCTCTTGAGCGCCGGAAGAAGTCTGGTCTGTGACATTTTCTTTTGTGTCGCTCTGCGTCTGAGAAACCTGGGAAACTTGGGGAGACTGGGAAGCGTGCGACTGTGCTTCATTCGCCGATTTTTTATCTTCCCGTCCCAGTTCTCGCTCAATGAGAGCCAACACATTCCCGTCGAGAACAAATACGCCTTTCTCCACTTGTTCCCTAACAAAAGCGACATCGTTGATACGTCGACAGGCTCGAGCGAGGACTTTCCAGTCAAGTTTGTCGAGTTTTGGCTGGGGCGTATTCGATTCATCCAGCCCAGCAGCAACCGCCTGCTTTTCGGCGCGGAGTAGAGCGGCTTCCTCGAGTAAGCCCCATGCGTCTTTGACTGATTCCTCGTCTTGTAATTCTCCAGCCGCAGTGACAAGAGCGCGGTATGTGACGGCAGTGGGTTCGAGCTCAGACGAGTGCAGAGCTCTGATGGCAAGATCGATGAGTTCTTGGCGTTTGAGGTCGCCGCCGATAGAGATGATGCTGTTGAATGTAGCAATGGTCGGGTTGATGCCCATTTGGGCAAAGGTCTCCATTATGGATCCGAGGAGGTCGTAGATGAGGATGTCGATATCCGTAGCGGAATTCTCGGCGTTTTCGGCGGGTACAGCGTCTGCTCCCTCGTCGATAAAATTCATTTCTGTATTCGGAGGCATGAGCGACAGTAGATTCCGAACGATCACGCCGAGATGGACCCCATCAGGGACCCCCCCTGCCCCAGCATATGCGCGAACAGCATTCAGCATGGCGCTGATAATGGATAGTTTCTCTTGGACAGTTGTTTCCAACTCTTCCGCTCGACCAAGCCCTTCAAGCGTGACATTGAGAACATTGGGCTTGAGAACAACACCGGCGCGACAAGCCATAAGGAAGACCTTGTAAGCTTCAGACAAGGGGCGTTCGTAGATGAATAGCTCGAAAATTCGTTGCGGTACTTGGGTCGGGTAGAGGCGCAAGGCTACATCGAGTCCGAGATATGCGCCTTGCCAGTCGCCATGCAAGATACGTGCCGTGAGGATGCCTTGAAGAAGCGACATGCGCGTGCCGCTCATGGCAATGGGTTGAGAGCGGTCAGCCAGTATGGCATCCGGAGCAAGGTGATATTCGCTATAGTCTCCTGGGAAGCGCTTCAACGCGTACTGGTAGAGTTCCTCTAGTACTTCCAGCGGCACACCTTGGTAGGCCAGCAACTCAATAGCCGCACCGTACGTACGCGCATCGGCGCAACTCTCATCTTGTTGAAGAAGCCATTTCCAAAAATCTAAACCTTGATCGAATTGCTGCGAGTCCTTATAGTATGAGATAATGTGCAAACTGGCAATGGGATCATGTGGGAGTCGTTCCTGTTTCAGGTCCTCGACAATAGTTTCAATTTGTGCCGCAAGCGCCTCCTTTTGCTCTTTGCTAAGGTTTCTTGTGGAACGGTAAGTGTTGTGCACGAGCCGCGCGAGCTCGCGAGTGTCCTTTCCTTCGAGGAGCTTCGTCTTAATGGCGTGTGGATAGAGTACCATCGCAGGCTGAAGCGAAAACGATTGTAATTCTGCTCGAAAATCAAGAACCTGCCGCAAGAATGCATGTCAGTGCCATCGTCGAATACACTTAGGGGACCGTCTTGAGCCATTTCTTAAAAACCATACCGTTTCAAGCTGGCCCTGCAGCTTATTTTCCTGTGCCAATTCACTCTCTAACAATTTTGACCTCGACTTTCTCCTCTTCGACTTTGACGCCATGCATCTTCGTGTTGAGGGTGACAAGGCAACCAACCCCCAAGCTCCGTGCACAGGACCATTAGATCTCAGAGGTAGGAGAAACGGTGCGGACGGGCAAACTGCGCTGCGCAGCAAGCGTTGCGCAAATGGGCGAGACATGGTAAAGAAGATCTCAGGCTAGCATGCGCATAATATCGTATATTCAAATCCGCAGTCAAGTCACAACTCCTTCCATGCAGGCTGCAATATGAATTCTATAGTGGCTTGTCAACAACTCGCATCTCAAAAGTTTCCCAAGCGTTGCAGAATACCGTCGGAGAGCCGGAGAGTCGGAGATATTACGTAAGCAGGGGACCTTGCCTTGCGGGCCAAGTAAACGTTAAACTGACAGCTTGACAGTCACAACATCTCAATAAGTCCTTGTAATCACGTTCAGTCAATTCCAGAGTTTCCAATTTCATTCCTCTGGGTATCTTGAGACGTCAATTTAGCTCAACAAAGGTCCTGCAAAAGAGCGCCAACTCTCCTCCCAAGCTGACCTGAGTAACGTCCATTCGACCAAGTTGCAACCACCATGGCACCCAACATGTCCCTATTCGCGGTCAACGCGATCTTGATCCTCTCGCCGGACGACAATTCTCGTATCCTAGCCAAGTACTACTCCGCGCCTCACCCGCCAGCCGGCGCTGCCCCACACGCGACCAACTACCCTGGCGCAAACCCGTACCCGCAGCTCAAGGACCAAAAGGCGTTTGAGAAGGGCCTGCTGGAAAAGACGGCCAAGCACACGAGCGACGTGATACTGTACGACAACCGGGTAGTCGTTTTCAAGAGCGAGGGCGATGTCATGTTCTACGTTGTTGGTGGAGCCGACGAGAACGAGATATTACTGTACAATGTGGTCGTCGCGCTGCGAGACTCGCTGAACATTCTCCTAAAGTATGTAATCCTCCTTTGTTCCAGCTTTCTACAGCAGTTCCATTTCTTGTAATTCCTCTTTGAGAGCTATAATCTTTGTCAAAATGCCCCCAATGTTCTGACGTGTGACTCTGCCACAGAGCATCAATCGACAAGCGCACCATTATCGAAAACTACGACCTCGTCGCCCTCGCCATTGACGAGCTCGTTGACGACGGGATCATTCTTGAGACGGATCCCCTGGTCGTTGCCTCCCGTGTCAGCAAGCCCCCTGCTCAGGACATCAACGTCAAGGGCATCGATCTGTCTGAACAAGGGTTGATGAATGCTTGGGAATTCGGAAAGATGAAGTTGAGCGAGAGACTGCGGCAGGGTCTGTAAAAGACTGCGCAACTGGGTCATTATCATGCGTCATTCTTCAATCCATCTTCTGTCGGGTATGACATTAAGATACATTTGTACACCATTGTCATTTGTTGACTGGATTGCCGTCAGTTGAATTATCCTTTCCTATTTCAATTCCCGTCTTGATAGAGTACTTTGGCGTTTTGGGAGCAACAGAAACTCTTTGTGGGTGTTTTTTTTTTTTCTGATCCATGACATTCATGTCTTTAAAAATATATTTACTTGATTCCATTTCGCATTTGTTGGTTCAAATTCTGGTCTCATTGGCGACCGCGGAGATTGTATTGTACCAGAGACTCATGTCAAAGCCCGATGTGACACGTACAAGTGCAAGATCGTTCTGGGAAATATTCCTTCCAGGCCCGGGGTTTTATTCTATATTCCTGTAATATGTATAGTGCGATCGAAGAATGATTTCTTATCATACTGTACAAGGATATATACACACAAATGCTTCCTAACCTTTCCAATGTATTTACATAACAGACACCATACATGGGAACCCAGTGATGGCTACAGATCTACCGCTTCTTACCGCCTTTACCACCTTTACCCTTACCTCCACCGCCGCCTCCTTTTCCTCCCTTGCCTTTATCACCGCCGCCGCCAGCGCTTCCACCGGCCATCATCACTCTTACTTGTCTGACTGGCAAGGTGTTCACAACCTCTGTATCTTTCCACGCCTTGATCAACTCCAGCTCTCTGGGCCAAATCTTCTCCTTATCTTCTGATTTGTCATCGACATTCTTTCTGTCGGCGCCATCAGCGGCCCATTTGAAGAGAATTTCTTTGACTGCTTTGCCCTTCTTTGTGCTTCCAGGCTGGAGTTTGGCGCGATACTTGTATTTTGCGAGTGCGGTCCAGGGCGCGCAAATAGGGATTGCTTCAATGATTTCGTCTCCGGCAAGTGGGGTGCCGACAAAAGCATCGAGGTCGCGCATTTGGGCAGCTTCCTCTTCGTCAAGGGTCTCGATGGTGGTTCCTTCTTCTTGCATCATGATCTGGCGCATTTCTTCATGTTCGCGCGCCTTTTGCTGCTGGCGAGTGTGCTGCTCCCGGCGGCGCTGCAGCTGGAATGCGAGTTCTTCCTCTTTAGCCTTTTTCTGGCGCGCTGCTTCTTCAGCTTTGGATTTGGCAGAGGCAGAGCCGAGAAGTTTCAAGGCCAATTCGCGGTCTTCCTCATCTTGATCGGCGTACTTGGCAGCAATCTTCTTCTTTTTCCCGCGCTTACCCCGGACTTGAGGAGCGGATTTCGGTTTCGAAGTTGGTGTGCTGATTCCGCTGTCGCCATCAAAGTCTTCCGTATCGGAGAGCTGGCCCTTGCGAGCGAGGCGCCGCTCGCGAGCCGAAAGATCGCGCAAGTTGTTTCCTCCTGATGGTTTCTCAGTTGGCTGGGTTGCTGCATCTGATTCATCTTCCTCTTCGTCTGAATCTCCGTCATCTTGTGGCAGCTCGGAAGGAATCTGCTTCTTCGGTCCATCTTCCGTTTGCCCCTTGGATGACTCAGATCGGGAAAGGTCTTGACCAGCTTGAGGTTCACTTTGCAATGGGTTTGGGTGACTGGATTGTGCATCATCATTGTCGACATCTGACTCGAGTTTTGCATCCGGAAAATCTTCATCTTCACTGTCAGTAGTAGCAGCTGCGGCACCCTCCTCTGGAGCAGGAGTCGCAGACACGCTGCCATCTGCATCATCTGTCACCTTGAGATCAGCAATTGCGTTGCTGGCCCTGTCAGCCACTATGCTATCCTCATCTCGCAGCCTATGCTTGACGTGACGGGCCTTGCTCTCTTCGCTGATCTGGAACATGACCGCAAAGCCGAGGAGCAGCTGAGCAGGAGGTAGGAAATTCTTCTTTCCACGGATCATGAACGATCCAGTGCCAAGATATTCGCCAGTAGGCGCAGACTTTGAGACTTGATCATAGTTGACCCACCAGGCAGACATGACTGCTTTAGAATCCCAAGCAACTGAAGTCGCAACGGAGAGATTTCCGGCCTGTGAGAGAGTCGATGGAGGGATAGGTGCATCCGGAGTTGAGGGGTTGTTCTTGACAATGACGGATGCGGCGCCTTGTAATTCGGCGTGAACATAGATGTCGCCCTTTTTAAGATATCTTCGATACAACATTTCGTTTTGCTGTGCATCCTTGCCGCTATGAAATGCCAGTTAGCACGCTAAGAAAGCCAACATGATTACACATGTGACATGCGGTGGGCTTGTACTTACCCTAAGATGAGGTATCCATCGGAAGAAATAAAGAACAAAAACTTTTCAAACCAGAGCTGCTTACGGACCGGCCGTAGAACTTGCTTCTCCTGCTGCAATCCCTTCTTCAAATCAGCCGCAACCTTCTTCTCTGTGCTCTTGAGCGCCTTCGTAGATGCCTGCATTGTCTTCTGCTCTTTGACCGCCGCTCCCTTCTTCTGGTCGTAGTAGATACGAGCGTTCGACCAGGGAGACAGACCAAGGTCAAGGTCAACAGCCAACCGCTTGTCCTCGGGTTTGGCCTTGGGTTTTCCGGATGTTATTTCCTCTTCTTCAGAATCCGAGAGTTCACTATCGGTCTCATCTTCTTCGATGTCCACGTCTTCCAAATCCATTTCGCCGAGGAGCAGAGTCGCAGTGTTCTCATGCAGCTTCAGAGGCAGCTTTATTATTTCTGCTACAGGATTATTCCGCCTTTGTTCCATCTCAACCAGCCGGTTAATCTCCACCCAATCCATGCCCTGGGCGATAAGGCTGTTAACAGCTGCACATGCCTCCTCTACTCGCTCCAGATTCGCTTCGATAGCCTGTGCCTTTCTGATGTTGAGCTCTTGGACCTGCTGTAGACCTTCCAATCGTTTCCTCTGTTCCTCACGAGCAGAATCAAGCTTTCTTTCGGCGTGCAGCTCTCGCTCCTGCAATCTTGTCTCGAGCTTTTGAGACTCAATAGACGAGAAATATGCGTCGACGGTTTTGTTGAATCCTTCAAATTCCAAAATTTGTGCGGCATCCTCGCTTACAAATTGACGTGGTCGGAAAGGATGAAAGTCTTCGTAGAGCAAATTGTGCGATTCGTCTTTTGCCTCGGAGGCGGCTCCCTTCTCGGGGTCTTCCTTTGAAGATTTTGCTCTTGGTTTCGCCAGAATATAGCCCTTTACAACTTCCGAGCTAGTTATCTCTTTGACCGTCTTATCCGCTTCCTCCAGCACGAGCATGAGTTTCTCAAATAGAGCATCGTGCTGTAAAACTTCTTCGGGGCGAATTTTGGGGTCAAAGTCCACCACCTTCAGAGCATGCTCGATGAGCATCGGAGGGAACTCGGTAATGGATGTGGCTAAAGCTTTTCGTAAAACATCGCCAGACTTCTTGTTCTTTTTTTGCTTAGACTCAGCTTGCTCCTTGTTAACAGCAGCCTGCAGAGCTTCTCGCACACGCTCTTTTGTCAAGGGCGGCACGCCATTGAAATTTTGTCGGTAAGACAGATTGTACTTGAGTCCGATTCTGATCTCCTCCTGATCGGCTCCAGCGCCGACAATGCGAAGGACGGAGATGATGTTGAGCTCCGCATCGGTAAGTATTATGTTACCACCAGCATAAAATTCGAGGAATAGCCGATATTGTCCGTCACTAAATTGGATCTCGATAACACGATCGGTTCCAATCTGTGCCACAGAGGTAACTCTTCTCGTACGAAGAAATTTCCGCAGCCGCGTGACAAAGGCCGACGGTGCCGCTGCTGTGGTTCTCGAGAAGTTTGTTAGGTGACATCGGAAACCGGAGTCAATTACCAGCTGCTGTCGGTGGTCGGGCTTTGCAAACTTGAGGAGAAAGATCCTCGAAGAAAGGTCATATATGTTGGATAATCGAAGAGAGCATAAGCTGCTCGACAGCTCATGGGCAATTATCTAAGGCGCATCAGCATCAGCGAAGCATGGCGATGAGTCAAACCAGAGCCCCGCGGAGAGAACAGGGTGCACCTTGAAAACTCACCTTGACATCGAGAGAAGAAAACCTCTGCTTCATAATGAATGAAAGGGCCCACTGGCTGAAAGTAGTGATTTAGTCTGCACTCGTTGTAAGAGAGGTGGGAGCAAATAGGTATAAAGTGACAATTTACAAAGTTCCGACCCTTGGGATCAGCGAGAATGACGTCGCTGACAGAGGTGGGAAAGAGAATAACTAAGTTAGTCGCCATGTCAAAGTTTAGGTAAACATTAGTGGGGACAGTGGTGAATGATATAACTGAACGATTAAGATACCCCCACCAAGTTTGTGCTCGGCTGTTGAGCCCGAAAGGCGCTACACCAAAGCCTCATCCGTAGGATCAAAGCGTGACCATTATGGAAGGTTTCAATGGCAAGTCTACGATCAGCAATTTCATAGCAATGGGAGCATGAAGATTAAGTAACATATCCCACAAGTTTCACGCCCTATGTTATTTTATATCGATCCTCTTCGAAATTTTGTTTATATGTAAAGTATCGAACTCTCTACGCTATGCTTTGCTGTCTCGCTTCCACAACGCCACAGTGTGGCGTACAGTTTGTCTCCGAAAGCGGCTTTTGGCGACAAATTCGTCGGTATTTCAAACCGCTTCGCCGAGGGGGAAGAGGGACCCGATGGCTCACTGTTCGGGCCCCACCCTTAAGCATACAACGTGTATGTTTTCCGAGATAGTCGCATGGTTTACAAGAGATCTCCCATAATTGAATAACCCAGAAGTCAGAAAAATAGAAGACGCAATATGGATACCGCAATTGATCTCTCAAACGCCTCCAAAGCACTGGATCTCGCAAATATTCGTTTCCAGTTGATGTGAGTCACACACTTATAGAAAAGCTCCTCTCACTACCTCAGGCTGACTCTGTGCTATCTGTCAGTCGATTGGAAGACACTATTACCTTCCACCTCATTGAGCGTGTACAATTCCCTTTCAATGGCACCATTTACGTCCCCGGCGGCGTGAAGATCCCAAACAGCGACCTCAGTCTCTTCGACTGGACTCTGCGCGAACAAGAGCGGCTACAATCACTCCTTCGCCGCTACCAGTCTCCAGACGAGTATCCGTTCTTTCCAGATGCTCTTCAGGAACCAATCTTGCAACCGCTCGACTATCCTCGGATTCTGCATCCCAATGACGTCAACGTCAACGACAAGTTAAAGAAGAGCTATATACAGCATATCCTCCCGGCTGCGTGCAGTACATATGGACGGGAAGATCGCGGCGAAGCGCAGGAGAACTATGGCTCTTCGGCAACAGCCGACGTGCAATGCGTCCAGGCCCTCTCGAGACGGATACACTTTGGAAAATTCGTTGCTGAGGCTAAGTTCCAGAAGGAAACGGAGAGATTCGTAAAGATGATCAAGGACGAAGATCGACAAGGCATCGCTGCGGCTATCACAGATCTCAAGGTCGAGGAGAAGGTTCTAGAGAGATTACGGCTCAAGGCTGTCACTTACGGCACAGATCCCAGTGTTGGAATTGATGCTTCAACCAAGATTAATGCGGATGCTGTAGTCGCAATGTACAAGGTAAGGCAACACCCTCTCGTCAATTCGAAACGTCACTTTGAGTATGTCCAGCTAATAGAGAAAAACAGGACTGGGTCATTCCATTGACCAAAGAAGTCGAGGTAGAATACCTTATGCAGCGCCTACGCGGAACGCAATGGGAGTAATAAATCCTGTTGAATTCGACCTCGCAAACAATCAGTCATCTTCCGTTTCTTCGAACTGCGGTGCTCGGACAAACACCGCATATCAATGAATGACATACCTATATACATCCGTTATATACCAGCGACGACCCTAACATTCTCACAGCATTAAAATCCTCCAAATCTCAAACTTTACCTCCTATCCCAACAACCAAACCCTGGTCTTGCATACTTATACTACTACCTATATATAAAACAAATACCCAAAATTCCTTTCTATCCATTTTTTTTTTTTCACATCCTCATCTTTCTCATCTCTTCCAGACTCCAATACTTTCTCATATTCTCTGCCCCTAGTTCCTTGACTTCGTCGTCCATATGCTGCCACAAGACCTTTCCAAACCCATCCATGACTTCTTTCAACTCATCCAGCCTCAGATCCGTCTCTCCGGAACGGCATTTCTGCAGATACGCCTGCAGGCTTTCCAGACCTCTATGGATCTCTCTGTGCTGCGAAACAAGCTCAAGCTCTCGTTTAAAAGCCGGCATGCGCGCGGCCAGACGCGGAAACACGTGCGCTTCTTCAATGCCGTGATGCATTTCGAGCATCTCGCATAGATCGATCCCCATGCTGATGAATGCCCGGATCGAAAATCCAGCTGGTCGCCGGCCGGCTTCACACGCGCGGTACAGCGTGTTCCATGTTTGGCGGAAATGATTGTGCTGTGGGTTCAAGTGCAGTTAGTTTATAGATATATATTAGATCAAGACAATTCCTATACATTGTGTATAGTAGAGTATAATAGATCCATTTGTATCTTTATCAAAAGCTGCACGCCCAAAAGAGCGATTGTATGCGCTTTTTCAGATATACAAATTCCTCAATCATTCGAGGGTGTCATGTCTGATCATTCGAAGAGTAAAAAGACTGGTGTACTTACAAACATGTCCATGTGCTCTGCCATGCGGTTATACTCCCGAAATTCTTTCGCCGAGAGCTTTGGCAACGCATCAGTCTGCGCTGTTGTAGTTGTAGCTGTTGTTGCTGTTGTTGTTTCTGAAGAACTGCCAGCGACCCCGCCAGGCCCAGTGGCATCGCTCGTCTCGCGCTTCATGCTATTCTCGCAACATCTTTCTTCCTCGGCCATCTTGTCGGTTTGATGCGTTTGATAGAACTGACTCGGTCGATACGGTCGATATGTTCGACACGTCTGATACCTTTGGTACGCTTGACGAAGACGATGATTGTAAGTTTGCGACGCACCCGTTGATCGAGGCCGTGCACGCTGTGAAATCTGTGCAATCTGTGCAACACACGGGACCTGCAAGACCCGTGATATCCCAATCCGCATCAACAACTCCGTCTCACTTTTGTCTTTTTCCCGTCCCTGTTCCCTTATCTGTTCCCGTTATCTTTTCTCTTTCTGTTCCTATTTTCTTTTCTCTTTCTTTTTCTGTTCCCGTTCCCTTTCTGTTTTTCTATTCCTTTTTCCGTTTGTTCTCTGGTTTTTCTCTTTCCGTTCCCCTTTCTGTTTCCGTTATCGTTCCCGTTTCTCTTTCAGTGCCGTCCTCTCGCTGTCCGATTTCTATTAGACGCAACTTCACATACACAAAAGGTTTATCTTTCAAAGCCAAAGTCCAAAGTCGTAAAGCAAGTCTGTTTGTGGAAGCGCAAAAAAAATCAAATCAAATCAAATATCCAAAAGGGCTCGAGTCGCGGGGCAGCTCAGACACTATATAATCCTGCACGCATCAGGCATCAAATCAAACTTCAGAAACAAACAAGCCGATCGGAGGGGGAAAAAAAAAGACTAATGCTTAGCTACGAATTACGGAGGACAGAGGACGTCCAAGGGTTTTATTACGGTGCAATGTCCAATTATATCTTACTGCATATACACGGTAGCCCCGAATCAGGTGGAAGTCAGGAAGAAGTGTGGGTTGATGGTCTGGACCCAGAGGGACGAGGGAGGCGAACCGCAAACCGCAAACCGCAAGTCGGGTTCGAGGGCCGGCAGTTATTATCGCACCCTGGTACGGCCTGCGACTCGCCTTCGCTATAACAACGCAGTAACTACGTAGTAGAAATCTAATTGCCCCAAGCTCATGACTTAACCGTTAGTACCAGAGTAGCGAAGCAAATGGGGGATCAATAAGCGCTTGGTAATGATAATATAAGCCGTTAAGCGCAGAGACTTAGTAATGCGTATTAATTATTTAGTTATTCGTTCTACGGTAGTACCATAGCTCCACTAAACAACATGCAATCATGGAAGGCATTTGATCATGCGCAAGACAGAAAAATTGGAAACAAGCAAATCAACGTTAGCGGAAGTTCAATGAAGTAGAAGGGAAAGTTTCAAATTTAAAATAGACGATGTCATTTTACTTCACTATCTATGGCATTGAAACTCTTTCACAAGAAGAAAAAGGAGAAGACTACCTAAATGCGACTCCGTCCACGACCAAACACTGTTTGACGAAAGCGTTGACGAAAACCTACAATACTTCACCAAGGTAAACAGAAATGCAACTGCGCAGTAAAAAAAGAGAACTCATACAGTGGTACGGAGGAGGGAAAAGTACAAAGGACAGAAAAAGAAACGACACCTATTCTGATAGAAAAAAGGTGCGCCGAACCGGAGTCGCCAATGCCGGAAAGGAAACCAATAAGAAAACGGAGAAAAGAAAGATGCAGAAAGAAAAAAGAAAATGAACCGCATCCCATCAAGATCCATGATATTCGCCCCAAACACCCGTGAAGCCTCAAAGTTTCCCGTGTTCCCCAGACATGTCAGCATGCCGTAAACCAATGACACTTTCCAACTAAATCAAACATGAGCCCCAGGAATCAAGCAGTAGCGGTTGCGCGCTCAGTCTCTGCAATTTCTCCGCCAGCTTCCATCTCGGCCCAGTCGCCCCAAAGACCACGCTTGGCGCGCACTCGAATGGGTCCACCGAGGCTCTTCTCGGTCTGTTCAACCTTGATGGCATCCTTGGTTGCAAGGACCAGCGTCTCGAAAAACATCTTCGTGGCGTCGGCCTTGGTGGCGTTGCGCTCCGGGAGAAGGTCCTGGAAAAGTACGCTCTTCTTTCCGTGATGGGAAGGACCTTCGGTCTCAGAGGCATCGAGATGTTCCCGAAGCAAGTGTACAGCGTGCTTGGTGCCGAGAGAGACGGGGCCACTATCCGCTGGGTGAACCAAAGGCGCAGTGGTGTCATCAAAAACATCAGGTGGAGGGGAATGCTCGTCTTCATCGGACCGTGGCGGTGCCATTCCCATGTCCTCGTCATCCAATGGCGCGCGAATATCCTCCTCGGCAGCGGGAATGTTGATAACCTCGGGTTCTCCGCCAAGGGTGGTATTGCCTTCAAATGGTGCGGAAATGGCAAAATCAGGCTCCTCCTCGGGAATTTCGAGCTGCAGCTCTTTCTCGGCGGAGAGACCTTCCTCCGGCCGGGCACTGGCAGCACCAGCATCACGCTTCCGCTTCAGATCGCCAGACTGCCGAACAACTTCCAGAGAAAGGATCCCTCGGAGTTCTGGTGCCCATCCCTTGCCTCGTCCCTCACCGAGAATGTTGGATACGAAGCCGCCGTTCCGTTGCATAGACATGAGGGTCAGAAGCATCGGGTCTCGGGGCAGGAAGGAGGCCGGTTTCAGAATTTTGGACCGGTCATCTTGAAGCTGCTTGATTTGGCTGGCATGCAGAATGGTGTCAGCATCCGGTGCCATGACTTTTCGCTTCTTGGCCCGATGCGCGTGATGGGCGGATACTTCATCCTGCTCGGGCGCAAATGAGTCGTCTAAATGCATTTCAAATTCACGCTCCACGCTCGGTCGAACTGATGACAAGGGGGACTGCGAGTCTCGTTCTTGACGACCGGGAGTGTCTGGTACAAGAGGAGGCACGTCGTCTTCATCTTCCAGATTTGCCATGGGAATATCGTCGTCGCCGCCGAGATTGATTTCAGGTTCTTCGGTAGTGGGAAAGGGAGCTGCAATCTCCGCACCTAGGGGCTCGTCGTCGCCGAGATCCAGTTCAAGGTCCTCATCATAGAGCTTCATGTCATCGTTCATAAGGTCCTCCTCGACGGGGCGAGCCGGCGGTGCATCACGACCAACGTGGATGCTCGTTTCCTCGGCCGGATCCGCAACATCTTCTCCCAAATCCAAAACGATGCCATCGTCGTCCAGAAAAGTTTCAGCAGGTGCATTGCGGCCTTGTTCAACGCTCTCGTTGCCGGGTAGCAGCTGGCTTGTCCAATCGAGGGGTCCCAAGCTCTCATCGCGAGTCAGATCCGCCGGCGGCGGCTGAGTAAGAAGTAAGGAATCATCCGGCATTGGTGCTAGCAAGTCCAATTCGGTGAGAACATCAGGTAGAGTCAATGCGCCTGGGTTCGGTGCATTCAGCTGATTTGCGGGTAAATCGACATTTCCGGGTCGGAAAGCCTAGATTATTGCGTAAGCTTCAGGGAGCTCTTCTTGATACTGCAATTTTCACGGTTGTTTCAAACTCACCATCTTGATTTTCATAAGAGCTTCATTGCAATCATCGAGCAAGTAGCGCGCTTTTCTGCTGTAGATTCTCACAACACCCAACAATAGTTGACCACTCAATCGGAGGGCCATGGGCGCCTGGCCTTGGTCGACAATAGCATTAACGCTACTCTCAATATTGGATTGCAGAATATGTGTCTTCGAGAGCTTGCGTTCAAGGTTGGCAGAAAGCCAGACACGGGCCAACGGCCCAGTTTTGGAGAGCAAAGTCTCCGAGTAGAACATGGTGAAACGGACTGATTAAGCTAGAGGGGAGCAAATCAATATCGACAGGTGCAAATGCAATCGTTATTAAAAGGCGGCGCTTGTGGATCAAGCAATCATTGAGCTAATGACTCGACGAGTTGTGAGAAAGAATTCGCGTTTATCACCGTGTGCGAAGGGGACAGGATGATGTGTACGCGACCGAGAGAATTCAGCGTGACTCGAGCGCGCCGCGCGAGAGAAGCAGTCGGCGGAAAGTGAATATCGAGTGTTCACGCGTCGAGGTGAATTTTATTGAGATGATGCCAAAATTATAGGCGACTTTCGCAGTCGCGAATGAACGGAATCGCGCTTGCAATAAGCCTCACGGGGCAGATGGAGGAGGAAGGACAGGTGGGTGTGGGATGTTTGGCGTTGATGTTTCGGCAACAATCGAGGGGGCTGGTGGGTGAATGATACTGTAGGCGGGTAGTAAAGTGAGTTGTGTCCGCCTCTTTTGCTGCCAGCTGTTGCTCTCGTCATGGGTGTCCCGATGCGGAAGAGGAGCTAGGTGAGCTTATGTAAGCTGGATGACTTCGCACGAGCTTCCTCCCCTCGTCTGTCTGTTTTGTCTCCCGTGCGAATTTGGATAAACAACCTTGAAGTAAAAGAGTTACCTGAGGTACCGGCGTGCACGCTTGAAAAGGTACAATTGTTCTATACCGTTGTCACCGCGTAATGATATTACCAGGTACACTTCATTGTATTTTATACGTGATTCTCCACTTTTAATTTATTGCCATTAGAATTAGATCTGCATCCGTACGGCCCTGACGGGAGGGTCCATTTAATGCTTCCAGTGCTCTGTAAGAAGGTACCTTGAAATGAAACGAGCCAGCAAAATCATACACTCTCCCTGTCTTTTAATCAATACGCGACTAGCACAGCTATTACGATGCGACAGAATGGCCGTAGATACCCACGTCAAGCCGTTTCAGGTTTGGAACCATGGAAGTACCTGTGCACAGCCGACAAGAAAAAGCTTCGTCGTCGCGTCCAGCGCCATTGTTGGGCCAGGTCGGTCCGCCCCGATTCTTGTTTTCCTCGGTTTAACCACATAAAGTCGAGTCCGCGTAATCGGGGTACAGTATGTAGCACTTAGTAGACTCCCAGCTCAATGTGTCCACGCACAGCCGCGAAGGGTAAGAAGTTCGAGAGACGACACCACCCGAAAATTCCTGGCGTGGAGGAGTATTGTAAAACGGAGCCTTTATATCAAATCCGGAAATTATTCACTATATTGCCACGTGTGTGTGTGGGATCACGGCAATTGAATTGTCGCTTCATCTCCACACAAGAGCTCCCTCTGGGAGATACCGATGTTTCTACCCAGGGCACTTTTGACCGTGAAACGCTGCTTCGTCCTGAAGAGTGCTTTGCACTCAGCAACATCCTTCTCAGTCCTTTGAGCCGTGCCAAGAGTCAGAGTCTGGGACGCGAGCACGGCCATGAGAATATGTCAAGCTCATCAACTCCAACGCTCCCGCTATATCGAGTGCCATCGCCAGGCCTGCGACCACCAAACACTGCTCGTTCACCCGCTCCGCCATCCGCTATCTCATCGGTGCGCCGCTACTCCTAAACAATCACAAGCTTGTGCTGACCATGGATGAAATAGTCATTGACATCGACGTATGCACTGATAAGTCCTCACGAGACAGCTGCTCGATTATCCACGTCCCTTACCCATGGACTCTCTCCCGCCGACGCCGACGTACGCTTAGCCAAGAATGGTCCGAATGAGCTGCCACATGAGGATCCTGAGCCTCTATGGCTTCGATTCCTCAAACAATTCAAGGAAACTCTGATCCTGCTGTTGTTAGGCTCTGCCGCCATCTCATTCTTCATGGGAAATCTGGATGATGCCATCAGTATTACCATTGCTGTCACAATTGTGGTCACGGTAGGCTTCGTTCAGGAATATCGCTCCGAACAATCACTCGAGGCTTTGAGTCGCCTGGTGCCTCACTCTGCGCACCTCATTCGTGGTAAACCCTCCAGCGCATCGACTGGTACGCCAAATTCGACCAACGGCGGCTTGGAAAGCGGCCAAGTAACTCCTGTCGGCGAATCTCCTGCCGCCTTTGCAGCCGCCGAGAAAGCCTCCTCGACTGTCCAAGCAACGCAACTGGTGGTTGGAGACTTGGTCCTGTTTTCTACAGGTGACCGCATCCCGGCTGATCTGCGTATAACGCAATCGGTTGACCTGACCATCGATGAGTCCAATCTGACTGGCGAAAACGAGCCCGTGGCAAAGTCTCCTGCTACGCTCGAAAGCAAATCTGCCTCAGCGTCCACGTCAGCGAGTACTCGTGCATCATCACCCTTTTACGCGGGCCCCGCCGCAGGAACTGTCGGAGCCGATGTGAGACTCAATGAGCAGACGAATATTGCATTTATGGGCACATTGGTTCGATCAGGCTATGGACGGGGAATTGTCGTTGCATCTGGAGCCGACACCGAATTTGGTTCGATCCATGCCTCTTTACAAGAGATTGAAAGCCCTCGCACCCCGTTGCAACTCTCTATGGACCGGTTAGGACAGGAACTCAGCTACATGTCATTTGCGGTAATTGGATTCATTGTAATTGTGGGGCTATGGCAGGGCAGGAAGCTCCTTGAGATGTTTCAGATTGGCGTGTCACTCGCCGTGGCCGCTATTCCGGAGGGCCTGCCCATCATCGTTACCGTGACTCTTGCTCTCGGTGTCTTGCGTATGGCCAATCACCATGCAATTGTGCGGAGGCTTCCTAGTGTTGAGACCCTAGGCTCTGTCAACGTTGTTTGTAGTGACAAGACAGGTAGGACAATACTTTCACGTTGCCATGACCAGCTGCTGACCGCGTTGATTTTCTATCAGGAACGCTGACGCTCAATCACATGACGGTGACAAAGATCTGGCACTCGGACGTGGAGGATCCCATCGATCTGACAAAGGAATTGGTCTCATCTGCACCTGATACTGCTATGCGAACGCTTCTTCGCATTGGAAACATTGCAAACAATGCACGATTGTCTAAATCAAGCTCAGACTCACCTGCTACCGCATCATCTGCGGCCGTCCTTTCCTCCACACTCGATCACGGCTCTTCGGACTCAGGCCAGCGAAGTCGTTGGGTTGGACAGCCCACTGATGTCGCCATGCTGGATCTTGTAGACGCGTTCGGCGAGGATGACGTGCGCGAGAGACTTGGAGAACGCGCCTGCGAGACTCCATTCAGCTCGGAGCGGAAATGGATGGGTGTTGTCATCAACGGGAGCGCCACGGCCGAGACACCAACCGCCAACTCCTCTGACGTCGCATACATTAAAGGCGCCCTAGAGGAGGTTTTGAAACGATGTGATTCGTACTTGACCAAGGAAGGTAGAGAAATCATTCTTGATGAACCAAGACGGAGAGCTGCTCTAGAGGCATCGGAGCAGATGGCACAGGAAGGGCTGCGCGTCTTAGGATTTGCAAGCGGGCCGGTTCGAGATGTGGCGAGGGCAAATCCGAAGAATAAAAAATTCAAAAACACCAAAGGGGGCTCTAAAGATGACGGTCCCTTCCATGGCCTTGTATTCGCTGGCATTGTGGGCATGAATGATCCGCCTCGCAAGGATGTGGATAAGTCGATTCGACGCCTGATGGCTGGAGGCGTCAAGGTGATCATGATCACAGGTGACTCTGAAACGACAGCGGTTGCAATTGCCAAGAAGCTCGGGATGCATGTTGGGACCAGCCGTGGCCCTTACAAACCCGTTCTACGCGGTGATGAGCTGGATCGCATGTCTGAAGAGGAACTGGCCCAGGCAATCCCTGGCGCAAGCATCTTCGCTCGAACGAGCCCTGACCACAAGCTGAAGATTGTGCGTGCCTTTCAAGCCAGAGGTGACGTTGTCGCTATGACAGGAGATGGAGTCAACGACGCGCCCGCACTCAAAAAGGCTGACATTGGTATCTCTATGGGTCTTCTCGGGACGGATGTTGCAAAAGAAGCAGCCGATATGATTCTCACGGATGATGACTTTTCAACGATTTTGAGCGCAATAGAAGAAGGCAAAGGCATATTCTACAACATTCAAAATTTCTTGACGTTTCAGCTTAGCACCAGCGTGGCGGCTCTCAGTTTAGTCCTGCTCAGCACTTTTCTCGGCTTCAAAAATCCGCTCAACGCTATGCAAATTCTTTGGATAAGTATGTCATTCACCAACCCATCGAAATGCTCTGCATTGGTAGCTAATTTCTTGCCAGATATTCTCATGGACGGGCCCCCAGCACAGTCGCTTGGTGTGGAGCCGGTAGATCCCGCTGTCATGACTCGTCCCCCTCGAGCTAAGGGAGCTCGTGTCCTTACAAAACAGGTCATTCACCGTGTGCTCACTTCAGCCACGATTATTATGATTGGAACGATGATGGTATATGTGATGGAAATGTCTTCTAACGGTGTCGTTTCCGCTCGGGATACCACAATGACGTTCACCTGCTTCGTTCTGTTTGATATGTTTAATGCCCTTACGTGTCGATCACAGGGCAAATCTATTCTCCGAGGAGAAATTGCACCTTTTGGGAACAAGATGTTCAATATTGCGGTAGCGGGAAGCCTCGGTGGACAGCTAGCAGTTGTCTACCTTCCCTTTTTACAAACAATCTTTCAAACTGAGGCCTTGGGATTCCGCGACCTCCTTTGGCTGGTCATGGTTGCCAGTTCTGTATTCTGGGTGGACGAGATTCGGAAATGGGTACGCACGAGAAGTAACAGGGGCACCTGGGGTTATAGTTTCAGCGTCTAAGCGCACCATTACATGCACTTGTACAATATTATCGCGACGGTAGAAGCAAGCAACGCAGGCGCGGTGGTGTAAATACATATAATAAGTCCTCTTCGTACACAAATGATGAATTGAGTAATGAAAGCAAGCGTTTTTTTTTTCCTCAACTGAAGGCTGAATGTTTAATACGTTTAAGAAAGTCATAATGATCATGTTGTTGATTCACCAGTCTAATTATTGCGTGGAATGGCATCTGGTCATCTCCTTGTAGATAGGCTACTCCGATAATACGCGGAGTCGGATCGGCGAATTACAGTCACGTGGCAAAGAACAAGTAACGTATAGCTCAACATATCTCATAAACATATTGCGGGAGCAGGACCAACCTTCAATGCCGACAAGAAACCTAAGAGACGAAGAACCAGGCATTGAGGATGGCTTCCATTCTTCGGGTGAAGCTACCTCAGCCCCGGATATCTTTAAGGCAAGCTCCGTTGCGGAGATCAGGGCTGCCATTACCGATCTCAATGATCGCGAAGCTACAGTAACCGCCCGCCTCAACGCTTTAGTAGCCTCTCAAAAAGACCTTTCGAGGGAGCTCGGCAGGCTTGATCTCCTTCGAGCAAATCTTGGCTCACAAGCAGTCACAACCCGGTCCATAAGCAATGGAATGCTCAATGATGCTGCCACGACGGCCAACCGCATCTCCTCCGCCGTTCGCCGTTTAGATCTTGAACAGTCGAGAGTTCAAGCAACCCTGATTGTGGTGGAGCAGGTCGCCGAGCTCAAAGCATGTGTTCTTGGGGTAGCTGGATCTATGGGAGCCGCGCAGGACTGGGAAACGGCAGCGTCATACTTGAGCAGAGCTTCAAAAATCCCACCAGAAATCATCTCCGGGGCGTTCGCGGAGGAGATTGTTCCTACAGCAGAGGTTCCCGACCCCCCAAACGTGACACTTGAATCAGCTGCCGAGTCTTTGTGCGGGCTCTTTGTCCGCGAGTTTGACAAAGCTTCGAAGGAGAATGACGGTGCGAAGGTGACACGGTTCTTTAAGCTGTTTCCGCTCATAGGTCGATCTCATGTGGGACTGGATATCTACGGGCAATACGTTTGTCAAGGCGTAGCATCGAGAGCTAGAGCGAATTTGAACGCTGGGACCGGTGCAAACCAACGCACAGAAGGCTTCTTTTATGCAAACGCTCTCACAAAACTTTTCGAACACATTGCCCAGATTATTGATGGTCATGGGACTCTAGTCGAAAGACACTATGGATTGGGGAAGATGGTCAAAGTCATTGAACGCCTCCAGATGGAGGCGGATGTCCAAGGCGGCATTATAATTGACACTTGGGGCGATGAACGGAATATTGACAGGAAGCTCACCGACATAAAATCATATGCATTTTCTTTTCTGGTGCAGAGTTTTCTTCCCGCTCAGCGGACTGCATCCGGCGCCCATCGCACCAACTCTCCCGCAGGACGGGATGGGGTTGCGGGGCCGCGAACCAGCGAGGACGAGGGCGTGGATATGAAAGAGATCGATGCGCTGCTCAGCGAGACTGCGGTCATGTTGGGTCGCTGGTCGTTATACACCCGCTTTCTTGCTACTAAATCTTTGGTAAGCCAGCTCTATTTGTGTACTCGACGTACTTGTTCAGGGTACAGAACTGACGAAGATGTTTCGTCACAGATTCCAGAAGTAGCCATTAATGATTCCTCACCGTTGACCATGCCGCAATATTTACTTGACTCAAACCTTTATGCGAAAATATCCGACAGGTTGATCAGCCCATTCAATCTAATGACGACATTTTTCTTTCGCCGTTCTGTTGAAAAAGCGTTTCAAATTGATGAAGCGCCGACCGACCTCACTCTCAATCTGCAGAAGGCTCTCCCGTCAAACCCACCATATATCACCTCCGTAGTTGATGATGTCATGTACGTTGTCAACAATGTTCTTCAGCGATGTTTGGCAACTTCTCAAAGGGCTGTAATTGCGAATGTTTTGCCAGCCATTTCTCGTGTCCTTGGTTCCGACTTTGTCGGCATGATTCAAAGGAAAATGCGCGATGAGTGTTATCCAAAGGGCGCTGTGCAGGGGGCCTTACCGCCTGAGGACAAGATTCTTGCATTTCTTGTGCAATTGAACAATCTAGATGTCGCTACAGACTACACCAAGCGCATAGTTCAATCCCGTTTAGATATTGCGCCACCTTCCGGCTCTCCATCGCTAAACGGAGACGGAGCTGCAACAACGCTGGTCGATCTCTTCCCCTTCAACCAGGACGGTGCTTTTGTCACAAGCGCTCTGCATAGCCTCGAAGTGAGCTTCCACGGCAAGACATATGAGCTGATAGGCGACGGCATCAACGTCCTTTTTGGAAACGTTCTCAAGCCACGGCTCCGTCCCATACTGGCGGATTCCTTCAGAGACGTTGACTACCTCCTGACCTCTGAAGAAATTTCTGCAGCTGAGGCGCACGATGTGGACGGCGGCGAACTATCCATGGAAAACCCATGGTCAGAGAACTACGTCAGGGAACGATTCGCTCAAGGCTGGGAGGCTTTGACACAACCCTTTGCGCGCATTCTTACCGCACGCAACATCGACAAGCTACTGAACGTCACTGCTACATACCTTAGCAGGCTTCTTGAGAAGCGCATCTGGAGCTATCATGGCCGGATAAATGAACTGGGTGCAGTGCGACTTGAGCGTGATATTGCGAATTTGGTGACCGTCGTTACAAGTGGCAGGTATGCATTGCGCGATACATTTACGAGGTGTACGCAAATTTGTATTGTCATCAATCTGGAAGAGGAAGAGTGGGATGAACTTCAATCCACGCCGCAGAAGGCAACGGAGGAATTGGACATCCAATGGAGGCTCGAGGCAGACGAGAGGGAGCGAGCCAGAGCAATGGTTCTCTACGGCCCTGCTGCGAGGTGATAGCGCCTTTCCTCTATTGATGGCCGGCCGTAGCGAGAGATACTGGTCAATTGGCCTTTGTCATGTTGGAACGTGCGACTAGAGCCCCCATGTATTATACGTATACCATGATTCAAACTCCGAGTATGTCAAGGGATTTAAAAGATTCATTTAATGATATAATTCGTATTTCCAAACACTTAGCGAAGCAGCAGCCCAACCTTATGATTGTGATGACGCTAAAGATTTACGTTAGGCTCAAGTACTCTAGCATGGATCGCCAAACATTTCCTTAATGATGCGCGAAACGGCGGAACGGAAATCGCCGATGATTGCTGGGATCGTCGGGTGTTATTGATGTCAGTTTACGTCCCTAAGCTTGGAATTTTTGGAAAGTTTATCTGTCGACCTAACAGTCCAGCAACTTTCCTACCAATCTTACCGTCGCACGCATTGCTAATTGCCGACTGCATTCTGCTCTGCCGTATCTGCTATTTGGCAGCCCAATTGGTAAAACGGTCAACCAACTGCATAAAATTTCATGCATAAAGCGTACAGTGCTATTAATTCTTACTACGGTCTGTGTTACTTGACTGACACAAAACAAGCTCCCATCTCTTAGAGAAGCAATCAGAACAGCCAAACTATCTCCAGTAGATTATTAGCCGCATCTTTGCTCTACACTGCGACCGACCCGGACGCTGCAAAACTGGCACACTCGTCGAGGAAGAGTACTAGAACGGATTACTCGATTCGTGACTGCGAATACAATAGCGGCGACGAAATATACGATCGCAGCAACTTTACCGGCAGAGTGAAGGGCAAAGGCAAAAGCAAGCGCGATCCTATTCGCAACTATAAAGACAGAACAGGAAACAAAAATCAAAGAAACCACCCAAAAGGAAAAGGAAAAGCGGGAAGCAACCGGAAATCTGATCGGAAAATGGGCCAAGAATCTTCGACCCCAGTTGCGGAGCACGTTCCGCCGCGGACACTCGATGGTGGCAGGACCGTTGAAGCTATTGCGAAATATATTCGAGATGGCAAGGCAAAGAAGATTGTTGTCATGGTATGTGGACCATCCAGGGATAACTATAATGGGTATAGTCAGTCAACTGACTCTTTTTTCAGAGCGGCGCCGGTATCTCTACATCTGCTGGTATACCAGACTTTCGATCACCTAACACGGGTCTCTACGCAAACTTGGCTCGACTGAATCTTCCCTATGCGGAGGCCGTTTTTGACATCTCTTACTTCCGGACCAATCCGCTTCCATTCTATATCCTTGCCCAAGAGCTTTATCCAGGAAGATACCGGCCAACTATCACGCATTCCTTTATCAAGTTGCTCTCCGACAAGGGACTCCTCCTAAAGCATTTTACCCAAAATATTGATTGTCTTGAGCGTCAGGCTGGCGTGCCCGGTGAGAAGATTGTGGAGGCCCATGGTAGTTTTGCACGACAGAGTTGCGTCGTTTGCAAATCGCCATATCCTGCGGATCGCATGCTCGAAGCTGTCCGCAAAATGGACGTCCCACACTGCCTACGCCCCGAGTGTGAGGGCCTGGTGAAGCCAGAGATTGTCTTTTTTGGCGAGTCCTTGCCGGATGAATTTCACGACAACAAACATTTGCCTTCTGAGGCCGATCTCTGCATAGTCATGGGAACCAGTCTAACCGTGCAACCGTTCGCAAGCTTGCCAGGTTTCTGCTCTGAGAGCACCCCTAGGTACGTCTTTTGCAGAATCTAGTAGAATTATCGCTGAGAAAAGTGTTCGTATTTGCTGACTTGTGATTAGAGTATTGATTAATCTAGAACAAGTGGGCAGTATGGGATCTCGTCCTGACGACGTCTTGATTCTTGGCGACTGCGATGCTGGTGTTCGCAGACTCGCTTCTGCTTTAGGCTGGCTTGACGAATTGGAGGCTCTTTGGAAGGAGACTGATCCAAACAAAGGCAAAGAGCCCAGCGAAAAGCCTGCGCCAAAAACAAAAGATGAAGAAATCGAAGAGGAGATCCAGAGATTGACTCAAGAAGTCGACAGCACACTGAAGTTTTCCGAAGACCACAAGGATTGGTTACGACAGCAGCTGGCGAATAAGCGCGAAAACGTGCAGACGCAAGCCAGACGGGAGAGCCGAGAAGATGAGATTATGATTGACCCTGACACGCATGTCGGTATGGAGCAAGAACCTGTGGCTCCTGCACCCGGTCATCGCTTTCATGATGAAGGCGGTAACCTTAGCCATGTCTTCCCTCACCTCAAGTGAGGTCCCCACTGTATATTAGATTAGATACCATATTTCGCAAAAAAAAAAAAGAAAAGAATAATATTCGCCGTGATTCGCGGGCTATGCTATCAAGTTATCGTAGTGTGATGGGCTAAAAGTGGCTCAACTCAGGTCAAGGACTCAGAGTAAGGGACGCGAAACCAATAATTCTCGCGTTCTAGGTTTAGCGCCACTATAGAAGACCAACCCCTCGACGCGTCGAACGCGTTCACTTTACGCGAGATTTGCCAACTCCTTTACCAACATCAAACTTAGCCGCTCGCTCAGGATATGTTCGACTGAAATATTGACGGGGCTCCTTCGCTGTCAACACCAACACCCAAGTTCTGCACATCAACCACAATGTCTTCGCCGGCGCCACGGCGCACGCAACGTAGCTCTCAGTCTGCTACGCCGCGCAGGCGAGAGCGAAGCAGTCCCTCAGAAGCCGACCCAGCTCAAACTCAGCTGCAGCAGGAAGTTACTGCCGCCTCTTCAGACGATCAACCTCATGCTACTCCTCGCCGACTACAGCAGAATGTAGCTTCCTCGTCACCGCTCTTTTATCGATCCTCTCCTTCTAACGGCATGGCACATCTCTCGGTGGGAGAACGTTCCGATCCAATGGACGTTAGCTCTCCTCCAGTACAGCAATTGAATCAAAGTGAAGATGGCGACAGAACTCCTAGGGCCAGAACACGGTACCCTGGAGGTAAGTTATCGCAGTCAGATGTGCATGTTTTTAATGTGAGATTGACAAGATGTGAAAATCCGCAGACTCCTCACCTATCCGCTATGCTTCGAGTTCAAGTCCAACCCGTGCGAGGGAGATGTCTCATCTACGATCTGAACTCTCTGATAGCAGTGGCCTCTTTGTTCGGTCCTCTCGCTCAGGAGCCCCTGGAGCTTCCGGTATCAATCGATCTCGACGAGGTGACATCAACTCCGACATCCTGGGATCAACGCCTGGCCGCCGCCAACGTCTTTTTGTGGATGAAAGGGGTCTGCCCGTCCCCGAAGGCGCGCCGGCATCTGATACGGGCACCTTTTCGAATCTCAATCCAGATACCTCGGAAGCAGAAGCCCTCGGTGGATCCTCACAGCGGGTCATCTGGGGTACCAATGTCTCAATTCAAGATACCATGTCTGCTTTCAAGAGTTTCTTACTCAATTTTACGAAAAAGTATCGGATGTGGGCAGAGGGAGCAACGGAAGAAGAAACAGAGGCTGCCGGGGATGAGGCAAACTCCAAGGAATACGTTGAGATGATGGCCACAATGCGTCAACTAGGCGTGACTGGCCTGAATCTCGATCTGAGGAACCTCAAGGCTTATCCTTCTACGCTCAAGCTATGGCGCCAATTGCAGGACTACCCTCAGGAAGTTGTACCGCTGATGGATCAGACTATCAAGGATATAATGGTTGAGGAGGCTACAAAGGAAATGTCGGAGCTTCGATCGCAGCGTGCCCAGCGGAGCCATGGAGCTGCGAGGGCAAGAGACTCTAGCTCAGCGCCTCCAGCGCCTAGCTCGGAAGCAGGCGAAACCCCGCAGCCAGTACAAGAGGTCGAGGAGCCTCTTCCAGATCTTTTGCAAGACGTCGAAACCCGCACATACAAGGTCCGACCCTTTGGCCTGGACGAGTCAATCAACCTTCGAGACCTGAACCCTCGCGACATGGATAAAATGATCAGCGTCAAGGGTCTCGTTATCCGAACAACGCCAATTATTCCTGACATGAAGGAAGCATATTTCCGGTGCCAGGTTTGTAACCATACTGTGGTCGTCGACATTGACCGCGGCAAGATTGCCGAGCCTACCGCTTGCCCTCGTCAGGTCTGCCAAACGCCGAATTCTATGAAGATTATTCACAACCGTTGCAAGTTTTCGGACAAGCAGGTCATCAAGCTGCAAGAGACTCCAGACCATGTTCCTGCTGGCCAAACTCCTCATTCGGTTTCTCTTTGCGTCTACGATGAATTGGTGGATATCTGCAAAGCTGGTGACAGGATTGAAGTAACTGGAATTTTCCGCAGCAACCCCGTCCGCGTCAACCCTCGGCAGCGAAGCATCAAAGGTCTCTTCAAGACGTACGTTGATGTGCTGCACATTCAGAAAGCGGACAAGCGGCGTTTGGGCATTGATGTATCGACTGTTGAGCAAGAGCTCTCTGAACAGATTGTTGGAGACATTGAACAACAGCGGACTGTCAGCGACGAGGAAGAGCGAAAGATCAAGGAGACCGCTGCTCGGCCAGATGTGTATGAGCTTCTTGCTCGTTCTCTCGCGCCCAGTGTATACGAGATGGATGATGTGAAGAAGGGCATCCTTCTGCAGCTCTTTGGCGGTACAAACAAGTCTTTTGAGAAGGGAGGTAGCCCCAGATATCGAGGCGACATCAACGTGCTACTTTGCGGTGATCCTTCGACATCAAAATCGCAGCTCTTGCAGTATGTCCACAAAATCGCTCCTCGAGGAGTGTACACTAGTGGTAAGGGATCGTCAGCCGTCGGTCTTACTGCATACGTGACGCGCGATCCAGAATCACGTCAACTGGTATTGGAGTCTGGTGCATTGGTTCTTTCGGACGGTGGTGTCTGCTGCATTGATGAGTTTGACAAAATGTCGGATGCGACTCGATCAGTTTTGCACGAAGTGATGGAGCAGCAGACCGTCTCCATTGCCAAAGCCGGCATCATCACCACTCTTAATGCACGAACGAGCATTCTCGCCTCGGCCAACCCCATCAACAGCAAGTACGATCCTAACTTGCCAGTCCCCAAAAACATTGACCTCCCACCTACCCTGCTCTCCAGATTTGACCTGGTGTATCTGGTCCTCGACAGCGTACAAGAGCAAAACGACAGACGCTTGTCCAGTCACATTATGAACATGTATCTCGAGGATAGGCCAGAAAACGCCAGTTTATACGAGATTTTGGTATGTTGCTCTCCCTCTTCTTCTCTTCTCTCCTCTTGTCATATGAATGTCCAACTAACCGAATTTTCTTCCAAATAGCCTGTCGAGTTTCTGACTTCATACATTTCCTATGCGCGCAACAACTGCCAGCCCCGCATCACCCAAGCGGCCTCGGACGAACTTGTGAACGCATACGTCGAGATGCGCAAACTTGGCGAAGACGTGCGCGCCGCCGAGCGTCGTATCACCGCCACCACACGACAACTCGAGTCCATGATCCGTCTGTCCGAGGCCCACGCAAAGATGAGACTCTCTCCCGAGGTCACAGCACATGATGTCATCGAGGCCGTCCGCTTGATCAAGTCCGCCTTGAAACAGTCTGCCACCGATGCCCGCACGGGCCTGATCGACATGGGTCTCTTGACCGAGGGTACCAGCTCGACCGAGCGTCGCCGCAAGCAGGATCTCAAGACTGCTGTCGTCGCCCTCCTCGATGACATGACCCGCCGAGGTGGCGCCGCTAGATACGCTGAAGCGTTCAAACGACTCACAGAGCAGAGCAGCACGTCCGTTGAGGGTATTGACTTTGCTGAGGCTCTGCGTGCGCTCGAACAGGAAGGTCAGATTATGATATCGGGAGAAGGTGCTCGGAGAAGCATCCGACGCGTTACTGGGGTTGCTTAGACTATCATTATATTATATCATTGTTGTTGTTGTTGTTGTTTATGGTTGATATCATGTGTATGGCGAGGGTTTTCTTTTTTTTTCTTCCTTTTTTTTCTTTTGTCATTTCATTAACTTTTCCTTTCTTCTCTTTTTCGTCTCCTTTTTTTAAACCATTTCTATTTTTATTAGGGCATTATACAGCTTATCGAAAGGGGAGGGGCATCAAGAGGCGCGTGCTCGGGTTTTTCCATCAGAACATTTATTATTGATCATTGATCACTTGATCTTGCCTTGCGCTAGGGTTCTATTTAGATTTCAACGAATGGTATGCATCTCTGTTTATTGATCCTTTTTATTTAAATATTTGTCTATCTACACATCCATCTTTTATTTTTTATTCGTTTAGTTATTTATTTTTATCGATCCAATATTCTTTTTTTAAAAAAAAAAAATATATATATTGAACTGAAACTCATGTGAAATAGCACAAAATCCTTGTATACAGTAGGTGGGGGTTTCTTTCTGGGCGTCGTCTGACATGTTTACCATGCAATGGTTATTCTATTCTCTTAGGCACCAGGTATAGAGTGCCCGTATGTCACATTGTCTAAAGTCTACAATCTGCATTGTCTGATATTTTTCTGATGTTTTTCTGACGTGGGGACACACTTCTTACCTATAACCTACAATCTACAATCCACCTACAACCTACGACCTATAGCCCACACCTTACTCCGGAGAGTACGATCCCTACGTCAGTACAATCCCTACAGTCGACCAGTGCGTTATGTCAAGGCACGGTGCCAGGGTGCCAGCGGACCAGGTGCATGCCTGATCGAGTTACCTAAACGAACAGTGGGGTTGGTACACCGTAGGTATGTTCTGCTGGTACGGAGTACTCGTAGTTGGTGTCTCGGTGGAGTGTTTGTGCTCACTACAGTAGAAACCCCACTGTACGGAGTATTTCACCCGGCAGACACCGCGGTAGTTAACTCGACAGGGAGCCCGCCCCTGCCGGTGCTAAACAGATAGTACCGAAGAGACCCTGCACATTTAATTTAGTGACAATCCTTAACCCATGGACCTCTGACTTCAGACCTCAGACCTAAGACCCCTTCTGCCAAGCGACTCGGCAAACCAAGGGCGGTCCCCACTACAAGTAGAGGATAATACCTGCAACTAAGCGCGGTGAAAGGGTGCCGCTAACTGTAAATAACTCCGTAAAATACTCCGTAGTGTGGTATGATGGTATGATAGTATGATAGCACGGTGTACGCCGAATCATGTATGAATGCAGCATGCTGGTTTCCCCACATGGTACATGATACATCCCTGTGAATGGCGATGGCAATGGCGACGGTAATGGCGAAGGAAATAAAGAGGACTGGTATAAATTAGCTGTATTGATCCGGGACCTTTACGTTTTGTTGTTGCATATGGAGTAGTTTTTCTTCCGAGTTCAGAGTATAAATTTTCCGTAATTGTTCCGGACGATTCTCTGGATACTATCAGTGAGTAAATTGCTTCTCTTTTACTTCGAATAAGCAATTGTTTGTCTAACTTTTTTTTATATTGGAAAGGTTCAATTGCATTCGAGTCATAATTTACAGTTTACGGTTTACAATCGAGTTATAACTCATCAACCAAAAACCTTTGAAAAGACAAACGACAACAGAAAACCCCTTAAAAAAAAGCGGGGGGGGGGAAGAAACAAGATCATACACGATGAGCAATAGCACTGCAGGAGTCGGCCCAGCCCGGTGCGCAGACAAGGCGGATATGTTTTTGGGGAGTCTGAACTCATATTCTTGTGGCGTGGCCCTCTTTCAAAAACCGAACCTCACTGAAACTCCTTACGATATTCTGAAAGGGTGCTGCGTGGACGGCAAGCTCGAGTACGCGGACAACGACCATTGTATGGCACTGTGCACCATGCAAAATCATTCTCAAGCAGTCCAACTAGAAAACTGTATGGCAAGTACCAGAGTGGCGCATTCCTATAAGTTAGATGCCGACCAGCATGGCGCGGCACATAGAGTGGTCAATGTCTGGAAGGGCATGTTGTTGGTTGTGTTGGTATTGTCGGTTGCCATGAGTTTTTGAGTCATGGTGTTGCATTGTTGGGCCATTCTGGATACAGCTTCTCGAGATTTTATTTTCGAGCACGATATATGTTGATTGAGAGATTTTGCATTGATTGGATCGAGACATTTAGGGGCCGAAAGCGGGTGTCTCGTGACTTTAGTATCGGACGAAATAGTGCAATTATTGTATACACGAGGAGCTTTTCGAAAAATGCCTAACGTGGGTCTAATTTTACCTCATAAAAACAACCAGAGCGAACGGTGGGGCGGTGGAGTTTTGTTTGCTTAACTAACTGCCGCTGTCAGATCTGGTTCCCGTAGTGCCGAACAGGCACTGAATAGCTAATATCCTTACCGACGACATGCCCCGCCCAGCGATCCAGTCAGCCCACTCTTGCACTGGCCATAATACGTCCTCCAATAACCGTAGGTTATGAGTTGACAGCTTTAAATTCTGCCTTGTTCCTAGCGTTTGTTTTTGATAATACTGTCTTTCTCCGAAATTTTTTGCACAGTAACTTTTTCTGCATGAGCATCTAGATACCAGTCAGTGATTGCTTTTACTAATCGAGCAACGACTTTATTTTCTAACTTTTGTTTTTGTTTTTTTTGTTTTTTTCAAGTTTCAATCAGACTGAACCTTTGAACGAATCTGAGAGGGGAAAGAGACACCTTACACGATGAGCAATAGCACAGGCAACCATGGCCCCGCCGGATGCATAGGCAACAGGAATGGCATGCAAGACCTGCCATATTCGTTGTCCTGCGGTGTTCCTCTTTACCAAACCAGGAATGCCTCCGAAACTCCCTACGATGTTCTGAAAGGATGCTGCACAAGCGGTCAGATCGGGGTTGTGCCCCACGATGATTGTGCTGCGTATTGCAATTCGACAAGTCAATCTCAAGCACATGAATTATACGATTGCCTTTCAACTTCGATGAAATTGACAGCATGGGAGTGTGGCAAAGATGCTGTTCCAAATAGCACAGCATATAGGGCTGTCAATATTTGGAAGAGTGTGTTGAAGTTATGCCAAACACTTTGTCCGGTGGTATGTAGATTATTTCACATTAATTTCCGTTCTGTGCTCTTGGTGGATTCGGAGGTAGCTCGGCACAGGAATTTGTACCTTGTCGGTTGCATCCAATCGATCCGGGCTTACTCTGTATTAAATTCTCCCGTCTTAATTTCTTTTCCCGCTTCTCGGACCGTCCGTCCGCCATCAGGCGTCTCCTAAGCGCTATATGTGGGGTTGTTATACTCCTTAGACGATGGCCCATGTCAAGCCAGTTTGGACCAGTAACAATGATATTGGCCCTTGTCCAATCTGATGGTTTCCATTAGTTGTGGCCCATGCAACTTTTCAGAAAAAAACTTACGAGTGAGCAGGGGAGCATTGTCTTGGCAAGACCCATACTGTAATACTCGGACCCCTGTAGTTGTGTCATGATACGGAAGGCCCCGGAAGGTGCAGAGAAGAGCCGACGAGAGCGGTCATTTCATTTGCTGTGACTTGGTCCCGTCCTACAATGATGTCAAAAGGTTCGTCAGGGCCCTTTTGCTTTTGCCGTTGCTTGGCAGGTTGTTTTCCGTGGCATTCAGTTCTCCTGAGAGCAAAGTAGAGTATGGAGTATGGCATAGAAAAAAGACATTTGACATAATCCCTGTGTAGGCTTGCCTTTTAGATAACTGTCGTTGGGAGTCCTGCTGTCACGCTGTGCACTTACCGCGTAGTTCGGCACGCTCCGCTAGTTCCGCTCGTTAAACTGGGAGATAGCAGAAAGTCTCAGGAATAATCAGGGGGCCATCAATGCATTGCTTAACTACATTTTGATACGTATATATACATATAAACATATATATAATTATTAAAAAAGCTAGAACGCCAGAGATGGCTGCCAGGATAATTGCTTTACTCCAGCGCAATACACTCAATTTCCACCGGCACACCTTTTGGCAATTGAGCCACAGCAACACAGCTTCTGGCCGGTTTGTGGGTGAAGAAGGTCTCATAGACGGCATTCATTTCCGCAAAATTGGCCATATCCGTAAGGAAAACCTACCATTCATGGGGCATGAGCAAAATACCCAAAAAAAAGGGCCGTTCTGTCAACCTCTTAATCCGGATAAGAAAATAAAGCGAACAAACATACATTTACTTTGACAATCTTATGCACGGCTGAATCTGCTGCAGTCAGAATCGCCTTGATGTTATTGCAGCATGCCTGGGTCTTGTCGCTAATATTGCCCTCCACTAGATTTCCTGCCGCGTCCGTCGGAAGCTGACCAGAGACAAAAATCTGACCGTTGGCGCGGATGGCCTGGGACTGTGGCAAGTGGCAACACTGTCAGTAAATCGAGGGGTGCAAGAAGGCGGTAGCCGGATAAAGGTGCAAACCGTGCAAAGATAAACTTACATAGGGCCCAGCAGCTTGAAAAGAAAAGAAAAAGCACGTTAGCATATCATTCCCAATCAGAGAGGAAAGGAATGCAGAAACACCCCTCACGGTTTGACAAGCTACTGGGTCATACAGTCGTACTTACGAGGGCAAGCATCTTTCGCAAATATTGTGGACATATTGCTAGATGTAGGTATGATGGGCAACGATTGTAGATTGGCAAAAGGATAGAGCCACGGAGAGAAAGTTCAGGGAAACTGAAGGAAATCAAAAAGCGAAAGATCCGAGGACCGACGGCTGAAGCTGGAATTTATTACTTTCAATGCTTGGTGTTAGACGAGGTGGATTTTTTTATGCTTCCGAGCCTACATAGTATGGCCGGCTTGTGGACAAGCCCGCCGGGTTCTTACCGGAGTGCTCGGTCTTTGCCTCCATGTCTCGGTGTCCTATCTTATTGGTAGGCCGTGCTGACTGAGGCATATGTGCACCATCAATGGTAGGCCAAAAAAACAAAAAAAAACAAAAAAAAACAAAAAAAAAAAAAAAAAAAAAACATTATTAGGCTTTAAACCCCACCCAATCTACTGTAATGATAGGGGGAAAAAAGAAAGGCAGGGCCGCTGAGTGGCCGAATGTATATACTCCAAGAGTCCAAGGCCCTCGGGGAATGAGATATATTTTTGTTCAAGGTATTCTGAATATCTACACCAGAGACCAACGTAAATCCATCGAATATTCATATACTTCCGTTGAATGTTTATCTAAGATAATGAGCCTCCTATGCCTATTCTCAGAAAGAGGGGGCTAATCCTCGAGCGCTGCGAGAATCCTCTGTAAAGCCTCAGCTAAATATTCCCTTGGCTGTGAGAATACAATCCTGAACCATCCACTACGTTCCGAACCAAAAAGAGCACCACTAGCCAAGAAGACCCTCTTTTGCAGCAGAAGCTGCATCACTTTATCGGTAACATCATGGTCGTCACCATTAGTCTCTCCTGGATGTATTTCACGGTATTTTTTCCCCAAGTTCACCCAAAGGAAAAATGCAGCGTTGGTACCGGGTGCGTATTCAATCCCATGCCTCCTGATAAACTCAACTGTGTATGCATATGATTCAGAAAGCTTCTGGCAATTCAGCGCAAGGTACTCATCCGTGAAATGAGTGTCATCGAGGATAATGGACGCGAGGTAATCTGAAACTCCTGATGCATAGGAGTACAGGCTTGTTCCTTTCAATGCTGTGTGAAGGTCCCGATTGGTCTGCGAGATGATAACACCAATACGGAATCCGTTTGCACCAAAGTCTTTGCTCATACCCCAAAGTACATGAACTAGCTGAGGGTCGATGATCCCAGAAAGGTCGATGGACAGGGCGGACTCAAACTTGGTTGGTTCAGGGTGTTTATCGACGGTATTTTCCCACACAGAGAGAGCATAGATTTCATCGCTGATCAGATGTACTCTATACTTCTGACAGAGTTGCATCAGCTTGATAATTACGCCTCTAGGATAGCAGCGCCCCAGTGGGTTGTGCGGGTGGCAAAGCATCAGAGCTTTAACTCTACGCCCTGTTTGTTGAAAATCCAACAGAGCCTGCTCGTACTTGTCCACGGCCTCTAAGCAAAAAGGGTCGCAGGCCCCGAAGTTTACCGGAATCACTGTGGTTCCAGGCCGTAACGAGATATCTGGTATGAATGTGCCGTAGAATGGTTTCCCTAGGAGGACTCCTTCACCAGGATCTGTGAAAGCCCACGAGACATGTTCAATGGCAGACGACACCCCGTTCGTGACCAGTAGATGGCTAGGCTCCAGAGGAATTACTGGATTGAGGTGCCGGTTGAGAAACTTGGCGATAGCCCGTTTAAGCCTCGTAGATCCGGACCCTCCATCATTATATGTGAGAAATTTGGCTGGTAGTGTGAGCTGAGTGTTGATGTATGCAAGAAGATGGTCATGCATGAGTACATTTTCTGCTACGCCAACGTTCACATAGCCTCCCGGATTTGTCGATGGACACCACAGGTCACCCATCACATCCCACATGAGGTTTGTAGAGCCCGACCTGATGGCATCCTGTGCCCGCTGGGACATGGTTGAGCCATTGCTTTCTAACAGTGCCATCCTGAGAATGATGGTATCTGGCTCCTAGGAGAAGAGAACGTAGAGGTTTATATGACACAGAGTGATATAATAGAGGAAAGAAAGATGAAACTAAACAACGGACGGTGTCAATGCTGCACAGGTCAATTTAGAAGAAGAAGAAAAACGAAATCGTAAAGATATCCCTTGGTTTCGGCAAGCCTAGGCCCTGATAGGTGCAAAGACAAACGGTGGCAAGACGCCGCAGAAGCGAGAAAAGATACAAGAAGAGCTGGGCGTTGATTTGTCTGCTCTGCACCCGAACATCTCTCTAACCATGGATTGGATTGCGGGTACGTGCTCTAGCCATATTGACTGCCGTTCAAACACCGATATTATTAGCAGTTTATTTTCTTTTTCTTTCCGGGGACGAAGAGTAAGACTTTCCGTCTCTAGGTGGAGGTGTAGTAAGACACCATCCTCAAAGAGGAAGTGACCGATCTTCGGCGATGGCAGTTCGGCGTTTGCAAAGAGCCACCGTCGAAGAGAACTTGATGTGACTGCCCGATACTGCTGCATCTCTTGAATGGCGCTCTTACAAAACATCCATGTTTGCAATGTAGGACAACAGCGTTGGCCCTTGAAATAAAACTTTCTTTTCCCATTCTTTTTCCCTACCCGCCTTGGCATAATATAACATTCCAAGTGTAGAATTATTAGATCATAAAATATTGGTTCAGGACGGCTTAGCAGTGAATAAACTGGATTAATACAATTTATTTTCGGTTTGTAACTCGTGTAGTATCTATTGCATCATGGCTAGGAATAAATCAAGGGGAAAAGTAGAATACAAATACAGATATAAGAAACTTGAAAATGGTCCGAGAGGGGAGAAAAGGGGAGAAAAACAGGAAAGAAAGACGAAAGGAGAGCGAGAGTGTATTTCTCTATTTTTCATCTGGATTCTCCCAGACTTCTGACTTTCCTTTGGCATGCTCCGGGTCGGGCTCAGGATGCGCTTGCTGATGCCTCTGCTTCGACCACATCTCCTCGGCTGAAACCATGTCCTTCCACACATCATCCTGGTGGTTCTTCATTCTGACCGACTGCGGCGCGGCCAGTCCCCCGGCATCTTGAAGTGTTGAAGGAGACGCCTTGTCCTTCTCCAATGCTGCTGTGTCGTCTTTTTTCTTCTTTGCCTTCTGATCTGAAATCTCCAGCGCGGCAGTCGCCACCATTACCGCCAGCGTCAAGCCCTGCGCAAACACCCGCGCTTGAACGAGTTTCTGACGAACCGTCAGATGTGCATTCCGGCTTACAACCACAAAGGATCCTATCATCGAGGCTACCCACGTCACCCCGACGATCTTGTATTTCTCGGCGTAGCCCCAGGCCAGCATTCGCTCAGTCATGGTGTGGCCAGACGGCGCCTGCGCGGCCAGCTGTTTCGAGCGGTTCAGGTACCACTGCACTTGAGTGTTACGTTGGTTTTCAAATGCGCGTGATGAGCGGTCGGCTGCGATGATACCCGTAAATGTTCCCGACGAGGTGACTAGGAAGGACTTCATGGGCAGTGTCAGATTGCGAATCATCTGGTATCTTTTCGAAGCGGCCATGATTCCTGCCGCACCACCAATGAGACCGAGGATGGTGCCGATGGTGCCTCCTGTGGCAACTTCCCTTCAAGGTTGTTAGTATGTGTTTTCTCTTCTTTTCATTCCTCTTCCTCTCCTTGCTAATTTTCTTCCTAATTATGGTTTCCCATTTTGCGTGTTCCTTTTACCGGAAGAGAACAGAGAGATTTGAAAGAGGAAATAGGGGTGTAAATACTTATAATGAGCTTCTTCATCTTCCTTGCTCAGGAGTTTCATGGTGGTCGTTGTGGTTGTTTATCTGTGTTCCTTTTTTTATAAAGACGCGTGGCTATTCTCCTTTGATAGAAAGAGGCAAGGCAGGATGGAGAACGAAACATGGTAGTTATAAGTTTTGAATCAATCCTAGACGTATTATTTACAAGGTACATGATTTGGCCCACTTTATACATGCCAATACTGCTGCAGCGTTCCCGACAGAACTCACTTGCAATGGTCTCATGTTGGGCTATACCATCATTGTTTCCTCTAGCGAGGCGAATTTATCTAAGATCGAATGATTATTTTCAATTGTAATGAAAAACAATACACTATATAGACCTTGATAAAGATTAGTTCTTGTAAGTAGTAATCGGACTTGCTTGACTAATCATGTGGAAATGGTTTACGTGGGTAATTGATCGGGTTCACACGCAAAGAAATATCAGGATATACCAAAGTACAGAGTTTGCATTGAGTAACTTAAAGGTTGAAGTCTACTATTCCAGAAGTGGAAGAAAACGACCGGCTTTCGGCGTTTGACTGCGGCCCGACTCTACCCTACCCCACATCAAATGCCGCAATCCGATCAGCCAAACGCCGGTTCTTGCTTGGCGCCGTCAAGAGCCCGAAGATAGTGCGGACGGTCTTTGACGTAGAACTCGATTTCGATTTTGCCTCCAAGGCTTGCCTCACCATTGTCCAAACTTCCGGCCTTGATGCAAGTCATCTCAGGCATGATCTCCAGCTCTGTGAACAGACCGGATCCACATGTGGGACAAAAGAAGTGCTTATTGACCTTTCCGCTGGCACCAGTCGTGTCATAAGATGCTGGTGTTCCTGTAGAACAGCCATTTCTCAGAGAAGAAGATAACCCAAGAATGTAATTAGTACATACCTGTCGTAACCTTGAACCCGGCCCGAGGAACAACTGCATTCGATGTAAATGCACCGCCCGTCCACTAATGGGAGGATTTCCAATTGTCAATATGCATTTGAAAAATATAGGAACAAAGGTCGTAATCTCACCTTCTGACAGTCGGTGCAATGACAGAGTGCGGAAATATAGTTTTCAACTGCGAAAGACGAGAATTAGCAAGATCCCTCAAGGTCCCTCCACTGTAACTAGTGCCTGTTGCATACCCTCGGCAGAGTAAATAATCCCACCGCACATGCAGCTACCAGTGAGCATCATGATTGATGATATTCAATTGCTGGACGACTAAGTAAGAAGAAAAGGCCGGAGATGGAATGATGGAGTATCAACTACAGTTGTAGTCTCCAGATATATAAGCGCACGAGAATCCTTTCCTAAGCGCTTTGGTTACAATCTTCTAACTGCCGCCTGACCCCACCTCAGTCACCGAAGACAAGAAAGGGAACCGTTCGGCTTCTGAGAGTACTATGTTTTCCGTATCTCCGATTCTCCCAATCTTCTTAGAAAGCTACATGCGCGTCAGTTGTCTATTAGAAAAGGCCATCCAATGGGCATATTGAAACCCCGTCTTCGTAATCGCACTTTCGCGCAGCCAATCAGCCGCGACCAAAAAAGGCTGCCGTCTATTCCCCTAATAAGTAGTCTCCGGGATTGCAAGTTATATCGTGCGAAGTCGTGCCGTCAGCTTTCATCTCAGAAAGGCAGCTTGATAGGCATTTTGAATCTCCTCTCGCATACTTCCAACCCCTTCAAACCACGAAAAACAACAGTGCATCATCTCCAGCAGTCTTTCAAGATTATGTTGCAATTCCTCAATCAATCTTTCTGCATCGTGAGCCTCAGTCCCAGGTTCCGGGTCGCTAAAGAGATCCTGACAATCTATGAATTGTCTAGAGTAAAAGGCGTTTCGGACAGTGTAAAGTAATATGAGCACTGCGTAAGCGGTTTGCATCGCGCAGCATGCAAAGTATGGGATTGGTCGAGAACGACAGCTGGTCTCATCAGGTGACACTAGCACCACGTCGCTCCACAAGTTGTTACGTTCCGGAAAGCACAGAGAATGGAATATTCTGACCGAAGCCAAGGATGATTTTTGACAAACCTTCAAGGACTCCACCTTGCTAAACGGGAAAATGTATCCTTGATCCTCCTATGAAAAGAAAGTTAGGTTTCAACGGGTAACGTTATACGTATAGGACAACACAATAACTAACAGCTTTATCTTCTGTAGTATTCCTGGCCGCTAGATCCTTAACCGTGGCAAGATCACAATGCTTCTCAAGAAAGATGGGTTGGTTAGAAAAAGCCCTGAAACGGTGTAGCTTCAGACGCGCACTATTTATGATATTAGCTTGTTTATTTCAAATTGTCGACACTAGCTCCTTACCTATTGATCACAGAGCGTGTAAACAGCCACATATTTCGCATTGAAAGAGCTTCTACTCGATCTCTGCATATATTCGGAGATAAATCCGTCTCGGACATCATGGAACGTAGCTTGGAATCGAGGGCCAGCATTTGCTCCGGGACCAGCGGGTGTGCAATTGAGGAGGATGAAGAATAATTTTCTAGATCGGTTATGAAATGGGCGACTTCTAGATGGACTTTCTGAGCTTGAATATACAATGGCCATGGCTGAGTGAAGTTAGTAATGGCGACTTATACTCAAAAGCTAACGAGACCACAGTATTATGGAAGCTTAAAAGATAATGTCCACAATACCTCTGAAGAAACATGAAAACTAGGATATGGTACAGTAATCTGCGGATCATCAATCGAGACGTGCGGTTTCTGGGAAGAGACATAGTCAGTTTTATATGCAAAAGCATACATGGTTTGCTAAATACTTACCGAATTTTGTAGTATCGAAGACTGGTACACAACATGGATCTGCTACCGGTTTAGATCTTTCCCAACATCCTGGCCTCTGGATGACTTACCATCATCCACCATGCACGTCTTTGTGCCTCCGAAAATAGAGTGCCATCATTAGCCAAGCGGTGTAGATCCATATCCATACTAAGTGTCATGGCTTGATTTGCTCGGGCCCGCATTTTGGAGAGGTTTCCACGCTGGCAATATTCATAGAGGCTAAGGACTAGTAATGCCAGTACTGCTTCCAACTGGAAAGGCACACATCCGTGGAATAAGGGCCGTGGGCAGGACAATGGTGTACTCTGGAAGCGGCATGCCAGAAAAGACGATTGCTCGAGATCAATGTCTCCGTCGGCTAGTTGTAAGGCTCTTTGTGCTAGTAACTGGGAAACTGACCTCCGTGCCGCAAAAGAAGCTTCGGACATTGACTCCGAATCATCGTCGGCGGGGATAACGGCGAGTACAGCAGCTAAAGCCATACTTAGAGGTGATGCTGGACAGTACGCTAAGTCGGATATTTGAGGGTAGAAGGTTCCTTTAGTTAAACATTTGAATGCCACTGAGCTGTCCTCTTGTACTGGGGAGATAGGAGGTGGTAAGATTGGAAAGAACGGGTGGATAAAGATGTAGTAAGCATTTAGACTGCAGCTTAATTAATACGAATGGTCACTGCACGTAAGCAGTATGGACGTACATTTGCGCCTCTGAGTGGTACATCCGAACTGGAACAGTCTCTCGATCGTCTAGAAATGGCGACGATGATGAAGCTTGTTCTGTGCCCGGGATATCTTGGCGATATAACATGTCCCCGTGGTCAGGATCGGGCATTGTATCTGGTAGCCGATCCAGGTTATTGATTCCAGTTTGTGGAAAGGAGAGATTGAGAATGCTCTCCAAGAAAGGATCTGTCATATTGTTACTGCCTGTGACAATGGTAAGGAGTCGATATTCATACCAGATGCGCCGCTCCCTTCAAAAGCTGAGATATTGGCAGGCATCTCGAATACACTGAAATCTTCTGCATCTTCGGGTCTCCGTTTTCTCCGCAGACCCCCTCGCTGACTAGGTTGGTAGCAACAAACTTTCGCTTTGGTGCGGCACTTGATTGACCAAAGTTGATCAGCTTTTTTCTTTCTTTCTTATTTTCTTTTGAAATTCTGCAGCCGAAAGAGATGTACAGATATAGAAGGCCGCATACTTTATAGCAGGGATACTGTCCATCACATCGTACTTTACATTTGCGGCTGATCTCAATTAGCCCGCCTATTTTATACTTCAGAATTTAGAAATACACGGGCACTGACCACGATAGACAAGCTGCCTTTACTGGATGACGACTTAGCCTTCGATGGGCAGTGGTAGGACCAGTCTCCATTTCGTTACATTTAGAATGGACGAGCTCTCGTGATGAAATGGTCCTAGAGGCTTTTGTGGTGTGAAACTGCAAAACAATTAAAGTATATCTTCGATACTAGTCTAGCATGGAGGCTGATATACGGTTCTTCTCTGAACAGAATGAATTGGTGTTCAATATCTTCGTCAGTACCTACCGGCTTCAGTATATTTTTTTGAATTTTTGGGTTGCTGCTGGCCCTTGGCTTAGTAATATTGTGCGGTTAACAACCTGTTTTTAGTTAAGTTCAATTGTACTTTCAGCTACGTTCTAAGCACAAGTAGAGGTGCAATATCGACAAAGTAGGCTGGCGATATGCTGCGGCGTTGCGAAAGACGGTATTTGAATGCAATCGAAAATCCTTCCAAGTTGATTGCTGAAACGCTGAAACGCTTGCTATGTGTTTGTTATGTTAAATTATATATCAGAAGTTTTAATGCTACATTATATTACTGAACGGACAAAACATCAGTCTCTGATCATGTAACCGTCTGGGTATCCTATTAAACATTACATCTAGATTGAAAACATCTCTTGCCTGACTGTTGAGTCAAATACGTAGATCTTTTCCTGAACTGTGACCAAAAGATTCAGATCAGTCTCACAACAGAAGCATGGATAGCAAATTGGGCGGCAGGCCTGGAAACACAACGTCGGAATAGAAACATGAAAAATCCAATGCCGTCTCCACAGGATTGTCCTCCAAATGGACGATAAAATCACCTACCAGAAGTGCACAATGATGGCAGGTTAACCTTCTGGTAGGTTGAGGAGCGGCAACGAGAGCACGATGCGAAATTCTTGGCAGTGATTGGCCGAAGGAGCATGGGCCAGAACGGCTAAGCCCGTGCGATCAAACTGCTCTCCACTGTGTTTCTGTACGTACTAAGATACGCCCTCGTGCTAAATAGACTCCCCAGCCAAAAAAAAAACATGCCTCGAGACCCAAAACCACCTACCTAATCTTGCATGATTTTATTCTCCTTCTGAGACACTGTTCTCTGGCTCACTGCACATAATGTCCTTTTGTTCATAATCTCTTGTTCTCGTATAATTCCAATTGATCTCGCACTCGTGATACCCCTCTTCTCTAGCGCCTCATCATTGAGCTCTACCAACCAGCTCCTTGCACACACCATGAAGTAAGTCTTCCTGCTGCTTTCCCCAGTCTTTCCAATCTACGGCTGCCGTCAATTGGCATTGCGGTCGTGGGAAAATGGCATTGCATCCTCTTCGCCTGTGAACGCCAGCTACCATGTGTCTGTTTCACGGAATCATAAATTGGACATGTTCACATGCTTGAGACCCTGCTATGAGCATTTCTCATACGGGGTGGCGTTGAAAATGCCGAGTTTCCTCCTTGAGAGCGAGCTGCTACTGGTGGATCATAGTTGTTCTGCTTGGATTCTAACTTCTGAAACGTTTAGGTTCGGCCAGCAGCTCCGCACGTCTCTCATCCGAGACTACTACTATTATTACATCTCCTACGATGACCTCAAGAACAGTCTGAAAACTCCCTACGTCACCGAACCCACGCCCTCGGATCCTCACCCTCAACGCCGAGCATGGACCGAAGACGACGAGCAGCGCTTCGTGACCGAGCTCGAGGGCGAGCTGGACAAGGTCTTTACCTTCCAGCGCGTCAAGAGCGGCGAGATTGTGCGAAGGATCAAGTCCAGCGAGAAAGAGGTGAACGAGGTGCTGGCACGACAGCAGCGCATCATTGAGGGTGGTGCGAGAGATGGCGAGGAAGCACCTTCCGAGGAGGACTTCATGCTCCTCGAAGAAGACCTCAGCGATGTTATTGCCGACGTGCATGATTTGGCCAAGTTCACCCAGTTGAACTATACGGGATTCCAGAAGATCATCAAGAAACACGACGTACGTAACAAAAAAACAAACAAACAAACATGCTATGGGATACTGGAGACTTACTTTTTTTCTTCTTGCCGCTGGATAGAAAATGACTTCGTGGCACCTCAAACCTGTCTTCGCCGCGCGCCTCAAGGCCAAACCCTTTTTCAAGGACAATTATGATGCATTTGTGGTCAAGCTGTCGAAGCTTTATGATTTGGTCCGCACCAGGGGAAACCCTATCCGGGGTGACAGCGCTGCCGGTGGTGGCCAGCAGAACTTTGTTCGGCAAACAACAAAATACTGGGTTCACCAGGATAATATTACTGAGTTGAAGCTCATCATCTTGAAGGTAGGTAGTATCTATCTTATGCACAGAGCAAGAAGCTAACCCGGACACAAAGCATCTTCCTGTCCTTGTCTTCAATCCCAGCAAGGAATTCGATGTCAAGGACTCCGCCATTTCGTCCATTTACTACGACAATACGGACACGTGGGAGCTGTATACTGGGCGTCTCAAGAAGACTGAAGGCGCAGAAGCCATCCGTTTACGGTGGTATGGTGGCATGGACTCGGAGACCATCTTTGTCGAGCGCAAAACTCACCGGGAAGACTGGACGGGAGAGAAGTCGGTCAAGGCTCGATTCGCCTTGAAGGAGAAGAATGTCAATGCTTTCCTCGCGGGCAAGATGACGGTCGAGAGCGTCTTTGAGAAGATGCGCAAAGACGGAAAGAAGAGCGAAAAGGAAATTGCGGACCTGGAACAGCTCGCGCGCGAGATTCAGTACCGTGTGATTACGCGGAAATTGAAGCCGGTGACCCGGTCTTTTTACAACCGAACCGCCTTTCAACTCCCTGGTGATGCTCGCGTTCGTATTTCGCTCGACACGGAGCTGACCATGGTTCGCGAGGACAACCTCGATGGTCGCCAACGCGCTGGCAAGAACTGGCGCCGCATGGACATTGGTATCGACTATCCCTTCCCTCAGCTGCCGCCCGAGGACGTCGAGCGATTTCCGTACGCTGTTCTCGAGGTGAAGCTGCAGACCCAAGCCGGACAGGAGCCACCAGAATGGGTCCGCGAGCTTACCAGCTCCCACCTAGTGGAGGCTGTGCCAAAGTTCTCCAAATTCATTCACGGCACGGCCATCTGTCAGCCAAATCGAATCAATCTACTTCCGTTCTGGATGCCGCAGATGGATGTCGATATTCGCAAGCCGGTCAGCCATCGGTTCGGTATCTCTCGGCCGGTCAATTCTGCTGGTTATTCCACGGGCGACGAGCAGCTTGATGACGACTCAGATGATGACTCGGTCCGCGGCGAGGGCGAAGAAAACGGCGACGTCGACAGCGAGGATGCTCGGCGACTCCGAGAGTACCGTCAGGGCCGAGACCCATACGAATACCGCAATGGCGGCGTAAATGCCCTCGATGTGGAAGAGCGAATTGCTGCCCAGCCGCTCAACTCGGAGGACTACCCCTTGTACGACTCCGATGAAGAGGATGAGGAGGATGCCCTTCTCGCGGCAAAGAAGGCTGGTGGACCAAAATACTGGATCTTGCTGTCAAAGCAAAAGCTCGAAAGAGCCGGTGATTTGGGTTTGAAGCTCCTCTCGAAAATTGCACCTCTGCCCAAACCCACCCCTATTCCAAGCAATGGAGCCACTGTCGGTGGCTTAGTAGCTGGAAATGAAGTCCAAGCCAAGCGATTCAAGGCTCCTCCCGGAAAGCGTACGTCTTACCCTCTCTCCCTCCAGCATCTCCTTGATAACTAATATCCCATCGTTTTAGGCATTCACGTCCCTGTTCGTGTCGAACCAAAGGTGTACTTTGCTGCCGAACGAACCTTTTTGTCATGGGTAAGTCCTATTTTCCTCCGAAATGAAACCCCCATTCCTTTCGAGCACGAGACTAATTGCCCAATGAAAAATCTACAGCTCCAATTCGCCATCATCCTCGGCTCCATCGCGGCCACTCTGCTCAACTTTGGAGACACCGTCTCCCTCGCCTCCGCATGGGGCTTTACCGTTATCGCCGCCATCGCCCTCCTCTACAGCGCCGGTCTATACCTCTGGCGCGTCGACAAGATTCGTAAGCGCCGTGCCACAGGCTCATACCATGACAAGTACGGCCCCACGGCGCTCTGTGTGGGACTATTTGCTGCCGTTGCAGTTAGTTTTGGATTGAGAATCCGAGAGGATGGTTGGTTTGAGCGGTAAATTGTATAAGACTACCTAGGTTGCAGGCTCTTTTCCCGTTTTTCCTTGTCTATATCTAGAATGTCGAGTAAGGATCTAGTTGTAGTCTTTTTTTGGATATGCCTCTAGTTTTTACCTTTGTATGACAGTATGATAGTTTTGTATGATATCTCAGGTATCTTGAACATATTTCTCTACAATCTCATACTGTTGATCATCTTTAGAGTTTGTGTCCTCTTTTGTAATGACGTTCAGATACTGTAGTGCCTCAAGGATAGGTGATGGGGATCAATCAAAAAATAGCATGGTCAATAATTAGCACGTACATTATAAAAGAATCTCTTCACAAACTTTAGCTTTTTTCTAGAATTCTAACTAGTTACTACTATATATGTTCATCAATCAAGAGAGCGACATTTGAGATCAAGAACGCAGTATTAATCTTTTAATTTTTTTTTCTCTCTCGTTCTCTCACCCAGAAGCGCCGGCTGTCGAAGAGGTAGTCGCGCCCTTGGATACCGGAGTGGACTGTCCGCTTGAAGCCGAGTGGGGCTTGGATGACGCGCGAGCCGACGAAGCAGAAGGGCCAGAAGGAGAAGAAGAAGGGGACGAAGAGGATGATGAAGAGGATTTGAAGACGTTATTTTTGCCCGCGGCGATGCTAGTGTCTAGTTGACCAAGAGCCCACGCGATGGTGAAGACGGCCAGCATGCCAAAGACAAGGGTCAAGGGCTTGCGCAGGCCGGCGGTGAACGGGTAGTCGTAGGTGATGATGAGATCTTCGCTGCGGGCCTGGTCGACGACGTTGAGCGCGGTGAAGGCGAGTGTGGTGCGGCCGAGCGTGTCCATGAATGTACGATGCAGGGACTGCTCGACGGATGAGACGGGGATGGAGGTCTCGTATTTGACGTTCCTGGGTTATGTTAGTCTCGGGAGTTGTCTTTTGCTCCTTAAGGAAGAGAAATGAAAGAAAATGGGAGGGAGTAAAAGTTGTAAGGCGGGGTTCAAATTGAGAAAAACGTACTTTGCGCCCTCGGGAAGAATGACTTTGACTTCGACCCGCTCATACTCGATACCCTCGTTCTGCTTGGGTCCCTCGAGGAAAGGCACCTTGAGCACATACGTGTCGCCTGCGCTCAGCTTGCGGACGTACTTGGCCAGATTGCCGTTCCAGCCGATCCGGAAACTGTACTTCCAGCCGCCGAACATGGGGTAGCGGGGCCGCAGCTCGAGGAGAGATTCGCGCGAGTTACTCCGGAATCGGCTGGTGGAGACATTGCCAATGTCGTCGGTAAAGTAAGCGTCTTCGGAGCCGGCGCGGAGGGGTACGGTGAGCATCTTCAGAGCAGCGGTTGGTGGCGAGTAGTACTGCGTTGCTTGCCACGTGACGCGGTTGAAGTTCTTGGAAAGCTGTGCGGCATTGTTGACAAGCCAGTACCGCTCCTCTGTCGCGAGGTTGCCGCCCCAGTGGCTGACTTCAATGTCACGCTCTAGAAGAGTGGCGTGGATCAAGGGCTTGGTGAACTCGTATCGCACACTGACGGGCTCGGCAGCCCCGGCGGGGACACTGCCGAAGGGGCCGTAGGTAAAGGAAGAGCCCTGCTTCTCGGGGAATTCCTTGTTGTCCTCGCCGGGAAGCACAGTGTAGTCGGGAACATCACTCGTAGGGAGCTTCAGCTTGGTCATTTGCTTCTGGGTTGGGTACACGCTGGAGCTGTACGCATTGAATGTGTACTGGAGGTATTGCTTGTCCGTCTGCTCAATGGTGGCAGGAAGAGGCTGCAAGGCGTCGAGAACAGTGTAGGAGATGGCGAGAGTCAGTCTCGTCGAAGGCTTGAGCGGCTCGGGGAGCCGGACGCGGAAGAATTGAGTGGGACTGTTCCCCCAGGTGTCAGTAGTTGTCAGCCTGGATAGCTTTAAAGAGGGTGTGACATATGGCGGAATCCTGCCAAAAATGGACATACCTGTAGGTATCAAACTCAATTGCCTCGACCTCAAAGCTGCCCTTTTCAGGGTCCTTCTTGTCCTTTACGTCGAAGCTGCCGACGTTGGCCATGACGTCGGCCTCGAAGGGGACGTAGTATTCATCCTGAGGGTTGGAATCCGTGTTCTCAATCACCACATTGACGGATTGCTTGACATAAGATTTCTCAAGATTGATGTTTCGCAAGAGATTGACATTCTGGAAGACCTGGGGAGGCTTGAAAGTGCTTGGGAGTATCTGTCGGGACGAGAGTGGCGTCGTCACATTAGGCTCAGCAGAGCATATGTTTGGAGCGAACACGGATAGAACCGCAGTCGCAAGAAGGAGGGACCGCATTTTGTCTGTTGCGAATTGTAAGCATGAGTAATAGTTTCTTTTCAATTGAATCATGATAGGGGATCTGACCTGGCGTGATATCCACTCCGTGACAATTAAATCAGATGGACCCTTATGGGTTGGAAGCTCATGGAGCTGGTGGATGGAGCAGTCGGTCCAAGGTGTCCTCATCCTCCGCGCGTTCAAGGTGGTCGTCTCGGTCGCTCCCTCACCACCCCTTACCCGGCGCTACCAAGCTACGCCAGAAAACCCCACATTATTTACCCCCCAGCCCTATTACACTTCAAGCTATGGAATCATAGCTGAAAGATCATACAGCTATGACTGTCCTGAGATCGTCTTTGCGGGCCTTCTCCCGCTCGCCGCTGGCCGGCAAAGTCAACTTATGCAAGACTTCAACTCGGAGTTTATCCACAAACAGCAGCTTCGTGCATATCTCTGATCACGTTCAGGAAGCTCTTCAGTCAAAGAAGCCCATAGTAGCCTTAGAGACAACTATCTACACCCATGGTACGGTCCGATCGCCCTCAATATTTACTTATAATTTCAGATGGTGCTAATATAACAACAGGATTTCCCTACCCGGAAAATATTGCTCTGGCTTCCCACCTCGAGTCCATCGTTAGAACGAACGGCGCTGTCCCAGCGACTATCGGAATCCTTGATGGTGTAGCGCACATAGGAATGGGAGTGGAAGAGATTCTCAAGCTCCTGGAGAGAGCTGGACAACAGGATACAATTAAAGTCTCGCGCCGAGATCTAGGGTATATTTGCGGGTTGGTATTGCTCCATTTATTCGCTCTCTTCTTACGACTTTTGGCTAACGGTTAGGTAGGGTCTCGCAGGGCGTAAGCTAAACGGCGGTACGACTGTCGCTGGAACGATGGTACTTGCGCATCTTGCGGGAATCAAGGTTTTCGCAACAGGTGGTTTGGGCGGTGTTCACCGAGGAGCCGAGAGTAGCATGGACATCTCCGCAGATTTGACAGAACTTGGGCGCACGCCCGTTGCGGTCATTAGCAGTGGCTGTAAGAGCTTTTTGGACATTCCACGAACACTAGAATATCTCGAGACGGAAGGTGTAGGAGTCGCTACATTTGCAGACGGCCGTCCGGAAAAAGAAGTCGATTTCCCTGCGTTCTGGTCCCGCGATAGTGGTTTCAAAAGTCCTGCCGTAGTTCGGACAGAGGAGGAAGCGGCTGCGATTATCCGTATGCTTAATTCATATTTGCTGATATTTCTCTTGGCTGATTGTTGGAACAGACGCGCAAAGCTCGCTGGGCATCTCCTCCGGCCTACTTTTTGCTAACCCTATTCCTACCGAGTTTTCCATTCCCAAGTCTGAAATGGACGTCATTATCACTCAAGCGCTTAATGAGGCCGACCAGAAGGGCATCATTGGCAAAGATAATACTCCTTTTATCCTCAGCAAAATTAAGGAATTGTCAAGCGGAAAGAGCATTCCTGCGAATAGAGCACTGATTGAAGCAAATGTCAGGAGGGGGACAGCAGTCGCTTTGGCATTGGCGAAACTGGAAGAGCGAGCTGAAGCCGGCCAGAGGGTCCGGTGAGATATACCAATCAAAAATAATGCACTTGACTAGTGCATGTGCTGATAAAGCATTTATTTTGTAAATAGATCTACGCAGCAGTTTTTCCCCGCCGTTCCCAAGACCGACCTGCCTACATCTGTGTCTAGCCCTTCGTCGTCAGAGCCCGCAAGACCCTCTCAACAGCCGCCTCAGTCGACTCGTGATACACCCGCAGCGGATGTTATCGTAGCAGGCTCCCTCGCAGTCGATCTTTCTTGTGATTTCGCTCCATTGCAAGGAACAGGCTCAGCCGACTTTTCGCCAAAACTTCACACATCCAATCCATCAGTCATCAGCCAAAGCCTAGGAGGAGTCGGTCACAACATTGCAAGTGCCGCACATGCAGTAGGAGCATCTGTACGCCTCTGTAGTCTAGTCGGCGACGATCTCAGCGGACGCGCCGTACTCGACAATCTCAGCAAACGCGGCCTCGGTACAGAAAGCATTAAAGTATTGGGCCCCGAATCCGGCCGGCGCACAGCCCAATATGTTGCTGTCAACGATGCCAAAAAGGATCTTGTCCTGGCCATGGCCGACATGAGCATTCTGGAGAACCTCGGTGCTATCCCTACTTCTTCTGAAGGCATCACTAGCCCTGGAAGCGTCAAATCACTTTGGAACTCACTCGACTTGGCCGCCTTGCAAGCCAAATGGCTCGTCGCGGATGCCAACTGGGACCCGTTAACTCTCAGCGAGTGGATAAACAAGGGCAAGTCTGCCGGAGCACGCGTAGCATTTGAACCAGTCTCTGTTGCAAAGTCCGCTCGACTCTTCGCAAAACTTTCTACCTCTTCTTCCTCTTCCTCTTCGGCATCAAAGCCACTTGGCGTCTTCCCCAACCAGTCTGTCGACCTTGCCACACCAAACAACTTTGAGCTCGCAGCTATGCACTCCGCCGCACGAGACTCTGAGCAGATCCTCGAAAGGCAAGACTGGTGGGAAGTCATTGACGCAATGGGATTCTCAGACTCTGGGTCTCGACCCCAGCTCGTTAGCGCAACAAGTTCCGCCCTCGTCGATCAAGGCGTACCGCAGCAAGCTATCCAGTTACTCCCCTTTATTCCTTGCATCCTCACAAAGCTTGGTGCCCAGGGCGTGCTCTTAACGCAGCTGCTCAGCGCGGGCGATCCACGCTTGACTGATCCTGAATCCGCTCCATTTGTCATCTCCAGGTCTTCTTCTTCGTCTTCCGCTGAACAAACTTCTCCTGCATCGCGCACCACTCATTTAGGAGGCGTTTATATGCGTCTCTTCCCGCCCGCTGAAATAGTGCCAGACACAGAGGTCGTCAGCGTCAATGGCGTGGGCGATACGTTTCTCGGTGTGCTCATTGCTGGATTGGCAGCAAGAGCAACTCCGCGATCTGTCCCTAGTGGTTTAACCCCAGACATCCATCTGTCGATGGAGACTGAGAGATTAGTTGATCTGGCTCAAAGAGCGAGTGTCTTGACCCTGAAGAGTAAAGAGGCAGTGAGTCCAGCGATAGTGGACTTGAAGGGGGAGATTAGTCTGCAGGGTCAGGATAACGAGCAGCTGTTTAGCGTGCTTTGATCGATGGTGGATAGGGTATGATGCTATATTATAGGGATATCATCTATTTATTTATCTACTAATTTGTTTTATTTATTTATTTTTTTGGCGATTTAGTATACTAGCCATGGCGTCCAAGTATTGGGTCTCATTTATCTGCGCTGATTTTTGAATATAGAATTATATATATATTTTTTAATTCATGTTGATATTTATCTCTATGCCGCTATAATCCGACCATTCAATCTATTCGACACCCATATTAATCCCCTAATAAAAAGGCAAAGAGCATCATCTCACTACGTTCTCTGAATGAATGCACCCAATTCCAGAGGATAACGCGTGACAGTCTGTATAATTTAGATCATATATTGCTTAAAATTCAATATACTACTGTGCAGAATTTCTGTATGCTATGCTATGGTATATTTTCAACAAGTCTTCGTCCCAATCCACGAATCGAAGACGATCATTAATACAAAGTTATGCAAGTATATGCTTTCCTTCCCCTTTTCTGGGGTCCACATATACATCCATCTGACATCCTCTCGACGGATACTGGCCACTGCCTCCTCTAGTTCAGTACACAGTCGATGATTTACAACTTGGATTCTCTCCACACGGGGGCGCGCTTCTCGCTGAATGCTCGCAGACCTGGGCGCATCAATTGCATTAGCTTTGTTTTATTTTTACTTGAAATAGAACAGAAACAGAAACAGAAACAGAAACAGGGAAGCATAAAAAAAGGGAAATAAAAAAGAAAAATAAAAAAGAGAGGGTAAAAAAGAAAGATAAAACAGAGAGGAAAAAAGGGAAGAAAAAAGAACAAAAACGAAAGGAAAAAGCGAGGAAAAGAGAACACAAAAGGAAAGGCATAAAACAAGAGCACTCACCCTCCTTGATATTCTCTCCCTTTTGCAGCGCAGCAAACTCCCTTTCAAGGGTGACTTCGACAGCGCGTTCGACAGCGGCAGTCTCCCATCCTTGGCGCAGACCAGCACGCGTGCAGATGATAGCGTCAGGGCTATTCTCGGCAATCATCGTAGCCAGACGGACTGCCTCGGGGACAACTTCATCCTGGGCAACAACCCGGTTGACAAGTCCCCACGAGTGCATCTCCTGCGCGCTCACGTTGCGACCGGTCATGGCGAACTCGGAAGCCCGCTGCAGGCCCAGAGTGCGAATGATGCGGGGCAAGGCACCGCCAATAGCGGCAACACCGCGCTTGACTTCGGGGAGAGCAAAGTATGCCGTCTCAGAAGCGATCACGAGGTCGCAGTTGACGGCGAATTCGCAGCCGCCGCCTGGATAGGTATGTTAGTTGGGTGATTTGGTGGCGTTAAGTTGGGAGGATAAAGGAGTGAGAATTGGGAGGTAAATTGGGTTCTGTGGGAAAAAATGGAAGGGGGGAGGGATGTGAAGAAGTTGGGTATGGAGGGACGATGAAGTAGTAATTGAGGTGAAAATAAGAGGAGGGGATTGGATGCAATTACAGAAGATAAAAGCAAAAATGGGCAAGAAAGTGTGAAATAGATGGACAAGAACTGGACAATAAGTGCAAATTAGACTAATTGCTTACCCATGGCAAGGCCATTGACTGCGGCAATGACGGGCTTCTTTCCCAATCGGCGGCTGAGAGGCTTGAACGCAGGCGCATTTCCCATGCGGTTCTGCGGATCAGCGTCGTCGGCCATGGAGTTGTTCCATTCTATCAAGGTCATATTTAGCTTTAGGAACTCGGCAGCAAGCACGGTAAATATGGCTGTCTATACCTTTCAGATCAGCACCGGCAGAAAAAGCCTTCTTGCCAGCACCAGTGATGATAGCAATCGACAAGCTAGGCTCGTCGTCGAGCCACTTCCACAGAGCGTCCATTTCCCACTGCGCGGCCGTGTTCATGCAGTTGAGCTGCTTCTCACGGCTCATAGTCATGAGCACGACGCGGTCAGCGGGATAGGAAAGCTTGATGAAGTTGGTGCGCGGGGGCTGGGTGACAAGCTTCTCCATCTTGAAGAGTTGTTTGGGTATATGGTTCGAGAAAGGGAATTGCGGGGAAAGATGTAAGCAGTGCAAAGACTGGAGATGTAGAAAAGAATATGCAAGAAAAAGCTTCAACAAAGACACCGGTTGTGGAAAGAAAAATTGAATGCAAAGCGAGTTGAATGATGGCAGGAGGTAAAAGAGGACTCGGGCAAGAAAAATGTCCAAGGGTCCTGCTTGTTGACGTGAGACTGGCAGCAACCTGACGGCCGATAAAGGAGAAATAATGGTGAGAAAGCGTCGGGCTCGGCAACGTTATCCCACGTGGAAACAGGGTGGTTATGTGACTAGCTTCTGAGTAGTCTCCTCACGCCCCCTTTCTCTACCGCCACTGATTCGTTGGCTGACCTGTTCATTCGGGATGGCGTCTTCAGTGGAGACTCAGCGTGTAGTCTTAGGCTGATGGAAAAATGGATCCATGGATGCTCGCCCATGCTCGCGATAGATGCTTGCCTTGTCCCTGGCCGAAGAAAATGCAGAGAAGCCGGAAAGCTTTCTCGCCGTCCGTAAGGGTCCGAGCTGTCAGTTGTCTATCTGGATGTTGATTCGTCTCCATTATATTGTTTTCATTATCAATTGCCTGCCGAAGTCTCGCAATTGTCTCTTCCCGAACACACACCATGGCCAGATTTCACTGTCCCCACATGGGCGAACCGGGATCTTGATCTTAGGCTCGGACATAACTGGTACGAAATAGTAAAGAGGCGTAGGAACCGGAGCAACTTGTAATCTTTCTGGATATATCGTAGGGGTCTGCCACTGCTCAATTCAACCTTCTTTCTTCTCCCTTGTTATTTTTTTTCTTGTCGTTGCGATACCCTCTTCCTCTCATCTTCTCACTGCTAGATCATTCTCTGTAAGCGGTCTGTGCCGATAAGACGACATCATCATGAGGGTTTACCAAGAGACGGAGATTGAGATCCCCAACGATCTCAACCTCACTGAACTCCTCCACACCACTGCCACTCCCGATGTTCGCGGCGACACAGTCATTGCCAGTGACAACTTGACCGATCGCACTCTCACTCTGGATCAGCTGCGAGATCGTGCCGGTCGCATTGCCCACGGTCTCAAGCGCAAGCTGAACCCCGCCGAGGGCGATCGGTGGGCGATTATCGTCCCCAACTCTGTCGATTATGTCGAGATCTTCCACGCTCTGCTGTGGACCGGCGGCGTTTCCTGCCCTATTAACTGGGCCTTGAAGGCCTCGGAAATTGGACGCGCTCTGTCGGTTTCGCAGCCACGGTTCGTTTTCGCATACGGCAAGATCATCTCCAAGGTCAACGAGGCGTTGGCCATTGCGGAGAAGGAATTGCAGAAGAAGGGCATCGCTTTCCAGCGCCCGCAGGTGCTCACTGTGGTCGAGAGGGTAGCTGGATACCCACATGTTCCTGATGACTTTTTTGAGGCCACGAAGCTGGCTATCCCCCATTACAAGCATACCGAGGATCACGTTGCGTCAATTCACTTGTCGTCAGGAACTACTGGTCTGCCCAAGGGCATTCAATTGACACACTACAACTACGTGTCCAACGTGCTGCAGCTCTACCATCACGACCCGTCTCAGTTCAACTCGCAGACGAGAACCGTTGGCTTCACCGTGAGTACAAATACTGTTCCAATGCGGGGAGAGTATTGCGAAGATGCTAACAATAGTCCTCTTTAGCCCTATGTGCACATTGCGCTTACGACGCTCCCTCTGTTCCTCGGACCATGGACTGGTATGCTGCACCACGCAATGCCCCAGTACGACCTGGAGACTTTTGGAAAGGTATGGCAAAATATTGGGAATATGTGGCCAAGGCAGATGTTGACGTTCCTTTTGGGAAATAGATGGTCAGCCGGGTAAAGCCCACTACGTTTCAGGGAGTGCCCTCTGTCGTGCTAAGCTTTGCCAACACGGACATTACCAACCGATATGACTTTTCCAACGCCAGAATCATCAACACTGGCGGTGCTCCGTTCAAGGTACCACCCACGTTGAAGCATTTAAGCATTAATAATCATGCTAACAATGCCATACAGGAAGATATGCTCGACCGCCTCATGAGCAAAGCGCCTTGGAAGACTGTGCAGCGTAAGTGCCTCCGATTTTATAATCCAGAGCTTTACTCACAGTCATAGTGTACGGTATGACCGAGGCAAGTCCCTACGTCGCCTACCAAAAGTACGATGAGACCGTGCCTAAGGGCGCTACCGGCAAGCTTCTTCCCAACCTGTAAGACGTCCTACACAAGGCTCTAGCCATGACTACTAGATCGTGTGCTAACAATCATCTAGACAAGCTGTACTCAAGAAACCCGGCACAACTGAAGACGCGCCAGAGGGCGGTCCCGGTGAGCTCTGGCTCAAGGGTCCAAACATTGCCAAGTACGTCTCTTTCCCCATCTTCCTTACCCACCAAATCCAAGATTCGCCTCGATCAATGCTGACAACCCCATTAGATCCTACGTCTTCAACCCAAATGCTACCAAAGAAGCGTTCCCCATGCCTGGCTGGTTCAACACGGGCGACGTTTGCACCATTGACGCCAACGGCTACGTCGCCGTGGTTGGCCGCACCAAGGAGCTTATCAAGGTATGTTCGCCCTTTCCACCCTATCTAACCCATAAATTACCATTTCCGCCGTGGTCTCATACAGACTAACACACAACAGTACAAAGGATTCCAAGTCTCGCCAATCGAGCTCGAAGCCCACGCCAACTCGCACCCGCACGTGATCGAGTGCGGCATCGGCAGCATTTGGGACGAGTCGCAATTGACCGAGCTACCTACCGCCTACGTCGTGCTCAAGCCGCACTTCAAGACGATTGACGAGAAGCGCCAAGCCCTCAAGGACATCCACCAGGCCGTGGACAGCCAGGTCAGCGGCTACAAGAAGCTCCGCGGCGGCGTGTGGAATATTTCTGCCCTGCCCAAGAACCCTACCGGCAAGATCCTCCGCAAGGAACTCCAAGGTCGCACGCTCGGACAGTGCTCCCTGCCTGAGCGCGAGACTGCCCGTCCTGCAGCCAAGCTGTAAAACATTGGTGCACTTTATATACGGTGTTCTTGCATTGTTTCCTACTACTCTTGTTTCTTTTTTCCTTCCCACATCTTCCATTTCCTTTCTTTTTTCTATTTCTCTTTTTATCATATAGCGTGTAATTCTTTTTTGTTTTTTCCCTTCTTTTCTTCTCATCATATACTGTGTAAATTTTCCTTTTCTTCATCTCGCCCTATCATATAGCATGTAATTCTCAATTCCACTTGTTTAGCGCTTATGGCATCTCACTCTGCACATGTAGGTTTTTTTTTCCCTTTCACTAGATTCACGGCATATAGAAAAATTATAGAAATACAGGGACGGTCGATATTTAAAAAGCTTTCAAGAACAATGTTTTGGCTTTTCCCCCCTTTTCAAACGCATTGTGATGATTGTGCTGTAACCTTTTCCCGCGCAACCACGGCATGTCAATCCCTTCTTATCTTATCTATTGTTTCTCCTCTTCTGTCCTATGTGCCCTGTTGCCCACGGTCTATCTAAAGTTCCATTATCTACCTACCTACCTACCTACCTTTCACCATACCAGCCTACCAAAATCCGCAAAGAGGGGTGGGGGTAAAAATGGATTTGTTTTTAACTCTTTCAAGTTGTTCAAGAAACCTGCAAAGACGATAAAAGTGGGATCACAGCTATTTTAGGGACAAGGGACAAAACGTTGTCTCTGTAAAAAGGGAGGCCGAAGAAGTAAAAAAAGGCAAAAGCCAACGACCTGATGTAAACCAAAGCTTCTATAAGACAAAACCAAAACAAAATAGTACCAACGCGGAGGGAAGATATCTATCAGCGAATCACAGTTGCAGGTCACGACTCACATGGATGATGTATATTCATGGGAAGAATTTGGATAAGAAAATAAAGGGGGGGAATATAAAGGAAGATAAAATACAAGAAAGGGGGAAAGATAAAGTAAAGAATACTACGTACCTTCGTACGCATGAATAGAAATAGCAAAAAAAAAGGGGGGATATATTTGGACCAAGAAAAGTGCAGTTGGAGAGAATGTCTGCTGCGTGCTCTAACAGGATACAAGAATTAGCATGGCACCTAACGGTAGATATAAATTTGGACAAAGTATTCCGGGTCAGCCAGTCTGGAGAAAACACAAAGGAGGGAGTAAACCAGGGAAAGGCTGTATGGTAAGATACTCCGTAGTGATATGTGATGGCTGCGAGAAGTCAAGCTGTAATATGGAATAGCACGGCAAAAAAACCCCCCTATAAGATGAGATAAAACGGTATGGAGGGTAAGTAAAATCAAAACCACCAGTTATACTTCATGCTTCGAATAAGTCTGTAGACTGTGGCAGTGCTCGTCACGATTCATGGCCTTTCGTACTCCGTACCAGCCTCGAACGAACGTACTCCTTGGAAAAGAGATTGTCCTGTGGTAAGCCCTTTTCATAGTGTGTAGTAGTGAAATAAGTGTCATAGTGAAATCAGAGTAATGGTGAAAGGCGTGTAATAATGAAATAAACATGACAAACAACCAGGAAAAGTTGGAAATCCGAGTAATAAAGTTGGAAAGATCGACACGGTTGCAATTTTAAACAGTAAAGTGTATCCGCGGATCATCAAACTCAGGGGAGGTCGGGAGCGACGATCACACAGCCTATATGTGCAAATCCATTAAGATCAACGCTCAGCAGGACCACTTCAAATACAGCAGAATCCCCAAGACCATGGTAACCTTGGTGCCGAATCCTCCAAGGTCGCAAATGTTCGCAGATCGTGGTCCAAAACCAAGGAAAGGAATCGAATACCGGTACAGAAATCGAGCGCAAGACGAAAGAAAGCGACGCACACAAGACCAATTGTCATGGAAAATCAACCGGCAACAACACGAGAATTGAAACAACAATAGCGACAACAAACTGGCAAAAACGACAATGCAACGAAGCAAGAAACGAATCGACGATGATGGCAGAACTTGACTCAGTTTGATGCTCACTTCTGCTATCTCAACATTCGACAACCAATTTGGTACGATAATGCTGGCTGAGAAAGACGCCTCCGGAAGCGTTGCACCGCCGCGCACTCACCATGACTGGCAATGCTGCCACAACCACCGCCACTGCATGCTTTCCAATTTCGACACGTTCAATTTACCTACCATTCGGTCTCTCAAACCTCTGGGCCCAACGACATTCTTTTTCAACTCGGTCCGTTGACAAAGTTGAAATGCTCTTGCGAGGGCCGTATCGAATAATCCCGCCTGCGCATTAATTCACAGCAAGGAGTCCTCTATTAGTTCATTTGGCTGATCATCGATGCTCCTGGATCCGTTATCCAGCATACTCCCACAAAACCCACAGATCCTACCTGCACTCTACCGGTTTGGCACTCGGACCCCTCCTGTTGCCCTTCTCTCCATTCACCCCTGTCACCCTTTATTGGTGCACTACTTCGTACCCATCACCTTTTGCACGATTTTGATGGTGGTCTGTCAGTGGCAATTGAGACCAGATCCACTTCTCAAAGGTCACAATGCTCATCTCTGGGAGGAACCATCGGTGCTGCTGTACCACAAATCGTAGTACTTCCGTACTCACTCCGTCTTGTAATTTCGTAGCTCTCCACCCAGCGGGGACTCTCCACCTTCCACCAACCATCGGTAGAGCCAATCAGCCGTCCGAACCGAACGGGATATTTGACCGAGAACCCTGGTTCACTCAATGCTGGTTTTCCACTTAAGACGGTTAGTACACTCCGTTAGTGACGTTTAGCAAGCCCCTCAATATGCGTCCTTGGCCAGGGTGGTTTTCCACCAGGAGGTTCGTCAATTGAGCAGGGATCCAGAAAATTTTTGCATACCCTTGAAACTCATCCTCGAGGGTTTGTCCACGTTTTACCCTTGACCTTGTACTCAGGGAAACCCTTGAGCCGGCCCGGTACCCAGGTCACCCTCACAACCCCCTTTTGCTCTTTCCTTGCTCTCACGCGGCACCCCTGAATCTTCGACGGAGAAATCTAGAACACGGAAAAAAAAATTTCACCCCACCTTTAATCGGCCTCTGCTGGTTCCGCAGTTCAAAAATTCTCAGAACCTCAAATAATTAAAAACGTGCAATTGAGCCATTGGCAATTCCGATCAAAAGTACCTCAGTGCTTGCAGCAAGACCTCACTCTCGGCTTCCTCAAAAGCTGCGGGACAAAAAGGTTGCACGGCTGTGATAGTTCTCTGGTCGTATTCTTCCCGCGACACCGGTAGGACCATGGCGCAACGGCCGGCTCGAAGCCGGTCCCGGGGCCGGTGCGGGCGGTTAGTGATGTCAAAGGATGTGGGTCGTCAAGCCGTGGATTTTTCATACTTTCAAGCAGGGTAGAGTGACTTTGGCGTCGCCTGGCGTCGCTTATCCGCCCCTGATCTTGTCCCGGCTTGGTATACTTGGCTTTTAGTGGAGTTTAGCTTGTTTTTGCTTGGTTCTGTCTGACGCGGCTCGTTTCTGCTATTCGAACCTATACTCTAGTGGATTTCTTCACCCTTTTGACTTTAGGCCAGGTTGGCGCAATTTTATCTTTGACTGAGTAATAACTTGTTCAAATAAAAGTTGCTTTTGTTGAAAAGTATTATTGAACTGCTTGGAAAAGTGGTCTGATAATTTTGGCCGGTCGCAGTGCAATGGTACTGCGCGGGAGTTGTACCGCATGATTAGGAAGCATCGAGAGCAGAACAGGATCAGAGAGGCCGTCATCTGTGCACAGTGAGCAGATTGCAGAACGAAAGAAAGACGCACGGATGCCAGAAAGATAGGCAAACGAGTGGCGTAGCCCGGAGTGTCCCCCGCGCTATTGTCGCTGCTTACGATTGACAAATGGTGAGGAGCTTGATGGCGACATAGAACGTAGTATAGCACTGCCTGTGGCTGCTGATTATCATTCAGCCGCTGTAGACTAGTGACTGACCTCGCCAACATGTCTCTCGGGCTGAGCCGTTACCAATTCTGACTGTGTTCGTCCCACAGCCAGTATCACTATCATAATCAAGGGAAAAGGCGTATCGGTTCAAGCGTTTCCGAGAAGACCACGCGAGACAAGTACGGAGTATATGCCCCAGGACCATTAGTCGACACATCCTTCCGCAGTCTTGATTGAAAATGATGACTTGAAATCACGTAATGTTGAGATCGTAATTGCCTGCAGCCCCAATGACAAATCTCATCTTAGCCTGAGCTAGGGAGTTGTCAGCGAGGAGCAGAATATGATGAACATGCATTTTTTTGCGAATTTGCCAAGAACTTATTGCACTGAGCTTCTACCTGTTGTGCTGCACGACGAGTAAGTAGTTTGGTTAGCTTCATCTCAAATGCTCTCGTAGTGTGCTGCTTAAGGAGGACTTATCGCCCGTGGTAAATACACTCCGATCATATTAGACCATGATCCAACTCAAACTATTTCACATCACCAGAAGGGTAATGAACTGCAACTCCTCAGAACAAAAAAGAAGGGACGTAAGCCGCAAGCTCCGGACTACGTACTGAGTTATCGACACATGGTAGGGAGAATGGCTTGTAGGGCGCTAAATCGCCATGTGTCTTACACGTGGGTATTGCGCATGTTTACTATCTCGTAATCCACACTACTGACGATCACCGTCACACGTTTTCAATTACATACAGTAAAATTTCTTCATTCACCGCCATTTATCCAGCTCTAATTCAGCGCAGAGCCACAAAATGCTCCTTGCCATACTGAATCTGCGCGAAATCTTTGAACAGATCACTGCTCCTTTTGGAATAATAAGACTTCTGCGCTACTAGATTCATTCTACTCGTATCCATTCTTCTTTGCATTGATTAGTCCGAGGGAGTTTTTGCACCACGTGGAATTTGCGTGGATCAAGGGTCCAATTTAATTCAAAATGACATTTGAATTTCTCCACACCGGGAGAGAGCTTTGGTCCATTCCGAACGGAGCATCTTCCTTATCAAGGTTGAAAGTAATTAATCTGTCTTTTCCATATTACCGTGATGCCGAAGTGTTACCGATCAAGCGTCACTACGTAAGGATACACAGTCTCCGGTCGGACAGATCGGCATAGGGCGCAAGATTGAACAAGCTGCTAGAGCAATTTTCGAATGTCTACACATGTGGGAATAAGTTGGCTGATTGAGCTACTGCAGTAGCTATCAGCTGTGACACAACGATTTTCGGTAATTGCTTTTTTTTTTTCTTTTTTGAAATCTTTACATTATTTTTTTCCCATTTATTTGGTCATGCCTTATCTACTCTATGGCTGAGAAAATGATTCACCAAGTGGTAGAATCGCAAAAAGAGGGGTAAGAATAGTAAGTCTCTCAAAGTCCTCGTATAATGTAATATGCAAAAGATGCGCCGCGGGAGGGGATATCTATTCGATCGAACAAAGAAAAAGTAAGAGGCGAGCGATGAACTTCCCTCGGCGTAAGACTGTTTATGAAAAGTAAAAACATAAAAACTGCCACCCGCAATGCATGCAAAATGCGTAGCTGAAAAGCGTCCGCTCTTCTAAAATTCAGGAAAAGCTTCTATGAACGTAGACACTTGCTTCATTTATTTTTTTTGCATTTGGAAAGTCAATCAGCAGATTATGCCTTCTCGTTTCCACTGTACTGCTGGCCAGCATCGCTGGAAGCGCTGGAGAAGGCATCGTCGGAGCCAACGTGACGAAGCTTGCGAGCAACCTCACCGGTCATCTTCTCATCAACGTCCTGTGAGAGGAAGGCGCAGATAATCGCCAAGCCACCAAAAGCGATTGAAGCAAGGAAAACAATCTTGAAAGATTGCGCAAATGTAAGCTTCGCGGCTGTCTCAATGATGGAAATTTGCTTGTCGGTGATTCCGGCAACTGCGTGAAGGTCTGAACCTCCAAGAGCGAGCCCCAAGGTTTCCTTAAGCTCCGACTCAGGAACACCTGACCCGAGGATAGCTGGGACCATGTACTTTGGAGCATTGACGGTAAGACGACCGTTGAGAATGGCCACATAGATCGAGGCGGCGATGGATCCGGCGACTTGTTTGGCACCGCCAAGGAAGCAGCTGGAGAACCCAATCTCACCGGGCTTGCACACCAAAGTAGCATTGACAATGGTGACCAGCTCAAGGTAGCCGACACCGAAGCCACCAAGAACGGTGAAAGCAAGACCCAGGGGACGCCTGTACTCGGTAAGAGCAGCCAAGCCGGCCAGGAAAGCAGTCATGATGACGGTAGAAGCGACCAGCTGCCATCTGGCGAAGCCAATGCGCTTGTAGAAAAGGCCAGCCATGATCTGGCCAAACACCACACCGGCGCCTGTGCTGCACTGTAGCAGATACAGTTAGCTGCTGTCTCAAGGATCTTCGTCACATCTCAATGGTAGTGGACTTACAGCAATCCATCCAATCTCGATATTGTCAGTTGTGAACAGATGCTCAATCTCAAGGGGCCACAGAAGGTTCATAGAGAAGTAGACAATGGTTCCAACTGAACCAACGCCGACATTGGCAAGGAAGTTCCGGTTCTTGAAGAGCGATCGCGGCATCAGAGGTTCCTGAATGGGGGCGAAGGTATTCCAGAGACCAAAGAACAAAAGAACGACGCAGCCAATGATCAAAGTCGACAAAGTATGGGCCGAAGTCCATGGGTAAGTGCTAGGGCCCCAAGCTATAGAACAATACAAGTCAGACCCGGGAAAAGCTTCAGACTGATCGAAAAGGTTGAGACTTACAGAGACCGAGGAAAAGGCAGACAAGACCACCGGTGTAAAGAACGAGACCAATCCAATCAAATTTTTTGAGCTCAGCCAAGCGAGAGGTCGAGCCGTTAATTTGCTGGTAGTTGGGGGGGTGGTAGAAGATGGCGTAAAGAATAGCAGAGACGGAACAGCAGACGATGTTGAGGACGTACATCGCGCGCCAACTCAGATGAGTATTCGTGACCAACAACCTGGCGAATGCCGGTCCCATGGCGGCGAAAGGAATCGTGCAAGCAAAGAGACCTGCGTCAACATAGGCACGGTACTTGTTCGGGACCAGTTCCGCGATGACGAAGCTGAAAGTCAATTGAACAGCGCCTGCAACACCAACAAGCACGGTTCCGCCAATGACGGTGGGAACGTTCTGGGCCGTAGCGCAGACAATACCACCAATGACACCGAAGCACTGTCCTCCGATGAGGAAATATCGACGACCGAAAATATCACCAAGACGACCGACGAGCATAAGGAGGACGCCGCTAACCAGCGTAAAAACAGTCGAGCACTGGTTAATCAGACTGCTTGGGCCTGTCGCATAATATTGTCAATTGAGGAGTTCATGAGCCAAGTCCGTGGGGTATCTTACCGATATCTGCATTAATGTTTGCAAGAGCATTTGCAGGCAAGACGAAACCCAAATATAAACTGATCGCAAGGAAACCACTCGCAACCACTGAACCAATAAAGTTCATGCTTTTAAAGTATCCAGCCGGCAGAGTCTCCTCGTTCGCCTGAGCCAGCTCTTGGACGAGATGATGATGGTGAGGCTTCTCACCGGGCTGACCGGTGGATTCCGGTCGCGCCTGCGTGTCAGCGACAGGCGCGGCATCCCATGTTGTCTCCGGCTGGGCCACCGGGTCCTGCACGGGCTTTGTAGAATCGACGTCGGCCATGGCGGGTTTAATTTTGAGCCACCTGGATATTTCAATGGGAGTCGACCTTCAGTGATTTCCGGCTGCTTCAAGCAGTCGACTCAAATGTCCGCAAAGAGTAGGTAAGCACGCCAACAATGGCCAATGCAAACTCAAAGAGGGAATAATGCAGGAAACTGAATTTCGAGACGGTCTCCAAACATCCAAATCGAAGTCTGCATCCGCGAGGGGTTGCAGTCTACTAATGTAGTCTTTGGAGGAGAGGTCGTGCTTCTCTGCTCATTTGCTGCTGGCCCCACGAGCGTGCAGGGGCGAGAGGTCAATGAATCAAGCGAGGCCCCATGGCCACTGAGGAAGGTCTCAGTTGAGTGCGGTAGTGCGCGATGCCATCCTGGGACCACACAATGGGGGTCCCACGCTGGTCAGGATATCGGATGGCATGGAATAGCTTTCTGCCATCGCCTAGATAGTAGCGGCACTAGTTGCTGGGCAAGGGGATGCCAGGGCGCATGTACTGCAATGCGACAAAAAGGTCTTCGTCGTTAACCGGCACCTCATGGGCGAACTGCGTCCCCGGTCTCTCCTCCGGGCGGCCCCTCTTCGCACGCTATAGAAGCGTGGTTGATATCAGCCAATTGAGTCGGCCAATGATGCACGCGACAAGTGACAAGAGGAAAGCAGACACGAACCTCTCCGAGGGGTGCAACGAGCAAGGGAGTAATGCCGAAAGGGAGAGTGAGTGTCAGGGTGCCAGGCGCCCTCGTGCAGAATCTAACCGAGAGGGGGGCAAAAGAGTGGTAACTCTCGGGCGGTGCACTGGTGCCCCTACCTAGCCAGCGCTGGTAGGAGGTTGATGCCATGGTCTTGCTAACTGTCACCTTTTTTCGGTCGCTCGCCAGCTCCGCTCTCATCTCCTCTTTGCTCCCCAAACCCAGTCCAAATCCGCTGTGGCGCACGCGAGGGTGGGTTCTGACCGGGTCCACATTCATCATTGCTTGATGGAAGCGGGTCGAGATAACGAGCGGACAATTGCCCAACTCCGTATAGTGCTCTTCTGAGCGTATACAGTTTGCACCATGCTTTATTTTTTGCGTGCTATCAGTCGCTCGTAGCCAGCCCAAAGGTGAAATCAGAACCCAAACTAAACTCACCTTGCTACAATGACAGTTTTCAAAGCGGCCTCACAAGGTGATAACGCCAAGCTATCAAGCCATGAGGGAAGAGAAGGCATGAAGGATCAAGTTATGGCCCACAGAGGGTTCTGGCCGCTTTGCAGTTTTCCACTTCTGAACAGGGCCGCCGCTGCCGGCGGCAACTCTCGTCATCTCCACGAGGGCCGAGGGATCGCGAAGGGATGCACTCGCGAATCGCTAGCATCGGTCCAGTCCAGTTGATTAGTCTCTCTGAAAAGAGAGGTACAAAGTAGTTGTGGTGTTACCGACCATGCTATTGGCACTTCGGTGCGGGTCTCCACGCACTGATTCCCTCATGCACTGATCGAAGCATCATGGAAGAACTTTTTACAGGATATGATCGGACAAGCCAGATAACTAAGCCAACAGTCGATTCGCCGAAGCATCCGAACCTCTCAAGTCTGATGCAAATCGTTTCTGAAAGTAACTCTGCACGCCGTTGATCACTCAATCGGAGCAGTCTGTAATAAGCTCCACGCTGGGTTCGCCCAGTCAATTGATCAGTACTATTCTTCAGATGCGATTGACGGAAGTTCCGGCAATACAGAGTACTATTGATCAGGAGCATGTATTGGAGTCGAGAATTTCTACGGCCAAGGTTCTTTTGCCGGACAAACACCGCCAAAAACCGGCAGCAGGGCCGAAGCCGCTAGGGGCCGTGCCGGAGCTCGCATCGCCAATAAGGGGTCGAAATGATATTTTCGAGCATGGGCCTTGGCCATGTGCTGCTTTGCAAACTAGTAACGCCATGCCGTATTTTGTATCTCGCTGCAAACCTTGAGAGGTAATCCGTCGGAGTAAGCAGTCGAATATATCCATGCAGCCACATGCATGCAGGCGCTGAAGGTGGTTAAAAAAAAAACCGGATCTGGTCGTAACTGCCGCTCGTAAAGAGAGTATCCCCGGGATTGAATAGTGAAAATGCAGCATTTTCAGCAGCTACATGATTACTGGGCATCCATGATGCTGGCGATTTGATAATCTGCACAGGAACAATATGCTCTCTAGGCCAAATCTATCAATATCTAAGTGACAAATGTGGATCGCTGAGCGTGTGCTCAAGTCTTCTTTTCGGTCAAATATGCGTGTACATACCAAAGCATCATACGCTGTCGCAATGGACCGTAGAGTTTATTATGATTGTGGAGAACTACCCACTTGTAAGCGACCTAGCTGCCAAAGAGCTTTGCGATAAGGAGTTGAGCGCCGGTCAATAATACCCCTATACTAAGGGTCGCGAGGTTGCGAAGGGCAAAACAAAATTTGAAAGCGTTCAGCGTCTGATCTTTCCCCTTCTCTTTGTTTTCTCGCCTACTTCTCAACCCTGCGAGCGAAAGCGTCTCGGTTGAGACGCAAAATGAGCGTGGGGCACGAATTGTGGTCTTTTTGTTCTCGATTCTAGGCCGAATGTCAACTCGGTGATTTACAGCCCACAATAATCAGTTGATTTTTTGTCCGCTGTTGACGAATCATAAGAACCCCAGCCGATGAGAACCCTGAGACCATCCCTGCCATGTCCCTGGTCGCCCCCTCTCCCCCCTGTCTGTTATCCTGGTCCACTATAACGTGGGAAACCTTACAGCTGCATCGATCACCCTGCACGCGAAACTCTTGCTCAGCCCATGTGCGAAAAGAAAATTGCTGATCCTTTGATGTTCTAGGCTTTCAGGCCCTAGTCACGGATGCCATACATAGTTGAAAAGTATCTAAACGATGTGATCAAACAGTTCTGTGTGTCCGAACGGTTCGCCACCCATTCACCCCCGCCCTGAGCAAGCAAGGATCTCATCGCTTCGAGGATGGGACAAGGAGGAGCAGATATGCTGTTGTGAAATTTGCTGAGAAAGCACCAATGGCGACGCTGCTATCATCACGGCGCAGTGCTTGATACAATGTGAAAAGTCCTTGACGAAGCTCTGCAACACATGCTTTGTCTCACCATGCAGTCGATCTCCCATCATTGGTGCCGGGAAATTCAAGTAGTGCTGACCGTCGTCCAATGGAATAACAACCAATTCCTGTTGCTCAGGAGAGGTCCCACATTGTTGCGAAAATTGATGCCAAGTCAATGCCGAGAATTGGCGACCAATTCAGGGGATTGATTACCTGAAGCAATTTTATATTGAATCCTGTGTTCACCTACCGTTATGCTATGGAACGTAAGAAAAGCCGTTGCGCTTAGATCGCACAGATCGTTCGATTCGCGCAGTTTGAGAGTGGTTGCAATAATAAACGCGGCGCTTATTGTTGCCTTTTGCAACCTGCAATTTGTTTTTTGGCCTGAGTGCATACAGAACATCAGGCCATTTCTCCCTATTTAGTTGTTTAGTGTCTGCACTGCGGGGTAAGGAGGTGGTTCTGACACTTGCCATTTTAGCTCCCTGAGTTAGGGGTCCTGTGAATTTTCGAGCGTAGCTACGTGTAGTAGAGGATTTTTTTTTTTTTTTTTTTTTTTTTTTTTTGACGATATCGAAGCGATTTCAGAGCCGCGGTGTCGTATCGTATTCCGTGAAAAGAATCCTTTGCCAGGAGCATAGCTCTATCGTCTCAATAGTCTGTAGGATTCTTTGCATCTCAGTGCTTTTCCGAATGTCACAATTTTTATTCCATCTTCTTTCCTGAAACGAAATTCATCATTTCCTTTTCTCTGCATTATAGTCTTGGCAAGATCGTTTGCTGTTCGACATTACAGCATCATGCTGAAGCTCAATTCGGCGACGCCTGTGATTGTCGTCAAACTTTGTAACTGACCAGAATGAATGTCCTGTCCGAGGCAGACGTTTAGATGCGGATTAGCAGCTTTCTTCATTCGCAATTAGGCATTTCTTGACGCTCGACGATCGTTGGATGAATCAAACATGGAAAACGAATCAAGTGGCCTTGAGATTGTGGCTCAAGCCGAGGCTCTACCGGGTAAAAGGTTTTCGGAATGGCCTCCCAGAGGAATTTCAAACAGTCACAAAGAAATACTCTCCGCGGCGAAACCATAAGAATTCAAGTTCTAGAACGTCACCTTGTCTTAGAGCCCACGCCTGGCCAGCCCACACGAGACTCCGTACATTGGTTACACACTTCTTAGACTCGTATGGGAAGATTGTGAGGCGTAAGGTGCTCTTGGTTCCCGAGAAATAATGTGCCGTGAAACAGGAAAGTCAAGAGTAAGACATCCTATGGCAGAACTCCGATAATTGTACCATGAATCTCTTTCTTATGTTCTTCAATATCCCGAAACATGTTCGTCAAGGCTTGGGCCAGACAAGACGGTATTGAGATGTCGAACCGCCATCGTAACCGATGCCACTATGCGAATTGCGGTCATGGATAACCTCGGGGGCGTAGGGTGTCGCAAGAGTAGAAGGAGGAGTAGAAGGGGTCCTATATAAAATCCCGGAACCAGATTCCAATGCAGGTGAAAACTGAGACTGGTGAGCAGTGCGTGCAATATCGTGAACTCACAAATTACCTAGAGCTAAACTACGTTGAACTTGTATTACCGTCTCTGAGAAATCGTAGCAAATAAGTTGGTCACTTGGATAACCGTAATTGATGCCGCGGCATTCCATGTATAATTGCTCTGAAGGCGATGGCCAAAGGTGCTAGGGAGAATTAGTCATTTTTAGAATGTGATGGCCTGCGTTTGTGGTTATAGAGTCGGAGGCTTTCTATGAGTTTCCACATCTGCGACAAGTCTTTCCCTCTGAGTTTCATCGAACAATAGGAGTAGGGCTAAGGCGGGATTCATTCGGTGTGACATGTTTGTCTAGAGGAATGGGAAAAGATGGCCTCAGAAGATTGAAGATTACAGGGTGGTTACTCAGCAATGACAAGAAAGATGATTGCTCGCCATCGAATCGGGTATGATCGTATATAGAAAACAGGGACAATGTGCCAACTCAAACTATAATCTTGAAGCCGATTTGTCGTGAGGTATTAGGTCCGCATGATGCCTTGTACATAGGCGTCGAGTACTTGAATCGTGATTAGGCAAATCGAAAAAAAAAGCAACGGTTTTGGGACGATTGCAAGCGTACGATAGTGGGAGGCCCGCCGGGTGCGCTTGTATTCTTGCAAGGGGACAATGTAGGTAGGTAAGCCAATTAAGAAACTTCCTATTAGGTCTAGTACTCTATTGGCAACCATCTTCAAAATAAATTCTTATTGACATTCAAAAGCCGCTGTGAAACGAAGAAGCGGAGACAAATAAAGAAAAACAATAGTGAAGTGAAAGAGAAAGGAGAAAGGGTGGCCATTATAAAATGTGGCTAAGGCCCCAGGGTATAGCCGTGGTCCAAACGATGACGATGGAAGAGAAAAGAGAAAAGAAAATGGTATCGAACCGTAATGCAGGAAAAAGAAAGAGTAATATGCAAAAAGAGTCTATAGTTAGGCTCACGACAGATTAATCGTGTGCCGAATCATGAATCGCTGAGAGGTTCGCTATGTGCAGAACAAGTGAATCAGAAAGGAGGGGGGGGGGGAGAAGGACATCTACAAAACGTGCTGCTCTAAAGCGATTGTAAATGTGAAGGGTCCAATTATTGTGGATGACGGTAGCCAGTTATGTCGCCCGCGACGTTGACATAAAAGAATGTAGGGTAGTTGGCAGTGACTTTGGAGGGGGTACGACCCCGGATGTTGTAATCAGTCTATTTGGCCTCATGTTGCGAGGTGATAATGGACCATTTCGTAGTGACGGTGATGTCACCATGGCCAGGCTCGGACCCGTTGGCCATGATGTTCTCCTCACTCTCGCCGTCTTCCAAGATGCGCTCACGCTTATCGTGACGAGAACGTCCGAGGTCCGTAAGTGGCATGTTGTTCGTTTTCAGATCATAGTGATCACGAGAGCTTGCGCCGTGCGTTCTGTACATGCCGAGCAATCTTCGCATACCAGAGGACTGCATGACGAGCGTCTTGAGAGCAGGAATGCAAGAGGCAATGACGGCAGTGTTGACTTCGATGACGGACCAGTTCAATTGGTCAACAAGCAGCCCTGGAAGAGGAATGAGTCAGCTCATATGGACACGAATGGTGGCGGAGAGTCTTCGGTAGCTTACAGGTTGCATCGGTGATGGAATCTTTGAGATAAGTAGCACGGATAATACTGACGATACAAACGCTGTGACCGTTCCGATTAGCGTAAAGAGAATTGGGAAGCGGGAGGATTGGGCAGACTTACAAGAAACCCAAGGTAAACATAACAAGAACACCAATGTACTGGGCCTTTGGCATATTGGCGCCTCGCATCATTGGAATCGGCAAGGAGAAGACGATCAGGTCGGTTGCCAGCTTAATGCCGAATGAAACGTAGTAGAAGGTAAGTAGGTTGAGACAGGAACCTTTCATCAAAGGCATGAAGGCATGAGCGACAGGGTGGCATTGAAACACGACAACCATTGTCTCCTCGAGCCAATTGCATGTCAGGAAGGCGAGAAGGCAGTAATTTATGATCCGGAACGTCCGATGAGGGAAGATACGAAGATAGAGACAAACGTAGGACATTTTGATGGACATGAAAGCGGCAATATAAAGCATTTCCACGGCAAATTGATACTGAGAACATCCATTAGCAACGATTATATGCATGAAGTAAATTCCATACCTTAAGAAACTGCTCCATGTGCTTCATGCTAAGTGTATCCCAGTGACGACCTAATTCCGAATCACAAGCTGCGAGATTGTTAATTTGCGATACAGAATACTTGAGAAAGGCGGCGAAAAAAACGTACAAACAAGATCGATAATCATCACGGTCATAATGAGCACCTGGCATTTGATATCAGCTTCAAGAACATAATGTCACATTGTATTCCAATGCGGTTGCCGAAATCCATACATAGCTCAACGCACAAAGAACTGCGAGGAGACGAGATGTCAGTATTTCCAAGAGCACCAAGAGCGGCATCCGGGAAAAGCAACCACTCACAATCATCCCATCCTGCATGCTTGACCACAATGACACGCGAATATAGACGAAGGCCGACGGCAATCGTGGAGATGGCGATCAAAGCGGCATGACAAGCAATGATCTTGTAGGAATCAGATTCGGCTGCGCGATCCATTTGGACTGATTTGAGGCCTTCAGTGGCCAAGACACATTAACCGGGGGAGCAACGAGCGAAAAAGGACAAAGTCGAAGAGCACGAGAAGGGACGTGACGGCGATATAATAACGGTAAACAGATCAAGGAGATAACTGCATGAGAAGTCGGATTGAGGTGGCTGTCAAAACCCCCAGGGATGTCTCGATCATGCCTGATTAGCGAATGGCACGATGCTTTTGGACCCTCAGTCCTTGGATCTGTATCTGATATACCATCCCAGGATCTTCAAAAACGAGCGACCACAGGCGGGTCACGATGAAGACTAGAGCGATGGAACCGGCAGAATCACACGGTTGGAAAGGGAGTGGGGCCGATAGGGGGGAGGGGGGTCGCAGTTCGAGCCGGTTTGGCCTGAGAGAAAAAAAAGCCCTCGATGGGCCCCATACGAGGAGGAGTAAGTTAATTCGGCGAGCGATCGCTGGTGCGAAGTGAGAGAGACGGAGATGGTGTGTGCGGGGGCACAGCGGCCCACGTACCGGACCAAGACCTAATCAAGCTCTCGCCGCCGTTCGGTACCACTAGGGTTCACTCTACGTAGTGCTGCCCATGAAATGTCATCAGACAAGTTGCAGTCAGAAATGACTAGGACCGGGTTTGAGCGAGCTTCGGGTTCGGCAGCTTTGCCGCAAACTGCTGCATGGGTCAATTCATCCTCCCCCGAGCCCCCAACGCCCACCACGAGAAAAACGTCCCTCTTTCTTCACCCACGAGGGCCAGGTTCACCGCACCCAGTCCAACGTACCGGGACCGCTGAACCTGGGGTCTCAGAAGCCTGCAAGCAACGCTGATTCAAGGGGCCTATTAAGAATAGATGGACCGCGTTTCTCGAAGCATTTTGTCTTCAGTTTTGTGTTTCGCGAATGATACCTTGAGCTCCCCGCGTGGGACCCAAGGTACCCCAATCTGACGCTTTTGTGAGTACTGTTGCGAGTACCTCCAACCACTACCTCTGGTACGCCTACGAGCACCTCATCCTCTCCTAAAATCGCCGAGAACCCGCGGCACTCTGTAATAAAGAGGCGTCCTGGACGGGTTGATTGTTTAGGTCGGCCAAACGCCTGCAGCGACGGCGTCGTAAGTGCCGTGGACGGTGCGCTGAGGTCTGCTTTTCCGACTGGGAAATTCCAGCGCGGGATGACTGTCACGTTAGTTAGGTCCATACTGCATCAAACGCAAATCTTCTTCCTCGTTTAGCTGAGATGCGTACGCTCCTCGCCAAACAGACAGCCCGCGGTGCTGGCGAACTAAGAACAACATCCTTCCCACCCAAGGAAATGATCATGCCCACAGCTCTTTGGGCCTTTCTCTCTTTGACACCATCATTTGCATGGGAGACTCTGCCGCCGGCTTTTAATTCTCCGAGTTCTTTTCCGTCCTGATTAGTGCCAACAGTCCGAGGATGGTGTTCTCATTGGCTTTCTGGACTCGTAGCCCGCGTCAATTAATTTAGTGACCATCACCTGGGCACCCATGCCCACCCACACAATAAGTCATCGAGGGTTTCCGAATAGGGACAATCGCTGCGAACGCAGCTCAAAGTGACAAATACATCAATGCTGCGCTAATCGTCCACCGGAAGGCCTTGGCAAAACTTTGTTTGTGATGCCCAGAATTCTTTTTTCGTTGACATTTACTCCAAGTAAGAACCTTTGCAAGACACCCATCTCAAACGTCATACTTTTCGGGTTTTGCCCAGATCTGGTCGCCAATCGAGTTCACGCCCTGTTAGGCGTGCGCAATTGTGTATCGCACGTGGCGATGATAAATATCATTATGATCAACAATATGCTTTCCTCTCGAGGACTCAGGCTACCTTGCAGATTGCGTAAAGACGGGACTGAAAAGGCCGATCAGGGGGCAACAGTGATGTTTTTTGGGTAGAAGGTACCCGCGGTCATGGACTAATTGCCCACTCTCAAATGTAGCTAGTGAGCCGAACAGGGTATGCCATTGCACTAAAGAGACCATACGCAGTAGTCACCTGGTTCAGGTGGTCTAAATTTCCCAAACCCCTGCAATTCTCGGTTTCTGAAGCACTCGAGGGGAAAAGGAAATGGACCGCCTGCCGTCTATAGAAAAAGATCGGAATACACTTCTGTACTCAATCGACACTTTAGACTCGTGGATAAGAACGATCGATCTTGTACAATCCCTAACTGCCCCACAAGCTCAAATTTTTTGTCCTGTACAGAGTTTAGTTGATGATGAACCATCGAAGACGAAGAAGTAGCAGACGAAGCCTCAAGGGACACCACCTTTGAGATTCCACATTGAACACGGACCGCTGTGGTCTCGGGCCGAACCAATTTGGCGCGAGGGGCAATTATTACTGTCCACACTGTCCAACCCTCAGCCAAGCCGCCCTTTGATGGTCACCTCAGCGTAATTCGAAGCCAAAGCGCTTTTCATCGGAGAAAAAAAGCGAAATTTGGCCACTTCGACCTGAAGCCGTCGGTTCGGGAGAAAGGCCGTCCACGGCCCGCTTGGTCCGGACTCAGGTCTCCTACCAAGGACGAAATCTATTGGTGGTTTGTGGAGCAGTCTTCAGTCCGACGCGGATGCAACAATAACCGAGAAAGTTCTGGCTGTGGTAACCTGAATTGCCATTTTCTTAGACAAAGTGAATCCGGTAGCCTTGAAAACTGCAGCCTCTCCAGCGAGGATGGAATCGTATTAACATAAACTTTATATCCGTGGATGGTATACCCTTGATCCTTTTTGCCCCTTGGAACCTGTCATTCAAATGGATATGTCCCGACAGCTGTCCAGGGCCCTGGGAGACACCCTTTCACCTTCCCACCCAGAAAGATGGTTGTGGCGGGATGAACCGTTGTGCTCGCAGCTGTCAACCAGCTAATAGAATGTAACTGTATCCATGAGAACGGACATTTTCCTGTTGTAGAAGGCGTTCGTTCTAGCCTGGTCTGTTTTGGTGGGGCATTCCCAGTCAGCATCCAAAAATCATCTGATGATGCTCCAGCAATTGACAGGGTTTAGAACTCGCTCCCTTGAATAGTCTTTGCTCGCCCGCTCGCTCTTCCGCCACCTAATTTGGGCCTCCCATTATAACAAAAAACAAAAACTCCTCATTGGACCCAAGCATAACCACGGTAGCCATTGGATGTCATGGTAAAAGGTGGGACCCTTAGCTTGGCCAGGTGGAGGAGCCCAGGAATTATCCGTGGGTCAGGAAGCTATGCGCGGAAGAGCTGAGCTTCGTAGTGGAGACTGGTAAAATGAGAGTGTGTCTATTTGAGATAGCCCTGGGAGAAGCTGGTGGAATCATTGTTCTAATCGAGTCTAAGAGTCGCTCTTCTGATAGCCATTCATTGGGTGAAGTAACTAAGGTAAGTTTGAAAGGCAATTTTCCTCAAGTCTTTTTAGCAAACTTCAATCCGTTCCCTCTCAAGAGGATTAGACTTTTGGAAAACTTGCTCCGTGAGGGCTCCACTTTGACAAGTATTCGGATGAGTTAGCAGCAGTTGGGATGGTTGCTTGCTAAGTTATACCCTGGTAGGATAGAGTTTGAAAATCGAAGCAGGTACTTCTAATATCAGACTGGAGGGTTCGAACGAGGTTACGAGGTATATTCCGCGGCAGTCGCACAGTAGCCCTTTGTCTAAAGCAAATGCCAGCTGTCAAGGTTCCGTGAATTTGCACACATCCATCATTCGGCCGAAAAGCATATATTGCAAATTTTTTTTCTCAGGTTCGTTCCTTGATGCTGTCAGGTGACATTAATCTAACGCCATTTTCATGATGGATGAGGGGCAGGTACTAATGGAAGTGCCCTACGAGCTTTGAGGCGGCTCCCTCTGGCTATAGGCTTCACTGATGGGTCCGAATAACCTCAGCTTCCAATGCACTGATGGCTCAGGTAGCATTTTCATTGAATTAGCATCGTTCTGGTTCAGGGTTCCAGCTTATCAGTCCTCAAACAGGTCGAGGCTTGAAAATTCTCACGCCTGGCGAACGACTGACCACTTACCCAGAATATAAACACAGGGTGACCGTTGACATCCAAACGTGCTATTCAAAGGTCCAACGAATCCTCGATAGCAAACACAGTTTTCAATGCAGAATTACATCAACTTTTCATCAACGCTATGCTGGAAATTCTCTCACAACTGACTGACGGTTATTCTCTCCTTGCACGCTTGCCCGCGAATGCTTGTGGCACATTGTACTTGGCCACAGTACCTCAAAATCAGCTGCAGAAGCCTTAACACCGATACGCTGGTGATCTGATCTGATTAGGTTGACGATATTGAAAGGCTTTGCGTACACTTTGACCGCCTAGTTATTAGCACAACTACGTTGGTGCGGAAATTACATGCAGTGACTGAGCAAGTTGCGGGTGCGTCGATACATCGGGGAATATCCAGGAGAGTTTATATATTCAAACAACTAAATGAACTATACTCTTGTCCGGGCTCTTCTCCTTGCGCATGGTTCTCACAAAACATGCACATTTTTGCCCTTCTGCTGAGACAGAATTGCACCAGGAACTCCATACGGGACGTGCAACAGCTAAACTTTAAAGCAGTAGTGGTGATGGATTATGAATTTGTGGTGATTCCGTCGATCATCTGGCCTTACAGCCAGGCCTTGATACTGCAATTTCCTCATACCTACATAAACCAGCTGCTACGATGTAATCTTTGAATAAGGGTCTTTGGCTCTTTGGTTTTACAAGCCCCAAAATTTGGCAATATTACGAAGGAATATGCGAATTGCTTTTCAATTGAATCGAGCAAAGATAGCCACATTACTCCAAGAAAATTTCCAAAATTCGAGTATATATGATCAGTGGTTACATAACAAAACTCAGAAAGTCAATATCGTCCTGGATGACGGGTGTGATTGCCAGGAAGTCTAAGTCTTTGATCTTGACCAAGTGAGCCAACTTGCTGCTCTGAACAGGAAAATGCAAGCATAGAGGCTTCAATTAACATTGTCCTTGGATTTGGATTGGATTATCTTCCTTTTTTTTTTTTTTCGAAGGAAAAAAAAAAGAGTGTGATTGTACACTTAAGTCAAATCGAAAGGCCACCCAGAAATGTATCTAAATTTCTCAGAAGCACGCCTCTGGGCTTCTTTAGAATTCCACAAATATGAAGCTTCTCACATCCGCACACGATTTCCCTTTCATCGTAATTACTTATTTCTGAATAATGTCATTGAAGTAGTTCTGCTGCACACGTCTCACCGGATCGCCATTTTTTGAGGAATTTTAGGAGCATTCGTGGTGAGTAGTATAGTAAGAACAACCCTGATCATTATCTGAACTATACTTGCAGATCAACCCCCCGAAAAGGATATAATAATTGTTTTACTATCACAGGTATCATGCGATCATGCCACATGTGCAGCTGCACTAAAATTCGACACACCGATTGTCGAGAGACTTCTGCTCCGAAGTGGCAAAATTTCCCCTTTCATTTGGGCGATCCTGAAACTGTGCGAATCTGCAACAACGACAGAAACCATCCTAGCAGAAGCTCGAGCTCAGGTACGGAATTGACTTGGGTAAATTAAATTGGTCGCAATGGCTAGGCAGGTGTGGCAGGGTTGTGGTTAAGATCTTATCAGATGTGATGGCCATCGATAACCCAGTGGCGCAGTAGGCCAGCTACGGCATTACAGTACTCCGTAGTCGAGCTACCCGAACCCTAATTAGCTGTTCCGATTGTGCGGTTGATATCAACTTCAAACGTTAACAGCGGGATAAGGTACAAGGATCTTTCATCGATTGATCCGGGTAGTCGAACAAGAGCTGAAGGTCGAATTAAATTGTATTATTGTACCTCTTCCAGAATGCCCTTCTCTCACCATAGCCATTCGGGGCAATTTTGCTCACACGCAAAATGTACATTGGAAGAGATGATCCAGACTGCGATTGCGCGGAAAATGCGTGTCTTCGCTCTGACAGAGCATATGCCCAGAGACCATGCAGATTTGTACCCTGAGGAGGTCAGTTGATATTGTTCTCATGATGCTTGCAGAATGCAAACTTTACTTGCTTTTCCTTTCTTTTATCTCAGTCGTTGCAATTGTAATCTTTTTTTTTCAGCTAGTCAAGCTATCCTTACTTTTTTTTTCGGATTCCTTACTATTTGATTTGCGATTTTGCTCAAGAAATCAGTTAATTTGTTCGTTTATGTATCTTTCGATTTCGTTCACCACTGTCCTCATCGTTGCCATCCCATCTAGAACAGAACATTTTCACATCTCCCCCGGGAAAACCACCTTCCCATGCCCAGCCTGTTTCCGATCAAAAGCCGTGATGCATACTGACCGGAATCATGAAACGAAAAGACCGAAGCTGGAGAGACAGAACAATACCTAGTCAATAAATTTGATGCATACTACGCAGAAGCTCTACGACTGCGGCAGGTTTACGGATCCCAGATTGAACTGCTCATTGGCTTCGAGACAGACTGGATCAGGCCCTCATCGCGGACCATGATTGAGAAATTACTTGAAAAGTTTCAGTTCGACATGTTCATGGGCTCAGTACATCACGTGCACACTATTCCCATTGATCTTGACGATCAAACATACCAGGCCGCACGTGATAAATCAGGTGGCACTGATGAGAAGTTGTTTGAAGATTATTTTGACGATCAATTCGAAATGCTTAAAGCGACTCGGCCCCCGCTTGTAGGACACTTCGACCTGATCCGCCTTAAGAGCGATGATCCAGACCGCACGTTTCAGCAGTTCAAAGGAGTATGGCGCAAGGTTCTTCGAAACTTGGACTTTATAGCCGAATACGGAGGAATCCTTGAGATCAACTCTGCTAGTTTACGAAAAGGAATGCAAGAACCTTATCCGAAGCAGGAAATCTGTCAGGTAAGTTTAGTTGTGGGATGGATGAGGGCATGCGTGCATAGATATATCTACCCATCCGAATTGAGTTAAAATACAATGTGCTGACTTGTTACTCATTAAGGCATTCCTTGAGCGTGAGGGCCGCTTTGCGCTATCAGACGACAGTCACTCGGTGGAGCAAATTGGCTTAAATTATCACCTCGTGTTACCGTTTCTCGAAGGGGCCGGCATCAAGACGATTCATTATCTGTCCCGTCGCAGCGCAAACTCGGTGTCGAAGCATGAGGCTTCTGCGTCGGTCTCCGAGCTTTCGACTGAGGATCTTAAAACATTACCTTTTTGGAATTAGACTTGATCCCAAAGTAATTTTGGTACTGGGATATATTGAGTCAGTTTGCTTATTACAAGTGGATAGGATTGGCAGGCAATCATTATTATTCGGTTCTGTTCTGGATTCACTTTCGGAGCGTCTTAGACAACGTACAGAACGAAGCTACAGTTCTTGGAAATGTATCTTCTCGTTAATAGAGGCTTTGGCGTCAGGATAGATTATTTGCATTTAGAAGTCATATGGCGGATTGGTTGCCGGAGAAAAGTGGGTGTGCACGGATGCTAGTATTGTTCCATTATTGAGGGCGCATAGAGGCCGGGGCAAGTATTGCGGGAAAAGGAAAAGAATAAACGCCATTGACGGCTTGCATAAAGGGGAATGAGAAAAGGAGATATCGCAACAAATTGGGATCAAAAGTGCAGCATTATTGCCGAGGAGCACAGCTCAACGTAAGGTCACGCTCACACTCGACCGTCTCTATCTTTTGCGTCTCGGCGAGGCACTGTCGCACAATTTCTCTGTGCTTCGCCTCGATTTTCATTTGTTTTACTATTATCTGCACACTGTCGAGTTAGAAAGGCGCCCATTTGAATAAATCGCTCAAGTGATATGTTGGGAAAATGATCACTGAGAATGGCCGTTAAAACATCAAGGAGATGACCACTAATCATCATCCAGAGCGCCATTCTCTCTCTGCGTACTACGGTCGAATAATGCATGTCAACTCAATTCTCATAATGTCCAGATGGAATAATGGTATTTCTCCGGAATAATACGCACTTGACCTTTTGCGCTAAATTGCGGTAAAACATGTTTTATTCATTGTTTAGCATGTGCCATTCGGGGAATATAACATATGCAGGAACACCTCATTTGTCCCAAAGCTCTGAGCTCAGGAGCGTCAATCCTGGCAATACATATCGTCATAGCACATCTCAATGCCAAGTCACCAGCTGCCAGATGATGTAGGTGAAGGCTGATCGGACCCTGGATAGCCTTCGCCTTCACCTCCGATTCGTGAAGACTGCAGAACCCATGCAAGGGAACCAACAACGCACGCAAAAGCCACAGCAACCCTTTCCAGTGCCCTGCATCCGCCATGAGCCCCGTGGCTGTCTTGGCGCTTCCCCGCTACTTCTCGTCACTAGACACCGTACGCGGTCAGGATGTTTTTTTTATGGTGGCATCTAAATCGATCGCGACAGCGATAAGGGAGGTCAACCAGGCTTTGGGGATTGCCCTAGAGTGGTAATAGATGAACCTAGTTCTAATTCATGTACCCAATTAATTATTCGAATAAGTATGTTAATAAATATATCCATCGTCTTTGAGACTCATACTCATTTGCTTCATAAGCTCATGAGGGATCAGAATGGTAACTAGTTCTCGTCATCCTTGTCCTCATCTGACAAGTCGCATTACGATGTCGCGTTCAGCAACGAGATCAAAGAAAGAAAGGATGATGAAGAACCGCCATACTAAAAGATTCATCTTAATGGAAAGCACCTTTTCCCATTGCAAGCAGCTGCCGACGACATAAGTTTGACTGAGAATTCTGAGTGCTTGAGGAGCTCATATCGGCGAAAGGGTGATCATGTACCTATACAAACAGCTGCAGACTCAGACATGCCCATTCGAGGAGTTTCGGGCTGCTTCAGCTAGGATACTCGTGGGGTACGGAATCCATGGAATAATTTGGAAGGGGGCCGCCGTACTTTTTAAGTACCTCGACTTGTTTACATGAATTCATTACGAGACAAGTTCATCTCCACGCGACGTGACGAGTACAGATCTCGATGACTTGTTGCAGATCAGCATAATTTATGGTAGAAGAAAAAGGCGCTTGAGCTCCAATTTGCTCTTGAGTTTGACAAACATCAATCTTTCATCGTCAACTTTGCCCGTGTCTCTTTGTATTCATCTCCAGGATACTTTGAGGAAAAGTACATCAAAAGGACCCTCCCCGTACCTCCTCGCTCAGGGTCCCCGCGGGTGGCGGCAGTGGGACCGAGTCGGCACGCGCAAACATCGCAGGACGAGGAGACAGCCATTACCTGCGTGGCGCCGTTGCAGACAAATCGCATGGGATTCCGTCGTCGCGTCCTGGACAAAGGTGACACAATTTGACCTAGGTGCTGTGAGAAAGGGAGACGCATACACGCATACCGAGCAAAAAGGAGGGAAGAGCGAGACGCAAAGGGCAGGCACTGCAAGAGTGAAACCAACAGACCGAAATAAGGCTCGCTCAGTCGTCTCACTCAAAGACTCAAAGGAGGCAAACGCGAGTGAATGTGAAAGTCCTGAAGTCAATACAGTTAGTGGCAGGGTCCATCCTTTCCCCTCCTTCACTGCCTTATGTATCTCACTACTCCTGCCTCGCTCACCTCAACTCACTTTACTGAGTATCCAGTGACTTTTCGGCCCCCCATTTTACTATAGCCTAACGGGTAACCCTCTGCGCCGATTATCATCAAAACTGCCTATCCTATCAGCTCGCCTGTGAGACGTTACCCGCAACGACTCAACCACAACCTCAAGATACCCTCAAATTCGAAATCTCTCCGACCTCACCCTCACCTCTGCCCAATTTATCGAACCTCCTCTGACAACAGAAATTTGTCGACCGTGCTTTAAGAGAAACCGGATCGGCTCAGCTGGTTTTCCGTCGCTCATCCTCTCTACCCGTCGCAGACGCACTCGACCGGAACGACGTGCGCGGGTTCCTCGAGGACCATGACCGCAGCAGAGGGACTCACGCTGTACGTAACCGGTCGACAACGATCAACCTTGGAATCGTCACTCTGGGGCTTTTAGGCCCTTAGACCAGGCGACTCTTTTCGGGTCCTTTGCTCTATTCAGCATGGACCATCAAACCATGACGAACATGAACGGATTCTACCTGCCTCTAAATGGCATCCAACATCCGAATACGTCCAATAATAAAGGAGATGGAATGGTGCCTTCCAGCATGAGCCAGGGCTTTGGAAATCCTATGATGGGAGGCGGTCAGTCCTTTGAGCACATCATGTATCAGAACCACGATGCCGTCCATAGACGAGATAGCTCAGCGTCGCAATACCCTGCCGCACAGGTGAGCGCGGCCGAGCAGTCGCAGAGAGTGCCGATGCTGGGATTTGGCTCAGGTCAAGATGGCGACCTCAACGGGTTTCAATTCGATCCCACCACGGCAGACAATGATGCTGCTCTGTCCGGCACCATGATGAGCGGTGTCACTTCACAACCCACCAATGTGGAAGCAAGCCATCCGTCGAGCGGTGAGTTGGCGCTCGTCCCTGGAATGCCAAACTTGGAACAGTCTTGGGCCTCTGTCCCCTCAGTATCGGCCTTTCAATCACCTTTTCCCGGCGCCGCCGGCCTCAATTTCGACATGGCCGCTGGCTTTCCTGCGATGAATATGCCCATGGCCATGGACTTTTCGACCGGTCAGATGGGTCGCATCGGCGTGCCGATGAACTCCCTTGATTCATATGGGCGAAATGATTTCCACCCGCCGATCAACAAGGCCGCTTCCATCCAACGAAACTTTCCCGTTTCAGGACCTGGTGAGCAGGCTCCTCATGGCTCGAGTGCCACACATACCCTTCCGATCAATGCCTCGAGACCACCATCTGCAATGGGCCGCATCCCCGCCGGTCCGTTTCCGTCGACCACACAAAGTAATCTTCCTAATACCAACTTCGAAACCTCTAATCAACTGGACAATAATCATCTGCCAAATCCATCAGACGGAATACCCGCGCTTGATGGCTCTTTGGATCATTCCCGCCACTCCTCGATAGGGCAGAACAATCCTAATATGGCATTTTCAGACGATAACAGTATGTCTCTGGTCCTTTATCAGGACTGCACAAAACTAATCTTCCGGGCGTCTACAGGCCCTGATATTCCAGAGCTCGCGGCTGCGGCAGAGGCCGCAACCAAGCCCTCTCAATATCACAATATCTATTCATCTAGTGGATTTGACATGCTTGGCGTTTTGGTATGCCCTAAGTTTTGATACCGTTTGAATAAGACCCCAGCTAATATTGTCTTCTCCCTGCAAGACTCGTGTCGCGACACGTCCGGATCCCGAAATCAATATTGGCGCGGTTGACATGTCCTGCGCCTTCGTGGTCTGCGACTGCACACAACACGACCTCCCGATTGTGTACTGTTCAGAAATGTTTGAGCGACTCACAGGCTATTCCAAACATGAAATCCTCGGCAGGAATTGTCGTTTTCTACAAGCGCCTGACGGCAAAGTCCAATCCGGTATAAAACGAAAATACGTCGATGATGATTCGGTCTTGTACCTCAAGAACATGATTATCCAAGGGCGAGAGGCACAGATCAGTTTAATCAATTATCGAAAGGGAGGCCAGCCGTTTATGAACTTATTGACCATGATTCCAATCCGGTGGGATTCAGAAGATTACAGATATTTTGTAGGCTTTCAGGTCGATCTCGTCGAGCAGCCAAACTCTGTTACCGACAAAAATCCTGGTTCGTTGAAACTTCTTCGCCCCTCCATTTTCTGGATCCAAATCCTTGGAGGGACGCTATAGGCTGTGTCGCGCGATAACTAATAGCTACAATAGATGGCTCTTACGCAATCAACTATAAGCGTGGCTTCCTTCCAAGATATGTCTTTCAGACCCCGGAGAACACACGACATCATTCCGAGCTTGGGCAAACAATTAGTCCCGATGAAGTTGCCACTGTACTCGCCAGCATTGGCAAAGGGGAATCGGAACTTTCCAAACGGATATGGGACAAAGTTTTGCTTGAGAATACCGATGATGTTATCCACGTGCTCTCCCTCAAGGGGCTTTTCCTATACCTCTCACCGTCGAGTCGTAAGGTTCTCGAGTATGACGCAAGCGAACTGGTGGGCGCCGCCTTATCATCCGTCTGTCATCCTAGTGATATTGTTCCCGTCACTCGAGAGCTAAAAGAAGCCGCCCCTGGTGTTTCAGTGAGTGTTGTTTTCAGAATACGGAGAAAATACAGTGGTTATACTTGGTTCGAGGCACACGGTTCACTGCACGTTGAGCAAGGCAAGGGCAGAAAATGCATCATTCTGGCTGGTAGGGAACGGCCGGTATATACCATCTACCGAAATGACCTTCTCTCAACGGGCGGTACCGGAGACAACGAACTCTGGACGAAACTGTCCACATCTGGCATGTTTCTATTTGTGTCTTCGAATGTTCGTGCCCTGCTCGACCGCCAGCCGCTTGATCTAGTAGGTACCAGTGTCCAATCGCTCATGCGCCCTGATTCGAGAGCCGAATTTGGCCGTGTCCTGGAGGTTGCCAGAACTGGAAAACGAGCGCAATTGAAGCATGAGATGCAGAATAGGAGGGGTCAGGTTTTACAAGCGCACACCACCATCTATCCTGGAGATGCGGGCGAAGGACAAAAGCCAACGTTTTTGGTCGCCCAGACAAAGATGCTTAAACTTTCTCGCTTTGTACCTTCGTCAAGCACCAACAGGTCACAGCTGTCTCCTCGAGCCGACCAAGCTTCCAGTCCATCCCCTGCATCAAGTTCGGCAATAGCACCATCGGGTTCATCCCAACGACAAAGTAACACACCGCAGTCGTCAATGGCACCATCGCATAATGACAATGTATGGACGGCTGCCGGAGGAAGTGCGCTGGCTATTGGGTCACAAGACGTCGCGTTGGCTTCGGAAGAGAATGTCTTTGACGAGCTCAAAACGACACGCAGCACCAGTTGGCAGTTCGAACTCCGACAAATGGAGAAGCGCAATCGTCTCTTGGCAGAAGAGCTGCAGAGTCTGTTGGCCGCCAAAAAGAAGCGCAAACGAAGAAAGGGCGCTGGCCAGCTCCAGAAAGATTGCGCCAACTGCCATACGCGTACCACGCCCGAATGGCGACGAGGGCCTAGCGGGCATCGTGATCTCTGCAATAGCTGTGGGCTTCGATGGGCCAAGCAGGTATGTTGTTGCCATGTTTTCCAATTCAATATATGCATATATTTGTATCTTGCGTGCTAACTTTTGGGGGTTTCCCCAACCTATAATAGAATGGTCGAATTTCGCCACGGACGTCATCACAGCAGAGCGACAAACAAAGTGTCTCTTCCACCAAGACATCTCCCTTGGTTCCAATTCCATCGTCATCTACTCAAGGAATCACGAGTATGGCACCCCCGGAGAAGCCAGCGATTCCTGGCACATCTGCCGCAGAAGCACAGTATCCAGCGGCAGCCCAGAAAGAAGCGGCAGCAGCCGCTGGATATGATACCGGCATAGCCTCAACTGTCATGCCAAAGAACGAGCCCAGCTAGCGGTGCGTCCAACAATGCTCCTCGTTTGGCTCATCTGGCTCGTGAACAAATTTCTCCTCACGGACTTTTGTCGTATTTTTATTTCCAAGGATCGGAAATTTTTTTCTTTTCTTTCCATCCGCTCTATATATATATTTATCACCATCATACCATTTTGTTTTGAACTCTGTTTACAACTTATTGGATAAACGAGTGGCGCGGTCAGCGTTTCTAGTGGCGTGTTCGAGCAGCGAGGGCAGCGCTTGGCGAAGCGCGGCGTTTTTCATTTCTTTTTATTTTTTTATTCCTTTTTTTTTTTTTTTTTTTTTTTTCCTATGTCTTATATCTTCCATCTATACTCTACCGTATTATATACTTTTCGGGCGGCAGATTTAGCTCTGAAATCGTACATTAAAGTTTAGCCCTTTTTAGTACATTTTCCGTTTCACATGTTATGGCACTCATTTCATATTTTTATGAAAGGCATAGAAAACAGACCATGAGCGGTCCTGCATAAGGGTGTTTTATATAGATTGTGATAGTTCTAACTTATCGACCAACCAACCAACCTCATGTACTCGTAGCGGAAGGGTTTAGCGGACGAGAGTACGGAGTATAATACCACCGGAGTTGGTGGAGCGAGCGAGGGGAGGAGCGAGGAGTGAAGAGCGAAAAAGACCCTTAAGTTCCAAGTTAATTGTTCTTTGGGGCTGGCTGCGCGCCCCACGTTCCCCAAACAGTCGATCGCGTGGTCGTGGGGGGAGCGAGGGGGGCCGAGGGGGGTGGTTACACAGTAAACTTACTCGTATGCCCTGCAGAAACTCCGAGACCTTTTTTTTTCCCCCTTGACGAACCCGGAAAAAATACATACTATCGTTGTCTAAAAAACCACGGGCGAGGGGGCTTTTTTTTCTTCTTCATCTATAAAAGCATATTGTACAATATTTGCATGTGATTTTTTTCTTTTCTTTTCAATTATTTGATAGATATAGATCCTTTACGCCACCTCCGTACTACGTACAATTTCCGATAGTGTGTGTATTTCGTTGACGGAGACACTGCCCTGCTGCCAGCATCTCCAACAAGCGCTTTACGAACAACGACAACGATCGATCCCAGTATACGAATAGCGATAACTGAAATTGTCTCGGCCGGGTTCGAGGCCCAACACTGGAAATAATAGGATAATCTGCGTTGCGGACTCTAGAGCGAAAGTCGTCAACGCTCAGAGGTGGATCTTGTAAGCACGCGCGTGCGGGGAGAAATTGCGTCAGATTCGAACAAACAAAATTTTCGACGACAGAAACGCCGACAGTGCGATAGCGCGATAGTGCGACAGTGCCACCGAGAGCACAAAGCGTCAATTGAAGCTGGAGTGATCGGGTCAATTTTGGAAAGGGAAAATATAGTGCTCTATTGGGCTTGCAGTTTGCAGGTTTGCAGTCTGCGCACATAGTTGTTTCGAATAATTAATTGGAGAGGGAACCGATTCGCTGCAACGAAGGATAATATTCGAAACGGAATACTTCTCTAATTCGAGGGATATAAGAGACGGATACTTTTCGATCTAGGGAAATATAAGAAACGGACACTTTTTGATCTAAAGGAATACAAGAACAAGAACACAATGCCGTCAGCGAATGGAATCAATGGATCGAACGGGGTCAATGGTGCTGCGCACTATGAGCCCAGCAGGGACAGAGCTGGCGAGGTCTCAGAGGTACGTTGTGGAATCGTTAATTGCTGTTCTGCATTGCCCAGTTGAACTTGGGCATTCTCAATTGTTATTTTCCCCCAAAAAAATACTGACAGTAAATTGCTGTTTAGCTCGTTTCTGCAGTTCAAGACCTTTTGATCCCATTTATTCGCAGCGCCGACGAGGGCGCCCTGACCAAGGGTCAGACGAACCATTCAACCGCGACAAATGCGAGTTTGAAATCAAACGGAACAAGTACCCCGGCAGTGCGAACATCCCTCGTGGAACAACACCCGCCAGAGGAAGTAGTGCGGTTATTAAACCTTGCTCTTCCTGACGCCGGAGCCGGAAAAGAAGGACTACTCCAGGTGGTCGACCGGATACTCAAGTACTCGGTGAACACGTGGGACCAAGGATTTCTGGATAAACTCTATGCTTCTACCAATGCTGTACGTGCCACATCTGCCACAGCCCCTCAATCGCATAATCAATAAAAGTCATCCTCCTGTGTGACGAGAAGAAAGGATCGATATATCCTCGGTTCATGTCAGCTAACCTACACTCCAGGTCGGCGTTGTTTCCGAACTCATCCTCGCTGTGCTCAACACAAATGTACGTTTATTGCCCACCACCGACCATCCCACATGGTCGTCTACAATCTCCAATAATCTAGGATATGTCTAACATGCTTGACTGTAGTTGCACGTCTTCCAAGTCTCCCCAGCACTCACAGTCGTCGAGAAAACTACTGGACGAACACTCGCATCTCTCTTCGGCTTCACGGGCCCTCACGCCGGCGGTATTTCCCAACAAGGCGGCTCCGCATCAAACACAACCTCGATTGTCATTGCTCGCAACTACCTCTTCCCCGAAACCAAGATCGAAGGCAACGGACCGCGGAAATTCGTCCTGTTCACCAGCCAGCATGGACACTACAGTCTCGAGAAAGCGGCGCAGATCTGCGGCTTCGGCTCCACCAACATCTGGCCCGTCCCCGTTGACGCCGAGGGGCGCATGATCCCCGAGCAACTCGAAGCGCTCGTGGTCAAGGCCAAAAACGAAGGCTGCACGCCCTTCTACGTCAACGCTACCGCAGGTACCACAGTGCTGGGCTCCTATGATCTCTTTGACCAAATTGCGGATATCTGCCAGGCCCACGGCCTCTGGATGCATGTCGACGGTTCGTGGGGCGGGCCGGCCGTCTTCTCGGAAAAGCAAAAACACAAGCTCAAGGGCGCCGAACGCGCCGATAGTCTAGCGGTCAATCCGCACAAGATGCTGGGCGTCCCGGTGACGTGCTCCTTTCTCTTGGGCCAGGACCTGCGCAAATTTCATAAAGCCAACACCCTGCCTGCTGGATAGTATGTCCCCCTTCTTAAACCTCGTCACCTATTTTTCTTATTTCTCCCATTGATGCTTACGTCCGACAGTCTCTTCCACAATACCGACTCCGCCGAAGTATGGGACCTCGCGGACCTCACACTGCAATGCGGCCGGCGCGGCGACTCGCTCAAGCTCGCCCTCGGATGGATCTACTACGGCAAATCTGGCTACGCCGCGCAAATCGACCACGCCTTTGACACGGCCGCGTACATGGCCCAGCGGGTTGCGTCGTCGGATAAATTTGCACTGGTCTCGCAGAACCCCCCGCCTTGTCTGCAGGTCTGCTTTTACTATGTGCCTTTGAGAGCCGAGCAGCGAGTTGCCAGCGAGCGTCAGCGAGTTGCCAGTGAAGTACAGCAAGCTACCGGCGCGCAGGCGCAAGAGCAGGAGAATGGGACGCAAGAGAGGAAAGTAAGACAACTATACGCCTCCGCGGACGAAAACACGGCCGTCACGCGCGCCATTTCCCACAAACTCATCGCCGCAGGCTTCATGGTCGATTTTGCGCCCGGCGGCGACAAGCACCGCGGCTGTTTCCTGCGCGTCGTGGTCAATGTCCAGACACGAAAGGAGACGGTGGATGCGCTGATTGCGGCTGTTGAGCGCGCGGGTGCGGAATTGGAGCTATAGTCTTTGGTCTTATTTTCTTCTCCTTTTTTCCTTCCTTTTTTTTTCCTTGTTTTCCTGTTTCTAACTTCCTTTTATTCCTCCCTCATCTTTTTGTTTTCTTATCCTCTTCTTTTTGTACTCCTCTTATCTTATTTTGATCTTTTCTTCTTTTCCTCCCTCATCCTTTCCCCCTCCGTCATCCTACTTAAATCTATATATACAGCGTCTCCTCTTATTTCTTTTCCCCGTCTCTTTTCCCCTCTCTCGTCTTTTTGAAACTTTTATATACCGCCTCCGCTCTTGCCCCTGCCCCGCTTTTGGTGTCAAGTATGTTGTGGGTGGGGTACTAGGTGATAACTTGGTTGGTTGGTATGAACGGGTGTGGGTGTATTTTAATACGCAAAAGAAAAGTCCTTGATATATACAGTATAGAGACATAGAGACATAGACGAGTCACGCGCAACCAAAAAAAAAGCAAACGATCTAATAAGAGACTTGTACATACCTTATTTCTTCAACGAAATCGAGGTCGGTTTTAGGGCAGGATGGTAACAATGATAACAATGATAATAATAGAAATATAAACAAAAAGATATAGACATAGAAATGGAAATAGAAATGGTTCAAATCATGGAGTAGTTCATTGATATACTATCTGTAGGTATCTACCTGTAGGTAAGGTATCTACTGCTATCGAATATCGAAGTGGGAGCCAGAGTAAATGGTCAACTCATCGAAAAAACCTCATCGAAGAAAAATCTTTGGGTAATTGGGAAAGGTTATAGAGCAGTACACGTAGTACAAGATATATAGAAGATACGAACGAAAGGATATCGTTTCCTCCAGATCTAAACTCCCCCACCTCCCACTTTTCCTTCCACCCGGCCGCCCCCGGCCCCCGCCCTCCTCACCCTCGACCACACACACACCTCCCCCATACGTTAAGCAGCAGTTGTGCCGCTTCGATGACTCCGTTTTGAGCCGGTACGCGACAGCTTCGATCCGGAGCGGGACAAGGGGGGGCGATCAGTTCTGCTCGCGCGGCGGCCACCAGCGGGGGAACTGATACTGTATGTGCTCTTGACTGCGAAAACGCCATTGATCCATTCGGCAAAGGTATCTGGATCCCAGACATCGTCTTCGCGGCCTTTACCGTGTTTTCTTGTCGGGGTTGTCAAAGCCGACGTCGTTGTGGGACGTGAACCTTTTGCTGCTGCTACAGATCCGCCTGCACCATTGTGTAAACGCTCGTGAAAAGCCTCATAGTCGATTTCGACTTGTTCGCGAACAGCCGCGACTAGAGTCTCCTTTGTGCGAGGGTCGTCGAGGTATTGGTCGAGTTTTTCGCGTAGGATGGGGACTTCTTTTTGCGCAGCGGCGCGCACGTCTGCTGCTGCGGCGGCGGGGACAAAGGGTGACGAGGACGTAGACTTGGACATGGAGGATTGTGAGACTGGATCGGTCACGCGCGCAGCGAAGCCGTGGGTAAATTCATTGATGACGGTGCGCAGACGACCGTCGAGTTCGACTTTGGCGTCGAGCATGTTCTCCACGACACGGGGCAGGAGCGTGCCGCCCATAAGGCGCACGAGGTTGGCGGGATTGAAAAGGCCGCCTCGTTCACGAAGTTCCCAGAAAGTGTTGGCGACGGCCGAGAAGTCGAGAGAAATGTCCGGGGTGACGTATTCAATGTCAAACGCAACAATTTGTTGCTTGAGGATCAGGAGGTGTTTGATGAGGAAGAGCTGCGAGTCGACTGGTGTAGCGGTATCCGGGTTCATTTTGGGGATCTGTGCCGCAGCTTGGTGTAGGGATAGGGTTGTTTGGTGGACGATTTGGTGTGCTAGATCGTCGAATACGGTTGACTGACAGTGTTTTTTGTTAGTCTACGGCAGCAAGACAATAGTGCAAATTCTGGCAAAGAATACTCACATTGACAAGCCGATAGATACGGCTGAGGAGCCAAATGGCTGTACGAAGGGTCGGATACCATCCACTAAAGAGTTGCTGTGTATCGAATAGGTCGTCCTTTTCTCCATCCAAAGTTGTCGGCGACTTTGCCATTGGCGGCAACGTACGAGAAACATTGCGGTCTCGAGTGCCGGAAAGAACTGGTTGTTTTTGGACACTGGGCGTGCTGGACACCGAAGCTCTTCTATCGCCAGGCGGATACTCGAGGTCTTTGGCAGTCGGACGATAATTTTCAATATCGTTTCCTAAGATTGCCTGCGCTCGAAACACCAAACGCGTTTGGGTATCTTGAAGTGCGGGATGAATGAGAACAGAAAAGTCCAACTGGTCATCCTCGATAGCTTCCTCCTCTTCTTCTTCATCATCATCAAAATTTTGCACGTACTGGGTTTGCAGAAATGTGCAAAGCTCGCAGAGCTTCAAAAATTGGGTTTCGTGGATAATCTTCGGCCGCAGATGGTCGTACAGAGGCTCGCACATCGACTCTAAGAAATCATACACTCCGTCATTGCCATCAAACCATTCATGCCAAAGTTCGTACTCGTCGGAACACAGCACCCGCAAATATCCTATACTGCTCCGCGCAAAAGTGATAATGTCTTTTGATGTGCTCGGCGCCAATGCGATTTCAGCCATCTTCTTTCTCGATAGAGGCAGGATCAGCTTTGCCCGCGTGGCAGAATAGCTGGTATACAACTCATTCATCAAGCTTTGGTATTCGCCTTCTTGCCCTGGCTCCGCTCCAGCTGGAGCACCAGCTCGTTTTTGGATCTGCATGGCGAGCTTCTTCAACTCGGGAGCTTCTACTTGGAATTTTGCATAGAGCAATGCAGACATGGCCGTGTCATTAACCTGTTGACGGTCTGCCATTCGCCGTGTAACATCTGCTGCAATGTCACGCAAAGCATTGACGAAATGGAGACGGGTCAGAGTGAGCGCTCGTGTCAAGAGCATACGATAGCGCGAGCGATAAGTCGGCGCTTCCCGTTGTTCAGGCTGCAAGAAAGTCAGCAAATGTGAGGCCTGATTTGTGATAGAGCGTTCCAACGAACGTGAGCTTGCATGTAATCTAGACAAGTATCCAAAGTCGTCAACATCTCCGAAAACTCGATTCCTCGGACAAAATTGCCAGCTGTTGGGGCATTTAATTTTCTGGTTATGGGCTCGAGGTAGGAGTAATATCTGAGGTTATCCGAAATGTCATCTGCAAGTTTTGTGATTCGATGTTGATCTGATAACAGGCCCTCGCATTGGTTCTGGAATATTGCAGTCTGTGCCTCGACAGACTTGAACGTCTCGGTGATCGATGACAGTAATCTAAGTGTAGTGTTCGCTTCAGAGAGCAACGAGTCAAGGTGGGCCTGAGAGAGGTATATTTGATCAAGGTATATTCTGGTTAGATCTATTAGCCACAGATATCCAAGCAATGCTTCAAACCAATATGAAGGCCACGGAAAGCTAGTGAACAGCATACTGGTAGTCCTCATTGCTCGCCTGGAGCAGCTCCTCTTCCAATTCGCGGTAGGAGGCTCCAAATTCGAGCTCTGAACGAAGCGCCGGAACGGGCTTTTGTTCTCTTCCATCGGCGTGACGCCCATTTTGCTGTCGTTGTTGTGCTTTGACAGCCCTGTAAAAGTCGCTATAGCTTTTGGCGCGGCGAATGACCGTAGCTTCTGGCGGTCCCTCGATCGGCCCCCGCTCCTCCTCAATGTTCATCACATTGTCTATCGTGCTTCGTTCAGCATGCGAGTCATCCTTAGTCCCAATTAATAATTATTCAGATGTTTAAATTAGTCTTATAATATAGGAACCATAACTTACATTCGGTTGCTTGAGCAATGATTCCCTCCGCTTGTGCTTGGTTGTGGGATGCTCATCTCGCGGGTGCACTGCACTTGGAGCAAAGGCACTATACCACGCATCATCGTACATTGTGGCATTCCATGGGAGATGCAATCCAAGCACAGGCAGACTTTGCTTTCTTTTTCTCTCTACCACTCCCTCTCCAGAATAGACAGCTTGAATTCGACCACGTTCACCTGTATAAGTCGGGGATTCGCGTCTTTGTGCTCCGTGCATTGCTTGACATTGAACCTAATTGGGTTTAGCCCGTTTCTGCACGCTAATTGGGCGGAAGTTGCCGCAGGGTGTCATGACGTTCACGAAAATAATCCCAAAGAAACTGACTGCTGTTACAGCCAAACACAGCTCTCAGAGCTAGAGCTTGCTTCAGGCCCCGAATGCCATTGGGAGCAATGATGACGGGATAGTCATTGGATTGATTACTTGACTATTGCTAGACTGAAGTATATCAAAATTTTCTATTGACAAATTTACAAGTCTGTTAACCCTCACTTGTTTTCGCAGAATGTTTACCTGTGCAGCTACCCATCGTGGCCTCCCGGCCCTCCGCCAGAGTCTGCGCCCCATTGCTCGCGGTGTGTCAATTCGACACTCGAGTTCTGGCGCTGCTCGGATGGGCAAGTCTCGAAATTTTGCATTGAAAATTGCCGTACCAACCATTGTCGCTGCTGGAGCTGCAACTATTGCCACTCAATATGATTTACCTTTCGGCTTGAAAGAAGCTTACGCCGAGGCCGCTCCAGTTCACGCAGAGCCTGAGTTTGAGAAGCCTGTTAAACGAAAGGGCAAATCAAAAGAAGAGAGTAGAGATCTCATCAGCTCCCAGCATCTTCAAGTTAAGCAGAGCTGGGAGCATCCTGGAGTATATGCTTGGGGATCGAACAAGGGAAAAGTCGCTGCACCAGACTCTGACGAGGCTGTGATCAAGAATCCCAGGAGGATTCCCTATTTTGACGGGGTCTTGTTACGCGATATCAAGTTGGATCCGAACTTTGGCGCCGCCGTAAATGAACAGGGAGATTTGTTGCAGTGGGGTATCGATTATTCTACGGAAACCGTGGCACCCACCAAGACGCTGCGAGGGAAACGACTCGTATCCATCACCCTGTCTAGAGATCGTATAATTTGTCTTTCAATCAGCGGAGCGGTTTATTCTGTCCCTGTATCAAAGGATGCTCAGGAAAAAGGTCGCAAGCCTTCGGAACGGTCTTGGATCCCGTTCTGGAGCTCGGCGTCGCCGATCAGCTATCGAGTCTTGTCGCCTAAGAATTTGAATTGGGGCGAAAGAATCGTCTCTCTAAGTGGAGGCTTAGAACATGTTCTTCTCCTTACTTCCAAAGGCCGAGTTTTCTCAGCTGCCGCCGGAAGCGAAGATTTCCCCTCTCGAGGTCAACTCGGTATTCCAGGCTTGACCTGGAACACGAGGCCTATCGGTAGCTATGATCAGTGCCATGAACTCACGGCTCTGCGCGGCTTCGACATCAAACAGGTTGCTTCAGGTGACTATCATTCCATCGTACAGGACAAAGATGGCCGTGTCTTCACATTTGGCGACAACTCGGTTGGGCAGCTCGGACTTGAATATAACCCGGAAGCACCTTTTGTTGATTCACCAGCCCTACTTCCTATTCAATCGCTATACCAAGGCACTGGTCAAGTACCGAAAGTGACCAGCATTGCCGCTGGCGGAGTCAACAGTTTCTTCACCATTGATGCCACCGGAGTTGCGCTTCCTCAAAGCGAAGAGGGTGCGAGTTCTGCGCTACTAGGACGTGTCACTGCCGACACGTGGAGCTGCGGACAAGGACTCTGGGGCAGCTTAGGCACGGGAAGGTGGATTCATATTCAAGACAATCTGGTAAAGATTAAAGCCCTGAGCGGCTTGTTTGAATATGATGAGACAACGAATAAAGTTGTGCCTATCCGGTTGTCTCATCTATCTGTCGGTGCCACTCATGTGGCCGCCGTACTGAACAATGTCACACACCTGACAGCTACCGAGTCTACTTCGACAGATGACACCAATTGGGGATCCGATCTGCTCTTGTGGGGTGCCAACGAATTCTTCCAATTGGGTACCGGAAAGAGAAATAACATTTCGGCGCCTACATATATCCATCCTTTGTACCCTGCCTCCGAAAAGGCTGAGGGAAGAGATAAAGAGCATCGCTTGCAGTTGACACCTTGGAAAACCATAAAGATCAACAACCGAAAGGTCAAAGTTGAACAGAGAGTCGAGTGCGGGAGAAATATTACGGCCATATACACGGCCGTCGGATAGGAGGTCTAGCTTGCGGAGACCTGTTTATTGTTTATTCCTTTGCAGGAGAAAGAAGGTGGCTCATTCAAAGTCAGGGAAAAAAAAATCATTCGTGTATATTGAACAATCATTCCAAACCAAGCCTCGAGCTTTCCTATACATAATGTCTACCAACGAGTGTAGTCCGCCTATGAGGCAATCAGACTGCAATTATAATCATAATTTTCAAAATTAAGTATCATCCCATTTGATCAGAGCCATTTAATCTTATGATTTCTTTCTTTCCTTGGATACGTAAGATATCGTATCACTTGCCTTATGTATTTCAAGCATCTTATCGCCATAAGTTGAACGGGTTGATCCAACTGAGTTGCTGAGTGATCAAATGGGGTATAGTGTGAATGATCGGACTAATCGGCGCTTTGCGACCGACACCCGCGCGGAAGACAAACAAAAGTTGTAGGAACTTTTTGCCCATGCGAACAATTTCGCAACCATACAACAGACCTTAGAGCTTATTCGCAAATCCCACTCATTCACCATGCCCAAGGAAAACAAGAAGCGTGGTCGGCGCGAAGAGAAAAAGAGAAAGCTTGAAGAGGAAGAAGCAGTCGAATCAGCTCAGGACACGAAGAGACAAAAGCCCGAAGTAGAGCCCGACTTTCTTCCGCTGAACGATGCAGCACCGGCAGAGAATGGGTACGAGGAGGGCGGATACGAAGAAGGAGGATCTGCGACGGAGACACCATTCTACGGTTTGCTGGATGAGGAAGAGCAAGAATACTTTAAGAGGGCAGACGAGCTGCTAGACCTGAACCAATTCAATGACGCCGAGGAAAGGAACTTGTTTTTGGCCAACGTCTATCGAGAAGCAGAAGGAAAAGAATTGAAGATTGCCAGCAGCCAGTCCTGCTCGAGATTGATGGAGCGATTGATTCTCTTGTCCAATCCGGCTCAACTAAAGGCACTCTTTGGGAAGTTCAGCGGAAAGTAAGCGGCGCCCACATTTACTCCAATTACATTTTTCTTGCCCTGGCCTGCTACTAATTTCTTTTACAATAGTTTTCTTCATCTTGTGCAGCATCGATTTGCTTCGCACTGCTGCGAGACACTCTTCATTCGATCCGCGCCAGTTGTTACGCAAGAGCTCATCGAGCCGCCAGACCAGACCCAAGAGGATGAGACTACCGGCGAGGTGTTTGTGACCATGGAGAACCTCTTCCTCTACACATTGAACGAACTCGAAGGAAATCTCGGGTATCTGGTCATGGACAGATTTGCTTCCCACACAATTCGTGTCCTACTGGTCGTGCTCTCTGGCAAACCGCTCATGAAGCGGTCTACGACCTCGGTCGTACAGAGCCGTAAAAAGGAGAACATCACCGTCACCGGAATGCCAGGAAAGCCCACTGACCTCGAGTTGGACGAACGTAGCGTCCCTGAATCGTTCACCGCCGCATTGGATAAGATGATCAAGGACACGATAGCGGGACTGGACACCAACCATCTACGCGCTCTCGCTACCCATCCCACTGGAAACCCCGTGCTGCAGCTTCTTCTAGAGCTCGAGCTCTCCCAAAAGCCGGGATCCAGAAAGCAGAAAGTCGACGAGCAATATCTCTTCAAAAAGCTCCTTCCCGACGACCTTTCCGAAGAGAACACCGACAGCACCATGTTCTTCAACTCCATGATCTACGACCCCCTGGGATCTCGAGTCCTCGAAGCAATCATCCGAGTCGCGCCGGGAAAGACATTCAAGGCCATCTATCGCCATCTCCTCAAGGAGCGCATCGGCTCTCTCGCGCGAAACGACATTGCCGGCTTCGTCGCAATGCGCGCACTAGAGCGACTGAGCAAGGAAGACCTGCAAGACGCTCTCCAGAGCATTCTTCCACAGATCCCCTCTCTCGTCGAGCGCTCCCGAACCACCGTCATCCGCACCCTCGTCGAACGCTGCGGCGTCCGAGGCGCAGACACCAAGGCCCTGGCGAACGCTCTCAAAGAATCCTACGGCGGTGACGGTGACGACGTTGATCCGGCCGAACGACTTGCCAAAATGCTCAAACTAGACCTGCTCTCCAAGAAGGACGCCAACGGGAACGCAAACCTCACGGCAGAAGAAAAAGCACAACAACTCCACGGCTCGCTCCTCGCCCAAGCCATGCTCAACGTCCCCCACGGCGGCCCGCTCAGCGAGTTTGTCCAAGCCGGTCTCCTCGTTCTCGCCTCTTCCTCTTCCCCTTCCTCTTCGCAAGATGCCGATGCCGATGCCAGTTCCAATTCCGAAAACACATTTATCAAAATCTGCGAAGATCCCGTCCTATCACGCGTCGTCCAACAAGCCTTTAACCCTTCCAATCCTTCTTCCCCTGATCCCTCTTCTTCCTCCAACCCTTCTTTCAATCCCTCTAATCCCTCTTCTTCCAATTATCCCTCTTCTTCCACGGGAGGCAGCTCAGCGGGAACTAGTACAAGCAGCACCGCTGACACCGCCTTCCGCCGCAAACTCCTTCCCAAATTCTACACCCACATCGCCCCCCTCGCATGTACCTCCGCCGGCTCGCACGTCATCGACAGCCTGTGGCCCGGCTCGCGCGGCCTGCCGTTCATCCGCGACCAGATCGCCGCCGAGCTCGCGCGCGACGAACCCGTCTTGCGCGAGTCCTTTTTCGGCAGAGCCGTCTGGCGCAACTGGATGATGGACATGTATAAGCGCCGACGAGGCGACTGGGTGGCCTTGGCCCGCGCCCAGCACGACCCTGATGATGATGATGCGTCTGTGCCTGATAATTTGTCTGGTGCGGGTGCTGGTTCTTACGGCCGTGGTCGTGGTGGCGGTGGTGGTCAGGGTTATGGTCATGGACGCGGCGGCGGTGGCGGCGGTGGCGGTTACAGTCGTGGTGGTGGTCATGGTTACGGTTCCAGTCATGCTACTGGCAACTTTGACAACAAGGGCCGCGGAGGCAAAACCGGCATCGAAAAGGCGCGCGAGCGATTCGCTGCCGAAAAAGCCAAGAAGGAGAAGATGAACATGAACAGCCAGAAGAAGACGGGGACACCGGCCGAAAGTTCATAAAGAGTGTTTGAATCAAAAGAAAGTTAGTACTCGTGCTTGTGTTTGTGTTTGTGTGTGTTTATGTATATATCACAAAAGTGGTTTTATGGTTTTCTGGTTTTATGGTTTTCTGGTTTTATGGTTTTCTGGTTTTATGGATATATTGTAATCCATGTTCTGCGCGGCGTTAGATTGAGTCCCCCAGTCCCCTCACGAATATAGGTACTTTGGGATAAAAACGACTACTTCGGGGTAATAAGAATCATATATACTTTCAATATCTCATGATACTTATGATACTGTGAGACTCAAGACTTACAACGAGACTTATAGGGACTAAAGAGACATGTGCGTCAACGTGATTGCAATAATGTGATGACAACTCAAACGGGTCAAAGAACACTACGCCAAAGGAAGAATGTTTATAAATGAAATGAATTTTCTATAACCCAAGTCTATGACCCATGCTCGCATGGTCGCATGACCGACCGATGCGTGTACCTTTTATACTCCTGTTTCCAGTTTTCTAGAGTGACCGAAAAGCCCAAAACATAGAGGCCAATGGCCGATGACCAAGAACCGAATTCCCAAACCCCAAAAGAAAAGAAAAAAATGTTATTGAGACCCCTAATGAGAGTTAGCACATATCTTCCATAACATATACGAGATTAAGAAAGGAAATATACGAGATTAAGAAAAATAAAAAACATACCAGTGACTGTCGCTTACGCTCCACCATAATCATAAGCATAAGCATAAGCATTAGGACCAGATGCTAATGAGCTTCAAGACGCTGGCGATAAAGTTGACCAGGTCCGCGCCTTCCGCCAAGGTACGTGCGGAGTACTGCATTGGGCGCCTGTCGATATTCCCTCCCGGGAGTGGTGTTTGCCCAGCCAGTGACAGCATTGCGGGGGGCATGGTTGACAATGTTGGCGCGGCGTGATGCTCTAGCGCGCACAATGTGAGCGCGGCGAATGGAACGGCGCCGTCGAGGGCTGGGAGTAGTACGACTAGTGAGGGCGGTACTAGTAGCAGGGGTGGAGATGGTCCTGGTAGAACTGCTTGATGTCGCATTTGACGAGCCGCTTGAGCTTGATGGAGACGCCGGCATGTCCTGCTTCCTTTTATTGTTGTTGTTACTGTTGTTTGTCGCGGCAATTGAATAATCCTCGACGAATGTGGGATGGACGTAAAAAGGAAGCGCGGATGGCACTTGTGGTGGAGCAGGAGCAGGAGCAGGAGCAGGAGCGCTGTTTATGGAAGATGCGCCCCCGTGCATTGCTGGTCCTGCGGTCTCGGCAGGCATAGTAGTGGAGACAGGAGGAGACTCCATGATTGGGTAGAGCGCCGGTTCAATGTTGAACGCCGGTATAAAGTTGTTTGTCTCGATTCCCGAACTTCTGGCAGAGTTGATGGGAAGAGAGGGATATGCCATTGGTAAAAAGGCGGTGGAATTGATGTTAAAGTTGGTTGTGGCGTTGTTTGTCTCAATTCCCAAGTTTTCAGTGGATTGGACGGGAAGAGATGAATATTCCACAAGTGGAAAGATGGTCGGGCCAGTGTTGAACCCTGGTGTGGAGTTGTTTGTCTCGATTCCCAAGTTTTCTGTGGATTGGACGGGAAGAGATGGATATGCCATTGGTGAAAAGAAGGTCGGGTCAATGTTGACCTCAGTTGCGGGACTGTTTGTCTCTAGTCCCAAACTTCCGGCAGGTTGGACAGGAAGAGATGGATATGCCATTTGTGGGATGATGACCGGGTCAATGTTGAAGTTTGTGGAATTGTTTGTCTCTACTCCCAAACTTCCGGCAGATTGAACGGGAAGAGGAGGAGGGGCCATTGGTGATGAGTTGGCCGGATCAACATTGGACGAATATCCATTGGTTTCAACCCCGAAGTCAGTGGCAGATGTGGGAATTGACGGATCTGGCACCATGAACGTGTCCAACGAAATGCCGTTGGCGTCGAATGTATAATCAATTGGGCCAGCATCAAAGTCGTCGTAATTAGGCATATCCATGACCGGATGAGATGCCAGGAGTGTGTCCATATTGAGAGTTTTCCTGAGTTCCTCCTCGATCAAGGCGACACCCCAATCGCCAAAAGACATGTTTGTAGGTAGATGTGGGGTCAGAAGGGATTGAAAACAGTGTTTTGCTCGAAATTCTGAGTGGAGAGAAGATGATTGTGGGGAAGGAGAATTAAAAGTGGAGAGAAATTGAGTGTGGGGAAAGGAAAAAAACTGGGGAGTTCGACGCTCAATTTATGCGCGGCTGATGAATGGGACAGATATTAGGAATCTCTGTCAAGTTCAATTCCGTCGTAGTTACATCTTTCAGTTTGAGCCTAGAAGCATCATCGTGAGGACCTGGCAGGCTGTTGAGCGCCTGGCGACTCATCGGTTTACCTGATACTACTCCATACATGGACTGTCGAGGACAGAAAGCCCTAGAAATTCCAATGGAACGACCAGATCTCACGATAATGCTGCGTCATGTCGTTGCCGCATAGAGGGGGGGGAAGGCGAGTCAGACGGCGAGAGCATCGTCCATCGCACTTCCCCTATTCGAGCAGCAATGGCAACGAGAAGCCGAGGGAAGGAGCAATCGGGGACCTCATCATGAGATACCGGTCATCTCCCACACTAGGTATTCGCGTTCCTGTCGAGAATTGTTTTTCTTGTTCTGCTCAATTCTTGTCGCAGCAGCATCGGCATCATAAGGAAGGAGCATAATTGTATATGCAGCACTCTCGGTCACCGCAGACAGCTCGAATGCGCCTGCATTGAGGGCGAACCAAGCGTCGGGAGATACATCGTGGAGGGTCTTTCTGTGTTGATGATTTTTGGATTAGCTCCATACATCAAACAAACTTCTGAATGCGGAAGGACCTACACAGTAAGCGAGTACAGCTCTGCAATCCATTTGGCAGGAAGCAGCCCACGCCATTGGAGCCTTGTCACTTGCTCCTCCCTCGAATTGGCCAAGTCTGGGACTTCATAGCGACAGAGGTAAGGATCGATTGAGTCATTCGGTCGCACCCGACTAGATCCCAATGCCACCAGCCCTAGCCACTCATGCACCTCCACGGAATAGTCTTGAAAGCCATAGCCTGGATGCGAGGTGGCATCATCTGGTGGACTCAACGGCGGAACGAGGACCAAGTCTGTCGACATCTTCGCAGCCTGCACCGTAGTGGTAACAGGATGATGGACAGCAATGGGAGCGTCAACATCTATTTTATTTTTTTCCGATTAGGCTTCTGAAAGGGAGACGCGTCGACCAAAAAGAATCATTGGTACATACCGACGTCCGTGTCCATCTTGGGGGCATTGAGATCGCAAACGAGCCATGTGACGGGCTCGACGAGGGCGCGGTTGCAAGCCCAGACAAGGCGCTCAAAGCCCTTTCGCCCGTGAACCATTGATGGTAGGCGCAAATTGATTTCGACAACTACAATTACAATTTAGTCGGAATATCTTTTCATAAGATAGAATTTGAGATGACGAGTACCATATCTAACTTTGGAATGCTTCTTTCCGCCATCCGAGATAGGCTTTCCAGTTAGACCGGTTCTTTCATAAATATCTTTTGGTAGCTCTAGTCTCAAAATACCTAAATACTTGGTGTCAGCGAATCGTGCACCCCGCAAGGAGGTTGGCGGCGGAGAAAGGTCCGCACCACGTGCGGAAGAGTTGTAAACTGACCGTCACATAGCGAATAAACCCTATCCACACCAGGACGGCCTTCGGATATCATCAAAACATTGCCTTTGCAACATTAGTGAAAATGTTCAGAGGTAAATTCCGAACAGAAGAAAATAGGATTTACCGGTCTTTATATAGTTGTTGAAAAAGTCTCCCTCCAAAAGACACGTCAACGGCAAGATGACCCTGGAATATTTTACTTTGCTGAGTTTGGAGTTCAAATGCTCTTCTAAGCCTTTACAAAGTCTCTCTGGCAGGATCAAATCAACCTGTGCAGTCACATTCAGCTCGAATCTGGTTAAGCGAAACCATCATATAACACGTACAGTGTGTGTGAAATTTTGGCGATGGATTGTGGACAAGGGACGCCGTCTGGTAGATTGAGCTTCCGGAAAAGTGAATCCATGTGTAGCATAGCATTTTGTTGAGGATACATCTGTGCCTTTGAAATTGAACATGGCAGGCAAAGTATTTTGGAAAATTCTCAAATGGTGCAAGTTGGGTGTTTGGTGAGGTTTCACTGCAAAAAGAAGAGGTGAAGTCCAAATCTGCCATTTCAAGCTTAGCGCCAGCGGGAGATCAACATGCAACTTGAGCTGTCAATATAACCCTTCGTATACTCAATAACAACATCTTCATATATTCTATATTATTGACATTATTGATCAAGCAGGGGCATAGTTTGTATTAAGGTGGGTATCTTTTGGGAAATTTTATTTAATCTTGTGTATATTCAGTAATGTTTGCGAATTATTCAACGTTTAAATAATATCTGTCATTTATCTGGAAATATATTCCTAACCGGGACAATACAAAAAATATTCTCCATTTATGGGATTATAACATTTAATACTAACCCTATATACTTTGAATCTGTATCTACAAGCAATAGAATTTATAGCATTCCGTAAAGCCAAATTTGATTGAATCAAATCAAGACTAGTAACTCATTCACGGTGTCAAGCCTAACTAGAAAGCTATGCAAAAAATCCGACCAACTCTCATCACACAAGCCAGAAAACCATTCAACATTTATCCAACAATAAATATTACTTTTATCTTGATCCTTCTGGGTTGGTCTAAACGGCCGGATCCAACACTTGAAGCCTGAACCAAGCTGCTAGAATTTCGCATCATGACTTCCTCGCCCACCGTACATCTCAAAAGCGCAGGGCTCGCAGATACTATCGGGCCGGAGCTTCTAGCAGCAAAGAACTCCAGCGCCACAAAGAATAAAATCGCCGCAGAACTGCTCAGAGACCTGATCAGGCTAGGAGCGACAGCGACTTCTCTTGCCATGGCGCCTTTACAATATCGACGTTCTGTCCCCAAGGATCGATTCTCGACCCTGTTCGGCGCCCTCAGGACCCAAACGTACCACGACCCCGCGACAAGAGGCCCTGGCTCGCATGCTGTCCGTACATTAGCTTGGAGTCCAACAGGCACATTCATTGCAACAGGCTCCGTGGATCGGACATTGCGGATATGGAACCCGGAAAAGGCAAATGTCAAGTACAGCACCGACTTGCGCGGCCACAGCGGCACGGTCGAGCGAGTCGCATGGAATCCCGTAAGGGAAGCAGAGCTTGCCAGCGTGAGCGCTGATGGTACTGTACGATTCTGGGATGTGCGCAGCAAGACTTCTGTCGGAGAGGCCAAGATTGGCGGCGAAGGATTTTCGATCGCATGGGCGCCGGACGGCTCCGAAGTTATTGTCGGGAGAAAGGTGCGTAACGTATCTTGCGGGATTGATGTGGCGCGCGCAGATTTACTGACTGTCGTATTTCTTCTAGGATGATATGCTTGTGCCCATTTCCCTCGCCACTGGCAAGCCCAGTCAACAGCAAGCGGGGATCCAACAGGACGTGCAGACGAACCAGACTACGTTTTCGCATACCGGGCAAGAATTGCTTCTCACCACGGGCGAAGGCAAAGTGAAGATACTCGATTACCCGTCTCTGTCTCCACTTCACACACTGAATGCGCACACGGCAGCGTGTCTGGCGCTGGAATTGTGCCCACGAGGAAAATATCTCGCCGTAGGAAGCTCCGATGCATTGGTCACTCTGTGGGATACGCAAGACTGGGTTTGCAAGCATAGTTTAGGCGCAATGGTGGGCGCGGTGCGCAGCGTCGGGTTCAGCTTCGACGGCAGCTTCATCGTTGGCGGTAGCGACGAGGGGACCGGTCTCGAGATTGTAAGTACATGAGCTGATAGATTTCTCTTTTTTCATGCTGACAAGAACGTAGGCACACGTCGAAACGGGCGAATACGTACACACTGTACAGACCGCGCATCCCGCGCCTTGCGTCGCATGGCATCCGTCGCGGTACTGGCTGGCCTATTCGGGCGATCCAGTCGGTTTGAAGATTGTCGGAGCTGCCGGGGGGAGCTTATAATTCTGTCCGTGGATATCTACTCACCTTGATGATTCTTCCATTATATATTATTCTATACCCTCGAGAATGGTGTTTCGTCTTTTCATCCCCTCTCCTTTCTTTCTTCCTTTCTTTTCCGATTCATCCTACATTTTCTCTCCTCCGTAACCTCATCTGCATCACCACGCATTTCTTTCCTCTCATCTATCATCTATCGTCTCTTACTCTCATCTATCATCTACGTCTCCTGCATCGCATTGGCGTTGACACTGGCACCGGCGTTGGCACCGGCGTTCGTTGACTTTGGCTTATTGATGTCATCTTGTATCTTTTAGGACCACATTTCCCTTTCTTTCTTTCTTTCTTTCTTTCTTTCTTCCTTTTTTATCTCAGGAAAATAAAAGTACGCAAAGAACTTGTCTAAGGATTTTTTTAAAGGCACCTTACCTTATCATTACTCTGTACCTTTACCATACCTTACCTATATATATAAAGTCTACAATGAAATAAAAAGACAAGACATTCTAAAAGACATTCTGAAACACGACTACGGCTACTCTACGGTGTGTACCCGTACACTGTCCCTGTCCACCTCACCTCCTACTCCGAGTACGCGTTACGCGTTTCGCGATTATATGGTTTACGTTTTACATGTTACGTTTTACGTGTTACGTGTTATATGTTTCAAGTGACGAAACAGACAAAACAGATGAAACACACGAAACACACGAAAATATACAACGAAAACAATAATAGACAGCAAAATCGACAACAGACAATAGACAACGACACTAACAGATGATAATCAAATGTTGATAACAGACGTTGATGAGTAGACAATAATATACAGACGATAATAGACAATGTGCCAATAAGCTGCAATAAATGGCAGCATACAATCCAAATACTTTGTACTCTGTACAGGAGAACAAACCACGGATCAACGGACTAACAGACCAACGGCCCAACGGATCACAAAACTAGACTGCAGAAACAAGCTACCCCTGATCAAGATACAGGATAATAAACCAAATTCAAAAACAGGATAATAAATATATCCAAAAACACGATAAATAAAAAGATCCAGATACAGGATAAATAAACAGCAGCAAAAAGGGCACCAATACAAACAAACAAACCAAATCAGCCCTCCGCAGATTTAAATAAATCGTAAAGGACTGGTAATCGTAGACTGGTAATCGTAGACTTGTGCAATCATAACAAGTCATGATCATAACAACACTTGAATCATCGCAGACTTGGTAATCGCAATAGACTAGTAACCGTAGACTGCAATCGTAACAAGACATGATCATAACAAGACTCTAGAATCATAACAACACTTGAATCATCGCAGACTTGGTAATCGTAACAAGACTGGTAAAGTAATGTATTTGCTGTTATGAACATATACGGACGACCATGGAAATAACACTAGACGGACGACTAAATGACAACGTAAGGACGACCACGGAAATAACACTATACGGATAACCACGAAATAAATAAACACACACACAACAAACAGGGGAAAAGAAAAAAACCGCAGAGAACTACAACTGCAACGTCAACAACAACGACGACGACGACGACGACGACGACGATAACATTGTAGACTGTAGATTGTAGTAGTCAGTAGCAGCCCCTTTCCCCGGCCCCTCCCCCACCTCCTCCTCCTCCTCCCCCGAGCGAAATCATACGCCCGTAAGTAAAAACACAGGGGAAAAAAGGACCGATAGACACCACAGCCACTACCACGAAGAAAAGTTTAAAATACCGAGGCCGAACGGGCAACGTAGACGAAGAAGAAGAGGAGAAGGAGTAGGTAGTTAAGAGTAAAGTACTTTATAAGTAAAAGACTAATTTGTTTACGTATGTGTATGTGTGTGAGTGAGTCTAAGGTACGGAGCTCCTCAAGCGGGCCCGGTTGATTTCTCTCCTTACAATTGGTCATTTACAGAATGTGACCTAAAGGTAGCAGAGAAAAGTAAAAAGAAGAGAAGAGTAAAGGAAAAAAAAGAAAAGGAAGAAGTGAAAAGATCACAACCAGAGTAATAACAGAGTAATAACAACCAGACTGATAACAGGATGAAGGAATTGAGAAGAGGCTAAAAGAAAAAAGAGTAAGATGCAGAAAGGAATAAAAAAAAAGCAGACAAAAACACAAATACGATCCCGACCAAAGTTTGCACAAAGCCAAACCGGATAGAAAAGAAGCAAGCAAATGATGCTGCATGGGACTACTTAGGCAGAGACTCAAATGAGAGCGCGCGCGCAAAAGCATCATGAGCAAATCCCCCCGGTCCGGTCGCGCCCATTTTTTTCCAACACTGACAAATACTAGCAACCAGTTCCTTGCTTGCTGCATTAGCTGCCAAGTTATCGGCCCCGCACCCAGTCATTTTCCGACTTTGATCAAGACCGTCATAGACCGATCACGCCGAAGAGCAAGAAAGAAAGAAAAAAAAAAACAAATAGTAATTAAGGGACCAAACATGCCAAAACCAAGCAATGCAACCCATGGTAAGATTCAACGCCCGACAAATGAAAAAAGGAAAAAAAAAAAAAGAAACCCTAGGAATCAGGATAAACTGTATCTTTGAAGCCAATTTCGATAATAGCTGAAACGCAACAGACGACTGAGCAGGATGATATTTACCCTCAACTTCCCTCAGGCTCAGCTAGACGCGCAGTTGGTGCAGCAATGAGACGCCATTGTTTTTCGTAATGAGCATCCGCCGCTGAAAAAAATCCAATTAATGCAATATTCTATCCATCGTATGATCATAAAGACGGGTATTGTCTGATAGCACCTCGCGGAGACGACTCAATATGGGAAGAGTGTGTTAAAATTTACTTCTGCTCGCCATCAACTTCCTCAGACAAGGGGTTGTCGAGGTAGATTGGGTGATACTTCTTGGCCCACTGCCGGCAGAGAATGGAAGCTAGAACAAAATATTAGCTCTGTTGGTCAGGATTTTACAATTGGGGAAATAGAACAACTCACCCTTCAAAAAGCGCTTGCTGGCATACTTCTTGAAGAAAGCCTCATGCATGACAGGACCGTGCAGATAATCAACCATGAGCTTGAAAACGGGCTGTATCTCCTTTTCAGTGTAACCGGAGTAGTGAGCAAGAGTGGCGTCCTAAAAGACAATTAGCACAAGTGAAACGAAACCGACAAGGCCGAAAAAGTTCTTACCCATTCCCCTCTCTCAAGAATCAAACGAGCAAGATACATGGCGGCAGCGGAAACGTGACTGGGATTATAGCCAAGGAAGCGATGGTCGACCAATCCAATCTCCAGCAAGTACTTGCCCAAAGTACGCGTCTGAATGTCATAGTTTTCGGCCTTGGAGATTCGGCGCAAAAAGTTCATCGGGTTCGGATAGCTGAGGTCGTAGTTGAGCGTCGAAAGCACAAACCGTTCAGCGCCGAGAATCTCAGCCTCAGAAAACGCGTCATCGGCGACGTGACGGAAGTTGGCAACGTGAGGCGAAAGTACCTCTTCATACTTTGACGCGATGAACATGGCAGTGACACCAACAAGCTGAAGGCGGTCGAGCTGCACAATCTTTTGAGACAAGAAGCGATCAATAACGTTGACGGCGAGGAAAAGCGTCTCGGGCAAGAGGTGGAAACGCATGTGAACTTCAATCAACCAGTCCACCAAGATACCGCGCATCTTCCACTCCAGTTCCTCCTGGTGCTCCATATAATCGGGGTTGGGCGCCGTAGGCTCCTCGAGCGCCTTGAGATAGTCAAAGATCTCAACGACATACTCTGCAACCATGAGTGGGTCCTCAAGATCCTCAGCATCAAGATCGGGAACACCGCGGGCAAATGCATCTTTGAAGCTTTCCACTTCTTCATGGGCCTCCTCCTTCATTTCCTGCTTCAAGCGCTCCTTCATCTCTTGTTTGAGCTCATCTTGCACTTCTTGCTTGACGCGTTGTTTCAAGTCTTGTCCATCAGCCTTGGACGCGGTCTCCTCCTTTGGCTCAGTGGTCGCACGCGGCTTGATCTCGACGCTAAAGCCCTGTTTCTTGGTAGGGTCCACATTCTCCTGCTTGGGCTGCTGCTCCTCCTGAATGGGCTCGGTCGCAGTCGCAGTCTTGTTTCGTTTCTTCTGCACGCCGGTCAAAACGCCAGAGCCGCTTGCGGGCCGCTTCAGTTCTGCTGAGCTAGCTCGTTTATTGTGTTCCTTGGAGCCCAATACTGAGCGACTCGAGTTCGTACGCGTAGCGGGCTTCTGAACACCAGCGCTTTGCGATGCCTTGGAAACAAGTCCTACTCGCTGGACAGCCTTCTTCCCCTCTTTACCGGCCTCGGCGCCGTCAATCTTGGTAACATTGCTGACATCTCCTAGGGCTGCACGCCTTCGCTGAGCGGCAGCAGTAGCAGCGGTGGTAGAGGTGGTTTTCTTGGTCTGAAGAGGCTTCTTGGCAGCAGCGGTGATTCCGGTACCATCTTCAGGCGCGGCCAGAGCTGCGGCCTTTGCTCGTGTTACACGCGTAGAGATTCCATTCTCATCATTTTCATTGGTCGCCAGACGCGAACGGGCGGGTCGTACCTGCCAGGAAAAGGTCAGATGATGAATCCACAATTCGACTGGGCGAAATTGAAATTCATAATTAGTCCAAAAGAAAGAAGGAACACTTACGGTAGGCATTGTTATTCTCTGGTGTTGAGTTCACCTTGAGAGATCTGGGTGGTAGAGCGAGGACGAAAGGTCTAAAATGTGGGTCTGACTAGCCCTGATGAGAGCTCTTTCAAAATATGAACTGTGGAAGCTTCAGTCAGTGGGTGACAACACAACTCCAATATCAACAACATACAGTACGGAAAAATAATTTCCTCCCCGATACAGTATGTTGCTGTCAATGATCAGAGTGTAGGTGACAGTAAATCGAAATAGGCCCTTGACCTATAAGGCCCACTCTTTCAGGGTGAAGGACCTCGTCAAATGGGACGCGATGAATGTCGCTGGTGTCGGCCTATTGATTCAATTTTCGAGTCACTGGAAACAGCCGCTCTAGGGCTATCGTATGACCCGTGTTGAGAATGAAGATTGCTGAGGCGATGATTTCGACCGTCAAGTGTGTGAAGAGAAAGCGTGATGTCGATGGCAGTGAGTTGGGTGGAGACTCGTCTACTGCACGGTAAGTTGTTTGGTATGTGTACTAGCGCGGCTGAGACGCCAAGACCAGGCGATGACGGGGCTTGCACGATGCTGTGACTTCAAAGTTGGAGGTGACGATCACGAAACGCGTGAAATTGTAAAGTTAAAGAACAAAAGCAATGGGCACAATACCACAAGAGTCGAGAAAAGTGCTTCCTGCGTTGAGGTGGAAGCTTGACGGCACGGCTATGAAGTGAGAGGGGGGGAAGACGATATAAAGGCGAGGGGGAACAGAAGCGTGAAGTCAGGCCAAGTACTCCGTAGCACAGCAAGTTACATGTTCCTTTGAGTCGCGTACCGTATGACGAGAGAACAGGGAAGGACGCTCCCTTCTCGTGTGTCAATTTGTGCAAGTAAATAATCGCTTATGCAAAGGCGTCGGTACGGCAACGGCCCAAGCGTGTCACCCTCGCGTTGATGACTAAGCAGAATCACCTCTCATTCTCTGCTGAACGATGATTGGTTGATGGCGGTAGCCCCGATTCTCATCTTGAGAACATCAAAAGTTCGGGAAACGAGGAGGCCACTATAATTGTTGCCAGAAACGACATCCGGTCAGGGTTGCTGCTTTGACGGGGAGAACAATGCTGCTGGTGTTGCAGTCCCGCTCATAATAATAATACCCTCATCAACTCCTACTCTTTATCGGTAGAGAGAAAACCTAATCGCCGCGCAATCAACCATTGGCGTGGCTGCGCCGCCATGCTTCAACCACGAACCTGGCTGCGACAGCCATCTCGGTCATGCCAATGCATATTGTCGAGCATTTCCGTCCGAGCCTACGCCGCTGCCGCTTCTTCAGCTATCGCTCGCAACCCGATTCAGCCCGTCGTTGAGGACCATGGTGTCGCAAAGTCTGGGCCGAAGCCCCAGGGCGCCTTTGCCCTTCGCTCTTACAAACCTCGAACCCCAGGTCTTCGTCACCTGCGTCGGCCGATAAACGATCACTTGTGGAAGGGTCGCCCCGTGATGAAGCTTACCTTCCCCAAGAAGGGTCAAGGAAAAGGTGGTCGTAATAACTCTGGAAGAGTCACTGTTCGACATCGGGGTGGTGGACACAAGCGGAGAATCCGAATGGTCGACTTCATGCGCGCGAAGCCCGGCAAACAAACCGTTCAGCGAATTGAATACGATCCCAATCGCAGCGGGCATATTGCCCTGATCAAATCAGATGTCGATGGAGAATTATCCTACATTCTGGCAGCCGAAGGAATGAGAGCTGGCGATTCTGTAGAGAGTTACCGCTCTGGTATTCCACAAGCGCTTCTCGATAGCATGGGAGGAACGGTGGATCCTGGTATGTTGGCAGCAAAGACGGCCACAAGAGGCAACTGTCTGCCCTTGAAGTTGGTTCCAATTGGTACCCTTGTCTACAATGTCGGCTCGGCGAAGGACCGTGGAGGTGTCTTTTGCCGGAGTGCTGGTACTTATGCTACAGTCATCGCCAAAGATGACAGCAAGGGCGGCGCTCGTCACGTTACAGTTCGGCTTCAGAGTGGTGAAGTCCGCAAAGTGAGCAAGGATGCTTGCGCCACCATTGGTGTCGCCAGCAATTCGCACTGGCAGCACCGTCAGCTGGGTAAGGCCGGTCGGTCTCGATGGCTGGGTATCAGACCCACGGTGCGTGGTGTTGCAATGAACGCTGGTAAGCAATTCTTCTTATATCTTTATTTTTATCTTTATTTTTGTTTTTGTTTTTGTTTTTGGTTTTGGTTTTAATTGTACTGAAAACTGACTCTAATTCCTACTTTGACAGCTGATCACCCTCACGGTGGTGGACGTGGTAAATCCAAGGGTAATGTGCACCCTGTGAGCCCATGGGGCATGCCGGTATGTTTCCTACTCCCGCAATTGAATGTCTGTTCGACAGACTAACAGAGCAATCTCAGGCCAAATCCGGTTACAAGACTCGCAAGGTGCGGAATCCGAACAAGTGGGTTGTGGTGGCTCGGACAAGAAACCAGGGCAAGAGAAGAAGAGGCCGAAACTAAACTCAGACGTCTCGAAACATGCATTCCTATACATTGGTCCTCGACGTTATCACCACTACAATCATCTTTCTTCGAAAAGCATCAACCATGTACAATATATAGATTTTCGGCGCATCCATTATCTATTCTCTTGTTATATACAATTTCAATTCATTTGTTCCACGTAACTGTGTACTTGGACCAGACAACGCCTATTAATCTAGAATGCCGTATTGATACTGGCTGCTCGTGATAAACAAAAATTATGGACCGTGGATAGGGAGTAGATGGAGGGGTCCATTTGCGTGACCTTCGATAAACACATGGCAAGTACAACGCCAATTTCTCATTACGTTTTCTGCGCCTGAAGAGACGCCGCCTTAAATATTAATGGTCTTAACGCCCGTAGGTCTAACGACGAATTAGCCCGTCTAGTCCGCAATCGCGCCCGTATTATTGGGAATGTATACATCGGCGCTTCCTATGCTCCATGACGCACCAGCTGCGATTATAAAGAATAGCCTGCCGTGCAGCCTCCAATCTCATTATGCATATTTACCGGAGACATCAATCCTCCTGAAAACTCGAAAGCACTTTACTCCCCTTTCGGCTTCTTGGTTGGGTTGCCCTGCTCATCCACGAGTCCTTTCGCGCGCATCACCTTGAGTGCATCATGGAGAGGATCCAGCGCTGGCTCCGGTGCCCTGTGCGAGCCGAAATAGCTGTCGGCCCAGGTAAAGTATTGTCCATAGTTGACGGTGAAGTACATGTGGTGCAGCGTGTGGTGCGCAGGGCTGTTGATGAATTTCTCCGTCCAATGGCCCGAAATCATGTCGCCGTCGTGGATTAGGATGGTCCAGATCTGGACAGCAATGAAGAGGACCATGTACAGGTATCTCTGCATCGGACAAACGAAAACAAAGAGGCTGTTGAGGTTTTTAGACACGATGGCTATGGAGGCTATGACAATGATGACGGACTGGGATAACTTACTGGTATGGCAGAGACTGTACATATCCATCAAGCGGGTGGAAAGCCAGCGCAGCCCAAGGCGTGGGAACTAGTATATCGTCAGCATTTGGCACCTTGCAGCTACGGGAAGGTAAAGGCCCAGGTGGGGAGGGCTTTGTAGGAAGATTTACCGATCCATTTGTGGTGTGGCTTGTGAATGTACTTGTACACGCTCGGGTGATGTTCCAGGCGATGAATCCAGTAGATGGCAATATCATTGAAAGCCATGTACAGTATCGACGAGATCAATAGCCATGGCCAGCCATAGTCGCTCACTTCGGAGTAAAGCAAGCTTTTGCCACGGACCTCGGCCAGGAACAATGGGAGGGTCAGAATGTTGATGACCGGAACGGCAGATAGCGATGATTTGATCTCTTGGCGGACTTGATTCTGCAAGAAGCGAGGGTGGTACTCGAGCCGTCGGTCAAATATGAAGTAGTAGGATAGAGCGCTGAAAATGAGGTAGAGAGAAGTTGCGCCGAGCTGAGTGATGATGAGAATCGATATGATTTGACGATAGATGTTGTCTCGCGCCCATAGAGATGTAGGCACCGTGTCGGCGGCCGAGAGACTGGAGTATGAGGAATTGGTTATGCTGACGCCGGGATGAGGCAGCGCCCAAGCATAGGCCTTATCCAGAATGAGGGGATCGAGAAGCTCGAGAGCTACATCCATTGTTTATGGCGGGTGTACTGTAGGACGAAGGAATACGAATTGAGGCGAAACTGATGGCGGATCTGATAAAGACCTTAATTTCGCCATAATTTAGTGCATGTGGTTCGATGTCGGATCAGGACGGATGGGCAGAGGAAAATGTTGCCGGGTTGCAGCTCGCCAGGGGTTAAATTTGTCAGACAGGGGGCCACTTTCATGTGGGGACACGGAAGCTTAATAAGGGGCCACTTTACTCCGTGGCTGTTTGCTGCAATCACCACGTAGATTGCCACACAATGATATGACGGTACGGATTATATATCAACTACCTAGGACATTGCCAAAGATCAAATGATTAGTGCATAGAAATGATTCTTCTAGAGACAAGCAAATGATAACAGGAAGGTAGAATTTGGATCCTTGGCTTCTCCAGAAAGTGAGAACTGGACCGATAGCTCCAAGATGTTTTACGGGGCATATCAGCACTGAACATATATTTCAAGCCAGGGAAAGTATATATAAAAATATTAAAAATGAATAGGATTGAACTCATTGAATTTTTTTTTATCCGTATTTAAATTTTTAGAAGAACACGAGTCGGGTACTTATTGAGGCCGGTGGTCTCCAGCAGCCTTTGGTCTTTGGTCAAAACAACAAGACCACGTGGCTGGTCTTTTAAATATGCTACAATAGTCTGGCATCAAGACCAACATAGGGAATAATCAATAATTATTCTGTTCTTCTATGAAATTGGGGTATATGATACAGGTAATTCTGTAAACTGATTAAAGTCTAGTTTTATAATTAGTTCAAGTTAGATGTGTACTACGGTATAAATTGAAGTCGGTAACAAATTAACTGAATGAAGTATTTTACTCTAAACAAGACAAGCAATGGTCACGTGCTATTCCAAAATAGGCACAAAGAAAGAAGTAATAAACTATAAGCGAAGACTAATTATTGGTCGGTTCACTAGCTACCTTACCTTTCCGAGGTATATTACGGTGCTCGTACTAGCTGTGACTGTTTAGTTTTGCTCTCTGCTTTTATTATTAATTGAGATGGCACCCAAAGGCACCGCGTCAGACTTGGCTGCCTCAGTTAGTCTGACCCCCTCTCCTTTGCCTTTTCCCTAACTTAACTTATCAATTTGCGTCTTACCCAGAACATCCGGCCTATCGGGGCTCGGCGTGTGAGTCTCCCGTTTCTTGCTGACCCCAGAGGCCCCAGCTGGGTCCCCCCCCCAAATCCCTCTCAATGAATGCGGAATGTCAGTCAGCGAAAAGTAAAGGTAGTTACGAGAATTGCAATGCCCCATCTGTAACGGTCGCTACGAGTAGCTGTTTGCCCTTACGCTGTATCTTGCTCTTTATCATTCCACTCCCTGCTCCATCAGATTACAATCGACGTATCATCGAGTGAGTGAGATAGGGCTGAGAAGGTGCGGTATCAGCCTCTGAACTGTTCCCCCCCGGCCCCCACATTGATCTAGCACTCGACCAAGTGCATTTTCTTGTGATCCTCTTTTTCCGCCACCCTTGCTCATTTTGACACCAACGTGTAATGGCTTTTTCGGAAGCATTACCACTTTGATTGATCCATAAAGAAAGCACCATTCTTTGATTCCTATCTATTGCTACGACGCTGTTGTTTCAGGCTCTCTGCCCAGTGCTTAGCTTTGCAGTCAGACGGCATCATCATTACCCCGACTGACTCCGGAGACACGCAACCGCCGCCCCATTCGCGCGGTGATCCTTGCGTAAGCACGGAGCTTCATCTTTAATTGTATCAGCATCATCATCGTCATGTCGTTCTCCGCTTCTAGACAATCTGTCGGCGATGACTATTTCAACGACCTTTCGCAGCAGCAGCAGCAGCCGCCGCCGATCCAACAGGATAATCCACCACGATTGGAGCGCTCAGAGAGCAGTGGAGATCGCGAGAATGGGGAAACGCTTCCCCGGCCCAAACGAATAGCGTGCATCCTGTGCAGAAAGAGGAAACTGAAATGCGACGGAGCCAAACCGAGCTGCTCGACCTGTTCACGCTTGAAGCATGACTGCGCCTATGATGAGGCTAGAAAGAAGAGCGGACCCAAACGAGGCTACGTAAAAGCGCTGGAGGCCAGGCTAGGTATGTGACTACGAATAGATTTCTGGAGAGCACTGGTTTTATCTTTCTCGGGACTTTTTGGTTACATTCTTTACTGGAACGATTTTATCCAAACTGACGGCGAATTTGTTTGTGCAGCGCAAGTAGAAACGTTGCTCAAGACTCAGGACTCATCCGAGACGGTAACTAGCGCCTCTGGCCCAACATATCAGGATATTACACCCAACGAGCCAATGGAGACTACACCAGATCGACCAGATTTCTTTGTGCACAATCCTCGTCGGAGCACGCCACAGGAATCTCAAGACCAATTCAACCAGCCCTTTACAGACCAGACTTCCCTCGGTCTGCTCGACGACCGCAATTTTGACTTGACATCTGGTGGTGGGTCGCCGTGGGAACTCATGTCGTTGGGTTTGGATGAAGCGTTGCCGCCGCAGGAAGTCATTGATGAGTTGTGAGTAGCCTCGCTTCCCCTGATGCTTTCATTACGCGTTTGTATTGATTCCCCTGGCTACAGGCACAATATATACTTTGGCAAAATTCACATGAGTGTTCCAATGGTACATCGAGCTCGATACCTGGCAGCATTGAACTTGGCGCCGCATCTTCGGCCGCCAGTTTGCCTTCGATACGCCATATGGTGCATTGCTGCCTCGATCTCGGAAAAGTACAACAATCTGAGCGAGATCTTCTATTTGAGGGCCCGTCGGTATGCTGAATACGACCAGATGAAAGGCCATGGTGAGGGCATCCTCACTGTGGCTCACGCGCAGTGTTGGATCCTGATTGCTACATATGAGTTTAAACTCATGTATTTTCCCCGCGCGTGGCTAAGCGTCGGTAAAGGAGGACGAATGTGTCAGATGATGGGTCTGCACCGGTTGGACGGCAAAGGTTTGGATGTAAAGCAATGCTTACTTCCCCCGCGCGACTGGACAGAACGCGAGGAGCGAAGGCGAACATTTTGGATGGCCTTTTGTGAAGATCGATATGCAAGTATTGGGACAGGATGGCCAGTACTCTTCGAAGAGAAAGATGTAAACTCTCACAAGTCTGCATATATATTTTACTTACGTCAGCTGACATGCTCTTTTAGATTTTAACGAACCTGCCCGCGAGCGAAGAATCGTATCAAATGAGCAGAGCTACGTCTTCAAAGTCTCTACCCTCTGCTCTCGACCCATCTGGTGCCGCTTCACTTTCATCTTTTGCCGGTGTAGTCGTATTAGCATGTCTCTTTGGTCGAAACCTCATCCATCTCCACCGCCCGGACGACGGCGACAATGACGAGGACTTGAATGGCCCCTTTTGGAAGCGACACCGGAACATGGACAACATCTTGCTCAACACAGCGTTGTCACTACCGGGCCATCTGAGACTGCCAGCCGGGATCGCGGACCCTAATATCATCTTCTTAAACATGAACATACACACCTCGACAATCTGCCTTCACCAAGCCGCCATTTTCAAGGCAGACAAGAACCGCATGCCCGCAGCTGTGAGCGCAGAGAGCAAGATGCGATGCCTTACAGCGGCAGCTGAAATTGCAAGCATCATGCGTACGGTTAGCCACACAGACCTTTCGGCTGTGAGTTTCCTTTTCCTTCCGGTCCATCCTCGTTCACTCTGCTCACAAATACTAGATGAATCCATTCATGTCGTTCTGTCTCTATGTCTCTGCGCGTGTTTTCGTACAATACCTCAAGGCTCGGCCCGAAGACGAGCAATTTGTCGCTTCTCTCCGCTTCCTCCTCTCAGCCATGAATGTCATCAAGCGCCAAAATCCCCTGACTGAGTCTTTCCTCGCCCAACTCGAAGTCGACCTGGAAGCAGCAGGAATGGATATTCGTTCCGGAGGAGATCGAGTGAGCGTGACTCGGAGTCCCGTACGTATTAATTACTTCCCCCTCTCCTCGCGCGCGCGCGCTCTCTTCTTTCCATTTCCAGGTCAACAACCGTATATCTCAATCTAACATTTTTAATATTTTACAGACTGGACCCGGCGGAGTGAAATTTCAACCGTCGCAAGGTTTACCTCAAGGAATCCCTATCTACCAATCTGGCGGAGCAGACGCCTCCTGCATCGCACCTGAGACCACCAATAACAGCAGCCAACTTGACGAAACCTACAGTCGCATTCACCCTCTTCCTGGCCAAGGTCAGAAATCCAGCTTTTCTCTGCCGAACCGCTACAAAGATAATGCCGCCCCGGGTGCGAGCATTGGCCTCTGCGGTCCTGTACCCAAATACCCAAGCAGTAACAGTAGCAACCAACAGGGCTCATCGACGAAAGACTCACCCATGACCATGGATACGTCGGACGACCGTGCAGAATCCGCTCAATCAGATACCCTCAGTCCAAGCGCAAGTGCACACCGCGATTCGTCCTCGCATACGTCCTACACGCCTCCAGATGTAGACGACGTGGTTCATCGCCCCCTTGGTTCGTCTTCTTCTACCACCGCCATGCCAGCACAAGCTCCCGCCGCGTTGTCGTCGAAACCAGTGTCCGCACCTTCAGCGTTTGAGAGCGGATTCTCCTTTGAGAGTTTCTCGCCCGGCCAGTTCCTCCCGCCTACGCCAGGCCGCGAAGATGGCTCTGGATTCGTCATTCCTCCCGGCTGGGACATTGGTGGCCAGGGCATGACGCCCGGTCCTGTCACTGACATGAGCACCTCGGCCGAAGGCGCCTGGACGCAAATGCTCGAGGGGATCGGAATGGGATGGGGCGGGGCCGGAATAGCTGGAAATCCGGCATAAGTTTGGCGCTTTTCTCTTCATGGCGGGTTTCATGCTACCGACACTTTTCTTTCGGGTTGACTTCACATGGTCTTATTTTGGGTAATATATGACGGCGTTATGGTTTGGATTGGATCTACTGTTTCACGGACATATACCACCACTCACTCAGCCGTCAACGGAGCGTCTTTTTTCTTTTCTTTTCTTTTTTTCTATTTTTCTATCTTTTTTAATTATTTTTTTTATTTTTTATTTTTTTATCTATTTATTTTATTTGTGGTTTGATGTCAGGACCTCTGTGGCTGTTTTTATTCCGGGCCTGCGTCAGGAAATACGGCGAAGCTTTCTCTTTTCTCTTTTTCCTTTTCACAATTTTCGGATACTTTACTCCGTATCTGTGTATAAAAGATCTCATGACTTGGGTTGCCTTTCGCGGGTATATATATGTGTACCTTTTGTATCTTGGGCTTAATATACAACTCCTCTTCCTCTTATTTTCATCTATGATATCGATATAATAACCCCCTTGTTCAAACATCCTTACATATCCGTATTAAATTTGACTTTGACCTTGGATGACAAAACGGTCAGCGCATCAAGCAAAAAGAACAGACGGAAGATGCGCAAAAAAAGAAGGTCCTACTGGGGATCGAACCCAGGTTGTTGGAATCAGAATCCAAAGTGCTACCACTACACCATAGAACCACTTATTGATGGATAATCACTAAAATGTTCTATCAATTAATTCCGTCAGTGATCCTCTTAACCGACTCTCTAGTGCGCCCTCGGTTCCGCAGGTCTGGCGCTGCTAGCACGTTGGGCGACTAGAACTGCGACTACTCCAATACGCCGACAACCGACATACGGCAGGCGGTAAGGTTCAAAGGTCGTAAGGTAAATTAGGTACTCGTAAAGTTTCGCGAAAAGTTGCATTTCTTGCCCTCGTGCCAACCTACAGTTCCAGTTACAGTTACAATTACAATACAATTACGTGTTTAATTAGGTACTGAAAAGAGGAGGAATAGTTGCAATTGTCTTGTGGGAGAGCGACGACAGACAAGGACGGACAGGACGGACAGGACGGACAGGGCGGACGGCGATGAAGGAGTATCTGATTCGCTTCGTGCAGCAGCATGAAACTTTTCGCAGGGCAGAAATCGAGGCGCTAGCGGCGCTGTTTGAGGCGCAGATTGAGATTTTGGAGTATAGTGATGATGTAAGTTATAATTTGTGTTTCTCTAATTGCATGTTCAGTTTTGATGTTTTATTTTTATTACTTGTTTTTTCTTCTTTTTCTTTTGTTTTTGTATTCCCTTCCTCCTCTATCTTGTGTTGCTTGTTTTATTTCAAAAATGGTTTCGAAGAAAGAAAAATTCATTCGACGAGAAGAGCGGCTGCATGTTTACCGGTGAAAGAAACGCAGTCAGTCAGTTGCAATGTTTCAAGATGGATGAGACTCTCGAAAAGAGACTAAGGAAAAATTGCAAACTCTGGGAACAGACTGCAAAAAAACAGCAAGCTCTAAACTCTGGAAAACAAGAGTCTGCGAAAAAAAAAAAGCAATTTACCTGGAGAATGGATTTCTTTGGCTCTGTAAAGTGCGGATCTATGCATGCGCGCCGCATGAGCAAATGATTTTCTTGTGCATTGAGAATTGCATAAAGCCATTGTTCACGTGAGGTCCTGGGGATGTTGGCAGCACGGCTATCAAACTATATTGATATGTATTATGCAATCTCCAGGACTCTCGTCATCTTGTCTTTTATTATTTCTTCTCAATTCTCAGCAAGCATTTCTTTCCGAATTTCTAGAATGCATCCTATAATAGACTAGACTGACGGTATAGACCCCCTTCTGCCTTGTACGAATCCAGGATGACGCTACGGCCCGCGCCATCGTTGGACGTTCCATTCTCACCAAAGCCGTCTACGAGCTCTGGGGCCGGGGGTTAACATACGAAGAACTCCACGAGGACGTGCGGCGACGGACGAGCGAGAAGTGGGCTCAGTACCGCAACTGCTCGTTCAGATTCGACGTCGATGCCTACCAGGGAAAGCGGAACCAGAAAGAACAGCGGAAACTCATCGAAGGGTTCAGCTATCTCGGTTTCTCAGGAAGAATCCAGATGAGTAAATTTGAAGAAAACTGGTGTATTTTCGAAGAATGGGACAATGTCTTTGGCATTGCCGTATCCAGTTCTCCTTCCCTCTCCCCATCTGTCTCTACACCCTCCACGCCCTCCGGTGCGAACACCTCCTCCGCCGCCGCCGCCGCCGCCTCTGGTGGTGCCGTCTCCAATATCAAAAACAAACCCAGACCCGAGCAACCTCCAACCCACCCAAACAGGTTATTCCTCGGGCGACTTATTGGCGGCTCAGACCGAGAAGCAATAGTCCGCTACGATCTCAAGAAGCGCAAATACATCAGCACCACGAGCATGGACGCCGAGCTGGCTCTCGTGACGGCCAACCTTGCCCTCGCGGCGCCCGGAAAGCTCTTTTTCGACCCCTTTGTCGGCACCGGCAGCTTTTCCGTCGCGTGCTCGCATTTCGGCGCCCACGCGCTGGGCTCGGATATCGACGGGCGAAGTATTCGTGGAAAAGGAGAAGGCGGGATTGTTAGCAATTTCCATCAGTACGGGCTTGTGCATCGGTTTTGCGATAGTTTTGTGTCCGATCTCACAAATACACCGCTGCGGCCCACGCAGTTGCTGGATGGCATAATATGCGATCCACCCTATGGAGTACGTGAAGGCCTGAAGGTCCTCGGGTCCCGAGATGGCAAAGGAAAGGAAGTCATCTATCTGGCTGATGGCACGGCAGCTCATTTGTACGTTGTTCCGTACATTTAGTACTGTCCTGAGGCTGGTAATTACCTACTGTCCTCAGGCTGGTAATGGTAAATGGAAACTAAATGCTGATACTGATGTTGTGAGAGCAGGTCGTCGAGCTACATCCCGCCCAAACGACCCTACAGCTTCGAAAGAATGCAAGCGGACATTCTTGCGTTTGCGGCAACCATGTTGGTTACGAATGGCAGGTTATCAATGTGGATGCCTACTGCGAATGAGGATTTCGAGCTGGGCGTTCCTCTTCATCCTTGCCTTGAGCTCGTGAGCACCTGCATTCAAGTATTTAATAAATGTATGTATCCATCCCTAACCTTTTGTTTTTCATTATTCTTTCCCCCCCCTTCCTTTTGTACCATCAGTTTTATACCCTTCTTTTTACCTCTCCTTTCTCCTTTTCTTCACCCCTCCTTCTTCTCCTCTCTGGTCATCACGACTTGTAAAGTTGTACACGCCATTGCCATGTTCCCATCTTGCCATGTTACCATGAATACTTCGATATCAGTATCACTATTCCAGCTCAGACATACTCACTCAACCAAAAAATATCCAGGGTCCCGTCGTCTCCTCACCTACCGCCGCATCCCGGACTCAGCCGTCAACCCTACCGCCCTGACCAACTACCAGCGCGACATGTCCACGCTCGAGGCCCACGCTAGTGCCAATGACTTGAACATGTTCAGAAGAAAGGTATGTCGCTTTACCCCCGGTCCATATGGAGTGTTTCTTTTTGCGCCGTTTTCTGCAAGGGATTGCAGCGACCGCCGTCTTTCGCAACTTATCGAAACCAATCGCCCATCCTTCGCAAGGCATGAAAGCAGCACTGACGTATACGCGTGCAACAGTATTTTGAAGGATTCAGACCGACAACGCCTTCAACCGGAGCATTGACGCCTGCCTCGGAGTCTGATACCACGACATGAGCCGGCGGCCGGTAACGGTTCGAGCCTTCGAGGGACAATGGGTTCTCGCAGTCGATGCGAAAAGAAAGAACCCACGAGTACCACGACTACTACAAGGCCTATAGTGTGACGGGATCAATAGGATGAATCGAGCAGCAGCAACCGGTCACAATTTCCCATCAAACATACAAGATACAAGATACAGGATATAACATACAACATACACAGCAAATTCTGGCATTGCTGTGGAAGTGGTGTACACATCCCTTTAAGATACTACTATTGTGGGATGATGCCAAGGCGGCGTTTCTTCCAGTGTTACAAATGGGCGGGGAGATGACACTATGTTAATGGCTCAAGATCAAGATAATGAATACTTGGATACCGACATGGTAATGTGAATGCTGAATACTGAAATGACAATCACAATGATAATGAATAAGAGAGGGGGAAAATGCAAAAGGATAAGAAAGGTTGAAATGGTCTATTATAGGGATATAACTATCCCGATATAAGGATAGATGAATATAAAAGTCAAATGTCTTATGCGAAAAGTGAAATGCTGAAATGTAACCGCCCAGATGATGTTCATAATAAAGAATATGGAGTTGATGAAAAAAGAAAGAAAAAAAGTAGAAGATGAGAAGAAGATGAAATAAGAAAAATAAAGGAAAAGGAGAGGATGGGGAGAAGAGAGGGAAAGGAAAGAAAACAAACACACGAGACGCCTGATATGCGCCCCGCAGAATGAAGCAGCCTGCACCCAGCCCTATGCCAAACACCGTATGATCAATATGAATTGAAGGGGATAGAACAATGCGGTTACAATGATGCTAAAAGCAAAGTGTCTAGGACAAAATAAACGCCTTATTCGCGTTCAAGCTTTTTCGGGCTTGACTCCTGGGTCTTCTGGGGCTTCTGGCTTTGCGCCAGGGTCGACAATCTTGAATGTAAATCGAGAAGAATATCCTTCATGTAGGCGGATATCGACTTTCTCGTCCGCTGGAACCATTTCGTGATTGAGGTCCCAGCCGGCGCGGCGACATAGCTCGGCGACAACAACGTCGCAGTCTCCGAGAAGGTCAATGTCGAAATTGACATGTGAAACGGGCTATCATGGCCAGTCAGTCAGTTTTATGGTTAAGACGGAAGAGGGGTGTTTATCCAATATGCGGATATTGGAGGATTAGGGAAAAAAAAATAGAGAGTGAAAACTCACAGTTCGAGAAACGTATATTTGGGGCACTTCTGGAGGCAAGAATCCAACCACTTCGGAGACCGGCGCGACTTTGAGTGAGGTGCCAATGACGACAACAAGATCGACCAGGTTCCGGTCATGCTTGACAAGGCGGTCGTGGAATGTGTCCGGGAGGGCTTCGCCGAAGAAAGTGATGTCGGGCTGAGACAGTTATTAGCATTTCCAAATACACTCCGATTGAAGAGAATACTGACCTTCATGACGCCGGGCTCGGGTTCGTCAAAATCGCTCTCGTCATCGTCATCGCTCCGGCGACGTCGGTCTTTTTGATTTCCCTCTGAGCTTCGCTTCCTTTTCATGCCGCTCGTTGGCCTTGAGCCGGACGTGCGCGTACATCGTTGGCATTTAGCTACGCGTCCAGCGCGGAGGTCTTCATATATTTCCTCGCCGGGCACGTTGTACTTGCACCTTACGCAGGATGCGGTTGCAAATGAACCGTGGCATTGAATCATCTTTTCGGGACGTATGCCTGCGAGGCCTTCGATATTATCGATATTCTGAGTGTAATTCGTGAGAAGCTTCCCCTTTTCTTGAAGTAAATGTATGAAACCATGTGTAGGAGAGAATCGTTTCGTAGAAGGAAGAATATCCTTTGCGACAGAATAGAAAATGCTACGAAGAAGTTAGTTCTGTAACTGTATGATTTCTAGAGTTATGATATCAACGTACCTTGGGTCCTCGCGGAAAATGTCAATATCAAAGACCTCCTGTGGGTCATTTAATCCTAGGTGTGCAAGTTGCGAGTAGAGACCTGTCTCTTTTGAACGAAAGTCTGGAATACCCAGGCTGGTAGAAATCTGATCAACCTGTGAGTAATGGCCTCTCGTAATGAGCATTTGAAACTTGCTTCAACGTACACCAGCTCCGGTCAGGACAATTATATTCTTCGACTTCTTCAATAACTCTACCGCATCATCGACGGTATTGTACTCCTGCAGCTTCAGACGCTTGGATAATTCTCGTGTTATCCCGAGCCCGAGCAGCGGGTAATAGGCTTCGTCCGGTGCGCCCTCGAGAAACACAGGAGGCCGGATTCCAAAAGCCGTGCATAACTTCTTGGCCGTGATGATCTCTGCCTCGATAGTCTCCATAACAAATTTATCGGGCCCAACTTCCCGTAAGCGTTTGCGATATGCCATTGCTTCTTCGACCGTGAGTGAATCTGCCTCTTCTAGTTGTGAGCATTATGGTTACCAACATGTGAGAGATTTAGGATAGCGCTTTACCCTTTGCTAACTGCTCCTCTCCCATGCCATCTAAAGCATCTTCATAGAGTGACTGTGATTCCCAGCCCTCAGCCACAGCGTCGTCGTCTTCCTCTTCGTCTTCTTCATCGTTATCACCTTCTTCTTCGCCACTTGATGACTCTCCAGCTGTCGCATTGCCATCTGTCTTCTCGTGAGAGCTTCCATTGATCATCGACGACGGGGCAATCTGAGCATTATTATGACCGACGAAATTGCCGTTGCTCATGCCAGGGTGCCGTTGGGCCACGGCCTCCTCGTCGGAAGAGATATCTACGACTTCGAGAGCAGGAACCCGGAGGGAAACATCTTCCTGCAGCGGTTTCGGAGGATCCATATTCGAAATTATGGACAACTAAGAAAGGAAAGGAAAATGGAGATTACATAGACGGAGGAGTCGATGGCCCTGGGCCTGACGTCGGCGTTGGCGGTGATTTGGCGCTATACGCGTATGGTGATATGATAGGAGATATGATAATGAAAGTTGTCGGGATGATGAAACTTGGAGATTCGGCAAAATCTCCGTTCAACAATAGCAAAGGGAAAAAAACAAAGCACATTACTCTTGTTCTACCAATCACTCACCACTGCAATTACAGGTCCAGGTGCACTAAACACGACCTCAAGGAGCCGATTGATGCTTCTCGACACTAATCGACGTGCGATTGCGTCCGCAGCGGTGTTACCGATTCACGCTCTAGTGCACGACTGAGGGTCCTTGCATGTGGAGCGCTTCTCATACCCAATCATGCCTACCAAGGTGTTGAAAGAATAAAATGTCCGGTCTTCCGAACAAGAAATCGCATCAGAAGCACATACGTGATGAATCAGCTGCACAAGGCAATGCTGCTCGCCCACAGCTTGGCGGCAAAGGCGACGCGGAAGAGAGCCGGGGTCGGCCCCGCGCCTTGAGACGGCTTTCGAACAAGACATTGCGGCCATGGCCCAGACTGGATATAGAGGGGAATGCTGGAGGTTCCTCAGGACGTTCAACGTCATCGGCGTTTGGAGTATATATGGGTTCTTACCGGCGAAGCCCATATCAATCCAGTGTTTCACTGCGGGGCAGTTCCGTACCTGGGTCCGCTCGTGCAAGTATAAACCATGACCGGATTGACGAATTGCTTCCACAAGAGGACCTTGACTTGGAAACATATGGGTTGGAAGAATATCGTGATGGACTTTTCGACGCCATGTTCTTCCAGCCGCCACCTCTTGACAAAGTCAAGCTTCTCAAGGACGCAGAGAAGACGCTTCCATTTCCCCTATCGAAGCCCCGTCCTTGGGTGCCAAGGGAAATTATTCCCAAACACTGGCATGACATGACACATTTAGCCTACCGATTGACCAGAACCAGGGCTGGTGTAAAGCTAGCTAAATCGTTCATCTGTTATTTTGCAGCCTACATCATTTGTCTTATTCCTGCTTGCAGAAGATGGCTGGGTCCTTACAACTACATTATGGCTATTTCTGCCGTTCTCAATCACTCCGGAAGGTCAGTCGGCTCCCAGCTGGATGGGACATTTCTCACTATCCTTGGCACTGCAGCCGGTCTTGGCTGGGGATCTCTTGCCCTCTATGTATCCACTGCTACTGCCCCCTCTCGAGAAGGTTATGGTGGAATTCTGTCCGTGTTCTTAGTTTTATTTACTGCAATTATTGCCTGGGTACGGTGCTACTACATGAGATTCTATCAGGCAGTCATTTGCGCTGGTGTTGCAATCTGCTTCATGTGTTTGGCCGACGTAGGCACAAACGTTAGTTGGAGACGGGTCTTTGACTATGGAATTCCCTGGGTTCTCGGGCAGGCTATCTGCTTGATAGTAGGGATCTGTGTCTCTCCAGATGCCGGTACACGATCAATGGCGTAAGTTCACTTTTTTTATGCAGTTCTAGGTGCCTGGGACACAACTCTTTTTCGATGATTCTTACTTGAGCAGATTTGCCATACATAATTCATTCAAGGCCATTAGAAGCACCCTGGAACTTCCACGTCAATATCAGTCATCCATTCGACGCCGACTGGCAGCTAGCTTTGTTGACCTCTCACAAGCTGTGCGAGATTTTACTATCGAATTAACAGTCTCTCGATTTGCTCCCGACGAACTTCGAGAGTTGCGAAACTTGATCCAGGGAGTGATGCGCTCTGTTCAAACCATCCGGACAACCACAATCTTGTTCAACCCTGTAAAAATTGAGAACGAAGTGGCTATTGCCATTGAGGGGGATGAGAGCCCGAGAACGGCTCAGGAATCCATATCTGCGGAAGCTACGCGGCTGATATGCAAGACGCTTGCGAAACCGACACGCGATTTGATTGATGCCATGGACAATGCCATCATTGGCGCTAATACAGTTCTTATGAGGATAGCAAGACTCCAATTCACATTACGCTTTCCCGGTGCGAACGACGGTGTACATGCCGATGAGGTTCTAAATGAGCTACGAGATAAACGATACGAGTTTGATGCTGCTGATGAAACTCTCATCAACGATCCACGTCTGACAGGCTCATATTCAGACCACGAAGTCGTGCAGCTGTTTCTCTTCGTTCATCCTGTTCGCCAAACCGCGGACAAGGTTGAAGCCTTGCTTGTCAAAGTGAGAGACATTGAACGAGCCAACAGAGGACTGAGCATCAACTTGCCCTCTTATCCATTCATCAAGTCTCTCTCGCGCAGCAACGCTCAGGTTAGACATGATCGCGGCGGCTTGACTGCCGGTTCCTTTTTCCAAAGCAAGCGATTGCTAGAGAGGACCATGAATGACCTGCAAAGCCAAGTATATAAACCGGCACCTCGCCATCCGCGAGTGAGCGAAGCAGCTGGCGTTGAAGGCCGAACAATGGGACAATACGAAGAAGAGCGAGAAGTAGCAATTGACTCAGATGGGCCCAGGGACCCCACTACAAAGTTACGGTACAAAATCTGGACCGTCCTGCACCGGCTGCAGGACTTTGAGTCGAGATTTGCATTCAAAGTTGTCTTGGTGACTACTTTGCTTTCAGTCCCCGCATGGCTGGACCAAAGCCGGGGCTGGTGGAATGCTAATGACGGATGGTGGGCAGTCATTGCCGTTTGGCTACTGATGCATCCTCGTGTATGACCTTCCTTTTCCTTTTCCTTTTCACTCTCCTTTCATTATCTCGCGTTTCTTGTGATGGTCTCCAGCTAACGACTTGCAGAGCGGAGGTAACATTCAAGACTTAATCGCGCGAAGCTTCTGCGCCGTGCTTGGAACCGTCTGGGGCGGCCTCGCATACGGCGCAGGCAACGGCAGCCCGTACGTCATGGGCGTCTTTGCTGCTATTTTCATGATACCCATGCTATACCGATTCACGCAGAGCACGCACCCGCGCTCTGGCATCATCGGATGTATCAGTTATACCGTTGTCTCTTTGACCGCATATACGGACCATGCCCAACCGTCCATTGTCACGCAGACATGGACTCGAGGCGTGGCCTTTCTCGTCGGCGTCATGGCCGCCGTGGTCGTCAATTGGGTATTCTGGCCATTCGTCGCACGTCACGAACTGCGTAAGTCCCTGTCCTCAATGATGCTACACGCAGCAATCCTGTATCGCGGTGTTGTCGGCAAATACATTTACTACGGCGAGGGCGAGGAGCCGTCAAAAGAAGATGTAGAAAGGTCCGAAATGCTCGAAGGTCGATTGCGCGAGGGCTTCGTACGAATACGCCAACTAATGGCTCTAACTCGCCATGAAATTGTATGTTCTCCTTTTCCATCTTTTCGTCTTTCCATCTTCTCGTCTTCTCGTCTTCTCGCCTTCTCGTCTTCCCGTCTTCCCGTCTTCCCGCCTTTTCCGTTTTCCACATTTCCTTCCTCTTCTAGGCCCACCTTCCCTTCTCCCCATCCCATTATGTCCATATTTCGCATCATCCTGACCACTGACACAAAAAAAAGCGCCTCCGGGGCCCATTCGACCCCCTCCCTTCCAGCGCACTCATTGCCGCACTGGAGCGGTTCTTCGACCACCTCATCTCCGTGCGGCAATCGTCTTTATACTTCCGCCCTACGCTGTACGCAGATAACCCTGTCGCCATGGAAGCTTTACTCTCTGTACGCCGGGATGCTGTCGCCGCGATCCTCATGAATCTGTACATCCTCGCCGGCGCGCTACGCTCTGGCCGCCCCGTTCCGCGCTATTTACCTTCTGCCGCGGCTGCGCGGAAGCGCTTGTTGGACCGAATGCATGCGCTCGAAACCGAACTTAGAGCCGCTGACCAGGCGTATATGCCCAATCAGCCGAGATATACTCGGCGCTGGGCAGATGTTTATCGTATGTTCCCTTTTCCTCTCTTTTAATTTATCTTCCTCTTTATTTGCCTTCTTTTTTTCTTCTCGTTTCTTATTTTTCACGTCTTATCTCTCGTCTTTATATCTCTCCTTTCTCATTTTTTCCCTTGTCCTATTTCTCTCCCTTTCTCACTCTCACTCTCACTCTCACATATACACATATCTCGTCCTTTTCTTTCCTTGCATTCTTCTCTTTGCCTTTTCCCCCCTTATCTCACTAACCAACCAACTAATCCAATGTGCATTCAGAATACGCCTACTCCGCCGCCCTGACAGACATTGTCGAACAATTGCAACAACTCCAGCGCTACACGAAAGCCATCACGGGCGAAGTGGGATTCGATCCGCCCGATGATCCCGGCACCGATGAAACCTATTGATCGATGTACCATGTATTGTTACTGAAACTTATGGCGTTGTAAATTATTTTTGTATATTTGCATGGATGTCTGTCTGTCTGTCTGTCTGTATATACGATATTTGTATATATATATGCCGCCTTGTGCTTCCAAAAAAAAGGGGGATATTATCCATGACCTGTATATAACCCCGGACATTGCAACTTGTATACCTACTTTGGACCTTGGACATTGGACATGCACATACATAAACACAAAAAACCTTGAATCGAATCACAGGTTTCAAAAACAAAAGGTCAGAAGTGCATGGATATACATACAGCGCAATCACATACATGCAATACACTAGTAGTCGTCAGAGTATCAGTCTGATACCGGCGCAAAAATTCATCATCATCCCACGTAACCGTAGTACTGATAATTCTATCAGTCATCATTAATCTACACATACTCAAACAAATTACGTGACCAAAACGAAAGAAAAGGTATTGAAATTTGTTCTGTTTTAAAAAATTTGCGTCTACAGTCCTAGGGAAGACAGGAGACAGAAGACAGAGAGATGTTCTTGGTAGGAGGCGAGGTCGAGGTCATGCACCGGCCTTGGGTAATATATAAAGAAAAAAAAAGAAATAAAGGAACGAAATAAGGTGAAAGGGCCGTCCGTTGCGATTTTTTTCCCTTAGAAGATAGCGCGGAAGAACGAAATACGGTGAAAGAGCCATTGGTTCCAATATTCCTTAGAGATAAAGAAGAAAGAAAAATGGATACAAAAGAGAGAAAAGAGGGTGGGAGGGAAAAAAAGGTATAGAGAGTTTGTATATAATACACAAGAAGAAGAAGAAGAAGAAGAAGAAGAAGAAGAAGAAGAAGAAGAAGAAGAAGAAGAAGAAGAAGAAGAAGAAGAAGAAGAAGAAGAAGAAGAGAAGTAAAGAAGAGGGAAGGAGGAAGAGAAAAGATATCAGGAGCACATCTACACGCTTAATATCCCAAAGCGCACCCCACACACACAAAAATATCGCCAAAAGGAAAATGAATACGAAAGAAAAGGGAAAAAAAGACCATAGCCTCGATAGAAAAGGGAAACCTGAACCTTCCGTCACATGCGATATGAGAATTCCATACGCAGAATGCAACGCCTTGGAAAACGCCTGTTGTGAAAAGACAAGACAAGAAATGACAATATAACAGGGGAAAAAGGAAAGGGGGCGAAAAGGGGAGGCGGGAATGAATCAAAAGGTTAGGACACGGGTGGAAAAGTGAGCGCATTTTTTGATTTTTGTTGTCGTGCAGACAGACTACCGCAAGCGTTCGACCTCGGGCTTACGGAACAGGTAGAAGGTCGTTATAATGCTTTCCTGCCGACGAGTCTGCGTCTATACCCGACAGAAGCAAACGCTATATCGTCATACGGATCATTTGCCTCGGTAAACCGCTCGTTACCTACCATGAGGAGTTTGAGTACGTTTCCGAAGCCGACGACAACGGACCGTTTGCCGAGCTGGGTAATCGGGCCTGCTTTACTGACGAGAAGATGGAGAGAGGAATAAAATGGACGATTGGAAGAACTCAGACTCGCCGTTGCGCCGGGGACGTCATTGTCGAGGATGAGGGGAGAAGTGCGAACTTCGCCAGAAGCAGAGAGCATCCAGGCCTCCCAACCACTTTCGTCAGAAGAGGAAGAAGAGGCGGTGGAAGCGGTAGTACCGCCGAAGGGGCTAGACCGGCGGCGGCGCTGGGGACGAGGTGTGGATGGAGAAGAGTGGGGATGGTGGGGATGGCGATGATGAGAGGTAGAAGAGGAGAGATGTGTGGGGGTAGAAGAGCCAGAGGTTTTGGTCATGGTTGTTTTGCGTTTACGGAGGATGCCTGCTCCAATGCCCGTGCAGTCGCTGAGATCACAAGAAGAGGACCCGCTGTCGGAGGAAGATGAAGAGCCAGAATCATCAATTTCAGGGACCTGGCGGATGCCAACCACGTTATTGACTCCTGTGGCTTCCCATGCACTAGAGTTTTCGACCCAGTGCAGGGATTCTTCTGCGTACTCGATACCACAGCAACTTGGGCCCCGGCCGGTGGAACGGGATGTCAGACATAAAGGAACTCCTGGCCGGCCAGAGGTGAAGGTGTGCATCATGCAATCGTGCGTTTCAGCTTCGGTGTACACAATGGAGAATGACCCAATACTTGAGGCGCCGCAAGCAAGACACGGCCGTCTTGGGGAATGAATGACACGCAGAGATTGTCCTTTGACTTGGCCAGTTTGCAAGCTTCGGATGACGGTGCGATAGTGAAGGTCAATGACGTCGATCTCGCAAAGCTTGACGGCGAGCACCATGCCCAGGGCTGGTACGGGCACAACAGACTTGACTTTGATGATCTTGCCGCTTGGGAGTTGACGTGGTTTGGACAGTTCCAAGCCTTCTGAGACCCAGTGGTTGAAGTCGCGAGAGACAATGTGCATACAGCCGCTCCGGGAAACAGTAATAATGTTAATTTGAGCCTTGGGATTGTCAATAACTCGCGCGCACACAAGCGGGTTACGGCATATCTGCAGCTGGTCGACTTCATCAGTTTCCATATCTGACTCAATCATGCACCCATCTGGGCGGATCAGGATAAGACGAAGACCCAGCGAATCTCCTGTGCGAATCCGGGCGAAAAAGAATGCACACGGTTGCTGTTCTGCTAAATCGATAGTCAATGACTTTGTAAAGTGATGTTCGGCCACGCTCCACACATAGATATGACCAGAAGCCGAGCAAATGGCCACCAGCTGCGCCGCGTCATCAATCGCACACGCAGAGACAGGCCACAGTGGTCGACCAACAGCATCAGCGCGGAGAATGCGATTCTCAAAAACATCTGATCCACTCTTTGGTGACCAGACGCATACTGACCGGTCGAGCGCGATCGATACCAAGACACCACGGCTCGAAGCGACGACCTGCGCCACGTCGAGATCATGAGCGGCGGGTAAGGTTTTGACACGTAATAGCCGCTCTTCTGTGTCTGAGGGTCCGTCCTGGATTTCATTCCAGAGAAGATAATTCATAAGAAGGGAAACAGCGGCAAGAGTTATAATCAAAGCCAAGACGAAAGAAAGGAGGTGCTCTTCTAGTAGCCTGTGGAATAATTCCGAAAAGCGGGGCGTGACAGTGTGACCACCTTTTCGATCTGCTCCCGAAAGGACAAAAACCAGTGGATCATGGACACGAGCAATGATCCGATGGGCATGTGGCTTGACGATATCAATCAGCTCCTTTGCCGTATCGTGGTCTTGGAGCCGCATCCAAGCCGTGGGCGTTCGAGCTTGATTGACCGGCTCCAGGCTGGCTGGAGTGGGATCTGTCCTCTCTGTACCAGAAGATTTGAGCAACCGATATAATCGCGTCGTGACTTGGACCGGGGTCTCGTTCTCGAAAAAGTGACCATTGAGCGCGACGACAAAGGCGATCAAGATTGCTGAGCCGGCGATTCGCGTACTAAACGGCAATTCGCCCTTGTACAGAGCTTCGTTCCACGTTTGTCGCTTGGCATCGGACTTTGCGGCATCAGTCTTCTCGACATTTACTCGCTCCAGGGACTCTTGTAGCTCCATTCTCCGTACGTCAACGCTCAGTACGGCGACGAAGAACGTCAGATGGAAAATGAAGTCGAAAACCAGCGCCACGGCTGCGAAAGCGCAAAAGGCTGCAACGCCAGGAGATACAACTTTGGACAGGATGCCGAGAATCAACAGATTCTGACCAGCCGAAGCCAGAGACAAGTGCCCAATATCACCGAGAGCGGTTGCTAGACGCGTTGTCGTAGGCATCTCACCCGGAATGGCAAGGACAGCGTTGATGACTCGGAACCTACATTCGCAGTGATTAGTTTGATGACTCCCTTTCCAATTCCCTAATGCCATTGAAGATCGGAAGTTGAAGCATACATATTCTCTAGACCAATTGCTAGAACCACGAATGGATATGCCTCATGCGGAATGCCCGTCAAGTTGATTCTGCACATGGTGCAAATAGTAAAACTAGCCATGATGGACGTAGCAATCTTTTAGAAAAAACCATCTGTCAGTCATGCCGCCAGTCTTGATTCATGCTTCAATTCTCTCTCCTCCACGCACTCACCTGTACAATGACCGTGACTACGAGACCGAACCGACTCTTCACCGCTCGCATCTTACTGAGACTGACCCCCACGTAAGCAGCCATGAAGAGGTACGCCAAGGCAAGCAAAAAGTCGTCATGCAAGCTCATCGGTTGGAAGCGGAACTCATATAGCCAAGGGCGAGCAACAAGCGGATCACTGGAGTACAGCGACCATCGGCCTGGAGCAGCATTTACGAGCCTCTGTGCGCGGCCAATCCAATCCTCGGTAACGCTGGACTTGATTTTCGACAATAGAGAAATCACGAGCGCGTCTGCGGCCACGAGCCGGTCTCCTTTAAACGACTTTCCTGCAAACACGGTAGAATGCCGTAGGGTGAAATCGTTGGCAGAAGTAAAATTGGCACGCGAATTGATTGTGCGCAGAATGTCCGGATCGGCAGCAATCTCAGCTGATGAGCAGTTCCAGTACAGCAGTGGCGAATGGAAAAACCAGTCTCGAGAATCAAAATCGTTTGAACGACGGGAAGCTAGCGATTGGCCACGGGAACGAATTGATGCATTTGAATTGGCGCGAGGTTTTGCATGGAGCAACGGCGACAGGCCATCTTCCTCATCCTCGGCGTCAAGATTGGCTGGGTCTGCAATCAATGCGTCCTGTAAAGCCAGAGCCTCCTGCAGGACGTGCGGCTCCAACGCTCCCATGTAGTTTCCATATACCCAAATTTGATGTATCTCCAGATCAGCATTTGTTTCTTCGGTGCCGCTAAACGGACGGGCGGATGTCCAAACATGGTGGGGTAATATAGAGGCGCCCGGGGTGGGGTTGAAGTAGAGGTAGCGCAGAGGATAGCACAGAAGGATGCCAATGGCCACGGAGATCAAGATGGACCGAACAGGATGGCGAGCCGTGGAGGTCCCATGTCGAAAAAAGGCACGTCGGATGGGATGGTCCGGACTGAGAACGGGCGGTTCGGTCGTGCTATATAGCAAAGCTTAGCTCAATGTTTCGGTGGTCACGATTTTTACCAGCGGAACCCTGGTGTGAAACGAGTAGATACGCACCCACGGAATGGATATAAAAGGTACCAAATCATCCGAAATAGTTTATACTTGTAATGGGGTTGGAGTATGCGACTGCATGAGTCTCTGTAAGATGTCCTCGAATAAGAGGCGTCACAGTCCGGGGCGGGTCGATTGATGACTTAAAACAGGAAGCGCCCAAGCGGAATTGAGTGGGAGAAAGTTGATATGGCGAAACGATATCCTTTTTAGGGTCCAACCATTGATGTAGGCTAGGTATGCAAGATGCCGTTGGTTGGATTAGAAGTTCGAAGAGAAAGTCAAGACATCGATGCGGCGTCAATCGGCGGCGGAAGAAAGTTAGGGCCAAGAGGTTCAGCGCAGCGTCAACATCGATAACGAACCGAGGCGGTAAAGAGAGTAAAGCCAACTTTACAGTGAGACGTTGCGGTTCAAAGGAATTCGATAGACAGCAAAATTTGGTTGTAGAGAGTGGAAGAAGAAAGTGTGGTAAGAAGAGGCAATCAAAAGTGTCAAGGCGAGGGGAAGGAGATTGGTGGTCGATCGATCACAGAGGAAACAGAGTAGAGTAAGTTAGAGCGTGGGTGTGAAGGTGGGAGGAGAACTGCGGGATGTGAGTGGGTGAACAAGCAGCAGCCGCAGTACTGGAAATTGTGCGACCTAGACGGCGGAAATGGCGTCTGGCGTTTGGTTCCCCATGCAATTCTACGAATGATCAACTGGAGGATGCCATTGTACTAAAACCATTCGCGCCAATACTGTTATGATAGCTGCGTCTAGACAGAACAACCCGCATCTCTCAGACAAGAAAAATTGAATGGCCAGTGATGATAGCGTCCGCCAATCAATTTCATTACTCCGGTAGATCTGAAAAATTACGAGTACGAGGGGAGATGATTAACCATTTTGCACACTTCCAGTTACTCCGTAAGTAAAATGTGGCTATCAATGGCTTCTCACTAGTATGGGAACTAAGCAAAGCGTCCCAGAACTGGACTCCGGAAAAGGGATACCGAGTCAGGTTTGATGCTCCGAAAGTGGAAAATGGGGAAAACCACATGCGCCTCGGATAAGGAAGGCGCAAATAGTGGGGAGGTTGAACAGAAAGGGGACATGGTTATGATTGACAATTCCTACGCGCGGAGAGCGAGACCGAGAGAGCAGAATAAAGCCACAGGCGGAGAGGATAAGGCGTTACGGCTCTTGTCTGCTGGCAGAAACATATAGACGTTCGGAGGATCGGAGCAGACGAACAAACCAGCTGGATTGGGCGCGTCACACAAAGCCACACTTCATTGGTAGTTGTGGAGCAGCTGTGGAGCAGCAAACTTCTCCTTTTCTCTCACGGAAAAGGTGAAACGGTGCGCAAGAGATGAGGAGCTGGATCGGCAGCCATACAATAAGTTAGATGGTAAATGCACACCGACAGTGGTATAACAGTGGTATATCTGATGTCCGTGTACAGCTTGATAAACAGGCTAGAAAACAAGGGAAAAGAAAAGTGCAGATGCACGCCCCTCTTTCGACCATGGGTCGCCGTCGCATTTCGTTGGTAAATCCAAAGGTCAAAGCACGTCAATGCGTCAATGCGCCAGGCGAGGCAACGCGGACCGAAAGCCACAGGCGTAGAAAAAGGAAGGTCGCTCCCATTGCGGACACATGGCTAGCCTTGTCCACAGGTTCCAGCTAGTCATCCGTTGATACTGTTCATCAATAAATCGTTCTTATCCAAGATGAATAATGTCAATTGACGAATTTGCAAATACAGTAGGATCCCTTGGGAGGGAACAAAGATGATAATCAGAAAAAACCAAGACAAAGTAAAAAACCTTGCTGGATCAGAAGTGGGGTTTATTTCGACCTGGTCGTTCACCTACCTATCCACCAATTAACCGCCCGTACACCTCGCTCCCTGTAGCTGAAATTGAGATGGAACCGACCCGATAGGGCCTGGTCACATCCAACTGGGGACTCTGCTTCAGGGGTGTCAACCAACCGCAGCTGGAACATCACCAAAGAGTTTTTGCTCCCCACTAACTTAGAGCACTTTCCTTCTTCCCAAGAAGCAGATGCCTTGGAACCCAAGGGATGGAGATGGGCGTCGATCATCCAGCGTTCGTAACGCAATATCGTATGAGAATGACATATGTGGAGATGTCCTCTCAACACTGTCTCAATTCCAAATATCAATGATATCGGCGTCTACTGATGTAGCCACCACGATCAATGCCCAAGTACCGGTGTCTCGAAGTGCGTGTACCGATATCCAAATATGCATGCTATCTCCAGTCGATACCCCTTCTTCAGCCTGGTTGATATCCAGCTCTCCCTACACTTCTCATGAAACATTATTGGCCGACACAACAATCCTGCCTGTGGGGACAACGACCAAGGGACCGAGGAATTGACCCAGAGATAAGGGACCGGGGATTGACCCTACAAGGCCGTTGGGATTTTAACGACAACATGCCTGCTGCGGCGTTGCGGCACAGTTTTTTTCAGAGCTTCATCAATTTTTCGGCCCGACGTGTAAGCAACGGAGGGGCTTCAGATGAAGCATAGCCTGCGTGGCCTGCATATTGGTTGCTTCGTAGCCTTGTTTCCAACAGGATTGGGAAGAGGATCATCAATTGCCCATCTCTTGAGGTTTTGGTGTCCCATGATACTCAAGAGCCGTCCTCTCGTAACGCACATACAGCATCGTATGCAAGATGCTGCATCTTGTTGATCTCTTTCCTTAAAAGTCAATGATAGACTAGATCATTTTGTACTCCGTAATAAGGGCCCGCCTATAGGGTCCCCACCATTAACGCACACGTTGAAATGCGCGCTGAGGTTCAGTGACAGTCCAATCAATGTCATTCTTTGAAGCTCAGCCGTTGGTGGACCGTTGTGAGGGGAAAATTCAAGCGATGAACGAGATATCTTTGTTGAGCTTTTGCTCCGTCGATTATGCACAGTCATAATCTGCGCAATCCATTACGCATCTCCACCATGCGCCCTACAGCAGTATTACCAATAGTTAGCCACCTCTCTTAGTCAAGTTGTTTCAGCCAATACAGAAGCTCCTTCAAGCCTCGCAATGACATACCCGATTGATTCGGAGGTTTCATGAAACTAGCGAAGTGTGAGTGATATGAAAAGCAATGCGCGTCAGGTAGAAACCTGCCATGGTCCATGTTTCTCATAAGTCCCTTTTTTGGATTTTTGGACAAGATTGTCACAGGTGAGGAACTGAAAATATAACACGATAGCTTTGAAAATTACAGAGCTCCTAGGCGAGCTATTACCAATTTTCTCACAGCTGTTGAAACAAAGCTGTCACACGCGGGGAAAAGGAATTGAGTCTGAATTTTAATATCCATCCCAAATGCTATGATCATGTCTCATCACTTATAGGATATCTCCAACGAGAAGAACATTGCCAGCTTGTGCCTCCAAGCCTAACAAATATTTACCATTATATGGAAGCGCGTAACGGGAGAAGGGAAGAGGAAAGCTTCGATGCTTATAATGAATAAGCGACTAACGTCACTTATGCACCGCCCATTTCTTGATCACCATCCTCGTCCTCATCCTCCTCAGCGTCACCCTCGTCCTCCCAAGCCTCATCATCATCATCTCCCTCTCCATTGTCGCCTAACTGCTGGTTTAGAACCTCTACCAGCTGAGTAGCATGCTCGCCCAACCGCGTATCCTCATACTCGAGGGCTTGGTATAGTCGCAAACTGTTTTGTAGCCATGCACGACTTGCTCGTGCGAGATTTTTAACCACGGCTTGTTGTTTCGCAGGGTCAATATTGGCGCTAGAAGGCTCTTCGTTCTTCTTCTCGGCCATGAGATGCAAGCACCAACCACCCAAATACCACGCTTCCACGGAGTGGTCATCTTCAGTTATCAGCCGCTCTAGAACCTCAATCGCTTCCTCCTCCATCTCAGCTTCCATAAGCAATCTGGCTAAACTGATACGTGTGGGAAATTGTGGCACATCGGGATCCTCAGGAGGGAGGTCCTTCCAGATCAACAGACTTCGGGAAAGCGCCGCACGGGCATCGTCAAAGCGGGTCTGTGAGATGCGTACAGATGCGAGGGTTTGGAGGGCTTCAGGTTGATTGGGCGCCACCAGGAGAGATTCGGTAACCAGATTTTCGCAGCGGGTTTCGGCATCTTCTTCCCACCTATTATGCAGTCAGAATTGTTAGCAAGTTTACTTCTTGATGAATGTAGGGCTATAGAGTCTACAAGGAAAATGAAAGGGGAAAAAGGACGAAGGGAGAGACATACGACAAATCAGTCATATAAACCTCCGCAATACCGCATAAGGCATTTGCAAGTTTGCCCTTCTTCTCCTCCACTTCCAACTCCACGTCAGCCCCATGCCCATGCTTCTCCAGCTCCCCAATTTCTCTTCGAAGAACAGCGGCGCCCTTTTCAAACCATACTACACTTTCTGCTCCACCTTGCTCGCACAATTGCGCTAACCATAGAAACTTCTCTGCGCCACCGCCCAGCGGTTGCGGAACAAGTCCTTCAGGATCAAGGGATGCTGCGGTCAGAAACAATTCTCTGGCGGTGTCAATATTGCCCAATTCAATGTTGATTTCGGCGACCAAGTCTAGCGCTGGAAGCACAGCTGCGGGTGAAACGTCGCCGTCGTCTGGTTGCAACAGTTGCAATGCGCGCTCCGCAAACGGTAGAGCATCTTCAGGTTGTCCAATTTGCAGAAGGGCCGTAGCTTGTTCAAGAAGAGCTTCGGGAGTCTCGGCAGGCTTCTGTTGACTTGATGATACGCGGTGACCTTGCGTAGTGTTCAGGATGGTCTTTTCGCGTTTCTGATTATTCTTCGATTTTTGGTCTGCCTTGGACTTGGCCATGGCGAAGAATATATGGCTTGAAAATATATAAAGGGTTCTTTGTGTGATTTTTAACAATTAATCAAAGAAAATATTGACAATATTGAGTTGGACAAAGGACGAAGTTCGAAAATATATGCTGTAAATCCTCTTTTTGCGTCTCAAAATTTCGAGAACACTGACCATGCTATGTCATTACGCTAAACCTGATTGGGTCCTGCACAAAGTCCGACTGGACCCTCCCCCACCATGTGGTTGAGCATATGCGCGCCGCATTCACGTCTGGTCCTATCGAAGATTATTGATTCTCTCGTGTATCATGGGTAGAGAAGAGCAGCAGCAAGAGCGGGAGGTGCTTGGCGCCATTTTCCCTGAGGAGATTACCGGTACGTGCTCTTGAGCCACCGCTTTGATATTTCAGCTTTACATGAAATTTAGACATGCTTGATAAATCTTGAGGTGACTAACTTTTCGTCGCACTCTACAGATGTTTCTGAGAAGGAATTCCGGATATCGATAGCTTTGGATGTGACAAATGAAGAGGGCGAGGAGGAGCCTGAGCCTCGTACGCAGACCCGAACTTGTGCTTTTAGCTTCACTTATCCTGCTGAGGAAATGAGATGGCATATACTCCAAAGCAGAAGCTAACCAAGATAATTGTACCCTACAGCCATCATCTTGCTCAATGTGTCTTATCCAGAGGCCTATCCTGATGAAGCACCGCTCCTGGATATCCTGACCCCGCCAAATGCGCCTAAACACCCCTTCCTCGATATTCAGGAAGATAAAGCACGACTCCTGGATTTGTTACAATCAACAATCGAAGACAACATGGGATTCGACATGATCTTCACCTTAGTTGGAACGCTCAAGGATGGCGCGGAGCTGCTGATTTCCGAGCGCCAGAAGGCTAAGCACGCTCTTCATGAGGCCCAGCTTGCAAAAGCCGAAGAGGAAGAGAATCGCAAGTTTCACGGTACCATTGTGACACGCGAATCGTTCCTTGAGTGGAGAGAAAAATTCCGCAAGGAGTTGGAAGAAGAAGAAATCCGCCGGAAAGAGGAAAAGGAGGCAGAGGAGAAAAGGGGAAGGAAAGGTGGTTCCAAGGACGAGAAAAAGATGACGGGACGTGAGCTCTGGGAGAAGGGTGTCGCGACAACCAAGGGCGACGAAGATTACGAGGGTGGGGATTTGGCTGATGATGTGGAAAAGTTGAAGGTTGGGGCTTGAAATACTGAGCGCGTACTTGCTATCTCTGGATACTTGCATTTATGAGGAGTTTTGGGACTGCATTCAACTACATTTGCTGCACAGCCATTTAGAAAGATTCAGTAGAACAAATGCCATGGATATTTCTGAATTGCAGAGTTTGTAAATTCTAATGCCGCTGCGAGTGTATACGAACAAGTATTAACGAACCCAATAGCGGCTACTGATTGACGTCGTCCAAACTTCTATCTCGAATGTTCCTGACCTCCTCTGGCCCGCTTGCGAGCCAGTCTCTCCAGTCTCTTGCTTCGTAATCTCTCTGCCTTTTCTTGTGCTGCCAGCTCTTTCTCTTTCTCGACTATATCCAACATTCTCGCTGACAACGCACCGATTGCTTCGTATTGCTGTTTGAGCACCTCCCTAGTGTTCATCAACGCAAAGAGGATCTCTCGCGTCCACTTCGATTCTGGCATAAGAGAAATCCCATGCTGTGCCTGAAGCAGCGAATCCCATTCATCCTCTTCATTGGCGAGCTGCATCATGCTCTCAAGCGCATGCATCCGTTCGACTCGACGATGTCGCTGCGTTATCTTTTGGCGAAGAATGCGACTCAAGAATGGCGATTGGGGTTTCTTGAAACGGAGAATGGGAAAGCCATTCGCGTTCACGAGTACGGGAATGTGACGCCTTCCGCTGATTTGCTTGTATGGTCTGGACAGAACCGGGGACGCGCCAGGGTACGGAGCTGGTGGGTGAAACTTGCTCTTGTTCCCATTTGGCCGAGTATGGTCGGGACTCTTCGTCACACTGAGCGATGGACGCTCAATAAGTGAGGGGCCGAGCTCATGAAGAAGCTTCAGTATTCTTGATGTGCCTTCTACACTTCCTCTAGCAGAGGACGCGAGGACATCGTTCGCCTGGAGGTAGTAAATAAAATATTTAGCAAAAACATTCATAGTCTTTCCATTTATGGTGGGAATATTGTACCTCGTAGCCAGCTTGGAAAGCCACTCTCAACAGAGGAATGCTTTGCCAATCCTTTTTCTTTTGGAACTCCTGCGCAATGATCGCTCGCAGACTATTCTGCTGATCACGCGGGAACGGTGTTCGACCGCATTGCCGCACCAACGCTCGATACAGCGCGAGGCCTGAATTCTAAGGTCAATTTGAAATGCTTCTTCACAAAGTCCAAGACCCGACATACATGCGAAACGATGTCGTCCTGACTGGCTAGGAAGAAGGAAGCGCGGCATTCACTCCCTTTGCCGGTGCATTTGGTGCTACAGTAGTGAGTAAGATCAAGGTCAAGATCCAGGCGGAAATGTTTTGATGTAGCTCCGACAGTGTGCCCGAACCAATACCTTCAGTGTACGGAGTATAAAATCAAGTGAAAATAGAAACATCTCAAACACGATACGTCATGAGTAATTGCAACATTTGATTGCCATCAAGTCATCATTTATCTGCTGTAAACACTATGTCGCTGGAAAGGACTCGCTCGTCATATATAATACTCGCAAGCATGCAATGTACTCCGCCAATGCAAGGCCAACAATGGGCTGGAAACTGAAAGTACTCCGCAGGCGCTTCTTTAGCTCATCATTTCCGTCATCCAGCTTCGCTTCTCTAATGTATTCGTGATCTCGAAGCATGAACATGAAAAGCAAGACTTCTAAATTATTCCCGCAGTTCATTTACCATGTGCTGCCCTCGGGAGGCTGAGGCAACTTCTTATTGGCGGGAGACGCCATTGATCTGGTACCAGACAGTTAGCTATAATAAAATTCCGCGGGAAAATAATCGGCATTACCTTCTTAGCTCGCTGAGAATGGTCTCCATGGTGTAGTCACGCTTCCATTGCGACAGGCACTGCAGCTTAGTGGGATCAACCTGGTTGACGTCAGTGATATGCTCAGCACGCGGATGAAGCTACCTTGCCATCTTACCTTGCCATTTCTGGGATCAACACAGGGCAAATTAATCTTTGAGACAAAAGTAACATCCGGAGGCACGTCAGGATAGTTTTCACCGCAGTGCAAGCTCAAACTGTAGATTCGGTTCTCGTGAACGCTCTGGACTCTCGATTTAGCCCATGAAGCCAGCAGACTCCGACGCAAACCTGCTTACATGAGGGGGCCCAAGGATTGTCCCATTCCAGTCCGACATCAGGAGGTCGTCGCCGTTGGCAAGTCCATAGGAGCAAGCATCTATATGCCAATGTTAGGGGTTGAAATAACTCGAACAAAAGATCGGTAATATGAGTTCGATGACGTACCCGCTCCGAGACCCTTTTCACCTTTCTCTAACTCCTCAAGGAGACGAAAATTTCTAGGTATCTTGGCTCCCATGATGTCGTTTTGAAAGTTGAGAGCAGTGAGCGATAAAGAAATGTTGATAGTTTTGGAGGGGTAAGTTAATCAGTTCCAAGCATCTGTGACAGATCGTCAGTCACAGCCCACTTTCAATTTTGGGTTAGCCTCCGCTCACCGGGTATTCCTGCTGTTCTCTTTCGACACAATATCCCTTCGCTTAAACATTCCGTTTCTGTCGCTTGCGCGTCAGGGTCAACACCAGAAGCACATATTGCCTAGAGTGGCCGCTTTAGCCTAGGGATAGAGGTCACGTAGCCCAAACAACATGTCGGCGTACAATGGCAAATGACGCCACCAAGTAATTTTGATGGATTTCACCAATGAAAGGGGATTGGAGATCTGAAACTTTGATGAGCTGAATTTGGGAGAATGACTGCCCAGATACTCAGCAGTGAGCTGTCCAATCTCATACAGGAGTCCAAGAGAAAGAACTCCGAGCTCCGACATGTATGTTTTGACGGTTACGGCAATCGAACTTAAAGTCAAATAACTCAATACCATTTCAGGCTGCCGAGGAATCCTTGACTCAGCTCAAGGCATTGCCGTCGACTTCCGAAACACAGCTTGCAGCTGGTTCGTCTCATGATTGCGTTTCGTGTGACTACTTTATATATGCTAATGGCCACGAGATTTGAGTCGGCGCCCCGATTTCATCAATCCATTCTTGATCGCTTGCGCAACTAAAAATGCCAAATTCTCAAGTATAGGAGTATCATGTCTTCAGCGTCTCGTTGTGTCACGTGGCCTTCCCCGAGCCAGGTTGAGAGACGTTCTCGAGGCTTTGAGCGAGAGCACATCCTTAGGTCTGGGATTGCCCTTGATTTCCGCCTTGAAGTGTTACTAACGAGATCAGGTGTCGAAGTGCAACTTAAGATTCTGCAGGCGTTGCCTCCGCTCCTGCAGTATTTCGCTGAAGACCTTCAAGGTGATCTTTTGGGAAAGGCGCTGCGAATTTGTGCAGCTTTATTAAATAGCAAGCTTGGAGTAGTCAGCAGTACATCTGCAGCAACGCTACAGCAGCTTGTCGTCTCTGTTTTTGACAAGGTTGTAACAGAAGATGGTACATTACAGTCCCGAGTCCCTGTTGCGGGAAACTTAACTAAATCAATTTCAGAGAAAGCTCTCCAGATCCCAACTACGGCGGAAGCGCCAACAGCAGATGGCTCAGTTCCTGTTCGCACCGCTGCATTTGATGCTTACAGGGTTTGTCTGGATGAATTGTTTTTTTTAGTATGATAGTACTTACCTGTGCTCTAGGTATTCAACGATATCTGCCTTCTTACAGAAGGGCAAAAGCCTCAATTCCTTCGTTCCACAACTCTGCCGCAAAGCTTTGGGCTTGAATTGCTTGAGTCAATTCTTGCCAATCACGCGGGACTCTTTTTGACTCATATGGAGCAAGCAAACGTACTGCGAACTCATCTAATGCCTTTCATCATTAAATCCTTGTCTGAGAGGCACAGCTTTCCCACGACTGTACGAACCATAAGGATTTTGCAGATTCTCCTGAAAAAGCATATCAGTATACTCGCATCTGAATGTGAGATGGCTTTCAGCTTGCTGACTCACATGCTCGAGCCTGACGCAGCGCCTTTGTGGAAGAGAGCAGTATGCATGGAGATCATCCGAGATTTGCACGCTGATTCGGGATTGATCCGGAAAATCTACCAACAGTATGATGAATCTGAAGGCAGGAAGACAATATTAAAGGATCAACTAGCAGTTCTGGTTCGTTTAGCAGCGGAGAAGCCGAATGTGATTGGTCTGAGTCATCAATCGACGATGCCGGCTCAAGGCTCTGGAGGTAAGGATGCGTCTGGCGAACAGGTTGCTTTGGAAGCCGGAGGCGTTGCTGGTATTATTGGTGGAGCTGTAGGTGTCAGTGATGCCCATGTTTCCGGCATAAGTAGCCAGTTCAGTACTCTACGCGTTCAATGTCTTGATCAACTGGACAAGGCTGAGCCACCAAGCTTGCCTGACTCGTACATCTACGCCCTCGCCTTAAGTTGCATCAACAGCTTTTCTGAGGGTTTGGCCCGATTTATTCTACCTCTCACAATCCCTGATACTCGATCCAAACGACGAGCTCGCCCTGAAACTCCAGACGCGGATGAACAGAGTCCAACTGCCGACTCCGAAAAACCAGTGAGGGTAGCTCTTCAGAGGAAATTTTCACGTCGACATTCTCACAGAAGAGACCAACTTCCGGTGAACCCCGTAAAGCTCCTTGATCATCCCTTGTACGCCGATATCAAGACATCTGCAGCGATTATCACAGACTGCTGGCCAGCTGTTCTTGCTACTTGTTCTACTTTCCTCTACGCTGCACTGGATGCCGAATACTATCACAACCTTGTACGCGCGTTTCAAAAGTTTACGCACGTCGCTGGTTTACTAGAGTTGTCGACACCACGTGATGCCTTTCTTACAACGCTAGGCAAAGCTGCTGTTCCCTCACAGATACTTGCGGCGAACTTGTCGACAACTGCACCTAGTACACCTACTGTAGAATCCCATGGCATGTTTGCGAATGCTAAAGGCCTCCTAAGTGTTGAGAGCCTTGTGAGCCAGTCTTCAGGAACGTCTGCAGACAGGCAACGTCAGCCGTCGGTGGATGCAGGCACGCCTACACTGACCACTCGAAATCTATTATGCTTAAGAGCTTTGTTGAACCTTGGAATTGCCCTTGGTCCAATACTTGCTCAGTCTTGGTCAATTATTCTCGAAACTCTTCAGCAGGCGGACTTCATACTTTTTGCCTCTAGCAGAAAAGGCGGTCGTACCATCGGCCCGAATCAAAGAGTCGAAGTACAGACTGGCAATGACACCGGCAATTTACTTGCAAACTTTGGCGGTGAAATAACAGCAGTAGAGACGGCGGCGTCAAGGATGTTCGAAAGCACTAGCGAATTTCCGAACAATGCATTTGTTGGGATGCTCAGAGCGCTTTGTAAACTTGCTGGCGATGGGAGTTACGAGCCAGCGAGAAGATTGTCCAAAGCTCCTCGGAATCCTGAGTCCAAATCTCCGGATCAAGAGCTACCGCATAAAAGGTTGCCGAGCCTGTCCGGGATCTCGACAACAGCTGCGTCCCAGATTCAAGAAAACCACTTCGCCTTGGTAAAACTTGGTGATCTGGCCCGGGTCAATATGTCCCGATTAATTTACCATGAAGCAGGCGAGAGCGGGTGGGAGGTTCTTGTCAATCAATTGGTATCCGTCTCTTCGTCAACAGAGACCGATTCATCTGTTCGTCTTCGAGCTGCGGACACCTTAAATCAGATGGTGGTAATCGCGGCTACTTCATCTCTTGTATCTCAAGATGTTGAATTGCGAACTTCTGTACAAAGGAGAGCACTGTCGGCATTGAAAATCGGAATCGCATCGCTTTACGCTACCAATCAAGAAGAATCTGTGGCCTCGAGTTCGGTCGATGATGAGATCCACAGGCTTGCGCTTGAGGCTCTCAGATCAATCCTCGCCGACTGCGGAGACCCACTTGCAGGAGGGTGGGATATCGCATTTGACATTGTGGATAGTGTCTTCGATATTCCTCAATCAAGTACACATGACGATAGAGAAGAAACTCCAATAACCCACAAACCATCAAAATCACGATCTCCCAAGCTTGTTCGATCATCATTTGGGTCGCTCGAGATTATCTGCTCTGATTTTCTTTCCTCCTTACCCAGCACATGCGATTTAGTTCTTATCGATACCCTATTTAACTTTTGCTCCCAAGCCGATGATCTCAATATTTCACTAACGGTAAGTCTCTTGAATTTGGTTACGGAAGCAGAAATCACTGACCCCGGAAAGGCTGTCACGTATTTTTGGAGTCTCTCGGATTTTCTTCAGGGTCGGAATGACTCTTCCTTTGATGACAGTGTGCTGAAAGCCCGAAGAGAGAGCGAATTTATTGATCAAGCAAAGGGCAACGATCCCAAGGCCAGCGATGCAGCATTATGGATGTTGTTGTTGCTCCGCTTGACAGCAGTCACCACTGACCGCAGGCCAGAAGTGAGAAATGGTATAGTACTCTGTCCAGGTTTGCTTTTGCCAGTTTGGACTAACCGTGCATTCAGGAGCGATTCAAAGCCTTTTCCGCATTTTTGATGTGTACGGAGATAGGCTGTCACCTTTGGCCTGGGAATCCTGCCTTCGTATGACAATCTTCAACATGATAGAAGCAAACCTCGCTCAGCAAAATGAGCTTGGACCGTCCCGGTCGGTCCCAACACAAGATGAGATTGCGTGGAATGATACTACAAAAGTAATGCTGGATGGTATCTCGACGCTTTTCTCCACGTATCTCGCGATTCTCGTTCGGCAAGAGGGCTTCGCATTGTCATGGGAGATACTCATGGGTTACCTTGGAGCTTATCTTGAAAGACAATGTCTAGAAATAAGTGCTAAAGTGTTTGCTTTACTAAGAGACGTCATCGCCAAAGTCGAAAACGTCGAACAGATAGGAGCTTCATCTGTTCACTTGGTGTGGGGTCTCTGGACGAAGGGTATCCCGATATCAAAGTCGGCGGTGAAGAACTCGAAGAGCAACAACCAAGACGCCTACATAGCATATGTTCAGCTTCTAAAAGAGATATATCGCCTCATCGAGGCAGATTTAGACGTGGAGAGAGTAAGAGAAATATCCAACAATCTCCGGGAATGCGTATGGTATTCCGATACACCTGCCTACACGGCAGACATCGACTATCTCACAGCTTTACAGTCCCATACATTGGACTGCGTCAGGATGATCCGAAAAGATGTGCCTGGTGTTCCATCAATTATCATTTCACAACTTGCCGACTTTGTCTCCCTGCCATACATAAAGCCTTCGCCAGAACCCGGCTCACATGAGCTTACCTTTGTTGCTTTGTCCAAGGCTTCGATGGAGATTCTAGAGGCATGCATCATCCAACATCTTCAGGACCAGGACATTTACACGAGCGGCGCATTGCTCGTGTCCCTGAGTAATCTCTCCATGGCCATCAACGGAAAGTATTTGTGGCGGCTTGAGGGCAAGGATCCTCCGACTTGGAAGAGAGCCACGACAGCGACGGTGTCCATCCTTGAAAGCACGCTCCCATTGCTTCCTAGAATACTATCTGACGACGAAGAGCTCAAAAAGCTTTGGAACCAAGTCATTAGCACGACGGACAGCATCGTCGCTGCAGAGTCCAGCCAAGCTCCAGCCAACACCGACCTCCTAGCTGATCAAAATTTCGACATGGAAGCCTTTCATCGGCTGCGCGTGCTCATCACCCCAGCTCTAGGCGCCGCTACCACTATCCCAGACAGTACTCGCCGCGCATACGCAGAGTCTCTTTTCCGCAACTCTATCATCCACGCATCCGACCCATGGGAACTTCCCGAGCCCGGAACAGAGCCGCTTTCTGTCCTTGCCAAGCCACGCTGGGGTCGAACATATGATCCTCATGCCAGTCCTCGATCCCGAATGAGCTACGCCTGCCTCGATGAACTCTTTGGGCTTGTTGCCGTCCACGATGGTTCCAGCAACCGCATCAAACTCGCTCAGGCCGCTGCCCCCTACCTCATCACTCGCGCCGGCATCTCCCTCCGCGCTTACTTGGCCGATCAGCCTCTCCGAGGCCGTATGCCCCAACCTGCTTCTCAACGCGTAGAGCTCTTATATATCCTTTCCAAGCTCATCGACTTGGATTCCGAGCCAAAAGCCATCCCTGAGGCACCTGGCGTGAACTCGATGCATAAGAAGCATCTGCATCGGCTGTTTCCGCTAGTAAGTAAAGCTGTCGGGGTTGCGTCGCGGGATCAGGGCATTCTCGCCAAACTTACCCAGGCGCTTGACGTGGTTGGTGAAGGGTTCGGTGTATGATTATCGGAGCGTACGCATTGAGCGTATTGTATTCTATATATCGTGTTCGTGTTCGTGTTAGGTAATAGCTTACCTGTTGTGTTCGGGTTGTATGTGTGATTGAGATAAGAGGGGAAAAGCGCTAAACAGAAATTAATATCGTTTTCCAAAAATTTCCCGAAAGCCTGCCCCTTCTCCCTCTCTCTCCGTCAGGTCATAGTCCCTCGTATTTGACAATTGAGCTAAAGATAAGCCTCATGTAGCCATGTTTTAAGATACATCTCAAAGACAAGGGGTCGAGTGCATGTGGTCAATTCTCGCCGCGGCGCCGCCATTTCTCGTTTTCAAAACACCGCTCAGTCGAAAGAGACTCACTGTTCACACTTATTCCCTATTGACCAGCGAGCGGAAATGATTAATAACTCCATAGTACCAAATTCACACTCTTGTATTTTTTCTAGAATGTAGAGATACTTTTTTTACGTGCTCCTGATTTAGCTTCTACGGGGATACAAAGCTGTTCGGTCAATTGTTAACTTGTTGCAATTGCAGGATTCGCCTTATGACTTGTTGACAGATTTTCATTCACATTTATTTTTATATTTTTTTTTTATTATTTTCTTTTTATTTTATTTTATTTTAAGCTTGACGGTTCGTTGTATGTATATCTGATGCGTCTACTGGCGCTCAAAAAAAAAAATAATAATCCACAACATTGGGTTGCCACGAGGAGACACACTTGCCCATCGGCGGGCCGGCGGCCTTTAGCTACAATTACAAGTACAGATAGGAATCTAGGACCCTGAGCTAAGGAAAACTAGACTTGGCGTACCGCGGGCTAGGCGGTTAGATACCACTAAGTTTAGCTAGTGAGTCTGCTACTGTGCCACTAACCCCACGTTATTCTTCGTGAGATTTTTACCCCGCGCGTTTCAAGTCAATATTAGATATTCGTCAGAGCACACATGTTACAGTGAAAACTCGAGTATTCACCTGCTATTCCTTCGGCACCAAACAAATATTTAGGCAGACTCAATTACCTTTTTACATCAATGGCATTAGAAACGACGTTCAAGCAGCTGAAGATGCTGATTGGAAAATCCGACCGGCTTAAACAGAAATGCAAAACTCTCCGGCCAAAGGAAAGCCAGTGGAGCGAACTCGTCGGATTAAGCACCCAGCTTCTCGAAGCTGTCTCCCAGATGCGACAGGCGATCGTGGAGCAGAGGGCGGCAACTACAGGAGCCAGACAGAACAATATTGAGCGACATTGGGCACATGTGCAAGCCTTTAAGAGAAATATTCTGTCAACCACTCCTTCTCCGACAACTATTCCTACTCCTACTCCTACTCCTACTGCTACTGCAACGACTACTACTCCTACAGGGAAATTGAACTCGAGACATTTGGAAACGCTCCGACGGAACATGGTGTTGATTTTCTCTGGCCCGCAAAGAAACTCTCCGGCTGGTTCGGAGAACGTTTTGGATTCCAGAAAAGAACTTACGGCCAGAAGATGCCGGAGAATTCGCCTTTTATCGGCGCATAGCTTGATTACTTGGGGGCTTGTGTATTCGTCGACAACGTGGACGGCAAAGCATATGGGGTCTACTGTGTTCAACAGCCTTCTCGAAAAGGTCGAATCGGATCGGATCCAGGAATGGCCGCCGATAGTAAGCCAGACATTGAACAGACTGAAACATAATGAGCCCTTGCTACGAGCGTGTCCTGAGTATGACGAGTTCCTTAAAGGTCAGTTGTTGGTCCTTCCATGTTCAAGTAAACCTGCCACCCACCCCCCTGGCGGACACAATCACTTCTAGATCCTGTTCTCTTTTCACACCCTTTCCCCTTTTTTTCTGCAATTGAAGAGTGTAGTGACTTTTTTTTTGTTGAAAAAATGAGAACCTTTAGCTCTTGAAAGTCCTTCCGGCAGAAAGGAAAGCGTGGCATCATCAAGCGAAACCAGCCATGAGGATAAGAATGGAGCAAAGAGTCGCGAGAAATTGCCCTGTAAGTTCAATAATGATTCCTTATACTGTCTATTGCCGTTTGGAATTAAATTAGCAATAGCAAATTTGGCGTGGCTGGCGGATGGCCAGTACTGTTCGTTCTCGTTCATGAGGCGCCACATGATTGAAAATCTCCCCGAACCGTTCCGCACAGGGATGAAGTTGAGTAATTTATGGAGAAGTGAAAAGAGGAAAGGGGGACTCGCAATTACGAATTGTCTCACCATGTATCTGCCAGAGACAGTCAATGAGGACGCTCTCTTTGTTGCTAGAATCAGTTATTCTAGTGGGTTTGATCTTTCTAATCTGTTTGGCTTGGGAGATCCAGTTGTCTCTAACGTAGAGGATGCTGCAACGTAGAAAAATACTAAGGAAAAGCCATGGGGTATATATGTGTTGTTGTTGTTGTTGTTGTTGTTGTAAATGATGAAATTTGTTCTTTGCCTCGAGTATGACCCATGGCCCCCCGTCACTTTTTCTCAAACTTAACCTGGGCCCTCATTATAAAGCAAAAATATCCAGCGGGAATATCTCTCGTCACTTCCTTCTCCGAAGTTACCCTTTCAATCGGTTTCCCTTCCGCATCGGTGATGTTGCATGAATGGCCTTTGAACGTCATGACCATATCCTCCGGTATCTCAAACTTGAAATTTGAGATCATTTCCGTTTCTCCGCTAAGTGCCTTGCTCCCAACCTTATCGGACATGTCGCAAGAGGCCACGTACGGCTGGTATGTATAATATAGGCGGAACAACAGACTTAGAAATGCGCCAGGAAGTTTCGAACGAGTCAATGCGATATATCAGACGAGGTACCGAATTTTAATTCCCGATTGCAGAATATAGTTGATCGCAGAGTATAGTTGATCTTCAGGCCCGGAAGCGATGGCGGAGAATGCGGGCGGAACGGGCGGAGGCAGCAACTGTGTGCGCGTGCGATTGTAATGAATTATTCTAGATAATGTGTAAGCATAACTTCCGGAGATGGGGGACAAATAATATATCTGCTTCCTCACAATCAAAGAGTAAAGTTTGAGTAAAGCGCAGCCAAGAGGTTGGAAAGAGAAAGTCGTGAGGTATTAATAAATGACTGAAAGAAAGTAATGACAATAAGTAAGGTAGCTTATAAACAAACGTGAAACAGTGCGTGGTGTGCTGCTTTCTAAATGCTTTAAATTTTATTGTACAAAGAATAAATGATGAGAATGTAGATTATGAGGTTGACATAAATTGTTAAACAAGAAAGAGGTATGTCAAGCATTGGATACTGGTATGTGAATGACCGTGAGACTGCCACGTTGTTGGGCAGCACTATGAGTAACTATTTACCTCTCCATGTCTCATGCCCCGCTTCCTTGCGAGGATTTGCGGTAAAGTGTTCCATTGGACCATTGTGCTTAGTCATCTATTTATATAGTGCCTTAACAAGTAAGTCGCGTGTGAACCTGATCGGCAGTCCCGGGTCGCATCGATTCCTGAGGGGCTAAAGGATATTGTTCTTCAAAACAGTAATATGCTGAAGGAACTACACCAATAGAAAGTTAACACGGCTCGAATGGATAGAGTCAATTGATAAATTCGATAACAGGTACTACAACTACCTTAAACGATATTTTGAAAATCACGTGGCAAAGTGCTCGTAATGTTAGGATATCACCTACAATTTGTTATTCGAGGCCAAGGGGTATGGTGCTAGTTAGCAGCTGTTACAGGGCCTCTATGTACCAATCAGCAGCATGCTCACAAAGTTATAGGATGGTTGAGTTACCTTTGCTCCCACGGCAGGAAAATACATAATGTTGCACTTGTTAGTGGCTTCTGGAGGAAGTACCGGAGCGCTCTCTCATGGGCAAAGTCAAAAGAAATGGTAAGAGGTGAGTTGTGAATGTGCTGTCGCAGTTGGCTCATTTGAGACCAAAGAGAGCGGTGATATTGCTTCAACCAATCTGTGCTGATTTCTGATACTCCAGTCTCGGACAGCTGAGAGAGAAATTTGTTCCTCGATTCACCAAGTACACACGCCTCGTTGGCAAGGGATCTCAAGACTGTCATGGGATGTCCTCTGACTTGTTCGAGCGGGGGTCCAGGTTGACAAATGCGACCATAAGTAAAGAAGGTTTGCGTGTCCTTATCTAGTAAAATTTTCTTCCATTGCTGGTTTTGAATGGCGTCAACGTCCAGCTCCAAGCGGTTAAGGAGGAAGTGTGCGAATTCTACCACAAAGATGTGGTCAAGTAGATGTGAAAATTCCAATTGATTGTATGGGAATGCTCTTGTAGCTTGTGCTTGGAGCCGATCATATCGATCCCTCGACTGCTTTAATTCTCCGTAAAGGCGAGTGAGCGCACTGAAGTGTACTGAACTGTTTCGAAGCACTTCGGTCGTGCTAATAAATTGTTCATAATACCAATCTTTGAGTTGGGGATCAAAATGACAAATTGTATTCGGATCCTTTGACGGCAGGATTGTGTGGAACTGGTCGTGTTCTTCCGGGGTGCCATATGAAACATGGTAGGCAACATATTCTGGGCGAGTCTCAATTGAACAACAAGAAAATTGGATCATCGGAGGCTGAACTGAAGAGGGGTATATCGAGGAGGAAGACATGATTTCCGTTTGAAGTACGGTCTATTGTCCTGCTTTTCCATCAAGTTTAGTTGTGGCCGGAAGGGGGTTTTTATATCGTATTGCCATAAGAAAAGCGAAGGAAAAAGGTCACAGCTACTCACCCATGACTGGAGCCTGGTCTGCAGGAACTTAAGCTTTGCTGAAAGAGTGTATCAACGCTCGTCGTTCCTTTTACATTGCATTGACAGAATCGGGGCTTTCTCCGTGCATACTCCAAGCCTCCTCGGACTTGTAGCAAGGAGTAAAAGAAAGCATGGGATGACCAAGCACGACAGAAAAATGGATACTGATGGCCTTGCAGTCAAGGCAAAAACACGGATGAGCATTATCATTAGGTTCAACTGAATTGTTGATTCCCGTTCCGTCAATGACATCTCGCTTTCAAAGAGGCAAACGTGAAAACATTGTTTTCCTAATTTGGTACGTACGGCAAATGATGTTAGTGAAGCCGCCAGTGGTCCTCGTCCCGTGCCGCTAGGCGCCCACACTGGACTGACCCGCGCGACCGAACTACGGGTTAGGGGCGGCAATGCTTCCAGAAAAGGCTTGGGCATGCCGTTTCTATGTGGGATAGTGATATGAGATAGTATCATTAGTCTCCATGTTCGTTAACATGTCCTGTCTCTTATGTTGTTTGTATGCCCTGTGAGAAAGATCCTTGTGCCCGGTATGCAGCTCCCTTTTGCTCTTGTAAAATTATCCTTGTGCCCGTATAAGTGTGAGCGCTATGGCCATGCCCACGTAAAAAAACCCTTGTGCCCATGCACACGTCTTCTTTTACTCATCATGCACGGATACCGCTGTGCCCAGGCAAAAGTACCCTTGTGCCCACACGGGAATAATCCTTGTTAGCCAAGATTATCCGGTAGTCAATCCCAACACAGTACGGAGTACATCCTGTTTAGTTACAGGGATAGTCGCTTGCTATATGTGACTGTATTCGAGTGAACCTTTTGAAGTCTCAATAAATAATAGTAATTTTTTCTTTCTTTTTCTTGTCACAGCCAGAACAGATATTTGCATTGAGTAGCAGAGAAAAAGTCCGTCAAATTGGAATTCTTTTCAGGCCGTCAGATGATTGTCATAAAATGTTTGGTCCTTCTGAATTGTTATAAACTCCTGAAAATGCATTCACCAGTTTCGATATGCTGCAAGGCTGTCACAATAGCATGGATGTAGACATAAAACAGCCACCCGGGCTCTCCGATGCTTTGTTGGACCTCTATCTATCTTCAACTTATTAGACTGCAGTAGACCAGCTCGCGGCGGAACAGAGCATGCTCGAATAACAATCATACACGGTGAGTAGGACTGCACGCCGAGCGCTTACAGCGTCAGCTCCATGCTCGAATATGGCGATCCCTTTGCCAATGCGTTGCTCCCCGGATCCCCGGATCCCCTCAAAAGCTTTGACTATTTTCCTTCGAATTGGCCAGATGGTTTCTAAGCACTATATGTTCGCTATATGCGGCTGAAATATATGCAAGTTAGCAAGCATGTGCATTTGACCAAACCTGTATTCTCGCTCTCCGCTCTGGAGCTCGATGAGACATTGAATTAGCAAATTGGTCCCGCAGCTGCTCTGTGCTCGGACATACATGCCACCTTTCTTTTGCACTGCCGGGGGAAGAAAAGGCTGTCATCCATTTTCTATTATGTACGATTGTTTTCATGACTCGATGCAACATGAATCCCCCTTGCAATTTCGGCTTTTCTAGTCCTGCAAAGTACCCAATTGTGTGCTACTCGGATGCTCTTGAACAAAAAGCAATAAAGGCTGATCATTTGATGCATTTTGGTGGCAATTATCCTACCCCTCATTTCAAGTACGGTCTATATAAACCACACGATGGGTCTCGTCTTCTTGAACAGCCCCATCAGCAGCATCTTCAAAGAATCCTTCAAAATGTGTATCGAATACACAAACACTACTATCTATACCTCTGGCTGCGTCAATCCAGCTTGCAACACAGTATTCATCACTCCGGGGCCCGAATGTCCCAAAAAGCCTGCAAATGCTCCGAGAAGCAGCTGCCCAAACTATTCAGTGATATATAATCCTTCCACCAGAGCCAAAACCAAATGCCCACAACATCAGGTAAAAGCCTTTCGGAAGCGCGTGTAATTAAAATTCGGAGCACTCTGACTATTTGTAGACTCAAGCTACCACCACTACCGGATAGTTGCAAGGCCATATGCCTCTGCACGCAAACGCTAGCGCACCCACAATGTGGCGATTAAGGGGCAATTTTAGGCAGTTCTGTCCGAGTGGTGTGGTCGAATTACGTTGGAGCCGGCTTGGTGGTTTTGTTTGGACAGAGTCTTAGCCAAGAACGATAGCAAATCCATGATCGTTTATGAATTTCTCCAAATATCTCGGCCGTGTTGTTGTATTCAGCGTGCCAGCATTTGGTGATGACCCGCCTCCAAGCTTCCCTTTTGATCATACTCAAATCAGGGAATACTTTTTGGCAATATAGTTTTAGAATCTCCTCTTCTGATAGCCCTGCATAAGGCATCTTGCCGGCAAAGATTTCGTAAAGAGTAGAACCAAGAGCAAATATGTCACTGCAAACAGTATTTGGGGCGTCTTCATCCCGGGGTAAAAAATGAGAAGCATTTTCCAGGACGAGAGCATCTGAGCCTTTTAAAGAAGAGCCAGAAAAGTCACACAGTCTAAGATTGAGTCGGCCGTCCAGCAAAAATTGTCGAGCAGAAAGATCCGAATGGATGACCTCTTTTTCGTGGATGTAATGGATGGCTTCAATAGCTTGTTGAGCTACGCAAATTCGGAACCGTTCCGTGACTGTATGGTTGTGCAAATATGAGGCCAGATCCCCATGAGATTCATAGCGGAGATCAACGTGGTCGTCCGTGGCCGATAAACATCGAGCTATGCGCTTATGCTTCTGGAGGTGTTGGTAAATTCGAGCTTCAGTCTTGATAGCACGCAAGCTATTTGGATTCGAGGGATTAGAAGGAAGCTTCCGAACTAGCTGGCCGTTAAGTTTATGAACGACACCAAGGTTTCCACATGCTATGATGTTTTGTGGAGACGGCTCCTCGATCGGCTGGCGCGTCTTATACTAGAGGCTTGTCAGCAAACAGCTTAGGGGATTTTGAGGAGCGAAAATTTACAATACACATCTTCTTAGAAGCATATATTATGCTCGCTTAGATGTAGATGTCAGAAGGATCATATAGTTGGATGAAGCAGTAATGGTTTAGCTGAGTGGACTAAGTCGCCGGTGGTGCTGGGAGTTTAAGGGGTAAATAAATAGAAATCCCAAACAGCCGAGTTTGGCTTCCCCACGGGGGTTTATATTTTAACTACAGTTCGTGGATGATAGGCGGGGAGATCATGCTTGGCGAGGTGACCTTTTAATTAGTTTCAGTAACCAGCCTTTTGGCGCCCGCCAAGGGCTACCTCCTCAATCCAATCAGAGACTGCGCAGCGGAGAGGCAAAAGACGTGGAGAGCAGACCACTTGCCAGTCGGTCACCCCTTTATATACCAAGCAACCTGCCGAGGAGATGATACACAATTATCCCTCTAGCCGCTCAGCATGTCGATAACGCGACGTCTCCTTCGACGGGAGATCACTTATGATTCTGCTAAGGGGAAGGAAGTAAATATTCTTCATCAGTTGGGATACTATGATCAGCGAAACCAGTTCTTTGCCCACCTCGATGACAATCACCTTTGGATTCGGAAAGTGGTTGCGTACCATCTAGGCTTGAAGTCCAGTACAGCATGCCGCGTGGCAGAAGTGGAAGACTGGCTACATGGAAGTTTCAACGTCTGCATTCCCGTCGTCGTCCCTTCCTGGAATGACAAACGTGTTCTTATACGGTTCCCGCTTCCATACCGTGTAGGCGAAGCTTTCAGGCCGGGAAATGGCGATGAAAAGATCAGATGTGAGGCGGGAACCTACGCCTGGCTTCAAGAAAATTGCCCGGACATCCCAATTCCACTGCTGTACGGCTTTGCTCTCTCCACTGGGGAAACTGTACGGAAGCGATCGCTATTCGTCTCTGGATACCCTGGCTAACTAGTTCTAGTTTACCCGACTTGAAAATTTGCCGGCCCTTACCCGATGGTTCCAAATCCTTCGTCGCAAGCTGTTATCATGGCTCGGATATCCAGCCCCTTCAAAGTATCTTCGCCGTCAGACCACCAGCATTCCCCCAAATACCATTGGTGCTGGATATATTCTGGTCGAATATATTGAAGAAACACAAGGTGTTATGCTTTCCAACACATGGGAAGATGGCCAGCATGATACCAGACTACGTACAAACTTCTTCCGTGGTCTCTCCCGAATTCTTCTAGATATGAGCCGGATTCCTTGCCCTAGGATTGGTTCATTTATCATTGACAATGACGGATTCTTGAAGCTCGCAAATCGACCACTGTCGATTGAACTACAGCAATTGGAGAATGAGAATATCCCAACCGACATAGGCCGTGACTACACATATTCCACAGTTGACTCCTATGTGGTGGATCTCCTTGGCGTTCATGACAACCGCTTTCGGTATCAACCAAATGCTGTGAATGATCTTGGTGACTGTATCCATCAACTGTCTACGCTTACTGCAATGCGGACTGTTTTCCACTCATTTTTCCAAAGAGACTTTCGCCGTGGTCCTTTTGTTTTGTCTCTGAGTGATATCCATCAAAGCAATATATTTGTGGATGCCGACTGGAATATAACCTGCCTGGTGGATTTGGAATGGGCGTGTTCAAGGCCGATTGAACTGGTCAACACTCCTCATTGGCTAACGAATAAAGGTATAGACCAGTTGGTCTCACCAGAATACGATGTTATTCGAACAGAATTCATGACAATTCTGTCGGATGAGGAAGAGAAAAAATCTTCTGCAACGCCAAGCAACAATTTATTGCCACGCCTCTCCAATGTCATGAACCGAAATTGGGAATCAGGAACGTTTTGGTATACGTTGGCACTCTCTAGCCCTTCTGGTGTGTTCACTATTTTTCGGGAGCACATTCGGCCCTTATTTTGCACAGACAACATAGAGGAGTTCAATTTGATCATGCCATATTTTTGGGGAAAGAGTATGGTATACACTGCAGGCTGCAAACTCGCAGATAAGGAACAGTATGATGAGCAGCTCCAACAGGCATTCGAGAATACATCTTTGGTTGGAAAAGACAACGTTCTGTGAAAGCTGCTTTTCACTTTCTACCAGAACTTTCTTGGTTTTTGTTTTTTCCTGGCCCAAATTTAGCCTGGAGAGCTCCGTCCAAAGACCTCATTGCCTTATCAATCTGGTTATCCTCTCGTGTTTTTTGGGCCGCTTGGCCCGAAGAACTTAGTTGTTGCAATGTCTTGAGGTCGGTTCGAATTCCGATGGCTGCCAGCTTCCCCTTGCCTGAATTGGGTGGAGTTTGATCAGTCATCTTGAAGTTGAAGAAGCTAAACGCCCTGAATATTCAGCAATACATTTATGGCTAGAAATTAATCGTCTTACCAACTTGTATCTCAAGGCCAGAAACCACCGTACAATGTGGTGCTTCGAAGATTCAGAGGTATGCGCCGTTGGCATAGGAAGAGTGATGTGGACACTGGAATTGGCATTTCTTATAGAGCGATCAGAATTTCTACGTAATTTTTTTTTTGTTATTTATCAGGCATCTAGATACCCCGCAGCGAGGCATAATCTGCTTGTCCAGTTATTAAAAAGATACCCCCGCTTTGCTTGTGATGATGGCAATTCTACAAGGATTCTTTGGCCGTGTACAAATTGCGGCTTGCGGCGCGGAATTTCATTATCCAATCAAACAGACTTTCAGCCTTTTCCCGCAGCCTCGTTTTTCCTAACAACAAATGAAAGCTGCAGGTATTACTTGCATGTACAGCCTAAATCAGCCTCTTGCAGAAGATTGATGGAAGTTCTAGGCAGCCGCGAGCAGATGATCGTGAGAACATGCCGTGGATGGAGGGATCTTCCTCTCAAATCTTTTTCGAGCCCATATATTGTAGGATATTTCGTAGTCTGCTGGATACAAATATGCCTCCCTCAGTGTGGAAACGCCCGATACAAGATACTTCAGAGGCCCCGACCCAACTTGTTAGATGTAGTACTGTAGCTTTGAGCATGTCCACAATGAACCAAATTGTGTGCCGCTCGTTAGAAGTATATTTAATATTCCCTCAACTCCGTGTATTACATGTTGCAACACTATCCCAAACAGAAGACAAAGGCACTTGTCGGAACAGCCAGTGCTACACCCAGCCGAAACCTTCTCTCATTACCAACACATGCCGTGGAACTTATTCCGAGCCAACAATTAGGTACTATATTTAATTATGTTTGGCGCTGGGAGTAAAAGTCCCTGAGATTAATTGTAACATAAACAAAGGGGACAGAAGCAAAAACGATAGCAACATCGTTAAGCTTCCCCGTGGGGTTAAAGATTAGCGACTGATAAGCGCGGGTTGGTTAACGATTAGCGGGGTCGCCAGTTATAGTTCTACAGTAGCGTGCTTTTCCTCATTGGAGGTATAACTAATACTTACTCTGCATAACTGGATAAGTCTTGCAGCTCGCTCATTTGTGAAGCGAAGCCAGGAGGGAAAGATGACACCCTTTTGTTATTGGAAATATGACACCAACGAGGAGTCGCTTTTCTGCAGGTTAAATAATAGGTATTGCGAGCATAAACTGCACTGAAGGATCTAAGTTTTCTGGCAATTCAAGCAGTCTCTCTTGCCTCGTCGCCGCACATGCCTTTTCCCATCGTCTTTCGACTCTCCGGTGTTTGGGACAGCCCACAGAATGCGTCCGGCCGAGTTGGAAAATCCTCCCCAAGAAGCGCTACTGCGAGACCACAAGTCTTTAGGTAACGCTGAACTCGTCACTCTCAATAAGACATCTGCCACGAAAGCCTGGGCTCACTTCATTGCTGGCGCGTAAGCATATCCCCACTGGATTGTCCAATGATGGCTCTCTTTTGCTAACATTTCCCCGGCTGCCAGGAGCGGCGGGATGGCAGCAGCTGTCTTTACCTCGCCTCTCGATGTGTTGAGGACTCGTTTGCAGGCCGACTTTTATCGGTCACCTCCGTCTATTCATACTTCTGCTACGCCGATGTCTGCTCGTACTGTCCAGCTTCTCAATTCCTCGTGCAACCATTTCCACGAAACACTCTCCACTCTCTCTACCATTCGGCGCACAGAAGGCTGGCGCGTTTTCTTCCGCGGACTCGGTCCAAGCCTGACTGGAATAGTCCCGGCGAGCGCAATCAAATTCCACACCTACGGCAACTGTAAAAGGATCGTTTCAGAGGCAACCCACTGGGGAAAGGACGAGCCCATGGTCCACATGCTTTCCGCTGCAGCCGCTGGAATAGTTACAGGGACGGCCACCAACCCGTTGTGGGTTATCAAAACAAGACTTCAACTCGACAAACCGTACGGCAAGGCGGGTGGCATTCAACAGCGTCAATACAGGAACAGTCTGGATTGCCTTGCGCAGACAATGCGAGGTGAGGGTATCAGAGGCTTATACAGAGGTCTCTCCGCTAGCTATCTGGGGACAATCGAAAGTACTTTACATCTCGTTCTGTACGAACAATTGAAGATTTCCCTTGCCGGAATGGAGTCGGGGAGGTCTGGCCATGGCCGAGATGATAGCGCCAGGGGTCAGGTCCAAGCAATGGTCCGTATGAGCAGTGCTGCGGGGATATCTAAGCTTCTTGCCGTTCTTGTGGCATACCCTCACGAGGTATTACCCCTTCTGGTTGGCCGTTAGTTGTATCTATGCCACTTACTAACTTCTAATTGCGGAGTTTAGGTTATCAGGACGAGATTACGTCAAGCACCAAGCGAGAATGGACGCGTTAAATATACTGGCTTGGTCCAATGCTTTCGCCTCATCCTAAAAGAGGAGGGATTCCTCTCCATGTACGGCGGACTAACTCCTCATCTTCTGCGCACCGTACCAGCTGCCGGTATTGCCTTGGGCGTGTATGAGCTGGTACTAAGCTTGTTTGGGATGCCTTTGTAACCACCTGAATTTCCTTTTCTTTCAATTGTTTGCTTTGCCATGTTGTGAATTCGAAGGCAAGCTTTGGGTTGCATTTAATGTTTCTCTGGAGTCATCGTTGCATAACAGGCTCGATTCAGGGTTTGTTAATGGATCTAGTTGTTGTACACAATCGAATCTGAAAAGCAGGCTCTTTCATTTTCTCTCCCCTCTAAGTAGCGAAATGCAAATTATTACCCATCTCTGCTTTCTCTAGCACAGCATAATTTCATTGGGTGGTTATATCAAGATTTTGTTCATCTCTTTTCTCACCATCTACTGTCAAAATTGCATGTAACCAAGATGATGTTGTCCAGCCAGCTGGAGTCTGTCCGTCCCTACATTGGGACCCAGGGTCCATATAAGATTACAACTAGCGAATGAACAGCGCTTGTCGATCACGAACCTAGCGAAATGGTCCCTGGGCTAGTCAAGTTAAGATTTTACGGGGGGTCGGCAACCTTCGCTTGACGGGAACGTTTCCACGGCGTAGAGACCACCAATCCGATAACATTTTGGCTATTGTGATGCTTGCCGTTAGCTAGCAACCCCCACTGGTAGTAGTTGCTTGGGACAGAACAAGCTCTAGTAGCTATTACAGATTAACCATAGCATTTAGGGTTGTCAATTTAAATAGGTTTATTTGCAGGCAAAGGAAAAATTATCAGTCATGCGTACTGCTTAGAACGTTACAGGTCCATGTACAAGCTTTGGCATACATAAAGGCATCTATTCATGGGCTCGAAGATCAATGGTGTTTTCCATGCATCATCGGCTTACACCGCGGAGACGTTCCGCCACTTCATTGTTATTGTAACATTCAGCGATATCAACAGGCAACTGCCGTCGCACATCTCTCCTGGTTGGATCAGCGCCTCGAGCGAGAAGAAGATCGACCACATCCAGCTTGCCCAGCCTCGCGGCCTCATGAAGAGGGGTTCCGATTCCAAATGGCTTTTGCAATTCGTAGCTGGCGGGAGAATTCTCGTACATGATCTGATTGATAGGTGCGCCTCTGTCGAGGACGAAGGCCAGGACGTCAATACAATCTTTTAGGTCTCTCCTGACAGCATAATGCAATAACTGCCCATGGTCGATTGAGCCGCCGTGCTCAAAAAGTAATGCTATAATACCAAAAGATGCGATCTGAACGGCCACAGAAAGTGGTGTGAGATCGAGGACACACGGTGCATTTGGGTCAGCGCCTCGTTCGAGTAGCCACCTGCAAAGCTTCTCGTCGTCAAATGATCGTCTGTAATCAGTCAGACACCATCTTGCAGCATGAATGAAGGGTGTCGAACATGAGCGGCGAAGGAGTTGTCCAGTTGATTGGTTTATTAATGTCATATCCGTGCTCCAAATAAAGCGTCAGAAAAGGATAATTTCTCTCGTTGATGGCATTCTCCACGTGGAAATTTTGTATGCGAACACCTTGAGCCAGCAGGAACCTAGCAACGTCGATCCGATGATGCTGCTGCGCCACGGTGAGAGAATAAACAAAATCGTTCGGAGAAAGCTGATGCGAAGCATAAAGCTCGCGAACTCGGTCAACGTCACCAGATTTAGCCGCCGCTTTCAATTGCTCGAGTTCTGGGGCAGGTTTCTGGGCGTAATACGTAGGATCACAGGTTGGAGGAGGGTTCCCAACAACTAAACTTGAAATATCTACTTCATCCATTTGTCGTTCCAACATTGTCTGGCGGTATACAAGGTAGTGGAGAGATCTCCCGTTGAAGGTGACCTATTTCGCCTGTAGATGAATGCGCCACCGTGCGGCTAAGGCTCACCTGCATACTCGTCAGCTATCACCCGGATAGATTTTTATCCGTCGACACCGTATGTTACAGTACTAGCCCATAAATGACGGCAATTTCCACAAATGCCACCCCAACCATCCTCCGGACCACAAAATATATTCATGGATAACTCAATGAGAAATTGATATTAGAACTTGTATTTTGGCATATAAATAGAGTAGATAGTGACTTTAAAGAATATCAATTTATTATTGCTAAATCCTGGGTCAGTATTTTGTGTACCATCCACCTGCTGCAATTACTGCCTCGATCCGTCGGGGCATACTCTCCACTAAAGAAACAAATATTTCCTCACTAATTGCATCCCAGCCTGCCTTCAAAGCATCAAAAAGTCTTCTCTCAGCCCTCCAATCTACCGATGTATCGTCAAGGAGCTCTGGATGGTGCTTATAAAGCCATTCTTTAAGCATATGCCAGGCGTGCTCTATAGGGTTCAAATCTGGTGAGTACGGGGGCCATTCCATCACTGGTATTCCATGATCCTGAAGCCATTGTCGCGCAATTCTTGCCCGGTGTATTGAGGCATTATCATGCATGAAGGTGAGGCCTGGCTCATAGATCTGGGGGATCCCTTCTTCAAGAACTGAGATATATGATGCTGCACTAGAGCCACCCCGAGCGGAGAGGGGATCTCCTGGCATATCAATTAAATCAGTCCTCCCACCAGTGTAAAATCCACCCCAGACCATGATGGTTAAGTCCCTGCCCTTGCTGTATGGTTGAATCATAACTTTCTTCCATTTTTCATGTGGCTTTCGGAAGACCCAGCAGCGCTGTTTTCCTGCACCACGCTCCACCAAACACTCATCTGTCCATATGATGGAATACCACTCCTGAACCCAGTCGCGACGTGCCAAACACCATTCATATCTCTTCCGTGCAGCCTCAGGACCAAGCCGGGGCTTTTTTTGAGCGATCCATTTTGAAATTCCAGACTCTCCAAGCATTCTTTTGATGGTGTTGCAGGAGACATCAAGCTGAACTTCTTCGATCAATTGCTTATAATTTATAGTTGGGTCTTTGCGAATTAATCGCTCAATTAGTCGTATTGATCGATCGCTCAACTTTTTAGGCCGTCCAGGACGTTTTTCAGGGCTTGGATTGCCTGTATCATGGTAACTTTCCACCGTACGTTTGACAGTGGAGTATGGTATTTTGAACTGCTTAGAGATCTCAGCATTCGTATGCTTCAGTTTTGAGGCCGAACAAACTGCAACGCGTTCAGAGTTACTCAGCTCTCTCCGCCTAACAATATTGCTGGCAATTGGAGCCAGCGGCCTCCTCAGCATGTTGCTGTCTATTGTTGAATAAAAATGCTCATGATGGTGGACGCGACGCGTCGGAAGAATTGCCGTGATTTTTGGCGAGGTACTGTACAAGACCGATGCTGAGGTTAAAAAAGGACCGCACCAAGGACGAACAAACAGCTTATAGTAGTGTTTTGCGTACATCAAAATGCCGGAAAAATGAGTGAAGACAACGTTAGATAGTAATGGTAAAGTGATCATGTGATGTATTGTATGTAATGTACAAAGCAGCACTTCCGAGAAGATTTAGATGAGAAAACCCTTGAATATTTCATCTAACCAACAAGTACACATTCAGAAGGGGAATAAAAAGACGAGCCATGACCGAATGAGGTAAGCACATGATGGAAAGTAACGTGTATTTGAGATGAATGCATCTACCCTTAGCTTCTTGCGTCTTGACTATGATTGAACAGCCATGAAATAGGATGATCTGAAAAAAGAAAAAAAAAAAAACAAATACCCGTAGAAAAAAGTAAATACTGCCTTCTTCCATGCGCTGCTTTGGTATGGTATGAAAATGACACAATATAGAAGTTATTTGGTATGAAGCACAATGAAGAAACAACCAAATACGCAACGCAGTAACTGTCAGCGTAGATGGATTACCCAAACGCCACTCAATGAAGAAATGGATTGAAAAGGCACCTAAATGCAAGAGGTGCAATCCAGGCCCTTAAAATAAAGGCATGCGGTTTTCAGTGTGTGAAAACAAAATAAATCAAAGCAAATTCCGAAATGATTTGCGCGCGCCGCTTGTCACCGACTATCGAAATCGATCGTTTGATAATACCGCAACGCCAATAGAACTGCATGAAACAAACTCCTTTGCTTTTGGATCTGGCATGTCGAGAACGGAGGAGATTGAGGGAGTGGTGTGGAGGAGTGAAGTCTGCCATAGTACAAGATGCTAAATATGAGCCGTCGAAATGATCCGATGAGATGTGAGAGCCTGTAAGGAGTGTTGTTGTAGTTCGAAAATATTCAACTTCTAGATTTGGCCGTCTAGATCTGTGTCGCCCTGCTTTTAGATATTCCTTTTCATAGAATTTCCCAAGGCAGGAGTCTTGCCCTGCAAGTTCGACGTCTTTGACGGCTAGGCGGGCGGCGCCTCCTGCTTCGGGGCCTTCTTCGTTTCTAAGTCCGCAGCCTCTATCCTTTCGTACATGCTCTTCAGGTTACTGCCAGGAGTTCCCGGGTTCGGCCAGTAGTGGGCTACATATTCCCTATAATTATTGATTAGCTAAATTATTTGCACCCAGACCCACACGGCGCTCTTACCAGAACCGCTCCTCTAGAGAACCACCCGACCGCTCAGGTTCGGCGCGAAGCAGATCTTTAATGAAATGTCCAATTTTCGTGAGCTCTATTTTGAGGATCTTGGCACGCTCGGTCTTATTTTTGACACCGTCTTTGGTCGCGCTCTGAACATGTTTCAGGCTCTCTCTGACGGGCTTGAAGAGACCACGGAGGACCTGGGTGTGATCATTCGGTTCATTGTCAATGCTGCGGCGATGATGGTGTTGGCGGTCTTCCGACTTGCGGCGCCGATGCTTACTTTCCTCGTCCCCTCCGCCATGTTTCCGCCGACTGTCAGGTTTATTTGGAAGGCCGTTTTTATCATGCGAAACTCGTCGTTCGGCATTGTGGCGATGTTCACTATGACTGTGTCCACGATTTCTGGATTTCTCAGCCTCGCGCTGTCCTCTACGCAACGAGGGAGCCGGACTCGCTGATACGCTGGTGGATTTTTCCAAACGGCGACCAACACCATTTTTCCGGTTGTTCTTATGATGATTTTCGACCGCTCGTCTGGCTGCAGAGTTCGATCCGTTGCTGGTCTTTTCTTTAAGGACACTTAATAGATAGTCGGCACGGCGGATGAGGTGGACAGCTCCTGGTGACTTAGCATTTTTCTCCTCTCCCTTCATCCGCTCTTCTTTCTTGTCAACTCTATGCTCTTCCAAGAATAATTTGTCGCTCAAGCCTAATTCTGCATCATCACGGATCTGCGCCCAGGCGCCGAATCCATGTTTCACAATGCCAACGCAAAGCATGCCGTCTTCTCTAGCGCCCCAGGGGCAAGAATAATGCGCAGCTTTGGAAGCTTCTGGAACACGAAAGTTCTTTTGATCAGGGGCGGATTCAGTAATTTCCTTGAGCATACGCATCTCCGCTGGTCTCTCGAGCATTGTCTCTGCATTAATCCGCTTGACGCCCTGATAATCAAAAAGGACAGCTTTTCTGTCTTTCTTTGTGATGGATTTGTTCGCTTCACGTTCCATGGCCTCAACGCGTGTTTGCTCTTCTTGAACGAGCTGCCGACTAGTATTCAAGATCTCGTCGAGTGTAGACTTCAAGACCTCTCTGTCTCGGTTGACAAGTTTAGCATCCTCGACAATTTCATCCCCACGATTCTCTAGGGAGCCATAACGGAGGAATGCTCGAATAAGATTTCGGACCTCTTTCGAATTCAAAGGTCGCTTGGGATCCAGCTCGGCGCTGTCATCCTCATCGTCCAGAGCAGCGCTCTCTGCCGCCAGGTCCCTCGCTCGCTTCTTAGCAGCGCGCTGCTCGCGCTCATCCGACGCTGCCTTGCGCTTTCTCGGAGCATTTTGCTCAATTACGTCGGCAAGATATTTTTCATCTGCTTTACGCTTCTCTTCTGCTTTGAGTTGCTCTAATTGATCCTTCGGAATGATGTCATCCCACTCTAAATCGATCTTGACATCCATATATTCGAAACTCTTGAGGAATTCTTCGCCGCCATCGGCTTCAATTCCTGTGGGACCCTCCGTCTTATGCTCTTCGGCATTTTCAAGAACAGAGTCGATGTCAAGCTCCTCAAGCTTCTTCTGGTTACCAGATTGTTCAAACATCTTTTGACTTCGGCGTTTCAATATCCGCGAAATATCTTCAGAGGAGGTAGGTTCATTGACAGAGCGGCCGGCGCGTGCCATCTTGTCACTGAGCTCCTTCGAATCCTTATCGGTGACGCCGCGTTGAATCGTGATGAATTCAAGCATTAGCTTGTTGCGGGCGCGTTCGAGGACTTCTTCTTCAACAGTTTCCTTTGAGACCAGTCGGTAGATGCTGACAGGGTTTTTCTGACCAATACGATGAGCACGGGCCATTGCTTGGAGGTCCGCCTGCGGATTCCAGTCCGAATCAAATAGGATTACCGTGTCTGCAGTCATGAGATTAATCCCCAGCCCACCTGCTCTGGTGGAGAGTAAGAAACAAAAATCTGTGCTGCCAGGGGCGTTAAAGTGATCAATTGCCATACGACGTGCGCCGGCTGCAATCGTTCCATCAAGACGTTGAAATTGATGGCCACGTAGATGAAGATAATCTCCAAGGAGGTCAAGCATTTTAACCATCTGGCTGAAAATGAGAACCCGATGATTGTCCTTCTTCAATTTGGTCAAGAGCTGGTCAAGGAGCATCATCTTGCCGCTGCTTGTTATGAGCGCCTTGAGCAAATCGTCACGACGGAGACTTCCACCAAGAATGCGTTCTTCCGCATTTGGAAACATAAATGGATGGTTGCTCGCTTTCTTGAGTTCCATCATAATATTTAGGAGCGATTGTTTAGGGCCCGTGGCGCCTTGGTTCAGCGCAGCGTAATTTCGTGTCAATATGTTCTTGTAATACTCCAACTGTACATCAGAAAGCTCCACACGGATAATCTTTTCGCTCTTTGGCGGTAAGTCATTTTCGACCTTTTGTTTTGTCCTGCGCAACATGAATGGTTGAATAGCGGATGTTAACTCGGCGAGCTTCTGTCCGGCTGCCTCAGACTGCAAATCCATGTTCTCATCAATAGCCACGTGGCCGGGCATGAGAAAGTCCATCAAGGCCGAAAGCTCTCCAAGAGTATTTTGCATCGGTGTTCCAGTGATGAGCAATCGGCTAGGCGCTTTAAACTCAAGGAGCTTATAGTAGAGCTGAGATTCCCGATTTTTCAGTCGATGAGCTTCATCAACAGCCATGAATTGCCACTTGATTTGAGAAAGGAAGGCTGCATCCGCGAGGATATATTCGTACGTTGTAAGGAGAACGTTGAACTTGGCCCGCTTTGCATTGCCGTCGATCAAAAGTTCGTACTCCTTGATGATGTTTCTGGCAGTCTCGTTTCCGTTATAGACGACGTAATTGATGTCAGGAGTCCAATTATCGAGCGTTTCCGCCCATGAGGGCATCGTAGACAGAGGCACCACGACAATGAAAGGGCCCTGTTGGCCACGGTCGTGGCGAAGCCAGTTCAAGAATGAGACGGTCTGCACGGTTTTCCCCAGACCCATTTCGTCAGCCAGTATGACATTATTGCCCTTGCACCAATTGTAGGCCAGAAAGTTCAGCCCAGTAACCTGGAAATCTCTAAGCTCGCCGAATTTAATGTACGATGGCTGTTCTCGGATGCGTTCAAACCGGCTTCGGGTGGCCCTATTCGACTCGCTGCGATTTGAAATGGGAAGTTGTGAGGTGCGATCGAGAAAGCGATCGATTTCAGTCTGTGCGATTTCGCTCACCAAGGTGGCTGTCTCCCAAGTGCACGAATCGTAGAAGAGGCCCTTCCCTAGATCGAAGTCAGAAAGAGAATATTCAATGAGGCATGAGGATGACCCTAAAGCACGTACATTTGACATAGTATTCCGTTTCCTCATCTCCTTCTCTAGTCCCGATGACACGCTCGACATGCATATAATCATTGATAGCATCAGCGTCGCGCTCGCGATCGAGATTCCATTTCTCCTTCTCCTCCGGAGGAATGTCAGGCTCATGAAGCATATAGATCTCCTCGGTGACGATCTTTCGGAAGTAATTTTCCAAACGTCGAAAGCCACGATACCCAGAAAGCGAAGCGCTTGTCTCCCAGGTCGAATGATAGTGCGCCTTTCCTTGCCATTTAATCTACGTAGCATTAGCGGCAGAAGAACAGAGCAGAAGACGGTAGTGGACTAACAAAAAATTCAAAGTCATCTTTTGTGGGGTGTGGTTTATCTTTGCCTGAAGCTATCATTAGCCAAAACCTAACAAGTAAAGAGTGACAATTGGGAGTTTACTCACCGGTATCCTCCTTGAACCGATGATTGAGCACAGCATCAATTGCAGGAGCATCTTCATCGACCGCAGCCGCCCAATAATTTGGTGTCATATACTCAGAATCCTCCTCACTCAGAAAATCGTCATCGTCATCTTCGTTATAACTGGTGACTTTTGCGGCTCTTCGGGTGGAAAAGCGAAGTTCGGCAGGGGGCGGAGCCAGAGAGGCTGGCTGGAGCTGACGACGCGCCTTTCTCTTATTTGAGCTTCGGCCGTGGCGGGCCCCATACGTGTCCGAGTCAGATTCAGATTCGGAGGGGGACTGAGTCATGGGAGTAGCGGGTTTTGATGCTGCCGATGAAAGCGTTAGAAAGCCGGTCACTTTTCTAACCGCGTACAATGCGGGAGGATCTTACATTTTCGAGAAGCTGTCACCTTTCGCCGCTTGCGAGCAGTGATTGCGTCTGAACCCGAATCATCGTCCTCTGAGCTTTCTTCAATCTAACACCTTGTTAATGTATAGTTGAACCTCCGAGTGCGCAGTGACCTACAATTTGGCGGTTTGTTCGGGCACGTCCCTGTGAAACTATTAGCCACAGTAGTGGACAAGAGCTTGTTCAACACATACGCTTCTCCGCAGCCCATAGAGTTCTGGATTGTTCATAATGTATTCATCATCCTCAACACCCATCTTCCGTTTGGTCGGCTTTGGTCGATCCTGCGAGGACGCACTGGATTCGCGTATGCCATTGGTGGCGGGAGGAGATTCCACGTCAAAGTCGGCGTCTTCAGAACCGCTCTCAGAATCGTCCGATGGTTCAGAGACCTCAATGTCTGGATTCTCGTCCTGGCTCGACGGGCCGTCCACTTGATCGACTGGAGATGATGAGCGGTCGCAGGTTTCGGGATCATTGACAGCGGGATGCTTACTTTCGCTTTGCGATGAGATTTCATCAGCAGTCATAACGTTGCTCGCTAACGGAGACCCGTGCCCATTTTGAAAGGCCGTCGAATGGGCCGGGTTCGTAGGGGATTGGAAAACCATGCTACCCGCTGTGGAACAAGAACGTCAGCAGTTGATTGAGAAAGAAGAGAGCGTCGCGCTGGAAAACAAGTGGTGCGACCAGACAGCAGGCAATCACGCGATCAAAGCCCAGCTCTTGCTTAAGTACAAAGAAGCTATGGTCCTCTGGGATAGGTCTTCAAACTTTCCAAAACAGGCCTCTGTTGTGGTGAGACCGAGAGAGACGGTGAAGACGAGGATGGAGGAGCAAGGCAATGGCACCTGTGACCGAAATTTCCAGTTCGACTGGATCAAGCAGACATGAAATAGGGTAGAAAATGTCAAGGAAGCATCGTCATGATGAATCGGACGGGGATATGACACTATTTTGATGGATTCCGATAATGAGGCCGCGTGAGTGAACCTCGGGCGGCAGCACCACGCAAAGAGGAAAAGAGATAGGAAAAGTTAGAGGACTTACAAGCCATGGCTCCGAAGGCCTTCGGCCAGAAAGAGATCGTCCGAATCCGTCGTGTTTGAAAGTTCGGAAGGGTTTGGATTTGGGGGTTCGAAAGTAAGAGTCGTGATTAAGGTGGAGCGGAGTTACATGTTGGAGAGTCTCGTCTTTCTTTGGAGAGAGTTCGCTGCGGACAATCAGTGAGGCGACACTAGTCCTCTTTAGGACTTACCACCGGGGAATCTTCTGCGAGACAATAGCGAATTATGTAATCAATGACTCAGCAACAACCTGTACCCAATCAACGACGAGCTATTCCCGAATGGTCATCGCTTCTGTCCAATTTGTTCCACATTCACGCATCGCCTTGTCTCTCACGAGAATTTCAAGGTCGTCATATAACTACACGCGTGGCACGCACGCAACTAGATCGGAGGGTGATCTAGTTGAAGGACTTCTATTGGGCTTCTCAAATTTGGCCTTGGTGTGTTCTTCTGCTCAATCAGAAGATTTCTTTTGGCTCTTTGCTACCACCAAGTTACATCTCCGTGCGTGCTGGTCTTTTTAAGACCTTGAATTTTTAGCCCAAAATGTCTGACAAGTTGACTCGGTGAGTATTCTATGGAGAAACAATGCCAATAATGCCAGAAACTAACACAATCATCTTTATAGTATTGCTATTGTCAATAGCGACAAGGTGCGTCCCTGAAGCAATGCCCCTACGATGCCCCATTTGCCCCGCCTACCCCACTTCAACAATAAAGAAATTTTGGACACGAGCATCTAACGATTGTCAACGCATAACAGTGCAAACCCAAGGTATGTATGAAATACTCGATGTTGCAGGGTCGCAGAATCTGACCGAAAAAATAGAAATGCAGACAAGAATGCAAAAAGTCATGCCCCGTCGTCAGGACTGGCAAGCTCTGTATTGAGGTCAGCCCCGATTCGAAGATCGCTTTCATTTCGGAAAGCCTCTGTATTGGATGCGGTATCTGCCCAAAGAAATGCCCCTTCGGCGCAATCAACATCATCAACCTGCCCACCAACCTTGAAACTCAAGTCACCCACCGATACTCCGCCAACAGCTTCAAGCTTCACCGTCTGCCCACGCCTCGTCCCGGACAGGTTCTCGGTCTAGTTGGTACAAACGGTATCGGAAAGAGTACGGCTTTGAAGATTCTCAGTGGCAAGCTCAAGCCAAACTTGGGACGTTATGACAACCCCCCGGACTGGGAGGAAGTCCTCAAGTACTTCCGTGGCTCCGAATTGCAGAGTGCGCCCTCTCTCTCTGGAAACTCAAGCATTTCGCCAACTGACTCGTCATAGACTATTTCACCAAGGTGCTCGAGGACAATCTCAAGGCTGTTGTTAAGCCGCAGTATGTGGATCAAATTCCCAAGGCTGTCAAGGGCCCCCAGCGTGAGGTTGGTGAGCTGCTCAAGTCGCGTGCCCAACTAGGCAACACTCAAGACGTCATTGAGAATCTTGGTATGTGGTTGCTCCTTCTGCTTTTGAATGCAATTTTGATTGTGCTAACCATTCCTCAGATCTCCAGTCGGTCATGTCCCGTGACATCAAACTGCTTTCTGGTGGAGAGCTGCAGCGATTCGCTATTGGTATTGTCTGCGTCCAGAATGCTGATGTGTACGCTCATGCTCCATGTTATTGTTTTCAATGCAAGTTACTGATTCCTTCATTAGCTACATGTTTGACGAGCCTTCGTCCTTCCTTGACGTCAAGCAGCGTTTGAACGCTGCCAAGGCCATTCGTGGCCTGCTTAGGCCAGACGACTACGTCATCGTTGTCGAGCACGACTTGTCAGTCCTTGACTACCTGTCTGATTTCGTCTGCGTTCTGTACGGACGACCTGCTACCTATGGTGTTGTAACCCTTCCGGCCTCCGTCCGTGAAGGCATCAACGTATTCCTGGACGGTCACATTCCTACTGAGAATTTGCGATTCCGTGATGAATCCCTGCAGTTCCGACTTGCTGAGGCTGGCGATGATTTTATGATTGACAAGTCTCGCGCATTCCGCTACCCTTCCATGGAAAAGACTATGGGCAACTTCCATCTCCAAATCGAATCGGGCGACTTCACTGATTCTGAGATCATTGTTATGATGGGTGAGAACGGAACAGGCAAGACAACCTTCTGTAAGATGCTTGTGGGAGCCGAAAAGCCCGATGGCAACCAGCAGGTGCCGGCCATGAACATCTCCATGAAGCCGCAGAAAATTATGGCGAAGTTCGAGGGTACCGTCAGACAGCTTTTCTTCAAGAAGATCAAGGCTGCCTTCCTCAACCCACAATTCCAGACCGATGTGTACAAGCCGTTGAAGATTGATGATTTCATCGACCAGGAGGTTCAGAACCTTTCTGGTGGTGAATTGCAACGTGTCGCCATTGTTCTTGCTCTCGGAAAGCCTGCGGACGTTTATCTTATTGACGAGCCTAGCGCGTAAGTTCTCGTGTGATTCAAATCAGAGCCCGTGATCAAGCTGACCGTTGATCTAGTTACCTCGACTCTGAGCAGCGTATTGTCGCCTCCCGTGTCATCAAGCGCTTCATCATGCACGCTAAGAAAACCGCCTTTGTCGTCGAGCACGACTTTATCATGGCTACCTACCTTGCCGACCGAGTCATTGTGTTCGAGGGCCAGCCTTCCGTCGACGCCAAGGCTTGCGAGCCTGAGAGCTTGCTCACTGGCTGCAACCGCTTCTTGAAGAACCTCGATGTCACCTTCCGACGTGACCCCAACTCCTATAGACCTCGTATTAACAAATACCAGAGTCAAATGGACCAGGAGCAGAAGCTCAACGGTAACTATGTAAGTTCTTGTCACCTTTGCGATGCTACATTCCACTTGGCATGTGCTAATTCTACATTCTTCAGTTCTTCTTGGAGGAGGAGAGTTAAAAAGGGCATCCCACATGAAAGAAGACACCTTCCCCCTCTGCGGCTGGACCGAATTGCTTCTGCAGGTGGAAGCAATGTAAATGGCTACCTGCGGCGGGGGCGGAAGACGCGCCTCCATGCTGAGGAAGAGAACCTCGCGAACGAAGATGACGACGAAGACGACATATCACGACGACAGCAGTCTGCCTCCTGCGCATTCAACTGCTTGCTGCCAGTGCCTTGGTTCCTAGCAAGGTTCCAACTTGGATAGCATCTTATTGGCAGAACCATGTTTGCGTGGGTCAAGCTAGGTGACTGCTGTCTTTCAAATTCTGGGTGAAATTCCCGGAACAAGCGACTCGTAATCTAGATTAGCACGGCATGGAATGGTTTATAGGTATTTTTGCATTGGCTGAATGGTGATGGGACGGGTATAGATATCTTTGACAAGACTATTGCTCCGAACGTCGAATGTCGCTACATTAGTATGAGTATTGTCATACATAGCATTAGATCCCCGGCCTTCCCTTCTTTTATTTGACATGGAGCGGCCTATGGAGCATCCAACGGTTTTACGCAATAGAGAAAAGTTATGTTTGAACTACATTTTATTAAATCATACATGCACGTGACGTCGATATTTGAATGACGCATTCTGTCGCACCAAGGATCATTATACCTACCAATGGGTCTACGGTTTCCTTCTGTAACAAAGGGTAGGTACACTATTTCGGAATGTATTGACCTGGAATCATTGCCGATCTATTATTGATTAAAACCACCGGTTACAAACTTGGCAGATATGACTTTTATTATTATTTTCTATCGCACATTGTCAGGCCCGACGGAATGGAACTGAGCAAGAGATTGCGCCTTGAACCAATGCTTTTGACCAGGCCAAGCTAATATACATTATGATAAAATTAACGAGAAGGTTTACTCCTCCTCGATCTCGCCCTCCTCACTGCCGGAATGGACAGCAGGATCGTCCTTGGGCGCCTGCTGGGTGCCAGGCGGGGACTTTGATCTCTGCTGGCGGGGAGATTGCTCGCGGGATCGATCTCTCCGTGTTCGCTGTAGTAAAAAAAAGGAACATGTCAGTCTCAATTGATTTTATATGGCCGCGGAAAAACCAAAACAGGCGGGAAGAGAAATAATAAGGAGTAGGAAGGGAAATGTCAATGCAAGGGTGGGTAATAGTAGAAAAGGTTTTAAGCACAATGTTTACGATAGTAAGGAAACTCACCTTGTTCTCCCGCTTGCTGCCCGCGCTTTCCGCATCGCTATCAGCCCGTCGTCTCCTAACGCTGCTACCGCTTCGCGCATCGCCACCATAGTCGAGCTCGTCTCGACTACCGCGCGGATCGCCTCTTGTGCGATACATCCTCTCGCGCTCTTCCTCTCGCTCTCGCCGCTCGCGATCATAGTGACTCATTGAGGCCTGACGGCTTGAGGCACGCTCGTGGCGATCCCGTTCCCGGTCACGGTCACGGTGCGATGCGCTGAGCGGAGGAGGGGATAAGCCTGTGGTGCTGGATTTGCGGTACTGGCGCTCCCGGTCGGCCATGGCTTTTCTGCGATCGGCCTCGTAGGGGTCCAGTTCCGGAGACCGGCTTCGACGACGAGGTCGATAGCCATTACGATCTCGGTCACGATCGCGTTCGCGTTCGCGTTCTCGTTCTCGCTCTCGGTCGCGATGACCGCCTCTCCGGCTGCGATTGCGTTCTCTTTCGCGTTCTACGTCTTCTTCCTTCTCCTTGAGGCGTCGGATGACCTTCTCAAAAGCAGTGCGGCGCGAATCGTCCGAATCGAGGGCTTGGTATTCTTCTGTGTTTTGTACCCGGGACCGAACCTGTTCCCAGGTGTCTCCGATCAAGACAGGAGGATCGAGATGCTTGATGCGCGAACGCAGGGCGTCAATAGCACGGCGTTGGTGCCGTTCTGCTTGGTGCTTGTCGTCTTCGCTTCGGCGGAGGGCCTTTTCTCGCAGCCGCTCAAAGATGAGCGAAAGCGAGTCTCGGTCAATGTCTGCTGTGCGACGGTCGGTTTGCATGAGAGAGAGGAAGTCCTCGAAGGTAGTTTTCTGCGTGATTTCGTAGCGTTTATCCTGTTTCAATGCAGTGTTAGTTATCTGTATCAGTGACAATTGCCCCGCTCGAGAGCGATGAGATGGGAATAACGAGAGGAAGAAGCGGAGACATACATCCATCACGTCCAAGACCTCATTTCTGGTTCCTCGAAGGGCCCTTTCTTCGTCTTCGACCGCGTCCCAGAATAAATCTAATGGCGTGGAACCCGGTTGGCCGAGCACCGCAACATAACGGGGGTCGTCCTCGATGAGGGGCAACACGTTCATCCATTTTGTCCCTGCCTTGATTTTACCAGCAGATTTGAGGTCTTTGAGCAAACCCACAAAGTTGTCTCTATTCTGTCGCTCTCTTCTGGCCTTGGAGTTCTTCTGCTGCTGGCGCGCATCGTTGAAAGTGCGTTCCAAGGTTTTTATGTGATCCTCGAACGCAGTCAGGATGTCAGATTTACTGAGAGTTTTGAACATGTCATCCCCTTGAAATCGGTCATTGGCTTGTATGATTCCTTGAGCCTCAGACCAGCGTGTGTAGGGCTCCAAGTCAAGAGCCTTGAGGATTCCCGCCAGCTCGTCCATGGCTGCTTTTCGAGTAGTAGCCACGTGCTCTGCATGTGCCTTTTTGAGTTCAATCATGTATTCTTCGAACAGCTGCCGTCGTTCATTGTCATCATTTGTAGACCTGAAGATAGTCTCTCCTTCAATGATTGGCCGAGCGGTCTTCCACCTCGTATAATGTTTGATCTCGGGGTGACTCCTCAGCATAATAGCAAAGTCGGCCCGTAGCTTCGCAAGACGTTCCTTTGCACGATCCTTTTCTTGCATGCGCACCTCGGCTGCATACTTTTCGAATGCTGCCTTTCGGTCCTTGGGATCTTTCAGAGCTCGGTATTGTGAGTCTTTGATGATTGCTCGCATTGTCTGCTCCCATGACCAGTCCGGCTGAACATTTGCGCGCCGCAGAAGCTTCATAAAGGCGGCTTCAGCTTCCTCGAAAGAAGAGTATGCGGGATCGGTCTGGCTGGATCCTAGGGGTGTTCCACGAATTCCGTTCATATCCACGGGCCCGTAGCCCATCGGTCGGTCTTGTCCCATTCGATCCGCTCCGGAGAAATCATCTCTCGATCGAGGTGGCTGAAAAGACGGCAATGATGAAGTTCCGCCAGCAACAAAAGTTGGCGCTCTAAGCAACGTGTGAGATACAGGAAAACATTAGGAGAGGACGGAGTACACTCACGGCGGAATTGAAGGCGCTGCGGCGGGGACATTGGCAAGCGCATTCTTATATACTTCAGGCATATTCCAAGAACTTTCTTTCGTCTCCGTATTGGACCTATACAGCACTTTCTTAGCTTTGGTATTGCCAATCCTGGTCAGCCGAAAACTTACCAGTATTTTCGGCCTCCCTGGGCTGTATATTCTTTCCATGGTTGGTTTGCAAGCGCTCGCTATATCTTCATGTCAGCTTCTCTTTACTGCTCAATGTGGTCGCCATAGGCCTTACCTCCGTCGGATTCATCATCTCAAGCGGCTTCGTCCATTGTGAAGCCTTTGTCTGCGAATTATAGTAGTATACCCGCCCATCGGCATTACGAGCCTCCTGCCACAGTCCGGGAGGACCCGCCATGCCGTTAACTCCATTCATTGTGTAGAACTGCGTCCCGTATCTGCACAATAAATCGCCTGACACGTCGAGATGCGAGGTCTGTTTGCGGCGTCGCGCAGGCCGGAACAGTGAATTGAAGACAAAATCGGTTGAATGAGACTGTATAGTGTAGCAAGCAATAATAGGAACGAGGGAAGAATTACGCGACCTCGCTATGTTCCGGACTCGGCTATAGTTGCTCGGCCTTATGCTTCAGGGTCCTCATTATCATATCGCGAGCAACAACCACTACGGTCATGGAGGATCAATGAAACTATCTCTCACTTTGGATGACAGGCAAGATTTTCTGTTGGCAACTTTTCAACGAAATAGTACATCAATTGTCTTTCAATTGCTGAACTCTTCACGAAGCCAGACCCACTTACCCCGAAATATATACCAGTGAAGCATGGCCTCCTAAATCGAAACGCCAAGAGGCCGAACGTGTGATATAATGGATTTCGATGAAAGCGAGCTTTTTGCAGGGAGGTCCATTTTGGACACTGTTGTTCCCTTTGCGACTGAGGTGCCAATAGAAGAGACAATAGCTTCTTCCTTAGATGATGCCGTACAGTCCTCGCTTCTCACTTCTATCCCACAGCGGCGCCTGCTGTTTTTTGGTTCGTTATGCTGAGCTTCTTATACTTGGGATAAGCATCTTACTTATTCATAGATTTCTAGATGAGTCTCTCACTGTCTATATTGTCCTTCAAACTCCGTATATACCGGAGAACAAGCTTCGTTCGTACCTGTCACGGCTCAACCTGACGTTGGAAGCCCACCTCGTAAACTTGCAGCCAAACCACCATCAAGAAGGATTATCCCATGGAATAGCAATTCAACAAAAGGAGCTCATCTATTCCGGCGAGGTGGAGCAATCGGTCGACCCCTTGACAATCGTTGAACGCTCCGCGGGTGGCGCAGAGGAGGCCAGTGACCGGAGTATATTCGTTCTTTGGAAGAAGAGCATTGTTTTAAGTAGATGGGCCCCACGCTATGAAAAGAGGTAGAGGCTTTATTAACAATCTCTAGCCCGCCCGAGAATTCGACCTCATTCTCCTATGATTTATCTCTCAGCAATTGGCAGTTTGAGGCCAGTTGATATATCAGACAACATTCGAAATAATGAGGACTACCTCCCAAGTGGAGTCCCTGTGGACTTAAACTTGTTCGAGTCGTTGAGAAATGACTCTGGAACTGCCGGCGCACCACGCCTTTCTGCCACGAGAGTGTCTCGTGTGGCACCTGTCTCTCGCCCATCACGCGGAGTTGTACGGCAACTAATAAATAATCCACGTTCGTTCCCAGTAGTCCCGGCCATGACCTCCCGAGTTAGATACTCTAAACTACATCCACAACTTCCCAGACCAATAATTATTGCGTCGCTCAGTTTCGATATAGCTCCGTACGCTGAATATGAGATACGATTCGAGAAAGTTGACGTTGATCTCATTGGGGGTTCGGCAGAGGCTCTCGATCATCCAAACAAGGACGTCATGCCTTTAATTTGTCATGCGAAGGATGAGGTTTCGTTTCTCTACCGTCTCACCTCGGAAAACAGCTTTGGCAACTCTTCTGATCCTTACTCTACTGTGAGATCTCTTGAGATAACCGTGAGCTCTGTTGCTTTGGTATCAGAGGAATGTCGCCCAAGGGTTACAATGAAATGGAAGGCCACAGTCGATTTCTCTGTTCCACTAAATCCCACCCTCGGTGGTCAACATCAATTGATGCAGTCCGTCCATCGACCAAGGAGCGTCCCTTCTGCACCAAGTCTGGCAGCGACGCTTGCGCAAGGTCCCCTCGGAAAAGTCCCTACTCTCGGGCCAGATCCATCCGAGACAGTGCAGCCTCCTTGGTCCACTACAGCTGCTTCCCTTGGACTGATCTTTACATTTTCGGGTCCCGAGAAAGTCTACGTTGGAGAGCGATTCCGATGGGACATTGTGATAGTGAATCGTTCAGCGAAACCACGAAAATTGGCATTGATGGCAGTTCCGCGGCGAAGGAAGGGGGATGTCAAAAAGCACCTTGCTCGGCCTTCTGGATCATCGTGGAATGATCGGCGAGATAAGCCTGTCACAGACGCTGTAGCAGACGAGAATTTCGTTTATGCGCTACAACGGAATGCATTGACGGAGCCGGCAGATCTTATCTGCTTAAGCACCGAAGTTCGAGTAGGGTAAGCCATAATTCCGATGACGACGACCACTCTCTATTGGGTCTTTGTCGAATGAGCGCTAACATTCCAATGACTTATATAGACCGCTCGCGCCTGAAAGTTGCCACAGCGCAGAAATGCAGTTCCTGGCCTTAGCTGTAGGACCGTTGTATGTTGAAGCGATTCGGGTCGTGGATTTGATAACGCAAGAAGCTACCGATATCTGGGCACGCGATTTACCCAGCATCGCATCCTTTCAACGAAAAGATTCATGACAGTCCATGAAGCATAATAAACCTTATTTAAATCCTTGATCTTGCATTTCTTGTACCAAGACAAAAAAATTTTGAAAATCCCTCTACTATTGAGGGAGAAGTCGAGTCGCATTCACGTGATCGTGGCTGGTTGCGTGTCGGATGACGATGTGGAGCGAGGAGATACATTGGAGACCCCGGACTGGCTGGTTTAGAAGCCTAAAATAGCGAATCGGCCCAGCCAGCCCGGATGGCAGTACAGCAGTTTAACTTGGCCACAGTAACAGATGAGCTTAGACTTTAAGTAGAGAATACGGCGGTAATTGGAGGGAGCAATAAACCTATCCATTTGGCCCTCTTCGGCAGCATTCTCCTCACCCTGCTTGTTTCAAAGCCCCCGTTGCCTTGACGGATTTCTCTTTCTTTCTCCACATCGCATCCCGCCTGACGTGCGTCTAGACTTAGTTGATATTCAGCATCTTCTTTTGCCTAACGGTCGTGCATATTTTGCGGTCCTCATACTTTTTAAAGAATATCGTTATCACTTTTTCTTCTAGCTCAGAAAGCTTATATACCAACTTTCCTTGTTCCTCGTGCTCACTTTGCTTGGGTCGCCGTATCCCGCTCTCGTCACCTTGGCGCAAGTGCGACCGGTGACCTCATCCACCCACAAGGAGCTGTACAACTCTCAAACCTCAACGTATCTCTTCCTTTTTTTCCAGCATGGCTGAAAGTGCTCCTCGACGAGTCCTTCGGACATTAAATAGCAAATATATTTATGGCAGAGTGGTGCGTTCGGATTTCCCGTTCCTTTGTGGTCGTTTCCCGGTATCGCCATTGCGAGTCATCACGGGCCTTCCCCATTCTCTGAGCTTCTGGAAATCCTCTGGCTAACACGTCTCTTACAACTCTTTTTATTCTCTACAGCCTCTTTTACATTCTATCGTATTCTTGATCGAAATGGCGATAGTATCGAGACTTATTCAAAAATTCAATGCATCCTATGCAGAAAAACCTCGTTTGTCCATCCCCGACCGTTGTCTTCTCGGTGGGTCCATAGGGCTGACTTGTTATTGCATCAATAGTCTTGACGACCATGATCACGAATGCTGTCAGTTTACCTAAAATAAACCCTCAGCAATTTTTGTTAGACCCAAGCTCATTCGAAAATATTTTAGGTCCTCGGCGGCATTGCGGATACAGTCGCTCAAAACATCACCGCAATACGAGAACGAGCTGTGCGAAAGGGCGGTCCGGGCAAAGATGACTTCTTCGCGATTGAAATTCATGAGCTTGATAGGAAGAACCGGCTACCTAGTACCGACATTGTCCCTCCCTCCGAGAGACTGCCCCCGCCTTTTGACTTCGAACGACTCACTCGATTCATGGCTTATGGTTTTTTGATGGCACCGCTCCAGCTCAAGTGGTTTGGGTTGCTTGCCCGTGCTTTTCCGATTACCAAGACGAGTGGCACTGGTCAAGCCTTGAAGCGTGTAGCTTGTGACCAATTCATCTTCGCCCCATTTGGTATGCGGGTTCAGCTCATTTTCCGGTCGCCCCATATGAAGCATTAGTTTCGCTGATATTTCTGGAAGGTCTAACATGCTTCTTCACATTCATGACAATTGCTGAGGGCGGAGGCAAGAAGGAAATTATTCGCAAGTTCCAGGATATCTACGTACCCACCCTAAAGGCCAATTACGTTCTTTGGCCTGCGGTACAAATCATCAACTTCAGGGTTATGCCTATTCAGTTCCAGCTTGTAAGTGACGGATAAACCTCAGCGACCTTTTACTGGCCTTTCTGACAATGCTCTTCAGCCCTTCGTGTCAACTATTGGCATTGCCTGGACCGCTTATCTCTCGCTCACCAACTCCGCCGAACGAGCACGCGAATAAGGCCTCAAATCGGATTATCATTTGATTGAAGTCGTTGTTGCTCTGATCAGTCGCGGGAAGGGGGAGAAAGCGCAATCCTTTACTAGGCTGGCTCAGCGTCCGCTCTGCCACACGGCGTTCAACTCACGATCGTTATCGGTATCGCTCCGCCTCTTGACTTCTTGATACCGAAATTACCTTTTCAAAGAACACTCCAGTTTATTATTCCTTTTGCCATTCTCCATTATTACAGCATTCTTCTTTGTTCTCTTGCTTCTTTCGATTTTCATCTCTCTCGCGCTTGGGACTGGAGTAATTGCAGGGTTCCGTTATTTTGGCGGGGGGATGCTATGGGTCAAATTATTATTTGAGGCGGAGCGCGTGTCGAACATGATCAGCCGCAGCTTTGAGGCTTTGCGGAATACAATGTAGATGTCTTTACAAATGTATGCAGCCCGATTTGACCGGGGGGGTTGTCTATTGATTTCTCGGGTTTTTAGCAAAATATTATCTTTTGTATCCCAAAAAACGCAAAGGCATGTGTAAACTGAAAATTCTCGAAGTCAATGGTGGCAAAGCAGGAAGGAAAGGCTTTTCATTTTTGGACGATCGTTATGGTGACGATGATCATGACGAGGGTAGGAGAGCACAGCGATTGCCTAGTTGAGACAAAGTTGGGTGAGAAGAAGTAAAGTTGGGATGAGTAGGCCGCCTATGATGTTATCGTAGCGAGTCAGGATAAGCGCTCTTAGAAATTGGAGGATCCTAGAACTGCGGGTACGAATACGACAGTACTGCAGTCCTGTACCGGTAGACTCTAGTACGAGAGGAGCGGGAATAATGAGCAACCACTCCGTGTAGCAGGGGCGCACGGTCCATCAAGGTGTTGAGTGGTGTGTTGTGGCCCTCTTTTTCGGTGACAAAGAGGAATTATTTTTCTCACATTCGAAGGGGATCGATAGATTTGGTGGTCTGGCTGGGTTGGGCCGACGATCGTCCTCCATCGAAGTCATCCGAAATCCTTCCGGGTGGAGCCCCCCCGTGGGCCGCCGTGTGGTCAGATTGGATTCAGTTTTCTCAGGCATCATGCCTCGCTTTACGTGGTATGTAGTTTAACTGTGTTTTTATCAGTGCCTGTATTAGCACTACAGCTCAACTGAATAAATGCACGAGCTCAAGTGCCATTTAAATGGTAAATTCACATGGCTGTATTTCCATTAAAGGGCAAATGGAAAATGCAATCAGAGCATCGATTAAATTTGTTTTTATTTATTCAGCCCAATCGAGCGAATTAATATAATAGTCATAATCAAACGATAAGGAATAATTGGGAAGTTTCCGCGGTTGGAAGAGGGTGAGAAATAATCACGCAGTTTTCCAGCCAGACAGTATGGTTGGTGGATATAACAGCCGGTAGACGCGGTTGAATGTGCCAGAGCCACGAAACCTTCCTCTTGTAAATCGGCCGGGGGTCAATGTGCTCCTGGTGCATGGAAGAAGGTGGCACCTGTGTGGCTAGTTGAGCAAAAAGCAGTAGATTCTGAATTCATCATCTGTCTTTGGCCCTGGAGCTAAATTCGATACTGCGGCCTGGTGGCCTTATCGTTGGATTTTCCCGAAACCACGCCAGACACCAGACCAGACCAGACACAAGTTGGCGTCATTTTATATCACCCCACCAACATGCCCCGCTATTGTAACTTGTACACTACATAAGAAAGCTCTACTTCTGCCCCTCCTCGTCTCTCTCCCCCTTCTCCTAGCCATCATCATTTCAATTATCATCACTCCAACTTCAATCTTTCTTACGTATAGACCAAAAGTTTCTTTTTAATCAATCGCCATCATGTCTCTTTCCAACAAGCTCGCCATCACTGACGTTGACCTCAAGGGCAAGCGTGTCCTGATCCGGGTATGTGTTAACATTTTTTTTACTAGATTGTCTTGCTAGTATTATCCGAATTCCAGCTTTAAATAATGAGACCAATGCCAATTGGACCTGTCTCTGGACGTAATCGCTAATATATCTTGCATTGATAGGTTGACTTCAACGTCCCTCTCAACGCTGAGAAGCAAATCACCAACAACCAGCGTATCGTTGGTGCCCTCCCCACCATCAAATATGCCGTTGAGCACGGTGCCAAGGCCGTCATTCTGATGTCCCACTTGGGCCGTCCCGACGGCAAGCGCAATGAGAAGTACTCTCTTAAGCCCGTTGTCCCCGAGCTCGAGAAGCTGCTCGGCCGCAGTGTCATCTTCACCAATGACTCCGTGGGCAAGGAGGTCGAGGAGACCGTCAACAAGGCCACTGGTGGCCAGATCATTCTCCTTGAGAACTTGCGATTCCACATTGAGGAGGAAGGCTCCGCCAAGGATGCTGAGGGCAAGAAGCACAAGGCTGACCCCACCGCCGTTACTGAGTTCCGCAAGGGCCTCACCGCTCTTGGTGATGTCTACATCAGTACGATACCCACATGAACCCTTTTTGCAATTTCGTCGACAATAGAATTAACAAATTTACAGACGACGCTTTCGGCACTGCTCACCGTGCCCACAGCTCCATGGTCGGTGTCGACCTTCCCCAGAAGGCCTCCGGCTTCCTCGTGAAGAAGGAGCTCGACTACTTTGCCCAGGCTCTTGAGAACCCCAAGCGACCCTTCCTTGCCATCCTCGGTGGTGCCAAGGTCTCCGACAAGATCCAGCTCATTGACAACCTTATCTCCAAGGTTGACAAGCTCATCATTTGCGGTGGTATGGCTTTCACCTTCAAGAAGACTCTCCAGGGCATGCCCATTGGTGAGTCGCTCTTCGACGAGGCCGGCAGCAAGACTGCCAAGGACCTCGTCGAGAAGGCCAAGGCCAAGGGTGTCGAGATTGTTCTCCCCGTCGACTTCACCACCGCCGACAAGTTCGCTGCTGATGCCAAGACCGGCTACGCCACCGACGAGCAGGGTATCCCTGACGGCTGGATGGGTCTTGACTGCGGACCCAAGTCCTCTGAGCTCTTTAAGAAGACCATTGATGAGTCTGCCACCATCCTCTGGAACGGTCCCGCTGGTGTCTTCGAGTTTGAGGCCTTCTCCAAGGGTACTCGCGCCACCATGGACGCTGCCGTCGCTGCCGCCCAGAACGGAAAGATTGTGATCATTGGCGGTGGTGACACTGCTACCGTTGCCGCCAAGTACGGCGTTGAGAGCAAGCTCTCTCACGTCTCCACTGGTGGTGGAGCGTACGTTCCCTTTCGGTTTCTGAATTTTTCATAAAGGGATATTTGCTAATTCTCGTCACAGTTCCCTTGAGCTTCTTGAGGGCAAGGCTCTCCCTGGTGTCGTTGCTCTCTCGAGCAAATAAGCGACTTCTCGACGTCACATCTCTTTCTTTTCTCATGACGTGACACGCCCACCTAAAAAAATCATTTCAAAAATCTCCTTGTGTAGATGTGTCCTGGAACCTCGGAGGCCACAGGCCCGCAGGGATACCCTCTTACGATGAATGCATGCTACGATCCATCTATCCTCCATACCTACTTCTTTCTATTTCCGTATTACGATACAACAGGCGGGCTGGGCGCGTTTGTTAGCGATATCATTTAGGTTGATAATAAATATATCCAAAAATTTTAAAAGATGAATCCTTGGGTTATAATATTGGACAGGGTGGCAGGTGCCGAATTGCTGCAGCATCAAAGGAGACTACTTTATCCTGATACACCAAGACTTCAGGACTCGTAATCCATGGGGGCTCTGCCACCATTCACTGTATAATGGAATTCTACACCTTTATGTTGAAGTTTTATAACGCCTATTGCTGAACATAATTTATCAATGTATTCAGAGGCAAGCAAAAAAGAGATATAAGGGAACTCATTGATGTCAGTAAATCACGTCTTGGATATAGCACTTTGCATATAATAGTAGAATGGCTGAAAATGATCTACATAGTAGAGCTTACAAAAATTTTGTATATTTGGTATACAATCTTAATTTGTACATAGGTATGAATTTCGAGCTAATCTGATCTTGAAGAGTCATCTTACTCATATGAGATGCCGCCAAACGCCGTGAAAATGGGATCAAAAAAAGGATAGGTGGGTGATTAGGATGTTAATTCAAGGTCGTAGAATATTTTGCGGAGATGGAGGTGGTAAATGATAAAGAATCTATCCGCGCTTGTTCGCCTCAACCTTCTTAAGCTCTTCCCTGTTTCCACGCAAGAGGTAATTTGATTAGAAATAAGATTCTTGTTTCTTTTTGAGTAGCGCGGAGGATAATGAAAGAAGCCAGGATGACTGGACTCCGGATAGCGCTGTTGCTAACCTGAGAAAGAGATGGATTGTGAAGTATAGGTATGGGTGATATAGAGGGCAAGTTACTCACTTTAATTGCGCAGAAAAGTCCTCGCTCGTGTCATCATCATCCCAGCTTTCTTCCCAGAGATGCGTCTCGCCATCAGGTACTTCGGTCTCCTCTTTCGTCCAATCTGCATGTTCATCGTGCCCATCAGCAATTGTCAAGCTATCATGCAAAGCTTCATATTGAACACCATCGAGCAAGGTAACTCTGTAGATCATGAGCCTGGCTTACCATCCACAGGAAAGTCTTCGAATTCATCATCTTCCTCCAGCGAAGCAGTGGGCTTGGGCGGCAGCGCGCTGGCCTGGCCGCTGGCAGTAGGCTCCTCGGTCACGGCCTTGGTCGTGTTGGCAGATCCTTCAGCTGATCCCGACATTTTGGCGGAAAAGTGATTCAGAATAGGAAGAATGTACTGTCGAAAGATACTCAGTATTTGGCGGGTTAGATGGAACTAATGATGACCTAGTATCAGCTCTATGCACTCAATGTCTTGAACTTGATGTGATTGACTTCACAGGTCGCTGGGTGCGGAGATTGCCGCGGTAGTTACACAGCGGAAAGTGTCCGCAGCTAATAGCTTCTCCGGCGTCTTTCACTTCGTAAACGCCGGGATGACATATTGCCGGCTGCCGATATAGTGCGCCGGCCTGTCTCCAGGACACTTGATGCTCTCTTTCTCTCTCTATATCCCCACTGCTCTGTAATAGCTTCATGACAACGATGTTTTTCACTCGCCAGGGCCTATTGTGGGCCAGCTAAACGAAAACCACACCGTGTTGACCGCGAAAAGCATGGTAGCTCCAGCTTACTCCCTTGCTCAGCGGAAGTGTACCCGGTTAACCCCCGCCTGACAGTGCAGCATTATCTTGGCATTGCAGTCAGTTGGACGAAGCGAGGGCACATTCTACAATATTAATTAATTACGCTGGAATTGTGCAGTTTCACTCCAAGATGATGCGCATGGGGTCGTGGCTTGGGGGCAAGCAAAAACCCAATGCATCGACCCAGTCACTTACGGCTCTAGATGAGCCAGAGCACTGTGAGTAAAGCAAACTCTGGAGACGTTTGTCTAACTGTGATGTGCCATGGAACTAATTTGGCTATAGTGGAGCATGCTATGCGGGGTAAGCTTTCCGTCTAATATAATTTTCTGCAAATGAAATGCTCCGGAGTATGCTAATGGTCTTGGTGATATAGCCGTGACCTGGATCATCAATGACGATGTCGATAAAGCGGAAGCCGGATTAAATGAAGAGAGCTCCGCATTTCACAAAGTATGAATACTTGGTCTGGTCTCATCTTGAGCCTTTCTTTTTCTTTGTTGTTTTGGATCTAATACAGTTTCACTGACATTTATAAATTCAGCTCGGAAAAGGAGTAGTCACATTCCTCAAGGCTACACTTGGCTTCGAACAAGATGTCATGCGAGAAGGTAAGAATTTATCTTCAAAAGAAAGGTCGGGACCTCCTGTTAAGATCATATTCTACAGCCCAAGAGCGACTTTCCGATGCCGAAAATGCGGCGTGGCATGAACAACGCCACGCACAACGTGACCCTGGATCATACCATTCATCTATTTATCCTGCCGGCACTGAGTATGCATTATGCCAATCGGAAGCGCAGCTGATGAGTGCGGTGGTCGGCGTCTTGAATGAAAGTTTGACGGAGAGCATAAAGGGCTTCTACAAATTGCGGAAAGCATACATAACCTTGGAAAGCATCCTTGCTGTTGAAAGTGGGTTTGCAAAGGGGAAAACTGTTACGACCCTGGGTAATGCTTCCTCGGCTTCTATACACTCCAACCGGACCGGTGGCTCTATCAAATCCGCCAAGTCAATAAAGAATATTCCTAAGTCTCTCGTTCAGAAAGGCGGTCATTCGGCTGAACAAGCTTCCATGGCATCGTCAGTGCAGACAGATGAAACTGTACTCAATGGAAGTGTTGCTCAGACCGACCATGCTTCCTTAGGTTCTCCACCTCCATATTCACATCCAGAAGACGATGATGTGGATGATTTCTTTGATGCGGATGAGACAAAAGAAGGCGGCGCGACACCGCAGGACTATGAAGGGCATCTTGAAATCAAAGATACGGCCGCGAAAATGGAGAAAATCACAATAGATACTCAGTCGACCAACAAAGGTCCCGCTACGTCTTCAGCCTCCCAGCTTCAATCGCCCAGCTCCATTGTCGCGCAAGATGAAAGTAGCGCGGATCCGGATGACTTCTCTAATCCCATTGACATTTTTGTGCACTCAGGGTCAAACCTTTGCTTTGGCCTGCTATTACTTCTGCTTTCTATCATCCCCCCTGCTTTCGGAAAGCTCCTTTCTATCATTGGGTTCAGAGGCGATAGAGAAAAGGGAGTGAAGCTTCTATGGCAAGCCACAAAATATAACAACATTCATGGTGCCATGGCCGGTATTGTTATTTTGGGATATTATAATGGGCTCGTCTCATTTTGCGACATTATCCCCGATACCACTCCAGAAGGAGTTGGTGGCTATCCAAAGCAGCGCTGCGAGGATCTCCTCGCTGAGATGCGTCGAAGATATCCGCAAAGTCATCTGTGGCTGCTCGAAGAAGCCAGGATGCAAGCCGCCAACAAGCACCTTGAAAAGGCAGTCAATCTGCTGTCCCAAGATAAAAAGAGTATGCTGAAGCAAGTGGAGGCACTGGAAATGTTTGAAAAGAGCTTGAATGCCATGTACTTGCATCGATATGAGCTCTGTGCCGAGTCATTCTTGAAGGTCCGTCATTGGTTCACAAAACATGGTGATCCGAAAGGAAAACTGATAAAGTTGCAGTGCATCACGCTTAACAATTGGTCCCACGGATTATATTACTTTATCGCCGGTTCTTGCTACGTGGAACTCTACCGCCAGTGCAAATCCATAGACGAGAAACAAGCGGTATGTTTTTTTATGGGGGGAGTATATGTCAAAGTGCAACTGATATTAAGAACGAGATAGGCACTTCATGCTCACAAGGCCGAAAAATACCTCAAAACAGCAACCAAACACACAGGCAAAAAGAGGTTCATGGCTCGGCAACTACCCTTCGACGAGTATGTTGCTCGAAAGATTCGCAAGTGGGAGCAGCGCTCGCTTGACTGGAAAATATCATTTATTGATGCTATTGGCGTTTCTCCCATTGAGGAGATGAATTATCTATGGAATGGCTATAAACGGATGACAGCGGCACACCTTGAAAAGTCCGAAGCTGCCCTTGCTTGGTTTACTTCGTCTGAGAATTCCAATTACAGCCGCGAATCTCAGGATGAACTGGGTATTGCGTCACTACTAGAAGCCGCCATCCTGCGATACAAAGGCAAAAATGGCGAAGCCCGAAAATTGTTGCAAGACAATGTTCTCTTCCACGACAGGTCCCTGTTCAAGGGCCACAACCGTGACGATTGGGTTTTACCCACGGCTCATTACGAGATGGCCGTTACTTACTGGCAGGATCGAGATGGCACAGCCGCTGACAAGGACCGATTGAACGAGTGCAGTTTCTGGCTCGAAAAGGTGGCTCATTGGGAGAGCTTCGGACTTGATGCCCGGTGCGTCCTTTCTTTTTGATCTTATGGTATCTTTTGAATATGTGAGAGAAGACTGACATGTTTTGCAGAATTGGGCTCAAGGTGACGACAGCGCAGGAAACGTTGAAATCAATGGCGGCTAGGTCATCGCCATCATCATCCCCATCATCCTCATAACACATACCTAAGACTTCGATTTCCTACTTATGAATATATATATGCACTTTCTCTCTCTACTTTCTTGTATTTTCCAAGACGCATTTGCATTATTACCAGTTACGGCATAACCCGGCTCGGTCATTTTCTCAGAAGACTTGCGAGGTTGGCGGAAAGGGTGATTGTTTATATCATTGAAATGTCTCGTTTGGTCCACAATGACTTGTACAACCTGGGGTGATGGATGGTATCATGGTGACCTTGTAGGATAGGAATATGACGGCTTGTAATGATGCGGGAGATAAACAGACGCCGAGATGAGGAGCGATGACTAAGCAATGGCATTTGATTTCGGCAGCAGAATTTGGCGCTAAAGGAAGCGGTCAGCAGCAACTCTCTCCCCACCGCCTGTGATTGGTCTCTCCAAAAGGGAAATGCCCGTCAAAAGGAATCCCTCCAGATCGACCACAATCGGAACTGCCCCAGTCCTTCGCTGTTGGCATGATCGATGCGTGTCCATTTATCGCTGAATTTACGAGAAGGAAGGGTAGAATAGGTAAGGATTCAGTCGCTGTTGATTGTACTCATATTTTGTGCTTTACTTCGACAAAATGAGACACTCACCGCGTTCCCTAGAAAGGCGAGGAATCCAAACTACGCAGCGCACCTCGACACAACGCACATAACGCCCTATTTCCTCCCCCCAGACCCCCTCACCGCCCATCTCACCTGCAGGCACCATAGTCAACAACAGGACTCAACTAAACTCCCCACGTCTCTTGGCTGGCCTTTATCAGGCCGCGATCGTCTGTCCTTTTCACGAGTGCCTTTGTCGATCGGACCCAGGCCAATTGCTTGTTTGGGTCGCCTTGGGGTCGGTTTCGAGCCATTGTCGTTCACCCATCCCTGTATCTCCCCAGACTACGTCGCGTCATGGGCCGCAAACCAAATCAACTCATTCTCGAGTTCTTCGAGCGCGGCCAGAAATTGGAAGACGCCAGCAATCGATACCAACATACGTGCAAAGCGTGCGGCGAGAAATTTCCGAAAGGACGAATTGATAGCCTCACAACTCATCTCGTCAAGAAATGTCCTGCAATTGCTCTGCGAGACCGCCAGCGCGCTTTGTTGCAGCTGCACGAACTTCCCGATTTCGCCGACGCACCCGAGAGTGCGAAAGAGGCGGCCAAGGAAAATGGACAAAAAGGGAAATCTGTTGAATTGCCGTATGCGCCCAGTCGGAATTGGACCGCATTGGAAACATTGGCCGAGGTCTCGAGGCAGATTGATTTGTCCGAGAAGAAAGATTCGCCATCGCGCGAATCAGACTCGGAAGCCAGGAATGACAAGGATAGCCACAACGAAAAATCTCCGTCCGAAGAACGCTGGAGTCAGAGCCAACAGGGATCAGTTTCTGGGCCTGCAAGCCAACAGGAACATAATTGTAAGCTTTGGCAGTATAGGCAGTGTTATGCATGCTTCGGATATAGATACTAATGTTGATAAAAATACAGATCCACCTCCTCCGGGATCTAACGGCTCTAATAGTGCGCTTCCACCTATTCAATTCTTTGGCAACATTATTTCATCACCGTCACAACAATCACCACACCTGCCTGGCCTTTCGCTGCCTGCAAGTGCCGAGGCCACTGCCGCACTGGCGGGTCAGCCTCACCCTTCGAATCTGTCGCTAGCAATGTCAGCGACCGAGGAATTGCAATCAATGATGCCCTCGGCTTCAATGACCATGGAGCCTGGTCTTGGCGTGTCAAATGCCGGCATCTCTGACAAGTTCTTTCATCCGCAGACTCTGCGTGCATCATCAACGTGGCCCATGGTTCAGCAGCCTGGATCTGGCGATTCGTTCTATCTTGATGGATCTCGAGATCCGGCTCTGCTGGAAGCCATGGCGACCAGGGCGGCTACTTTCCCACGGCCGATTGCTATCAATCCAAATACCCCTCACAGGGAATACACATCGGAGTTCCATGCATCTTCGCGACCACCACGCCCCAAAGTTCGAGGCAGATTCTCTGCGAGTAGACGGAAAGAGGTTCAGGAAGTTCGCAAGCGGGGTGCATGTATTCGCTGTAGGATGTTGAAGAAGCCGGTATGACTTTGGTGACGAGAGTGTCCGGTTTGCCTCAGTAACTAATGCTTGGCAGTGTTCGGGCGAAAGCCCTTGCAGCACGTGTATCAATGTCGAGAGCGCTCGTTTGTGGAAGCAGCCTTGCATACGGACGCGCATAGCAGATGAGCTCGAGCTATACTCTGCAAGTACGTGTACAACGATGAAAGGAGATAGAATTTTTCTTATCTAACCTGCATAGGTCTGTACTATACTATTGCATACCATGAAGTAAATGCGGCCAAGGGCAAGCGCAAATACCAGCCTTATCCCGGCCGGGTTGAGGCTACGCACTTTCTCGACAGTTCTCTTTTCGTGACGTTTAGTGCGCTCGAAAGCCCTGCTGAACTGCCGCAATCAGATGCCACTGGCGATGCTCCTCAGTCGCAACAGCTTTTGCTAGACTGGGAAGCAGATGAATTGCATCCGAAGCTCGAGCAATATCTGAAGAAAATGGCACCCTACTTTTACGAGCGGGAAACTTCGGCATTTATGAAACCCACTCTGAACCTCGCCTCTGAACTTGCCACTCAAAAAAATGTAGGCTAAAACTTATACCTTCAGGGAGCCTCCGCTCTGAGAAGAACTTTTCCGCTAATGCTCTGTATCAGGATACCCTCTTACCACGTGTTCTCGAACTCTGGACAGCAACGCACGTCATTGTTGACGGAGAAATATCCTGGAAGACATTTGCCAATCCCAACCTTCCCCCATCTACCTGCCCCACCGAATTCCCATCATCACTACCCGCCAGCACAACGACAACAAACAATGGCAGTTTTCCCATTGATGAGAACACAGACGCCGAGTCCTACTCCTTGCTCTGCTCACAACTGCGTTCAGGTGCAGAAAAGCGTGCTGTCCAACTTAGTAAGACGGCAATGAACGATCTCGAACGACGACTGTTACAAAGACAGCAGAGCGGCTGGTTTGAGACTTTTCTCGCCGCAATCATCCTCTTGAATTGTGTTGAGCGAATGAGTTGGTTGTTTCGCACCTGGGGAGACGACGTCCAGACTCAGGATCAAGCAAAGGTACATATGTTCAGGCCAGGCCACAGCTTATTCCTCTTCAATTATTTTTTTTACTCTATCATATTTGCGAAAGTGAACATTCACACTGACATTACGCAGTGGCCGCTTGACCGCAAACCACCGTACTACTACAGTCAAGGCGAACGATTCGCAGACATTTTACACATGCTGCTCAAGATGCGCGGGCTGCCACCGAAAACGCGTCTGCGGCAGGAAGATGGCGTCATCGCCGTCGTCGAAGGAGGGGATGAAATCGCGAGTCGGTACCTCGAGACGGTCAGGTTATCTGGTGGGTGGTTTCCATTTGTCAAGTTTGAGGGGAGCCTTTCCTGGCTCGTCCCCTTGAACCTTATTCTGCTCATTCCTCCCTCTCTTCTTGAGGAATTGCACTGGCATCGAGAATGCTAACAAGTTCAATCTCTTGCGAACAGGCAAATATCTCGAAGACCGTCAATCGGCTGCATTTGATCTTCACGATTCCCGGAGTCTTGAATTAAAATTATGCGTAAAGCTATTGCTGCCTAATACCTGAGCTTTGATATAATAGTATGGTCTTTCTTTGCATTTTTCATTGGTGCTTGGAAATCTGTCTGGTCGGGGAATAAGGAACTATTACGCCCTTGTTAAACCGTTTCAATATTTTACAACTTCTTTTTCATCTCCCTAATTCCTCCAGGTTGCATGAAGTCCACGGACCCACCTTACGAGAGCAGCAAGAAAGTAAAAGTCGATTTACTTTTTTCGGCTGTATTAGATGCATAATAGAATGAAAATGACGGAAGAAGAGAAAGATATTCCCTCTCAGCGCATCACATCACACAGTCGAGTGCTCTACTGGAGCAGTGCTCTTGCCAGTGCAGCCCCCTGCTTTGTCCTTGCCGCTTGTGCGTAGTGTTGTTTATCTGCTGTCCCAACTTTCTAGCAGTGCAGCGCCGTGGGTCCTTGGCCCTGCCCTTTTTTTTTCTCCCTCTCAATATCAATCCAGCTGTACCTACTTTCCTACGTGAGTTCCACTCGACCCCGTGTTACACGAATAACGTGACATTTGCTGCCTTGCAGCCTTGTGAGACCCCTGTCCTGCATGACAACCCGCTTGCTCAACGCCTGGCTGCTTAAGCTGAGTTGAGTTGAGTTGAGCTGTTCAAAACGCTTCCCACCCCCGCCCCCTCTATTTCTTTTTAAAACCCAAATTTTTCTTCACTTAACAATCAATTCGGTATTGTTACATCCGACAAAACTTCCTTCAACATGTCATGCCACCTTTATACAACTCGCTGCACTCGGAAAATTGCCATTCCTTTTTTATTCTCTGTTTTGGTTTGTTTGTTTTGTCCTCCTTCTTTTTTAAAGAAGTAATAGTACTTTTTCCTTTTTCTTTTCTTTTTTTCTAGATCTACGCACCTACCTATGGTAAGCAAAGATCTTTACCCAAGGTAGGTCAGGTCAGGTCAGGTAGGTACCTTATGTTCTGCACAATTCAGCCTTGCGCCCATGATTGTCCAATGCTCAATGTTTACATCCCAGCCAGGTCGTCACATGGAGCGATATAACCACGGACCACGGGCAAAAAAAAGAAGAAGAAGAAGAAGAGGGGTGCGGAGAGGGGAAGCCAGCAAGTCTCACACCATATACTGGATGCCTAGATGTAATATATACCCATGTATATATAAAAAATGAAACCGTACTTGTTATTTAAAAAAAACTAATAGCCATCGAACATTATCCTAAAAAGAAGAGAAGGCAGGGTGATAAGAAGGCACGAGCACCACAGACAGGCCAGCCCACCAGTATTATCAAATAAACGGCGTTTTAAGGAGATTTTGAGGTGAGAAAAAAAAGGAACAACCGGAGAAATGGGAGAGAATTATTGGAATCTCTTCATTGTCATGGTCCTGCGTTACTCACATTTGTTCTCGCGGGCGGGCGGGCGGGCGGGCTCTTCTTTATTATCTAGTATGCCCCAGGTTATCTTTCCAAATTCTCCTCCCCGCATGTTTAACTCCCCAGAGAGGTCGTCGGGGAGTTGTGTCCCCCCGCATTTACCCCAGATTATTTTCATTGGAAGCGGGGTGTGTCGCCTCGAGCATTATGGGATGTCCAGTTTATTTTGGCTCATCGCATATGAGAATTCTTTTTTTATACTCGACTCTTGATTTTCTCTCGAAGAAAGCATATTGACAATGTTTAGTTACGGTTCAATAGGCAATCCCCGTCGCCTGAAAGTTCCATCCTCGGAAACAAGAAGCCCTGACTGCCGTCAGTCAACCTCATCCAAAACATGGACAAGTCTTCCGGAAAGTCAACGTCCAAATACGACGGAAAACTCGAAGAGGCTACGTATGGGATTCGAGGAGATCCCATATCCTTGCATCAACTCTCGTCCTCTGGCGTGGCGGCCCAGGACAAGAGAACAGAGAAAGCAAGAAAGAACCTCCTGGGAGCGGTGCACATAGAGAAAGAGAATTTGGACAAAGCCTCTACTTCGAGCTCGAAGTCCAAATAAATCATCGTTGGGAGGGTAATACTATCCAGGTTTAGAACTGTATCAGCTGGCAGAGGGCATCGGTGAAATCCATGGTGACTCTCAAGGAAGTGCGGGGCATGAATCGTTGCGCGAGTTAAACATAGCAATGCCAAACTTTGAATTAATCAGTTGCAGAGGAAAAGAAGACCCATCTCTTCTCCAGAGACCGTGTGAGGAAGAGTGAGGTAAAAAATAACGCTGTAGAAGTACAAAAAGCTAAGCCGAAGGCGGGGCTCGAACCCGCGACCTTGAGGTGATCTCTTAAGTGATTAAGAGCCACACGCTCTACCGATTGAGCTACCCCGGCTTGTTCCGTTGTTGACAGACCATGTTCAAAATGTTATATATCCTGCAAAATTAAACGTAAGACTAATCTTCTTCCTCCAAGGACTCGAATTCCTTTCGAAGACGCTCATCATAATCTTCCTTGTCCTTAGTCTTCATGACCGCGAATCCCATCACATTTGTAGATGTATAGCGCATCATGATAGTAAAAAAAGGGTTATCGTCATCCAGGTGGTTCTTAGCGAACAGCGGCTGGATATGCTCGTAAAATAAGCCGCACAAACACGAGCAACTTTGAACGGCCCAGACGAAGAAAAATGTACCACTGTCCCATGACTGTTGCATCACGGTCGAAAGTTGCAAAGAATTGTGCTTTTGTCCCTTTAGGAAATTGTCACGCCGAATCTTGATACATTCCGCTTCTTCAAGCTTCAGCGCCTGCATGAACTCCGATCGTATTGGATCGTATTCCTCCCTTTTCAAAGTATCGAGGGACCGATCAGTCAGCCACCAGGGAGGCTGGACCATCTCAATCGGATGAGAGCATGCCCATTCAAGGTCAACTAGGCAAGTGATGTTCCACTGGTCGTCAACAAATATATTGCTTTTGTGCAAATCAGTAAAGTCCAGGACAAACGGGCCTCGGCGCAGATCCCGCCGCATGAAATGAGTGGATAGAGCTCTCATTAAAGTAAGCGCGCACATCTGATACACGCAGTCAGCTTCGTGCGTTGCCCCATTTGGTTGAAAGCGCAACCGATTCTCATGGAACGATAGTAAGTCCGTCACATATGAGTCTGTCGTCGCATAGGTATAATCCCGCGGAATACCCGTGGGAATCCCTTGATTTTCGTAGTCTTGGATTTCAACATTCAATGGCCGATTCGTAAGACTCAACATACCATCATCATCGATTGTAAATGACCCGATTCGTGGCAACTCTATCCGTGCGATATCCAACAGTATCCTCGACAAACTGCGGAACAGATTGGTTCGACGCTCTGCGTCGTGCCGCTGTTCGTCCCAGGTTGTTGAGAGCATTTTTCCACGGTCGTCTTCGATATATTCGATGAGCACGTACCCTAGATCTAGCTCCTTCAGATGATGGTCGTTGGTTTGATGAGGGACATATCGCGAGGGGACTGCATATCCTAGCCACCGCCGGACTGCACAGCGAACGTTGTAGTACCAACGACAAACGAAGGAGAGGTTTCTGACACATGTGAACTGCATTAGTTAAGTCAGCAACGCATAGCATGATGATAGGAAGTCTGAGTGATGCTAGCGTACTTGCCGTCCTGTCGACAACCCAAACCCGTAAAGCTGCGGAATAGGCACCGTTGGGCAGTTTTCTTCCAGCCAAGCGTAAGTGGCAGCTTCACATCGGATTTTTTCGTCGCCATTTCCGGGACAGACTTCTTCACCGACACGGTAAGACAGAGGAAATCGAATCATAATACGCTTTTTCCAGTCTTCAATCGTCATGGGGACGCAAAGGTTGAAACTCCCATGCAGCCATTCCTGAGGCCTGGAAATGATACAGGCTGATGAATTTCCTAAGCCCAGATGATGCGCAGTTATTGCCTGGATTGACTCAGAATGACGCAGAACATGGTCGTAGAGCCTGTCTCTTTTCTCCCAATACGTTAATTTTTGGAGTATGTTGGACTCATCGTTTAGAGCAGCGGATAATGTAATCTCTTTGTTCAACAACCGACGTGTCTTGGGCATTTTGGTGAGCACATCCAAGTGTTTGGATTAGATATTTCAAGCAATTACATGAGCCTATAACTTGATGTCTGAGAAAATGAAGAAGCGAATGACGCTATAAAGATCGAAGGCTGAGAGCAGTTGCCTCGCATTGTGGAGAAGGCTGTAGCGTTTCAGGGATGTTTAGGGTGTTTAGGGTGTTTATAGACCAGGACCCTTAATTTAATCTTATCTATACCGGATCAATCAGGACGGAACGGGCCGAGTATCTTCCTGTGCAAGCGTCTCGCGTGACGCTTTCCATGGCAATGAAGGCATGAGATCAATCGCCGCATCGATCTAAACGTTTGAGGAGAAGGATATGAAAAATATTAATGTAGGTGTAAAGAGCTTTTGTCTGTCACAGTAGGAAATGAGCGGAAAGGTTGACTTATTTCGCAATTGCGTTTTCACTGAGCTCTAAGAGCAATAACTAATATCCCGAAGAAATGAATAAACAAAATGACGAAGAAAATCTACAATTATTATTTCAAGTATTCCAAAAAAAAAAAAAAAAATATCAAGAGAGCGATGTTTCTTTTTTCCCTTAAAGGAATTAAAAAATGAACCAAGTTGGATGAGGCGAAGGAGAAAAAAAAAAAAAAAAAAAAAAAAACACCAAGATAAAGAGGCTTGAAAAGCGGATGCAGCTTTGTGTTCTAGCTTTCGCCCCCGACCGCTCATGGCCGAAGTGTTTCTGTAGAGACCGTGCAGCTTCATTCACAATGACGGGTTCGAGAGATACATCTTTTCCTGCCCCCGTATATAGTTTGCAGTTTTGCAATTACGTTAGTCTCAGTCTTTCTGACAGGAAAGATTACGAGGAGAGGAGAGAAAAGTACTGTTTGTCCATTCAAAATACGATTGCCAAATGCTATATATACACATTCTTTCCCCAAAGACGCCAAATATGTTCAAGTAACCGGCCGAGCTTAATTTTAATTTTCTCGCCCTGCTCTCCACCGATCCAATGCCGCTTCCCAGCTCACACCACTATCTCCACATCGTTCAGCGATCATATCCCATGTCCGCTTCCGTATTATATTCTCTACTCCACGTTCATTACGGATCACACTGGCTAGCATCTCTGTTCGCGCCTCTCGAGGAAAATATCGCGCCGAGTATCTAAACGAATCTGAATTAGCATTTGACTCATCCAACGCACTCCTTCGAATGCTGGAACTAATATAACCAGACGAGAAGAGAATAGACATACGGATCGAGTCTCTCATCCACGACCCTCTCTCTCATTCGCTCAGATTCCACCTGCCTGGAAACAACGTCGGGATCATCCGGGTCGGGACTTGTCGCCACCCCTGCGCAGTAATTCAACACATCCGAGCGATTTTGCCATGACTGGAAAAGGACTCTATCTTTGAAACCATCACATGCAGATGGGTCGATGATGCGGCTTCGAGGAGGCGTTGTTTGCCGGGATGCAGTTGATGAGGGGTTGAACCCAGCTCGCGAAGGAGTAACTAGCGCATTGAGATTCTGGGCAATAGAATCATCGATTGTAGAACGGGATATTCTGAGGAAGTCTGCAATAATATTAATTTCCTTGACTCTATGAAAAAAGGCACTGCGGAAAAGCTGCGCGGTGGTCGTTTAGAGGGTTGGAAGATTGGTCGCTGAAGCATGTAACAGCGGGATGAAACATCCAGTAAATTGGACTGTGGGATAGTAGAAACAGCCACCGCAAAAAAGAAAAACAACGGCACTAACCTCTTAATGCAGTCTGATTGAAGCAAAATTGGGGTGTCAATTGGGGTTGTCCCGGAGGCTGTGACATATTTGGATCCGCCAGAGGCGTCGTGGGTCTTGCAGCCTCCGGCTTATTCTTAGTCCAGAATAATCCCGCCAACGTGGAAACGGTTATTTTAGAATACTAGCTTGGACGTTAAATTAAAAAGGATTGAGGTTATAGGAATGGTGGCGTCTGCGGATGGCACTGTATCTGAGCATGAGCATAGAGTTCCCCAGATCAGGCGGTTATGGCGATAATCCATGACGCACGTGCTTACGTGACGCGACAGAGTGCAGCTATGACATCCGAGACGCGACGGCGCTTAACGGCATCTACAAAACGTGAAAACAACACAACGGCGAGGCCAGTCTACAGAAAACATCATTGATTTCAAGAACTTTTAAGGTCCTCTTTGTCTTCCAATTATTTACCAATTGAGCCCATCTCGTTGTCAGCTGTGGTCTCTCTGGCACTTTCGGTTTGCTGAATCTGGCGCTTTCGCGCAGTCCTTCCACGGTAGTCTTGCTTAAGAAATCTCCGTGTAAAACCGATAATCATGCCTGAGATTGGCGAAGTCAGTCTAGAATTTCAAATCTTCATGTCTTAATAATTTCTGACAATTTATTCTCAGGTCGCTCGCATTGTATCCTACCTGAGGAAATACCTCGTCGGAAGGACAATCTCAGCTGTCAAAGCCCAAGACGATCCCATAGTTTTCGGAAAAGTCGGCACGTCTGCTTCTGAATTCAAAGATGCAATAACCGGAAAGAAAGTCATAGATGCTGGGCAGCAAGGGAAATACTTCTGGTATGCCAAAGTCGAGGATAAATCACGTGTCACGTTTTCAGCTAACTCAAAAGGCTCACAATGTCGTCTCCGCCGCATATCTGCATGCATTTCGGAATGAGTAAGTAGAAACGGTTGCTTTAAAGTCGGAGAGAGACGTTGACAAAGCTTAGGCGGATGGATCAAATTCTCAAATGATGACACATCTTATTACAAACCGACAAAGCCGGAAGAAAACGAATGGCCTCCAAAATACTGGAAGTTTATATTACAGCTCAAGGAAGACCCAGATTGCGAAGTAGCATTCATTGATGCTCGGAGGCTGGGCCGTGTGCGATTGATTGATTGTGACGCAGCCAACATAAGAAAATCTACGCCTCTAAAAGAGAACGGTCCCGACCCGGTCATCGACAAGGACATCCTGACCCTTGAGTGGCTTACCAAGAAAATGCGGAGCAAAAGAGTTCCCGTGAAAGCTCTGTTATTGGATCAAGCTAACATTAGCGGTGTTGGCAACTGGGTCGGGTTAGTTATGTCCTTAAGAATAACAATCATCACAAAGTTCAGCCAATATTGACTCTAATACAGGGACGAGATTCTTTATCACGCCAAAATCCATCCAGAACAGTACAGTAACACTTTCAGCGACGCGCAGCTGAAGCAATTACACACTTCCTTACTTCACATTTGCTCGGTGGCTGTAGAGACCGGGGCCGAGTCTGGCAAGTTTCCGGAAGATTGGTTGATGAAGCACAGATGGGGTAAAGGGAAGAAGGACAAGGACAGACTTCCCAACGGGGAGAAGATTGTTTTCCTCAAGGTCGGTGGCCGAACCAGCGCTGTAGTGCCGAGTGTGCAGAAAAAGACAGGTCCAGTTGCTGGCGATGTCACTGGGAACAGCTCAAGCGGGCAGCAAAGTCCCAAGGAAGAGGAGGAGTCAGCATCGGAGGAGGAGAAGAAAACTTCCAAAGCCGCTAAAGCTTCAAAAGCGACTGCATCTAAGAAACGAGAAGCAACCGTAAAGAAGGAGAGCGATAACGCCAAAACAAAGCGAAAGGGTCCCGTGAAGGAAGAGGAAGAGAATGACGAAGACCAGACAAAAGCGAAGAAGGCGAAGACGTCCGCTGCCAAAGGACCCAAGGAAGAAGCGCCCGGAAGGCGGAGGTCTGCTAGAGTGAGCGGCAGAGGAAATTAAGATGACCGGGTAGAGCCAAGCCCATATTTTCTTTACTTTCCATGCCAGTAGGTAGTCGGTTCATGCTTCGTTCGGCTGAATATTTCACTGGAGATGTTTAGTATATCTTTCTGTCATGGTATAATTATCATCTTATACGACTTTCATTACCTTATTCGACCTAATCTTTTGTAATAAAGGAACATCGGAAAAATTTACAAGCTGCTCAGAGGAATTCATGCCCTGTGTTCTAATCAAAGCATACCTATTTGCTGCGTAAAGCATGGAGCTGTGAATGCCCCTTCCAGTTAGCTTTGCCATGTCGGGTATGGCTCTCGGATAGCTACCGCGGCCGCTAACCCCACAGCTATAAGAGCCGATCTTTCGCTGCTTTAGCGGTACGGAGTAAACTATTCGAACGACGACGACCCCTCGTCAAGGGCGATTTCACAAATCCAACCAACTGTCCTTTTGGAAAACACATTCTGGGTTGAGTCTTGGAATTGCGTGGTATGTGGACGCTTCCTGGCGATGCTTGAAATAAATCGACCAAATTGCAATGCAAATATGACTCAGATATCCATGAATCACCCTTTCTCACCAAATTTGGCTGCTTACAAGTATTTCATTTCTCCAAATTTTGCACGTCTCAACTATCAGAAGCCGCACCCGGGCACACAGGAGGGAGAAGTTAACGGCGTCACTGGGTGGGGATAATGGCAAATTATTCTTGGAAGATACTGTCAGCCATGGCGTGGCCTATCGCATCTCTTTCTCCAACGGTCGACCAATCAAAAGTCGCTCACCAAGCCAATGGTTTCCTTTAAACTTTTGTCTCTTAATTTGACTTGGTGCCCGAGAAGCTCACGGACGGGAAGAACCTTGCGCTCGATGTCTTGCCGCATCTGGATACGGTGTTCGTCGACCCGGTAACAAGGCATTTTACAGGGCAGCCGAAAAGCCTTAAGAGAGGCCTGGGACACAGATGCGGCTAGCCCACCTGACATAGGTGTTACAGGAAGAGTTCGCGATGCACTCGCAGCATGTTCTTGCCGCGGAGACTTGTTTTGCTTGGCTCAATTCTGACTCGTTTGAAGGCGAGTGGAAGAGGCGCGATAATGCCGTTGACTGCTTCTATCACTTTTGAGGCTTCTCCGAAAGTGGTCCACTTCGAGTACGACCGATTGCAAATTCTGATGCTCACTGTGTGTAATTACATGGTTGGTGCAATATGAAAAGGCACGACATTCTAGGGGACTAATTTTGTAAACTTTTCAGGTCTCGCTAAATTGATACGCCCAGGGGATATTTTTAAACTTTCCATCTCGGCACGAGATGTGATGGTATTTTTATCACTACCCCTCCAGGGCGCCTCATCAACCAATGCAGTGGCCAGTCGCCCCGTTGCGACTTAGTTCACCAAGCATGCAATACCTCACGTGGCTGTCTCCAGTCTTGAAGATCCGATGGGCACCCATTCATTCGGTGTTGGATTCTCAGACCTTGTCACAAGGCACAGCCCGAATTGGGCGTCTAACAGCTGTACCTTGAGCCAGTCGAAGGATGAGAGAACGGATTTGATGTCCTGATGAGAACGAAGCTCTTTTGCCAGGCCATGGCCCTGCCAAAAAAAGACGGCATCTGAACCAATCAGTTCGAATGTAACGGTGTCGTCCGTGACAATTTCAACTAATTTTAGTGGCCGGGCCGGCGTGTGGCTTGCGCCTGTGTTTCATCTGTTGTTATTGACCTTAACTGACGACGATCTCCTGCCGTTGCCATCCTTCTGGCCTCATCACATCTCTTAGCTCAATCGAACTTAAAGAAAGTCAGGACCTCTTCGGAAGCAAACTTGATCGTCTCTATGAACCTACCAAATCGGACAGTTTGATTCTGAGAATGAATATGGACGACAAGCTAGCCGCCGGCTTCGATTATCCCTCTGGGCCTCCGAAGACTCGGGAGACTGCGGACCTGGTCAACTTCCCAACCCCGCCAGGCTCTCCGCCTCAAGAAAAATCACATGCAAATAGTACTTCTGCACTTCTCACTCCTCCACCAAGCCCTGTACAGAAGGCGTCGAATTTGATTGTAAACGCCGAAAGGACCGATAAAGAGAAACCCTGGATCGATGCGGCCGCCTTGAAGACCCGTCTGGGTCTTGGTAATTGGAAATGTGGCTCTAAAACAAAAACAACAGGCGCTCCTTGTAAAAATCCTGCACGAGGAGAGCATAAAGAGATTGATCTAAAGATTGTGGCTCTGACAACTTTTACGAAGTCGTCGCCGGAACTCGAGGACAAGTTGAGAAAACTGGTTGGGCTCGTACACTGTAAATGGCACGTGGACCCGAAATGGAAAGAAGATCGTGTTGAACGTTGGACGTCTGTATTTCCTCCTGGAGCCGACGGTACTAAGCCATACATGGATATTGGAAAGCAGATAAGGAAAGCTTTAGGTCCCATTACTCCCTGCTGCATAGTGGAAAAAGGACTAGGGAAAATCTGCGAATTAGAAATAGGGGGACAGAAGGTGCAGAACTGCCAAAGGACGGTTCAAATGATTGTCGAACAAGAAATCTACAACAGAAAGGATGTGTATCTGGACTATCTCCTCAGAGTCCTTGAGGTAAATCAATTCTGCGTCGCGCACAAGAAGTACCCTCTTAAGAACTGGGAATCACGGAAGGCGAGCATTGTCGAGATTCTCAAAAATTCTGGTGCAGAGCTCGTGGAGCCAATTGACGATAATACACCAGAGACCGCTGACCATCCGGGTGGTTCGTCCCCATGCCAAGGGACTGAAGCTACTTTAACCAGCCAAGACAAAGACAACTCAAAGAAACACATCGTTCCCACATCGACGCGCTCGCGATTCGTACCTCCAGACCTCGAGAAGGATCCAGCGGACTTTTGGCCCGCAGAATACGATATCACTCCCTTTGATATTATTGAAAGGAGTAGTCAACTGTCAAATTATAAGTCTTCGTATGAAGAAGTTCGGAAGCAAATGAGGGAAGAATTGGACTCCATAGACAGGGAAGATGGATACGTGTATCTGTACGAGGTGGAAGGGAACAACGAGTTCGTTAAAATTGGATATACTGGCCGCACTCCCGACGTGCGTCATGAAGAGTGGGAATTTACATGCAACCGTGTTCCTAAAGCTCTGTATCCTGTTCCATTCGATCCTAAAATGAAAGTTCCAAATGCTCGTCGCGTTGAGGCTTTGTGTCATGCCGAGCTCCGTCATCGCCAAATCAGACACTACTGCAAGCTCTGCGACAAGCAGCACCTCGAATGGTTTGAAATATCTCCGGCGGAGGCAATTGCAATCATTCGGAAATGGTCCGAATGGATGAGAACCCAACCATATCGGTTGCTAAGCCTGAGGAACAAGGATATGTGGATTCTCAAGCACGAGGAACGAGCAAGATCTTACAACATGGATAAATTCATGAAGGAAACATCGGAGCTGATTGGAAAACAAGAGCGTGCGGTATCAACCTCGAAGAAATAGGATGCAACCTTCAAATCTCTCTGCCGGAGTTCTTCCTCTGCGAAATCGGCCGCCTTTAGCGCAACATAGATGGCTACGTCCCCGGATGTCATTGCGGAGGATAATAACAGCAACGAACCAATCATCAAATTGTGAAGCGACCGTCCGCTATGGTCTTTTACCTTCATCCTGCTTGGTTCGCGTCTTGGCAATAATTTTGAAGCGTACATTGTTCCGTTTTTGTTTCCGAGTCGATTACAATGTTTCTTTTGCAACTTCAATATTGATAATGAGCGCTTCAAGTCCATTCTCAGAGTCTCAGAAAAACTTATGATTAACGAATTCAACGTCTTTGTCTTCCAACCGCACCGCAGGCCGCTACACATCCCAACGTACACAATTCATCTTCACAATCAACATCTTTGCTCCGGTAGACAAACTCTCTCTCACAAAAACCTCTCAAAGGAGAAACTGCAACTCTTTATCATTGTTCTAAAACCAATCCAGGGCTTGGTCCTGCGCCATGCAATGACCAGCTTTGCAACCCTCACATAAATCTCTATTATGCGGGGCTTTGCTTTTCTCATAGTGTTCAACCCGCTTCATCTGTATTCCACTCCACCTTTTGAGCCAATATGCGACCCGCTCCGCGTATGACTCATCCAGACGCGGTCGGCTGAGGCTGTTGCAGCTCCGGCAGCGTTGGTGATATACCCTTGCATTGTATTTCCCCCCTCGGTACATCCGTATCGTAATGGCAATGCACTTGCTTGACCACCCGCTGGAGCCACATTTGGGGTTGCGGCAAATAAATCGACCCATAATTTTACTGTCGAATTCTTCGTCAGGAATTTTCGTATCGTCGTCGACGTTGTGGAAATCGAAGTAGAGATCCTCTTCTTCTAATAGGTGCGTTACGCTTTCGTGGAGTGCCGGATACATGGACCATGGTTTTATTGGCTTAGGTTTGGGTTTCAGTTTCGATTTTGCTTTTGGTTTGGGATTTGGATTTGGAGTTGGAATTGGAGTTGGAATTGGTTTTGTTTCTGGGTTTGGCTCTGGCTTTGGTTTTGGTTTTGGTTTTGTTGACGACGTTTGCTTTTTAGTCGGCATCTGGTGTTCGTAAGAATTGTGTGTCGTGTGTCGTGTTTTATCCGTCCTTACCTTTTCCCTTTTCCCTTTTATTCTTGATCGTGTTTTGGCAATAAGGTACGGTAGAGCCGATGAAAGGGTTATATCGTTCACACAATGTCTACAAATTACAATGTCAGTAGGGAGATAGTGACATTAGACATACGAGGTAGAGCTCGGGCTTCGGCATACAAATAAAACTAAGTTTGTGAACGTACTAGGTATATCGAAACCTCATTTCACCATGATACAATTGTACTGTTTATTGTTAGTAGCGGCAAGGACTCGATATATACCTAGTGATGATATAGACAGAAGAGCGAAAGGAGGTACGTTGCGTAATTCTTGCCCATAAGTTTGTTTGCTCCCAGCCTTCGAGGCAGCAAGGCAACGAGGCAACGAGGCTGAGCGAGCGTCATGCATGGAGTGCAGCATGCAGCATGTCCCCTGGGCACTGGGACAGCGGCACATCGGCATAGCAGCACAGCAGCCAGCTCATCAAAATGCAATTATGCAAACTTATGAACAGACGTGGCTCAAGTTCTCAACAGAATGTACGGGCCGCGGGCCGCTCTGAAAGCAGCACCCAGCAGCTAGGCGCCAGGCGACTATCAATCCCAGTCTCCCAGGGGCCAGGGTGCGTTAAGTAGCTCGAGAGTCACTCGCAAAATGAGGCAAAAGTGTAATTGACTGCTCGTAACACAGGAGCGCATATTTATACTGTTTTCACGACTTGGTCGGTATGGAGTGATGGCTGAGATAGGGAAAAGAATTAATCAATTGTATATGGTCGTTGATTCTTTGGGTTCAAGTGCAAAGGATTTAATTGTTATGCTGTCTAAACTTCAAGTTTCATTTATAGAGAATAGAAATGCTTCGCCATTTACAAGGTTGTAGGAATCTATAGAGGTTAGATTTCCCTGGAGCGCAAGTGGGATCATGTATTCTACTTGGTTGAGGTTTAGAATTCTCCTCCGGGAAAAAATCTCGATCGAGGATGGAGGGGTTATGTCGTATGAGGGTTTGATATTGAATAAAAGGGAGGTGACAATGGCCACATACTCGATACTTTGGAACAAATCAGACTCCTGCGAGAAGTTTATCATAATTTGTCAAAAATGAAACATTGAAACCTCAGCCATTGTGCCAGAGCGGTGGTGCCAGAGCCAAGTGCCGTTGAAGACCATTGGATAAGTCGACGATCCAAGGCTGTTTCATTCTCTTTTATTTCCTGAGACAGTTTGGATGTTCGCAAGTCTATGGTAGGTATACGTAGAGTCAGGATCGTGTTTCAACGTGGTTATAATTTACTAGACATCGACAGTTCGTGGACGTATGTCTTCTGAGCGCCCCAACCTTGAAAGTGTATTAGAAAGCTCCAGGGCAGCTGGTTTGAATCAGGCAGATGGATGAGGTGAGATTATGCCTTCTTGCGAAGAGCCTAGTTGCTCCCAGGATTGACAACTATTAAAAGAGTTTCCACCAAGCTCACCAGACCGGGCTTTACTCCACTGGGAGAGAGGTCAGGCAACGTTCCATCCAGACATACTGGAGGCCAAGTATCAAATGGATCATAGACAGCCTGCGTAGCTCTTCTTCTGTCGAGCAGTCTCTGACCGCACGCCATCGTAGGCCCGAGCAATACACGGAAGCCAGAGATCAATCGTCGTGAGAAGACAATGCTAGAACAAGACCCGCCTGGCGGCATTGATCCCGCTAATATCCCATTTCTGCGGGGCAGTCCGTTCCATCCATATTGACCAGTCGTCCCAGAAAGCCGGCCTTAGAATCTGCGCATATTCCCAATAATCCGGATACCATCCTGCGAATTCCCAGTCGAGAATGCCAGTGACTTTTTTCTGCTCGTCAATCATAATATTGCGAGGCGCTATATCAGCGTGCGTGAACACAGTACAGTCAGACCGCGGCAGCATGTCAGGTAATTTATGTTCATATCGACGACCTGCAAAATGCAAATATCGCTCGAAAATGCGAGCTTGCAGGTCTGAATCTTTCGTCAGGGGCCGAGCCGGGTCTTTCAGGTCACGAAGCAATGGGTCCCTTGATGGAGTGCCATCGGCAGCACATTGGACAAGATCTCTGAGCTCTGGTGGACGTGGAATAGCTCGTATCTTGGAAACCATATCCCAGATTTGTAGACAAACAGACTCTTTGCTCTTCTCGTCCAATGTATCCCACTTCTCCTTTAGAGGAGATCCTGGAATACGACTCATCTCAATCCTCCCGTTGTCGGGGCGAAAATCCGTGTAGAACACTTCAGGCAAAGGAACAGAGGTGTGCTTTGACACAAGCCTCATTGCTTCAGCCTCAGCAGGTCGCACTCCACGCCCAGATTTGGTCACGTAAGAGAAGTCATACTCAAGAACGATCCTGCCCATCTGTTTGCTGAGAACGATAAGGATCTCTTGATCTGGGGCAAGATCTGAGATATTTAGGGATGATGGACATGGGAACAAGACCCTGCCCTTTTTGATGTATCGGTCCCCTTCTTGGAGATTTTGCGTTTTGAAAGGAATACCGCCTGAAGCATCGGTCATCCCGTGATTAAGTTTGGGAATACCGGCAATAATCACATATTTTCTTTTAATTCATTTGAGCACAGGGAAAAGGAAAGTACTCGAAAGCCCAGGTATAAATATAACATCCTTGACCACTAAGCGAAACAGTATAGAATGCCGCTTCCCAAAACAGATCTCATGGAAATCAACCTTGAATAACTTGACAACAAGAAGAACTATCAAGAGAATCCAGTCGTCGCTCCGAGAGCAGGAATATACGATTTGACAAAGCCTGGCGAAAAAAAATTGAATATCATCCCAGTTTCTGCACGATTTGCAAACCACATATCAAGGTTAGTGTCAACGGTTTCCACATTAGTCCGGGAAAGTTGGAAACTGATGCTTAAGAATCCCAGAAAATGAGCTACTATCCGACTTCAACTACCTCCGTACAGACTGTTGGTCTGAGGGAGGTATGCGAGGTTAATGGTCGTGGCTTCTGGAGGAGAAAAGGCACTCAACAATGGATCGAATATGATCCCGGGAACCTTTCTCTGCCTCCCGCCGAGGCTCAGCCTCTCTACCTCTCACTTGTTCAAGAAGCACAGGGTGAAGGTGAACCTCTACACTGGGCTCTCCACGTCGGCTGCGAAAATCAGCCTGGTTCGGAGTATCAAGTTACTGGAGACGCAGAATGCATGGTATACCAGCCAGCAAATGATGCCGACATAACGAACTCTGAATCTTTTTTGAACCTGTATCAACTGGCTGTTGTGACTGAGGAGCAAGCTATGGTGGTGAAACAAATTGCAGACAGCGAACCACCTCCTCGAGCTCCCAACCGGCAATCTGTCACAGAGAACTGCCAAGGGTGGACGGTGCGAGTTATTGCCAAGTTGGTTGAAAGAGGAATCGTGCCAAGTGGAAAGCTTCAAATGGCAAGATCTATGATGCAGCCAGTTTGAGGCAGATAGTGGACCGCAGCCATTGACACGAATTAGACAACAATCTCCTTTTCTCTTCAACTCTCCAATTTCTTTTCTTTCATGGAGAGAGATTGTCTAAGCTACAGGGCTCAATAGAGTCGATACTCTTTTGCCAAGACAACGATTTTTCATATCCTGACTTTTGTACTCTGTTATGCGATCCTAATTACTAGAAGAATCAAGCAAGAGATGTGAAGCAATTTGTGAAAATTCAAAAGCAACACGCAGGTAGTACCGTAGTAGTGCAAATTGATATATTTTGATTTTGCTAAAGCAGCAGCGTTTCCACCGGGCTAAGGAAGTGAAGATGCAGCCCATGAATAGGCCTGGTTGCAGTCATTGTCAATGTCAATTTCACCGGTTCTCACATTTTATATGTAAAGGTATGTGATCTGTGTGGGATGATCTCATGGTGTTGAATATCCATCGTGGGGCTCGGCAAATGCCGATGTCAGTGCAAATTGAAGGTCGATTCACGCCGACAGATTGCGCTGCAACAGCGATTATCCGCGGACTCAAATCGTCATAATTCGCTTCCTCGAAACCTCAATCAACCCACAGAGCATTTGCGCAATTGCCCGTCAAGCAGCAAGTAGCTCAATCTCTCAGTATACCAATCCTTAATTTGGTTTTGGTGTCACTGACCGCACACTTCCGTCTCTTTTGGCTGCTCGTGTGAGTGTTGTGGCAGCGGAACTCCAGTCCACACTTTTTTCCCCCGTAACTTTTGGCGGCAGCTTGCAGCAAGCTTCTTGTCAGCATGCCGCAGATACTAAGCCCCAAGGATGCTTCGCTCTTTCGGCAAGTCATTAAACACTATGACGCCAAGCAGTACAAGAAAGGTTGGTTGGGAATCGTAACGGAGTTGTGCGAATCACCGAGGCTCAAAAGATGAATAGGTATCAAAACCGCGGAACAGATCCTCCGAAAAAACCCCCAACATGGCGACACTTTGGCTATGAAAGCCCTCATCTTGAACGCACAAGGCAAGAATGATGAGGCCTTCCCTCTCGCCAAGGAAGCCCTTCGCAATGACATGAAATCACACGTCTGTTGGCACGTCTATGGGCTTTTATGGAGAGCAGAGAAGAACTTTGAGGAGGCCATCAAGGCTTACAAGTTTGCGCTGAGATTGGAGCCCGAGTCACCACAAATTCAGCGTGACTTGGCCCTGTTGCAGATGCAGATGAGAGACTTCCAAGGATACGCTACGAGCCGAAGAGCAATGCTCCAGGCCCGCCCTCAGATCAGATCGAACTGGACGGCAATGGCCATTGCGCACCACCTCGCTGGCGAATATACGGAAGCAGAGAAGGTTTTGACGACATACGAGGAGACCCTGAAGTCGCCCCCCTCAAAGACCGACGTGGAGCATTCGGAAGCTGTCCTATATAAGAACACCATCATTGCTGAGTCTGGCGACCTTGAGCGCGCATTGAAGCATTTGGAATCGATTTCCAAGACAAACCTAGACAAGACCGCTGTCATGGAGATGAGAGCAGACTACCTTTTGCGATTGGACCGCAAGTCGGAGGCGGAGAAGGCTTACAGGGAATTACTGGATCGCAACGCCGATTATCGGCCTTACTATGATGGTTTGGAGAAAGCCCTTGGCCTGGACAAGAACAAGGACAAGCAGGCACTGAAGGAGCTATACGACGAATATGCCAAGAACAATCCCAGAGGAGACGCCCCCAAGCGAGTACCTCTGGACTTTCTCGAGGGTATGGACTCTTCTCCCAAGTCCGCAGAAACAAAGTGAATATGCTAATTTTAACAAGGCGACGATTTCCGAGATGCTGCCACTCAGTACCTCCACTACAAGTTGAGCAAGGGTGTCCCCTCCTGCTTTGTCAACATCAAATCTCTTTACACCGATGATTTTAAGAAGAACACCATCCAGGACATTGTTGAAGGCTTTGCTAATGGCAAGGGTGTCCGTGAGACAAATGGATCCGTCGAGGACAAGTCTGAGGAAGACGCGAACGCGTTCAAATCCGCAGTCCTCTACTTCCTTGCCCAACACTACAACTATTACCTGAGCCGTGACCTTCAGAAAGCCACGTCCTACATTGACCAGGCTATTGAGCTTTCGCCCAAATCGGTTGATTTCCACATGACCAAGGCTCGGATATGGAAGCACTATGGTAATACACAAAAGGCGTCGGAGACAATGGAGCAGGCGCGCACGTTGGATGTCAAGGACAGATATATCAACACCAAAGCAGCTAAATACCAGCTGCGGAATGACGAAAACGAGGCTGCGTTGAAGAATATGAGCAAGTTCACCCGGAATGAGACAGTTGGTGGCCCCTTGGGCGATCTGATAGACATGCAATGCATGTGGTATCTGTTGGAGGATGGCGAGTCGTACTTGCGCCAGCAGAAGTTCGGGCTGGCATTGAAGCGCTTCAAGACCATTCATGACATTTTTGACGTCTGGCAAGAAGATCAGTTTGACTTTCACAGTTTCTCCCTTCGAAAGGGCGAAATCCGCGCATACGTGGACATGCTGAGATGGGAGGATACCGTACGATCGCATCCCTTCTACTCCCGGGCTGCTCTATCGGCTATCAAGGCCTACACTCTTCTGCATGATCATCCCAAACTTGTAAACGGCCCGCTGCTGGATGGTGTCGATGGTGACGATGCCGAAGCTGACAACGCTGATGCTGCGGAGCGCAAGAAGGCCCAGAAGAAGGCTAAGAAGGAGCAACAGCGCCTCGAGGCTGAGAAGGAGGCTGCGAAGAAGCAGCAGCAACAACAAAAGTCTACCGCTGGTGCCGATGGCGAAACAAAGAAAGAGGACCCAGATCCGCAGGGTACGACTCTTGTGCAGACCAAGGAGCCGCTCAAGGACGCAGAGAAGTTTTTGAATCATTTGCTCGAGTTCAGCCCCAAGATTATTCGTGCACAGACTGCAGGATTCGAGGTTTACATTCGGTTAGGTAAGACATTTCTGGTTTGATTTTTACCAATCAAATGGTGAAGCTAATCTTTGTTCCCTGTTTAGGAAAATACCTGCTCGCTTTGAAGTGTCTCATTGCGGCTTCAAAACTGGATTCTCAAGACCCTGTTCTTCACGAGCAGATTATTCGCTTCCGCAAGACTCGTAAGTCACACTAAGATATCAGTCGATCTCATGACATTGGATATTACACGTTGATGCCGTGCATTCGAGATGGCAGATTATTTTCCAGACGGGCGCAGCTAACTGTTGTAATAGTTGACTCTCTCTCCGAGCCCCTTCCTCCTCAAGTCTCTTCTGTGATCGACGCAGAACTCCCTACTCTTCTACCAAAGGATACGGATCTCGCCAAATTTAACGAGCAGTTCCTCGCCCGGCATGCTCAGAGCGCAGCTCACATGCAGGCTGCCTTGCAAGCCCGCCGCGTGCTGAATCCGGATGCCAAGGCTGACATTGAAAAGTCACTCTCTGATACTCTAGCGCTTCCCAACATCACTCTTGAGCAGGCACAAGAAGGTCTTGCTACTTTGAAAAGCTGGGCTGCCGACAAGACCAAGCGGGAAGCTTACGTGCAAGCGGCAGCAAAGCGGTGGCCTGAGGCGTCTGCATTCCAGAGCGCATGACTTGTGAAAAATCAGCTGGGATGAAAGAGGGGACCTTGCATTTCAAAAGGTGCATTGTCTAAATAGCATTGTTTGGATTTCTTTTTCGTAGAGGGTGTGAAAGAGTACAATACACAAAAGTTGTCACCAGCCGTGATGTCCCATTTAAGGTTTCAGTAGGGGCGGAGATTGAGTTGCAAAATATCTTCTGTGGTTTGAACGAAAAGTCCCAGAGCGGGTGTTTCGACATGTTCTGCGTGTATATAACAAGTCTTTCGCTTATATAAACAAAAGAAATATGTTGTCGGACATGCTGTATTTGGTATAGCATTTTTAAAAGCACAATCTCATTGGGGGACTTTTGCGGTCTTTACCACTTTTGAACTTTTCACCGCCTTGTGACTGACATTTCACGTAGCGCTGCAGAGGTACAACTGACACAATAAAAGTCTCTTTGCCCTCTGCATCTTTCTTTACTCCATCGCCGCTTCAAGCAACTGGCATGTCCAGTCCAGTTTGCATCGTGTCTGTCGGCACGACGAAATACCGCTCATAGATTGCGTGATGCCGACCACTTTCTTACTGTACTCTTGCGGCCCGAGTAACCAGATGACCGAGAGATGGTGGGACTGCTTTTCTCGCTGTTACTCTGTACTCGTAGCGTCTCGCTTTCGCTATATCCGCTCGGGATGGCACAATCGCGCGTTCTCGCAACCAAACTCTACGTTGCCTTCCTGTCCTCAAAGAGTTTACTCACGGGGACACTCTCGGCGTCGGAGCGCACTGCGCACGCAAGAGGGTAATCTTTCAACGCAATAATGGACTGGATAGTGTCTTGCCTTTTTTCTTCTTTCTTTTTGGTCGAGTAGTCTGGAATATGACTATGACTACTTTTCAGTCCTTTCATTTCCTTTTCTTCTTTCTTTCTTTCTTTCTTTCTTTCATTCTTTTTGCTTTTCCTGTTTCCTGAATCTGCTTTATTTCCCAAACGCGCTGAATATTAAACCTTGCACAGAAAATCACCTGTGATTTTCCAATTTCTTTCTTATTTATTCATTTGGGAATCTCTTTTTGTCTAGGTGCAGATTTCTTATCTTCAACTCTTGCGCTACTGCACTCTGGACTGGCAAACACCAAGTGTGGGCAGTGTCTAATTCAGAAACCACTGTTTCTGCGGGCTTTCTTATCCTGTGTCCCGATCACAAATTTCCGACATCCGCCCATCAGCAGATCCCATAAACTCCACAACATTATTTATTTCCTAGAAATCTCCAGTATCTCAAGGTCCTATTCGTCGCTCTTATCGAATTGCCTTTTTGGGACTAATATTCCAACCCTGCAGGTCGCAACGTTTGGGAAATTTAGTGTCCAAACGATCTACAGTTTCTTCTCAATCCGCAAAGTCAGGGCGGAAATTATCTTGTTTGTTTTTTCTTCGCAATAGCACACCATTGGTTGTGCCGTTTATTTCCCTTTCTTATCTAGTTTTCATTGCAGAGTTTGCTCTTTGATTTTGTCCCTGCTTCTTATTATACGAAGCAGCTTGGTGGGTCTTTACTTTGTTGGGTCGCATTGGAGTAAATTTCATCGTCTCAATTCTTTTATAAACCGGACGTTGACCGTTGGTTTATAAATTACCAGAGAAGGAAAAGCAAAAGCAAAATACCAAGGGAAACCCACGACAATTGCTGTTTACTATCAGTCTTTGGCAAAGTACATCTCTGCCGCTTTTCAAGGGAAAAGAAATCGACCTTTCTGCCCCATTACAGCACATTGGAAATAGAAAAAAAAAGAAATACTCAGCATCTACCGATATTCAACATGACTGTCGAAGTGGACACGTTCAAACACTACGCCAATTCTGGCGTCAGCATTTCCTTTTCAAAACAACAGCAACTCTCTTCTCCATCAACTTCTCACAACGGCTCCACCCCCGCAACAACCACGAGTTATCAAATCGAAGAATCCGTACGAGCAGCAGACTTTACGTCTCAATCTGACAACAACAACAACAACAACAATGTCATCGCCATTTCACCTTACTCCGAACCGGGACATCTTCTCGACCTCAGCTCTCTTGAAGCACCATCTCAGTATCTCGCCAGGGCACTCACACACCTCAAAGCCCTGCGTCCAGATTACGCTACTGCCCCGTATCTCGATACTTTCAACTGGGGCGAGGTCGTGCGGATTGTCCAGCAATTGGCGGAGCAAGACGGATACACGCCTGAGTTGCGTGCCGAGCCTGAGAATGGCAGTGCCGCGAACACAACTACCAAAACGCATATAAGCGGTCCAAAAGAATGGTCCTTTTACATTGTCGCCTTCCGATCACGTGTGCCCGTGGGCACTGACCGAACGGAGATTTACCAGTTGGACGCCATTGCGCATCGCGAGGCCATGGAACGTGGTGGCCTACTCAAGTATTGGTACGGTGTTCCGGACGTGAATGGCAGGAATCTGGCAACCTGTATGTGTATCCTTTATTTCTCACGTAGTTTATATCACCTCCCGTTGTCTTTATTTATTCTATTTTTTGTTGTATTCATTTTATTTTTTTTGTCTTGCACCTTTCTTCATCACACTTTTCTCATTTTCTCCGAATGCACATAACTAACACCGTCAAGGCCTATGGCGCTCCCGCGCCGACGCTAAACGCGGCGGCTCCGGCCCCGGCCACCAGCGCGCCATGCGCGTCACGATGCGGCACTACACCGAGTGGGACCTCGAGCGGTACCGTCTGAGAATTACTCCTCAGGTACCTGCCCCTGCTCCTGCCGCTGATAGTACACCTGATGGTGAACCCAAGACGAAACTGACCTGGAAATGGGACGTCTCCAAGTGGCATGACCATGAAGAGGAGTAAGTCCGGTCATGTCGATCCATGATTGATTTTGTGTATCGGTGTATCGGGTTACTTTACACATTTTCTTTGTTGATCCTTATTGGGATATCATTTTCCTTGTTGGCTGTCATAGAGCGTGGTGTCTTGGAGTTTGTTTTTCTCATTTTATTTTGTTTCTTTCTTCATTTTTTATTTTATTTTATTTCTTCATTTTGTTTTATTCTTCTTCTTACCTCTGGGTCGTCCGCGGCGTACCCATTCCACCCATCAAGCATCATTTTCAACTTTCCAGCATCAACTTTCAAGCTTCCATCTAGCCAGGCCAGGCGTGTTATCGGCGTGGGCGCAGCGTCGACTTGATTAGCCATCGTTTGTCTGTTATTTCATTTCATTTCATTTTATTCTATTTTCATTTTTTTTCTTTCTCGACAAATTCATCATTGCCCGTATACATTGCGCATTTACATCGCACATTTACATTTTACAATACGCTAGATGAATGTCTTTGGTCTGCAATTCTGCGATTCTGCGATTCTGCAGGTCCTGTTCGGCGCGGACACATTGTCGCGAATCCATTTCCATTTCCATTTCCATTTCCATTTCCATTTCCATTTCCATTTCCATTTCCATTTCCATTTCCATTTCCATTTCCATTTCCATTTCCATTTACACTTACACTTACACTTACACTTCAAACATCACTCGTCATACTTCATACATCATACACCATTCATCTTACGTCTTTCGCCCTCTATGGTATATAAATCTAGATATCTAGCAGAAATTTAAAAAATAAAAAAAAAGATATTCTATAAAGCGGCCATCAAAAAAACGGACCATTCTACTTATGTCTTCTATGGTATATAAACCTAGATATCTAGCAGAAATTTAAAAAATAAAATAAAGGGGTTATTCAGTAAAGCGGCAATCAAAAACGCTATTCAACAAAGACGCAATCTCACGATTGGATAGCAGTACTATAGAGATATGGTCTACGATAAATATATCTCCGGATCACAACTAGGTAAGCTATGTCCAATTCCAGTGACATGCAGCGTATGTATGAAACGGGAGGAACAAGTACTTTGTTGTAAAGTCGCGCGATATGAAGTGGTGCGATAGGACATGGTAGATGAAGTAGCAGTATATGAGTAGATAGAGTAGATATGATATGAGTAATAGATAGGACTAAACGAATATAATACAAAAAGTGACATGCAAAATAACGGAGAAGTGGCATGGAATAGAAGACTTATTCAACCATGCGAGGTGCAAGGTGCGAGGTGTGAGGTGTGAGGTGTCAGACTATACTACACTACTCATATTTTACACTTGGAGTTATACAAAAGGCGGAGAGATACAAGGTAGAGTAGTGTGCCGGGGAAAAACAACTAAAGAGAAAAAAAAATGATTAAAGGGGCGATGAGAGAAAATAAAAGGGAAACGGAAAGGGACATGAATATGCACGCAAGACGGAACAAAAATGAAAAATAAACATAAAATAAAGAGGAGAGAATAAATACCTTACATATCACAGAAAAACTATACATATAAGAGAGACCCCCCAAAAAAGGGAGTAGTCAAGGAAAAGTAATGCAACAAAGCAATAAAGCAATAAAGCCAAAAAAAAAAGATTAACAAAAGCGGGGGAAAAGAGAAATAGGACACAGAACTAATCCGAGACTTCAGCGCCCAAAACGCCTTCCTTGCCCTCTGCGATCCGATTCGCTCGCTGTTCCTGGTCCTGCTCCAGCTCAAAGCGTCTCATGCGGGTCGCGATGCGGTCATCGAGCACGATGCTCTCGAGCCAGGGCCGCTCGCCTTCGTTTTCGGCGCGCTTGTGTGCAGATTTATGCCATTCTTTTTCCTCGTGCGCAAGAAGAGATTTCTGTTCCCATGTGTATGGCGATGATGTGGTGGCGGTGGCGTATGCGTCAGTTGATGTGGCAGGAGAAGATGCGGATGGAGAATTATCAGACGACGCGGATGTTTCTGACGACGATGAAGAAGGACCAGAAGATTCGGAGGAAGGGCTGGTGGGTACGTCCTCTTTATATGCCCTGGAAGCGGCAAATACGACGGCAGCGGTCTCGCGGCCGATTTGGTCGGCGAGGTGGCGGCGCGTGAGGAAGCGGTAGACGCGTGTAGGAGTGTTGAGGATACCGAGGATATGAGGAAAGGGGATAGGACCCGAAGGGTCGAGCTCAGCAGGGAAACTGGGCGGGAGTGGTGCGCTGGCGTAGGACGATGGGGAGATGTACGGGGTTAGCACGGCGGGAGGTTTGGTTTTGGATTTGGAGGCTGCGTCCTCGGGCTGTTGGTCTTGCTGCTGGGGCTGCTCCTGCTGGGGCTCAAGTGGCGCTTCAGATTTGTTTGCGTCGTCGTTGGCTGTGGGTGTTGTTGATTCGGATTCGGATGTGGATGTGGGAGCAGCGGTGGGAGAAGCGTCGTCTGTAGCAGGTGAATCGGCCGGCGTTGGAGAGGATGAGGCGGTCTCTGCGGTCGGGACAACTGGCGCATCCAACGGTCCTAGCCACCCCTCTTGCAGTCCCCGCAGATACTCCTTCCATGTGTGCCGTCCGAGAACAAGATCTCCTTTGACTCCGTCCCATTCTTGAATCCCTGTAGTCTGGCGCGTGGCCTGGACGAGTAGCTCTGAATCAGGCTCGGTCGGGTTCTCCGCAACCTCGCCCCGGATCTGGCGCAGTCTGCGAACTTTTTCTGCCAGCTTCGTTCGCACCTCGCCCTCGCGGCGACCTTCAATGACATCCCAGTCCATTGCTGCCGCAACGAGAATCGGCTTGACATACTCGTTGAAATGGTCCCGTGCGGGCCGAAGCCCGTCGCCAGGAGGCGCCGATAGGAATACGGTGAGCTTGCGCGGCATGGTTGATGTGGGCAGAGATTCGTCCGCAATGTGTGAAACCAAAGTACACCATTTCTTCTGGATCTTCTTCTTCTCGTACCGGTCGTAGATGAGGAAGCCGGCGAACGTGGATGACAGGGTGAGGAAGATCATCCAGTTTCGTGAAGGCAACTTGAAGCGGCTGGGGAGACCTGAAGAGGAAAGCTTGTATTAGTCTTCTGTTCTAGTATTGTAGGCAAAACTACAAAAAGACTGGTGGTGTGCTGAGACGCACCCATTGCTCGAAGAGCAGGATTGCCTTCTGCCTTGGGCGCAGCTTTAGCAGCAGACCCAGCGGCTTGACCGGCATCGCCTGCAGGCGGAGGCGCAGGTGCATTTGGAGGCTGGCTTTCTGCCATTTTCTGAGATAGGTCCCGGGCAATTGAGTGACCAGATTAATATACGGAAGCATTCGTTGCTTCGTGGTTGCTGGGAGGTGAAGTCTGAGACTGTGCCTCAGGTGATGCAGTTGCGGGAAGTATAGCCCCACAAGGTATTAATGGGCTTCTGCAATTCAACTTCCAAGTCAATCTCGAAAACCCAAGTTCTTGCTTTAACCTGAGGAATTGACTGTTGGAAAACACTGTTTTGTCACAAAGTGCAGCCCAATTATTACCACGGCCTCTTGAGTTTGGAGTTTGCTCCGGAATATTTCGGTCCGGCCGTAATCTGATCAGATGATCGGATAAGATTATCTCCTTTTTGATCTCAAGGTTTGGCATACCTTTGACCCTCGAAGCACGAATCATTTCCTAGAACGACGGATATAACTTCCATAAGATCAAAGGGCATTCTTCAGCAAAGATTTTGAGACATTGCATTACAACATAAAAGCTCCGAGATTCTCCAGTACTTTTCGCTGTTAAGGCAGCACTTCATTCATATCTATTGTACACAAAAACGATGATTCCGTCTCGCTCGCAGATTTTGAGTAGATGAAAAGCAAAATAAATACCAGGCCGATCCTTGCGCGCTCCTCGTACCTTTAATACGTCAAGGGTTGAAATAACAGTATCGTGCAGCAGACCAAACGCCTTTTATCAGATGACGAAAGAGAGCAATCCACGTGCTCGAAGTGTAAAGAATGGGAAACCAACAAACCAACCATGCAAGATCATAGTAATCTAGAATACATCCATTTCATCATCCTCAATCGGCGGCGCAAACGGAAAATTTCCGCTGTCAATTGCAGCTACGCGGTCAAGCTCCTGTTGGTATTCCTTCCGAACATCGCTCAGAGTGACAATCTTTCTCTTAGCAACGCCGCTCCGACCCATATTGACATTGACGCTGGGCTCTGCCAGGATCCAAGCATGTTTTGGGTCGACAGACGAGAGAAGATTGATGAGAGTGAGAAATGTCTGAGCGACGGCTTCATTCTGCACTTCCGAGTGCGTGCTTGAACTAGTCCGTAGGCGTTGCAGACGTTCGTGCATGATCGTGGCAGCGCCACGGAAATCATTCCGCGAAAGACGGTAGGCGTACAGGATCTGGTGATACGGAGGGCCAGTCGCGATATTGAGCGTCTTCTGGCAAAGAGAGGAGAGAATGGCGTCGACTTGGGGTTGTAGGTCGGTAAATGGAAGGCGGAGAAGTTGGGGAATACGTGACTGGGCAATCATGGAGGTGATAAGAGTTGTTAAAGCGGACTTTTGTCTGTAAAAGGTGGTGATTAGAAAAAGTTCGCTGAAAAAGTTCCAGTGGAAAAAATAAGCATAAACTTACAAAGCAGTGTCTGTATACCTCGCCAAAGCAGAGTAAGCTTCCTCAAATCGGGAGGTTTGAATTGACGCGTAGAAAAGACGAGATAGGATTTCGGTTCGTTGTTGTGGTACCTGTGGGCCAGCTTGAGCATAATATCCATCACAACAGTGTCCTAACAAGGAACTTACTTGGCTCTTAGAAAAACTGGTGAATTGAATGGCCAACCGCGCGAAGTCGGCAACGTACGAGTTGGCACGAGCTTTTTCAAACAAGCTAAGGATATGCATATAATATTTAGCCAAGCCGTCGTGGAAATATGACAGATCGGCAACATTAAGGAGACCCTCTGACTCTGCTAGGCCAATGCCGGTATGCTTTCCTCGGGCTAATCGTGTGTGAGCTTTATCATCAAAAAGTATGAAAAAAAAAGATCCAAACTCACCTAGTCCAAAACCAGCCTTCTTGAACGACAACGAGGCCATCGAATGCTCACTCCGAGCTAGGTGAAGACGACCCTTGAGATACGTAGCCCAAGGAGTATCGGGCATGAATCGCATAAAATCGGAAGCAATGTGAATGTCCCCACGATGCAGAAATTTACACATGATGCGAGTTGCAACATCTTCGTAGCCTTCTGTGAACATGAGATTCGATATCCAACATCGAGCAGAATATGTAGTAAGGGCAGTTCCGGGGACATTGTCCCTAGTCGGTACTTTCCACATTCCAATGAAAAGCTCCTCCAAGACAGTTACGGTCCGGTGGTCCGACTGATACCCCGCTACCTCACTCATTTCGCTTGACTTCTCAGCTCCAAAATTCTGATCGCTCTCGTCCTGTCCCGAATCGGTGCACATTGTCGTGGCGAGCCAGCTCAGCAAACTATACTTTTTCAACGTGCGCAGAATCTCCACATAGAGCCCTGTCGTATCCAATTCCTCAAGGGCATGCTCTTCCTTGTCGATTTCTCCCTCTATGAACACTATCAAGACCAGTAGGTCAAAGAGGACAGTAAATGTGAGATTGATGGTTTCCTGTGCAGCTGCTAGCAAGTTCTTAATTCCGATAGATCCAAGCTCGAGGTGGTGAGAAACCGGTAATTGGCGTTGCGAAGCCGTGGAGATGACAAGGCGGAATACTTCATTGTCGAGTGCCTTGAATCCGCCAATATAGTCGAGCGCATCAGCCAATCGACTGTAGTCTTCGTCTCCAATCTGCGACGCAAAATTACACCGATCGTAGAACGACTGGACCCGCACAGCCGCAGACACAGAGGGGTCTTGCAGCATCTCCGAGGAGAGGACAGAGAGGCAAGAATGTAGTAAAGACGGCGAAAAGAGTTGTCGAAAGAGCCGGGCAGCAGCAATAAAGCCAGAGACTTCCGACGGCTGCTTCTGCCAAGTGCCTATTGCACTTCGTCGTGTAAAGGCCTCGTGCATTTTCTGCTGGTACTGACCCATAGTCCTCCGATTATGAAAGAGCAGCTCCATGTCACTACACTCGCGGATGAGAGAGACACCATCAGCAGTAAGAATCCATGGTATTGAATCATGCTCATCATAAACAAAAGAGACAGCTTCTCGTCTCCGCTTGTCCAAATCCACCGTCAGGTAATAGAACTTGTCCCATTGCATGAATGTGTTCGCTCGAAAATGCTCATAGTCCAGATCGCCCTCATCGTTACGGTCCAGGGCCACAGATGATCCTATCGCTAAGCAAAGTCGTTCTTTCAGAGACTTTCCTTTCTTGACCATTGCAAGCTGATCGGCCGACAGGTTCTGGATATATAATGATAGCGCAGTCTCCAAAGTTGCTTCTGTGAATCGTGGAGGGCTGAAAAAGAACTGGAGCCATTTATCTGTTGCGTCCGCCGGATCCATGTCGAGTGAAGTTGGTTTTTCAAGCTGTAATAGCGTTTCTGAAGCTACACCCATCCAGAGCCTTGACCATGCTGTCGGCAGATCTAACAAGTCGAAGAGCAACCGCTGCACTCGGTAGGTCAGATTATTGCTCCAAACAATCCAAAGCTCCAAGCCTTTCTTCGTCCCTGTGGACTTCAACCTAAAGTACGAAAGACTCCAAATTTCAGATTGGTCTGAATACGGCTCCGGAGGAGTAAAAGTAGCACCAGGAAACAAGTCCTCCACGGCCAAGTGATCCTCATCAGTCTCTCGTATGGCCCAGAATTTGAAATGACCTGGTTCATAGGGCGAATATGTCATGACATAGTACAAGTCACCTTCCCTAGCCCCTTCGGCATTGAAGACCTGTAAAAGCTGTGTGTGCGCAGGATCGATGAGATACTTTGGGATATCCTGCGGCTGTCGCTCTTCGTTCAATAGATCTTTGACCGCTTCTACCTCTCCAGTAGACAAGTTCCACAGTTTGAGTGTATGGTTGAGACAGATGGTAAACACCCGAGTTTTGTCCGGAGAAAAAGACATTGAGGTAGCGGTTGTCTGCTCCAGGTCCACATTGCCAAATCGCACAGTATTATGTCCCTTCCATGGTATTAAGCTCCGGAGAGAAGAGCCCCATCCGCCTTCGGTGAAGAAAGTCTCGCGCCACGATGAGCCTAAGCATCGCAAAGGGAATTAGTACAAGAAAATGAAACTGTAGTCTGCATATGCCTTACCATCATCACCAGGTCGGCGCACAAAGGTTAACAAGCCCCCATCATGTAAGGAAACCAACAATTCATGAGGGGATTTTGCGACCAGACGGTGCGGATAGCGAAAGCTGAACGAGGAGGGGAGAAAGGTTTTGCACCAATCTCCAACATTGCTGTCCAAAACAGCTGATGAGTGTCTGAAGAACTCCGGCCGGAGCGTCAAGGTGTAAAGGTCGTTGCTCGTTGTTAGAGCGAAAAGGCTGACGAGCTCATGACCCTCGAGATCTGCCATCGCCACGCATCCCGGCCGAATTGCATTCGGGAAGCTCAAACGCAGCACCCCGTTTGCAATGTGCTTGGTCTTTTCGCTCCGTGTCAAATCGGCGGTCTGAATCTCAAGTGTCTTGCTCTCATCCAGCACCCGCCAGAGGTACCCGCGTGGGTGACTCTGGCTATCTTTCCGCCAATATGCCGACGCTGAGCTTGCCAGTACTCGTCTTGAAAATGCATTCTCATCCTCAATAGGCGTCAGGGAAACGGGAGCTCTTCGCGTCGAGCCTCGCGCAGCTTGATTTGAAACACCATGGGCGGGTAAACGAATCGCTGCGATCGATTTTAAAGAAGCCGGTTCGAGATTTAGTCGTGTCTCCTTGTAGAGATAAAACGGCTCCTGCTTGGCCATGGCTGCTCCATAAGTCCACAACGGTTGTGAGCTTGGCAGGATGGGTTGCGACTTTATAGGGCACAAAGAGCTTTTGACGCTGCGCGTGCTGGAGAAGTTTGGTCGCTTTCTAGCTGAGCTCGCGCAACAAAAACCGTTGTCGGGTAACACGACGTGGCTAACGAGTTGATTTATTTTCCAACTGTGAAGGTAAACAACAAGCCGAGATTATTGTTTTTCACGCCAATAGAAACGTCTGATTTTATTTACATAAGGTGATTAAATTCCTCTATTCTATGAACATGTGTTTAATGGCGAGGTGCCACGACCTTTATATTTCTGCACTATTTGAATCAATTTAGGAACAAGTCGCGCTTCAACATGAGTCCGGGAATTGAAATCATGCGAGGAAAGGTATGCAGCGAACAATCGATATATATACCCGAAAATCTTCCTCAGTCGTTTATTCATGCAACAGTAGCGCAACTGCCATATTGGTGAAGCATCTGGCCGACAACCACAAGTCCCCCAATGGCAGGAACGCTATAGATAGCAACAATAGCAAATTGTAGCAAGGTCAATTTTAGTTCAAAAGAGGACCTGCTCTCTGGGAGAGACTTTTCCGTTTGAGAATCTTTCCAGGAGCCGAAAAGCGATTGGCCTTGGGCAACGATAGGGCTGAACCAAGCTCCGACCCATTGCCAGAGGATCAGCCATATTCTCTGCGCTTTTGTGCTATGGCCTTTATTGAAATGCGTCAGGCTGCCGGTGAGAATGAGCGATACTCCAGTCACAAGGAAGCTCCAGAATAGCGAATCTAGGGCATCCATCCATGGCGAATGCACAAGCTCGGCGAGTGATGGCGCAGAGTCCCCAGCCGCTTCTATGGACTGGCGATTGTTCTTAGACTGGAGCTTGAAACTATTAAAGCTAGGCACAACGAGACTTGGCTGCTGCCTTGGAACTTTCCGATTGATCTCCGCTATGTTGACATGCTGGATCCTGATGGCATGGTCTTCATCCTCTGCTCCGGCGCTCGACGACCCACCTGTAGAGATGTCGCTTCCAATGCTGTTCAAGCCAGAAAAAATCTCTTCAAGCTCGGAATGAAACCCCGTTGTGAGCTTATTTTTAGGCTCGTGAAGCCGAGGCAAATCATCTTGCGGGACCACACAAGACTGATGCTGAAGCTGCAGGCTTATACCAGAGCTGTCCTCGCTTCTAGTGAACTTGCCCGATATCCCACGCGCCATGTTTGGCAATGCATCTTCATTATAGAGCTCTCCGACAATTCCTTCAAAACTCCCGCCATGTCTAATTGCTTCCTCCATTATGTCAGATGCAACCATATAGAGGCTCGAGTGTTCCGGTAGGCGGAGGTTACTGGCCAGGTTTACCACGGACATTAAAGTGAACGGAATAATAGTTAGACCAAACGCCGCATACCCATAACGAGATATCTGGCCCCCTTTCGACATATATATGTTCAAGGTAGAGAATAGGGCCTGAATGAATGAAACAAAGGCCTTAGCAAAACCATAAGAAGTAGCGATTGTATTCGAATTCTCCACTTCACTGCTAGAGGAGTTTATAATCTCCGGATCTTTGTGCCCTCGGGGTGATATTGAAGCATTTGCTGGAACAACTGCAAGCTTGTACCCAGGCGGAAGAATGCATGTACCATAAATGCGATGTGCTTTTGGGACGAAGGTCTTGAGGTCCGAGTACATCTGATTCGAATTTGAAAGCGCATATCTCGAAGGTGCAAGTGATGTTATTAGATTGACTGGCTTGTTTTTTTGGAGCTTCGTGTAGTCTTGCTGCGCGAGTGTCACCAATTGGGGTAGACCTTTTTGGCTTTGCTTTTTAGATCTATTAATCGGATCGACAAAGACGGCATTTTTGACAGTGTCCCCTTCCTGTGGGATCCAATCTGGCGCCCTCACTACCATGCATAATGCATTCGCTCTGGCAGCAAGGCTCAAAGGCAAATTCCCAGATGATGCTTTATGCTCGAGAAAGTTTCTTAGGACCTCCTTAATGCCTCCTTTTAAAGTCGACTGCGGATATAGGAGGGCGAAATAGGTGCGGAGAAGCAGGTCCCACCTTGGCTCGCCCGGCAGTGGCTTGACTGTGGTAGCATGCGTGACATAGTTGCCCAGATAGAAAAGCAGAATCTCAGGCCAGGTTGCCGGGGAACATCTCAGGTCGGGCTTCTCTTTGTCGGCTTTGTCATCTGGAACAGCGGATTTGATAGAGAGCTGAGGATTTGGTAGGGCGGAAGCAACTGAAAAGTAAACAACGAGCGCCAAACAGAGGTGGATGACCTGGAATGAGAAAAGATACCCCTGTTCCTTATATTTCCGTCGAAAAATGCCGGTGTAGAGCATGAACACTCAGAGATCTTTGTCGTGTCTCGCTGTATAAGGATGCAAATGAAATAGGCGCAGACGCATGAACAGGGGAGGTATTGCTGCCTGGATATAGTCTAAATTTGCAAATTAGAAGGCTACCTGCAGAATGCCTTATGAGCTAGGTTCAATTTTGATATACACAGCGGTAAATCCTCCTGTATTCGAGCCGGAAAAACAGCCTTCCAAATCCGAGTGTTTCCGCCAAATATTGAGGAGATATGGGATATTGAGAAAGTTGAAAGGCAAGGAATGAGAAGGGAGTAAAAGATTATGCTAAAAGAGTGCCTCTTCAGCTAATTTATCAGAACAAGAGCCGGGATCGTACGTATACAACAAGAGAAAGAAGGCGAATAATAGAGTTGAATACATCATTGCTTGGTCAGAAGACTCAAGTAATGGAGTACAAGCAGGAGGAGGAGGACGTCCAGAAATGACTCTGGAAATAAGACCAGTGGTGATTTGATAGAAAATTCATCAGATGATTCTGGTGTAAGCGGTCACACACTAGGCATTGGAAGGACGATATAAGAAAGTGCAAGTGACCATTGCAGAGCCATGCAATTTCTAAGACAGAATTTGGTACTGGAGCCTAAAAGGCCGCCAGTTACTGACTCAAAACGTAACATAGCCTCCAGAACTCGACCAGGGCAGTATGGGGCAAAGCAAAGGACTGTGCAAGGCTCTGTTAGAAATTGTAAGCGCAATATATGTACAGTGCAAAGGTCGCGAATGGGATCAGCGTAAACATTCTCCCACAAAGCCAAAAGCTGATGTCAATCCAGCTAGGCAGTGTATTAGTGCGCGTGAAGGTGTACTGATAAATGGTATTATTTCTTGTCGATGTCAACTCTTCTGCTGTCCCTTGCAGGTGACATTATGATGAAACAAACTCCAAGTCAGCTCGAGGTGCAGATGACGGAGTCGCCCGCCATTTGGCTGTAACACGTGCGCTTTAGTTAAGGAAACGGTTAGCGAGACATGTTGCCTGTGCCGACGCCATTTTTTATTATCTCAGAGCCTTATCGCGCTATCAGTGCCAGCCACGGGAAAAGCAAAATGTGGACCGTGAGAACATTACTCAAGCAGGATTTATTTCAAGTAGCTGTTAAGCTTTCAGAGGATCTTACGGCCGTTGCTATTTTATGCTGGTTTTCGTGAGGCGAATATTACAAATAATATACAAGGGTTGGCATATAAGACTCTGCTTTTTGATATTGGCTTATGGATAAAGTGAATCTCCGAGCGAATGAGCAAGCGCAGACAATCGCCAGAAAGTTGGAGAAGACTTTTCAGTTGATTGAACCTATCGCCGTTATGTAACAGTCAAGTGGTTTTAGACCCTGTGTAGAGTGAAGCCATTTTGGGCCGGCTCCATTTGATCTACAGGCCGTTGCCAGTCTGGATGAAATTTGACATGAAGCATTCTCATTTTTGCTCAGGTGTATCATGAGCCCTGGCACAGTTTGGCCCGTCCAGATGAGAATTGGCGCACCATTATACATAAAAGTAGAGCACAAGGTGCAGGTTGTTAACGTCCCAAAACCCAGCAGGACTTGACGCATTGGTATTCGACTCTCTAATGCTCGGAAAGAAAGTTGAAAAAGGAAAATTGGTAAATGATATGTCGTGTATTACAGGCCCGTGTTCAACGACGCCAAGAGAGAAAGTAAAAGGCCTTTTCCAAGACTAAAACGCCGTTTTCATGTGGGTGCTCGGTCATTTCGCCATTAGTGTATATATCTTCGCCTCCATTCATTACAGTGTCATTAACCACATGCATTATAAAGACCATCTCTTCAACTGTTTTGGTCCGAGACCGACCGGTCCATATTACCTAATTCAGCGCCTTGGCCGCTTTGACCACGCTTGCGACCTGAGAAATGAAAAGTCCGGTGGCTTGAGTTGGCATTGCTATTGTCCGAGGGACTATCCGACGAGTCTCCGAACCTCGAAAAGATGCCCTTCTTTTTCGGCTTCGTGTCATCATTAAGTCCAATATCTTCAAAGGGTTCTTCATCAGTGACCTTGGGCGGGTCAAAGTGTTTTCCATTCACTGCTGAGCGTGGAAGACGGCTAGTCCGAGAATCGAGGCTCTGCCTCGGGGCGTAGCCCTCGGGTTGAATGACAGGTGATCGAGCAGAAATGTCCTGAGTGGTTCTTTTGTCAGTGACTGAACCTTGTATGCACGCACCCGGGCAACATACAAAAGACCGCCTGTATGAGTCAAATGACTCGCGAGAGATTGAGAAGGGTTCATTCTCATTCAGTAAAGTCCTATGATTGGTTGTACCTGACGAACCGTTGGAACGGTGCCAGAACCCCTTTTTCTCAGGTGGAGAGGGCTACAAGGAAAATAAGAGGGTCAGCCTTGCATTGAGCTAGAAGCCTGTATCGCTCGGGAAGGTACTCTGAATTGGGTTTCAGGCATACCGGAAGGTAGACCCCGCTGTCATTGACCACTGCAAGTACCCCAATTGTCATCAGCACGCGGCTCTCTGTAGGCATCCGTCTGCCAGCACGCATGACCAGCTATGTACGCACCGCTCAGCTTGAATTCATTAGGTTCTCCTTTGATATTGAGGGGCCTTGCCCCGCTAACATCTGCTTGCTTGAATTCGGAATCCGCTCCGGCCTGCTGATCCGAAACAGAATCGGAAGAAGTGGCCTTACGAAAAGGATTGCGAATGGGCATGGTGATGGTGGATGGACAAGGAGAATGAGAAGTGTAGTCGCATACACGTTAACAAAATGTAGATTATGTCTACCGAGTGGTTCTTTCAGAAAGATCAGTTGAGGCTCGAGATAGTAGCGACACGCCCCAGCCAAAGCCCCACAGCCGAGATAGGAGGGATGGACTGGTGCGGAACTACCAAAACCGACGGCAGGGACGGGGCAACTGGGGGATGTGCCGGGTAAGGACCGGAATAGTGGTGGTGATGACATCGTTCCTCGACTAAGAGCAGAATGTGGTTAAAACTGATCGAAAAGATTCCGCATTGAGACAAGATTAATCCGAGATGGCGAAGGGAGATGACATAATCCACCTGCCTTTTTTGCGGTCTGGTTCCCGTTGCGGGTCCGAGCCACTTAGCGACCGGCGAGAAAAGTGACCATTCAAGCATTGGCATCATCCAACGTGAGGCCATCATCATCAGATTGCGGGGGTTGCGGTGTGAGAGCTCTGTTACTCGAGTACAAAGTGTACAGTACAGAAAGTATTGATATACTTTACCGTACAGTTGGCAATTACCTAGGTAGGTACCTTAGATCATGACCTTTTTGGGCACTGTCTGCGGCTCAACGTTCCAGATGTGCATCTCTCGGACGCTCCACATGTGGTGGCACATCAGATTTAAGATTTTGGTGGCGAACCAAGGCAAGCCCCCAGCCTCGAGATTAATTACCGGCGGTTCCGTTTGCTCCATTGGCTTCCCTTGCATAATTCCCTTGTTCTTTTGGAGTCACAGTATAATTAGAATTCCTTTCCTTGTGAGCGGGGAAACTATCATTGTGCTGTCCCTGTTTTAGCCCTAATGGTTATCCTCACGTGAGCATACCCTAGCCCGCGCGAGATAATTACGCGAGCCGAGCTGTCCCTGACCGTAGTCCTGATCTGGTAGAGGATGAACTATCTCCCCACACCGACGATCCGATTATCATCGTCTGAAACATCACTGTTTACCATACTACTCTTGCAACCTCAGGTATTATTATCATTATGTGATGAGTGGCTCTGCATTCATGCCCAGCTGCTGCAGAAGCATCCTTACTTATGAGCCAAGTAGAGCTCTGCTACTATGAATCTGCTAACATGGGTTCGCCAGTCAGACAGGGGTAGGATGGAGCAGATCACAAAGCAACCCCGCATCCTCAACTTGCAGGAATGAACGCCATTATACGAGAGAGTGGACACAAGGCATGATAGAACTGACATGCAGGCCCTATAGTCCTCTCCATGTGCTGTAATTATGGTGAGCATTAGCTTGCCATGCAAGCATGTGCACAGATGCTTTCACAAGCTACAGATTCTGGTGTTACCTGGCTCGGGACAGCCCAGTCCGAAAGCCATTGCTGGAGCTGCGAAACGCACTATATGCATCTTCTACATATGCACGCACAAGGAACATAGTTATTTGCCTTGTTCTCTTTCTCACCTCTGTTCTCGTTAGGCAGAATACGAGGAACGCATCAAAATGCATCTGCTTCCTCCACAGTCCATAAGAGCGCTGTTGCCTCTTGTTCTTCAGATCTTCCTTTCTTCCAGGCCAGACTCGCCTGATGCTTATATATACTTTAGAAATGCTCAAAAGTATTCTTAGTTTCGACGAAAGAAGAGGTTTCATTCACTTACAGATATACCGTCAAGCCTAGCATGGTCACGGTGGTCGGCAGAGACGGGTAGCCACATCAGGGCGCGCCATCTCCTGGCAACGGAGAGTGGCACAACGGACATATTCACTGGATCCGCTGTAGAGCGACGTCTAAAAAATTTAGAAGAGCCCATTCCAAAAAGCTCTTAAGCTGCTAGAGCTCATCAATCGACGCCTCTGCTTGTAGAGACAAATCTTTGCCGATGGTTGAAGCCTGGCATCGAGGCTGGGCCGTTTTCTTAGGCGAATTTATCTCTTGCCTCTCAGATCTTCTCTCACACACTCTCGCATATCCTCACTTTCCTCCAAATTGAAAGAAAGCCGTCCAGATCCACTCGCCAACTCTTCCTGGTGACGGAATTTTCGGAATCACCCTCGTTGATCTCATCCTTACACCCCAAACCACGGGATTTATCGTTTTAGCATTCTTTACATTTTCTGCATTCGCGCTTCTTCTCTCAAGTCGGTCGTTGTTCCCTCATTCTAGCTCGCTTGTCTCACACAAAGCGGAAACTGCTCAAACTTTATGCCTGTCTAGCTTCGCTCAAAGCGTCCTTCAAGATGGGAGCTGCCTTTTTCAATTCCTGGAAACTCTGGCAGAAAATGACCTTTGTGAGTAAACTTTGTGTAAAACTATGTTCCTCCAGATTGAGTCCACTCTAATCGCAATTTTGCAGGTCCTCGGGGTTGGTCTTGTATGCATTTTTAGCTTTAATTCTTGCCTTAAAGATCCGGAAGGCTTACAGAATCATAGGTTCTTGTGATTATCTATGGGCTAATCATATTATATCGCAATCGCTGGCGCGTTCGAAAGTACATGGCTCTTGAAGAAGCTCAGAGAGTTGATTTAGAACGTGCCAGGCAGACGCGAACCATAATCAATCTCAACGGCGAACGGTTGCCATTTGGTGTCAGAGCTCTCGAAGCAGGAATCGTGACTGAAGGCGTCATTGTGTCCCCTAATGTCACTCCTGTTGTCACTCCGACAGCTTCGGTTGCGACTACTCCAACAGCCAGCATCCGTGCCAGTTCCACGGTGACCCCTTCCGATTTTACCTCATCTTCTCGAGATGATCGAGACTCTCTCCCATCTCGTTCTCGGCTCTCGCAACTGCAAGGCGGCCGTAATCTTTCTTCCGGCACACTTAGTTCGGCTTCCTCGACTACTGCCTCAATTTCTGAAAAGCGCGAATCGGCTCATGCTTCCCCAGCCCAGGGAGACCCGAAAACATCTTTGTCGAGATCCAAAGCTTGCCGTTACCACCCACGTCACTACTCTGAGCTGCGCCACAGCAGCGGCATTACACGTAACCAGGAAGCTCTTCAAGCCCTCGAAGGAAAACAGGGGCGCTTCAAGAATTTTACAAAGTTTGTTAAGGGTAAGGTCAAGAACGCATTATACACTTGGTCTTGGCGCCAAAATAGTCTCATCTTCGAGCGTTTGCTGAGAACTGAGTATCGCTGACTCTTATTTCATGTAGCACCCCTCCGCTACCAAGGCAACAAGTACGGACCTGCTAGCACCAGTAATGGAATTACTTCAGTGGTTGCTCTCTCGTCTTCTCCAAATGCTGCATCGCCTCCGCCTAGATTTTCCTTTGAATCTTTCTCTGAAAAAAATGGCATTCACAAATCCTCTGAAATCGAAGAGGTTGACCTCGGACTACTTCATAACCACCGAATTTCCCATGCTGCTGAGGTTGGGCAACTGGTCCCAAGGTTTCGCAAACCCACTGGTGATGGCGTTTCCGATAGAATTGCTTCTGGTGTCTCCTCGGCCCCTGGTGTAGATGGGTATTCTATCGGCCCTCAGACTTTACCTAGTACCAGCTTGAATGTCATTTTCGCTGCTTCGGGCTTCAACCAGACTCTTTCAGGCTCGGGGCAATCTTTCCCATCGAAGACTGGTGGGCTTGAAGCCTACAAGTTGGAAGATCTGGCTACCTCTTCGCTTCCGTCTGCTGGTCCCGAAGCCCATGATGCTATCAATTTGCCAAAGGAAGTGAAGAAGGGAGCCAGCCATGCTTCGACTATTCTTCGACGGGTGAACTCTGGCTTTGAGATCCTTGTGCCAGGCACTCTCGATTTGAATGATGCACACTGCACTGATTCCGCGGATGCATTGCTTGGGGCAAAGACCAAAGAGGATGACGCTCCCAAAAAGCTTCAAAAGAAAATGCCGATGGCTCGCGAGCGGTCTTCCAGTTTTGTTGAACATCTTTGATGGTTGCTTTGAACTTGGAGCAGACGAGCACAGTTATTGACCGGAAATGCAATTCAACCAGTGGCTTCTCGGCATGTCGATTTGCTGTCCGATCATCTCTATTTTCTCGGTCTTGTTTTCAACACCTGCATCATCTCATTGGCATTGACTGATCCTTCATCAACCTTGTAAATGCGGGTGCATTAGCTTCTGTTGCGTCAACTTGTACATGAAAAACGTCAAACTCGCATTCGGCTTATTCAATTTGCTTCGCGATTGAGGGAAACGTACATAACAGCGGACCGTTTTTCGTCAATTCCGCATTCTGCAAGATATCCATTGAGGTTTCCCGGCCGGCGTTCTGATTTATATGAAGTTTTAATATTTGACTCTTTTCAAATCTCTTCTTCGAATCTCTTTGATTTTTCTCTGATGCGATAGGCCATCTGGATGGAGATTTGAAGTGTTTAATGGTTTACTTAGCCAAGAGGCAGAAAGTTACTGTATGGAGGGATGGCATATTCTATGGGTTTCAATGAACGGCACAGACATTTGTTTTACCTAGCCGACTCTTAAGATGATCCAATAAAGATAAAGATATTCTAATGGCGGGATTGTGTTCGTTTCCATGAGTCATCACCCGCAGGTCCTGTAAACCTGAAGCAGCTGGCATAACATCCATTGTTCCACCCTGAACTGGAGCGGACAGGTATCTTGCTACTAATAGTACATAAACCAGGGTGTGCTCGGTATCACCATTGTAGTTAAAAGTCCAAGTTAACTCCCGAAAACTACCAGGGCCTAACTCCATCCTGCCATACTAGCTTTCCCACATCCGCATCTCTTTTACCCACAACCACATCTACAATCGTCTGCCCGCCGATTTCGGGCTCCTGCGCACCTCGTGCTCGCAATGCATCCGGTCCTTGACCCGACAGATTCGTCGCGCAGAGACCAGGATCCAAGCCCCAGACCAGGATCCCTTCTTTGCGCAGGGACTTTTCGTACTCCACCATGACCATGTTCAGCGCAGACTTGCTGCTCTTATAACACACGGGGAGAACATTGTAGATTGGAGAAGCGGGGTCAGAGGCCATTGTGAGAGAGGAGAGAGATGTAGATACAAAGACCAGACGGGGTGCTGCATGAGCTTCTGCACGAGGAGCATTGGTGGTGGTGGTGGTGGTGGTGGAAGAAGGCTCCGAGGATAGGCTCTTCGCCGAAGAATTAAACTTGGACTTTTTCAGCAAAGGTAGGAATTTTTCGGTGACGTTGATTGTCCCGAAAAAGTTTGTTTCAAATGTACTCCGGTATACGTCCAGAAGCGGGACGGGCGGGTTAGCAAGTCGCTGAAGATCATTGTTTATGCCGGCGTTGTTGACAAGCACGTCGATGCGGCCGAATGTTTTGGACACTTCGTCTGCAGCTTTGACAATGTTGGATTCGTCAAGAAGGTCGAGATGCAGTGCGGAGCAAGTCCCTTTGGCCCCGGGCAGGGAGCGAAGCTTTGACACGGCTTCTTCGCCCCGAGAGAGATTCCGGCTGCATACAATGACGTGGTAGTCTGCCGAAAGCTCGACAAGTATCTTGGCAGCTGCAAAGCCGAGACCCTGGTTTGCTCCTGGGATGGATTGTTAATGGGTTAAACGGGATGAAGCAAAGAAATTCAAGGGAGAAAAGGATGGGATGTGGCGGAGGAAAGGTGACAGACCAGTAATGAGGACAATAGTTTGATCAGATTTGGCCATTTTGGATTTTTGTAGTTCGTCGTTCTTTGCACGGTCGAGAGAAGATGGAGAGGAATGATATAGAGCAACAGATCAAGGATAAAGCACAGTAAAGTTTGGTCAAAAACGTTATTTGTTTGCAAGTATCGTTTTAGAGCTGAACAAAAAAAAATGCTAAAAGAGCAATGCGGACGAATAAATAGAAGATTGAGAAACATGTCAAGAGTAATATCAAATATGGCTGAATAAACAGCACAGCTGCAGGGCCTGCCGGAGACAATGCTAACCCCGCCACATGTTGTCTCTGCGTCACTAAGCCGCCCTAATGGAACACAACGGCCATATGGACCAAAAACCCGTCCGAATGAGATGCCTTTCAAGCCTTACTGGTTTCCTAGCAAGCTTCTGATTGGCCAATGAGTACACTTTTCGCATTGAACGGAGTGCCTTGCACTCTCTCGAAGCGCGTCGGGGTGACCTAATCCACCGAAATACTCAGTGGACAGTGTTCATCTGAATTCAGGCATCCGGTAATCTGCGTTCAAGTACCCTGTAAATGCCATAGAACAAGCACATGCATGGTTCACATCTGCCTTCAATGTTGCCGTAGAGTCTCAAGCGTAAGCCAACAAATGGCTTATGTGAGCCAAATCCTCCGCCATTACTGCGCGAGCCTTGACGGTTGTTGTCGTTGGCGTGATGTCCCCGTAAATGACTAAGCACAGCCAGGCTTCAGTCACATGACGGCGCGTTGCCAGCAAGCGCGTTCCCTACAGCATCGCGTCACCTCGCAACGCCACAACAACAATAACTGAGTCAACGAGCGGACTGTAATTATTCTAATATTTTGAAATAGAATTTCAATTCGCAGTCCCTTTTCTAAAACATCCATAATAAAATATGAGCGCCGAGGAAGTCGAGCAGAGCCAGACCGCCTACGATGAGGGCGGAATGGGCGGTCCTGGCGCGCCAACGCCCTTGACTGCGCTGGAGGTATGTCCACAGATGGAGTGATAGGCGCACATTATATCTTGCTGTGGAGCTTGAATTTGGCTAATTTGCTTCATTACAGGGTGTCGCTGGGCTAACGGCGCGTGATATTAAATTAATTGTTGATGGAGGTTTCAATACCGTGGAGGCAGTGGCTTATACGTACGTTGAGTTTCTATATCATCACCACTCCAGTCGCACATTAAAGGATTTATTCACATCGAAAGCGTGTACAATTATCATATTACATCAAGGAAACAAAGTCGCAAGTCTAACTAAGCAATGTGTCGACACAGACCACGCCGAGTGCTGGAACAAATCAAAGGCATATCCGAGCAAAAAGCGTCCAAAATCCTCGCAGAAGGTCAGTCTACTTAAATTCCCGTTGCTTCTTTCAATTTCTACATTATCCCTTTTATTTCTGACACAGAGCTACAGCATCAAAACTCGTGCCAATGGGCTTCACTACCGCTACGGAAATGCACCAGCGCCGCTCAGAACTAATCTCCATCACAACGGGATCAAAACAGCTAGATACATTACTCGCCGGCGGTATCGAAACGGGTTCCATCACAGAAATATTTGGCGAGTTTCGTACAGGCAAGAGCCAAATATGTCATACTCTGGCAGTGACGTGTCAGTTACCCTTTGACATGGGCGGCGGCGAGGGAAAGTGTTTATATATTGATACCGAGGGGACGTTTCGGTGAGTTGTTAACCCAGCTGTTACCCCTATTATTTCTCCCCCCCCCTCCCCCCTTATTTTTCGCCCTTTGTGTCTCTTTGTTTTTTAAAAAACTGTCCTTCCAATGTTCTGTTCTGACGGTATTCGGAAACGAAACCAGACCTGTCCGCCTTCTCGCCGTAGCCAACCGCTACGGCCTCTCGGGCGAGGAAGTCCTTGACAATGTGGCATACGCACGCGCCTATAATAGCGATCACCAACTACAACTCCTTAACCAAGCCGCGCAGATGATGTGCGAGACGCGCTTCTCCTTGCTCGTTGTCGACTCGGCGACGTCGCTGTACCGCACAGACTTTATGGGCCGTGGCGAATTGTCCTCGCGTCAAACTCATCTTGCCAAATTCATGCGCACTTTGCAGAGGTAAGTTCATCATCCGACATTCCTATCAGAATTCTTAAACCCCTATCATCACTTCTTCCATATACCATCCTATCCTTAAAAAAAAAAAGGGGGGGGGGCACAGGCACATCAATGATGCTAACAATTGACAATATAAAGACTAGCAGACGAATTCGGCATCGCAGTAGTCATCACCAATCAAGTCGTCGCCCAAGTCGACGGCGGTCCCTCGGCCATGTTCAACCCGGACCCGAAAAAGCCTATTGGCGGCAACATTATTGCACACGCGAGCACCACGCGACTCAGCTTGAAAAAGGGCCGTGGCGAGACGCGTGTCTGCAAGATTTACGATTCCCCGTGCCTGCCAGAAAGCGATTGTCTTTTTGCCATTAATGAAGATGGAATCGGAGATCCGAGTCCAAAGGATTTGGAGAGGGAGTAGTGGTAGTATTTATGTTTTTGTCGTTTTCGATTCACTAGCCATCTGTTCTCTCCCCCCTCTTTTCTTTTACCTGACTCAATTTCTAATATCCTTCTTTTTCCCCTAAAGAAAAGGAGTAATATGGGCATATGCTGCTACATGCATATAATTTCGTCTTCATGCATATTTTCTCCTTTGTTTCATTTTCATTAAGACCGTCTTCACGTTACGCTGGGCATTTGCATTTGCATTTGAACATTTAAAGATTTTCAAGATTTAGGGGACTTTTTCCCCGTCTTCGAAACGAGGAGAAAGAATGGTTCAAGAGAAGAATAAAAGTAAAATGACATGACATTCCAAAATGTTTTGAGAAGAAAATTGCATTGATACTGTATAAGGATGAAGAACCGAGGGTAAACTTGAACACGTTCGCTGGAATTCCATGTCGGATAGGTACAATTGTAGGCCTGGAGTAGGTTCAATGACGTGATAAAAGTAGAGAAGGTGAATGAATATAGGAGGGTGCCGAGGTAGATGAAGTAGTGAGATGGATGGTGTGGTGGACCTTGAGGGCGCGAGATGCGAGGACAAGGATGATGTGGAGGAGGCAATCGTTATCTTTCGTTCTTAGCTGGAGAGGCATGACGGGTGGATTTGAGACTGTAGGCGGGAGTGTTTCTATATTGCGGAAGCGCATAGAGGGGATTGAGAGCGCAGTGGTATAAGCGGCGTTGGTGCATCGTAGCTGGAACTGATTTGCAGCTGCCGTAAAATAAGGATGGTTCGTGAAGTCGAAGCTGGCTCTTATGCAGGTCCAATGAATGGCGTCTGTTGCGGGGCGGCTAGAAACTCTGGGGGTTGTCGGTAGAGTACAATCTCGGACTGCTTAAAGTATCTCCGAGCATCTGCGGCGTGGTGATATTAGCATAATTGTATGTGAATGAAACGAGAGCTATCAATGATTTCTCGAGACACAAAAAGTTGGCAACAAAAAGAGGCAACATACCCTCATCAATGAGCACGAGACTCAGGTAATACCGCGTCGAGTATTTCTTGTTGACCTCACGGAAGGTTGGAGTCAAGTCGAAGCCGCCGAGGAAGAGACGGATCGGGATTGTCTCGCCTGCACAAGTGTTAGTATGAGAATTATAGAACCGGGCTTCTGGAGAAATGGGGCGAGTCAAAGCATACCTCGTGATGGGGATCCATCCATAATCTACCAAAGGTTAGCTAACTAGCAATTCTTTTTATATAATTTTTAGATGGAGTTTTAGACACGTTACCTCGAATCTGACCAGTGTTTCGCTCTCGTTGTACTGATTTGGTGCAACACCCGTCGTTTCCCGTCGTATAATCGACAGCTCCATATGCTTAATCTTGAGGCGCACGAGGAGGAAATAGATTCGTCCTACGATAACGTCCTTGAGGTGATACTTGGACTTTGAATATTCAAACTCAATATGCAGACAGTCCTCGATACCAACGTCCATTTTTATCGAGGTGTTGTTTTCGGGCGGGATGCTGTATGAGTACACCCAAATGTCCTTTTCGCGAATGACGTCGGCCATGCGGCGCGATACCGTTACGCGGATAAAGTACCGCAGTTTGACATTGATGCCATTATATGACTCGTATTGCTTCTCGACATTTTTAAAGTTAAAGTCAAAAGTCTGTGGATGTTGGAGCTCTCCGGGAGCAGCCAATTCTTGGCCCAGGGAGAGAAATTCGTAGTGATTTCCACGGTCATAGAACATTTCTACAGCACGTTAGCTACTAAGCCCTGCCATCTAGTGGGTACTACGCATGCCGAATATAAGGAATATGCGGGAAAAAAAAATAGTACGGCTAGGCACCTACCTATTGTTCCAATGAATTGCACCTTAATACCGGTATGCTCGAGACGCTTGCCGTCCTTGGGCCGGATAGTGACGGCACCCTTGACAGACTCGCCATCTAGATACAATGGTGCTTTCTCGCGGCGGTTCTTATCAAGCTTTACATCGACCATGGACCGCTCATCGGAGTCCTCGAGGACAATGTCGATATCGACAGGAGTGGAGAATAAGAACGACATGATGGGCGCCGGTTAACAGTCAACGCTGATATTCAATGAGTAGGTGGGGGAAGCGCGAAAGAAGCAGCGCCGGTGCTCTCGATATTTGGCACCGAATCGATATCAATATCAATTGAAGTATCAATATCGATAGTAGAGGAACCACCGAGCCGCTGCAGCAGTGGTAAACGTGCAGTAGCTGTCACCTACCCTTAGCTTCCCTTTGGTTACGCGGAGGTCGGGGGACACGGCGAGTCGGAAGATGACATAAGCTGTGAGTCAGCATTTGGTTTCATGATCAAAAGTACCGAGGCCAGCGTAAAAACCTTAGGTTGAACATCCCAGAATCGTTCAGACAACAGTGGGTTTACAGAAAAGAGAGTGATACCTCCCACGACAACAAGAATTGCCTGTGAAATCCTTGTACCTCTACTTGCGCTGACGGTTGGTGTTCCTGAAATGGATCAAGGAACCAGGTGACACGGAATGCCCCGTATTGCTGCACCCCAGATTATGGCTGAATATGATGATGATCATGACCACGTTGTGCTTCACTACCCGCATTTTTCTCTGTAGTCTTAGCGTTGAGCAAGACTATTTTGGTCAGTCTATCGTCGAAGCTTCTGGTATTCGGCACTTGTTGGTGGTCTTCGCTTCTTGACGCCGAATCTGTCAGATCTACGTAAAGTTTCACGTCAAAGCGTTGGGGAACGTATTTCTTGGCCACAGGAGAATGCCATTCTCCGCCTTCCCGGGGGCTGAGCCTGACTCTTGGACGAACAGGGTCAGCGGTGGCCGAGATCGAGCCCCCCCACGCCTGGCTTCACGCGGCTATCCCAATAAATAGCAAGTGAACTGCCCATTAATATCGTTATCAGACTTTCCGTGATTTATTTTTACCGTGGCTCCTCTCGCCAACTGCAATCATGCTTTTGATGTTTTAACTTTTCTTGTTATCCATATATAACTGGTGCATTATTGGTCTCGAAATTTTCTCATCCTCTATTCAGCGACGTGCATGTCCAATGGTCGACTACCTTGGCTTGCCTTTCTGTTGCCTTGCAAGGGGTTACACGGACAACATCTTTGCCCCTCATCCCCTCTCGTTCTTCTTATTTGCCCCCTCTTATGCATGCATGCATTATGTTCAAGGCCATTGTAGTAGTCATCTCGTAAGAATCATCATCATGTTGACGATGCAAATGAGCACGAGACTGCCACGATGCAGGGCTAATGTGACTGATCATACTTTCGACAGCAACGTGACGAGAGGGATGAGGGATGAGGATGATGGACACGTTGGCAGCACCGGGCTGACTCCTGTATGTCATTGTAAGATTCATTGGTTTGCATCTTTTGTGCTTCCACTTGAATCTTATCATTCAAAAGTTGACGACATTATGCAATGTACGGAGTGTTATATGTATCTCACCTGATGTACATAAAGTAATTCAGTGAGCGTCGCTATACGAGGAACGCGACGTGGGGGCCGATGGATTCCCCTTTGGGAGACCCACTCAACTGATGCACCCGGTGTCTTTACTACTAAGACCCCCACGTTCATCCCACCGCATTGAGCCAATAGAGTACGCACAATTGAAGGTCCAAGGTCGCTCCTTCCTCCGTTACGTCTTTCTTTGGGCCGGACATTTTTCATCATCTTCATCTCCTTCGCTAACGTAACACACCGGTATGCTCTCTTTCCTCTTTTGAACTTTCTTCATCAGCTCACAAGGGTGTCCCCTCTCCCTGTTTTTTCTTTCGAATGAAATGCTAGCAATTCATTATTCGTTTCCTCTTGCTCCAATTTTTTGGGTTTCTTCTCACTTGCTGCTTGCATATCTGACATGCAGCAAAGTCCATTACTTCAGTGCAAATGCCAGTCTCCTAGGCATTTCTAGTCGATTCCTCTTTCGGTTCGAGCCTTACCTGGAGTGGACTATGCAAACCCCGGGCTGATTCTTAGTGTGGGGTTGAAGTTGACGCCACGGCAATCGGATTAACTCGAATGAGCCATTTCCGAGGATTCTCCTTTGCTCCATCGCTGGGCCGGACTTGGATCGATTCCATTGCTTTCCGCTGACCGCTTCCCAGTTGCTTCGACATTAACCTTTTCAAGGCTAAATTATTTTCTCTCTCTACTCTTTCTGTCGTCTCTCACACTCAGCTCCGGGCCGAGTAATGATACAGCCCAACGTTTGGTTTTCTTCTGCCGCCCTTCGATCCAATAATTTTTCGCTGGTGTGTGCGCTGCCCCACCGTCGTCATCGTTGAATCCAGACGACTCCCCGAGCCATGTCTGGGCTTCCCCAAAGATCCTGTCCCTTTTCCGTTTCATTGCTTTTGTCTCTGCCCCTGATATTCCTTGACGTGTGTGTTCTGTCATTTCCTGTGTGTCTATATATGTATGAGATGTCCATTAGCTCTGTATGTCAACATTTGTACGAGTGTGTGCGTGTGCATAAGTGTGTCTATATTAAAAGGGTCATTAGCACCCAACGCTACGACTGAACCTATTCATCTTTTGTCCAAGTCCCTTTCTTTCTGGCTCCACTAATACATCATCCCGTCGCTACTCTCTCGTCTCTTGCCTTTCTGTCCCCCATCTCGTTTTCTCCATTCCTCTCGTCACCGCGCAGTTGGATCAACTTAACGCATTTAAACTTCCCCACACTCTCCAGTCGAGTCGAGTCGACTTGTCTTGTCAATCATCCTCATTCAACCGTCCCCCCTCTCTCTTCACTTGATCAGAATGACTCTCATGGCATACGACGACTACAATCCCCGCCAGACGGCCGCCGCAGCCACGGCCAAGGTGAATAAAGCTCACTCGTCGTTGCAGCCTGTGCTGCAGACCATTGGCACCATCCAGGCCCATCATCGTCACATTTTCATCGTCACTGGCCCTGCTGGTTGTGGCAAGAGTACTGTTGCTCAGACTCTCGCCTCCAACCTTTCTTTGCCCTATATCGAGGGAGACGATGTAAGTGTTTTTGGCCCATTTTGAACCCATTGTTTTTTTCTGGCTTACTTGCACCCCATTGCTCGTGTCAATTGAAAGAAACGCTACACTTTCTGCTAGCTCATCCAGTAGCAAGAGACACAATGGCTAACGTATCATCTACTAGTATCACACTCCCGCATCCGTTGAGAAGATGGCTCACTCAATTCCCCTGACCGATGCGGACCGCTGGGACTGGCTCATTTTGCTGCGCGACACCGCCATGAGCCGGCTCACCGCTGGCGCCCCCGGTGTTGTGGTCACCTGCTCCGCCCTGAAACGCAAATACCGCGACGTCATTCGTGCTGCTGCTTATGCTGATCATGCTGTGCTCGTCCACTTTTTGTATCTGAGAGCCTCGGAAGAGGTTCTGCTGCAGCGTGTCACCGCTCGCGCTGGTCACTACATGAAGAGTGCCATGGTTCATAGCCAGTTTCACGACCTTGAGGAGCCTGGAAACCAAGAACAGAACCTCGACGTCCTGGTTGTGGATGTTGAGCATAACGATATCAAGGAGGTCAGCCGCCTCGCCGTCGATGCCGTAACCAAGGTGCTCGTCGAGGACTCTCAGCCCACGTCATAATGACTCCTTGCTCAGCACTTGATCAGCACTGGATGGCAGGCAGTCTTATAGCACATAGCAACATGATACCCCATGGCAGCGACAAATTGTTCAACCCATTATTTCATTTTCATGGGCAATTTTTACCTCTGTTAGACATTTGTCATCTCGATGCAAATCTTACAGACTTTCCTCGCGCCTCCCTCCATGCCTCCTTTCGCTGCCACAATCGTTGCCTACCAGGATAGACTTGAGTCATTTCTTTTTATCATCGCGTATATCTTTGTTATCATTTTATGTCTCGCGTCAGCGCTCTTTTCAACATTCTTCTGCTTGGCTACGAAAGGTGAACATCTCTGGCGTTTTCAAGTCAATTTTTAGACCTTTGATTTCTTTTTTTCTTGGTTGGATCTACATCCTCCATATACTTATGATTACTGTTATTTTCCAAGCGGTCATTTTTGCATATATTCTGCCTAGTTACAATGGTTTTGGGGAGTTTAGAAAGACTAGGTAAGAGTGGAATCGTCAAAGAGAAATTTTGTTGAATAAGTTTCTTTGGAATCCTGTTGTGTCTTTATCTTGAAATAATCTCAAAACAATAGCTTTGATTCACTGACTCACTGGTATTGGTGAGCGTGGTTCGTATCTCATGGTGATATTATATGCAATTTTCCAAATTAATGTAAATATTGTTTATTCCTTCCTTGATTCCGGGAATTGAGTTACACCAAAAAAAAAAATTAGTAAGCTCCAATACAATAGGTATTAAACCGGGATCTTTATAAGTCAAATTTGTTCAAACAACTTCACACGACACGCGGCCATTTTATATTTATATTTATTTTTTTTTTACAGCGAATGTGTAACCGGAGTATTCAAATGACTGTTCATATGGCTATGATTTTCGGGAGCGACACCCGCCCTCCCCACCTTTGGGTCCCGTTGTTGATCGGGAACGCAAGCGAAGGTGCCGAAGGCGGTGAGTACAATGCGGAGAGATCTCCGACCTATAAACACATGGGTTTAAGAGTACACTACCCCGCGGTCTTCTACCATTTCTCTTCTCCTTTTTCCATACATCCATACCAAGCAAGTCATACAGCGAGAAGGAGCGCAAGTTTCTTAATTGAGCCTTTCACATTCTGACGGTATATAGCCTTGGGTTTTATACATTAAATCGAGTATGTTCCGTGCACTTTTGCTCGCATTGATAAGCAGCATTGATTGACATATTTAACAGTACAGTAGATAAGCGTTCGAAGGAAGGCACACCTTGCGTCTTGAATCCCAGAAATACCCAAGAAGCCAAGAACGTCAAGGGGATATCGTATTTTATTCTGATAGCACAATGGCGGGACTAGGAGACTCGCCGCTCTTTTCCAAGCCAGTCACGTTGGCAGTCGTTGGATGCGGTAGGTTGCTTCTATAACCCTCTGCATCTCAATCCTCCGAGAGAGCATCTTCCTTTCTTCTATATTTGCAGTAAATCAAGACAGTTGAAACGAATCCAATATTCTGGATAACACCTAACATTCTACCCTAGGTGCCATGGGTACCGCCGTCCTATCCGGAGTCCTTGACAGCATTACTTCCTTCTCATCCGCGTCTTCATCCTCGTCATCTTCACCACGGCCTCAAATCACAGAAATCATCGCAACAACGGCCTCCCTGTCCTCCGCACAGCGTCTCCAATCGCTCTTCCACCCCACGCATGAGTCCAAACTGACCGTTCTTCACGGCCCTGAGGGCAATCTCTCCGCCATTCGCTCCGCCGACGTAATCCTACTCGGCTGCAAACCCAAATTCATGCCCACTGTTCTCAAAGCCAGCGGCGTCGCGGACGCGCTCAAGGGAAAGGTTCTCATTAGCATTCTCGCGGGAGTCCCACCTCGCACCATTATGGAAACAATATACGATCTTAAAAGCCCTAAAGTCGTCTCCCAATCGGGTCAGACTATGCACGAACTTTCATTGCATTACGGTATAGAAGGAGCGTTGCGCAGGATATCATATAGCGATGAAAGAAAAGCCAGTCTCAAAATCACCCGCGGCATGCCGAACATGGGCGCGCAGATTCGTGAATCGATGAGCGTCCTGGAAGATTATGTGTACCCTCCTCCTTCTACTGGCCTTGCTCAGTTTTCCACAACGGGAGAAGGTCAGAAAGTCGACGAAGCCGCAGAATCAAAAGCAGTCCTGTCATTCACAAATTTTCTCTTCCAATGCATTGGCCGCACGCACCTCGTCGACCCGACATTATTCGACTTGGCGTCTGTCTTGATCGGCACGACTGGCGCATTCATCATGCCCGCGCTCGACGGGATCCTGGACGGCTGCGTCGCCGAAGGCATGCGGCGCTCAGACGCCCATCGCTTGTTGGCGCACAGTATCCTCGGCCAAGTGAAATTGCTGCTCAGCCCGCAAGAGGGCGGCACGGGAGACCACCCTGCGCTGATGAGGGAGCGGGTGGCGTCTCCTGGAGGAAATACGATAAGGGGCTTACTCGCCCTGGAGCAGAGCGGGGTGCGCTCTGCGTATGCAGGCGCCGTCATGGCGAGTATGGACCGGACGAGGGAATTGGCGGGGAAGAAGTAATGATTATCATGTCTTTTTTTTTCCTTCCCTTATTATCTCTTTTTGATATTCTTCTTATTCTCTTTTTTTCTTCCTCCTTTTTATTTTTTGAGTCTAATTTTCTCTGCACAGATAGACATTTGTTTGTTAAGTAGCCTATGACGATACAGATTTTATAGCCCAATGAATGAATATGATTATATCCGACAGGACAAGGAGGGAAATGTATTTTGAGGAATCTAGGTTCCCCCCTCCACATCTGCCTTTCATCTCCCGTCTCACTCGCAAGTGTATGCCAATGCCATACCGAAACAACAATATGATAATGAAACTGAATAGAAGTCAACCAAATTTCTCTTTTCCTCCTCCTCTACCCTCCCTCCTCTCCCCTCCTTCCATCTCTCCCTCATTTTCCCTACTTGAAAGAATATCTAAACCAAATAAAAGGAAAAAGTAAATTTTTGATTTATGCGGTTTAGTTAGTTAGTAGGGAGTGCCACCACCACTACCACATTCTATTTCAGCAAGACAAGCATCTCCTCCGGCCTCTCGACCAGACGTCTCACGCGTTCTGCCATCCGGGCCATTGTCGCACCATCCACGACTCTATGATCCGCCGAGTAAGAAAAACACGCCATTTCCCTTCTCACTACGCTATTATTATTATTATTATTGTTCCTGCTTCGGCTCCTGAAAGCAGAACCATTGCCAGCAGCAGCAGCAGCAGCAGCAGCAGCACGACCTTCACAACTACTACTGACAACAGCAACGTCATCGAGAAAAATTGGCACAGGTCTAGCGCGTCCAATGCCCAAAATGGCCACTTCGTTCGCGACAATGATTGGCGCGACAACGGTGCCGCCAATCGAGCCGATATTGGAAATGGTAAATGTGCCACCGGACAGATCTGCAGTGGAGAGTTTCCCGGCTTTGGCGAGCGCGGTGAGACGTGAGAGTTCGGATGCAATGTCGGTGATGCGTAGCGAGGAGACGTTCTTGATGTTAGGCACGAGAAGACCCATGGGAGTGTCCATGGCGATGCCGATGTTGTGCTGGGCGCGGTAGATGAGGCGGGGTTTTGAGGAGGAGGATGAGGAGGATGATGATGATGATGATGATGATGATGATGATGATGATGATGATGATGATGATGGGGAAGAAGGATCGAGTTCGACACGCGCGTTGATTATGGGAAACTCGGAGAGCGCAATTGAGACGGCTTTTATTATGAATGGGAGAAAAGAGAGTTTTTGGTGCTCAGAAGAAGAAGAAGAAGATGATGAAGAAGAAGGTAGGTAAGAGGAGTGGTTGATTCGGTTCCGAAGAGCACTGAGTGCTGTCAGATCCGTCTCGTCCGTGTATAAAAAGTGCGGAATGGAGAGTGATCGGGTCATTTGTTTGAACATTTGGGCTTGGATAGGTGTGAGTGGGACAATTCTGTCTTCTTGGCTAGGAGAAGAACCTGCAGTAGCTGCTGTTGCCGGCTGACCATGCGCGGATGCAAGCGTGGGCTGTTCTGTGCCAGGGCCGTGAGCGGTGGTAGCGGTTGTTTGTTCGCCCAGGCTGGCGACGAAGCGCTCAACGTCCTCTTTTAGAACTCTCCCATCTTTGCCGCTGCCCGGGATGTCTTCAATTTGGACGTCGAATTCTCTGGCAATTCGCCTGACGGCGGGCGTAGCCAAGCTTCCATTTGAATGGTTATGGTTGTGGATTTGCCCGGCGGAGGACTCGGCTGGACTCGGTTGTGACAAAAGGGATGCCGCCTGACTTGTTGGCTTTGGCCTTTCCTTGTCTCCGTCCTTGTTCCTGTTTTTGCCATTGTGACGGAGAGATTCTGGTAACGGAGGCGGAGGCGGAGTAGAAGACGTTGTTTGTATATGGTTTTGTTGCTGCGGAGCTGACTGTTCTCCGCTTTGCGCCGGCGGCGCAGTCGTGTACGCCTCGTCTTCGGCGGAGAGCTCACTTTGAATGTCGATATCAACGAGCGGCTGGAGATCGTAAATACAATGATTTTTCATGGTAGCAACTAAATATTGCGAGGGCCGGTAATTCCTACCTTCCCAACTATGGCTGTTTCTCCGGCTTCATAATGGAGTTTCTTGATGACGCCGTCAAACCGAGATGTTATCTGCCAAATTCAGAACATTGTCCCAGTTACTCCTGGAGTAGAGAGACTCTAACCTCGACCGAGGCCTTGTCCGACTGCACTTCGCATATCTTGTCGAATTGCTCAACTCGAGCTTCCGGCTCGACATACCATTGTATAACTTCGCATTCTCGAATTCCTAATGTTTGCCAGACATCAGTGGGACGGAACATGAAGCATAGACTCCAATCCAAACCTTCTCCAATATCTGCTAGAAGAAATGGCTTAACTGCGAATGTAGTAGCTGTTTGATGAAATAATCGTCGATTGTTTACGTTTCGCCAAGTCGCATATCGACTGGCTGTGGCCCATTGGCATTGATTTGGGAAATGTCCAAGCCTGAGGAGGAGCAGCTGATGTCGAAAAAACGAACGTCTCATCTTTAACTTCTGCTTCACATCATGTCAACGACATCTTCACATTAAATAAATGATCCCCGTATTTAACGGATTGCGGGGAATGGGGTTTAGACAGGGTCTTGTTGCGCATTTACCGGGGATCGCTTAGGGCCCGGCTGCCGTCGGCTTTGCCATGACCGAGGACACGAAGATCCTTGCATCCCTCTGGATTTGGCTACGAATACAGACACACGATACTTCCGCGCACTGCCTATCAACTCTGCATACTAATGGATCTGGGAGATGATTCACAGAATTTCGCAGATAACAGGAGACCCTACGAGGAACAATCGCTCCGGCATCGGTGGAAGACTGGGAAAATTCAAACGATCGCGCAAGTGATCTAGAAAGGTTTGCGCAGCAATCGTTATTAGACGATGGTTCTTCGATTATGTCGACGTTTCTGTTCCAGGATCGAAATGATGCGGCACATTGTTTGCGAAGAAGGGCGAGAGGCCGGGAGCAATGGTTGCTTTTCAAATCAGAAGCCCACGTCGGAGTCGTTCTTTAATGAGATCGAGAAAAAAACTGCCGGAATATAATCGAGGAACTGATTGGCAGGGGAGGATCCACGGATTGAAGACAAAAGTTCGCATCCTATATGAAATGCACACTCAAAGCACTATAGCCAAGTTTTCACTCAAAGTCATTGTACCGAAAACGATGGCCCTTGATTGTTTTATTCATAAACTGGTAAGGTACACCGAAAATCCAGTAAATCTTGGACCCAGTACCCGGCCCCAAGAACACCAGCCGCTAATGCATACCCTTAAGCCTGAGCCTGCGTCTACAGTCAGCCAATTATCCTCGACAAACCCCAGAAAGATAGTAGAGACCGAGTTTGGCCTTGTAATTCTCCAATCCTCCGGGAAATCAAGAGTTCTCACGCACCTTGACGGCGAAAGTCCGCTGAGGGAAGTGCACCTGCTTCTTCTTCTGCTTCTCCGTCACAAGGGTAGCCTCGTGCTTCGTTAACCGTCTCCGGATGGCGCGAGTCTGCTTGGCGCGGAGGTCCAGGGGAAGGTACTTCTTGTTCTTGTAGAACAAGCGCAGCTGAGCCCGCTGGTTGTGGTTGATGACGGTAAGGACCCGAGCGATCGACTTGCGGAGGTCGTGACTGTCGAGTGAAACCATATTAGACTCTGTTCTTCTTTGATTCGGTTGAAATCGTGCGCCGATCCATCGATGCCTTCCTTCCCATCGTTCGGTCCTGGACGCAAAAAGTTTCGTAAAATTCGAGATCGATTCAAACGTACATCTTGTTCAACTTGGTAGCGCCGCCTCCAGAGATCTTCTGCACGCGCAGCTGACCCAGCTCAGTCTTCAGCTCATCGAGTTGCTTCTTGAGCTCCTCCTTGTTCTTGCCCCAGAGCTGGTTGGTCCTAACTTTGCCGGACGACTGCGGAAAAATTGACAAACGTTAGCCTGACCCCATATTCATCCATCACGACGATTCGAAGCCGTATTTCTCACCATCTTGAACGTAGGGCACGGGCGGTGGTCGTTGGTTGGTTGCTGGTCGCAGTGTCGATTTGCGATATTCGCCAATTTGGTGGGCAAATTCTAGGGTTTGAAAGCCCGCTCTAAGCGAGGCTGCGCTAACTTATTTTGATGGGTGCTTCGCTTTTGGGCTACTCTGGTTGCCATGCTCCTTATCCGTGCGCCGATCGGCCTAGTCGCTTACCGTATCCGGAGCTGATGTGTACGAGAGCAACTGCGATCGATATCATCGTGAGGCAACAAGCAATGATCCCGACAGCACCAGCAATATGACTTCCTCAGCGGGCTCAGGCTGGGCTCAGCTACGACAGCAAGCTCGATCATTGGAGACTCAGGTAATATCCTATACTATACGCTTTTATGTGTACCCGGCTCACACTTCTAGACCGAGACCCTCTTCCATACTTACTCGCAATATGCCTCGGTGCCGAACATCCCGCCAAAACCAACAGAGGATGAGCGAAAGATCGAGTCGCAGCTAGAGGAAGTATTCGAAAAGGTATAGATTACTCTCATGATCAAAACATCAATAGCCATTCTTTCTGACACTTATCAGCGCGAGTCACTCATCGGCCAACTGTCTCGTCTGTTAGACTCCGAAGCTGCGCTCACAGCTTCAGCGCTCAAACAAAATAACCTGTCCCGGCACAGAGAGATCCTTCAGGACCATCGTCGAGAGCTTACTCGCATTAAATCGAACATTGAAGAAGCTCGTAATCGAGCAAACCTCCTGTCGAATGTACGGTCCGATATCAACGCTTATCGTTCCTCGAACCCAGAAGCTGCCGAAGCGGACTATATGTTGGACGAGAGAACCAGACTAGACCGCAGCCATAATGTTGCCGATAGTGTTCTCAGTCAGGCGTATGCGATCAATGAGAGTTTTGGGTTGCAGCGGGAGACGCTGGCGAGCATTAACCGCAGAATCGTCTCCGCGGCGAGCCAAGTGCCCGGCATCAATAGCCTAATTGGACGAATAGGCGCCAAAAAACGAAGAGACGGCATAATTCTAGGCAGCTTCATCGCCTTCTGCTTTTTAGTCTTCTTCTTTCTTCTGTAAACGTGCCGCACCGACCCCGAGAACTCTCTGAGCAGGGCCTTGAAGATGGAATCCTACATAATCGGGTTTGATCACACATGGAGTTTTGGTTCTATCTTTGCCGAGGCGTTAAGGAGGGATGGTTATAGCATTAATGTACATTATATACCTTTCTTATGAGCGTTGTCATCTTTCTTTAAATTATGCGGCAGTCGCGGCCGCTTTCTCCTCAATCTCCTCGACTATAGGGGTGTTCTTCTCAGAACCAGATTGGCTCTTCTTCCTCCATTCGTCGATTAATCGTCTTACTCCTTTTGCCAGCCCCTCCTTCTCTTCCGCATCCCCAACGCCGCTTCCTGCCCACCTGATCTTGCAGTCGCTGTCGACCAGGTATACGTATCCGACTTTGCTATTGAGCAATCCGATCGAGTCGCGAATGTCATCTGTCAGGCCCCTTCTGACAAGGAAATATCGCCTGTGAGCATCTTCAGGCAGCTGCTTTCGTATGCCGGACATAAATATGTGAATCAATCCGGCCTTCAGCGCATTTTCTTCAACATTAATGTACACATTCTGCGCAATTCCAGCACCGTCCTTGAGCACCTCTTGAAGTTCAGGATTATCATTTTCGCTAATAAATGATGACGTCTGTCTCTCTGCCCATGTGCCAGAAAAGACACTGATAATGGAGACCTTGTTCTCTAAAACGGGCGTCGTATCCATTGCTTGTTTGGGAGACGCAAGTGTTGTGCCGTGGAAATTGGGGAAGTAGAGCGCTTTGTCGGCACGAAAGAGTCTCGGATTTGATATGAAGGACTTTCCCTTTGAATATCGCATATTTGACCACTCGCGAAAGTATGGCTTTGCTACCTGCTTCGTTCTGCGTGACGACGTTCGGTCAGAGAAAACCTGTGGTATCTTCAGTGGCTCCGGAAACTCACAATTTCTCTCGTCTCTCCAAATGTTTATCATAATTGACAAAATCCTCCCGCTTCTGGCGCCATGTCCGATTATCAATTCCAGTATTTTGTCCAGCTTCAGGCTTTGCAGACAAGCCGATTGGCCGTCCCAATGGCGCAGGGACGAACTCCCCGTCCTTCTTGCCGCCGGGAGCATTTGGAGCGCCTGCGGTACTTCGATCGGCCGATGTGCGCAGACCGCGACATTGGCAAAATAGATATGGCACAGGATCCGCAATTGAGCATCTGGTAAGAGTTCGCCTTGACGAAAACATTATCGCTCCTGTAGATTTTATCATTCTCAAGCCAAGATTGGAGCTCGACATGCCACTGAGTAGTAGCGCCTAACTTCCGAGCGATAGAAAGTTGTTGTAAAGGTTACCCTGAATGCTCGGCTCCCGCTAAGACGATGGCCACTTGCGGCGGATATCCTCACATAGCCGATCGACATTCCTGCACACCTAAATTGCCTATGCATATCTGCAATGATCGACCAGGAAAGCAACATCCGAAAGTGTGTAAACCAGTTACCTTTTCGTGGTCTTAGCTTCTTCTCTGCCATTGGTTAAACTTTTGCGTTCAGTTAGGCAAAGTGACTATAAAATAATTGAGCTCTCAGTTCTCACCGCCCGGCAGAATCTTAAGGAGTCACAATCCATGACAACTCCCGATAACACAGATAGGACTCAGTAATTATACCCCTTAATAGAATATATCGTCTCGGCGAAAGTCGGTCGGAACGGAGAGTGCGCACCGAAAGCCGGAGGCTACTTCAAAATAACGATACAGAAACGCAGGCATTACACAGCTTAAAAATCTAGAATCAAGCCATTATGAACAGTATTTACTACTCTCATTTGGTTCGAAGAAAATACTGCTCACTGCTTATATCCAAATAAACAGCGACCGCGATCCAATTGGTAATGTGATTCCGGAGACACTCTGGTAAAACATCCAAGTTAAAAAGTGAAAGTGCGTCTGAAGTGACTGGCGAGAACCGCCCCAGCAATAGCGTGTAAATGACCGCGCCAACGATAAACCTGAGTTATGAAAGACCAAGAATCAATCTTCGACTACGTAGCTTGAATTGTCTTTTACTATATGGATATAATCGGGACCACGGTGAGAGATGGGCGATCCATGCCTGTTGTTGACAGGATGGAAAAAAAGGGGACCTCTCTGGACCCCGCGGTGGGGCCAATTTCACTTGGTCCCCGAAGACCCAAAAAAGTCCAGCTAAGACCTTTGTGGATATAACCGAGTAAGAAAAAGACCAGCCCATCTCACACATCAAAACCCCCTCCTCCTCTGCCGCAGCTTTCCGTTATCCACCTTCTCTTCATCTCCCTCTGTCCTCTTCTTCATAGACTGTTTCCCCATCTCTCTTCAATTTTTTTTTCTCTAGTCAGTAAACCCCCTTTGAACTCACCTTAAATCTCTCGTTCATCTCCTCGAGCAATTCTCTTCTTACACTTTTTACTCTAGATACCTCTTTCACCGCCAAAATGTCTGCCCCCGCCCACAAGTTCAAGGTTGCCGACATCTCTCTTGCGGCCTTCGGTCGCCGCGAGATCGAGCTCGCTGAGAATGAGATGCCTGGTCTCATGGCCACTCGTGAGAAGTACGCTGCCGACCAGCCCTTGAAGGGTGCTCGCATTGCTGGTTGCTTGCACATGAGTATGTTGCCCAAAACCCCTCCATCAACTCTGCTTCTCCTGGAACAAAACCTGCAAAGAAAATTAGAGGCCACGAAACTAATAAGGAAATACAGCCATCCAGACTGCTGTCCTCATTGAGACTCTCACTTCCCTCGGTGCTGAGGTCACCTGGTCGAGCTGCAACATCTTCTCCACCCAGGACCACGCCGCTGCTGCTATTGCTGCTGCTGGTGTCCCTGTGTAAGTTGCTTTCCCAGGATCCTAGCCGCTAAAGAGAGATTTGCTAACGTTTTGTAAAGCTTCGCCTGGAAGGGTGAGACCGATGAGGAGTACAACTGGTGCCTTGAGCAGCAGCTCCAGGCCTTCAAGGATGGCAACAAGCTCAACCTCATCCTCGACGACGGTGGTGACCTGACTGCCCTTGTCCACAACAAGTACCCCGAGATGCTCAAGGGCTGCTACGGTCTCTCTGAGGAGACCACCACTGGTGTTCACCACCTCTACCACATGCTCAAGGGCAAGGGCCTCCTTGTCCCCGCCATCAACGTCAACGACTCTGTCACCAAGTCCAAGTTTGACAACCTCTACGGCTGCCGTGAGTCGCTCGTCGACGGTATCAAGCGTGCCACCGATGTCATGATTGCTGGCAAGGTCGCCGTTGTTGCCGGTTTCGGTGACGTCGGCAAGGGTTGCGCCATGGCTCTCCACAACATGGGTGCTCGTGTCATCGTTACTGAAATTGACCCCATCAACGCCCTCCAGGCCGCTGTCCAGGGCTACGAGGTCACCACCATGGAGGAGGCTGCTCCCCGTGGTCAGATCTTCGTCACCACCACTGGTTGCCGTGACATTTTGACTGGCACTCACTTCGAGGCCATGCCCAACGATGCCATTGTCTGCAGTATGTGCTACTCTACTCACGACCCTAGCCCCCCACGTCATTCGAGCGAACAGAAAAAGCTAACTGAATCCTAGACATTGGTCACTTCGACATTGAGATTGACGTTGCCTGGCTCAAGAAGAACGCCAAGAGCGTTCAGAACATCAAGCCTCAGGTCGACCGTTTCCTCATGCACAACGGCCGCCACATCATCCTCCTCGCCGAGGGTCGTCTGGTCAACCTTGGCTGCGCCACTGGCCACTCTTCCTTCGTCATGTCCTGCTCTTTCACCAACCAGGTCCTTGCTCAGATCATGTTGTACAAGGCTGACGACGAGGAGTTCGGCAAGAAGTACATTGAGTTCGGCAAGACCGGCAAGCTCCCCGTCGGCGTCTACGTCCTGCCCAAGATCCTTGACGAGCAGGTCGCCACGCTCCACTTGTCTCACGTCAACGCCAAGATCTCCAAGCTCAGCTCCGTCCAGGCTGAGTACCTTGGCCTCCCCGTTGAGGGTCCCTTCAAGAGCGACATTTACCGCTACTAAACACCTTCACCGTCACATTTCATGTGTATCATGCCACTCCTTTTCTTTCACGTTAATATTCCCTTTTGTCACTCTATGAAAAACTCTTGGGCGCTAGGTCTCACGATGGGTGCGTGAGTGGGTAAATTTCAACATTTAATTCATGAGGGCATGATCTACGGAAAAGCATTTGTCCTTCAACGGGACTCTTTGTTTTGCAATAGCTTCTTTTTTTTTTTTTTAACTTCTATGAGTAAGGACATTTGGTGTCTGATACGGGCGGAAAAGAAATTCTTCAACGCATCTATCTTTGTCAGCGCTGGCGTTCAACACTTGGCTCTTCAACCACGGTCAAGCTAGATAGATGGATGGAATGTCCAGTGGTGAGTTTTAACTCAATTGCCACTAGACAGTAAAGGCAAATATATATATATCCCGGCTTTGGCCACGTAAATTTCTTGATTGCGTTGTCTATCCTGCTCATGTGATGCATTCATGAATGCTTCGCCTTCCATTTGCTGACCGAGTGCAAGAAGATAGTACGCAGGCCCTGTCATTTTATGTGTTTGTTGCTTGTACCTAGACCATTGGGAGCATCCCGGATTACCCTTTTTGACGGCTGAGACAAAACTTTGAAGCTCTCTTTCTTTCCGGATTCAGTACATGTCTACAGTCGTTAGGGAATCTCTGGTCATTTTAAGTGACATAGTCGAAGTCAGATTCCAATCTGTCAGTCTCCGTGAGCTCCTGAAAGTCGCTGGCGATCAGGGCCGTCAGACTATTGTGATTTCTTTTACCACCTTCTATCGTCTGAATCGTCATGCTACACATGATGGCTCTTTCAAATTGATCGGATCAAGCTTATACTGTCAGATATCGAGTTGCTTCCATTGATGGCGTTACTTTCTGACAGCGAATTTTTGTCGCCGAATGGAGATAAAAAGTAACCGAAGCAAGGTCCCCTCGGTCAGAAAATCGTTCAGTGTCATACAGTTCATGAATCGAGTTTAGCGGTGTATTTCTCGCTCGGAGTTAAGATCACCCCTTGGAGGGGTGGGAAATACTTGTGCTGTGTACTACTGAAACTTGAGGGGAAATGCAAGGTCAGAAAATAAGCTTCTGACTGCTTGTTCAATGATTTCGACTATTTTCTGACAGGGTCACTATTTTCCCACCGCAGAGCAAGGGCATACTACGTAACGGAGTTAAGTGGGCAGCGGTATGATACGATAAACCCATGGCTTTGATAATCCCTTTCCCTCCGGACTGCATGCCTATTGAGGGGCAACCAGTTGGGGTTTTGTTTGGGTCGCGAAAGGGCGCGGGGAAACAATATATAAACGTCACCGCAAACGGTGCAAGTTGGTTCGAAAGTCTTGAAATTGAAACCAGTTATAAAACAACATTGCGAAGCACTGAATTTCAGTGTTCGATTCCTTCAAATTTGAATCTATTACGGACACTTTAAAACAACAGTATCTAAAGAACAAAACAATTCATACGCAAACCTCCCTAAGATGCCTTCCCTCACATCAAAGCCAGTGGGTGCTACGGGATACGGATTGATGGGTATGCTTCATTATTCTTGTCTAGATCCAGAAGCACACTAACACGAGGTCATAGGCCTAACATGGCGACCCGAACCGGCCCCGAAAGAGCAAGCTTTCAAAGCCATGCGTACTGCACTTAGCAAGGGCGCCAACTTCTGGAACGGCGGCGAGCTATACGGCACTCCGACCTACAATTCATTGCACCTGCTGAACAGCTACTTTACTCAGTACCCTGAAGACGCCGAGAAGGTTGTGCTAAGCATCAAGGGCGCGTTTAATTCTCAAAAGTTCATGCCTGACAGCAGCCCGGCCAATGTGCGTCGCAGCGTGGACGAGTGTCTGCGTGTCCTAGACGGCAAGAAGTTTTTGGATTTGTTTGAATGCGCGCGCCAGGATGCCAATACGCCCGTGGAGGCTACTGTTGAGACTTTGGCGGAATATGTCAAGGCGGGTAAGCTTGGAGGCATCAGTCTGTCCGAGGTGAGAGCCGAGACAATCCGTCGAGCGGCAAAGGTGCACCCAATTTCCGCAGTCGAGGTCGAGCTCTCGCTCTGGTCTACGGACATTTTGGATAATGGCGTCATGGACACGTGTGCGGAGTTGGGCATTCCGATTGTGGCATATTCGCCTTTGGGCAGAGGTACGTTTTACGAATTTCAGAACCAGTACAATAGGCTGCGAAAACACTGGATGCTAATGACAGATGTATAGGATTTTTGACGGGCCAGATCAAGTCGATTGATGATATCCCCGAGGGTGATTTCCGCAGACATATGCCCCGCTTTCAACCAGATGTTTTCTCCAAAAACTTGGATCTGGTTGCTGAATTACAAAAATTTGCTCAGGCCAAGGGTTGCACACCTGCGCAGCTCGCCTTGGCTTGGGTCAAGTCCTTCAGTGGCAAACCTGGCCGGCCTACGGTTATTCCTATCCCAGGAGCCACCACCGAGGAGCGAGTCCTTGAAAATATGGTAGATGTCACGCTGACGGACAGGGAGTTGGAGGAGATTGAGAAGATCTTGAAGAAATTGCCAGTCGCTGGAGGACGCTACGCCCCAGGTCATCCGACGGAGACCTAGGCTGAAATCAAGTGGGTAACTTTTAGGAGAAAGATGCCAGTAGTTATAAGAATGTGTGGTAATTTCTGATATTATTACTGTTTGAACAGATGTCAGTGACCGAATAGAATGGAGAATTTTAAATTGCAAGGCAACATGAAAGATGTAAATGTCAGATCAAGTGTAGTTTTGGTGTCGGCTTGCGGCTTCCTGACATAGAAACCGTCCGAATTGCAGAACTCATGTTTTATTCATCACTCAAGAGGGATAAAGAAATGCAATTTAAAGCTTACCTAGAATTATATCTGATAGACATGTAATGATTAGCAAGAATTATTGGTATCAAGCTGCATCGACTTGTAAACTTTTCATTGGACAAAATCATGCCCATGCGTGTAGTAGAGAAGGGGAGAAGAGAAAGCTGGAGAGGGAAAAACGCGAAAGAACAAAGTGATTTTGCTGACATAATCGGAGCTCTGGTCAATGCGGGTAATTCGGGGACAAGGGACAGCGACAGCCGTCACAAAGCTTCAAGTCCCAAAGTCGCGACGTTCCGAAGTCGAATTGTTGCTCCGCCATTCTCCTGGTGGATGCCCATCTTCTTTACCCCACCAAACCCCGATCCATTTGACGCTAATAAGTCTCCTTGATCTTATTCACTGCAACTCTCGCGTACTCCTATATCCTCCCACCATCCATCATGGCTGAATCTCCAGGCTCTCCTCTCTCCGAGCTGTCCTCCGAGGACTTCCCCGACGACGTCAAGACTGAGGAGCACGAGCACGAACGCGACCCTGTTCCTGAACACGCTATGCCTCCAAGCAAGCGTCAGCGGCTCAGTGGTCCCTCATGGGACGCGCGACACCCATATTCATCTTCTCATCGGCCTCGTCATGACGAACATGATGAGAATGGTGCTCACGGCGATGAAGGGGATGAGACAGAAACCGACATCTCCTCTGACACCTCGGGCGATATCCCTGGCTCGCCAAGCGGTGTATTATCACAGCTCCAGGATGAAGAGGCTTACGGTCATGAACAAATAACTGTCTGTCGTTGGGACGGTTGCCCCAAAGGTGACCTAGGCAACATGGACAATCTCGTCACCCATATTCACGACGACCACATTGGCACACGTCAGAAAAAGTATGCTTGTGAGTGGGAGGATTGTAGTCGAAAAGGGATGCCTCATGCCAGTGGCTATGCATTGAGAGCTCATATGCGAAGTCATACTCGCGAGAAGCCATTCTACTGTGCTCTACCTGGTACGTTCTTTTTCTGGGTTTCTACCAAGGTTTGCTTGTCGGAGGTTTGCCTGAATGCCCGCTCGCGCGAGAGCAGGGTAATGTGTTTTCTGCTCGGGTCAAAACTCCCCTTAGCGCCATTCCAAAATATCATTAATACAAAACGTTGGACTGCTTCAGATCTAACTTGAGATTAGAATGCGATCGCTCATTCACCCGCTCTGACGCCCTCGCAAAACATATGCGGACGGTTCACGAGACAGAGGCTCTTCGGCCCTCTGATCCAGTGCCTAAGCACCATGGCAATCCTCCCAATCGCAGTCAGCGTCTCAAGCTCATTCTTCCAGCTCGGCCGCCGAGTGACCAGCCCAAAGCCAAGCATGAAAACCATGAGGAAGATGTCGATGATGATGCCACCATTGTAACGACTACCGATCCCGACCTGGAGCAAAACGTCTCCACATATGAATATCCTCCCGACGTACATTTTACAGAAGAAGAACTGGCCATGCCACCGGACCAGTTATATCGCTTACTTCGCCGCCAGCTCTACTGGAACGAGGAAGAAAACCGAGAACTCAGGTCGGAAGTTGAGCACCTTGAGGCGAAGCGTAAGCAGGAGTGGCTGGCCAAGGAGTTGGTCCTGATGAATGTCATGGAAGCTGAATTGGCATGTGCAGAGACATTTGGATATGCCCCGGATGGTCTGCAGAAGCAGCTTCTTGATGACTTCTCCAAACTACCGCTCACTGGCGGCACTCCATGGTATCGCAAGGAAGGCGAGACCGAGGCAGTGAAGGCAGCGAAGTAGCCATACTCTGCGGCCTTTTTTTTTTATTTCCCCCTTTGAGATGCAAATGGTTACTGCAAGGGCGCAAAATTTAAGGCATGGCGCGTACGGAAAATGGGGAACAGTGGGATTGGCTTTCTTCTTTCTCTTTTCGATTGTAATAGCTGCAGCAGTGTTGAGCTTACCGATATGGCGGCATTGATGCGTACTGGCGTTTGCTTGCAAAAGGCTCTCACGGACATGATGGTTTTCTACGTTACTAGCTCAGCGAATGTTTTTCAATTTATTTGTCTTTAACATTGCTGCAATGGAGAGAACGAGGAATGAAGTCTTTACGTTCAAATTGCAATCCATGTCCATGTGTCTAGATAGCTTGTGACTGGACTTTTCAACTGGAAGATCTCAACAATCTCGGATCGAAACAATATTCAAACATGAGTGCCGCGACTGATTTCATCTCCCTTCTCGCAACTGGGCGCGAAGACGAGTGTTTGGTGTGCAAAAAAATTGCAAAACCTTCAATTCTACTCAATATTCTCACTTTTTTATTTGAGCCGATCTGAACTAGCTAAAGATACCAGGGCAAGATACGATAGATTCCTCTGATTTTCTGCATTAAAAGGGCGAATGTGACGGTTGTAGCCCTATAGGGTTAAAGTCGATCTGGAGTTAAGTTAGAGATCTTCCCGCGGTCGGTCCAGCTCTCACCGCCCGCAAACAAAGTTACCCCAAATAGACGACGTCATGAGCTCTGCTGACTTCTGACAGTAAATTGTCATATATAGTTGCGAATACAACAAAATTTAAATGCATGAGTTATACATGAACCAAATCTCCTACTTTTGCGTGATTCTCAAAAGAAATCACAGCTCTGCGCAGCTCTGGCAACAAACTGGACACAGACTAAAAACAAGCGCTGACGCGGCCAAGACGAGAGGCAGGTGAGGAAGAGACGACCAGAACACAGAACGACCAGGATATATGGGACTGTTGACCCTCGGGCCGTCTTGGCACAACTCCCCCCATCTGGCTCATCCCTGGGATTAATTTGGCTTTGCACAACACTCAGTTTTTTTGTGTTTCCTACATTTATACTTTTGAATTGATCCCTTACTTTCTTCCGTTGCTGCTGACCATCCCCCGCCTTCATTTCGTGCTGCATGTCCTGGGCGTCAACACAAGACTAGCAAGCCGATAACGCCACTGCCACTCTGTGTCTTATTCAGGGCGCAGTTATACAAATACAGTATCTCCTCACGCGACACACACGATTCCCCCCCATACGCAAATCCCCGCTCTAGACGGTAAAAAATCAACAACATGGCTACTCCACCGCCCCTCACGATCCGCAACCTCACCTCTACCCCTCTCGAATTGAAAGTGGTTGAACGCTACGCTGCGCCTACCATTGAAGAACCTCCTTCCAGTGGGATTGCCAACATCACCCGCCCTTTCACAAACTTCATCAGCAACACGACTACCACTCTCAGTCCCAATAACAGTCCTCGGCCCAAAGCTTCCCGACGGCCCTCTGCGCCTCAATTAGCAGAGACCTCGCAGTCCTTCTCCCGCGACGAGGTCTCCATATCGATCCCATCCTTCTCTACCTCCAAAACGGACCTCGAGCACGGGCCCGAGATCCTGCGCCTTACATTCGAAGCCGACTCGCAGCGGTACCGCGTCGACGTGCCTTCCCCGAGCAACGCCTCTTCCACTCTTGTTCCACTTACCCCTGACCCGCGACATGCGTACACGGCCATCTATCTCCCGCAGGACTCGTTCCTGGCCATCTTCTCCTCCGCCAACCTCTCCAGCTGGATGAAAGAGCTACGCGACGAGACGCCTCTCTCCGCGCTCTCCATCCCGGGCACCCACAACTCGCCCACCTGCCACCGCGCCCTCCCTTCTGTGCGCTGCCAAGCCGTATCTCCGCGCAAACAGCTCGAGAACGGCGTCCGGTTCTTCGACATTCGCGTCCAGCCCGAAAACCCCGCTGACCCGACCAAGGACGGGCTCATCCTCGTGCACGGCGTGTTTCCCATTTCCCTCACGGGGAACAAATACTTCCGGGACCTGGTCAATGTCGTCCAAGACTTCCTCAACGAGAACCCCTCCGAGACCGTCATCCTGTCCGTCAAGCGCGAAGGCACAGGCAACGCCACAGACGAACAGCTCGGCCGGATCCTGCGCGACCATTACGCCGGCGACGTCCACCACTGGTTCACCGCGCCCCGGGTCCCCACGCTCGGAGAAGCCCGCAAGAAGATCGTGCTCATGCGCCGCTTCGTGCTCGAGGACGGGCTCAAGCACGAATGGGACGGTGCGGGGTGGTGCATCAATGCCGAGTCCTGGGCATACAATACCCCGCACGACACGAGTCCTGGCGGCGACGTCTGCGTCCAGGACTTTTGCGAGGTCCTCGAGACGGAAAACATCGACAAGAAGATTGAGTATTCCACGCAGCAGCTCGAACGGGCCGGCCAATGCGTCTGTCAACTACCTCCTAATGCCGGCGAAGGAGAAGTCTCGGCGCTCCAAGCTGGTGTGCCCGAGGGCGAAAAACAACCCCTCTATATCAATTTCCTGTCCGCGTCTAATTTCTGGAAAGTCGGGTGCTGGCCGGAGAAGATCGCGGCGAAGCTGAACCCTGCCGTCATCGACTACTTGTGCAGAAGACACAATGAGTCTGATGCGGATGCGAATGCGCAAGTGGACGGCGCAGGAGCGGGCGGTGACAAGGGCGATGGGTCCACGGGCATAGTCGTCTGCGACTGGGTCGGAAATAACGACGATTGGGACCTCGTGCGGTGTATTGTTGGCATGAATGGAAAACTGGAAATGCGAGAAAAGCAAGCGTCATAGTGAAGAGAATCATTTGTTTGTTCATTTATTGGTCTGTTTCATCTCTTTTCTTTTTTGGCTTTGCTTCTTCTGATCTGTCGTGTCTTTCCCTTTTGCTTTTCTTTTGAGTTACATGAAGCGAATGTTTGAGGCTTGAACATTTTTATTCGATTAAGGTCAGAAAGGAAAAACAACATGTCAAGATGGTAGAATAAGAGCCAGCGGGGCACTGAGATATATTGATATAATTCTAAATTTTCTTAGGCGACATGAGTAAAAAATCACCTACATTTAAACAATAAACTTGCTATGCTATGGACCTGTGGTATAAAACCTTGAACTGTGTCTAACCGTAACTTTTACAAAGAGAGAAAAACAAAGTGGTAAGGGAAGTAGCTAGGGATATAAAGAAAGATGCAGGTAGGTATATACGCTTCTCTGCCAGCAAATGCTCCGCCTCTTCGCACGATGTGTCACATGTGTCGCATATGCTGTAACGTATACATGAAATCTCTTTTGAAATAAGAGAGGGGCAAGGGAAAAGAAAAGGAAAAAAAAAAAAAAAGCCTAAAGAAGAAGATTGGGTATGCACACGACGTAACTAAATCCAACCTACCACCCGCCGCCAATCTTCCCTGCCAACTCAACCACTCGCTCCGTTTCGCGCCCCTTGTCACGGTCCTTGCCTACATCGCTTTCGACCTTGCGATAAGTCGTATAAGCGAGGCGGTCGAGTGGGACACTCGTGGTGTTTGACCAGTGCGTCAGCATGGAGTGGATATATGCTGGGCTGATTCCATTGACATTGTCTGCCGCGATTTTTGCAGCTGTGCCATTGGACTTTGTGCCCACGGTTTCTCCTTCTCCTTCATCATCCGAAGCGGAGAAATATGCCTCGTCTACTCGTGCAAGCCATTCTCTTTGCTGCTGCGGCGTTGAGGTTCCAGAGCTTGCAATGGGCGTGGCGGTTCCCGATGTTGGCGCAGAATCGAGACCAAGATCAGCATTGGCGCCACCATTACTTGTAGCCGGAGCCGCTGGTGCAGACGATGCGACAAGGTCAATTGGCTTCAGCTGTGCGCCGCCGTTGGTGCATCCGCCCGGACAAGCCATGACTTCGACGTATGCGTAGTCTGTGCCGAGCCCTGCAGAAGAGGCGGAGGAGGCGGCTGCAGGCATTCCCGGCTTCCGACTAGCCCCGCCAAGACGGCGTGCTGCAGCGCCAGGCATGCGAGATGCCCGCGCAGGTTTTAACCGCCGTACGAGGTTCTGAATGTTGCGGAATCCGTAGTAGCGTGCTGTCTTGAGAATAACGCCGCCGTTGGCATCTTTTAACGTATAGTCGACAACATCCGAGTTGCGGCCTCGTACAATTTCAATGGAACTTCCTGGGCTTTGGGCCTGGTATGTGCACAGAATGTGATAGAGGTATCCGCCGGATGGGCCGCTGGCGGATTGGGCATTACGGTGTCTGGGATGATCGAGAGAGGGGAATAAGAAGGAATCGAGAGTAGGGTCGGGAAAAGGTACGCGGGTGGACGGGTCAAGAGGGGTCCGAGGAACGTCGTGGAGTGCGATTCCCCGTGATTCAGCGAGCATGAGAATCTCCTTGGTGGTGATGACGCAGTCGACATCGCGTATGCCTTGTTTCGTTTGCGACTGACTATCGGTTTGCCACGCTAAATCGGTAAGCTCTTCGCGGCTAGCTTCGAGTTTCTTGTCAAAACACGGCATCACGGCCAAGTGCCAGATGCGGTCTGGCGAAATGTTGAGCCGTTTGCTGAGAGATGTTTTGAGCAGAGTTCCGAGTAATGCCTGCGGAGACTTGAGACGTGATAGGTGCGGTAGAATATGCGGATGCGTTTTCTCGGCGTAGCATATCCAGCCCGGACAAGCAGAGGTGAGAATTGGACGTTTGGGATGAGTTGGATTATCGCCTTGCGCCTGTTCGTTGCTTGAGCTTTGTGCCAGACTCTCCTTGACCTCGTCTGCGCCAAGGACAAGACATGCTTCCCGCGCTACGTTTGTATCTATCACCCATGTGAATCCATTCTTGTATGCTCCTCCTGATCGAATCCCCTGCGGTCCGCTGAACAGCTGCTCGAGCATGTAGCCTGCCTGCTGCTCGGAAATGCCATATGCAGCGGCTAAACTGGCCCGTGTTTGTGGGCTGATGCTGACAATGAATATCCGGCCTTCACCCAGGCCATTCTGTTGCTCACCTCGCGCAGCAGCAGCGAGGAGCTGAGGGTCGATTGATGGAGTCGAGTCTAGCGCGTTTAGGACTTCAGAATGCGATTGCAGAGAAACGAGAACAGCCTCAGCAGACGTGACACAACCGGAACAGGCCAAACAATCGGTCAGGGAAATTTGCGCGGGCGGTGCATCTGGTGGAGGAGGGACTTTGTCTTCGGTCGTCACTTCGTAGGCGTTCTATAGTAGCGTACGATACGATTAGTAAACCATTGACAAAAATAAGGAATTTCCAAACACATACATTAGGTTCTTTTAACTCTTCCTTCGGGAGTGTCTCTACGGGTTTAATACACGCGACGCCAGGTGAAATGAAGTCATTCAGGTCATCTGCAGAAAGAATTGCGCTCATGGTGGGGAGGTCGGCGAACCCCGCGGAGAAGGCGGAGTGGCAAGAGAGTCCGCGAAATCGTGGGGAAAAGCAATTCGAGAGAAATTCGAGTGGTACTAGGAGACTGTGAAGATAATCTAGACAGGAGGAAGAGATTTTTACAATTTGAAGGGGAAAGAATGAGTGGAGAGTGGAAAAATTGGGGCAGAAAGAAGATGATTAAACCATCTGCCAGTGCTTTGGAATCGGAATTGGATGGTGGCGATTGGATGGTTTCCGCGGACGGTTATTCTGGAGACAAATTCTCACCGCCTTCAACCCGCTAGACTACTAACGATCTAGTGTCAAAAGGAGCATTGGTCAGCCATTTTTCCCTTTCAAAACTCCATCGCCAACTTCATCTCCGCGATCACTGAATTCATATTGAAATCAAAGCAGCTACGTGTGCCCCATAGCGTACGTCGCTTGTTTCCGTCAGGTCATCCTCTCATGTACGCAAGTGACTAATTTCTGACAGTGAATCATATCCTATCGAGGAAGTCCACATAATGTCCCGCGAAACCTACCAAGTCCCAAATCTTACTGGCGCCTCTTACGGCGGCGGTACTACCGGCTTCCAGGATGCCGCGACCTTCACCATTCAGTATATCTGCGGTGAATGCGCTTCCAAGGTGTCGCTGAAGCGCGGCGACCCGATCCGTTGCAAGGAGTGTGGACACCGTGTGCTGTACAAGGAGAGAACCAAGCGGTAAGATATTTCTGAGTACCCGCGTTCATTAGCTAGATGCTGACTGGGTGGTTAAAGCATGGTGCAATTTGAGGCGCGGTAAATAAAAGTCTGAAGCATGCAAGGATTTGGGACGATTTCAAGAGCATGGACGGAGCACGCCGTCCGCGTGGCGTTAATACTGGCATGGGGCGTTTTTGGGGCTTTACAAAAACCCATCACAGCATGAGATTTTCTCATGAACTATTGCGACTTTCTTCTCAGAATTATCTTCATATTGAAAGAATATCATACATTCAATAAATGGATATCATATGCGTCTAGACTCTATCATGTGGGTTTATAGCTTGTTGGTGACCTCGACAAAACTGCTCCACGACTTCCACGCCTCTCCGCTCTCGACTGCCCATCGCGCCCTGCGCACACCTTCCTTCCATCTGCCTCCGCCAGGTCCCCGCTCCGTGATGACCTTTCCATCATCTCCAGGACCCATATTGCTTGTGTCGGCGTCGCAAATACCAGCGACGACGAACAGGGCAGCAGTGTTCATCAGGACAAAGTGAAGAATAGGGTCATCGCGGGGAAGCTGATTCTTCAGCAGCTTTGTTAGAATCTCCGCATTCTCTTCGGGGAGCTTGCCCGGCGATACTTCGGACAAGGGATGCGCCGGGAGACCAAAGTCTTCGGGCGAGAGATAAAAGTGCTCTACATCAACAAAGTTTCGTGGAGGCGCATCCTCATCGCTCGTCGTAATTTCTTCGTCTTCCTCATTCTTTGGGCCGCGGAAGTCGGGGTTTGGTCTCTCAGACAATCTCCAGCAGAGTGTGCGGCCAGCGCAGCTAATCTCGTCCAAGTCCTCCTCGCCGCAGATGATCATAGCCTTCTTGGCACCACTCAACTTCAGCGCCTGGGCGAAAGCAGGGCCAAGGTCCTTTCGAGCAATTCCAATAACTCTTGCTTCGATCGCGACATCTACAGGGTTTGCCAGAGGGCCTAGCAGATTGAAAATCGTTCTCCAACCCAACTCCCTTCGGACAGTTGCTATATGCTTCATGCCGGGGTGGAAGACTGGCGCGAAAAGGAATGCGTAGTTGGACTCATCATACACCTTGATCAGTGACTCAGCATTGATGGCCTGTAGATTCGGCGCTTTAGGGGCCATAGCGGCCAAGACATCTGCTGAGCCAGACTTGGACGTTGACGCGCGATTGCCGTGCTTGCTGAGAAGAAGGAGAGAAGAAGCAAGGATTGAGGAAGTTGTGGAGATGTTGAAAGTGTTGTGGGAGTCTCCGCCAGTGCCTACAATGTCACACTTTTAACTACCATTAGCACTCTGCTTCTTTGAATGGTTTACAAGTGCGACATTGATTTTCATGATGATTTACATACAAATCCACCTCGATAGGTGCCCTCTTTCCGGCCTCTTCTACGAACCAGCGCTCGGAGAGCCTTTGTGTCAACCGGAGCCGCAGCAAGGCGCATGACCTCTGCTGACTTGGCAATTACATCGCCTTTACGGTCCCACCCAGTGAAATGCAACGCCGTGAGCAGAGCGCCAGCTTGAACTGGCGAAAGAGAATTGGTGAAGATATGCGAAAGAGCTAGGGCAATCTCATCAGGTGAGACTTTGGCGTCTCCGGGCGAAGGCCACAAGCGTTTAAGAAGAGGTGTGATGGACACATAAGTGTCCTTGTCAGCTTCTTGAGCCATTTTTAGAGGAATTGAGAAAACTTTCTCTTGGGAGAACCTCTAGTGTTTCCCTTTGAATGACTGACCGTCTTATATTGAGTCAGTCAGTCAGTCAGCCTTGAGACCCCTCCGTGGGGCGGTTGGACCCGGCAGAATCCGCTGACATAAGCAGAACTGTCTTTCCCTCCGTGCGCTAAACCGATTTAGGACATTTTCGACATCTTCACCTTCGGATCATCAACGAGACATCGCAACACGACTCTGCAATTGTGGTCTGGTACGCCAATTGAACTCTCCAATGCATCTCATATCGTCATCTAACTTTAATTTTCTAGTTTCTCCTGTGACCGCAGCATAGTCCCGCTGTCAGCATGCCGCCCCGAATACCGCTTGGACTGCGGCAGTCTGCCGCAGTCTGTCCTGGAGCCGCTGCACGAACACCAGCAGCAGCTACCATCCCAGCTGCTGCTCTGATCCACGCTCGTCATGCCTCAGCAGTCACGCCTGCCGCATCTCACGAGCAAATGACAGTGTCTCCTCCTCCTATTGCGCGGTACCCGACGACACAGCCGCCGTCGCACAAGCCGCCGGAGTTCCGCAAATCGCAACTACACCGACAGTACACATCTCTCCTCCGCTCGACTCCTTTGATGCTGCTATTCCAGCACAACAACGTCAAAGCCAGCGAATGGACCGGTATCCGGCGAGAGCTGGCCGCTGCGTTGCGCAAAGCTGACGCCACTATCCCTGAGGGATCCGCCGACGCAGACCTTGCTTCGGGGATTAAATTCCAGATTGTGCAAACCGGCATATTTGCCTCGGCGTTGCAGGTCGCCGAATACTTTCACCCGGAGCAGCAACAACAATCTGCCACTTCATCATCAACCACCTCCGCCGCCAATATTCCCAACGCCACCCCTGACCCCACCGACCCGGCTTACACCCACGCTCTGTCCCGGCACGCCTGGGAAGCCACGCAAAATAACAAACTCAGCCACGCTCTGACGCCGCTCATGTCGGGCCCTCTCGCGGTCCTTACCTTCCCGAACGTGTCCCCCGTGCACCTCAAGGCCGCCCTGGAAATCCTCTGGCCCAGCAAGCCCAACTTCCCGGCCCCCACGCGACGGGTTAACCCCGGCTACCACGAACCCGCAGTGCACAGCGGTCTTCAGAAGCTCCTCCTCCTGGGCGCCCGAGTCGAGGGCAAGGTCTTTGACGAGGCCGGCGCCAAGTGGGTTGGCACCATTGGCGGCGGCCTCGACGGCCTCCGCAACCAGCTCGTGTACATGCTCCAAGGCTTCGGCGCGGGCTTGACGAATACTCTTGAGAGCGCTAGCAAGAGTCTGTACTTTACCATTGAGGGCAGAAGGACCATGCTCGAGGACGAGGAGAAAGGAGGTGAGAAGAAGGACGGTGAGGAGTCTGCATAGAGAGAGAGACACACAGACAAAAGAGACTTGTATTACTATTACCCACAACCCTTTTTTAAATTTTCTTTCTTTCCCGCCTTTTTCCCTTCTCGCATGATCATATCTGCGACGCCGTTCGGATAGATGATCGGCGTGTGGTCTTTTTATATACATTGTTACATGTTGGTGTATTTTATTTTTCTCGTTTGGCAGCTATGCATAAGGGTATCTATTCGTCCATTTGTCAAATAAAAAGCATATTCCTACCATTGTTCTTTTCCCACTGATGGGTACATTGAAAAGCTCTTTAAAGTCACTAACGGGCTTCTCCGGCAAACCCCGACAATCTCTGAATTTTTTTTACGAGCATTTCCTTGAAATTTTGGCTCAATAATTGTGTTATACTTATAGCAGGGCTTAGCGAGTTATAGAAAGGTATCATGAAGATGGATGAAGACAATGATCAGCGCGTGATGAAAGTATCATCGAGAGTCTAGGTGACTACTATCTTAGCATGCAACGATTGTTTTAGAAGGAGCTTAATGCAGCTTATAGACAATTTTAGCGTTATTATTTATAAAACTAAATTATGCTAGATAACAAGAAATCTATGTACATGAACTAAATCAGATAACTGATTAATTAATGACTGTCCCCACGCCCCGCCTGCGGTGCTTTCTTGGGGATTTCGTGAGTCCGTGACAAGCACTACACCTTCCTCCTCCTCCCCAGAACAGAACCAATGGCTCCAATTACTGAATATGTTTTTCTACGATCAAGCCATTTGTGTTCAATGTCTGGCGGGCCAAGCGTCGTAGAGTCCCTCAGAGACGGTCACGTCTCCGAAAGTCACGTCCTTGACGCCGTTGTGGAAGAAGCTAATGTCCGTCGAGTTGGCGTACCACGACCTAGATAATATTATTAGCTCGAAATGTCCCAATTTGAAAGAAAACTCATACAGGATCAAAACTTACCGGGCCCAAGTACTGAGGGCAAAGCGGCCGTTGGCGTAGACCTCGAGAACGGCATTGTCGACCACAAGGGTGAGCTCCAAGGTCTCAATCTGCTTCTGCTGCGCACCGTCAGGGATGACATCAAACAGCCGCAGACGGCCTGCTTCGTTGACGGTCTCGATGCCATCCGTGGTCTGAGCCGCGGCACTGGTGTTGCTGCGGTCCACGATGATGGATTCGTTGGAGAACTGGTAGTAGACGGTGGTGCTCTCGTGGTTAGACGACAGGATCTGGAATCCAGACTGGAGGCCCGAGTGGCGCGCAGATTGGGGGAAGGAGATATTGGCGCTGATGACCTGGAACTTGCTGGAGGGCGAGCGGTTGAACGGCACAACGCCTGCCTGGCTCAGGTTACGGCCGGGCTCGACATATGACGGGCCAGAAACCAGGGCGTTGTAGGTCTCATTGGCAATCTCCACGCCGAGGGTCTTGATCTGGACAAGGCTCGAGGCATTGTTGTGTGCCACGCGCCACGATGATCCGTTCTCGTGCACGAGCTCGTTCTTGACGACATTAGGGATGGTACGAAGGCTCAGCTCACGGGGGAGCAGAAGCGAGCCGGTCCAGTTTTGCTGTGCAGCCGGGAAGCCCTCTGCCATTCCGAAGGAGTTTCCGGACAACCAGACCCACGAGATGAAGCGGTCCGGCGCACCGGCTTTGGTTGACGCCTGAGATGTCGATGGCATTTCCTTTCCGGAGCCAGCGTACGCTGAAATACCCCAGTCCAAAGTACCGGCCATGGTCGGCGTGAAGGTGATGTTGCCGTGCTTGGAGACTTTTCCGGCCGCCCACAGCTGATCGTGGTTGGCCGAGACCTCGGGCACGGCGGGAGCATACGACCACTCGGTGCCGAGAGTGACGAAAACCTCATCGTCAGGGCTGGATCCCTCCTCGTCATTGAGGTTGAAGATGTTTCCCGTCTCAAAGTTGAAGCCCCATCGTCCGGCCCAGGTGCCATCTCCCCAGGTGGAATTGGCAGGCTCATGCCACCACTGTCCGAGGTACTCCCAGTACTGGAGGTCCGGGTCATACTGACGGTAGAGGAACTGACTGGGACCGTCATCGTGGACACCGCCTGAGACGACGACGTACCAGGCTCCTTGCGTGCTGTCAAGGGCGGCGTCAAGCTTCGAGTTCTGGAACACCCACGGGTCGCGGAAGCCTGTCCTGTTGACGCCGAACGGAGCGTCAGGGATGACCGGACCCTGGTTGAGCTTGGTGAAGTTTCGGCCGCCGTCGTAAGAGACGGCCAGAGACTGAGTCTCTCCTCCGCGAGGGTAAGGGATCGTCCAGTGAATGGGGAGGAAAGACACCGAGGTGTAGAGGAGCGTGGGCATGCCGTCAATACCGCTGGGGAAAACGCTGCCGTCGAACACACCGACGGGATCGTTTACTCCGCCAGGACTAATGATCGGGCCACCATCCTCGCGGAGATCCTGATAGTGGATGAGATCATCGGTCATGGCTCCGCCAAGGCCTTGACTCATGATCCAGCCAACGTGGAACGAGCCTGTCTTGGGGTCCGTGTACTGCACGCATGGGTCGCCCACATTGCCCGACGGAGGAAGGACGTGGGCTTTGGGTCGCCATAGATCATACAGGGATGAATTGGCCAGAGTCGACAGATTGGGCGGTGCCAGGTTGTAGTCGATAGTGGTGTAGTTTCTAGGACGAACCGCAGCACACGCTGCCTGGCCCACGAGAAGGAGGGCGGCCGCCGATGCGGTCTTCATGGTGCCGAGACGGAGAAGGAGGAGGAGGAAGAGGAGGAGGGTATGAAGAGAGTAGTTCGCGACGTCTCAGAGCCTTTCACATACTTTCGAGGAGAATCTCAAAGTATTTAAATACTTGACATAAAGAGTCCGAACTTGACCGAGACAGTATACCTAATGCAGTGTTGACTTCTCAAACCTGATTTCTTCTTGATTCTTGTTTTCGTTGACCCGCCCAAGGAGGATCTCATCTCGTCTCCACAGTGGTTAGCCATATGGGTAAGAGTTCTGTGTCCAAGGCAGAAAGGGGAATATAATGTCGTCAGCTGTGGGCCACATTCTGTAACAACAAGCGCCGGAGATAGACTGCATGTGGAGACGTTGGCTAAAGGCCCGAGAACCGTATTCACGGGGAACGCAAGGTACGAGAGTAGGTAAATTGACTAGTGTCCGGTGGTCTACCAGACATTATTATTCACATCTGTACTCGCAATCCTCCGGTCATGTGTGCAGTGTACGTGTGGCCTAGCCCTATTCTGTAGCCCTATAGCTGGATTATCACAGGTATGAGTTCACCATTGTAGAGCGTACACTTGGACAATGATATTTATTAGGACCTTGAGAAGATCTAAAAACTGTCAGCAAAGACTTGTTCAACTTGAGAGATAGCAAGGTCCTCACTGAGTTTGAAACGCTAGATAATTTACATTTAACCAGATTTTTCCTGGTTGAAATAAAGTTGAAGTTAGTATCCAAACTAGTTACTGCTAATCTGATTGTTTGGGTAATCCTGCTCGCTTGGAGAAAGAGATGATGATGATCCTCATAATCTAATCGGTCCGATTAAGTTGCATTAGTTCCTTTGGGCTTAGTTGGTTGATGGCTCCCCTCGGAAACGTGAAAGGATTAATGGTTCCGATGGTTCCTATGACGGGTGTCACACTGAGCTTGATTTCTCCTAGTTGGCTGGAAAGAAAGAGAGAAGAAAGAATGAGGAGCCGGAAGAAAAGCCGGAGGGGTGGTGGGGGTGGTTCATTCGTATTAAGCTCGCGGGAAAAGGTACCCGTTCAGGGGCAATGGGGGACCCACGAGCTCGTAATAATACCCCCGGCCTGGAGAGATCAACAATCGTGCAAGAATACTTCATTTTGGCGTAAAATCAATAGATCGATCACGTCAAGAAGAAATTTTTCTACAGGGATCATTGGTTACTAACAATTGCATCTTCTTCTCCGAGTGGTCGTACTCAACACTAAGTGTTAGTTCTATATAATTCTTGTTTTTCAAAAGAGAGAAATTCTCTAAAACAGACAAAAATTTTAATGAAACAGCCACATGCAGGATTCGTCTCGTCTGATAGACTGATGAAACTGATCTACAATGCCTTGAATTTTCCAAAAAAAAAAAAAAAAAGCAAAATATCAAGGAGAATATCAAGGAAAAGCAAAAATGTTAAATAGTGCGCTTTGGTGAGATGACTATGCTTTTTGATGGGTAGATATTGGCCACCCGAGAATGTAGCCAACCCAGGATATTAAAGGCAGATTAGAAATGCGGGTTTGCATGAAGTCAGCTGCTGGGCTAGAAAGCTTTCTCTTCAGATTGCACCACTTTCTTGCTGGACTGCCCCTAGAATGGATGACGGATGTTGAATGAAATGTTAATAAAATCTCAACAATTTTGCAATTGTGCGATTCATGTTTGGGTGAGTAGATGCCAGAGCCCAAGAGACCGAGATCAACCCTCTTTCAGAATCCATCGTTGCCATATTTAGTCTGCCCTGCGAGGAATACTCTTGGTCATCTGAGTGGGTCAATATGCCAATTTCTAGCTTGAGTCGATCATTTCTCAAGCTGTATGAATTAGACATGGATTGATACGGCTCGTGTCCAGATTGAATGAGCGCAAGGGAACGTATAAATTCTCAAAGAGTGCTTTGCTACTAGACTCTTGAGTTTTGAAAATAAAAGGAAGAATATCCTTTTATATGCTTTCGTCATGGCTCTGAGGTGCATCTAAGCAGCCAGTAAACGTTTTACATTTCAATGTACTCAGCGGAACCACCAATTTACCTGAAATTCATCACTGGGTTAGCAATATTCCATGCTGTAAATGAATGCTAGCCTTTGTTACACCCACCGAGCCAATCATTCCTTCACCCACGCCTTTGATGCTATGCCACCAGCCTTTGGGAATGAACAAACCATCTCCCTTTCGTAACGTAGCTTCGTAAAACATATTCTCTCCGGCACTACCAATGTTACCAACGAATTTGGAGCCATTGTCCCACACAGCATTTTCCAATAGATTCTTTTCCTCCCCACACATCATCTCATCACCGCGAATCGTTGCTGATCCATTACGCCCAAGTCCGCGCTGGACTCCTTCATAAATTGCCGCACCAGTATGAGGAGGACATAATCTGACAACTTTCACGCCAGCCAGCTGTACAAATAAGTTAGGATTCGGATCTCGGTGGAGCGGAGTATATGTCGGCGCTAAGCCAATCCATATATTGGTATCATATATATCCCCTTTGCCCGCTTGGGAGACGAGGTCTGGCGTCGGTAGATCTCCTTGCAATCTGTGCGGAAGCTCGTCGACCTGCGCTTGAGCAAGGTACAGTCGCTCTGGAGAGGAAGAAGGAGTAGTGCGGGCCCATCGCACAAAAAGGTTAAAGGGGGCGAGCATTCGCTGAAACGAATCCTGCGAGGAGCGAGTTAATTCCAGCGGGACTATCGGGTTGTCCTTTCCCACAAGATAGTCATCGCGTAGATAGACTCGTGGGCCGGGAGTAAACCACTTGTATACGGCGGGAATACGTCGAAAGTGTCCTCGTGGAAGAAGGGTAGGGATTGCAGGGAGGAACGCTTCCTGTCGGAAGTGCTCAACACTACCCTCTTTCAAGGTTCGCACATGCTTGAGAGGACGAATTTTATCGGAATATAATCTGCATTGAGATAGTGTGTAGCTGAAGTTGAATCGCTTCAGCCTCATTGTTCACGAATACCATCTTATTTGTATAGATTGGGCCGAAATAAGAGTTGAACTGGAGGACGGGGAGACTACCCCAGAATGCGGAGGATGCCGCTTGCTGTGGGTTGATGTCATGCCGTATTAAATAGTATGGCGGCTGTTTACAATTTGCCATATCGGGGTGCAACGCCAACCATTACTCTTCACGCTCTAGCAAAATATTATTTTCTCCTGTAATTGAATAGAGTAAATTTCAAACCGACAAATCTATCTCCAGATCAACAATATGAATGTGGAGACACATAGTAGTAGATTGAAAACAGGGCTACACATCGACCTCCAAGACGCCTTCCATCACCTTGATGGCAGCGCCGCTCAAGGTGACTGTCTCAATGCCCGTGCCCTCGCTGTTGCGGACAACCTTGACTATGATATCGCTGCGCCGTCCCATCTCAACGCCTTGGGTGATAGCATACTCAAATGGTCCCGCACCCTTTGAAGCCGGCTCTTGCAACGACAAGTAGCATGCCAGCGTGCTCGCAGCGCTTCCAGTGGCCGGATCTTCAAAGTCAAGATGCATTCTCGTCCTGATCGCTTGTCGTCCGTTCCGATCGATTCCCAAAGAAACGTAAAAGTAGGAACCCAAGACACCTTTCTGCCATCCTTCGTCCAAGGTGTCTGGCTGGTAAGGGTTCTGCAACACACCCTTGTTTGCATTGCCCAAGGTCGAAGTATCCGGAAGGCGAATAAGGACAAAGTTCAGTTCCTTGACAATGGATGCAATTGGGGAATTTCGATCATCGCTGAGATTGCTCGCCAACCGAGCATCGTGAATATGGAATTTTTGTGGAATTTGCGCACCTACAACTTTCCCGTCAAAGTTGAGAGAAATCGGACCGGCTTTTGGCAAAAGCGTTTTGACGTTTCGGCCTTGCTCCTTGAGAAGATAGTATGCCGTGCCAATGGTCGGATGGCCTGCAAAAGGCAATTCCGTCTCAATGGTGAAGATGTCTGCCGCGATAGTGTCGACCGGCTCACCCTCAGACGGCTCGTGCACAAATACCGTCTCGGAAAGATTGAATTCTTTGGCAATAGCTTGCTTTTGTTGTTGGCTCAGCTTATTGCGTTGCTCGGCTGGGAGCTTGACAATGGCCAGCGGATTGCCCTCGTAACGAGTGGTGGTGAAGACGTCGACAACCACGTAGGACAGCTGCATCTTTGCAATTATCTTTCGATGTCGTCAGACCTGAAATATCCACTTAATTGACACCTGGGGTGCCAATTGGAAATATTTAAATGGAATGCGGCCAGCCGTGACGCAGAATCAACAGAGTCCTCTGGCCCGTGACTCATATTAGTCATATGGAGCCCGCAAAACAATGACGCCTCAAGCCATTCGCAGCCAGTCATCTGTAGGGCGCACATTCTCATTTCAATTATTGAACCGAATTTTCAATGTTAATTTAACATCTGCATCCGATTCATCTCAGAAGAGAGGGCTGGTATGGTCAGTTTCGGTGACCAGTAGTCATTGTGGGTTCCTCAAGGCCTCGTCATCTGCACAGCCCCGTCCGTGTCAAGGATATGAACGAAGGATACCCAGTGGACTGGCCTCACGAATGACACGATGGAAAACGGTGGTAAAAAGAGGGGATGAGCGAGCTCATCGAGTTTTTCCATCTTGATGGCTTTGTCATCCATCGCTGCCCGGATTGACTGCGGTTTTTACCCCCCACATTGTTTGAGGATGGTGCAGTGGGGATGTTTTAACAACTTCCAATGATACATCGCTGCCAGAAATGTCAGAATACAAGCGATGAATGTTCCTGAATAGACAAGTGCACATCTGATGAATGGTTGGAGGATTGATCGACAGAGGGAAAGCTTTCATATCGTTGCAAGGGTACCTGGGCGATCACCCGCATCTCTTTGCTCAATTCAAAAAGAAGTCGATCAATAATTTTCGGCTGTGACGCTTTTACTGCGGGGATCTGTCGTATACTTGGATATTCTCTCCCAGTCACTCTTTCTCGGGGTCATCATTCCTGGAAAATTCCAAAATTTGGGGATCTTGTCAAGTAGACAGGGAAGCCTCCTTTTCGCTTGCCCTTGCGTGACGGACATCCGGAAGCTCACGAGTATGGATTATTGATGAAATGTTCTCTCACAAGACAACGGTCACGTCTCTTTCCACTCTCTTGGCTTGATTTTACATTCGGCGAGATTCTCGCGCACAAGGGAATTGAAGGGTAAATGATTCGACACCCCTAAAACCTGGACTTGGCAATTAAGTCCATTTCGTCTTCAGCCTTCTGTATCTGAACGCGTAACGTATGCTGTGGGATGCACCAGGTTGTGATGCGGGCTTGGTTGTTTTTGCCGCCCTCGTCACATCTGCACTCCGCTGTGAATCCCTGTCACCGTGCAACTTTCCATCCAATTGGGCAAGAAATACCCCGCATGATACGGATCCCCTTGGATTCAAGGGAAATTGGGGGAAACTGGGGGGAAAACAGCGTATTATGAAGACATTCCTATAAAGCCAGGCACCTGAATAGCTATGCTTAACTGCAAGCACAGCATTATCTGTTTCTATTTCCGTTCGACTGTATCAATATTATCAAGTCATGGAGAACGAAAGAAAGAAACATTTTGCCTCAATTAAGAGGAACAATTCAGGCGATGATTCCTACACCTGCTATTATCCTGTTCTGATTGTGGGTGCTGGTCCAGCTGGTATTGCATTGGGATGCAGATTGAAGCAGAAGCTGGGCTTCGACCAGTTCGCCATCTTTGAACGGCATTCAAACCTCGGTGGAACTTGGTGGATCAATCGGTATCCCGGCGTTGCTTGTGATGTGTAAGTGACTTCCGATTTCTATGGTATTTGAACAACCATTAATATCGAACAGAGCTTCCGTCTTTTACTCTTTCTCTTTCTCTCCATTTAGTCGCTGGACTAAGTTTCATGCTCCTGGTGCAGAGATTACTAAATATCTGAATCTTGTGTGCGAGAGATTTCAAATAGTTGACAAGATCCAATGCGATACCTTGGTATCAGAAGCGCGCTGGCTCAATGAAGAAGAAGTGTGGGAGGTCACTCTCATTCACCTCGTTCCTGGGACCGGAGACCTCAGTGAGGAGGATCGCGAGTTGAGAATCCTGATGGAGGGAGAGAACAGCGTTTATCTTCGGAAGGAAGTTGTTCGCGCAAAGATATTTGCTAGTGCAGTAGGCAGTTTTGCTGAGCCGCAAAGCTGGCCGAGAAACATTCCAGGAAGGGAGAAATTCCAGGGGCCTATCTTTCACGCTGCCAGGTGGAACCACACTGTCGACCTTGCTGATAAAGATGTTGTCGTTGTTGGAACTGGATGCTCATCGATCCAGATTGTGCCGTCGCTGCTCTTGTCTCCGCACAACGTCCGATCAATCACTCAACTCATGCGTACTCCTCCCTGGGTATTACCTGCATTTGGAGAACCTCCCTTCGGAGAGGAAAAATGGAACAAGTATAGTTCGACGTTACTCAGCTACTTGCCTGGTTTTGGTCTTTTGATGAGATTAATTATCTTTTTGGACGGAGAACATGATTTTCGATTGTTCGGAGGCGAGGAGTATCATCAAATTGAGAGAACAAAGGCAAGTAAAATATGGTTTTCTACTTCAATACTGCCACTGACGATAAAGCAGTACGAGCAGAATCTTACGCGCTATATGAAGACGGTTGCTCCAAAAAAGTATCATGAAGCATTGATACCAGACTATGGAGTTGGCTGCAAACGCAGAGTCGGAGGGGGGATGTGGTTGAAAAGCCTCAATGACCCTCGGGTTACTCTAACGACTGCACCTCTTTTATGTGTTGAAGAAAAGAGCGTTACCCTAGGCTCAGCGTGCAAGTCCCCAGAGAAGGGCAATTCTGCCGGCTCGGAAACCACCAGTGTACCTGCCGACGCCATTATTCTTGCTAATGGATACAAGACCACCGAGTGGCTTCATAGCTTGAAAGTCCGTGGGAAGGATGGCAAATACTTGGAAGAAGTCTGGAACGAGAGGGGCGGGCCTCAAGCTTATCTTGGCACTGCTATGGACGGTTTCCCCAACTTTTTCATCATTTTCGGGCCCAATACAGTAACCGGGCATAGCTCAGTTATCCTTGCCATTGAAAACATGGTAAACTACAGCCTCAAATTCATGAAGCCCATCTTGAATGGAGATGTGGCAACTGTGGAATTGAAGAAAGAAGCAGAGGTGGCCTGGGCTGAAGAGATCCAAGGGGCTTTGCGCCAGACAGTGTTTTCCAAGGGTGGCTGCACAAGTTGGTATAAGACCGATACCGAGTGGAACGCTGCTGCTTATCCGTAAGTGTTTTCGAATCTCGTGAAGAGCAGTGGCATGGACAAGCACGTGCTAATCATATTTCACGTAGATATTCCCAGGTTGATTTTTGGTGGAGATGCACATTCCCGAAATGGCGGGATTGGAACATGCAATATACTCGTAAAGGTCTAATCAAGCGTCGACTGGGACAGACACTCAAGCTGTGTGTAATCTTCGCTGCAATTGCTGCCGCTACCAGCTGGTGGCAAGCGGGAATAAGAGCACAGCAGGCCTATGAGATTGGTTGTGCGTGGGTATCTGATACTTGTCGGAGTCTGTTTGACTGGATAAAAAGCCGTTTTTAAGGATTCTACATTGCGACAATGATTTCAGTCAAGCAATATTCGTTGCAAGCGAGTCTCATGATATATAGACGACATCATCTCAGGATATAATTGACAGTAGGCAGAGGAATTAATGAATGGTGTAAGAGTATCAATGGCGCCATCTTTTGTGATAAATATGCTCTGAGATAGGCTGCTATCTGAATTATCTGGAGGTCAGATAAGGCACATGGCAAGTCTATCAAGGGAACATTCTGCTGGCGGGCGAGGGCGGGGCACTGGCGATAAGAGGGGGGCGTATTCTGGTAAGCGGTGGAGTTTGTCATCGAAGCGGGGTGGGGCTGAAGGAGACTTCTTGTTCGTATTCAGTTAAGGCTTCACCAAACGAGCCAGTTAAAACTTGGCTAAATTCTGACCGGAATTACTTCCACATAGCTATACCTTTCTCAGTATAACCGTCGGCAGTGACCGGCCTGGCAGTAATCATCATGTCGTACTGAAGTTCAAACAACGTAGCATTTGACAACAACACTCTATGATCGGATTCTCTTTTGGAAATTTTGACCTTCTTTGGCACTGATTGGACGTTTATTCCACTGGCGCTCTTACCTCTCAAATTTCTGATATTATAACGATTTACGACACGCTCGGCGACCCATTATGGCTCCGAATCGCATCATCATTGATACCGACCCGGTAATAGCTTCACTTGGTACAATTCGAAACACATTCTCTGAGTACAAGCTGACCCGCTGTACTCGGACTTTCAGGGCGTCGATGATGTTCTTGCTATTTTACTCGCTCTGTCTGCTAAACCGGAAGAGCTCGAGGTGCTCATGTTGTCGCTGACCTTTGGCAACATTGACGTCGCCAAGTAAGCACCCATTATGCTTTCGAAGCTCCCAATGGGTCTTAATCCTACAATATAAGGACCTAGAATGTTGAGGCTAACTGAGTCGTCTCTATAATTAGCTGCCTCCGCAATGCTGTGACCATGTTCCACGTCCTCGAACGGGAAATCAAATGGCGACAAGAACAGGGCCTGCCAACGGGCTTTGACACATTGAGATCCAAAAAACCGCTTGTCGCAGTTGGCTCAGAAGAACCTCTCGCAGACCAGAGAATGATGGCCGACTACTTTCGTACGAATGACCTACTCACAGCAATTTCGCAAATCTATAAGCCGCCTGAGCTGCTAGGCTAACACAACTTGCAATCAACAGACGGCACAGACGGTCTCGGAGGCATCCACTTCAGTGTGAGCAGCGCCAAATCTTACCTTGCCTCTACAGCGGCAAAACCAGGATAATAATTGACAACATGGCCTTATAGCACCCCCATCTGACTCCCGCAGAGACATGGAAAGAGCTCTTCAGTCCTCCCCGAGCCGGCGCATCAGCCGCCGAAGTTGCCGCCGCTCGAGACCTTGCTGCTCCAAACACTCTCTTCGAGCCGTCCACCGTACCTGCTCCAGACGAGATTCTTCGCATCTTGCGAGAAAACGAGCCCGATACCATTACCATTGTGGCCATTGGACCGCTAACAAACCTTGCCAAAGCAGCGGCAAAGGACCCCGAAACCTTCTTGCGGGTCAAGGAGGTCGTAGTCATGGGCTGCACAATTGATGTCGAGGGAAATGTATGTTTCGCCATCTCTATCCTGTTCATCGCGTGTCTTCTATTGTCACTATTTGCACCGATCATTAAAACCTTACACCCCAATGCAGATTACTCCAGTCGCAGAATTCAACACATACGCGGATAGCTATGCTGCGGCGCGCGTGTTCGCACTAACCTCTCCTGCTCCCTCCACCACAATGCCTCCAGCCATGCCTCCCTCGACCAAACGCAACGATCCCTCTTCCCCGTCCCCACCCCCGTTTCTGCCGCCCTACCCGAGCTCTCTCTCGCGTCAACTCAAAGTCACCATCTTCCCACTTGACATTACGACCCCACACGTCATTACCCGCGGAGTATTCGACTCCATGATGCAACCGCGCGTGGCCCAAGGCTCCCCACTCGCCGAATGGGTCAGTCTCTTTGTCGAATCTACCTTCCGCAAGATTGAATCGCTCCAAGAAGGCGTCCCTGAAGGCGGAGTCACGACGGGACTTAGCCTGCACGACCCGCTCACAGTCTGGTACTGCCTCGCGCAGTCATCGCCCGCGTGGCTGCTCAGCCCAAATGGCCCCGAAGACATTCGTGTCGAAACGTCCGGCCAATGGACTCGCGGCATGTGTGTCGTGGACCGGCGAAACCGCCGTAAGCGCCCAGACGACGGCGAAGGCGGCGAAATCCCCAGCGATACGGGCAACTGGCTCAATCCTCGCGCGGGTAATCGGATTCGCCGCGTGATTGCCACACCTGGGGAGGAGGAATTCGGCGCGTACATGCTCGGTCGTATTCTCAGTTGATTTGTCCGTTGTAGTTGCATCTCGATGTAAATTGTAACGACTTGACGGTTTAGATAGAAGTTTTTATTTTTCTGCGGCGAGCTTGCCTTGTATAGTCTGGCGAGCGTATACGCCCGTTTTATATACATCCACTGTATTCCGCCCGGAAGGACAGGGGGTTTTACTATACACGGAAACATCACAATCATGACGTATTTAACGAAAATAGAAAGTTTATTGTAGAAAGAAAAAAATTGAGAAGATGAACCATCAAATAGTTTTCTATGCCTGTTGTATCCTATCCTATGCTGCCCTCTCTCAATCCCGAACCCTGGGTCCCAGTTCCAGAATCCCGAGTCCCGAGTCCATCTATATACATTGCAGACCTTGCATTGCCACTATGCGATGCGATGCGATGCTATCAAATAGAAAGAAAGTTTTTAAGGAAAAAAAAAAGATGCTATATACACGAGGACAAAGTCAAACACTAGGTAGGTAGGTAAGTAAGTAGGTAAGTAAGTAGGATACTGGGCTTCATCCCATCCCTCGTATACGCCACACTTCTTCTTCCTTCCCATCATACTCTCGCGTTGTATAGTACACCAAGTGAAAGCTAAGGGCATGGCTACTATCTTGTATAACGGTATGATACGATATGCCAAATGAATGCAGACCCGGGCATAAATGGTATAGCGTATACAGTATACCAAATGATGGCTGCGGATGGGGAGGTGAGGTGAGCAGAAAAGAGGAAAGGGGATGCGCAAGACAGACATGTATATGCATAGTCCGCATGACAAAAAGAAAGATGAAAAGGAAAAAGAAGAAGAAGGAAAAGGAAAGCGGGGAAAAATAAAGGGAAAAAGAAAAGAAATGTATGAGCCCCATCATGCCAACTCCTTATACTAGTAGAAAAGAAGTACTCAAACGCCAAGCCACGTAGAAGCGCCGTTGCTCGGCGAAATGCGAACAGTGCCAAGAGAGAGAGAGAGAGAGAGAGAGAGAGAGAGAATGTGATGATGTGATGATGTTGTTGGTTGACAAAGACATGTAAACTATTGTTGGCGTGAATGAGAATTTTATAAGTGAGAATGTCAAGAGAATGTGAGAATATGAGAATGAAACTCGACGTGACTATTGCATGGCCTGGTATCGATCAGGCCTCAAGACGGGTACGGTCATCATGACACACAGACACAAGTATCCAAGTTTAAACATCCAGACTCCACCGGGCCATGACAGTTGTCCGCCCGCGCTCATCCTTGGGTAGCCGCGTATCGAGCCATCTTTCCAGAAGATCAACCTCTTCCCGGTCAGTTGCAGGAGGCAGTCGGATTAATGACTCTGGGAGTGGGGAGGCGGAGCGCCGATTCAGCGTTGAGCTAGGCGCCACGAGCTCCTGCAGGGCATTCAACGAACTATTGCTGTTCCGCGAATCTTGTCGGGGGAGAGGCGAAGGGTTCAAGCGTGGCGGTGTTTTCGTCTGGGGTGACATGGAGCGTGGGCCATAGCCGTCATTGATCACGGCGCGTGGAGGAGGAGGTGGCAATGGCACTTCGTGCTCATTTGAGAGCTTGGTGTTCTTAATGGGACTGTCACTGTCATCGTTTCTCGGAGTGCCGACTCGCCGAATACTGCCAGGACTGGTGGTCGGGAGGATCGATGAGAGCATTGACGCTGCTGGACTCGCCGCCGCTGTCGAGGGAGTTAAGCGGTCTTGCTGCTCGTCCACAGAGGGTACTTGGATACGCAGTGGAATGGGCAAAGGCGAATGCACGTCTCCGTCAATTGAAATCTGCGGCGGTTTAGGTTTCCTGCGCGATGATTGGCGTAGACTCGATCGTTCTGACCCGGCTAACGACCGACTGTCGGTCGTGTGCAGTGTTTCCCTTGACGCTGCAAGGGCGAGCGACTCCGGCTTCTCCCCACGTCGCACCTTTTCTTCAAGAATCTTTTCCCCGACCTGTCGGCTGAGACTGGTGTCTCGGACTCGCTGACTACTAGCGCCGCTGCCACTGCGACTACGGGTTGTCGCGCGTTCCTTGCCATTCATAATTCGCGCATTCGGCGGGGGCTGGAGCATCCATTTCATCTCATTTCTATTCGTCGGCGGTGAACTGACGACAGGAGGATGATAATCATTGAGAGGCGGGTTTCGTGCGGTGTAGGCATGCACAGGAGAGCTAGTTCCTGACCGGCTGAGGGTGGAGAGGCCGACCGATGATGCCGTTTGCGTTGCGCTTACAGCATCTTCATCGATCGTTTTATTGACGTCCGACCCCCATAGGTCTTCGTCTTCTCGCTGGTATCGTCTCCGATTCCAATTCTCCCCGCTGAGGCGCTGTTCCACGCCCAATTGTATATCTTGCAAGCTGTCGCCGGGGCGTGAACTCAGTCCTGCACTGCTCGCCATGCTGTCTCCTGCAGTAAGTGCCCGCTGGCTGCCATTCCGAGAGGCTCCCTTGGGGCGACGTTGCGGCGGCGGACCGGGCCCAAGAGTCATATCCTCCTGCCAGTGCGGATTAGTCGAAAAGGGGGATGGTTGTCGGAAGAGCTCCGGCTCCTCCATTTCCATGATGCGTCGCTCCTCGCGCACACGATTGGCTTCTTGCTTTCTTTTGCGACGGTGGCCGCATTTTGTACAGGGTGCGCACGAAATGTAGTAGAAGATGGCGGACTGAATGCCCTTGCCAAGAGACATGTCGGGCCAGGTGTTGTGGCTGTGATAGGTCTAACGTGTTCGTTGTAAATCCACGATAGAAATTGTAGGTGATAAGGCTTCTTAATAGCCTTAGAAGATAACGATGGGCACTCCAAACGAGAATCTGTAGCAAATTGCTCAAATCCAGCTGTGACAGGTGCTCTTTCGTCTCAGGTCACCGTCGGGTGATGTGCAGCGTCAATGGCGTTTCCATGCGGTAAGGAGTTTAGGGGAGCGATTGGGGTAGTGGTGATGATGCGACGAGCCTCTAACTCGCGGAGGCTTCTAATCGAAGAGCTGGAGATCAAAGCCGTGTCGTTGACGATGGTGATTGCGGTGGTGCTGGTTATTGTTGTTGTTGTTCGCTATTACCTCCCCCTTGATGAGACCGATGTGGAACAACCCCCGGAAACGTTCGGGCCGATTTGGTGATGTCGTTACGAGCGATGAAAGCGTCAATAAGGAGGGCGGTGGAGACTGCGAGAGAGAATATCCAAGCGACAACAGCAACAGCAGTGAGGTTGGAGAAAGAGGATATCTTGTGACGATGTGGGGGAAATAGCCCACAGCCGCGACCCAGATAGGTTGTGACCGGAGAACCAGACGGGCAAGTAAGGAATCGAAAGTGGACGATAGAGAGAAGAGCGATATTACACGGTACAATAGTCAATTCCAGGGTCCAAAAAGGCCGCCCGGCGCAACTGCGACCCCCTTAGCGGCAGCGCACAGCAATGATGGCGTCGTTGCCAAACCGGATCTGGCTATGAATTCGATATTCTCGAATGCAGCATCTATCGATGCCGTACGGAAGGAGATACGCCACAGAAGGGATATTATACAATGGCAAACTCAAGCTGCTTTCCTTGACTGATCGATAATTGTGGCTGGGAATTATCCATTGGGTGCGCTCTGCTCTTCACCAATATACAGAGGCACTATTCTACGTATGCACCAGAACAACCTGGATCGTCATCATTTTGCGGCGACGAATGGGGATTGCACCAAAGACATGCGTGGGGAAATGCCCAAAAAGTGCTAGATGGTACAGAACGGTCACACAGTGTCTGTCACCTCTTGTGTTCACACAAAGAAAGTATACAGAAAGGAGGTGGGCATGCCGAATTGATTTGTTGTGTGAGAGAAAACCATCCACATTGATAGGGGACTCTTTCCAAGGGGATCGATCAAACGGCTCAAAAGCCCTGAGATGATTGACCGTCATTTCACCCCTCTCATCTCCCTTCCGGAACGCGCCAAGGAGAGAGGGAGGGTCAAGGCGCACTTCCCGCCAACCGCCCCCAGTGAACGTGATTATACACAGTCACAACCCACTTTTACGTGATGAAAGGCCAAGTACAGCCCTCCGGCATTGTCGGCAATTCCGTTTGAACACATGCGCAATTTACCCCGCCATGGTTCCAGAAATCATGCGTCGTCAAAGCTCAAAAACAAAGTTCAAATGAAAAAGTTGCAAAGAATAAAAAAAAGCAAAGCAAGAATCAGCAATTATCAAAGGTACTTGTCCGAATGGGCAACATCGTCATGATCTCGATCTCATCGTCTCATTTGCTCCACCTAAACCTGGATCCTGGTCGCACCCGTCCGCCGGTACCTTGAGCGGCCGCGGTAGTCGCTCCCTTAGACGCCTTTAGGGCCAAAGTCGCACGATTCTTACCAGGGTTTCATCTCAAACTACTGAGGTATCGCTCCAGGAGGGGATCCGCACCGCGAGGCCCCTTACGCTGTCCTGCCACATTCGGGTCAACAAATCAGATCAATAATATGGTCAACTATTGGATTGGATTGTGTTGTTCGGGGAATTGGATGCTTGAATGTTACTGTTTCCAAGTCAACGCCTTGTCGACTAACGGTGGTATGTTTCTTATCAGAGTTATCATATTTTCTCCGCTTTCTACAGCCCATTAGGTGCGCAGACCGGGTTCTGTTTTTCGTCTACGGAAAAGGCTTTCAACTTTTTATTTTTTATTTTTTTTTTTTGCCTGGTTCGATAGGTTGATGTTCCTATTCCCAATGACTTTGCCCCGTTCTCTGGGATCAGGCATGAGAGCGTGGAAATTGTCTCATTTTCCTTTCCCCATCCCCCTCGCCGCGTGCAGGCGGAATTGTGGAAGCCACACGTCTTGCGGCATTACACAATTTAGTGATGTGAGTGGGGGTGACAACGAAAGAATTCTTTTTCTCGGACATACTTTAGACAACACTGGTTGTCCTTAACTGTAAGGAGCATATCCATACCCACAACTTTCCTCTATCCTCAGTGTACTGCACCCACGGACTTAACTATACTATCCCTGTACGCGTTAACGATGACAGACAGACCATCGCTAAATCCCAAACCATGTGCCAGGGTGCGAGGGGTGGCTCCGTAAAAGTGTGGCTAATCTCTCTAAATTAGGGCTTGCTAACTTTTAGTGCTACAACTCTCCGAGTAAGGCAGGAAGGTTACTACACCCTGATACGTAAGATAGGGAGGTACTGTCGAGCTGTACTCGGAGATTATTGCTCATACGTCGCCTAATTCTTCGCTACCATGTTCTGTGCTGTTCGAGTTTGATGTCTTCTACTACGTACGCAGTCAGCATAACCATGGACAGTGAAAGTTTATTCGGAAGAAAATTGAATGTAATCGCGATTGAAAAAGAAAAAAAAAAATTATAATTTGAGAGATAAAAAACAGAGAGCATGTGACTCTAAATCTACGAAAATTGAGACATGAAATTCCTACACCTTCAGTAATTGAGACAAATACAATGGCCCTGACACATGTCAATCATGGTAGAGATGCCACATGCTTGCTCGAGTCCGCTGATTTAAAGGGATGTTTCGCACTCGCTGAGCCTGAAAGATTGAAGTATATAAACTAGGAAATCTTCTTTGCAAGTACGTACGACCATAGACTGAGGAGAACTGGGCATCCCGTCCGCTCTGCCATACATAAGCCTCAGATCGGCGGACTAGTAGTTGGGTCGGTGACGACCAGCGAATCCCCGCTGTTGTACGTTTTTGTCCCAACATATTTTTTTTTCTTTATAATGTTTATTTGTTTTATTTTTATTTTTTTTTTTTTACTTATGTTGGCCTTTACTCCCTCAATATATCATAAATACTGAATTGAACGCAGACGCTCTTTGTCGAAGCCTTTCTATGGAGTCTTACATGATCAGCCATTTGCGCATCAGAGGGCTAAATTTTGGTTCATATATATGACATTTCTGTCATGAGGCAAATGACCAATTAAAGTATAGCTAAATAGTTAAGAAATTTTAATGCTAGGATATCTAGAAGACAATAATGACATTATTTGAATGAAAAAGTTTGACATGCCCGATAACGCCCCCAATATTGCTGGTTCTAGTATGATATAGTCATGAGGAATGCTGTCCTTGATTTTGCTGTTCCAGAGCGAGTAAAATAAATCGCTGGGTGGAGATGCGTGTAAGGTAAACAAAAACAAAGAAGATGAAGGCCCAATGTGGAAGAAGCCCCTAAGAAAATCGCACATAGAGTGGTACAAGGTAGCATGGATTCTTGGGTGACCAGCAAGCCATATGCCAAAAAGTAGTAAGGAGCGGGTGCCAGTGTAATGGAAATACCGACACGCTGTGTGCGCTCAGTATAAATGATATCATTTATGGGATAGTGGCCGTTTCCGCTCCGTTGGTGCCTCAAACACCAGTCACCTTTCCGATCGAGTCATCTTTCGTGTATGCTGTTCGACAGCGAGAAGAACTCTTGATGTCGTCGGAGCTGACATAAAGTGCCGCTCTGTCTGTTCCATTTATGGTTTTTCCATCGTTCTCAGTATCACCCGTCATTTTTGTGTGTGCCAGTAATGGTAGCTGGCTCCGGCCAAAACTATAGTCTTTGTCGTCACGCGCAACCTCGATCAAGGATTGTGCCGTCGTTATATGTGCTTCACACCTCCAATGACATTTCCGCGTACTTGCTCCCAGTTTATACTGTTGTCAATCTCTTCGTCCACCAGTCCGCATATGGCAACGTTTTCGCCTCGAATAAGATAAAGTCCATGTTCGACCTCGGAACTCGGCTCTTCGTCATCAGCAGGTCGAATTACGCGCTCAATGGTCTCATTCAGAACCAGGTTTGTGAGCTGGTCACAAGACAGGAGCAGACCTGTTAATGTGCGGCCATCTGTAGTAATGACGCATATTTTCTCTGCATTAGGCCAGCAGCGTCAGTCGAACGGAACAGAGAAGATGTCAATAATGCAGTGGCTGAGGTGACAACGTACTATTAACGTAGTTTTGAAGCGACATATTGAGTGACAGTCAAACGCGTCTAGAAACGCGCGGAGGAGGGCTTCCTTGGGCAAGGAAGATAGCTCTGGAGAAGCTGCGTCGCAGATATTGAATCGAGGGTTCTTGCCGGAGTATCGCGTTGCGGAAGAAAATAGTTCCAGGTTCTTGACTAAGTAGCAAATGGATATCAAGATTTGACGAATGCAAAGATATTTCAACTAGGGTATAGCGGCAGGTTGCGAGCTTGAGAGCTTCAAATGTTCAGGTTGCTGGATTTCTCGAAGGTTTGTTTCTTCGGAGCTTTGATTTGGTGCTCCGACCTCACCAAAGTTACCCGGCGACAGATGGATAAATCAACGACAAGGCGGCGCGCAAACCGCGACGGAGATTAATTGGACGATTTGGTAACGCGGCTGACAATATTCAGTCTGAAAATGCCCCTTCATATGTTCTCTGCTTCTTTCTGTATGCAAACATCGCGGCTGAAGTCATGAAGAGGAGACTCCTATGTTTAAAAAGCGCGGCATATCTTTCGCGCTTATCTCGACTCCAAGCTTGGACTTGAGACTGATTCAGCTTATCGATATGTGAATTTCTCTTTCTTCCTTTCGGTTTGAGAGTCTTTCGATCTGATTGTCTCTCTACTGATTTTTGATGATTGAAGTTTGAAATATTGCTTTGATTCTTTATGATGCATTCATTGCAAGAACTTCTCCAAATTTACCCTGTGGCAGAAAGTATTGCCGCAGCTTTACCTCTTGGCGCTCTATTGAACCTATCCAGAGTTAATCATGTATATCGGGACATTCTTCATGGATTTCCCTTCTCGAATCCCTCATCACTTTGTCCATCTGAAGAGGAGAGCTACATAGGGGAGGACAAAATTCCAGAAACCTTTCCAGGAAACCCGAGTTTACATCTTGGACAACACCAAACAAGACATTGGAAGAATCTCAAGTCCAAAGCCCAGCTTTTGTGCTCTGAGCCGCAGCATATCAAAGGTCCGAATATTCGCGGCTGCGTTATGTGCAGCATGCCCGTATGCGAGGCATGCGTAGTTCGCGCCTCGTTTGGGAAAAACGAAAACACATTCAGTAATCGAAAGCGATATCTATGCCAACACTGCTGGGCGTCAGGTGTACCGCATAAGGAATGTCATTTCAATTCGACTCAAAAGGATCGACATGGAACTTATCTACCGGTTTCATGCTCGAAAGGTTCCGATTACTCTGGAGATATATGCACATGCTCCGCCAAGGACGGTTGGCTTTGCTTGGCTTGCAAGATACAACAACGCACCAATCTGGACGAAAAGCTCAATACATGTTGTGGTATGGGGTGCAATGAATCCCTTGGAAATGGGAGAGAAAGACGGCGTGTCTGTCTCTGGTGTGACCTTCCACTACCACCAAAAGCAAGCTTGGGCGAGTCTTTGAATGATTATGAATTGAGACATGTCTTTAACAAATCTCAATTGCTGATTCCCCAAAGTCCTCACGATGGAGATGCGGACGAAATGAGCCGGCCGCCGCCGCCGCCGTTCTACACCGATGAAAACGACGGCCGTTCAAATGCTTGGCCTCAAGAACCCGAGCCAGAATGAGAATGATATAGGTCGGGATAGCACAGAGAACCCACCAGAAATTTGCATTCGACAACTGGACAAAACCGCGTTGGATACTCACTATTATTGAGTCATAGTTAGACTCTAATATACTGCCCTGCTCTTGATCCCAATTGAATACATAGCGATAAGTAATGCCAAGACATTACTTGTGGTCAATTCCAGCATGGTGGGCTCGAGCAGAGATCTATTTGTCCACCCTCTCGCAACGGTGTCTGCCTTCCGCTTTAATTACCAGTGGTCGGTATCGTTTGCAGTGACCCGGCTTCTCGGCTCAAAGTATTCCGAAAGAGGATCCACAACACATTAGCTCAAGACAGCAGCATGACGACTGGAAAGATGACCTTGACCGATTATCCAGTTAGTCTCAGTAAGAGCAGGGCCCAAGGAAAGTACGTATTTGTCAAGACGTTCAAGGAACTACGTCGGTCGCTTCCATGTACGTTAAGAATTTTCCTCTGAGATGAATGTTTCCATTTGGTATAATGTCGACTTCATCGGAAAAAGGTAGTGACTCCAGTACTTTCCACATTATAGATACTCGAATTGGGCTAGTTTCAAGAAATCTGAAGCCCTCTCTTTCTCACCAGCAATTAAACTCCTGTGCCGCAAATGTCCGGTATTGCACGTATCGTAATTGAATTCCACTTCCTTGTCAACCCCCACTTTCGGCAAGGGTCCCCCCCACGCCCCGCTTCGGGTATTTTTGATGACCCCTACCCCCCCGCCCCCATATTCCAGTTAAGGATAGTCACCGGTTGCACATGTTACCCCACAAATTATTCCATGGTATTTGATCCCGTTTGGTCGATTGACTACGAGCAACCGAAAAAGCCAGTTGGATGATACAACGATGAGAATGACCCATTGAGTCTTTTTATCATCCAGTCCTACTTCATACACTACCTTCCACATATGTATCCGTTCTTTTGAGGCCCCCTTTTTTTTTTGAGCATTTCACAATGCAAGCGGCAAATCGATTACAGAAGGCTCTAAGGTCCGGCTCGGGACTATCCTTTGGAGCATGGTAAGTGCTCATTGCAGTTTCTATCTAAATTTTTTTCTTTTTGCTTTCGGATCTGCTTCCTCTGTCTTTGTTTGAGCTCTTCTTGAGCTGGATTTTTCCTCTGCATTCTTGATGAACGCGGAATTTTAATATTCCATGGTTTTTTTTTTATCTGAGCCCATATTCTCCCATTATTCCATGTCTCTTTTTTTCGATTGTGCTCCTATCCATTGACTGCTTATCCGATGCATTTTTTACGACAAGGTGATTCGAGATAAAACATGGTATTGATATGACTACTCATCAGGCAAGAACTCCCTGGAACAAATCACTCTCGGGCTCTAGCTCGGAGTGGATTTGATTGGATTCTAGTGGATATGGAGCACGGAAATATTGATGGTATGTGTGCAGTTCTCTGCTATAGCTTTGGAAAACTGTGACCTAGCATTCAGCAGTGTGCAAGATTGTGTAGTTGACTGTAACTCAAAGATGGAGTCATGCATGAGTCCGTAGCAGCAATAGCTGCTTGTGGAGCGAGCCCGATTGTCCGTGTTGCGGGGAATGAGAGTTGGATGGTGAAAAGTACGTTAATTTCTGTTCCCGATCCTTGGGTTGCAATTTGGGGATCTATGCCTTGCCTGTACAAACTATGCCTGAGTTCACATTCGTCACTTTTGAATTTTTGATTGGGAGGAAGAAGGGAGAAAGAGCAAGATCAAAAAGAGACAGTCTATTTATATCTGCTGATATTTCAAAGGAGCCCTCGATGCCGGCGCTCATGGGGTTGTTATTCCTCTTCTCTGCACAGTCCAAGATGTCCGCAAAGCAGTCTCGTTTACAAAATACCCTCCACGAGGGGTGCGCGGATTCGGCCCAACATTTGCTTCGCAGTCATTTGGAAATATACCAATGATGGAGTACCTTAAGCAGGCAGATGAGGGTATTTTGACTGTCGTGCAGATTGAGACCAAGGAAGCATTGGCCGATGTATGTATTCTGACATGCAAATCTTGCATACGCACCAGATGCCATAATAAAACGTATTTGAATTGAAGTTGAGTCTAATCAACCCAGGTCGATGAGATTGCCAAAGTCCCTGGACTTGATGTCCTGTTCGCAGGCCCGTTCGATCTCGGAATCAATATTGGACATCCTATAAAGGACGGGAAAATGCCTGACAAACTCAAAGAAGCACTGGCACAAATTCTGAGGGCTGCAGAAAACAATGGCAAGCGCGCCGGCATCTATTGTACATCAGGAGAACAAGCTAGAAATTTTGCCGACCAGGGATTTCATATGGTAGGTTCAAGTTACTTGCACTTAATGTCGTATGCGCCTCGTCGCGGCACCAGGCTGGATATATTTCAGCACTGTGAGCTAGCCCATGGCTCTGCATTTCATATTTATCCATCCTATTGTCTCATTTGACGAAGCAGTAAGACTAATAGGTCGCTCAGATATCCGTCTGCGCGGACATTGATGTGTTGCAAGCAGGACTTGCCTCTGCATTGGTAACTGCCAAAGGCTCAATTGCGCATTCAGCATACAATCTGGCCAAAGGGGCCGTGGGCAAAATAGGTAGCTCAGGCAAGGATAAGCCGTAGCTCTTTCATTCCGCGGACTTGCAATTTTCCGGATCACAAGAGAGCAATGGCATGACTACTTAATCTTCTTTTAACCTTCAGTCTTTCCTGCACCCTATGCTTTATTCTTTGACGGAAGAATAAAGTTGAATAATTTGCCCTCCGTAGAGCGGCACGATTCAGTTCAAGACTTCTTTTTCTCCGCCTCATCCATTGCCTTTTCTACTTCTTCCTCTGTAAAGCGGTGCATGAGCTTTCGCGCTTGGCCAGCCAAGCTTGGGTTTTCTTCTTGCTCAGATGAAGCCTTGATATGAATCTAGGTAACAGCAAAGTTAGTCGTCAACTTTATTTTCGTATGCCCATTTGTTGCGTTTATAAGGGCTGGTAATCCTACCACTGGCGTGTCGAACTCGTACAAATCCTTCCAACCCTTATCCTCGTGCTTCATGACGTCGTATTCTTTGTATTCGAATGGCCTTCGATCCCAGACGCGCGAAAGTACAGTTTTGGCCTTGTCGCACAGTCCGCAGTTCTCGCGGGAGAACATGGTAATGCGGCAAGCATGCTGCAGCAGACGGAATGATGGTCTCATTTTTACAATTGAATTCCTATATCGCCTTCTTTCCCCAGAAAAAGCTTTAACTATTCCTCTGGATGCTTCAATGGAGCATATATATTTATCGGAATTCTTCTGAACATATGCTGTGCTTCACCGAAAAGAAAAGGAGAGCTCCCGTGAAGCTCCTTGGCAGCGGAGAATAATCTAGTAAGAAAGAGAGGGGCGTGCGGAGCGGGTCAAGAAACAATTTAGATGCTCGTTGATTGACAAAGGCAGGTTTGGAGCTTGGGCTTCTTGTTTATCATGAGTGGCATGATTATTCTCATGAATCTTCCGTGAGTTTCTGTAGCCGATTCTGCCGCGCTTGACCGCCCAAGGCGGGTTATGAATAGGAATTACTCTATAGAAATTCGATTTCCCCAGACCAAAACTTACTTACCCCTCCAATTGAACCTAAATTGAGTAAATCGACAGAGCTCTCTTTGAAACCATTCTAGGTTCTTTACGGTTGTTCAGGCTCTATTACTGTTCTGCGAAACAAACAACCCTCGCCATGGCCAAAAAGTGTGTACACAAAGGCTGCGGCAAAGCTTACGACAATGAGACAGAAGAATGTGTTTATCACCCCGGCCCGCCCGTTTTCCATGAGGGGCAGAAAGGTATGGATCATGCGCGATATGTAGCTTTTCCACTTGGCTTGTGAAGCAGAGCATTTGCTCCTTGAGCTTTTCTTTTTCTGTATTGAGCATTCTGACATCATACACCCCGCATACGCCGAATCGATTGGTCGCGTGGATATTTCTCCCAAAATGCAGTCAATGCTAATACCTAATTTTCCGGGGGATAAACAGGCTGGAAATGCTGCAAACCACGCGTCTTGACGTTTGATGAATTTCTTTCCATTCCGCCCTGCACGACAGGCAGACATTCAGAGGTCGACGACACGCAGGCCGCGAAGCCTGCCACCGATGGCACCACCACGCCGATCATCACTGAAGAAATAGCTGCAACGACACCTGAAGCGCCCTCCGCTACATTCGCGGCCCCCAGTGGCTTAGAAACAACGAGCCATTTATCTGCGGCTCTTCCAAGCCGCGGCCCCATCCAACGACCTGCAGGCTTACACTCTTCATCCTCGCCCGCTCCGCCGCCAGAATCGGACTCGGACGACCCAACCGTGCCAATTCCGGCAGGAACCACTTGCCGGCGGCGTGGATGTAATGCTTCTTACGATGCGAAAGGATCCCGTGAAGAGGAGAATTGTGTGTACCATCCAGGTGCAGCGCTATTCCACGAGGGCAGCAAAGGCTGGACATGTTGCAAGCGACGAGTATTGGAATTTGAAGAGTTTATGAAGATTGGGGGATGTCAGACAAGGAACCGGCATTTATTTGTGGGCAGTGGCAAAGGAAAGGATGGTAAGACTGGTGGGGAGGAAGTGGTCGAGAACGTTAGGTAGGTTTTCTTGTCGTCCATTGCTCTCAATCATCGAGGGCAGAGCAGAAAAGAGTTGTTGGAATGTAATTGGATGCCGAGTTGCTAATCTATCTCAAACACAGGCATGACTTCTACCAGACCCCCACATCGGTCATTGCGTCGCTGTTTCTAAAGAAGATTGATTCTAAATCAGCCAAGATTCAATTTTCTTCATCACATACGGTCTTTCTCGACCTTCCCACTACTGATAACAAGCGGTACAAGGCAGATGTTCCCCTGTATGGGGCAATTGATACAGAGAAGTCAGCCTTTAAAATCATGGGCACGAAGCTCGAACTCACGCTTGTCAAAGCGGACGGCACGAGCTGGCCAGTGCTACGGAGCGACGAAGAGCTAACCGGCGAAATCATTCAAGTCGGCAGGGCAGGCAGAGTATGAACAAGAAAGTTTGAAAGATAATTTTTAATACGTGGCAGCGGGAGCGGTGATTGGCTCGGGAGGGCGTTTAGAGGAGCGAGGCAGGCAATGATAAATGAAGACAGGGCAAGATGCATGAACTGATTTGACGACATCATTCGAAATCTTTCTTGGTATTGGTTTGATGATTGTACATTAAAAGCTGAGTATTGAATCTGCAAAGAGGGGGTTTAAAGTACCGCATCGGTAGCTTCATTTCACTCCATACCCTCCATCAAGTCTGTTCGGTCTAAAAACATACCGCGATCAGCTGCCCAGTATTTGAGAGCTTCCCAGCCAGGGCCCTCCTCTTCTCCCCTTTTTGAAATTTCTCTGAAGCCAAATGCCTGTGCCAGGCGATCAATCGCCGCCCTCTCTTCCTCTCTCAGCCACCGTTGCCGCAGACTAATTCCTGGCATCCAGGTGACTCTGTCCATGTGGTGGCTGGTGGTAGTCAACGCCACGACACCAATTGTCGCGGCAGCTCCCAAATACGTCATTATGCCAACGAAGGCGATACTTGTCGCGGTTGTCGAGCTCATTGAGTCCTGGAATTCGGCAAACTGCATGGCGAGCGTATACGCCGCGGCGGGTGCCAATGCAGCGCCAGCTAATGGAGGGATTGCTTTGCGAATGATCTTCGCCCGTCGAAACGCCGGCGCACCATAGCTCGTCTCAATAATCTCCATTGCGAGGGGAAGACCTTTCACCGCAATGGCAGTTTGTAGAGCGGTCTCGGCAATAGGTGCCGGAATAGCAAACTTTGCATTTTTCGGATTTGGTGTTTGGAATCTAGGTGGAGAAGTGCCAGGAATAGCGAGGAGCTTCGTCGCATATAGGTGAAATATTTCCGGAAAAGTCTCAGGCCGTCGAAGAAGACTCTGGATGCGCACATATGTTTTGAGGACATCTTGGTCGATCAATATATTTGGATGTATCATGATCTCATAGCATGCTTTGGAGATCGTGTCTACTGCGCGAGACACAGCGGGGGAGAGGGCAGGCGGTTGAGACTGGGGATCTAGGGATAATAGAGCTGACGCCGGAGTTTGCTTGTTGTTTGACCCGACCGGCGAAACTGGACCCTGAGCCACAGATCCCATTAATTCTATCGCCATGACTTGAAAGAGCTGCAGGATATCTATTGTTTCCGGTTCGGAAGGGACCGTGTCGGATTCGAGCAGCTCTTCCATGTTGGACAAGGCAGCTTCGAGCTCATCTTCGGCAATAGGAAGAACGTCTGCTTGATAAGAAACCAAGCGTGCCTGTTTATTTAAGGACTGCAATTTGCTGGAGAGCTTCGTTGAACTGCATGGTGGATATTGAGGAAGTCGCGTTCGAGAGGAAGCTCGTGCGGGCAAGCGGAGAGAGGTAAACGGACGGGCTAAGTGAGCTCGTGGCTTTGAAGCAATAAATTCACATGTTTGACAGATGGGGCGTTTGCAATATATTAACGAGGATCTCATTATTTGAAACTCGATTTCCTAAAAGCAATTGACGAGTCAAGAGAAGACAGACCAATTCCTGTAGCTGTAGTAGAGCAGGAGTGTATGTTGTTGAGTCGGATAGCCGTGGAGTCTGGGGAAGTGGAGGTGATTAACTTTCCCAATTAAGAAAAGCGTACTCCATCGGGGTAAATGTGGCTGAGCTTAGACTCCCACGCACCGCCACATATTTCGGGGCTGGTGACGCCGATGAGGTGAGAGTCGGTGACAGTCACCGTCATCTCCCTCCCGATATTCACCTTACTACTTAGTACCTCATCCTCTTTTCTACCCCCGGCCGCTGTTGCCTGCTTCTCACTCACTTACAAGGACCTTTCTTGAATCGATTGTCTTCTAATTTTCATCTATATTGGTCTTATAAGGGCAGAGCTGGCCCGGTCTCCTCTCTAGTCCGGTTGACCCCACTCCAACGTTACTTCCTCGTGGTATATCACCGCTATAACCTCAACTACAACTACCTCTCCCGACATGCCTGGTCCACCACCACCACCACCTCCTCCTCCATTGCCTGGGGCAGGAGGTGGCCCCCCGCCTCCACCTCCCCCGCCGCCTGGAGGAGGCATTGGTGCATCAAATTTACCTGCGCGACCGCCGCCTTCGGCTGCCAAGGGTCGGGTAAGCTCTTTCTAGTATTTGCTTCCTTCCCAATGTTTGGATACTCTTTACCGACACGCGTTCTACTTACTCTTTAAATATCTCTCCTCATCTCTAAAGCTTCCGCATTGCTTGAAAAAGTATACTCTAACATTTCCAACAGGGTGCTCTATTATCCGACATCAATAAAGGCACGAGGCTCAAAAAGGCGGTGACAAATGATCGTTCTGCGCCAGTTGTAGGGAAATCATCTGCCGGGTCAGGAGGACCACCGATAGGAGGAGCTCCACCAGTGCCGGGACTAGGGAAGCCGCCAGGGGGGCTGGCGCCTCCGGTACCAGGGAGCGCAAACCGAGCAAGAAGCAATAGCGACATTGGCCAAGGAGGCGGAGCAGACGCGGGAGGACTGCCGGCCGCACCGCAACTAGGTGGCTTATTCGCTGGAGGCATGCCGAAGCTTCGCAAGAGAGGCGGCGTGGATACCGGTGCCAGTGGGAATTCGCCATACCTGTCAGATCCTGAAACGACGCGGAATAATGCGCCGAAACCACCTTCTGCACCCGCTCCCCCGGCGCCAAAGGTGCCCGCATTCCCTGCTGTCAATCTCCGAAAGGCATCGATGCCAGTCAATGGACCGCCAGCATCAGCTCCGCCTCCACCGCCTCCGCTTCCTTCGCAGGCGGCTTCAGACGTGACGCCTCCTCGAGCACCACCCCCGCCTCCATTAAGCAAGAAGCCCAAGCCTCCTCCACCACTCTCATCCAGGAAGCCGTCTACAACTATTCCCGCGGCCCCCAAAGCACCAGCACTAAGACCGCCGCCAGTAGCAGCACCCTCAGCGCCGGTTATTTCTTCCGCACCACCTCCGCCAGCACCCCCACCGCCCCCACCTTCAGCGTCTCCCAGAGTGCCTGCGCCAGTACCGCCAACCCGTTCAACATCTACTCCCCCTCCTCCACCGGCACCGCCGGGCCCTCCACCAATGGCAAATGGCGCATCACTAGCAATGCAAGCCGCTCAAAATGCGTTCAGGTCTACGCCTTCGCCTTCAGCACCTCCTCCGCCTCCTCCGCCGGTGCCTGCGCCTTCACCACCTGCTCCTCCCCCACCGCCCCCTCCAGTTGCGCCACCTTCTCGACCTCCTGCACAGCCGGTTCGGTCTTTGCTTGATCCGGCAAGCTTTACCTTGTCCAATGGTGGCACAAAAGCCCACAGTCCAATTGGTGGTGGTAGTTCAGGCGGTCGATCTAGCGTTTCACGCATCCAGGATAGTCGATGGAAATTTAAGGATGAGAGCCAGCTTCCCAAGCCACGCGAATTCACGGGAGGTCCGAAACGATACCGGGCAGGAAGAGGCAGTAGTGTTCCTCTGGACTTGAGTGCCTTGGAATAGAGGGGAATTATCCTTCAATCTCGATAGCGGGGAGGTCGATGAGGGACAAGTAGAAGACGACATGGAAGAAGGGAGACGTACGCATTCGTTGAATTGCATTGCAGGCGTTTTGTGGAAGGAACTCTGTCTGACAGCTTTTAAGATTTGCTTTTCATTCTTCTTTTTCGTCTCCTACCGCATTTTCAACCATTCGCTTTCGTGTCCCTTGATGTCTTCTGGTGTCTAGATATCAGTGACCCGGCGTCTGTCGGGTCGAGGGTTGGCACGGTGGATGAAAACCCCTCCGTGCGCGTAAAGAGGATTCCCGCTGTGGCTATATCGTATTATATCATATTGAGCGAGTTTATTATATTTAGCGTTGACAGATGAGGTGTGATTAATATTGAGTATCTCTGCGAATGCTAAACACATACGTGAGCTTGTGGTAAGAAGACGTTTGATCAGACGATTGACTAAAGTAAAATAAAGATTTTCCAACGCCGATGCCATGCAAATACAATGCTTTCACGCATCTTTTCCCGCTCAGAGCAGACAACAGTCAAATTCAAGTGATATGTTCTCGTCACAAATGGACGCCCTCTTCTTCATTGTCATCCCCGCCAGCGGCTTCGAGCTGCTCCATAAGTCTTCTCTGCAGCTCTGCATCTGTCAATCTGCCTCCAGTATTTGGGCCGCTGCTCGCCGCTGCTTCGAGATCATTCTCTCGTCCTGCTGCTGAATCTGCGCCATTCAGATGCCCTCCTGGTCCAGTCTCAGCTCCCTGCTCGCCAGGCTCCAAGGCCTCACGCGCAAGTTCCTGCTCTTCCTCCTCAGACTCGCCCCATCTGAAGCCCCTCCTCTCTACTTCCTGTCGTAATAAATCGATCCGCGTCTCCATGCGCGCAATAACTTCCTCGTTTTCCCGAATCGCATCCCCGCAGTCCGTGTCTCCGTCCTGTGCGTAGGGGAGGAGCTGCTCATTGGACCGGACAAGATGCGAAATGGAATTACGTAATTCTGCTGCCTTGGCGTGTAAATTGCCCAAAGGTAGATCTGCAATCGCGAGGGCAAACGCAGCGGGCGTTATGGGAGAGGTTGTTGATGACATTCTGAGTGGTGATTGCTTTCTCGTTTATCCAGTTGCTCCAAGATAGAGGAGAATTTGTACAAGAAATAATGTAGAGGTTATATTGAAGTTGAACGCAATAGGCAGTTACAGCTGCCCATGCCATCGGAACGGCGAAACCATCCCACCATGTGGTCCGTGCGCGAGAAGGGAAACCTCCGACCCGCCGATGTTGATGATTATCGTGACTGCCAGGTTGGAACATTTTATAGACAATCATTGTTCGCTCATCAAGGTCCCTCGGGTTACAAGCCTGCGGGCAATTCTCCGGAGATGAAGAATGCGTGGTTGATAGCCCTTCGCGTGCCGTGCGGTGGGCTGAGCCGGGGCGCAGGCGCCGCTGCCGCTGGTGTTGCGCGGCGAACGGCATTTGATGCTCACATAGGCAACGGCGTGCGCAGGACGACGGCTGGGTCAACCTCACCCTCATTATTTCGTCTTCTACGACCTTATTCCATCTCAACTAGACGTGTACCATTTTCAGCACCCTCGTCGGCATCTAGAATCAGCGCCAGCTTCAACGCATCATACCCATGGACACAGAAATTCACACCCGTCTCGAAATATGTTGCCTGTTTTACGAGTACAACTCCCGCGGCATATGCACGCAAGTCTCGAGCGCCGAAGCCACAGAAAAACCAGGCATCGCAGACACCGCAACAGCCTCTCTATGAGCACGACGGCGAAGGTATACGCTTCCGAGAAAAGGACCTCACGCAAAAAGAAGTGGAAGCCATTGTCGGCCCACATGTCGACGCAGACATGGCAAATCGGTTGCTTCGCACGCTGCACGAGTGCCGACTGACTGGAACTCTGGACGAGCTTGACTCTATGCCAGTCGCGACGGCGTATAATCGAAACGTTATCCAGAACGCGCTTGCTTGGCTACGGAGAAACTACCCTGTCGACGAAGAAGCGGCAGTGAGGGCCCGCGCGGAGCAAGAAGCTCAGGCGTACGAGGAAAAGCTCAGAGCTGATGCGGAGCGACTGGGTCTGTATAGACCCGAGGAGGGAAGCAAAAAGTCAAAGAGTCCGAGCGTCTACGGCTCGAGCGGCATTGATGCCCTTCATGAACATTACGAGAAGCAGCCGGCCAAGGAGTACAATTGGAAGTCTCAGGCGCAAGAAGTTTCAGAGAATACTGGCACACTCGAAAAATTTGGCCGTAATGCAAAGTTGGGTATGTATACACGAATCTTTTCCCGCTGGAGGGAAAATCCGCATGAATCGCAAATAAAGAAGAAAGATTATTAATGCGAAGTACAGCGAAGAGGGAACCTTCTGAGCGGATGAAATATTACATGGAGAGGGCAATGATTTCCAAAGACGAAGCTGCCCCGGAAATGAGCAAGGTGCGGCGTCTATTATACCCGTCCCCAACGCTATTAATCTGTTTCTAAACTATCAATCGCTAACTCATAGTAGTTTCAACGTCTCTGGCCATCTGCTCTCCTTACGGTTGCTGTCGTTAGTCTAGCGTATCTCTTTTCCCTGTACTATTCCCCGCCTGCGCGGTCTGCACGACTCTGGCCGGACATGCCCCCGGCCGCTGCAACCATTTTTGGAATCATCCTCGCCAACACGACCATTTTTGCGCTTTGGCGTGTTCCTCCCGCGTGGAGGTTCTTGAACAGATACTTTCTCAGCGTACCAGGCTGGCCAGTTGCTGCCAGCACGCTGGGAAATGTCTTTAGTCATCAGCAGCTCAACCATCTTTTGACCAATATGGTTGTACTCTGGTTTATTGGAACAAGACGTAAGTAACTCTGCCAACATCTTTCTCTTTTTCGTTATGGATCTATTATCCTTGCAAAACTATTCCACTCTCTCTTTGACAAATCTACGTGCTTTGAGCAATCACGCTAATTTCAATCTTGCGAAATGATAGTCCATGACGACGTCGGCCGTGGCAATTTTCTCGCAATATACCTCTCTTCTGGCGTCTTAGCCTCCTTCTTCTCTCTATCCAGCTTCGTCCTACGTAACCGCTTCGTCACGTCGTCTCTGGGCGCGAGTGGTGCTATTGCAGGCGTGTTAGCCGCCTGGTGTGCTATCAACTCTGAGTACGTTCCCCAGCCCATTTCATGTTTGCGCAACCAAAAATCCCACTAATGCAACTCGCGCAATGCAGCAAACAATTCTCCATCATCTTCATCCCGCCAGACTGGATCCCCCCGCTCTCCAGCACACTTATCCTCTCGTGTTTCATCGCAGTCGAGTTGCTCGGCATTGCTCGCGGCTGGAGTAAAATAGACCATTTTGCCCATTTGGGCGGATACATTGCTGGTCTTAGCAGCGCGCAGATAGTCAAAGACCGACGAAGACGAGAGCTCGAGGCGCGTCGAAAAGCGCACGAGCAAAAAGGGTGGATTGGCAAGGTCTTTAGTAAGGAGGAGTAGGTTTGTTTACCCGATGTTCATCTACTTTGCGTTTTCCCCCCATCACCTTTGTATATCAAGCCGTCTCTTTCAATGGCTCTTCTATGGTATCTACGATGGGCCCCTTTTCTTTTTCCTTTTTATTCAAATGTGTCACAAATCAGTCACTTGAAAACGTTATTGCTCATGAGACTCGATGCCCCAATGTCTGGTACTTCCGAGAGAACTACAGTAGACTGGCGCGATTACATTCTATTTTCGTTTTTACCATGCACACAGCTTCTACCTATGTAGTACCCGAAACTATTCTTCTTTAGCTTGATGTGCATGACGTGTATATATAGATTTATCATATACAGTGTGGGAAATCCAAAAGTCCCATCACTTTCATAAGTGGAGTAGATTTATTTCTATACCGGCACGGACAGGCCAAATATGTCAACATTATGTGGTTTTCTATGCAGCATCTCTCATGCATATGTCATCTGCCCCGGCGCTCAATTTCGACATAATGTCAACATTACTTTGTGTGCCATAGTACAGCTAAGCGGACAGAAGGCTACAATCTCGCACTTATATGGCACAAACGGCAGTTCTGGCAGATATCATTCAATGTTCATTCCCGCGTTGATTGGCGCAATTTACCTGCTGCACATGTACGAGACCAAAGCGTAGACAATGTTATTGCAATCTCAAAAGAGGCAATGCATAAGGGATATTTTCATTTTCAACAAGAAAAGAAGTCCTACCCTTGGAACCCAGAAAAAGCAAAACTCCTTATAGTGCTTCTGCTTCTGTGTTGCTTTGTTCCCTCAGAGAGAAAAAAGAGCACATTATATCTGCCGAAAGGCTGTAGTTCCCTACTAGGGGAGGATAGAGAGAGAGAGAGAGAGAGAGAGAGAGAGAGAGAGAGAGAGAGAGAGAGAAAAGGTATGTGCAAGTGCGTGTGTGCGTGGAACACGGGGAGAGAAACGACCTATAAATCCAAAAGATCATCATCATCGTCCCAGCCGCCTTTTCTTCTCGTAATCACAATCTTTTCCTCCTCCTTGTGCTCCGACACCGCGTTCAAGATATCCTTGAGTTGATCCTCTGTGACCTTTGAACGAAGCTGACCCGACCTTGCCAGCATGATTAATCGGTTTTCCACATCAGTCGCGCGCGATTCTTTGACCAGTCTGATACGTCCGAGACGATCGGCCGCTTCGGGAGTCAGGATTTGCGAAATGATAGACTGTCGTGCTTCGGCTGTTTTATTTGAATGTTCCATTGTATTAGTTATCGATGTTTTTACGTATTACGGGCTGCATTTCACTTCATCGCAATAGGATGCGGATGAATTTGGGGACAAATGCGAGATACGGAGTATGGATATGCTTGGATGTTCAGATGCTGTTCAATTACACACCTTCTTGCTGTCTGTTTTGAGTTTAATATCATCGCATACATTAGCCAACAGATTATCTTTCACCCCCATCGCGGATAAGATATAATGGTTGGGAGAATAGCTTACTGTCTTGCGGCTGCGGCCTCACCACCACGGTCTCCTGCACCGCCGCCCATACCGGCACCAGACTGCTGTTGCAGTTGGGCAAGTCGCGCCTTGCGAAGCTACAGTAGCGGGGAAACAAAGTCAGCTTTCTGTAGTGTATATGGACCGTTGACACAGAGGTGGAATTAAGCAGCTAATAGCATTCGGGAAGAAAATGCATAATGGAGGTAAGTCAGTTTACCTGTTCAAGCTCTGCGTCCGCCATGATTCCAAAATCTTGAGGATTGAAAAGGTAGTGTGATTGTGTTATTATTCGATTACTGCTGTTAACTATTTCGTGAGGGTCTCGATCTCGGGTTGGTGGGGCGCGGCCTCGTCTCCCCGGGTAATATTAATTGGAGCTGGTTGCTGCCAAATATCTCTTGGCCGTTACGCGGGGCTGTTTACGAACAATATCCATAAAATTCATGAAATGATTGGCATCGTCCATTCATAGTGTGAAATAATCTGTGTGAAAAAAATCTATGCAAATTGAAACTCTGATATATAAATCGCTGTGCATGCTGCTTCTGCAAGTCTATACGTCAATTAACAAACAGCTATCTACGCTACCAAATCCCGCCGCGACACCACCTTCTTCACTTTCTCGACCCTTGGTCCGAAGCAACTGACCTGCTTCTTCATTTTCCAACAGCGTAGGGCTGTTCTCGCCTTTTCTCCATAGACAAGCACCATATATTCCCAGTTCTCCAATAATCTGTCCTCTTTGCACCTCGCCGTTTCGCAAAATGGCATTCTCTTGGGCAGGAGGCTCAATTAGCTCCATAAGGATATATCCCTTCCAGTGCGACTCTGGGAGACTCTTGAGAAATTTCGGTATGGCTGCTCGATATATATTGTTTCCGCCTCCCTCACGTTGAGGCTTCAAAACATATCCATTCGACTTGCCCTCGTCTGTAGCAATTGCCCGGGCTTCACGGCCCGCGTTCGTGTCATCGATAGGGTATATGTTTGTAAATGTCTGATGGACACGATCTGCAACAGCAGGGTCTTTGAGGAACCGAGAGAGATGCGGTGATGAAGGAGTAGCGAGGACTTGTTGGATTTTCTTGGATCCAGCAAGATGCGTGAGAATGGTAGGGCACTTGATGGCGCAGGACCGTTCAACCTGATGCCGTGCCGTCCATGCAGTCTCGTCGGGGTAGTCGGAGAGGGCATATCCTGCCCGGAAGTAGACGACGCTGACCTCGTAGACAGATTCGGGCGAGTGAGGCGGCGTGTAGAGCAACGGTCGTGAGGAGTGCGTGTTGTCAATGGAAGTATTCAGGAGGATTGACGAAAAGGGGACTCGGAACGTAGGGATAGAGTGGGTTACTTGAAGGGTATATTCCAACGGACGTTGATCAAAGACATTTCGTTCAGGGTCTTGAACAAGAAAGATTATGCATTTCTGGTTGGATGTCTTTGACGGCCCATAATGATCATGTGCAGCTGCCAGACCAGAGGAAAGGGAGGAGATGGTGTGGTTAGGCGTCAAGGACGAAGTATTTATAAGATTTGAAGCGGTTCCAGAAGATGATGATGGGGTTGGGGGGTAGCAAGATGTATTGTAAAGGTATCTGTGTAGAAGAAGATCAGCTATAGAAAAGACACAGGCTGGTAAAAGCAGTGGTGAGCCACATACCGATGCAAGTCTCCGACTTTCTCAGACAATCCTCCGAATGACGAAGCTATAGTGTTGAACTCGACTTGTTTGACCTCCGGCTTTGCAGAGGGATTCGAAGGCTCAACATGTACTAGGTAGTCTGATCGGAACAGACCAAGAGAAAGGTCCTAAGGGTACTCAGCCAGGTCTTAACTATTGCTGCGGATCTCCAGCGAGAGATTTACCTGTGTATATCCTTCCTCTTTGACAGCTAGGTGAACCTTCCAGAGCTTAGCAATGAAATCATCTACTTCGGCAAGCCTAAAGTAGACATATTAGCTAGCTCATGCATATTTCGATTTTGAATATAGTGAGAATAAATATGACTTTTGTGTAGTTCTGTTATGGAGAGACCAACTCTTCTACAATGTCTTTAAGCCACTCCTCGTCATTGGCAATGCTTGCATACAATTCATTGTACGCTTTCTGAATCGCCTTGGCCTCATCGAAGCACGCACGGGGGAAGAGACTAGGGAAGAGTGTGACGGGAGCTGTCGTAGCAAGAACTCCGGCAGGGTCGGACTCTGGTGGCACAAAGGACGGCTGGGGACGAACAGCAAGACCGTGAGCAATGGAGTAGTCTTTGATGCTTGTAATCAGGTGGTCGAACTGCGCCTTGGTCAAGTCGGGCGGATATTTGGGGTAAATGGAGGCTGCCATGGTGGGGCAGTGGCCGAAGGGGAGGGGTATGTTTTTGACGAAGTATCTATGACGGTCAGAATAAGGCGCCTGGGAAATGCCCACGTTGGCTTTACAGACCTTGAGGCTGGAAATTGAGCGTCAAATTCGGCCTGCTGAGGGAAAGACTGACTGAGTAATGAAGGACTGCGTTGTCAGAAAAGAATCGGAGTGTGATTTGAGATTAGCTTCCAGTCCATAAGGGTCCCCACTGTCCCCCGTCGCTTGACGATGAGCTAATTGTGCAACTCGATAACGAGCTGCTTTGTTATCAGAGACTAACTTAGTTATAGGTAAGCCATGACTAAGGATTCTCAGGGACAATAGCATAAAATTGTGTAAAAACAACAAACCACAATACAATGGCCTTGGGGACTTCTGCTCTTTCAATTGATATGAGCTTTACTTATCAGATGCTACCCCGTCGTTGACAAGATCTCTTTTCAAGAATGAGGTTTAGTTACTTGGTAGAATCCAAGCGGGCATCCAGTGAGGGACCAGCACTACAGTATAACTATCGGCGCAATCTCATCTATCCGTAGATAATGCGTTTAGATAAGCTTTGCAGATAAATCATAGTTGTACATAACTGAATTTACCCCGCGAAATGAACATTCTGAACAACAAAATACCATTCCTAACTCTCATCTCTTCTCAATTCCTTTCCGATGACCAATTATAATAATTAAATCAAAAAGGAAATTTGAAGCTAAAGAAAACAGAGAAAACAAGATTCAGCAATCATCAGAATATTATTTGAATCAAAAAAACATTATGGCGCCCCGCGCTCCTCCAGCCTACGACCCTATTCCACTGAACAAGCCTCTCTACAAGGCCATTGCAGATACGGGATCGGTCTCTGGCGCGCGTAAATTGGTCAATTCATTTAATCTCCCTATCCGGAGCGGGCGAGCATGGGAAGTTCGTGCAGGCCAAGTATGTCGCATTATCACTCCTGAGGGGCCGCAGGTTGGAGACCTGAATATCTGGAATCGACACAATCCACGCGAACGATTTTGGGCAGCCCGCACGCGGCAATTGCAGCAAAGCCATGTAAAATTGTTTGACCGGCTGTGGAGCTGCCTGCCATTTTTGCGGCCGTTGGTTACGGTTACTGCTGTAAGTGATTCCTCTTCCTATCATTTACTTTCCAGTCATTCGTCATCCAAGCTTTAGTTTAGCCTCCACCTGTTTCCTATTATATGAGATTTATTATTTCAAATTTTCGAAATTTGTATCAGTTATTCAGCATCAACATGAAGCTACACAGTTCTCTCTACTCTGAATTTACGGTTTTTTTTTTTTTTTTTTTTTTCTTAATATTGAAAACAAGTGGGTGGTTCAAAGGATGTTGGATAGAAACAAGAAATCCTAGAACTTCGAGGAGCAACGCAAAAAAGGGGAAAGCGATGCACTGACTAACCTGGTTTATACCACAGGATTCTCTCTCAAATTACGGCGTCGACGAAGCCGGAGGGCGGGTCCACGATCTGCTTGGGACGAGATGCGATCCTTACGTCAACCAGCTAATCAGTGGTACCTCATTCGATTTCCAATGCCACTCAAACCTCACTCGTGCCGTGCTTCCATACGGCCTGTCCGAGTCTGATGTGCATGATGTTTTGAATGTGTTCCAAGTGGCGGGCTTGGACGAATCTGGAAGATATTTTATGTAAGACCATTTCCCTTGAATTTCTTACTCATTACGGTATCATCCTTGAATTCTGTTACGTTCACAAATCCAATGTATACCTAGCATTGTTCCATAATTATCCAGGAATCCATATTGATACGTACCATTCATAGGCAACCATGTCCTGCCAAAGCAGGCGACTACTGGGAATTCTTTGCCGAAACAGACGTGCTTTGTGCGCTATCGACCTGCCCCGGCGGTGATCTGTCCCAGTGGGGCTGGGGCGAAGGCGCAGAAGGCTCCGGCACGGATATGCTATCATGCTGCCGTCCACTGGCCGTGGAGGTTTATGAATTGATGAACAGAGAGGAGCTGCTTAAAGATTGGAAAGAACCATTGCCGGCTGCGTACAGGGGGATACATGGGCTGGTGCTTGATCCTAACAGTTCTCGAGTCTGAAGAATGGGGGTACCGCTCGTCAGGGCCTATTCCGAGTGGAGTTGAAGGAGTCAAAAAGTCCGAAACCGAAAGGTGAAAAGGTGTCACCGTGTAGAGGTTTAGCATATACGCATGTCTTTAGCGGTATCCATTTTGCATAGAAATTAAGAATAGAAAACCCAGTGGATAGAATATTTTTACCACGCTGTTTGATACTGTGAGGACTTCGGTGCATTGCTGGCAGGATTATAGTCATTCAACACTATATATTTCACTTATCTCCATGGAAAAAAGAAATGATAGACGGATAGCTTTTACATTTAAATAGTCAGTGAATAGCTTCTGCCATTGGACTACTTCAACTAAGGCAACTTGCAAATGACCCACGTTTCGCCAGTCAATGTGTGAGTTACAAGATGATAGATGGATTTTTAGCATGCAAATATGTCGGCGAATATTGAAGAAATTGGACAATATTTCTTTGCAGAACAGGTTCAATGATTGAGTAGAGTTCTCGCTGTGTAATAGAGGGCCAGAAAAAAAAAGAGACGGTCGTTAAAATTTGGTCTTCCCTGTAGTTACGCGTGCTGCTGTCAAGTTGCTTTGCTTCTTCCACCAGGCGCGCTAGCAGATGACAAGTAACAATAGGCAAGCACACAGCTGCAAGGAATGGGCACCGGCACAACAGTTTAAGGTCAATTAATGAATGTTGGAAGGTAATCAGCGTAAGACATAAGACACCTGAGCCCTATATTAATGTCGCGAGAGATTGGTTTTCTGTTGCATTTGCCCCCTTTATAAAATGCACCATTGAAAATTGGGTATGACAATCGATTCTCGTCCCCATCTGAGTAATTTCTGGAAATTCGAAATTTGATGTCGTCGGATAAATCTTTTGGCATTGAATGGGAATACTCGTTTTCTGTTTGCAATGATAAGCGGAGAAAAAGACAAGCAATTCATGCAGCATACCACCTCTCTTCTCGCCTGCCACTTCAAGAATCATTGCAAACGTCACTGCGTTGTAGATATCATCTATCGTGTACCCTCTTTGACCTGCTGGTTTAGCTGTCAGCTTTGACATTTAGACATCAACATATTTCAATTCAAGACTGACCAGCTATCTACTTGTGCAACACAGCCCAGCATTTCCATGGACCACGAGGAAAAAGAATCAGTTCACGGAAGATGAGAGCTTTTGTTGCAATGCATGGCCAATATTTATGCTTCCAATAGTCTGCAGCACTTTGGTATCAGCCTATTGCATTATTCATTTCCCCTTTGCAATTGCAGATATCTGCAGAAAAAAAGAAATTAAACATAAACCTGGCCAGGCTATACATACCTAGCTTCACAAAAGCTCCGTACGGAGCCAAATTGGACTCAGAGAGCTGCGTTTCATTTTGGCTAATAGTCAGACACGTAATGCTTTTGGGTGAGACATCAACTTAAACCGACTTGGATCAGTGTTAGGGTTTTGTTAAGAATGACAAGGTGTGATATTAGATTACTATGCGATGAGAGACTTGTACTCCAAGTAATGAGTCGCGTCAAAGTTCTCCGTAAAGGTCCTTCATGAAGATCCAGATTAGATTTCCATCAGATGTTAAGCGTTTATAGATGCGCGGTTGCCACTGTGCCATTCCGATTTCAAAAAATTGAGCCTGTGTTATGGACAGTTAGTCGTATTGCTTCAACTTTGAGCGCACTCTCAGCTTATGCGTTCGTAAGGTGCCCCGCCTGGTTGAAGGGAAGAATTGAAGACTTCTTTGCGATCAAAGCGATCAATTGAGGCCGCAATATTTCAGTTCATAGTTTTCGACTAATAAGTAGAAGAAGCGAAAACGGTCTGGGGAATTGAGGCAAATAGAGGACATTATATATACCAAATACCTAACCCTCAGTGAAGACAAAAATGTGTGAATGAGGTAAGGCAGTAACGGCACTGAGCTTCTTCGTATCACTATGCTCCAGCTGTGACTTTATTCAGTGAATCTTGTAAGGAAGGGGAAGAAGTATACGAGCATCGTTAAAAACCTCACGATAAACGAAACAAACTTGATAAATTCGCACTAGGCCTGGATTGATAGAGAAAGAATATGGAACCTGCAATGACAGAGGAAAAGAATGCGAATTAGTACAAAGGAACGACTATTTGAGACGGCCGCGAGAAAAATGCCTTGAAGGTCTCGATATTAATTCAAATGTGGGTATCTTTTATTTATTTTTCGTCCTTCCTTTCGCAATATAGGTTTGAGTTCCCTAGGAATGGTGCGATCTTTTGGCTAACACTCGGGGAAAACACTCGGGGAAATTAAGCTGTTGCAGCTGACGGTGCTTCATGGCCCAAAGCTGGAACTGTATGGCGTGTGTTAGCGTTTAATAAAAGAGATATCAGCCATTAAATGGAAGGCAAAAAGCTTACTGCTGAGTCCATAGCCCACTGTCTCCCCCTTGATGTCGCCCCGATTGCATTCCACGCGAAGAGCAACATCCAACCCATATCGATTGTATGTGCTCGTGGCCAACCCTGCGGCGGCTGGGTGCTGAGTACCCGCATTTTCTTCACCAAGACTAAGCGGATAGTGAGCGTCCTTCTTCTCTCCGTTATTTGGATGAGTGGCAGAGTGTCCGTTGGTGGGTGGAGCAGAAGTGCCATTCGTCGCTTGAGGACTGGAATTGCTTTCGGTAATGATGGCAAAATTTCTCGACGGCATCGTGGCATGGTTACTTTTCCCAACTTGCACGCTAGGGCCTGGGACTTTGTCAAACATTTTCAACAGCGTCTCATCAGTCTCGCTGTCGAAATGATGAATTCGATTTCTTCTAGCCAACAAATTCGCAACGGCCGGCGGCGGAGGTTTGTTGGTAATGGCCGAACTAATAATGTTGACCATGTATCGGTGATCCTGCTCAACGGGTATGTTGAGAGTAGGTAGGCTATAAAATCGACCCAGCGCGGCGAGGTGAACATCACCACCTAGGATTGTCACACGAACAGAGTGCTTCTTTGAGAGCGCTTGGAACCGCAGAATGAGTTCCTTGCGCTCCTTCTTGTGCTGGTGTGCAGTATAGTGATCGTCAAGATCGTCGAGAAGGTCAACTTGGCCGTCAAACTTGTTGAACAGACCTCCCGCTAGACCGAATCGTTTGTTCAAAAAGCGAATTGGGCCTATGATGGGGGAGCTGAAAATATTCTCCAGCCATTGGAGTCGAGGGTACGCGATTGGTACGCCGAGTAGAACAATCAGGTGCTTGATCTCGCCTTGCAACTGGGAAAATTCGCGGTCCAGCCGATGGAAGATAAGGTCATAAGTCTCAGGATAATTTATCCGGTGGCGGGTGCTGCGGGCAATCAGAATCTTCTTTATCACGAAAAGCCACAGGGCATTGACACGTACCGCTCCGTTCTGGCATCAAGTCCAACAAAAGCAATGTGCTTTCCAAGTTGCATAAAGACAGACCGAGACCGTTCAGCAACATACGGGCCTGGCTTAGGGCCGATGATCCAACTATGGTGCTCCTCCTTCTCTGTCATCACGAATGCGCCTTTAGTCTGTAAAGGATCCGCTCCGGTACCCTCCAGGCCCTGGCTCTCCATGGTTTGCGGCGCGTCCGTTGTGAAGGTGGACTTTGGCGGAGGGCTATGGTGCTGAAACAACATGTAGTATCTTTTCAAAGTGTCAGCGATGACCCTCTAGGCCTGGTGTGTGAGCTTACTTGTGGGCGACTCCGCCGATGCCACGAAACACGGCGCATCTTTATCCAGTCAGTTCAATGCATGTCCTAGCTTCTTCGCAGAACATCCGAGTAACTCACTTCATGAAATGATCGGTGTAGGAGCCGAATCCATCGATAATATCTGTAGAGATTAAGTCAGTCACTGTTCGATCTCTTATGAAGATGCCAAAAATTACCGTGGTCATCCCAGATGTTAACTTGGGGGATCTGTGCATTCGCGGCCGCAAAGGGCTCGGTAGTATACCAGCGAATATAATTGTCGAAGTAATATTTATCACAATCGGCACGCATCGTCTCAGGAAATTGGTAGTCACGTCTCTTTTTGGGATTCGCAAGGTCTGTCCAGGGGCGCAGCGGACCGTCCACTCGGACACCGTCATTGTAGATTTGGTCTCCACCTCCAATCATGACATGGAAAGGAGCCTTTTCATGAAAACGGAGAACATCGTTCCAAAGCACCGGCCCAGTCCAGACATTTTCGTCTGTGCCAACAGAGAAACCATTGCAGGAGTGGAACATAATCCGCATTGATTGCTGCTGGGAAGGGACCACAAAAGTCTCTGTTGAAGGGTGGCGATTGCTGCCTCGAGTGAGGTAACGCACTCTCGAGATGGTGTAGTCCCACTGCGCCTCGAATGGCTGGATTGGGACTTCGACGGTGAAACGCCAAAAGATTTTGTCTGGGTCAGAATACAGCCTCTCCCCCGAGATGGTACGCGGCTCGGCACCTGTTGCAGTGGAAGCTCCGTCGACTCCATCAGCTTGGCCGTTGGGGAGCTCCGAATTTCCATTGACTGCCTGCTGTGGTCGAACAGGCCCGCGGAGGCTTACCCTCAATTCGGGCTGCGTCTGGGCGGGCTTCGTGACGATCAAAACACTGCCCTGCCAAACCTTAGATCCGGTCTGCGCGCCAATCATGCCCTTATAATTCAGCAATGGGCCGGCCAGCACCTGAAGCTCTTCTGAGCCAGTGGTCGTAGGAGGCACTGGCTCCTCAATATTGTTAGTGCTTCCCATGGTGTTGTCCAGTTAACCACAAGGTTTTTCACTTGAGCCGGATATCAGCAGGATATAGTCACGACACGAAAACTAGCAGTTCGGCAGCTCGATTTACGAGTCGCAAAGGGTTGAATGTCTTTGAACGCGCGCAAAGAATGTAACCGAAAGGGAGGAGAGTTAGCACAAAAGCTATTGCTAACAATGGAAGGGCCAAATGGGACTGAAAGAGAAAAAATAATCGAATGCCAGCTACAGCGGAGATCAAGAATACATGACGCACACACTTAGCCAAGACTTTTGGGGATGAGAAGCTGACAGCATTTCAAGGCGGACGGCGCAAGAACAGGTAAGTTGGTAAACTCAAGATCCAAGGGACCATGCCTACTCTTGTCCCAAACAAGCACAAGCATAACATGAAGGGCCGAGCGGGCCTCGGGCCAAATCTGACGGTTAGGCTTATTAGGGGTATCGATCCCCTGAAAGTACACTGTACGATCCACATCACCCTAGCGAGAGAGTCCATCAAGGTTACCGAGACTCCAGTGGCTGGGAACAAGCCCATAGTCGTGACGCGGACCAATGGGGCCTCCAGGATGAAGGACCTTACTGGCAGGCATAGGTAGGTCAGTAACTCTCGTTAAGGCCGCTGCAAACGGTAAGGGAGCTTCTTGTGGGACTAACACCCACATTGTCGCCCCCCACGCTGCAGGGCATCCCTTAGACTCTCACATCACTTGTGTCCTTAAATCACCTTCACCCTCATTCGCTGAAGCTGAAAACTATCCCAAGGTACGTGGGTATTTAGTAATCGGAGAATCACAATCGAGCTCTTTTGAGATGATCAGTCAACGGGGAAATTTTCTCATTGAGAGACTTATCATATAAATCCATGTTTTGAATGTAACTGTACTCTCTCACGGTCGTTCGTAGCCCACCTCTCCGCCCTCGGCTTATAGTTGCTCTGGACAACCTCTCTCTGTGATTGAAGTGTGGCGGGCGTAACAACACAGCCACGCGAAAGTCTTAGCCCACTCGGAATTATACGAGTGTAAAGCCCTTTGAGCGATCGTCGAAGATGTTCAGTATGGATCAAGGTCGGCGCAGGAATGGGCACCGATCCACCTGTAAATCATGCACCAATGGCGTTCAGCAGGTAGCTGATTTCGCAATCTCTGGGTGATAACTAATCTATGACAGTAGATGAGACGGAGTGAGGGAAAGGGAATTCCCAAGGAAAGAATTTCCCCGTGGAGTGGATGGGGGACGTTATTTGGCAGGAGGTGACTTCGTTGGAAACGCTACTCGCCAACCAATCAGCGTCGCTAATCGGCGCATGCGGACGTTGAACGCAACACATCCATCTTCAGGTCTCGCACAGCCTATCATGTCCACCACGGGGGCACGCGACACTTTGAGCGTCTTGTCCTTGATAATGCCTGACCTTTTAATACTGCCACACCCTCCGTGAGGAGGGGTTGTTAACAACCATCCCCATTTCACTGTCGTGCTTGCATTGAATTGACTACAAAGCAGCATCATTTCCTTCAATTTGGACGAATTGTCGCTCAATCGGCATATATTAGCTGCCTGCAACATTATTACTTGCTGCAGAGACACAAGTTCCTACCTGCTAGGGCTCCTGTGCCAGCGTGTGACACTCGAGGATAACAGTCATCTACCACCCTGGAAAAGGCAAATATCACGACGCCCATCAATATGCCTCCTGCAACATTTCCTCCCACCCCAGCTCCTTCGTCGGAGATTGCTGCAAAAGACTGTCATGCAGGAAGTGACCTCACCGCTCTGGATGGGTCATTTGTGCTGCCCCCACCAGCAATGGCGGATAACGATCCCTCTGACTCTGTCATGAGCAGCCCTGATGAGATGTTCATCGATTCCCCATTCAGCCCCATATCTCCAGCTTTGTCGGCCAAGTTGAGCTCAACTTCCACCACTTCTCGCCGTCGAAGTGGTCCTGCCCAATTGCCGCCTCCTCCGTCCCGCTCCCGGAAGATCATTCAGGTGGCTCCTCGCCCAGAGCCACGCAAGGCGGCAAGCTCAAAATCGGCAAAAGCTCAAACCAAAACGACGTCCGCTCCTTCAACCACCAACTCCCCCAAGAAGAAACAATCTGGGTCAGGGGGGTCGACAAACCGGAAAGTCGCACGGAAAACTGCTCACAGTCTAATCGAGAGGCGTCGAAGATCCAAGATGAATGAAGAGTTCGGTGTTTTAAAGGATATGATACCAGCCTGTAAAGGGCAGGACATGCATAAGTTGGCAATCCTCCAGGTAGATCCAAATGCTGTAACTCCTGACTCTAAAATAAATGATATTGACCTTTTATTAGGCCAGCATCGAGTATACACGATACCTTGAGCATTGCGTTACAGAGCTAAAGGCGGCGTTTGACAAGCCACCTAGTCCTGTAACTAGTTTTGAGCCGAGCCCTCTCCCATCACCGCTCGATGACAATCGCTCAACTTCCAAATCCGTTGTATCAGAGGATGAGAGAGAGACGTCTCCTCTGGCTTCAAACCTTGCCAGTACTTCATCTTCCACTCTTCCTTCACCCGCCCTTGTACCAGAATCTAAGCTCTACAATGTCCAACCAGCCGGCCTACTTTCGCCGGAATGCGAAATTAGATGGGAATACGTCGCGCCCTCATGCACAATCACTCCACAGCCTCCGCCGCTGAGCAATGAGAGGAAAAGAACCGATCAAGAAAATACAGCAAGGGCATTATTGATGTTGCGCGAAGCAGACGGCACTCGGGGTATGAGTGTACAAGACCTCCTAAGCGGCTGATTGGAATATGCTCAAGCAATTCCTAATTATCATTGTTTGACTCTAGTCTAGCGTTTTTCTCCAGCAAGTATTGGTTATGACGATAAAGTTTTTCTCTTCAGCGACGACGGTATAGAATTGTGCGGTTATGAACGGCGTTACAGAGAAAATAGGCTTGGCGTTTGTTATCGGGTATAAGGAAACACTCGGTGTCTAGTTTAGGGTTCCTTCATGATGCAATTCCAACATTTTTGCATCTTATCACTAACGATTACAATTGAATCAATCATTTCGAATCTTAATAGAGTCATTGCGAATCAAGCGTCAGTGTTGCCTTTTTCAACAATTATATATGATTGTTCTATATTGATTTTTTTAAAAGGTCCGAGCCTCAATTTGGACCACATGCTATGCTCTAAACCGACAGAATCGTACAAGCGGAAAACTCCATAATAATATACATGTCCGTCATGACAATCGTTATGTAAAACTTTGCCGACCACAGTGGATATCAATATCGTCTGTTATGAACTCCAGGCGGAAGAAAGCGAGATGCAGGAATGAGAAACTTTTTGCAGCGTTCGGATCGGTATATGCAAGATGTGTGACTGTTGCAAGTAAAATGAATCGGCGTGGACGACAATAACTTCGAAGCCATTACGGCGGTAGCCGTTTAGAAGTGCTTCTTCTCGACGCCGGGAGGGAGCTGATCACCCTGGCCGGTGATGACTTCGCCGGTAGCGCCAGTGTCGACAGGACCAGCAGGCATGTCCTTGGGGTTTTCGGCCGCACCAGCAAGGTTTTCGGCACCTAGCCCGCCAGAAGTGTTGGTGACGTCGGCCTGGCCCGGTCGGGGCTTGGAGGGGATAGTGTTTTGGATGCCAGCGTCGTTAGGGATCTTGGTACCCTTGACAGCGAGGTCGCTGAGGTCACCACCGGTGTGCGCGTCAGAAGACATGGCGAGATTTGGAGTTGTTTTGGGTGATTGGAAATGAGAGTAAAGTTTTGAGAACTTTTTTGTGGAAGTAGAAGAGGATTGTGCTTCACAGGAAATGATGAGTATAAATTGGGGAGGTCTTTTGACTCTATATATGTGCATTCATTGCTGAGACAATGATGTGGTGTCCTTACTGAAAGTGTCGTATTGTTGTCGTCATAGCGAGGTCATTCTAGAACGGGGCCAGAAAATCCTACGCCAGGAACTGATGAAAGTGACCTCTAGCTTCCTTACGCCCCTCGGCCATTATTAGGCACTACATCATAGGGCCCTTTCTGATGTGCATTTTCTACGCAATTCTCCAGAGTGGAGCACGCTGTGACGGATGCAATGCTGTGGGTTCTCTTTAGGTTATGTCATATCAAGAAGCAACATCTCGATCCGGAGTGGAAAGGAGACTCGAACGACTACCAAGGAAACCCCAGAACCTTGGAATGCTTCACAAAGCTCATCAGAAATGAATTTATCTTAAGCCTGTACAATTTCTTCGAATTAGGATTTCATATGCATGGGATTTCCTACGTTTCCTGAAGGACCGAGAAACGATGGAAAATATATCCACACCGATTGCAAAATTATACTGTAAGAACAAACGATTGCACCAGTGAGCAAGGGCGAATTATCTTCAATCTACCTTGTTCTCGGAAAAATTCTCTTCTTAGATCGTAGGGAAAAATTCTTTGATCCAGTTCCAGTGAGGAGGAAGGTTGTCCTTCGACATGGTGTTTGCTTTTATTGATGCTAATACCCTTATCTAATCAATCAATCAATTTTCCGCAGCTTGCTTGTCCTCGCTTCTTTCGGCTCAGCTTTGACCCGACCGTCTGGCAAGCTTCCCCTTGCTTCTGTTTACGTTACCCTACTACGTAGATATCCAGCAAAGTTACCAGGTCTGGAATAATGACCCACTGTGCCAAGATCCTGGGGGAAACTCCAAGTATTTACCTGTAATTGCCAGTGTACGTGCCGAGGTCTGTTGTTATCAGGGGGTGAAGCGGCGATGGAGATAGCCCGTATTAATTCGGAGCTCTGATTACCTTCTGCTATCGGCCAATGCGAGATCATTGGCACAAGCTCGATACTCCGTAACTCCCAAAGTTATCGCTAAACTAAGGTTAAGATCCCGCGGGGAAACGGGTCCTAATGTCGTACAGTAATTAACCTGAATCGAAGGGGAAATTCTCGGAACGGTTAACTGGCACAAAGCTCTCAAGCTGTCAGTAATTTACGAACCTAGTCCATGCTTGTTGTTGCCGATATTAATCAATCGGCCCGTCTCCTGGATCTGTAAACCCCGCCATGCTGCCCCACTACCGCTGTGCCTCTAGAGGTAAGATATATATGCATCCGGTAGCTACAGCTTAAGCAATATTTTGAACAACGAACACCAATATCGAAGCTTGATATCATATTGTCAAGCCAATCAATTTACCAAACAAGGATAATGGGATCGCGAAGTATCGAAAAGCATAGATGGTGGAAAGAGGCTGTCGTGTATCAGGTATGATGATGCGCGATTCTTCTCAAGGAGCACTTAAATATAGGTCAGCTCTTGCTAACCCAAGCATAGGTTTACCCGTCAACCTTTCTTGACGCCAACGGAGACGGTTGGGGTGATGTTCCCGGTATCATCTCCAAAGTACCTTACCTGAAAGAGCTCGGCGTGGACGTAGTATGGGTTTCCCCAAGTGCGTTATGTTTGCTTATGCCCCTTGTCCTGAGCGTGGAAAGCTAACGACGATGCTCAGTCTACAAGAGCCCGCAGGTAGACATGGGATATGATATTTCAGATTATTATGACATAGATCCAAAATACGGCACTATGGCAGATGTAGAACGTCTCATTGCTGAACTCAAGAGGCATGGCATGCATCTCATGATGGATATTGTCGCCAACCACACATCAGATCAGGTTTGTTCTGACATAAGCTTCTCTAGCAAGGGGAAGAGGAACACCCTGCCCAGGATCAGCTCGCACTGACAGGTAGCAGCACCCGTGGTTTCTGGAATCAAAATCTGCCACGGACAACGCGAAACGCAACTGGTATATATGGAAGAAAGGCAAAGTCGATGCCGAAGGGAATCCAGAACCACCAAATAATTGGTGCTCAATTCTAAAGGACGGAAACAGCGGCTGGACTTATGATAAGGCGACTGATGAATGGTATCTCTCAGTGTTTACTCCTGAGCAGCCCGATCTAAACTGGGAACTCCCGGAAGTCCGACAGGCCGTCCAGGAAGTCATGCGTTTTTGGCTGGATAAGGGCGCATCAGGATTTCGCTTGGACGTCATCAATATGATTTCCAAACTCCAAACCTTCCCTGATGCTGATGTTACCCGGCCACATGACAAGTATCAGCCGGGTACGAAATATTTCGTCAACGGGCCTCGTCTACATGAATTTCTGAAAGAGCTCAATCGAACAGTTTTCAGCAAATATGATACAATCACAGTTGGCGAAATGCCCGCCGTGAGCGATGATGATGAGATTCTCAAAGTCGTCGGAAGTGACAGAGAAGAACTTAACATGATTTTCATTTTTGACTTGGTGGATATTGATATTGATAAAACGGAATATCATCGCTTTAATTGGAGACAATATCAGCCCAAGGAATTTTTCGACATAGTAAAGCGGTGGCAGCGGGTCATGATCGAGCGTGACGGTTGGAATACATTGTTCCTCGAGAATCACGACAATCCCAGATCCGTTTCCCGTTATCTGAGTGACAGCGACGAATATCGGGACAAAGCTGCGAAACTACTCGCTCTGCTGCAAACGACGCTCAGCGGCACCGTATATGTCTACCAGGGAGAGGAAATAGGCATGAAGAATGCTCCGCTAAGCTGGGATCCAAAGGAATACAAGGATGTGGAATCGATTTCCTTCTGGGAGAAGTACGAGCCCTTCCGCCCTTTAATTTCTTACTTTACCTCAAGCCAAATGTTAAATCTGATCTTTCTATTAGAATTAACAAGCTTTATCCCGGTGACTCCCAAAAGCTCGACGAAGCCAGACGTCTTTTGCAGCTCAAGGCTCGTGATCATGCGCGAACTCCTGTTCAGTGGGACTCTTCTGCCAATGCGGGCTTCTGCAAGGCCGGCGTGGAACCATGGATGCGCGTCAATGATGATTTCAGGAGAGTCAATGTTGCGGCGCAAATGAAGCCATCTTCTGATGGTGATCTCTCCGTTTGGCAATTTTGGCAGCGAGGCCTAGAGAACCGGAAGAAGCACAAGGGCGCTTTTATTTATGGTAATTTCATCGCCGTCAATCCAGAAGATGACAATGTCTTTGCGTATACTAGAACGGGCTCTCAGGATGGCACTTGGCTTGTCGTTCTTAATTTCTCGAAAGAAGAACAATTGTGGGAGGTCCCGCCCGATTTTGAGCTGGAAGCCTGGGTTGCAGGTAATTATACCCCGAATGCCCCAGACAAGGGTCGTCGGGGAACTATCAGGTTGAAACCGTTTGAAGGCTTGCTTGGTCGATGTGTGTAAACTGGGTAGGTTTAACTAGACGCATCGTCAGGATGTTAGATATTTCCGTAAGCAAAAGAAGTAATTCCATGAATACATCTTCTGTCAAAGCCAAACGAACCTTTTTAAGATTGGCAAGGCAGGCAACGTCAAAATGATTGTTCTCACTTCCTTCAACAGGCGTGTGCAGGAACCCGTAGCCTGAATGCATCATGACGGTGCACTTGATACAAGCGGTGAACATCATACACCCCATTTTGTAGAGCATATGTCCCGTTTCTGTCGTCCCGTCGACCAAGCTAATTCCGAACTACTTCTTTTATACCCTCCGCAAATCCCAGGTTGGCCGTCCTACTCTCAACATTGAAGTTCTTCAACCAAAACAACGTTTTGCTTTTGCGACCTCGCGTTTAGATATCTCATCACAGACGGGGATTTCATTGTGCCAGAAAATTTAGTTGGCCTTAATTTACTTTTCATTCGTGCCATAACCCATTTCTCAAGCTTTACGGGCCGACTACAAAGATTGTTCGTCTACCTTTACAGTCCGTTGGACGTTGACATATCTCCTCTCTTCTCGACGTTGACATTCAACCACGTCTCTTGACTTTCTACTCCTTCCACACCTGCGCGTATAGAAGCCCTACCCGCAGAAGAGAAGCGAAATCCTCCATATCCCTCACTGCAGAGAGTCGCGTTCTGGGTGCAGATCTGTGGACGCAGCTCCCTTCATTTTGCGTGTTCTCCACATCAAAGCCCTCAGACGTGTATTTGCGCTACCCAGACAACAAGTTGCCTCGGCCACCTTGAGCAAAAGTATCGGAACGCCGACGTCTAGCCAGAGCAGGAAGGGGTAGAGCTGACACAAATTAAAGACTCAATGACGGAAGGAAACGAAGATATCTTGAGCCGTAAGTCCATGATCACACTCTCTGCTTCTAAAGTGGGATGGGCCAAGTCAAGGTGGCTGTCCATATGACGTTGAGATTTATATCTGTTTCTTCTTCACTATGTCCTACTTTTCAGCTCCTCTTCCTACTTGACTCCCGCATACTATTACTCCACACATCACCTGGTACAAGTAAAGCCGCTAACATACCTTGAAAGGCGTTCGAATTTACGTAAGGAGAGAAGTAGAACTGTTGCTCAGGATGATTGCTCAAGGAGATCAGCTTCCAGAAAAATACAGTAAGGTGTCTCTCTCCCATGCGGAGATATATCCCATCTAACAGGTTCTTCCACTCAAGCCACGAATGATAGAGATTGGGAAGATGATCATGCACCGGATGTTCGTGTTAATGAGCGCGGACGAGTGGAAGTTTACGCTCCGGTACGAACGCTGGCGAGAATAAACGGACGTAAGATCCCCATGGAGATAGAAATATAGTATCGGACCCAGTGATCCCTGACAATTTTCAAGCTGCTAGGAAGTTGTCTCACATGTGGCACGAGTTGGATCCTCTGCCACCATCTAAGGGCGAACTAAGAAATCCTGAAATAGAAAATAAAATAAACGCGAGGAAGAAGCCATCGCCGGCACCGAACTGTACAAACGATAAGGCAGTCAGAATCAGGCGAGAGGAATCGGAAGCAGGACGCACTTTCCAAAACCCAAGAGATGTTTCAAAGAACCCGCACATATCTCCAAAGACGAGGAAACGCTCACTCAAGCGGCAGCGATCTCCGGAGGGGGCTCATCCTTATCGCTTTGCGAAGAAACGGGCTTCGGTACCAAATCAGGTCAAGAACCGCCGACAGGAGGCTTTCCGAGGTCCGTTGATTGATAAATCTGCAACAGTATCGGCGCCGATCCCGATCCCGGCGACGTCGGTGCCTATAGAGGTAGAAGAGGAGGACGATGATGATCGAATCATCAAAGTGAAAGTAGACTTGGGCATGTCAAGCGACGAGGAGCAAAGTGAAAACGATATTGTCAGCGACGATAGCTCGGTTGAAATTATCACTTCCCCGCCAAGACCAGCAAAGCCCATGACCATTTTTGCAGGGCATGAGGACGAGAATGAAGGCCTCGGTGATGAGCTTTTTGTTGCATCAGCCCCACCCCCGAAATGGAGAAAATGTCGAAAGGAAACGAAGGACAAGAGCTTTTCGGAACTGGTACGAGATGAGCAAGGAAGAATCGATCATCGGTTCGACACGGGCATCACGGCACCAATGGATCGACATGATCGGTTGATCAATAGGACGGACGGGGCAATTTCAACGAGGTTTAGGCAGTCAAAGAGCTTCGGCGAAAGACTGATGGCAATCTCTTCTGCTGCTACAGAGCGGAATGATGCTGGCAACGATGAAAAGAGCCGAGACAATGGGCAGGGCAGGGTAGCATTAGATAGGGCTCCTGAGTTTGACTGGGGTACTTTGCTTGACAGGCAAAGAAGACGCCGCCAAGGAGAACATCTAGATAGGCGACACGAGAATCGCTCCGGACGTTCAACGTGGAGAAGTTACGACAGCTACCGCCCAAGGCCATCCCTACGACGATCGGAAGTGTCCTGGTGGGACAGCCAAGAGGCGAGGCGGATTGAAGCGATGACTAGAGATGATCCGCTCGAAGAGTTTGCGAAAAATTAATTGTAAGGGATTATTTCTGCCTTCCCGTTTGTGGATCGTCTTGTAGTGAGGCGCGCAATTTTGAGGTGCTAACACGAAAGTCTCGAACGTCGCCCTATCCATTTTTAGTAGTTTCGAGATCGTTGGTCTAGACCTCAGAGCTTAAATCCGGGGGTAAAGTCTGGAGTGGCCGTGGGGAATGTGCTCCTTCGGCTACAGACGGTCCTGCAGTATTTAGCTCTCGTCTTGCTCCCCCGCCCATGTGCCTTCACCCTCTGCCCATTCCGGCAGGTCACGCTTAAACCCTGTCCGACCCTTCCCTCCCTGTGTCGATTTTTCGGACTTACCCCCGCATCTATCCCTACATTTCGAAAATCTACATCCAACCTAGCAACCAGTCATATTTATCGTGAGTCGGCATCGGCTACTCCGGCTCAGAAGGCAATGATGATTCGTGCGCGGGAGACGGAACATCCGCTTTCTGGAGACGGCAGCAGCCGCCACAGTTTTATTCGAGCCTCCTCTGCTTTATCAAAGTTGAAGTTTTTCAGACGCAAGAGCGAAACCGAAAAGATCAGTCAGAGAGGGACACCACTCACAAAAAGGAACATAGAGGAGTTCTTCAACGGAGACGAAGATCAGAATGCCTACGACAACCTTCGAAACACCAGAGAAGTACGAGTATCAGAATGGCTTCGACTCCTACCATGAGTATGTCTTCTGTATCGCCCTTGGGTGCTTTTTTTTTTTTGACGGCCAGAGGTATGGGCAAAGATTGACACTCCTTCTCAAGGACGGAAGCTGTAAAAGGAGCTCTCCCTATTGCAGCCAATTCACCTCAGAAGCCTCCATATGGGTTGTACGCTGAGAAGCTCTCCGGTACCTCATTTACAGCCCCAAGGCACGAAAACAAGCAGTCATGGCTCTACCGCATTCTTCCTGCTGCGGCACATGAGCCATTTGAGCCAAGGGAGTCTTCAAGCTTTACCACCAATTCCGAGAATAAACCGCACGATAAATTCCAGCAAATCCCAAATCAGCTTCGATGGGACCCTTTTGACCTTGATGAGAAGGTTGACTGGGTGAATTCATTGCATCTTGTTGCGGGTGCCGGTGATCCAACCATAAAGTCTGGAATCGGCGTCTTTATATTTGCTGCAGGCCGATCCATGGACGAGCATGAAGCTTTTTACTCTGCCGATGGAGATTTCTTAATAGTGCTCCAGCACGGCGTCCTGGACATTGTAACGGAGTTCGGGAATCTCTTGGTGCGACCCAACGAGATTACAGTCATACCTCGGGGCATCCGATATCGCATTAGCCTTCCAGCTGGTCCCGTACGAGGTTACGTTCTGGAGCTTTACCAAGGTCATTTTCGACTACCAGAGCTTGGCCCTATCGGATCAAATTGCCTTGCCAATGCACGCGATTTTCAGGTTCCCGTTGCCGCTTTCGAAGAAGACACGAGTACAACCTGGCATATTCTAGCCAAATTTAATGGACGACTTTTTTCTGCAAAACAAGACCATAGCCCATTTGATGTTGTTGCGTGGCATGGACTCTACTATCCGTATAAGTACGACTTGGGCCGTTTTAACACCATTGGTAGTATCTCGTACGACCACCCGGATCCTAGCATTTTCACCGTTCTCACGGCGCCGTCTGATCATGGGGGAACGGCGGTGGCGGATTTTGTCATATTCCCGCCTCGTTGGCTTGTTCAGGAGGATACATTTCGACCGCCATGGTATCATCGTAATACCATGTCCGAGTTTATGGGCCTCATTCATGGGCAATACGATGCAAAGATGGCCGGCGGGTTTCAGCCTGCTGGAGCTTCGCTGCATAACGTCATGTCTGCGCATGGACCAGATGCTGCTACATTTGAAAAGGCATCAACCGTTGAACTAACACCAGCAAGAGTGGGCGAAGGAAGCATGGCATTCATGTTTGAGAGTTGTCTAATGGTGGGCGTAACAGACTGGGGCCTCCAAAAATGCAGCAAGGTGCAAGAGGATTACAATGCTGAAAGCTGGATTCCCTTACGCCCTCGATTCAAGCGCCCTGGAAATTAAATTTTGACGAATTTTATCCTATAGACAATTCACATGTATGGGATACTACTTTGTTTTTTCTATTTTCTATTCTCTATTTTTTTTTTCTTTCCTTTTTTTTTTTCACCCCTCCGGCATAGCGGATGAGACTTATATTTTACTATGCTCGTGTCTACACGCGGGGCTAGGATTCGTTCGAGTGCCTTTCTTTCGTTTCTGCGTCAGATATCCGCATTATCGTAAACTGCATTATAGTACCAATAACATTAATATTAATTCGCCTTCTGTGGGCCAATAAGTGGTGTCCTTCGTATTTACGTGGACACAGTAGCATCCCTGTCAAGCTATTTCTCCAGGAAACAGCGGAAGCGGTCGCTTCGGCCCGCGATGCGGGGGGGTTGGTGGAGAAGAAGGGGGGGGGGCGAAACAAGCAAACAAAATAACAAACATGTACGCAATCGTGCATCTTGAAATATATAGGAGTCTCCATCGGAACCCAACGGAAATGAACAGGATAATTACCCTCCCTTTAGATTCGCTTCAACTACCTTGAGTCTTTTCTCGCTCACCTGTATCCTGTTTTGCTCGTGCATGCTCTCTGCTCTCACATAAATACAAATCCTGTTGCTCTGTCAATCGCATTTGCAATTCCCCATTTTGCAAACATTTAGCACTTGTGTATTCAGGCAATCTTTGGTGGTGCTCACATCGAACTAGACTTCTTCATCTTTACGATTCCCCGCTTGCCCCGTACTGCCTTTTAACAGGTTGACAAACCTGTTCCCTTTTTTTGAGTCCTCCGATCGACAGCCAAAAAAAGGAGAGAAAGAGAAAGAAAAAGAATCACCATGGCCCGAAAATCCTGGCTTCCTATCCCTCACAACTCTCATTTCTCATTGTCAAATCTCCCGTTTGGCATCATCACCACACCCACGTCCCGCATCCCCCACGTTGCCGTAGCCATAGGCAATTATGCGCTAGACCTACACATGTTTTCATCCAGCAACGGCCACGCTGCCGGCGGCTTCAACGATCTGGCTGCAATTAAGCCCTATTTGTCCGTCTTCTCTCAGCCTACGCTGAACGCCTTTGCCGCGCTTGGACGTCCTCTGCACCGTCAAGTCCGAGAATACCTACAAGATGTCTTTTCCGAAGATACTCCCTATCCGGACATTTTGAAACTCAACAAGGGTCTCCAGGCACAATCATTGTACCCTTTAGACTCCATTGAGACGCATATGCCCTTCCACATTGGCGACTATACCGATTTCTACGCGGGCAAGAATCACGCTTATACCGTGGGCGTGCTCTTCCGGGAACCCAACACGGCTTTGCAACCTAATTACACGCATTTGCCTGTCGCGTATCACGGGCGTGCGTCGTCGGTCGTGGTATCTGGCACGCCAATCCGCAGACCTTGGGGCCAGATTATCAAAGATTCGGGTTCTGATTCTGATTCTACCCCTGTCCCCGTACATCAGCCTTGTAAACGTCTGGATTTTGAGCTCGAATTGGGCGCGTTCATTTGCCGCGCGAACGACATGGGCGAACCGATCCCCGTGGTCCAAGCCCATGATTATATCTTTGGATATGTCCTTTTGAATGATTGGTCAGCCAGAGATGTCCAGACATGGGAGTATGTGCCCCTGGGTCCGTTCACGGCGAAGAACTTTGGCACGTCAATTAGTGCCTGGGTCATCCTTGCCGATGCGTTGGAGCCGTTTAAGGCGAAAGGGCTAGAGAATGAGCATCAAGTGTTAGATTATTTGAGAGAGGCTGATCCCGAGAAGAGTGCGTTGGATTTGAATCTCGAGGTCGATTTGACGAGTGAGTTCTTGTCCCATTTACCTATTTGTTTCCTTTTCATTTGAGTTTCTGGGCCGCATAGATGGCGGACTCGTCTATCGAACATGGACATGTATACTGACAAAGCACGACTGTAGCAAAAAAAGGAAACACCTACACAATCTGCCGCTCCAACGGACGCAATCTTCTCTGGTCTTATCCGCAAATGATTGCGCATCATACGGTCACTGGTTGTCCCATGGCCGTTGGTGACCTGTTGGGTTCTGGCACGATAAGCGGCACCCGGGAGGGCACGCAGGGTTGTTTGTTAGAGCAGACGCAGGGCGGACGAGTCCCGATAACGCTGGGACACGGTTCGGAAAAGGAAGAGAGAATGTACTTGCAGGATGGAGATACAGTTAGGCTTCGAGCGTGGGCGGGAGGCAGAAGCGGAGTAGAGAAGGAAGGAGAATTGGTAGGATTTGGAGACTGTGTTGGAACTGTAATGCCTGCTTTGCAACGTTGATTTTTCTATTTGAGGCTTGATTTGCATTTTTCAGTCGATAGATAAGTGGATTCAAGCTTTATATCCTATTCATATTGAGACTCTTTTCTCCATAAATCATCCAGTACGTGATTTTTGGAATAATCCGAAACAAGACTTTGAGTGCTTATGTAAACTAATACATCTAATGCATTTGGACAACACCAGCTTCATTAGCCTGGGCAGTGATGCGCTTCTTATAAGCAGCGACATCACCAGGGAACTGCTCGACAGTGCCATTATCGCAAACCCAGAGGCTGCTGCAGACAGTTTGGAGCATAGTAACGTCGTGAGAGACCATGAGGACACCACCCTCAAAGTTCCTGAGCGCATCAGACAAGGCGTCCATAGCTTCGATATCAAGATGGTTGGAAGGTTCGTCGAGCACGAGAATGTGCGGGTTGGTGAGGGACAGACAGGCGAATGCGACACGGGACTTTTGACCTCCCGAAAGCAGAGCCATCCGTTGAAGACCAGTCGTGCCCGTGATACCGAATCTAATGGGTTACAAAGTCAGTCACGGGAACAGAAGAAAAGGAAAACCCCTGTCCATAAAAAGAAGGAGGGGGCAAAAATAAACCAAGAGAACGGAATTTAGGGATTACATACGCTCCCAAATGTCTTCGATATTCCTCATCCGGCTTGCCAGGGAAATTCTTGGCCATAAATCCGACAGCGCTCATGGTGAGATCTAGTGCATCAACATGGTGCTGGGCAAAGAAGCCGACACGCAATCTAGGGTTCTGCGAAATGATACCCTTCGTGGGTTGCAGTTGTCCAATGAGTAATTTGAGCACAGTGGTTTTACCGGCACCGTTAGGACCGACGATACCGATTCGCGAGTCGAGCTGAACGTCGAGATCGACATCTTTGAGAAGAGGTTTGTCCGGACTGTAGCCGAAGCAGACGCCGCTCATCTGCAGAATAGGAGGCGACAGCTTTTCCACCTCGGGAAACTTGAAGTGAACTGTGTACTCGGCCTCGGGCGCCTGAAGAACAGGCATCTTCTCGAGCTTCTTGATACGTGACTGAGCCTCTGAGGATTTGGCCGCATTGTATCGGAACTTGTCAATGAAGGCTTGCAAGTGGGCCCGCTGGGCCATTTGGTTCTCGTATTCGCGCTTGGCGGTCTTCCGGCGTTCCTCCTTCGTAGCGTAGAAGGATTCAAAGTTCGCGCCCTTGTAGTAATCGAGACGCTCCGAGTGTTGGTGAACAATATCCGTCGCGACTTCGTTGAGGAAAGCTCTGTCGTGCGAAACGACGAGAACGGTGCTGGGATAGCCTTGAAGATAATTGGACAGGAAAGCAATAGAGGGGACATCCAACATGTTGGACGGTTCGTCAAGCAAAAGGAGATCTGGCTCGCAGAAGAGTGCTCGCGCCAACGCCAATCGCATACGCCAACCTCCCGAGAAAGTCTTGGTGGCGTATTGCTGGCGCTCCTTGGAGAAACCCAGACCCCACAGAATACTGGCCGCTCTTGATTCGGCCTTGTCGGATTCCATTTCGGCCAATTTGCCATGAATGTCGCTGAGCGTGCTGTCGAGACCCTCGCGGTGCTTGTCCAGCCGCTCTGCATCCGCGGATGTGTCGGCCATTCCTGACCGCTCAGTCTCGAGCTCGTTGAGCTCTTTGGTAATCTTGTCCTGCTCCTTGAGCAAATGCTTGCGCCAGACATCGGCATCCAGCACCGCCTGCAGCGCCGGGGTATCGTCTCCTGTGATTTCCTGCTCGACGTGGAGAATCGAAATGTGGGTTGGAATGGCGACCTCTCTTCGACTCAGAGCGCGAAGCAGGGTTGATTTACCAATACCGTTCTGACCGACGAGACCGTATCTTCGACCGTGTGCAAGAGTAAGAGAGGTGTCGCTGAGAATGCGCGTTCCGCTGATAGAAAGATCGAAGCTGTCGACCTTAATGTCCTTGCTCTTTTGCGCGTCGGCACCCAGCTGGAGAGGGTTGACAGCCATGAAAAATTCCTCGTAAGACTGTGTTTCGTCCGGCTGATCCAGAAGCTTGGAGGACTCGTATTCGACGGTCTTCATTGTCTTCTTGTCCTGCTTAGCTCGCAACTTGCGTTCTGCCTTTTCCAGTTTCTTCTTGTCAACTCGGGATTCCACCCTTTTGCCGCTAGCAGCTTCCAAATCTACACCCGCACCAGCAAGACCCAACGTTGATGACATGTTTCGTTGTGAGCCGACCTGGATAGAACGTTCGAGCTTCCGCATGCTGGGAGCCATTTGTCTTCGCTCGCCGTCCACGCCATTTGCGGCATTGAGCTTGGAGATAAACTTGTCCACGAGATTTCTGATAGTAGTCTCATTTTGCTCGCTCAGATCGCCAGAAGCCGATACAAGAAGTCCGGTGATGGTTTCCATAGCTTCCGCGATCGGGGAGGGCCCTTCCGGGTCAGCCTCCGCAGCAAGATTGTTGGATGCATGGTTGAGGTACCCAATGGAGTATTCGGAGAGAATGGGATCAATGTCCGGAATCTGCGCTCTGATTTCTGACTCCATTTTGTGCAAATTACAGAGCCCTATAAGCTCTGGAGGGGATGATTATTATGACGCGCGAAATTAGTGGTGTGTTGCTGCTTTTTCATACCCCATGAACAATTATCATCACTTTGAAGCTTTTCGGTAGTTGCCGTGATAATATCCAAAATGGGATTGGCGCAAGTTTATCAGATTATCGATAGACGTCACCACTGGAGATGCATATTGGATTCAAAACAATTCAACAGCAGCGTCAGGTTGTTCAATATCGATGAAGAAAGTCTAACAAGAAATCAAGTCCCTCGAAGGCTAATAATCATGATTTTATAAAGCAAATATAGATTGCCTATTTGCATTTTAAATAGCACTTACGCGGGCAATTGATGCTTCGGACCTTTGGCTTAAGGGACCTAGGAGACATGCCATGCACGAATGCGGAGGAGCTAAGGGGTCATCAGGCGGAATGTCATTGCCTTCCCCTCGAGTGATTGATAATCATCTATTAAGCTGATATAAGTTGATTCTCGAGAGGGCCTAAATTTCCCAATCATCGATAATAGCCTTGTCATCCTACTCTGGCCAATCCAACTCACCACGACAGTCCTTACTTTCTAATTCCTCATTCACAATGCCTCGAGCACCACGGGCAGACGCGTTGCGCGAGAAGGGCCCCACGCCTATTGGAACTGCCGTATTTACTGGGCTCCGTGCCGCTGATCCATTTTTGCAATATGCCATCCTGCGCAACGGCTGGGGCATCAGATTAATTGAGTACTTTGGCGGGCGAGCCATTCAACCGCTCAATCTCTCTAGCGCAGGTGTTCTTGGTCTGCAGCCTTACTACGCTGTCATAGTTGGGCTTTCCGTGGGTAGTGCCTTCAAGCATATCACCTGGCGACTAGGAATTGCAGAGCAAAAGATGCCTGTGTGGGCGGCACTTTTTATCGGAGCCTTCAATTCCTTTTTCAACACGCTCAACACAATATTGTCACTATGGTCTGTCACCTCTATGGCGCCTCTTTCGCTGCACGGTTGGCAAGGGTTGTCAGCAGACAAGTTGCCTACATCTCCCGTGTTTTGGGCGGGCGTAGGACTGTTTGTGACTGGCATTTCGATGGAACTAATTTCTGAATTTCAACGGAAGGCATTCAAGGCGGACCCGAAAAACGAAGGCAAGCCCTATGGTGGTGGTCTATTTACTTTTGCGAGGCATATCAATTTGGGAGGATATGTTACTTGGCGTACTGGCTATGCGCTTGCGGCCGCTGGGTTGCCATTGGGTCTGTTCACAGGAGGATTTTTGCTTTATGACTTCACACACAGAGCAGTTCCGTCGGTGGATGAATACTGCACGAAACGGGTATGTCAGACTTTACGTGGTCAATTATTGTTTTTAGAGGATGGCCCTCATCCCCATGATGCGCAGCTATGCTAACGTCGATATCAATCTAGTACGGCGAAGAGTGGAAAGCGATTAAGCAGCGTGTGCCATACCGGTTGATCCCTGGAATTTACTAGTTCCCAGGCCGCAGAGCTTTTTTTAATCTGGGATGCAAATGACAAGTTGTTTTCGTTGTCCAATTCAATAGTCACGCCTTTGAAACTCTCGAAATTATCGTTACTAGGTTAATACCACTCCACATCAAAACTTTCTCCGCTCCATACAATTATGCATGAAAAAAGAGGGTGAGGGTGGCGGAGCAGAATTATTTTATTTTTTGAAGGCACTATCACAGATAATTCTTACCCACAACACCGTATTTAAATAAATTGAGAACTTCTCTAATGGATAAAGCGAATCAATTGGCCTCCAACAAAAACCACGTCAAATTTTACTGCTCAAGAACGTCACTCTTCGCCTGCAATGCATGACTTCATCAACAACAACCCAAAAATAATTTCTCACTTGGCGCCCCACGCTCCAAAAGACACCCGGAACAATTTGGAGTACATCCCATATGCTAGGGGGGTGCCTGACATTGCTGGCTTGGCAACCGGAACATGGAACCAATTCGATGCTGTCACAGCATAATGAGCATGCAAGCGATAGGATTTACAATTTTTACCCTGAGATTATTCCGTTCCTCCGAGACATGGTTGAAAGTCTCACGCGTCAAGTGAGGGATGAGTCCTCTACAGGTGACGGTACAACCATATGCACTGTGCAACGGCTCGCTCCCGGGACTTGCGCCAATCCTGAAAGAGAGTGCTTTGCAGGCAGCATGTAGATCCTGACGGGTTCAAAATGCCTTTGCTTCGAATATGCTTGGTGGTGAAATTATGTGTGGGTGCATGTATAACACAACATATCAAGTTATGGGAGTCCTTCTGCGTTTGTTTGGGTGTAAAAATAATAGAATATTCTGGCTGATGTCGGGATGTGGAAGGCAAACCAGCTAATGATACAGGATCATATTACAACGCAGAGCCCAAGTCTTCAGCTCTTCGGGATCCAATAGCTTGCGCAACTGCAAATTCAGTGATACACTAAGCTTTACCATGGAAGAGCGAGGCAAACGTTGCAAAGAGTGGAGATTCAAAGTCAATCGAGGGTAGACTAAATACAAGTCCTTCCTCGGGCAAGCCAATAGAGCGTTCTTCCCCCAACACGTCCTTGCTCTCGAATATCGGTATCTTCCTCAGTTGTGCAAGTCGAGAGAAACTTGATAGTAACAAGAATAAGACGAAAAGAAGAACCAATATTCAATGTGGATGTGTCCATTCAATTGGTTCCTTGTGACCGCCGGGGGGAGGAAGTTGAGACAACGATGCAAGCGACACCCGATGGATATTCAGCCACCATGCAGACTTTATGCAAGGTACACAGAGCGGTTGACAATGTTAAACTAATTCAGAAGTTTGAGCGGCTTTTTGAAGCCTCACCCACTTCAGGTAGCGAGAGCGTTTAGGAACAAAGGTTTCAAAGTAAGACATACAGTTTTAACATAGTGCTGTATATCTTAAGACGGCGATTAATGGGAAAAGAAAAAGGCAAACTTCGCTGATAATGTGCGATACACGTAGCCGTCTCCAATTCGTCCCGCTGGAAGCAGTGATAGAACCAAAGGTTTCATGAACTGCAAATTCTGACGACTCATAGGATTGTAAATTGAATTTGGAGGCAAACAGTTTGATAAGTCGGATGATCAAAGGGCTTAAAAAAAGTAAGTTGGGCTACCATGAGCGAAAAGAGATCATCTCCTTTCTCCTGCATAAATTTATCAGGGAGAATTCGCAAATCATGTGCGCGGACGGCTTATTGGAGCCGAAGACACTCCGTACGGGCAGTCATGATAGGATGACTTGGCTTCCAGAAGCGCCATTTGAGGGGTTAGGGGTGTCGATGCTGTAGCCAGTTAGACACCCAGAGGGACAAGGACAAGAAGGTTCTAGGAAGCCAGTAGCTCTCGCGGCTGAAATGATCAAGGAGGCTGAACTGGGATGTCTACCTACGCCTCATTCATGTAGGTTTCTTTCGTCTTAACCGATCTTTAACCTATTAATCTCCTTGTTCTAATGGTTTATGAGCATGTTACAGAGTAGACACTTATCGACAGTATCGCCCGGATGCTGTGTAGCTGGGTGATGCTAATCAAGTAGCCAAAGATTAGTTGCAGCAATCAGCTTCGGTTAGACGCTTGCACGCAATGTGGGATTGCCCCGCTGGAAGGCCTACCCCAGAGCATGAGTCGGTCAATCAATGGTTAGTCATGATAAGACATGGTCAGAGACACCTATACTAATCGCATGATTTATGTTTTCGAATGCTCAATCTCTTACATTTGGAACATTCGGCGGAGTGCTTTGCTCAACCATGCCACCGCACGGCTTCTCTAGCAGCAATATAGCTCCGAAATATGATCAGCTGCTTTTTGGTGCCTCCGAAAGCCAAGCCGGTTGAACGTAATTTTAAGTCGGAAAATAGCGTCTGCGTCTGCAATCTGCAGTGGGACCCGGTCGATGCGGAGACGCCGCAAGGGATTAGTGAGAAGCATATGCTAACCCCTTGAAAGCGGGTTACAGATAAAAGTATAGTATGGAGATACAATATGGTAAGAAAAGAAGCCCAAGAGTGCTTGTCTAGGTGGGGCGAGTGGCTCAGGTTTGCCACAAGGACGGGTGACTCTTTGGTGAGAAGAGGTTTGTACCCGGAAACCTCAAGACCCTTGCGTTGCGCTCGGACAATGCTCCGACAATTGCGGGTTTTCGAAACACTTCCTGGCAGCGAACCGGGGAAGAACAGGGCGAGGTTATCATGCTAATAAAGTTCTCGTACTCTGCCGATCATGGCGCTGACGAATTGCGTGGTGATGGCGTCTGCAGAGTGCCTCAGCCAAAGCTTGGGCCTGCAAGCGAACAGAATGGAACACGGATCATCTCGCCCCAGGGGCAGATAATAGCGATGCTGGGAATGATGATGGTCATCATCGGTTTGACTGTCGGGGGTTGCCTTTAGCGACAATGATTTCGGGAGATGACGAGAACAATGTTGGGATGTCGCGATAACACCGATAGCAGCAGTGCTCGAGCGATTAAGCTCCTTTCATGAACATGTATCATTATGAGCTGTCATTGCAAGACAAAGAACTCACTACGACGGATCTTCATCATCATCATCATCATCATCATCACCATCAAAGAGAACGAAAAGGCAAAGAAAGCCGAGAAAGCAGTACTGCCGTCTCAAGCTCCCGCTAAAGATATTCCGGTACACGAAAGTGGGGGGTGTGCAATAGATGGTTCATGAGTGTTGAAAGAATAAAAGAAACCGTCGGAGGCACGGAGATCCAATCACGTTCCCGAATTGGCTTTTTCGTGGGAGCTGAAAACTGGGAAAACAAACCCGACAACAGGGGCAGCATATCGGGTAAGGTGAAGTCCACTGTGATGTGGAAAGAGGTCTGATGCGATAGAGCAAGGTAGGAGGAGGGGTACGAAGGTATTACGGTACGGTGTTACTCAACGGAGAGGGGGTGTGTGTCCGGCTCTCCATGTGTGAGAGGAACGAGGTTTGAACTTACCTACGAACGGACAGGAGCAGACATTACAGGGGATGACCCTGGATCAGCGTTGACTAGTTACGGGAGAGAGAGAGGGGGGACAGAGGAAGAAAATCTGGTGTTTTGAAAGAGCAAAATTGGTCACTGGTGCTTTCGCATTCCTCGGAGCGTTCACAATTATCGGAGTAGAACTGACTAGACCATGGATTTGAAGCACGTGGGGTCATACCATCAAATGAACAAAGCCAGAATGTTACGCGTTGCTAAGAAGGGGGAAATGCATTGAAGACAAAAGGGAAAGGCAAGCAAGAAAGAAGAAAGAATAAAGAAAAGGAGAAAGAAAAAAATGTGTCGGTTCGATCAGTGGAATCACAGCCTTCTTTGGCCCCCATCTCCAGTACTCCTGGGTGTATCAATGAGTAGGGATGATTACTTCCTATGCGATACGGAGTCACCGTGCAGCCCTCAGCCGCTTTCTCCAATCCCTTCCGGGATTCCCAGATGATGTACTGGCGGAGAAACTGTGGCGTTCCTTCTGAACGGTCAGTGGGTCGGCATTGATCTTGCATTGGAGTTGTTGACGGGCCTTGTCAGACTTGAACTAGGTATCTCGGTTCGATTTTATGGGTTTTTCGGATTATAGCAAATTTACCTTTATAGGCCCATCTCAGTGGACGCCATGGGCCCACGATATCTCAACGCCGCGGGACGAAGAATTTTTGGCTGCGGGAGATGAACCAGGGCTTGTCGAGAGCAATTCATGGCTTCCCCTTTCCTGGAACCGAGCAAAGACATGAGGTGTCTGCGCTGATCCGATCGATCGTCGGATCGACGAGTTGGGGGAGGGGCAGAGCGAGCCAAGCCAGAGACGGCCTCCAGTCCGTTGTGTTTTCGGCGCGGAGAAGAGGACTGGAAGGCACAAGCGTTGATTGAAAAGGCTCAAACGATGACGAAGACGTTGGCGGGCCAAGTCTCCAACGAACTACGGGTGTTTCCATTGCAAATTAACGGGCTTATGATTGAGAGGGAGAGGCTGGTGAGCGGTGCTTAATATTGAATCTGGGTTCATTGCGTCTCTCCTCTTCCGGCCCTTTCCCTGTTACTCCCTGTGCTGCTGATTGACGAGGCGTGCAGGGGGGCCAGACGATATCAGGATATGCAGCGAGCTCGCAGCAAGAAGTTCAGGCTATTATCCACCGGACAGGGGGTGGACTACCTGATAGCGTTAGGAGTCAGCTCTTAACTTGATCACCATCCCTTGACCTAGAGACTTGCGTGCCCTGCTTTTCCTTGCTGTGGTCTTTCCTCGCACGGTTAAGATCCGTCAGATCGCAACCGGGGGTCAGGCATTATTGGTTCCGCCAAGACCCACTGGCGCCTTCAGTTGGTTTGTTGGCCACATGCCTGACATCCTAGTAGCCTGGGTTGCTGGCCTATGAAGCCATGGAAACGCAGACTAGACCCCCCCGAAGGGTCTCCCTACAGGCCAAGGACGCCCGCCGGTCCCATATCGATCCCGGGCCAAGCGCGACACCAAAACTGAACCTATTCCCCCAGGTGGGTAATAAGTAAACCAAAGTTGGACCTCCCCATCGCTTTTCTGGTAGAGTAAACGAGCGTGTTGTCATTCTCTGCAACCTCAATGCATGGCCTGGAGAGAGAGTCCGTTCCTCCAGTTGACTGAATGGCTACGAGTCGATATTGGGTATTTGATTAAATGGTTGTGACCCGCTGTGGTGTTTATTTTGTACTTGAGAACTACTTGAAATGTACATAGCCAGGGCAGAGATTGAAAGCGTAAATCTGGTGTGGCTGCAAGGTACTTAAGTCGTACCGAAGCTTCGCTCGCAACCTGAAACGGGCAGCCCGAGGGCATCTGGAGAGTGAGACGTGGGACCGATTGGTGAGCGGCGGCTGCTTCTCCTTCCTTCATCCTCCCTGTCGCATCATCATCTTCAGTTCCTGCATTTGTGCAGCCTGAGGTGTGTCGGCATTCTTCCTTGACATCGAATCGTTTAGGGCCCAGTGAATTCGCAGCTTTGCTCCCGTCGTCACTCGTTGCTACGGTGCAAAGGAAGCCCAAGAAGAGCTTCCCTCGTTCATCACAACTTAGCCTCGTTGCTGTGTCTATTTCGCTGTCCTTGCGCCTTCTTACTATATTCTCAATCGCCGGTCGTTCCTTCCTGGCGATGATGCATTGTTAGGAAACGATTAGTTTCACCATGCGAATAATGCTCCCTGCCACCCACTCCCTCGTTCTTCGGTCTATTGCGACTGCTCCTTCGTTCCTCCTCGACGCCGTTTATCAATCTTTACTGCTGTTGATGCTCTCGCAGCGTATGCAAGAGCAATAATGAAGACGATCCCAACGGTGAGCCTCTTTTACTCTCATACCGATACGTTCTCAACTTCACCGCTCCTCTTGTTATGAGCCCGTATGAGCAGGCTTCACCGCGACGCTGTAGCCAAGCAACAAGTGCTCAGATGCTCGAGTTCAAGCTGCAGCAACTACATCAAATATTGGTCTCAATTTATGGGCGCTCATGCTAACCAATGTCGACGATCTCTAGTTATGTGCAACCAGCACTGTCGGTGTAGCAGCTGTGGGCTATTCTTTTGCCCATCCTGACAATTCTACGCCCACGACCCAGCCGCGCAACGACGGCAAGGCAAGGACCGCTGAACGGATTGGACATCAGGATACTTTCATTTCTGACAAAGAGCGCCCTGTCTCTGTGGGGTTTCCTCCCGGCGCATGGCCCGAGAATACCGCATCGTCGAGACCGCCTTCGACGGCAAATGGCTATATTGGGAGCTTTGAGCGCCCGAGCAGCTCCCACATAGCTTTTCTAAATCACCTCCCGTGGTATAGCCATGTAGACTCCCCGCCTGTCGCTGAGCAGCCGCTGCCATCCATGGACTCTTCGGCCACACTTCGATCTTCGCGTCGGACCTCGTGGCTCAAACGATTGTCAGGTCTCTCCTCACATGACTCGAGTCCGACCTCGTCCTCTCGCCCCGCATCGCCCTCCATTTTCTCAAATGGCTCTAGTCAGCCAATACTCGCAGACCCTTGCCCTTCTAATACTCTACCTACAGGCGCCTTGCCGCCAAACAAGCTGGTTAAGCGCAGTCGCTCTCGAACCGCGACCGGCTCAACCGCGCAGCTTGCTAGCTCAGGCGAAAAGGTGCCAACTCTGAGACGTCCGGCAACTAGCCACCAGCGTTCTGCAACCCTCCGACGCCTTCACTTGGGAGATGGTTCGTACGCTCGAACGCCTCGTCACCCCAGAAAGTCAATCTTGCCCCGTGAACATGACACTTGGCGACTCCATTTCAGACCAACGATGGCGAAGGGGACAAAGAGTGCAAGCGGCTGGAATGGGGATAGTGCTGCAATCAGGCGTATCGTCCCAGATATGAGGAATCAGCCCACTTTGGTGCTTGGAGACTCTGTTCTTCCTCCAGAATTGGAGTTTGAGGATTCAAGAGGGAGTTTGGACGAAGAGGACGAGTACATCTTCAGAGATGATCGCCCTGCTACGGCGGCAGGGCTTCAGACGTTTTTCTCTAGCGCCGACATTTCGTCGCCGATCGATGGCCATAAAACCCCCCAGCGTCCCTCGAGACGCTCCTTTTCGATTACTGATATACTTTCTTCACATCCTCCTTCATCCAACCCTTCACGCTCTCATAGCTTTCTTGTTTTAAAAAGGTCAAAGTCCGGGGTAGGAAATGGGAGGAGAAGTGTCTCTGCGCCCCTGTCGCCATCTATAAATCCACCAGGATCGTCTTCAACGTCAGGAACGGACGATCCAATGAACAATTTGGATCAGATGGGTTCAAGCACCTTTTCAGGAGAGACTGGTGACACCTCCATTGATTCTACCTCCGTTAAGTCCTTTAAAGTCACGGGACGACCTCGCAATGTATCCGCTCCTCTTCCTGTCCTTGGTCCGTTATTAGAAGGGAACTCGGGTTTCGGACCCTCGCCCCTTGCGTCCTCTGCGATGGAAAAGGCAGATTCTGCAGACCTACCAACTCCACCAACTACAACCTCATCTTCGATTGGCCCTCACCGCATCTCACTTGGCCCTTCCGAAAAAGCTTCAACGCTGGTGGGATCCGATAGCGAAATGAGGATGATGTCAGGAGATGACGATGACTCGGATTTTCATAGTGATACAGTCTATGACTCGATTCGGTCATCGCGCATGGGTACAGCAGGTAGCGTCACAGGGACACCAGGGCCGAACATAGATACAATCGTTGACGAGTCACCACCCCGTCCTAACAAGACTGAGTCTTGCATTACAATCGATGATAGTTTGCCCAGCAGTCTTCCCTCCATTCGTTCGGAGATGGATATCAAGATCGGCAAACAGCTTCCCAGTCAAAGCGATAGTACCTCGACTCTCAAGCCAGTGGATGTCGAGAGTGAGCCTGAGGACTTTTCTACTCCAATCAAGCCCGCTCCCCAATTAGTCCGCCCATCTCAGGTGGGTGACCATTCCCCTTCGCGCATAGTTCTGCCTCTAAGCCTTGAGGATGTGGACTGGGATGCCAAGGAAACCTCTGCAGAAGATACGGGTTGGTCATTTGACGAAGATGAAGAAATCGAAGACTGGGACCTTGACCTTCCCGCTGGAAATGAATTGCCTTATCCCCACTCACCGCAAATACAGCCTCCAAGCTCGTTGGAACCGACGTCCAAATTTGACTTCATCAACGCCCCTTTGAGGCTTGACACCGGCCAAGGGCAGAGGAGTGCGAGAGCCAGTATCTTTGAATGGTCTGAACAAGCTGCGCCATTCAAGGACGCACAAACGGGTACAGTGGTCAGGCCAAGTACAGTCCATGGAAAGCAAGGGCTCAACTTTGGAACAAGCAAGTTGCAAGGACGTAAAAAGGCGAGCAAGGCGCACATTCGCAGCCAAAGCGTGCCATCGATGGCTCCAGATTTTGGCCCAAATCGGGAGCAGAATACCGCGAATAGCCATTTTGGAACCTGGGGACTACCAAGCAAGGGTCCCTCTGAAGACTGGAATGATGATTTCGACTTTGGCGAGAGTGAGGAGAGTCAATGTCCTACCACTGAAGAAAGGCGGGTAGATAGCGGCATCGCCATGTTTGTCCCGCAGGCTATCCGCGAACAACAGGCAAATGTTCTGGGTCATTTGGGACACGTTAGGGAGTTTGCCCTTTTGGTTGAGGATCTCAAGCGCTTGCGTACCTTAGCTCTATCTAAGGGCATTGTAAATGGTCCATCGGCTGGTCTCTGGAAAGAGGCCGAAGGAATCATCAATCTCGCCACACTCGATGACGACGAACAGGAGTTGCTTCCTCCTGGTACTCCCGCAGACTCAGAGTTTGATTTCAGCGCATTCGAGGAGTCTGTAACTCCCGCGCCGATAGGTCGACCTCGACGCAAGTCCGTCTTATCCCCAGACGACGATGTGTTTGGGATTACCCCCCAAAAGCAGGATTCCGGACGTCCATCGATCGACTCTTCAAGGCAATCTATTACACCCAATCGACCGCGAAAAGATTCTTCCGCTGTGGCAAGATCAGTGATTGAAACGATGCACCTTCGTCGAAGCGAAACGGCCCCTGCCCTGACCGTTACTAAGTCTCAATCTCCCAAGAAGATGCCATTTGATACCACGACCCTCAAAGATCTGGTAGGCCATGTAAACGTTTTGGCACGGAACCTTGCCGAGGTAGTGCGCAATGCCGAGGGGGATTTATCTGAGCCTCCAACCGCACAAGATCCTCCATTCAGTAAAATATTTGCCCAGCGGCCAAATACCCCTCCCTTGAGTGCTGCTGATCGTATTCTTCGAACGAAGAGCAGTGCAAGCGTCAGTCGGTCCTCCCCGCACAGTCACGAAAGGGAGAATGAGCTATGTGGGCAACTTGCTACAATGACTGTCAACTAGAGTTCACCTTGGACACGATTTCTTCGGCTCAAAATAGAACAACCCATGGGCAAGCTTCCGCGCTTTCTCCTTCATCGTCGTAGAGGGTGCTATTTTCTCATCCTCCACCGACCTTTTTCACCTCTTTGTTTGTACATGAAGGCTATGCATTTTATCTTGCAATTGCATCGGGCGGGGTTAATACGGCTCTCCAAGCCAATACCACTATTACAAGACTTGTCTCTTTCTCGCATTCACTACATTAAATTCCTTAAACTCTCCTTGACGACGAATTTTCTTTCCGTATCCCTCTTTCGAAGCGGTTTAAATTAAACGAGGACGCATTAGAATCATTCTGCCAGTTGTGGCGTAGAAGCGCGCAAGGGCATATGACACGCATACGAACAAAAAGTCTTGTGCATCAGAGCTTTTGTTTTTCTCATTTTTATAGTCCACTATATTTGCTGCAAGGGATTGATCCCGGCACCATTCTCTTGATTTGATTGTTTTTAAATCTTCCTATGGGGAAACACAGAGGGGCATTTCATGGAACCCAAGAATTGATACCAAATTCATTCAGTATTATGCTGTTAATCACCGGAAATTTTCACCTTTCTGCCTTTGATTTGTATCTTTCTGATAGTCTGCCGAGTTGTTATTCCCCGACTTTTCGCTTTACAGGTCTTTGCGGTGCTCTTGTGCTACAGGTGTTTCTGATGCTGCTGCCAACACGCTTCTAATCTTTTGCCTTTGTCCTGAAATTTCTGCTCCGTATATGAAATGCCTCGCGCCTTTTCTTCCGTACGTTGCTTGCTCTCGACCCTCCTTTTTTTTTCCTTTCTATTTTGCTTCAATGTTTTTATCCATATTAGGACCCCGATACAAACGTTTTTACGCCAGTTCGACTGTTATCGAAACGCCCGGTGTGAATAAGTGTCATGTCAAAACAGGCTTCGAAATCAGATAACATCCACTCAAGGCAATAGTCTCTTGCTATGCTCACTTGGATGTGATACGTGGGAAAGGCACTTTCCACGGTTTACCATGGAACGCGAGAAAACAACCGATTACAATCTCTACCTGGTATTACTACTATTACATTACAACTCCTACCTCCTACAATCAAAATTTACTAGCACTCTCTAAACATGCCCTGACCTTTCCCATTCTGATTGTGATAATCATATCTTTCCCATAGAATCATAGTAATTCGGGCATAATTTACTGTCCATCCTTGGGCGTATCTCCGATCAAGTACTATATTCGACATCTACTCTCGATTCAAAAATATTGTTACGTGATAGAAGAGAGATTCCGTTGCAATCAAATTCTAAGGCATGGAATAGCATTGCGTATCTCGATGCAAAACAAAGCTTTTGTTTATTAAATCTACCCATGACGTCCCCAGATGCCGATCAAGTTTAAGTATGTATGCGACACAGCAAGAGTAACCCAAACGCCACACAGTATTGACCGTTAACTAGAGTAGTGAATCTATGATATGCCCTAATAACAAGATGTAACTCATCTTTGGCACGATAAATCGGGTAATAGGCGTTAAGAAAAAAAATAGATATTTTGTTTAAGGCAAAGGCGAAAAAAGAAGACACCACTTGGAGGCTTAGCTTTTGCATTTATATTCATGTGTTCTTTTTCCCCGTCTTCGTCTCCTCTGCGCTAGCAGCAGCAGGACCGCCAATCTTGGCATTGATAAGGCCCAATCTAATCTTTCTCTTGCCAGTAGATTCTTCTTTTTCATCACTAATCCTGACAGTGACCTTTTGGAATAATTCGACCGTGATCTCTTCTCTCTGGTCTTTACCGTCTGGAAGTTGCACAGACAATTTATAACTATCTGCATCAAATACACTTGGCGGTTCAGGGACAGCCATGTCCCTTAGGCGGATGAGGCTCTCGATTCCAAAGCGCGGGACAAAGACAACAAATCCGTTGGAGAAAATCTTCATGATGAAACCTTCTTCGTCAATTACGCGGCCTTTGAGGGCCTGCCCGACGTAATATTCTATACTTGCACGACCGGCAAATTGCGCGTTTCGATGACGTACGTTGATATTGCGACATACCCCCTCGAGCTTGGCCCGGCTGCGCAGACTGGGGTCAAGTGGCTCGTAATCGATTGCAGCCGCCAGCTGGCGGTGTGCGACTAGGTCGGCGTATCGCCGAATTGGACTCGTAAAGTGCGTATAGATGGGTGAAGCCAGTCCGTAGTGACGGAACTCAGGGTACGCTTGGGTTCCGGAACAGAAATATTCGGCAGACATCATGCATCGCGTAGCCATGATGCGGATCAGATTGTTAAGGAAGGACTCGGAAGGCGACACGCAAGTGTCCAGTGAGTCGGCGAGAGATTTGGAACTATCTGTTTTCAAATCGAAGCCCAATTTGACCTTGAGTTGGTTCGCCAGCTCTTCAAAATTGGAGCGTGGTGGGGCCGCGTGGCGTCTGTTTTGCTTGTTTTAGCTTTTGCAATTTTTGTCGAGCAGCTCTGCCGTGAGGTGGAATGGGTATGCGATATAAGGATGGGGGGGATAAACAGGAAACGGGAAATTTAAGAGAGTCTAGGGACAAGAAGAATCGGGGGAAACTTACCGAAGCATAGCAGTTTGGGGATATGCTTCATAAATCTTGGCTGCAACGCTAATGTTCGCAAGTAACATAAATTCCTCGACGAGCTGGTTGGTATCGAGGATTTGCTTTGTCTCGACATCCACGGGGTCCGATGTCTCGGATTCAGTTTGCACTTTGACCTCGGGGCTTGCGAGATTGAGCGCGCCAGCGTCCATGCGTTTCTGACGCAACTTCTTTGACAGCATGAGCAGGATACGCATGCTCTTCGTTAGCTCGTCCTGCTGGGTCGCGTCGTCGATGCGGATCTGGGCTTGTTCGTAGCTGAAGGCTTCGCGCGATCGAATGACGGATTTGGTGAATGTGACATTTACCACGTCCGCCTCCGGTGTAACTTCCCACAATGTCGAGAAGGCGAAACGCTCGACGTAAGGTTTCAGCGAGCAGAGGTCTGTTCCTAGAAGTTTGGGCAACATGTCGATACGTTTGTCGACAAGATAAACAGTTGTCCCTCGTGAGCTGGCTTCTTCATCCATGGCATTGTTCGGCTTGACAAAATGCGATACATCCGCAATGTGTACGCCAACTTCGAAATTTCCATTTGGTAGAGGCTTAGCGTGCAATGCATCGTCGATGTCTTGACATTTTGGGGGGTCGATACTGCAAACGAGCAAAGCACGGAGGTCTTTGCGGCCTTTCCAACCGGGGTCTTCTAGGCTCGTAGGGACTCTCCAGTCATGGCCTTCCTTGGGTAGACAGTCCAGCACTGCCTTGGGGAACGGACGGTATTGAACATCGTATTCCAAGAGCAGGGCTTCGGTCTCGGCCGCTTTTGATTCAAGTTCCCCAAGTGAGCGGACAAAGTGACCGACTGGATAGCGAGTTTCACGATCCCACGCATCAATAGTGACAAGAACTCGCTTTCCAACGAGCTCTGCGGCTTGCCGTGTGCGAATCCGGATCTTCGGAATGCGTTTGTCCATAGGAATCAGGAAAACCGTGTTTTGGCTTCGACCTTGCTTGCCTGTCAGACTGACAGATGCGGAGTCAATATGTCCGACATATTGGCGCCAGTTTCTCTTGATGATGCCAACAACTCGCGCGGTAGGTTGCGGGCGACCTTCGATGCTCTTCCCTTGAGTTTTTCGGACTTCTTCCTGCAATGCTTTTCGCTCTTGCTCAGTAACGACCGCCTCGGCTTCCTCATTGTCCGCGTTTTCGTTTTTGTTTAGTGTCTCTTCTTCGACAATCTTAGTTGAAGGTGCTTTCCATTGCTCTCTAGGTAATACTTCGACGACAACAATGTCCCCTGAGACGGCGCGGTTGCTATTCTCTCGTCCCAGAATTAGAAGCGGTCTATCAAAAGCCGGTACCTGGATAGATCCCTCGAGGTAGTTATATGGAGATACGTTGAAAACCCCTTGATGCAAAGTGCCAGCTTTGATGCCGGTCATTATCTTTGATAAAGAGTAATACTATTTGTAGATTAGTTTCGTCAAGATCATACACGCACTTCAAACAGGAGCCTTACTTCAGGATAGAGCATTTCCGCATTAGCTGCGCGGGCGTCTTGCCCCTCGCGCGCTGCAGCGATCATATCGAGAAGTCGATCCGCATCTTCCAACCCAGAAACATAGTCCGATACTAATGGACGTTAGCTGTACATGAGTCTTCTAATGATTCCATATGAACGAACAAGAACTAGCAGTAACGCCTTCGGCCTTCGCCTTCTTCAGATTCTCCCGGTCGTCGCTGAGCATAACAACTGCAGGACACTTGTTTGTTCTCCCAGCCGCATACACAGTCTTCTGCAGATGCTCGCTGTACCATTTCGTTGAACGTCTGACAGCACGGTCATTTCGATCATTGATGCTTTCACCCGATTCCCGTGTGACGTGGGTCTCTAATCTAAATTCATTGAAGAAGACATAGAAACGCTTCTCTTCGCTTCTTGTGAGGGCAATCAGTCGATTGTAGAGCGGCAGAGATCGATTTCGAAGCTCTTCAAGAACAGTCTGCAGAATAACAACGTCGTAGAATGCACTGCTCTGTTCAAATAAATCTAGTCCATTCAGTAGTGCGTTCGTATCTGGAATAAGATAGTGTCCTTGAGGATATGCTTTGGTACCGGCGGGGTGCTCGGAAAGTACGAATGGGAGGACTGAATGAGGAATCAGTGAGACTGCTTTGCGACTCAGGGCGCAATAAGCTGGATTTTCTTACTGTTTCCATTGGAATCCGCAGGCGCGCTTGATAAACAAGTTGCGCAAAGCTTCGATGAGCAGGGAATATCCTGTCTTAAATATAACTCCCGCACAATCTTCTGCACCTTGCCATTTTTTGTCGAGCGAACATAGACTTTGCTCGACATGTTCGGGCCGTGAGAGTCGACAGCAAGACTCCTTTTTAGACTCGCCATATTCTGGGAAATAAGGCTAATTAGCCTGCAAGCGTTTGATGGTTGTCAATTTGAATAGTTGTCTCGAGAGTTTTCACACTGGATATTTGCTTCACTTATCGGGTTCGCCGTTTGGTGATACGGCAAGTTCCGATTATATGGCAACGATGGAGCTTTGCGGGAGACGGAGCTGGATCGACGTCAAGAGATAAGATTGATCAGCCACGACTTCACGACCGACCAAGCACCTTCGGCATTACTTGTTCCTGGCTCAATATTTCGGGTTCGTCTGCTCTCGAATTATTCCAACAAGCCTGGAAATCAGCACGACCGGATTATAAGTAGAAGCCGTCTGCTTCTTTACGGCAATCATGCTAGTTGACGCTCCCTATCTTTCCTCCCTCCAGAATAACATTCGTCAGAGACCAATACCTTGGGAAGGCGCTGTGAGAGCGGGCAATCTTACCGAGGATGAGCTCAAGAAGATAAAAGCAGTTGACAAGGTTCGGAAGGATCAACGAAAGCAGACCATTCAGAGCGATCTAGACGCCTATACAAGGTTGCTTTTGGGTGGAGATTCTCAACCCAGTGTGTTGGAATCTGCGGCCAAGAGAGGTGACGTCGTACAGTATATTCTCGTCCTTGCCAGTGACCTTATAGAGGGTATGTAAAGGATACCTAGCCTCACAATTATGCCAATGCTCTTTCTTGGCCCGTTGAATCCCGAAACTGAACTGAGCGAACTCCACATAGATGTCCCCGAATTGAAAGCAGGTCTTCTTAGACACCCTGCTCCGTACAGGCCATTCGTGCCTCTTTTAAGCCAGTCATCGAATCCTGAAGACCCGATACCCCTGTTGACTGCCTATCTCCTCACTGGCCTAATTTCGTCCGCAATACTTAGCTCGTCCAAGGAAAGTTCCAAGATCGAGGAACCATTGACCAGGCTGTATAACTACCTCTCTCTTCTCTCCAAGAGTTCAGATAGCGGTCTTCAGGACATATCTGTGCAAGAATATTCTGCGCTGTTGCGTACAAGACAATCGCGTGGTCTCTTTTGGAAGTTAAGAAAAGACACGATTGTCCCGCTCGTCGATATTCTTCGCTCCGCGGCGGGCACAGCCAAGGACACCTCCACATTATGGGAGGGTAGCACCAGCATCGGCCGCAACACCTTTGACAGCGGGCTCGGCGGAGGGATCGGCTTGCAGCTTCTTTATCACGTTCTGCTTGTCCAGTGGCAGCTCAGCTTTGAGGGCGCTCTCGTCGGCGAAGATCTTGAATCGTAAGTCATCTGTTCCGTCCGATATATTTTTCTCACGATGAGAACCTTGACGCCGTCAATAACTAAAATGTAAACCCCGCAGCGAACACGAAATTATTCCGCTGTATACCCATCTTCTCCGCCTCTCGCCGAAAGAGAAGACCACTCGTCTCCTCCTTTCCACACTCCGTAACCTCCTCTCAACCAATGAGACCAGCCTCCTTCCCGTGGCTGTGCTCGTCCGCCTACCAGCACTCCTTCAGAACCTTAAAGGCCGCCACTTATCCGACGACGACTTATTGGACGACCTGCAATCTCTTAGTGATATGCTAGAAGAGTACACCAAAACGCAAACTACATTTGACCAATATGCCGCCGAAATACACTCCGGGCACCTGCACTGGTCTCCTCCTCATCGTAATCCGGTCTTCTGGGCCGAAAACGCCCGTCGCATCCTCGACGAAAACAAGGGCGAACTTCCCAAGAAGCTGGCAGAAATCATTTCTGAGCCGTGGGATTCGGACAAACAAGTTCTTGCTATAGCGTGTAACGACATTGGATACCTCGTCAAAGAAGTCCCTGAGAAGCGCGGACAGCTCGAGAAACTCGGCCTAAAGGGCCGCATTATGGAACTCATGGGCGAAAGTAACGAGGCTGTGCGGTGGGAAAGTCTGCGCGCCGTGGGTGAGTGGTTGCGCTACAGCATTGAAGCATAGATGTTTGTTCTCTCTCCGCTGCTTCTTGATCAGATCCTTTCGATTCTTTTTTGTATCGTAGCGCATCATTCACAAAGCTTCGTCCTTCCGTTACCGTTTACCCTTCAATGCCAACCGTGGCTGTCGGTCCATAGTAGCTAATCGTCTGTTCTTCATCCTACAACCTTTGCCTTTTAGCTGTAAATTTCTCCACCAGTATGCGGGCATATACATTGCTCCCTAACGTGCGTGGTTATCATTTTTTGTATTTGTTGACTTATCTCACATCCTCCTACTTCATTTTCTCTTCGAATGTTTCGAAACGTTGAATCTTCACTTTGGACCGAGATAAACTGCAACTTTTCCATTCTATTTTTCTTTTAGAATATTTACATACACATACAAATTCAAATGTCCTCGTGCATCTGTCTTCGTTAAAAGGACTTCAGGTGTGGGTGTGTATTGAGACCCCTCTCCTTTTCCGAATTGTAGTCACAGTCGGGGCTCATCAACAACAGCAGGTGTGACGTTATATAATTATCTTTTTCGTGGGAGAGAGGAAAGAATAAAATTACGATGTATTAATTTGGAATAAATGGGCGACTGAGAGAAATAGAAAGACATGTACGGCGCAGTCTTCCTTTTGCTTCATCCAATCATACTTGTCAATCTTGAATATTTTCATTTAGTGGTACATTCTTTCCAGAAAACTTAGGCCGGAAGGACACAAGAAGTAGAAGAAACGGAAGAAGGAGCATCTTGAAACCAAAAGGTTCGTAATGAAGGCAGCACAGAAAATGCAACATGATGCATGCAAACAAGGAAAATATTTCCCAACAAAAAAAAAATGCGTTTTCTAAAGCCGTAAGTCATACACATGAATGCTTATGTGTTCCAGCGTTAGTCTTTTATCTTTCTTAAAAGAGTGAAAACGCAAGCATTCCATCAAGAACAGATTAGGAAATTTAGATGGAGAAGGAAATTAATTCATGATGCAATGGAAGCCAAAGGGCCGGTCTCTGCTGAGTGAACATATTCCATTTCTTTTCACGGGCCCATACGCTCGCCCGGAAAAGCTTAGAATTTGAAATGAAGGGGAAAGAGATCGTTATAGAGGAAGGGAAATGAGATCAGGCTTTCAGTCTCCTCTCTTCGCATGCGACGCAGACCGGATCTTTACTTGGGCCGCGGAGAAAGTATCGGCCATCATCAAATTGAGCGTCGCATTCCTAGAGTGTAAAAACAAATCGTCAGTGCCGTCTAAGAACTTTTCGAAAAGTGGCAGCCTCCTCCGGCGCCCTCCTCCTCAGTAGCCAGCCGGTCTCCGACAAGAGGGTGATAATCAATTCGCTATGTCAAGAACTATGTTGAGATTCGGTAGCTTACAGTGCAGCAAAAGCATTGCGCATGCCATTCTGATCCAAGAGCTTTGACGACCATGTCCGTCACAGGTTTGCGGCATTTTCTGCAACGGGTCGAATAACGATTCGTGTGGCAATTGACACACCACGCGTAGCCATCTTTTTCGACAAACGGCGTGGAGGGGTCAAATGGCTGTATTTGATACAAATGTTAGCTTCCGACTTTCATCAATTAACGATTAGATACCAGTCTCCGGAAATGGCTTGAAGGGACAACAGGACATACATCACCGCATTCAGCGCAGAAAAAGTGACCGACATGCCATTCTCCACCGCAGGCGACAACAACTTCCCCCTCGATTGGGGTTTTGCAGCTACGGCACCGGGGGCTGAAAAATTCATGATAGTCGAGATGGCAGTAGAACCTAGGTGCGTCCTCTCCATCGTCTGCTTTTGTTTTGCCTTCCTCGTGCTCGATATGCTCTCCCTTGGCCCGGCGTCGGATACGATTTAATCGCTCCGCACGCTTGGGGTCTGGTTCTGGGTAGAATGCAACGCACTCAAGTCCTTCTCCACAGTTGTAGCACCGAAAGCATTCGGGATGGAAACGGAAGCCTCCTGCGCTGACAGTGCGACCTTGGATGGACATTCCGCACTGCGAACACGCTGCGGTCGGACGACGAATGGTCGGTGTGACGTGGTAAGACGAAGCAGGTGCCGTAGAGGAGTGAAAAGGAAGTGGTCTGGATGGGAAGCCGTGAGTCTTGGGTAGTGGACGACTTCTGGGACCGCCAGATTCTGAAGACGAGACATTGATCGAGGGAGCCTTTGATGGTCCGTCGAAAGTAATTGTCGGTGCATCTGGCACATTAATAGTTGGGATAGGAGGCTTTGTCGATGAATTTCCCCGGGCGCTCGAAGGCTCTTCAGGTAAATTTATTGTTGGAATGACCGGTGCAGACTGGATGCTTCTCGGAGGTGATGGTTTGGAAGGTGGGTCGGGCAGCGCTCTGGATCCTGTGAGATTGGTTCGCAGCAAATCTGAGCGCCGTTCCTCGCTGTGATCGCCCTGGAATTCCTGCAAGGGCTTCCAATCTTTGTTGAAGCTCACAATATGCCGTCCTGGTTTATTGCTCACAACCGTCGGCATCGGAAGCCGCGGGCTGCGATCCTTCAGTCTCATGCTCGTCGCTGCACGAATATCGTCACCGCGTATCTCGATGCCATCCTTTCTGGGCGCATATTTTTCTTCTTCTTCTCCTTCATCTGCTATTCCATGTCCATCATTATCGCTGGCTGTGGCGGAGTCTGGGGGTGTAGGCGGAAGGGAATTAGAAGTGTAAGCTGGATTGCGTGATTGAGTTGGTGGGTTCTTGTGTATCTCGACACTCGAGAATTTTTCTATGCCTTTTACGGGAGAGTACCCCCTGCCCAGATATGCGTCTACGTTGGAAGAAGTTTTCGGTGAAGGATCGTTTGGTTTTGCGTTCAGGGCCACAGATGAGCGGAGCCGGCCACCTCTGCCGATCCGTTCATCAGCGGAGGTCTCAGGCTCTTCGTATATGCAGTCTCTCGGATTCCTGAATATTCCTCTAGCAACGTTCCCATTTGGTCCTCCTTGGATATAGCTAGCTTGAAAAGTACGCTCCGGGGACATGTTCCTGGTTGCCAGCTTAACGTAGGCTTTTTTCTCAGGGCTGTCCCACGAATGATGAGATTTTTTCTCAGGAGAAGAATCCGGTGAGACATATTCGCCTCGAGTCGGAGAAACGGACGAGCTTCGAGCAGTAGACTTATGCAGTGTCGGAATTGAGCCAATCGTATTCGGTGAAATAGTAGGAATATCTTGACCTAGACTATAGCTCCGAGCATGGCTTCCTTTTTGGAGGTGGTGTTTGTAATTATACGGAGCATGGGGATCTCGCGGCAATTTTCCGGGATTTTGATGCATCCAAATCAGCTTCGAAGCTTCATCTTGGGCGACTGCATGTAAATGTTCCTCATCCTGAAAGTCCTTGTCTTCGAGGGCCTGACGTAGCGACCTGGCCTCTTGGCGTTCCATCCACCGCAAACCATTCTCTCGATAGGCTAGAGCAGATAACTCATCCGACGCTATGGATGGAGCGCTTCCACTCGTCGATGAAGAAGAGTCTCTGTCGATTACTGAGGGCTGCGGCTGTCGCACCAAGGGTCGTCCAGCGTAAGAGTTAGTGGCAGAGTCAGTTGACGTGGTGGAATTCGAGCTCCGGTGTGAGGCAGCGCTTGGACATCGGAGAGAGCCGCCAAGGCGAGCTTCTCGAGCGTCAAAGGATTTCGACGATATATGTGCTGCTTGAGAATCTCTTCTGCTTGGCAAACCCAACGAGGGAAGTGGTCGAGATCCACTGGGTCTTTGCACATTATTGGAGCGAAGTCCGGTGAGATAATCGGCTGTCGATGATCGCAGTGAGCCTGGTGAAGCCATATGGAAGGTCCAACAATACTACGTTACGGGATTTGAGGAAGAAAATGATTGGCAAAGTCGGGGAGGGATTAGTGAAGAACTCGCTCACCAACTTGATCAGAAGAGAAGAAGGTTGGACCTGGAGTGGAGCCCTTGCTGTCCTTGGTCTTTGATCGGTGAAGCATCGTGGCAAATGGTTGGCAATTGGTGTGTTTTCGTTCAGCCTTGCTCCACAAAATAAGTGCAGGTTGATGTGGGTGGAGAATAACGATAGGCCAGGAGAGTATTACGTGAAACGAATGGCAGTCAGGGTGACCAAAAAGCGCTTTGAAGAAATATAAAACGCCAGAAGAATAACCAAACCAGAGTCACGGTTCAAGAAACAAGTTCAAGGAGAGAAAAGGATACAAACCACGATGAGAATTATAGAGTCCCTACACTAGGCAGTCCAAACATGAATATGCCATCTCTTAGACAAGCAAGTCACTATAGTGACATTGTGCGTCAACAGTGGAGTCAGGTGGTGATGTTGTGTTGGTTCCCACGGCAACGCGGCCAGGGAGTCCAAACCCCCATACTCCGTATAGAAACGCGAAGGAGATCCATTATCCCTGAATGGTCAACGCAACTGAGACATGATTAGTACGGTGACTAAGGGATCGTATCCGCCACCAGATAAACGAAGTCTATCTGATGCAAGGTGATCAGAAGAAACAACCTATGTTAAAGTCTGAGGGGAGATCCCCCACATTTTGAATGATGATGAAGAGTTACGCACTGTCGGATTATCTAGGTATTTACAGTAAGTAATCAGCACCAAAACCGAACACATGCTATCAGAATCACATTTGAATTATTATTTAGGGGAAAAGATAAGGTCATTTCTCCTATTGATGATCGACCCCGTCCTCAATCGCAAGAAAGTCCTGATTAAATTATCCTCGGCGTCAACGGCGCGCGTTAAAAGTGCGTAATGCATACTTTTTCCTGATGAGGAAAGTCGTTACTTGCCCCAATGTCCATCTCCGGCTCTCTTTCGGACCCTGAAGCCGTGTGGCTTTTCTAGCATCAGTTGGAGATGTTTGTTCATGACAGCTTCAAGCATAATCTCATATGCTGATACGCAAAGAAGACCAGGAATTAAGGCGTCTGCAGATTTGTCAAGCCTCTGAATCCACTCAATGTTGCTTGAGTTAGTGAATGAACGATGCGGGAAGGTCGCGGGCGGGATGCTCAACCGAACCGTATGATAGCTCCAGTGCCGACTTTTCCGTAATCTTTAGCCCCACATCGCAGCCAGGCACAGAATATACAGCGCCCACTAAGAATCAGATCTGTGACTAATTACGGAAAAATTGAGGTTTAGCATGGGGCAGATTATGTTCAACCCAAGCCCTGCCCAACATGGCCAGAATCTCCGCAATCGGATATTTTAATATGAGAACGGAGTGGCCGAGGAAAAGAAAGAAGCAAAAGGAGCGGGGTGCGTGAAGGAACCGTTTGGGAATCTGATGCTCTCAGAAGTTATTCAACATGACCGAGAAAAAGGGCACTGTCATACCCGCGTCTGAGCCGGCCTGTGTATCAGACACTGACGCGCGTGACATCTCTGAGAAATCTAGCATCGATGACATTCGCCCTGAGAGTCCAGAAGGAGCAACTGAGCAAGGGCCCCCGAATGGCGGCTATGGTTGGGTGTGCGTCGCCTGTGTAGCCTTCATCAATGCGCACACATGGGGTATCAACAGTGTAAGTTGCGACATTCGCAACTGTTGCTCTAGTGTTTATAGCTTCGTACGCTGATATCGGGCATAGTCCTACGGAGTTTTCCTGGCTCATTACCTCTCGACGAATACTTTCAAAGGCGCGACCCCACTAGAGTTCGCGTTTGTTGGCGGCCTCTCCGTTTCGCAGGGTCTATTGGTGGCGCCAATCGCCACTCTTATCACTCGATGGTATGGGACTCGTGTAACGCTGTTGCTTGGACTGTGCTTTGAGACTCTGGCCTTGATTGGAGCTTCTTTTGCCCATCAGATTTGGCATCTCTTCTTGAGCCAGGGAATATGTTTCGGATGGGGCCTCGGATTCCTGTTTGTGGGTTCTGTTGGGGTTGTGCCTCAATGGTTTTCGACAAAACGTAGCTTGGCCAATGGCCTCTCTACTGGCGGTAGTGGGTTGGGAGGCATGGTATACAGTTTGGCATCCAACGCCATGATTCAACACCTTGGGGTGGGATGGGCATTGCGTATTTTGGGCATATGCACATTCACGGTGAACGTGGTTGCCACTGTACTTATTCGCGACCGAAACCGACAGATAGGGACGCAGCAGAGGGCATTCGATCTATCACTTTTGAAGAGACCGGAATTTATTTTCCTTAACGGATGGGGATTCTTCAGCATGCTGGGATACATTGCACTTCTTTTCTCATTGCCGAGTTATGCTTCGAGCATAGGATTGACTGCGCGTCAAGGTTCTACAATTGGTGCATTGCTCAACCTTGGGCAGGGACTCGGACGTCCGCTCGTCGGATACTTTAGTGACGCCGCAGGTCGGATCAACATGGCGGGTTCCATGACATTCCTCTGCGGATTGCTGTGCTTTGTCGTCTGGACTTTTGCCAAGACGTACGGTGTCTTAATATTCTTTGCAATTATCACTGGAGCCGTATGTGGGACTTACTGGACGGTACGTGGCGACTTTTCTTATTTCTTTTCTTGCTCGATGTACGGTCTCACTCTAACTTCTCGGGGGGGCTAATAGACGGTTGCACCTGTGACTGCTGAAGTCGTGGGTTTAAAAGAACTCCCACCGGCCTTATCCATGACCTGGATCTTTATCGCATTTCCCACTACTTGTAAGTTGAGCGTCGAGATTCTGACCACCAATCACTGTGCTGATCAATTGCCAAGTCTCTGAAGTAATTGGCCTCGAACTTCGTCAAGCACATGGCAACATCTTTTTGAGAGCTCAAATTTTTGTGGCTGCCATGTACGTGGCAGCGGCCCTCTGCATGTGGTGTGTGCGAACCTGGAAAATTGGAGAGCTGGAAGAGCACCCTCGCCACGGCAATGCCAGGGTCGACGACGATGCCGTTGACCATTCCACGTCAGTGCACGCTGCCGGATCTGCAAAATCCAGATGGCTGCGCGTATTCCATCGATTTCTGCAATGGGCTCGGGTGTGAAGGAGGAGTTGACACCGCACCTACTCAACGATCCCGGCCGGTAACCGGCCCGGGAGAGCCCGAATAGAAGTCCATAGGAGGGTGCGCCAGAGGGCCCTAGATATTATTTAATTTATGCGAAGAAGCCTTTTTTTAGGGTGCATGATTCGGAGCATGTAAGTTGCATAGGCATGGCGATGGAGTTATGGGTATATACAGTCTTATATGGCAATGAAAAGATTTCGTAATTAATGTGTAAATATCCTGAAGAGAACAGATAGTGAGAACAATGTGTTAAAAAAAGATGTAGCCAAATGAGGCCTGCGGGCCCGATTCGTGTGACAAAGGCTCAAGGACTGCTGCAGTAGTGACTTCTCGCCGTCTATCATTAGCCCCCGATAAGTAGGTGTCTCAGGGTATGTCACGAGCATATCAACTTGCATGGGACACAGAAAATGCAATTGCGGTGTTTCTGTATCTGCTCTTCCTTTTCATCAATGAGCGTAAATGCCTTATCTCAGTTCGAAATCGCAGCTGGCATGGCCCGGGACGGAAGAGGCATGTCCATGCGTGCAACCCACCACTACGACTTTCTGCATCATCACCTGGACTTGGACCCTTGACATTCCATAAGTTGTGTTGACGATCGTCTTTGAAGGAACCTGGTCACATCTCTCGGCCGTCGTCCGCGTGGTCGTCATCGTCCAATCCAAATACCAATTGCCTACCTTCGACTCTCATTTGAACGTCACAGACAACACCAATGCCCGAGTGTCGTAATGCTAGGAACCCTAGAGTAGCAACAATACTACCCCGCCGCGATCCCTGAAGTCGACTTGGCTTACTGTCAGAAGAGCCGTGCCCCACCCTAGGAAGTACCGACCCTTGTGCTCCCAGCTAACAGATTCCAGAGTATACTAATTTGATAGTTATGATTGGTGTAATGACTCAGAATCCTTAGACTCAACAGTATCAGCTTCCTTCCTGGAAACTGCATCTTCCTCTTGTGCAGTGTAACATGTGGTGTTCATACTATTTAAACACCAGCCCACATATATACCCCTAACACTGCCGCGTAATTGAATTTCTTTTAAATTTTCTCTAAGAATACTGTATTGAGCTTCCTGCCCTCGTCTCTTTTGCCTCAGCCGCTTTATTCTATATACTGCGTTGTGTTTCAAATTTTGGCCCCTGGTTTGCACCCTCATCTTCGTGCGCTGCTTTCCTTCCTCCTGAGAGTCGATCTGTTTGTTTTCCTCATCGCGCTGCCTCTCTTTCCTTTGCTTCTTCTGCGGCGCTGTCACAATAGCTTACGTCCATCATGGCCGAGTCCGCGACATACCCTCTTCATCCGCGCTCCACAATCCGCCGCAAACACGATCGCGGCGCCTACGACTATTTGACCGTTCACTCCATCTTGCGTGATGCTCCCATATTGCACATATCTTTCTTACCGTCCGACATCTCAGACGACCCCTTTCCCACCACGCTGCCCATGATCGGCGCTGTTGCATCCTTTTCTAACCCGAACGCCGACCCGGCTTCTGAGATTCTCGACATCTATGTGCACGCACACAGCGCGTCGCGGCTTATGAAACTACCTTCAAGCTCACCTCATGCCACAGATGTTGCAGACGACGAAGATGGTAGTCCCGCCGTCCCGGTCTGCGTGTGCGCGACGCTCATTGACGGCTTTGTTCTGGCCTTGACCCCCTTCAATCATAGCTGCAACTACCGTTCTGCGATTGTTCACGGATATGCCAGCGTCGTGACTGATGAGCCTGAAAAGAACTTCGCGCTACATCGAATCACCGACAGCGTAGTTCCTCAGCGCTGGGACAACACCCGTGTGCCACCTTCCAAAGCTGAGATTACATCGACCTCAGTGCTCAAAATCAAAATCGAGTCCGCGAGCGCCAAGATTCATGTCGGTGGTCCTGGTGACGATCGAAAAGATCTGAAGGATGAAAATGTGACAGAGAATGTCTGGACAGGAGTTCTTCCCGTCTATCAAGTCATTGGTGACGCGATTCCAGGCGAAAATAATAAGGTGCAAAAGGTCCCCGAGTATATAGGAACCTGGAGGTCTCAGAGCAACCTGGAAGCGGAGAAATATGCGCGTGAAGCTGCGTTGGTTGAGGAGAAAAAAAAGAAAAGATAACGCTGTGAACTTGCGAACTATAAGGGTTTGGGATGAGAAATGGAGATTATATGGCCGTGACTGCACAGATCCGTGTGGTCTCTGTTTCTAGCAATATGTAACGACTAAAGCACTGGTTTCGTTGTTTGATAGTCTGCTCATTGCGAATTTTCGATCCCAGTGGGTATCTCTTGCCAGCTTCATCCCGTACCCTTTTTCGAAGCCACAGAAGTTTATTGTTTCGGAAAAAATGTCTACAGTATCTGGTTTGTTGATAAACGACTGCTTCTATTAATTCTTTTTTGTTCATATGCAACATCACGTATTCTGCTATAAGTTGCCAGATAAGAATACTAATGCCAATTCAAGTTGTTATGGTTCTCAGATATAATTCACATATGTAGACAGACAAATTTGAGAAACTCTCGACACGGATGCCTCCTTTTGTGGCAATGTTTAGACTCTGTCTGGTGGAAGTCCTTATAAAATTAGTACTTCAGGGATCAAAGGCATGACACTTCAAATTCAATTCTATGTTCGACAACTGCAGAAAATATGCCCTCTATTTCCAGTGCTTTGCGGTAAATTCGCCGAAAGCTACACCATTTTGTGGAATGCTGATAGAATCGATATTTGTGTGATTGCGATCACAAAGATTCAGAATATTCATACGCAAGGTAATGACTTGAACTGGAAGACAGCGAGCCATTGGTATCTATTCCACCTCCTGATACATAGAGGGAGTAGTTGGGGTTCCACATGGACAAGCTCTTGAAAACGGGCAACATATTCACTGGCAAGCTTGAAAGTCCACGTAAATACTGAGGAGAAATTCGCTGAGAAGGCCATACAACTACCAAGTAGAGGGTATCAACGATGCAGCAATTTCTTGAAGGTGCTCTCCTGAAGCAAAAAAGCATCATCATGATAGTCTCACTTCAGAAATCCGATATCCTACACCATTACACTCAGATCAGACTACCCAGGTACCAAAGACTCTTCATGGTCCTCTTTGGCATTCTTGCATAATCACTTCTGCGGTGCTTCCAGTTTACATGGCCAACAGAGTACATAATTATAGTGTGGCATTATTTCGTATGGTTTTTTGTGGATGCATATGTTGGTGTTTGCTCTGGAAACCGAACCAGGAAGGTGCCAGGGCAGAGCGAAAGTTTGGGTCGCGTCGTGGCGTGTGTTGTACATCGAGGCAAACACGGCAAACAATCAACAGAGCTTGTCCTGATCGATCTTAGACCCCTCTTCTCCCCACCACTCAGCGCATTGTTTTCTTTGTGGACGCTAACTCAAAGAGGACATGCCCACAACACGGCCTTGGGCAAAGGAGAGAACTGCCCCTTTCGCTACGAACTCACCACTTGCTCTCTTCACCGCCGTCTCTCCTCCCCACGACCAGCCTTCGCTATCCTTCATCGCCACGACTCAACCATCTTCTCGAAGGGTACACTCTCACTTTTTTTTCTACCTCTTTCTCAGATATCCATTCCGTCACACCTCGAAGAATCGACTTTCGTGACCAACCGACATCATGCGTGAAATTGTACGTGCCGCTACTTTTGAAGCCTTGTTTTGATTTTCCCATGGTCAACAGTCTCTACGCGTCTCGCGATCACTTGACGATTATGCCTCTCCACCAACTAGCAATTTCCTCAAAGATGATCAGCTATGCTAACTTGAATGTCTTTGGAATTTTAGGTCCATCTTCAGACCGGTCAATGTGTAGGTTGCCAATGAATTCCTTGAAATACTACTTTTACTGATGCTACCTAGGGTAACCAAATTGGTGCTGCTTTCTGGTGCGGAACCCTTGAGAGGAATTTTTGTCATCTGGATTATAACTGACCGAGACTTCCTTGCGCATAACAGGCAAGGCATTTCTGGCGAGCACGGTCTCGACGGCTCTGGTGTGTACGTACAGCCTGTGCCATCCAATTAATGCATCATATTCTCCAGTATTCAGCTAAATCCTTCCTTAAGCTACAATGGCACCTCTGATCTCCAGCTGGAGCGTATGAACGTCTATTTCAACGAGGTGAGATCCTTGCGGAAGCCCAATCGAGAATCCCTTAATGCTTACAGGATCAGGCTTCTGGAAACAAATATGTTCCGCGTGCTGTCCTCGTCGACTTGGAACCTGGCACGATGGACGCTGTGCGTGCCGGTCCCTTTGGCCAGCTCTTCCGTCCCGACAACTTCATCTTCGGTCAGTCCGGTGCTGGTAACAACTGGGCCAAGGGTCATTACACTGAGGGTGCGGAGCTGGTTGACCAGGTGCTCGACGTCGTTCGCCGCGAGGCCGAAGGCTGCGACTGTCTCCAGGGTTTCCAAATTACTCATTCTCTTGGTGGTGGTACCGGTGCCGGTATGGGTACTCTCTTGATCTCTAAGATCCGCGAGGAGTTCCCGGACCGTATGATGGCTACCTTTTCCGTCGTTCCCTCTCCCAAGGTCTCTGACACCGTGGTCGAGCCCTACAACGCCACTCTCTCCGTTCACCAGCTCGTTGAGAACTCTGACGAGACTTTCTGTATCGACAATGAGGTATGCTCCGACAGGCTAGCATTCCCTACTTTTATATGACGACTGGCAAACTAAAGTTTGAGTAGGCTCTCTACGACATTTGCATGCGCACTCTCAAGCTGTCAAACCCCTCCTACGGTGACCTGAACCACCTCGTCTCCGCTGTCATGTCTGGTGTCACTACATGTCTGCGTTTCCCTGGTCAGCTCAACTCTGATCTCCGCAAGTTGGCTGTCAACATGGTTCCTTTCCCTCGTCTTCACTTCTTCATGGTCGGCTTCGCTCCCCTTACTAGCCGTGGTGCCAACTCCTTCCGCGCCGTCAGCGTCCCTGAGCTCAGCCAGCAGATGTTCGACCCCAAGAATATGATGGCCGCCTCCGACTTCCGCAACGGTCGCTACCTGACCTGCTCTGCCATCTTGTGAGTTGTGTTGCACACCTTATCAGCATTTCATCAGACATTTTGTTGACAGTTTCGTTTTACTAGCCGTGGCCGCGTGGCCATGAAGGAGGTCGAGGACCAGATGCGTAACGTCCAGAACAAGAACTCGTCTTACTTTGTCGAATGGATCCCCAACAACATCCAAACCGCCCTCTGCTCCATTCCCCCGCGGGGTCTCAAGATGTCCTCTACCTTCATCGGTAATTCGACTTCGATTCAGGAGCTCTTCAAGCGTGTCGGCGACCAGTTCACTGCCATGTTCCGTCGCAAGGCTTTCTTGCATTGGTACACTGGTGAGGGAATGGACGAGATGGAGTTCACTGAAGCTGAGAGCAACATGAATGACTTGGTGTCTGAGTACCAGCAGTACCAGGATGCTTCTATCTCCGAAGGCGAGGAGGAGTAGTAAGTTTGACTTAGTTGCTTGCTTAAACTGAATAATGGGCTAATATTTGTCACAGCGAGGAGGAGGTCCCCCTCGAGGCCGAAGAGTAAGTGCGGTTCTAAGAGGAGTGGGGCTGGGAAGTATCATGGTGGGAGGAATAATTAATACACTGGTAGCTGGGTTTTCGTCGACTCGGATCATCACGGTGATTGATCACCCTTGCTCGTCATGATATCTTCGTTTTGGCCACCGCCTCTATGACCTTTCAACCTTTTTTTCCTCGGCTTTTGGTATTGCGGCTTATTTTCCGCCATGCACCACGGTGTATGAAACATTCTGTTAAAGCTCGTGGAAACATTCTTGTGATCCGTTTCTTTTCTTTTCTTTTTTGTTCTTTTTCTCTCCGTAGTTCACTGTTTTTATGCTCTCTAGCGCCTTGAATGAATCAATGAACGCTTCTTCATATCTTATTCTTGGCTCGGCTTCATGTTGAAGACGCGAACTGTTCGATTGTAGTTCAAGTGATTTCGCTTTAGGGTAAAGTGTTGGCCTCGAGGTATAGGAGAATCATTTTAATGGGCTCATTTCTTATCCGCAAGGAAGAAGCTTTGCGATGTCACGTCCCTTACTAATATAAAAGGATGCGTACCACGAGGAACCCCGTATGAAACAGTGGCTCATTTTATGATCCGAGCTTGCTCTTGCACGTTACCTCTGTTTCGTTACCTGGCCTATTGTACGTGATCCCGTTTGTGAAAAGATGATGGAGAAGTATAACATTAAGGCAGCGCCAACAAATGAGTTTTCTTATTTAGTGTCCTCTCCTACTCTCTCACCAGAAAGAAATTCTCTTTCCCTTCTCCATATGTTTCTGTGTAAAGTTTCCCTTTTGGTCCTACAAGAACAGCAGGAACAGCCTTTGTGCCAAGATTTCCTGTCTCAATCTGACTTTTACACCCTCGTGTGTCGCATCCTCGATCCTCTATTCACCAGGCTTATCTTTTATCTTAATACTATCTGACGAGTTTGGGGCTTTACGTGGGGCTTTACTTGCTTTGAAGAAGTTTTTAACGTAATTTAGTAACTCTGATTGTGTGTCTGATGTTAACGTGGCTTTCGCCGTAGTACGGCTTTAATGTATGTATGGTATAGCGATTTCAGTATTTCCTACGCGCTTTTTTTGAGCCCTGGTAAACCTATTACGCTTTGCACTATTACCAAACGTAAAATGGTGAGTGCGGAACGAATCGAGATACATTCTAATCGGCCTGGAGCGTAGTATAGAGATTAGGAGAAGTAAGACAAAGGTAAAATTAGGAACTACTTCGTGCATTTGTGTGCATTTGTGAAAGGCCTATTAGGCTGTCAGCTTTTGACTGGAAACTAATACATGACAAGTAGAATTTGCGAAGAAGTAAAATGGTGTAAGCGTCGAGCCGAAGGCTTTTGAAAGTGTGTCGGCAGATAAAAGAGAGTAACGACATGAGGTGTAAAATTGACCAGGACAAGGGTCTAGAGAGCGTGCGATGAGGGTCTGCCATATACTCTCCCGTAATGGCCGCGCAAATGCGTTGTATTGGGTTGGATTCCGTAAGCTACCAGAAACCTCGTTGAAATCGATGATAACCGAAACCTCCGTGGGTGGCACAGTATATATCAAAACGAGAGAAAGACAGACACGAAATGGCATGCATGGGAATAGAAAAAAAAATCGGGAAGGAAAGGAAATGAACAGAATTTGCAATGCTACTGGCACTTTGAACAAGAATAGTCATTTGATTAATCGCTCAAGTCACCTTCATCATCATCGTCATCTTCCTGTTCGTCTTTGTGATTTCGATCCATGTCCTCATCCTTTCCCTCTTCATCTACATCATCTTCCTCCTCTTCTTCCCCCTCTTCGTCATTTTCTTCGTCATCCTCGCCATCCTGTTCCTGATCCTCGCCATCCTCGAAATCTTCTTCCTCCTCTTCTGCCGCAACATTTCCGGACTCCGTCTTCGCCTTCTTCGCTGCTGGCGGACCGGAATGGCTTTGGGTTGCATCAACCTCTCTGGGAATCTTGGCAGAAGAAGGAGATGTCGATGTTCTTGCTGCCTTAAAACCCTTGGATCTTGCCGCGGTCTCAGTAGGGGATGCATGGGCATCAGCATCAGGGCCAGTCTCAGCCGCTGAGTCTTTCTTTTGCTTGTTCTTATTTCGCTTTTCCACTTGTATGGAATTGTATTCTATAGATCAGATGTTAGAATGACCGGAAATGTGGCTGGTGAAGTTTCAGGGAAAGGGTCCTAGGCATTGGCCGCGGTAAGGCAAGGAAGGACCATATGGGAGGGAGAGTGTCACTAGCCAAAAGAATAGGATCATAAAACAGTGAGCTAGGCTTACTTGTAAGTTCAGCTTCTAAACGCGGAAGGAAGGCTTCAAATTCGATTTCCTTTATGGCATCAAAGACGTCGTTTGGCATGATGGTTTTCTTGTTGGCTCGTTGAGCAGCTTCGTTGGCACTGTTGTTTGAATGGTAAGAGAGCTGCACGATCTGGCGTCAAAACAGAAGCGCCGTATCATTTCCGCAGAAAAAAAAACAAAGAAGAATTCAGTTAGATATGAGAGTAGGATGCCATCTGAGCAAAGGACCACAAATATGAATGATCCGCCAAATTGTTAATGGAGTAAAAGAAAGAAAACATCGGAGATAAACGGGTAGTAAGGCAAAGCATATCGGAGAAAGAGTACAAAAACGTACTATGAAGACAAGTAATTCACAAACACAGTTGCGCTCTTTGAGATGGCGAGCACGGCATCTTTCTGAATTTGCGTATTGGCCGGCAACACGCTCTTCGCGAGCCGCTGTACCATTGCGCGTGGCAGGCTCAAATCCTTGAAAAGCCACAAAGTCAGCATTGAGTGATAATCAATGATCCCATCCCCGAGCTAGTTATACAAAGGCGAACGGATTAACTTTGACAAACCCGAAAGCTAGTGAAAAATGATCACACAACGCAAATGGCAAAGAGAAGAAGTCACTCCACCTCGAAAGCATTTATCTCCGCACACGTATATAGGAAAAAACGATGCAAAAAGGAGCGCCGACTTGCGGACCAAAATATCATGAACATATATATAAACCAATTTCGAACAAAACTTTAAGACCATACCTCAATGCCCATTCCATCCTTGTCTTTGGCTGAAGGACTAGCAACTGTATCTGCGGCATTAATTTGGGTAGCTCCGGGGGCAGCTGCGGCGGCCGCTCTAAACCCATCACTTTTCTTGGGTGGCATGTTGCATTTCCCCCGATTCCAGCTCGATGGAGGGAGCAAATCGTCGCTGGAGGTCTTAGAAATTCAAACACTGAAATATGTAGACAAGCTGAGCTACCAGAGAAAATATACGGCTCTAATTCTGACTGCTCGAATAAGTTTGAAGAACCAAATAATATAGACGAATCTGTGTATTCTTTGCCTCCTGCAAAAAGCATTCGTGGTTAGGGCCCTCGGGCAGACGCGACTTCACCCTCAGCATTTACGCGAGCCAAAGACCGCGTTCGCCACTACCAAAGACCAAAACCTGCGGAAGTCTTATATTAAAGGTCTTCGACAAACATTCATTTTTAATAGGTCAAGAAGTTACTCAAGGTCCGATGCGGTGCTAGGAAAGGTCTAGACAGTTCTACAGCGAATAAAAGGTGCCAATTTTGAAGAGATAAATGGGTAGGAATGATAATGATGATGGTGTATCTAATCTTAATAGTTTGTTTACTGTTCAAAGTCCCGTACACCAATCATGTAATGCATAAGGTGTATATAAATTCATGACGTCGTTGGAAATGAGCACAAACTATTCTAAGTAGGCAATATAACTACTGCCAAAACTTTAAGAATCGAGTGCGGAAAATTTAATGAACGGGGAACGGCGAGGTGGCGTCTCTTGTATACCAGCACTCGGGCCGTTTCCGGTGTCTGGATTAATTCTTTTCATAGTCGGGCTCCTCTCAATACTGATCGGAGGAGTTGATGGGGCCGTGGAGTCCTTGAAGCGACTGCCCTTGGGAGTAGCTTGTACTTGAACACGGCTAACATTGCCAGCGTCCTTCATCGCTAGTTGACGGTTCGGCTTCTTAATGGCAGCAATGGCCTCCCGAAGCTCCTCTTCTACGTTGGTCGATCTCTTTCTCAATTTCGCTTCAGCAACCGGATGGAGCATGCTGAGATCTACTTCTCTTTGAGTAAATCTCTTAGACTTCAGTAGGTCTCTCCGATTGCTGAGCAGAGGTTGGGTAGTATCAATCTCTGGAATTTCCAAGAGCGGGGTTTCGCTGGTTTCCCGCTTCAAACCTGGAATGGCTGATTCTGTGGCAGAGCGAGCAAACGATCGTTGCGGCCGCGAATACGACACTCTGGCATCACTGGACACTCTACTAAGAGGTTTTCGAGAAGAGGGCGCATTTCGCTTGACAACGACGCCAGGCTTAGTTGAAGTCTTGAGAGATGAAGAGGATTTCAAAATCTTCGGTCGAGCAGGAGATGCTGCGACTGGTCCACCAAGTTTTTGGTTAAGCACGGCGCAATCTTCAGGCAGACGAGATGCAAAGCTGGTCTAAGTCAGTAAATGGCAGGCAAAGGGGCAATGTTAAGTGAATCTTACAAAGGTACAATGACTTCGACACAGAAATCATATAAATGGTTATAGTCTGTCTCCTTGGTCGGTGCGACCGTTGTGTCGTCTGAAACGGATTTAGACGCTGTTGACGCTGATGCCCCATCACCATTGCCTTCATTATTTAACGATTGCCAAATACACAGCCTGTCGGCCAAGAGATCCAGTAGGACAGTGAGATTTTGCGGTTTCTTCTTGCTGCCTTCCGAGCCTGATCTTAGGAACTCAAGTGCTTCTTGTTTTTCGTTATGAGTAGCGGAAAACTTCTCTAATGCCAGGATTTCTAGAATCAGAATAATTTGAAGTTGAGTCTCTCTCGTTCTCAGTCGAGCGAGTCTTGCTTTGGCCCATTCTTTAGAATCTCGGCCAATTTCCACGGCATTGTCGCCGAGTCTCCACCATTTTTCAACCAGCTGCGGCTCCTGCGGATACATGCCGTCTTTTCCAGGCTTGCACTTCTTTTTCCTGCTCTTTCTCTCGAAAACGGCTCTTAGGGCAGCGTAATCCTCTTCATCCTCGGAGACAGTTCCACCGGCAGGTAGGGACTGAATCAATGCCATCAGACTTTCTCTGTATTTCTTATCCATAACATTGAGCGACAAGATTAGGGAGCGTAATGAGGCCGCAAGCTCTTTTGGTGTCTTCAAGTGGTCTTGGCCATTGAACGCCGCTCGCGCTCTGGAGAGTGGACCTTTTGCGAAGTATGCCAGTGAAGTCTAGATTTATTAACATTGTGGTTCCGACACAGAAGCGGTTGTAGAATACCTTCGACAGATACAAAGCCTCAAAATATTGCGTGACGACCATTTCGAGCATGTCTTGTGGCGCTGGCTCGACGCTTGGTCTCTCTGGCGCGCTCTGTGGCTGCGATGCACCATTTGCGCAGCTACAGATATCTCCCGTCCTCTCGATCAATTGGGTCGAAATAATCTCGGCATGGGTTGAAATCCTCTGTGGTGATTTGTCGGACGGCTTCATGGAGACCAAACCCGTCGGATGCGCGTCATTCCCTCCATTCCTTCCACTTCCGCATAGTACCGACTTGGGAGCTTCCACAGTAGCTTTTGTCCACCACTCTCCTTCACGTTGAATGTCCGTCTGCCATTTCTGCACCGATCTCTGTTGCCGACTGGCTTTCCCGTTCTCCACGCGAATATCTTTGATCGTTACCCATTTACCTAGTTTGCAAATGGCATAAATACCATACTTTACCCGCTCAATCACATGCAAGCCTTTTTCCACGTTGTGCTTAGAGATAAGGACCGATGCCTCACATTCATTCGTTTGGACTAGATCCTCGAGAACCTCCACGTAGCCAGCAAAGAAGCGAGTTGGCGGGGCATCCAAGGAGCAGGAGGCTTCCAGATGTTTGAAAGAGAGGCATGATCGGGGCAGTACGAATACTGGAGTGAGCAGGCAAGGTTTATCGATTGTAGACGATGGGTATGGCTGAATATGAACAATCAGTATCAGCTCGGCCAATTGTTTGGTGTTTATTTCAACTCACTTTTATGGTTATAGACTTTTTTAGGGGCTTGGCTGATCCTATGGTCTCTCGCTTTCTTTTCTTGCCTTGCACCGATAAGTTTTCCGTCAGGTCATCGGAAAAATTGGGATTCATTAAATCTTTGGACGGAGGAGAGAAGTGAATTTTGTCGTTTGCTCGGGTCGACGCGCTTCTTCCTGGCTGTGCTTGGCCAAGAGCAGACATTGCTGATCTATACAACGAGCTAAATGGCCGGCTTCGCATGAGCTCTATTGTCGGGTCATAATGGATCAAATAAGTCCTCTTCGACAAAGCTGTTATTATCATTCAAGCTGATTCTTCATCAGTTTTATTCACGCGTTATGGGAGACGCGATTATAGGTGAAAGTGCCAATAACATACAAGACAAACCAATATCGGTGGAAGGTACTAATACTTGTCTTAGTGACTACCCGCTCGCTGGTAGCAATTAAAGTTCCTAAAGTACCTTCCTGGTGCCTTGGTCACGGCGTGTTTGGGTTACCTTAATGCATTTCCCAGGCGAGCCTCGGAGTCGGCGAGGCATGAATCCTGTTACAAAAATCATGATTTTATAGATATTGTGCCTCGGTAACTACTTTTAATTTTCAGTTGCCATTTGGTTTTCTGATTTTATCGGGGTGGATCTAGACATTATACTATAGGGAAAAAGTATGTTCTTTCAATATCATTACTATGTAGACTTTATAAATACACTATTACATAAGTAGACTTTTTAGAAAATATAAACTTATTAATAATTAAATACTATACCAAAATATATATACTATTAAACCTAGGTTAAACCATGCTATTACAAGTACTTGTTTTGAGTAATATATCTACCTAAGATATTTAATCATTTAAGTTCTATAATACTTAATAAAATAAATAGATAAATTATCAATATAATATTATTTAAATATAATAAAATTTATATTTATATTTGTAGTAAATTAATAGAGTGATTTTATTAGTTTTATTTCTTATAATTATAATATAACAACTTTATTTCATCTTTATAGACTTTAAGTTATATAATAAAGCAAACTTATTATTGTATTTTTATCATTATAATTAAGATATAAATACTTATAAAATTACAACTTTGAATCATTGTACAGAATATATATCTGGCCAATTTGCTTGGGAAACACTCTGATGTTAGGTTATGCATTATTTAATGAGTTTCATTATTTTTAGATACAGTAACACCAAATCCAGTTGTCCTCCATCTGCCTCAGTAACACCTTTCCAGAATTTTATTCTCTTACAAACCTCAGTGTATATCACATCTGAACATTTCAAACTACCTTGTCTGAGTTTTATTTGAAATTAAATAGCTAGCAAAAAAGAGCGGACTAAAAATTAAAGCGGAGGAGGAATAGCTTCCACATGCACATAATATAACTGGGATAGCTAAACCTGACGACGTCATCCAAAATAATCAGATGACATGCGACAAGTAAACCAACATCAACACAAATACCGATGACCTTAGCAGATAGTCATGAGTTGAGTGGCCGACCTTGTGCCTGTTCTCGAGTCTCTGAAGCAATCAAAGTCCGGCGTTAGCCTTTATTCAGAGCACTCCGAAACCTGCTCATTTCGCGGCAACTTACTCTTAGCTCCTAACTCCGTCTGTCCTCACGCGCCTCTGTCGCCGTCAAGTTGGACAAGAACTGCAGGCTCCTGCAACCCTTGCTTCTCTCCGTCCTAAAGAGCGAGAACTTATTTTAGTGCTCCTATTCAACCCGCTGTGCAAGGCAAAAGCGGGCTCGAAGCAAGTATCATCTTTATTTTCGGGCAATGAAATTAGCCCGAGCAATACACTATTTTGATTTTTCGATGAAAGCCTTTTGGCTCCTCTTGGCGCATGGGATGCTACGGCAGTGGGAACCTGGAGGGAACAGTCCGCCGAACCCAACCTGGAATATCTATTTTGCTACATAAAGTATAGCCAAATACTGTGGTATCGGTTATTCTGTTATATATTGCCGATCTACCACTCTTTCCTCCGAATGTCCGCTCATTTGTTTTCGTCATTATTTCCCACTGTCAGGTCATCAGACTTCTCTTCCGTCGAAAGGAAATGTTCTTATGTGATGCAGCCAACACACTCCTTCGATCGCCGCCAATGAAAAATGGATCACTGGTGCATTAAATTGTTGGATCTTCATTGCGCCAGAAAGGCCCAACTCAAGAAAGTCTGGACGATCCGGGCCGATTTACAATGAATTTGCCGCCTGAACCCTGTTTTTCAACAATGATCCCCGTCAAATATCCCATTTGTTTTGCAATACAGTATGTATGCCATATTAGCTGAACGATTGTGGCGATTGACGCGGGACATGCTTTCCCCCCATGATCTAGAGCCGGAGCAAGTCTTTTTAGTCCCTTTTGGCTCATGGACGTGTGCGGCACGGCCCGCGTGTTGCATCTGCAACATGGACATCCTTTGCCTGTTGGGTCCGTGTTTATGGCAGGATCAACGCTGACCAGTGCCACTTTGGCTGCAAGCCTTCAGTGGGGTAACGTTGATCCTTCCCATTCCATCTGCAGCTGGGCGAGATTGTCGCCACGGTTTTCAAATTTCAAGTTCAAAGTCGTTGAAAGTGGCATGATATAGTATTGAAGTCTGTCAGTAATATAAAGGCAGGATTAATTCCCTGGTAATGCCGGCTGCATCATTTCTACATTATTCTGTCATGCTTCCATTTTGTCATTTTTATTATCCGATTCACTTGCGAGTTACGCTTGAACCGAAACTGTTTAAAATCCTGCCCAGCTAAGAAGAGAAATCATCGAGTACGTGCATCGGAGATGAACAAGAGGAGACAATGCTTTCCGGCTCACTCATCTAGCTCCATCTTGTGCCTCGAAGACACTACATTGCATTGCACTTATTACCTCTGTCATGGTATCGAATGTATTCCGTCGACCAGAAAAAAGATTGCAACATTTATATGTTTCTGTTGATGCTTCCTCTTTCCGTTCGTTTTTTATACGTCATATGCACGTACACACCACTGAGGGATATTATCTCTGCACCGGGAAGGCATCATGTCGTCCTCTTTATCATCTTGTTCTTTTGATTTCCACTCAAACTATTCAGATGTGCCTCGTGCATCCTCGGAAAATTCAACAACTACCACGTCATCTCTCCCCTCAAGACCAATCTCTGGGCACTCCGCTATATTAGCATCCTCTTCATCCTCATCATCTTGTTTGTTCCTGGAAATTCTCCCTCTTGAAGTCCGCTTCATCATATATTCATACCTTGTTACTCCCACATTTTCATCTTCTTCGAGCCACCCACAATCAACACTAAATCATCGTGCTCGAAAGGGCAATCAACACACGGCTCTTGCCTCGCGACCTTCGCATATATGTCGACCATTTTCAACTCTCCCGCTCATCTCCTCCGCCTCCCACAACTTCTGGCCAGCTATCCTGCGAGTCAATCGACAAATCAACATTGAAGCACGCTCTATCATCTACTCGCTCATTACGTGGAGTTTAGCTCCAATCGGCTACCAATTTAGCTTTCTGGGGGGTGGCGTGCTCACTGGCCTTGCAGGAGACATTCATTCCCATCATCGCCACCACTTCGATCATTATCTTTATCATGAGCAGCAGCAACCGCGGCTTCAGAGTTCTGCCGGAGAGTCCTATTATAGTGATGGCCCGAATGTCTCTTCAAATCAAAATCAGCTAGGAACGTATAATCATCCTCGATCAGAGAATTTTAGTCCCCGCTTCTACCACTCACCGCATCTTGAACGAGGTCCTTTCCCTGAACTATTCTCTCAAGGTACGGCAGACACGTCGTCCTCATCTCTCGTCCTCCTCCGTCTATCGGAGCCGTATCGCGCTGGTTTGTTCCGTCACGTCAAGCTGCGGATCCAGCTTGATGGGGTAGTGCTGCGTGCAGACCCAACGTTCAGCCTGCGCCGGTACTGCGATGAAGTGCGCCGCAATGTAGAGCGCGTAGTGCGCGTCGTGCGTGGCGCACAAGGTCTCAGGACTGTGACAGTGGAGTGGGTTGACGGGACTGGGTCGGAAGAGTGTCACGTTGATTACACACAAACGGAAGAAGAATTCAAGGTAGCTAGAGACGGGTTGGAGGGGAGTGATATTGAGAACCAGGGGAAAGGAGACTGGGTGCACAAACGCCGCATTCTCCAACCCCTGCGCCTATTCCTCGATCCTGATGTTCCTTGGCGCACAAGAGGTTCCAGCACGAAATGTAATTGTCGTCGATGTCGGTGTTTTCATTATAGCTGCCATAATGGTGATTCCAGTGGCCCCAAAGGTCCCGACACCGTTACGCATCCATCTGATCATGTTTTATCTGAGACAGCGGGCAAAATGATAGAGACAGGAAGCACAAATATCTCAGCTGGGATCGCATGTGCAGATCAAAGTAGACAAATTCAATGTGGAGGACATGATAGAGATGGCAATTGTGTTGTCGATCTTCCTCGTGTTCAAATGGGTCTTATATATCCCGGTTTGACTGGTATCAGTAGAGAGTTTGTTGAGTCAGAATTTGCAAAAATAATGGCCAGCTAAGAAAAATTTATTCCATCTTTACAGCGTATAATAAAGAATTTTACCGGAGTTGTTCTACTCTCTTTGCTGCTGGTATTTTTAAAAACTTTTGAAATACAATAAAATAGAAAAAATTATTAATTATAATTTTTTCAATAAAAGAAATAAATTAATAATTGGTTTATTTAGTTAAAAAGATAGAATTTTAGTTTTTTATAAAAGCAACCAGAATTTAATTATAGTTTTACTTATATATAAAATTTAAATTTAATATTAATAATTTATAATTTTTTAAATAAATTTTAGTTTTTCAGCTAGTATTTAAATTATTTAATTAAAATTTATATAAAAATACTTTAATTTTGTATTTATATATTTTTTTAATAGTTTATTTAATAATTTTTATTTTTATTATAATTATAATTAAAGTTAGCTATAACAAAAAAATTATAATTATTATATTATTTTTAATAGAATCTATTTATTTTTATATTGTACTTTTATTACAAGATTATTTAATTATAAATTTTATTTACAGATAAAATTATAAATAAATATTAGTTGCTTTTATAAAAAATTTTAATTATATATAAAACCAAAATTTAGTTTTTTTCTTGTTTAATCAAATAAATTAATAATTATTATTTGTTTATTTATTTATATTATATACAGCTATAAAAGTATAATAAGGTCTATAAGTTAAATATATATAATATATATTAAGCTTTTTTAATTACTTTAAAATTAGTCAAGCTAATATTATATGTAAATAATACATTATTTTTTAATTAAAACACTAAATATTTTATATTATATAAAAAATATAAATTATTAATCTAATATTAATAATTTTGAATAATTTTAAAATAATTGAAATAATCAAAAAATATAAAAAAATAATTTGATAATCTATTTCTTCTTTGAAACCAGTTTACTTTATAAACTAATCTAATTTCAAAGTTTAATATTATATTATTGAGCTAGAAATATTTTTTTCTCAAAATTGTCCAAGATAAAAGATATATATAATAGAAAAAAAATAAAAAAAAGATTTTTTTTAACTAGAAATTAAACTTAAATACTTTAAATACTTACTATATTTATATATTTTTTAATTAAAAAGTAATTTTTTAAATGATATATTTTTTTATTTTTTATTTTAAACTAGAATCTAGTTTTTTACTTTAAAGTTTTCAAAATATATTTTTTTTAAATGTACTTTAATCATATAATATATCTTATTAATATTGTCTTTCTTGATATAATAATTATTTTTTTGATGCTATCTTAATAGTATCTAAATATTCTATTATATAATAGTTTTAAAATAAAAACTTTTTTTTTTACATTTTGTAAAATTATATAACTAGTATATTTACTCTAATAAAAATAAGTTTTATAGAGTTCTATCATGTTTATTTATTTGTTTATTTATTTATACTGCATTTAGCTTTAAAGCTATAGCAGAGTCTATGATTTAAATATATAAAATATGTATTAAGCTTTTGGAGATTATTTTAGCTCTGCATAATATAGATATTTTTATAAATAATTTTTAAATACTTATATAGTTATTATTTAATCTATTATAAATTTGTTTTTATTTTAAATTTTAAATTTAAATTATAATTTAAAATATTTAAATAAGTTTTAAAATTTATTAAAACTTATTGAAATTTTTATTTATTTTAAATTTTAAACTTTATATATACAAATAATTTATATATTAATATTAATTAAAATAAAAAAAAATATTTTATTTTATTTTGAAAACTTAATTCAAAATTTAAAATTATACTTTTTAGTTTTTAACTATTTTGAATTTTATTAATTTATATAATTGTAAATAATAATTTTTATAATATTATTTTATTATTTCTAGTTTTTAAATTCTTTTTAATTTTTAATTTATGTAAAATTTTAAAAAAACTAAGTTTAAATTTAAAAGATAGTAATAAAAAAATAAATAATAATAAATATAAATTTTTAGTATTAAAATTATATTTTAAAACAAGATAATTAGATTAACTTACTTTGTAAATTAGTCTAACCTCAAAGCTCAATATTATATTACTGAGCTAGAAGTACTTTTTTTGAAAATAGTTTGAAATAAAAAATATATATAGTAGAAGAAAAATAAAAAAATAAAAAAAAAATTGCTTAGCTAGGGATTAAACTCAGGTACTTAGGTACTTATGATATTTATATATTTTCTAATTGGAAAATAGTTCTTCAAATGATATATTTTTTAAAATAAAAAATTTTTATTTTTTTACAAGTTTTTTTTATTTTTATATTTTCTAATTAGAAAATAGCTTTTAAAATTAAAATAAAACTTAAGTAAAATTAATGTTATAAAAAAACTTTTTTAAAATTATTTAGTTATATTATTGTTAACTAAAATATTATTAAATATAATTAATTTAAATTAAATTAAATGTTCAATTATTTTATAAATAATTAAAATATTATTTATAACTAAATATATTAATTTTAAATATATTAATTTTAAAATAAATAAATAATTTATTATAATATATTATTAAAAAAACATATAACTATTTTTAATAATTTTAAATAATTTAAAGTAGTTTATTAAATATAAATTTTTAAATTATAATTTTAAATAGTTTTTATATAATTAAAATTTTATTTAAAATTATTTATTAAACTATATAAAAGATACCTAAGTACTAGTAAATTTAGTAAATATTACTTTCTTGCATAAGTTAGATAAAAATAGCTAAAATAACAAATTTTAACATATTAATTTTAAGTTAAATTAGTTTTATTTTATCAAAATGAATAAATATTAATGCTTTTGCAAAAGCTTTTTTGAAAATTAAAAATCAAGATATTATTTATGTAAGCAATATAAAAAACATTTAAATACTTAGTAAAAGCTTTGTTAATTAATATTTAAAAGATTACTAGAATGTTTGCAAGTTTAAATAATATAATTAAATATTTAAAAAACTTAAAATAAGTTTGAAATACAGTTTTCCATTCATTATCATTTTTAATATATATGTAATTATATATATTTTAAAAATCAAGTTTTGTAACAATTTTTATTCTTGAAAGATAATCTAATAGTTTTAATATCAATAAAAAGAAATAATTATCTTTTATTATAATAATATTAAATCAATAATAGTTAATAACTAGATAAAGTTTGCTTTTTGATTTTAGTACAAATAATAAAAACAAACTTGTAAGCAAGTTTAAGAACTTTAAAATCCCTTTTTGAATATTTTTTACAATGTATTATTATTATATATTGAATTTTTTTAAAGATAATATATATATTAAGCTGTAAGATAGTGTTTAGTCTTTTACTATTTTAATAGTATGATTATATAGTTTATGTAACAAGAGTAAAAAGTTATTATTTTAAAAAACATTTAAAATTTTTTAATATATATATAGTAGTTTAACTTTTTTTTTATTTTATTATTTATCTATATTTTCTATTAAATTTAATTTTTCTGAAACAGAAACAAGAAAAATACTAGTAAAAGTATAAATTTGTTCTGTTTTTTATGTCTTTTTATAAAAGTTTTTCATTTGTTTAAGGTACTAGATTATAGAAATTATTATATATTTATAAATAAAATCTTATTTTTAAAAGTAATTTAATCCTATTATTATAAAATTATTAGTTGACAAAATAATATTAAATTATTATAAAATAAATTTAAGAGTTTTTTCTAAATTTTTAATTTGTAAAAAAACTTGTATCTTTCTATTTTTTTCTATTATTCTATTATTTTTAAGCAAGAAATATTTATTTGTAAATATAATAATAACTTTAAAATATCTATTATAGATTTTATTATAATTGTAAAGATACTTTTACTATCTATATAAGCTTTAATTTTATATTAATAGTAATTAAAGCATAATATAATACATCAAGGAATAACATTTTTCTAGCATTATTTTTTTGTTTAAAGTAATTTTTATATTATAAATAAGTTTTATAAAATTCTCTAAAGATAATGTATCTAATGAAATAAGATTATTCATTGAGTACTATTTTTTAAAAAGTTACTATATTATTATTATATTAAATCTTGTTTTAGATTGATTTGTATTATATTTATATTGAAAAAATTTCTGCATTTAAATATACAATATTTTTTATGTTTATATTAATAACATACTATAAATCTATTTAGAACTTTTACTATAGAGTAAAACTTACTTAAGTACTTTTTTAAAGATTATTTAAACTATAATAAATTAAAAATTTTTAATAAAAATTTAATAAAATTTTTATAGTAGAAAACTATTTCTACAAGTTATAATCAATATTATTACAAGGTTAAAAATAGTTTTTTATTATTATTAAATTTTAATAGTATATATCTTTTAATATTTAATTAAAAAAAATATTATCTATTGAATATTAGAATATTTAAAAAAATAAATATAAAAAATTATTAAAAAATTATTTAATTAAATAAAATACATTATTATATAAAATTGTATATATAATATATATATTTTTAATATAAAAACCAGTAACTATTTAAAGAAAATCAATAGTCTATTGATATTTTAATAGTAAATTACTATCTAATAATAATTCAGTATCAATCTCCTCTAATATTTTGCTAGATAGTATAAAAACAAGATATAAATAATAACAATTAGCTGTAGAAAGGCTAATGATTATCAAATCTACTAATAAATAATAAATTGATAGCTATAATAAATTGTTAATTAATGATTTACCTAACAATCTATATACAAGATTGATTAATAAGTTAATCAAGAAACAGTATATACTTGCATAGTAATAGTATATAAATATCTACTGTAGTCAATACTTGGATCTTGCCAGGAGAAAGTTATCTCTAATATTTATCATATATTATTAATTTATTGTAGGATTAGTATAATTTATTTAGCTATACTACTTCAAAAGCTGTCTATCATGTTTTACAATATGTTAGATACTATAGTTTTAAGCAAAGGCCTCTACCAGCTGCTACATGGATAGACTAGTATAAAAAAAATATAATCATCTAGTTTAAGCTATAAAGTTAAATACATTATTATAATCTATAGCAAACCCTTGGCAGGCCAAACAAATAGAGATATAATAAGTATCATCTAGTAAAAAAGAAAAAAAGTCTATAAACTTATCTCTATACAAATGGTCTACTATAGGGAAAAAAATATTCAAGAGCAATAGATATCATATTTTTAGCAATTTAAATACTTTAATTAAATTTAGATATAAAAAATTCTATACACTAGCCAGGCCAAGACAGAGAGACTGCTTGAGAATGTTTTTAATAAATATATATCTTATCAAGTTTAATAGAGAAGCTTTATTAGTAAGTCATTTGAAGTACATGTACTTAAATTTTCTAGCAAGTATATTAACATTCATGAAAATATTATATTTACAAGCTATATTGATGATATAGCTATAGTAGTTCAAGGAACTATACTTATAGTAAACTGTTTAATCCTTAAAGAAATTACTAAACTAGCCTTTACCTGGGGAGAAGAAAATGCTATTACATTTGATAATACAAAAACAGAGCTTATCTACTTTCAAAAAACAAAAATATCAAGCCAAGTGTAATGATAGTTACAAGGGTTAGTAATGGATAGTACAGGACTTACTTCAAGAAGTATAGAGGTATAAAATGCCATATGATATTACAGAACAAGGGGTTACATAATAATAAGATAGAAAAGCAGAAAGTAGTGGCAAAAATAAGTAATCACAGTGATCACAGGTAATTACAAGGTGATCAAAATGATTAGATATGATTAGTACAGAACAGATTGTCTATATAAGGAGGATGGTTTTCCTATATAGTTAGAATTGTTTTGTGTAGTTTTTAATATTATTGTCTTAGCAATACTACTATACAGTATTCAGTTATCAGTATTCAAATATTAGTACAATGACAATCTTATTGTTTACTTTATCTAGGAGACTTGAATTATTATATTATCTTATATTACTCCTATTACTAAATAATATTGCAGAATACTATATTACTTGGTGAAAACTCTTGATATACTGACAGAGAACTATCTAGGAAGATACAATCCAATACCTATTTATAGGTATCACTGTGACAGAAGAACTATCCAATATTAGGATGAAGGTGATACAAGCAAAAGCATTTCATTATGTCTAGCAATTCAAGAACAACTACTACCAGAATAACTATAGTAGTAGTTGTAACACTCAGGGAGTAGATCATAGGACTTCAAGCTCAATTAGCAATATAGCATCAATAGGCCAATATCAAAGTAGTAGCACTAGACAAGTTTGACAGAAAGAGAGGAACACTTAAAGCATAGCTTATTGCTATAAGGCTATACCTAGGATTTAACATATTAACCTTTCCAAGTAAACTAGACAAAATCTTAGTAGCAGGAATGTACATGAAGAGAGAAGCTCTAGAATGGTTTCAACTATACATGAATGACTACATGAAGAATGAACTAAACAAATAAATGAAAGCAGAAACTATACTCATTTTCAGCCACTATGACAAATTTGAAAGGCATGTCAAGGAAGTCTATGGTGAAATTAACAAAGTACAAGTAGTAGAATAGAAACTTTAAACAATATAACAAAAAGGATCAGTAGCTTTATACATGGTAGAGTTTATACAGGTAGCATCAATTGTACCATGGAGACAAGTATTATTAAGTGTAATCTTCTACAATAGACTCAAGGAGTGAGTTAAGGACAAGATAGCCAGAGGAGAAAGGCCAGAAACTATATACAGGATAGTAGAACTAGCTGTAAGGATCAATAATCACCAATACAAACAAGAGCAAGAAAAGAAGCATCAATACTCAAGACATGAGACCAACTACAAGGTAAATATAAAAAAGTATTAAAACAAGACACTAGACAAAGGTGACCTAATAGACCTAGATGCTATACAAAAACAAAGATATAGAAACCCTATTAGTAAAGAAAAAAAGGCAATGATACTTTGATGAGAAAGCTTGTCTTAAATGTAGAAAAACTAGACACTAGAGAAGGAATTATAGATTAGGACAAAAGAATCATGAGAAATTCAAAGATGTATAAACTCTTAGAATTAAATTCTTAGAACCTATTAAATTTTAGGAATAGAAAGGGAGTAAATGATATTAACTAGATCTGGACCTGGAGTAGGTACAAAAGGCTTGAAAACAGACTTAATACCTGAAGGCAGTTATAGAAATGACTATGGAATTTACAGAAGAACTAATAATTAATGAAATAGAAGAAAAAGCAGAGGCAGCTGTAGTACTAATTATCAAGGCATGTAAATGACCAAACAAACTGCTTAACCAATACTAATAGGACTAAAACAGGCAAAAACACAAAGTTAATATATAGTATATATTTAGAGAGACAAATATATAATATCTAGAGGCATCTAGTAGACTAGAACAGGAAAATAAGATTTAGAGGGCAATCTACAAAAACCTGGCATAATGGCACTTATACTTGCAAGAAGTAGTCATGGAATGACACCAGAACTATATCAAATGGCTTGAAAAGGAAGCTGACAAGCAAACATAGACAATGTAGGAAGAAGCTACAAAATAAATCAAGGTACTACAAAGACAGACTCAAGAGTTAGATGAACCTAAAGAGGAACAAAAAGATAAGTTTCTAGCCTGATACTAATAAATGACAGAGTATATAACTCTAATCACTAAAGAAATCAAGCAAACCAAGAAATACTAGAATATTGCAGGTGCAATAGTAGAGAAAGCCATACTCAAGAAGCTGAAGGAGGACTTCCAAGAGTAGAGTAAACAATACTAGCTAGAAGAGTCATGAATGAATGATAAAGATTAGCTAGTGGAAGTAGATTAGCAATTTACAACAATTAAACACATCAAAAGAGTCCAAAGACAAGTAGTTAGACAGCATAACTTCTATCAAGGAATAGAAAAAGAAAAAATCATCAAACAAAATATCTAGACAAATGTAATTGAGGAGTAGGACCTAGAGTACTAGTAGCAATACTGAGACCTAGAACAGTAGCTGAAGAGACAACAAGAGGAGCAACAATAGCAAAAACAAGAAACCAGAGAAACATTCATTTTAGAGGATGAGGAGTCTGATGACTCAGAAACCAAAGTTACTAATGCTGAGGCTCATTACAAAGAATATTTATTTTACAAACTTCAAAAAGCTCAAAAGAAACATAATTAATAGAGAGACCAAGCCATTAAAGCAGAAACAATAGAATATTATCATCCATGGTATAAATGTCAGAAGATAGGATGCCTAAATTGAATTCAACAATGAGACAAATACTTGCATTAAATAAAGTAATATGACTATTTAAAGGATAAATGCTATCTACATGCTCTAGAACAACAAGTAGCAAAAGACAATCTAAGGTATCCAAGACATTATTAGATATTGAAGCAAGACTGTATAGCAAATGATTGCTCAGTACATGGCATAGACATAAGACTCAAGAAGGAATCTCAGTTAAAAAACTAGAAAGCTACTTGAATCTAGAGTAACAGGATGACATAGCTATACACTCTGTGAACACAAACTCAGAGAATGTAGTATATATGCAGGTTTAAATCCAAGAAAAACATGTCAATACACTAGTAGATAGTGGAGCCACAGATAGTATTATATCACTCAGGGTAGTAGATGTTACAGTGACACCTACAGATAGGTGTTAGGTTGTATCTTCCTAGATAGTTCCTTGTCAATATATCAAGAGTTTTTATCTAGTAATATAGTGTCCTGCAATATTATTTAGTGATAGGAGTAATATAAGATAATATAACAATTTAGGTCTAGTAGATAAAGTAAACAATGAAATTGCTATTGTACTAATATCTAGATATTGATAACTAATTACTGTAAAGTAGTAATGCTAAACAATAAACTTCAAGAACTACACAAAATAACTCTAACTATGTAGAAAAACTATCTTCCTTATATAGACAATTTGTTCTGTACTAATTACACTTGATCATTCTGATCACCCTGTAATTACCTGCAATTACTACAATTATTTATTCTGCTATTACTCTTTACTTTCTTATCTTATCATTATGTAACTCCTTTTGTCTCATGATATCCTTAGCATACCATGCCTCTACATTTTATATAGTAGGCCCTGTGCTATCCATTACTGACCCTTGTAACTATCATTACATTAGGTCTTTTTTTTTTATCCTTTTAACTCAAAAGGCCAATTCTACAACCACCTGGTTTCTATAAAAGGTAGGGTCCTGTCTTCTGTTGCTTCTTTACTTTTCTAACCTTTTATTTCATTATGCCAAAGGTTTCTAGTTTTATTTGTCATTATCATCTTGCCAACCATGCTCTCAACTTTCTCATGATATACCAACCTCTTACTCTGCCTACTGTTCTTCTAGTTAGGTTTATAAAGTTTTTCTCAAGTCAGGTCATTGCATTGAGTACATTTCTTGTAATTGGAAGTATGATCTAATAGTGTCTGAGGCTAACTAGCAGTATCTTAATTCTAATCATTGCTACATTGAGGCTTCTTTAGAGGAAATGAAATCTAAATTTTCCTATCTAGTCAAAGAGGCCTCCCAGCTCTTTACTTATTGCTCTTGACTTTACAAACAGCTCTTTCAAAACTATAATCATGGAAAGGAGATGTTTTAGCAAAAATTCAAATCTATCAAAGAATTAAAACATTTAGAACAAGAGTCTAAAGCTACTGCTTTTGCTGTTTTTTCTCCTTTAATTTCTTTTAATTTTGACTAATCTACTTTCTTAGATCCTTCTGGTTTTTTTTTTTCCTTTACTAGTAGAATTCAACAATCTTCTCAGGGCAATTCAAATTGGTTCATGGTTTCCATGAATTGAATTCTTCCCTATAGTCAAGCTATTTAATATAATATTTCTATTGCTAACCTTTTTTCTTTATATCTAGAATTTCTTTGACATTATATTCTTTGTCCTTGGATAAAATATCTAGTTTTTTTTGTAAGTAGTACATTTTCTAGTACTAGTTCTAATAGTGAGACATAGAATGTTAGATGTATTCTTGTTTTTTTAGGTAGTTACAATTGATATGTTACCTCATTGACTTGTTTCTTGATTTCAAAATGTCCTGCCTTGACATGGTCTAACTTCTTGTTTAGTTTCTTGGATTTTAAGTTTCTACAGAGTAGGTAAACTTTACTTCCTTCCTTAAAGATTGGTTTGTTCAATCTTCTTTAATTAATATATTCTTATATTTTCTAGTTTCTAAACTTGATTTCTTGTTATAGTGACTCATGGAGTTCTTTGATTCCTTGACTATATTATAATTCTTGTAGTAATGTATAGTTGTTCTTGATTTCTACTCTTTGAACCACTAGATCATATCTATAATTTGCTTGAAATGGTAACATTCTGATAGTATCTTGCTTTATGCTATTGTATATGTACTAAGCAACTAGTAACAACAATACTCAATTGTCTTGTTTATAGCTAATATAATATTATAGATACTGTTTAACAATCTAGTTAATTTGTTTGGTTTATTTATCTGTCTATATATGAGCTGTAGTTAATATCTTGTGCTTTACTCCCAAGCTTGCTATCATTGTTTTCTAGAATTTTGATGTAAATAGTTTATCCCTGTTAGTAATAAATTCCTTTAGTAACTGGTAGTTTGCTATTACTATTCATAACACTAAATATGCTGTTTGTTCTACTATAGCTTTTTTTGTTGTTAGAATGAAATACATGTATTTCATAAGTCATTCTACAATTACAAGTAATACATTGTATTTCTGTCCTATAACTAGGTTTATTGATTCTAGTAGATCTATTATGAAGTCTATCATGATTGATTTCTATGGCCAATATAGTACTTCTAGATTTTTCAAATTTCTATATGACTTGTATTTGTTTTTCTTGTCCTGATTGTAAATATGACATCTTTTAATTACTTCCTCAGCTAATTTCTATATACTTAGTATGTAATAGTTTGCTATAATTCCTATAACTGTCTTTGTAATTTCTAGATGTCTACTGGTTAGTTTGTCATGTATTTCTTTAACTAATTCCTTTTGTAATTTCTGTAGTATATAGATTCATCCTTCATGGTATAAGAGTCTATCTTTGAGTAGTTTTCTTGCTTTATAATTTGCTATCTTGTTACCTTGGGTTGCTTTCTGTATTCTTTGTTTTCAAGTATTATGACTTTCAATTCATAATGCTACAATTGTTTTTGCTTCATACACCAGGGTTTTGTTGCTATTAAGTTTAAGTATTATGTCTTGTACTAGCTCTATATCTTCCTTGTACTTCTCTTGTTAATTAAGTATATCTATAACTTCATTTTCTTTTACTTTCTTGTAGTATATTTAAAAATTGTACTAGACTAATGTTTTTGCTTATTGTACTTGTTTTCTGTTCAATCTTTTTGTTATTATAAATATTATAAAGTTCTTGTAATGTAAGTATATTGTGGTTGTGTTTTTTGCTCTAAGTAAGTAGACTCTCCAATATTCCATTGTTAATACTACTCTAAGTAGTTTCTTGTCATAAATATTGTAGTTTAATTCTAGTACTAATAGTTTTCATAAGTAGAAGATTACTAGGTGTCTCTTGCCATTCTCTCCTATCTGTGTCATTTGTGCTCCAATAGTAAAGTCTGATGAGTCTGTCTTAACTTTGACTTCTTTTCCTAGTTTGTACATCTTTAGTACTAGTTTTTCTAAGAACTTCCTTTTTAATTTTTCAAATGATTTCTAAGCCTTTTTAGTTTAACTAAAGGGTATGTTGTCCTTTATTAATTTTATAAGTATTGTTATAATTTTGAAATAGCTTTTTATGAACTTCTAGTAGAAATTGACAAAGCCTAGAAATTCCCTAATTCCCTTTTTACTTTTTGATGCTTTTTAATTCTGTATGTCTTGGATTTTCTTTAGGTCCATTTTGATTTTTTTGCTAGATATAATAAATCCTAAGAATTCTACTTCTTTTTTGATAAAACTTGTACTTTTTGGGCTGAACATAGAGATTGTACTCCTTAAGTTTAGTTAAAACCTTTTTAACTTGCTCTCTATGTTCTTCTAATGTTCTGTCTGTGTAGACTATAATATCATCTAAGTATACTATAACAAAAACATCTAGATACTAGTAAAATATATTGTTAATCATGCTTTGGAATGTAGCTAGTATATTCATAAGTCTAAATGGCATTACTAGGTACTTATATAGGTTATAATGAGTTCTAAAAGCTGTTTTTCATTCTTCTCCTTCTTTTATATAGATTTAATAATATTTCTCTTAGATATTAAATATTTTCATCCACTTAGCTCTTGACAATCAGTCTTGGAGTTCCTGTATAAGTAGTAACAAGTATGTATTCTTAATTATCTTGTCATTTAATTATTAATAGTCTACACATAGTTGTAGTTTGTTATTCTTCTTTGGTATCTATAGTATTGGAGATCTCATTAGATTTTTACTAGGTCTAATGTATCCTTTCTTAATGTTCTTTGTAAGATATTTTTTTAATACTTTGACTTGCTGTTATGTTTTAAGATATATTGGTCCTGGTTTCAATATTGCCTCTTCCTTGAGAGGTATTTCATGATTCCATGGCTTGTGTTTTAGTAAAGCTATTTCTTTTAGATCTTTAAAAAGTTCCCTAAACTCCTTGTACTCTGGTAGTATCTTAGTTGTTGGCATTTCTTTAACCTTATAGATCTACATTATATAAGCTCTATGCTTAGTGTCTAATATTTCTTTTTATATACATACATCTAAGACTTATTACCTTGATATTCAAGTCTCTTGTTAACTTTTTATAAGTAATCTTTGTCTGTTATTTATTCTGTCAAAGTTCTTAGCATCCTACCTTTCTAAGCAACTCAGAACTTTCTAATCTAGGCCTTCTAGTTTATCAACTTCCTATAACCTTTGTAGTAGAAAAGTAAATAGTCTATTAACATCAGTCAATTCATAGATTGATTGCTTGCAACTAGTCCATTCCTAAAATGAGGTTTAATCTCATTCCTATATTGATAATGTTAATTGAGCTATGCCAAGACATTCTATTTAATTGTACATTGAGCTTCTTAGTATACATTTTAATGAATCTTTTACCAAATGCTAGTGAACTCTCATCTACCATTCATACTCAAATTGGATTTTTCTTGAGTTTCTACAGTAGATTCAGTCATTTCACTATCCTGGGTAATATTATGCTACCTGTGACTCTACTGTCTACTAGTGTATTGACATGCTTTTCTTGGATTTAAATCTATATGTACATCATGTTCTCTAGGTTTGTATTTACAGAGCATATAGCCATATTATTCTGTCACTCTGGATTTAGATAGCCTTCTAGTTTTTTAACTAAAGTTCCCTCTTAGAACTTATGTCTATGCCATGTACTAAGCAACTATTTGCTATGTAATCTTGCTTTAGTATTTGATAATGTCCTGGATACCTTGGATCATTCTTTGCTACTTGTTATTTTAAAGCATAGAGATAACATTTGTCCTTTAAGTAGTCATACTACTTTGTTTAATGTAGGTATTTATCTCATCATTGGATCCAATTTGAGCATTCTATCTTCTAACATTTATACTATAGATAATAATACTTTGTTGTTTCTGCCCTAATGACTTAGTTTCTCTACTAGTTTCATTTCTTTTGAGCTTCTTGGAGTTTGTAAAATAAGTACTCTTTATAATGAGCTTTAGTGTTAGTGACTTTGATTTCTAAGTTATCAGACTCCTTATCTTCTAAAATGGATGTTTTTCTTGTTTTTTGTTTCTACTACTATTACTCCTCCTGTTGTCTCCTCAGCTACTGTTCTAGGTCTTAGTATTATTACTAGTGCTCTGGAGTCCATTTCTCAATAGTATTTTTCTAGATGTTTTGCTTTATGACTTTTTTTCTTCTGTTCCTTGATAGAAATTATATTGTCCAACTACTTGTCTTTGGATTCTTCTAATGTATTTAATTACTATGAACTATTAATCTGCCTCTGCTAGCCAATCTTTATTGTTGATTTATAATTTCTCTAGTTAATATCATCTACTCTGCTCTTGAAGGTCCTTCCTTAGCTTCTTGAGTATGGCTTCTTCTGCTATTGTACCTACAATATTCTAGTGTTCCTTAGTCTGCTTGATTTCCTTAGTAATCAGATCTATATACTTTGTTATTTACTAGTATCAGGCTAGAAACTTGTCTTTTTGTTCTCCTTTTGATTCATCCAGCTCTTGGGTCTGTCTTTGTAATACCTTAATCTATTTCATAGTTTCTTCCTAGGTTATCTATGTTTGCTTGTTGGCTTCCTTTTCAAGCCATTTGATATAGTTCTAGTATCATTCTATAATTACTTCTTACAAGTATAAGTGCTGTTGTACTAGATTTTCATAGATTACCCTCCAGATCTTATTTTCTTGTT